TCTTGCTGAAGATGCAGGTAGGTTAGTCGTCACTGACATCTGCCGATGGCACTAGACAAGCTCAACGCACAAGTCATGTATCCATGCCATATCACTTGCGGATGTGTTGGCGGAGGATCCCTGCAACTCTACGCGGGGTGGCGGCTTAACGGTTGTTTGATTAATTGCTCAGGATTATCCTAACTTACTTCTTGCATATTAACGAGCTAGGCTGCTCGTAGATATGGGAAACAATCGGCGGCCGCCGCAAGAGCTATCGTGTATATGCGCTGATAAGGACTCTCGACCAATTCATCGTACGCGAGCCGTAATCATGCGGTCTGCATGCTAGTCGCTGAACATCATCGATATGCGCCGATAAGCCACCTTGTTGACAAGGAAATGATTGACAGCAAGACACAATGCAGCTAATTGGCTTAGAGTAATCTACCGTAAGGCAAATACTGACCACACTTCATCGACTACCACGGAGGGCCGAGAATTGCAGGTCTGATCAGCGGGGAAAGCCTTGAGCAGCTCGTCTAAATGACTTGACGAGCAAGCGGCCCGGTCACAATGTGACTTACCTAGTAGACTTGGTTACAAAGCTTGGTCACAAAGCTTGATTGAGTGAACCATTATCAAGTTGCATCAGCAAGACCAATAACCTTAAATTCACTACATATGCTGAGACCCCAGTACGACTCTTGCTGAAAACTAGCTTCTCCTGCTACCGCAGTAGTCCACTTCCTCTCCAGGACATGTTGAATGCCGATCAGTGCCGCTAAAAGTAAGAAGACGCAGAATTCGGATAGCGAACTCCTTTGACTCCGAATGTGACACTATCTTAGTTAGCCTCGACTTCGCTCTTGCGGTAGAGGCGAGCAAGCTCATCATCAAGATCAGATGCGTCCTCGCTCTTGCGATAGAGGCGAGCAGGCTCGTCGTCAAGATCAGATGCGTCCTCGCTCTTGCGGTAGAGGCGAGCAGGCTCATCATCAAGATCAGATGCGTCCTCGCTCTTGCGATAGAGGCGAGCAGGCTCGTCGTCAAGATCAGATGCGTCCTCGCTCTTGCGGTAGAGGCGAGCAGGCTCATCATCAAGATCAGATGCGTCCTCGCTCTTGCGATAGAGGCGAGCAGGCTCGTCGTCAAGATCAGATGCGTCCTCGCTCTTGCGGTAGAGGCGAGCAGGCTCATCATCAAGATCAGATGCGTCCTCGCTCTTGCGATAGAGGCGAGCAGGCTCGTCGTCAAGATCAGATGCGTCCTCGCTCTTGCGGTAGAGGCGAGCAGGCTCATCATCAAGATCAGATGCGTCCTCGCTCTTGCGGTAGAGGCGAGCGGGCTCGTCGTCAAGATCAGATGCGTCCTCGCTCTTGCGGTAGAGGCGAGCAGGTTCGTCGTCGAGGTCAGACTCTGCTTCGCCTCTTGCGGCATGGTGAGCACCGGCAGGACGGGTCAAGGCTTCTCCAGGTTAGTTCGATTCACGAATGCGTTTGGAACCGAGTATCATGACATACACGCGGTTAAGAAATCATATTCGTAAGGATCAGAACGAGCCTTCAGTCCAGCATTGCTCGCCACAGGTATGGCAGAGACACTAAGTGCCAATGCAAGAACTGACAATGAGATCTGACGGATATGCATATTGAGAGATAGCTGAGAATCTAGAGATGTTGCTGAGAGGAATGAGAGCAATTAGTGTTGACAGGATCAATGTGATTGAGTTGAAAAGAAGCAGCTCGACCTGAATTATATACCCAGTCCTGGATAGAGACTGATCTGCAGCCTTATTCACTGTGTTCTACTCTACACCATTAATACCACAGCAGAAATCCCTTGGGCTTCTCCAAAACTTTTGCGGCATGTGACTCTCTAGTCGGCCGTTCCACATTCTCATAGCTATCACAGGGCACACATAATCATGCATCTGCATGTCCAAGGCTTGCAGCAAATCGTTGTGGATACCAACCACTGACCAAGCAATACGCCGGCCTCGCGATACTTAGCGATTTCAGGAATGTCTTATCAATGGGCAATGCAGCTAGTGTTACAGTGCAGGGTGTGATCGTGGCCATTCTAAAGCACTTGTAGCTTGCAAATACCTGCGGCTATCCAGAATAGGGATTGATTCGCTATCAGCCCGTGTTGTATGAGAGAACATCGAGACCATGACGCGTGTGCGCAGTGCCTCACAGCATTCGGCGACTCGAGATGCTGCTTGTCCAGTAGTCACGTATCGGGGCGTTTACAGTGGGGATCGAGTTGGTCGTTGAGTACACCAGCCCCTCACCAGGGAGGTTTTGATCAGTGCCACCTGCTACTTCGCAGCTACGGAGCTGATTGTTTTTAAACATGCCTTCCATCGATTTTCCGTCTTTTCTCTCCCATCGCATCATGATTTCTCGACTGCAACATAAAATGTCTGCTTTCAGCAAGTCCACTGAGCAATCTGAGAAGAGGTATGAGCCTCTTACTGACTCGGAACCCGACATCGAGAACAACATGAACATGCTCAACAAAGTCCACACCAGAAGCCGATATCCTTGGAAAACTTTGTTTGTCATCGCAGCATTGCTGAATGTGGTGTTGCTGACATATGTTGTCTTTGGCAACAACTATCACATATACATAAGTCGCCTTGATACAGCGCCGGAGAACTTGCGTGAGTGATAATGGCTCGCACGTATCGACTCCTTACATCGCCGCTGACTTTGCGTAGCAAAAACCATCTTCGAACCGAGTATCGAGTATCTCCAGCTTTGGAATCATGATGCGACTATTAACTTCACTGCGAACGATGAGTTTTGGGACCAGTTGCTCCCCGGCCATGGCCTCGTAGCTGTCGATCGTGATTGGGCCCAGTCACGCAATTGGGCGGAATCTGTGTATCTCCCCAGCGATCACAGCAAGGGCGTGTACGCACTGGAGGCTTACCATCAACTGCATTGTCTCGTGAGTCTATTGAATTCTCGAGTACAGAACTTCTGCTAACGAAGTGCTTCCCAGAGAACGATTCGCTCTACGTTTTGGGAGGCGCACGATGGAAAAAACATCACCTGGCCGAACTACCATGGACACATGGAGCATTGCTTCGAGGGCCTGCGACAAGTAAGTTCCAGCATGCTTCAAACGGTTCCATATCTGATAGCGTCGCTTCCTCAGGCTATCATGTGTAACGCCGACAACACGGCCCTCTTCACATTTGGAGGCGACACCATCGGTCATGGACAACTGCGAAAGTGCCATAGTTGGAATCAACTGCGGGATTGGGCAACTGCCAATTCTGCTTGCTACAACGTAGATCCGGCCGCTATGCCTCTCCGTGATCGATTCGGTGCTTGTGACAATGGTTTCGATGGTATGGTATACCGTGATTGAAGGCGTGATCCGAGCAGACTACTTGTTGAGATGGACCGGCTTTGGAAAGGCGTGGTGGTGTGAGTCGAAGATTATTTGCCGATCAGATAGTATTCCTGGCAAGTTCTGTAATACAGCTTCCTCCTTCATCACTCTCCAACTTCCAGTGCAACGTGACTTGACAACTACTTCCAAGCGCAGTGCCGAGGTCTATCTGAGCGACTCAGAACGAGGCCTGGCTGACTCTCATCGATGATTTGTCTACTTACCTGGAGACTGGCTCGTATGTGGTGACAGTGAACGGTCAGTGAAGCTATCCAGTCACTGGCTACGCTTGCGACTTGAACAAGCATGGCATCTGTCACGCAATATCGCTTGCGCAATCAATCCTCAGTGTCAACTGGCGATAGACGTGGTTCCTTTGATCGACTCGCATCTTTAGACTCCAGTCACGGCGGCAAGTTGGCTGCAAGCATTCTTCGTCGGAAACGTTGAGAGATGTACGAATATCAATTTACACCCAAAGCCCCAGCGATATAAGCGAGGTTGCAAGCGAGTTTTGCAGAGATATAACGACAGGGATGGTGTCGATAGCACATGGAAGCCTGATGATGATCAGTGGAGAGTCCTGCCATTGTTCAGGCATCCTAATGGCTGACCAGGAACACCTGCTGGCCCTCCCGCACGGTCCCAACAATATCAACCATACACTTACCGAGGAGTGTGAACGCGCGAATCTTCACTTGACACGTCCTCTGATACGACCTAGACTGCGAAGCCAGCGGGTCGTCCTGCGAGACTAAGAAGTTTCAACTCTACATATGCATGGCATGCGGGACTCTTGTCTTGGATATCGCCGAGCCCTGTTAGTTGAACCTCACAACGTGCGTGGACGCGTTTTCATCATGCAGTAGAGCGCCTATCAAGTGCCTGCAGGATAGTAGGATAATTACTTGAACCTGCATGTTTGTTTTGTTCGTCTAGGTGTTGATAGTCAATCAATTTATATTGACCAGCTCCCAAGATCACAAACCCCGCACGAAGATAAGCTTTTGCCGAGTTCAACAAGACTTGGGCGGCGGGGAAGAGAAGCTTAGTCGTGACAATCCATGTCTTGTTTTGACCGGTTGAGCTCAGGCAGCAACTGACGCAGCAGTCCAAAGGGTCGTATGCAGACCGACACTAGCCTTGAATTCTCCACAGTGGTGAATATAGTGTGCCATGTCACTGGGGTCCAGTCGTCTTATCGTCTCGCTAAATGCGCGAAATGCACAATGATTCGCGTGAGTGGTGAGTGGTGAGTGCTTCTATCTTCCAAGCCTCGCCTCTATCTGGATAGCCGACATATGGCATGATTGCGCTTTCATGGGCTTGATGATCAATCATCAACAAAGCGGAGCAGCAAAGCTCCGAAGCTGACGCACGGGGTAACAGACACTTCTATGGACCCTAGAAGCATGCAGCACTTGCCCAGAGACAGACAGATACGCAGAGATATGTGTGCACAGACTGGTGGCTGCCTTGCTTGATGTTGAGAGCTAAATCGCTTGTCTACGAAGATAATGGGTTCAGACGGAGTTTTATTGCTATCCAATTCCCCACGCTCCTGTCCAACAACGTTACAGTCTTGAGCAGTTGCCTCATCGAGAATATTCGATATGGCTGAACGAGATCCTCCCTGTTCTTCTCATCTTCCGTCAGATGATTCCACAGAGCATGCTCGAAGACTCTTGATATTTGGGCCTCAAGCGCTGAATTTCGACATCACAGCGCTTCGTAAACTCGGACTCCGTCTACACTTGCCGAACAACCTCTGGCTCTTGGACAGCGTCTCAAGATTGTACAAAAGCTGGCCAAGCTTATATCAAGCCATTCCTCACTTGAATGGTGTACAGGCTGAAAGATATCTGCTCCGCTTGACTGAGGCATTGCAGGCCAATGTCTATGATGAATCGTTGTTTCCACTGCCCCACATCCTGCTGGCGCCTCTAGTCGTCATCACCCATCTTGTACAGTACACGACAAATCTCAGCACGAGTCGGCAGAACTCAGGAGAAGACGATTTCGCAGCTGCCATCAAGGATGCTGAAATCTTGGGACTCTGTACGGGTACGCTGAGTGCTTTCGCCATAGCCTGCGCATCGTCGCTCAAGCAACTACAACAATATGGTACCGCAGCCATTCACATTGATATGGCTATTGGCGCTTTTGTTGATGCCTACGATCATGAGAACGGCATGTCGTACTCGCTTTCTGTAGCTTGGAGCGAGGTGACCCAAGAATCTACTGTCCAAGAGCTCTTACAGGAATTCCCCAACGCGTACGTCTCAGTCAAAGTCGACAAACGAAGATGTACTATCACAATGAATCAGCAGATCATGAGCGCACTAAGGCACAAGCTTGAGGAGGCTGGATTGCATGTGACTGATCTCAAGCTCTCTGGTCGATTCCATTGGTGGCGACACCAGGATTCTGTACATTCATTGTTGCAATTTTGCGATGGAAACTCTCAGTTCCAACTCCCGGAAGCTGCACAAACATTGGCTCCTGTTAGGTTGGAGTCTGGTGGCCCAACCTTGATGACCGGAAGCTTGCACAACCTCGCAATTAGGTCCATTCTGCTGGACCAATCCGACTGGCTTACCATATACACTTTATCAGACTTTGAAAAGAGCCTTCCTTCGAAGCTGAAGATTACTTGTTTCGGCTTGGAACACTGTGTACCTCCGACTGTTGCCAAAAGGCTGGGTCCCTCTTTGGAATATGCTTGCGATATCGAGGCTATCACTCTGTCTGGGTCCCCCAATCCTGCTAGCTCGCAATCGCTTCCAAGAGCATCACTGTCACCTGATCAACGTATCGCTGTTGTGGGTATGTCATGTCATGCACCGGGTGCCAAAGATCTCGATGAGTTTTGGGAAGTTCTCACGAGCGGAGAATCTCAACACACCGAAGTGCCTGACCAGCGATTCAGCATGTCAACCCCGTGGAAACCCTTAGACCCGAGTAAAAAGTGGTACGGCAACTTTATCAAAGACCACGACAAATTCGATCACAAATTTTTCAGGAAGAACCCTCGTGAAGTTGCCTCCACCGATCCCCAGCAACGATTGGCTCTCAAGCTCGCGTACCAGGCGGTCGAGCAGTCCGGATACCTGAGCCGAGCTCAAAATGATAAGCACGTCGCTTGTTACATCGGTGTCGGTAACAACGACTACGAGCGTAACATTGCATGCCACTCGGCTAATGCATACTCGGCAAAGGGCAATCTGCGAGGATTCATCGCTGGAAACATCAGTCATTATTTCGGTTGGACTGGACCGAGTATGACTTTTGATTCTGCTTGCTCGTCGTCAACCGCAGCTATCCACTATGCATGCCAATCTATCTCTAGCGGAGACTGTACGGCGGCCCTCGCTGGGGGTGTCAACCTCTTCACCAACCCTGATTGGTTTTACAATCTGTCTGGCGCTTCATTCCTGAGTCCTAGCGGCCAATGCAAGCCATTTGATGCTGATGCTGACGGCTACTGTCGCGGAGAAGGAGGTGGCTTTGTCTACCTTAAGAGCCTGGATCGTGCACAAACCGATGGCGATCAGATCTTTGGCGTCATTGCAGCCACACAAGTCTACCAAAACCAGAACTTCACGGCCATCACCGTGCCAAACGCACCATCTCTATGCGTTTTGTTCCAGGATGTTATTCGCAAAGCCAATCTCAAGCCTAACGACATCACTGTCGTGGAGGCACATGGAACAGGTACTCCTGTTGGCGACCCGGCGGAATACGCTGGAATCCAGATGGCTTTAGGAGCGGAAGCACGCAGTCAGACACTTCATCTCACATCTGTCAAGGGCTCTATCGGCCATTGCGAGTTCGCTTCTGGCGTCCTGTCGTTGTTGAAAGTATTGCTTATGCTTTATCATGGCATCATACCTCCTCAAGCTAGCTTCTCTCGAGTCAACCCCAAGCTGCAAGCTTCGGCAGGGGACAAGATCCAAATTCCGCGGGTGTGTATACCGTGGACAACCGGCTTTCGCGCCGCGCTCATCAACAATTATGGTGCATCTGGTTCCAACGCTTCCATGGTCGTCAGTCAATACTCCCAAGCTCACTCACTGCAAGCAGTGGTTCCGCATGCTGTTGGGTTGAGTGCTCCGATCCGACTGTGTGGACTCGATGATCAGAGTCTGGTGGCGTACTGTGCGAAATTGGGTCAATTTTTGCAGAAACAAAGATCAACCAGAAGCAATCTCTCTATACACAATCTTTCCTTCCAGCTCTGCCGCCAAGCCAACTGCGTTTTGCCTCAGTCTCTGATATTGAGCGCAAGATCCTGTGCCGACCTGCACCAACAACTTAGGTCTTTGCGACAGACGAAGCATTGCACAATTTCAATCCAGCAGTCACCCACACGTCCAGTTATTCTGTGCTTTGGCGGGCAGATCTCAACTTTCGTTGGGCTGGATCCTCTTATCTACCAACGGATCTTCATCTTTCGGCTGCATCTCGACAATTGCAATACTACGTGCTTGTCATTAGGACTCGATAGTATCTTCCCTGAAATCTTCCAACGCTCGACCATCGTGGACGTCGTGAAGCTGCAATGTGCTTTGTTCGCCATGCAGTACTCTTGTGCAAAGGCGTGGATTGATTGTGGAGTCTCAGTCGCTGCCATCGTGGGTCACAGCTTTGGCGAGCTGGTTGGTCTCTGTATCGCTGGAGCATATACACTGAAGGATGCCTTGAAATTGATCTCCGGTCGCGCAGCCATTGTTCGCGACTTCTGGGAGGAGGACAATGGCGTGATGCTGGCCGTAGAGGGAGACAAAGCTACCCTTGATACGCTAATAGCACTGGCCAAGCAGCAGCCTGGATCCCAGGCCGACCCCTCAATCGCGTGTTACAATGGTCCGCGAGCTTTCACGCTTGCCGGCAGTCAACAGGCTATCGATCTAATCTTGGATCTGGTAGCTGCCAATGATAGCTTTGCTCATCTTAGAATAAAGAGATTGAATGTGACAAACGCTTTTCACACGGCGCTTGTGGACTCTCTCGAGCAAAAACTTGTGTGCCTAGGCAAGGATATCACGTTTTTGNATCCTGTGATCCGCATCGACCGAGCAGTCGAACAGTACGAAAACCCTTTGGATAGCCGCTTCGTGTTCGAACACATGAGAAGTCCTGTTTTCTTCAGCGCGGCAGTTCAGCGACTGTCAAAGGATTTTCCTCGGCAATCTGGCTCGAAGCCGGCTCGAAATCCACTGTGACCGTCATGGCAAGCCGTACACTCATTGNAAGTTGGTTCGTCTCATTTCCAAGCCATGAATTTGACGGAAGACGGGTCGTATGATCGACTTGTAAGTGCAACAACTGCCCTATGGAGAGAGGGGCTGCAAGTGCAGTTCTGGCCGCATCACCAGTCGCAGACTGCCGAATACACTCCCTTGATACTACCGCCGTATCAGTTCGAGGAATATCAACACTGGATGCCACTGAAAGACCCGACCATAGTCACGGACCCATATGAACAACGAACGGAGAGTGCACCGTGTGGCTTAACGACTTTCCTTGGGTACCAGGATACCAACAAATCCTCTGTCCGATTCAGCGTCAACACGAGTCAGAAAAGGTTCCAAGAGCTTACCGCAGCGACCCTCGTGGTTGCGACTGCAACGTTGCCCCCAAGCATGCTTCAATTGAAGGTTGTTCTTGACGCTTTCGAATTTCTGCGATGCGACTTCAAACATCTTCCCGCTGAACCAGAGTTTCTTGATGTTGAACATCACTGTCTTTTCCTAGTCGATGACAACAAAGCGCTGTTCCTCGACGCCGCCAAGAGTGATGACAAAGTCCACGAGTGGCAATGGAAATTTTTCTCGCAAGGAAAAAACAGTGAACCGGTAGTGTACACCTCAGGGATCATCGCTCTTTGCGCCGGTCATCATTCACGAACGTATGAAGAATTCGAGAGTCTTGCGCGTCTTGTAGACATGGATCGTTGTTCACGACTGCTCAATGATCCAGATGCTGATGAGATACTCCAAGGTCTGAGCATCTATCGGGCTTTTGAGCCTATAGTCGCATGGGGGACTCCTTACCAGAAAGTCATAAGATTCTGCACAAAAGGAGCGCAAACTGCAGGCTTGGTCAAGCCAGCCTCTGATGGCGAGCACCTCATGGACGCAGTTCTATCCGAATGCTTCTGTCAAGTCTCAAGCTTTCACATCAACCTCATGGAGGGCAACGCAAACGCTGTCTCTATCTGCAGTAAGATCGGGCGATGGTATCGAGCTCCTTCCTCACGTGGGATATCTTCGCCGCCAGACGTGTGGAAGGTCTTCGTGACGCATAAAAAAGTGTCCGAGACTTCCATCGTGAGTGATGTCTTTGCTTTTGATTCACGCACTGGGGCGTTGCAAGAGATCATCCTGGGCATCTCTTATCAACGAACCTCAACAGAAGCTCTGCGAAAGGCCCTAGCCAGAGCTTCTAGAGAAAATGTCTTTGAACCGATAAGCTCTGCCTCGCTCGTAGCCAAGCAAGCAAGACAGAACGAGTGTCCTGATTCCTCATCGCGGCTGATCCCACAGGTGGGATGTCATCCATCCACGCCGCCAATTGTCCACTCCGTCTCTAGCGCCGTGCACCCTGACATCGCGATTGAAGCTAGTGAGATCCTGTGCAACCTGACAGGCTTGGACCGGCATGATCTACACGATGACTCCGACCTAATCGAGATCGGGGTCGACTCTCTTATGGCAATGGAGCTTGCACACGAGGTCAAAATCGCATTCAAATGCTCCTTATCTACCGAACACCTTATGGAGCTCACAGACTTCCGAAGTCTGGTGGTCTGTATCAGTTCTGCGCTCGGCTTTGATGACAGCAATCAAAAAGCCAGACTCAATCAACCATGTTCAACCGAGCAAAAAGTAGTACCGGCAGAACTGTCGCATGGTAGTCCTTCTTGGCAGTTCACTAACATAGAGAGTGACTCTAGCCAGGTCAAGGGTGTTAGTAGCTGCCCTCCTTCAGACACTTCCAAAGGCTTTGTGGACGATGTTGTTAGTGATATGCGTGACAGAGACTATGATAGTCTGGCAAAAGAATGCTTCAACATGCCAGCACAACTTGTCACAGACATCTTTGAAGCACTGAAGTGGTGCACAGACGACTGTGTCACAACAGGAGGCTTGGCTGGATACCGCAACAAAGTGATACCTCGATCCACGGAGTTATGCATCGTGTACATTGTACAAGCTTTCGAACGACTGGGCTGCCTTGTGCAATCTGCACACCCTGGCCAACGACTGCAGCGCATTTCCCACCAATCCAAGCATCGAAGGTTGGTGGATCTACTCTATGGCCTGCTCGAGCACGAAGCACGCCTGATCGATGTCAGTGCAGATCAGATTGTACGCACGAACATACCGCTACCGTCCAAGTCTGCCGAAGTACTCTTAGCAGAGCTTCTTCGCGACGAGCCACTCTACGCAGCCGAACATAAGCTGGTTGCCTTGGTTGGTCTGAATCTTGCTGATTGCCTCTGCGGCAAACAAGAAGGCGTCCATGTCTTGTTCTCTCAGGGTCGTGACATATTGTCCGACATGTATGCCAACTCGCCATTCACCGGAATCTGGATTGCTCAGTTGGAACAGATGCTCAAGCAGCTTTTAGGCACACTCAATCTTGTGGGCCAGCCTTTAAATATCTTGGAGATTGGTGCTGGAACGGGTGGAACCACGAGCAAGCTTGCTGCTATGATTGCCAGCTTGGGAGCACACGTCAAGTATACGTTTACCGACGTGTCTGGCTCCCTTGTGGCAGCGGGCCGCAAGCAGTTCAAGTCGTACGCCTTCATGGACTTCCAGGTGCTGAACATAGAGCTTGAGCCCCATGAGTCCCTTTTGAGCAGTCAACATATTATTGTGTCCACAAATTGTATCCACGCTACTCGTGACTTGTCTGTTTCCCTTGGCAACATTCGTAAGATGCTGAGACCAGACGCGATTTTGGCCCTCCTCGAGATGACTCGACCTCTGCCTTGGGTTGACCTAGTCTTTGGGTTGACAGACGGCTGGTGGCTCTTTCAAGACGATCGTCAATATGTCCTGGCGACTGAGCAGCACTGGGAGCATGTACTTCATTCGACGGAATATGGGCACGTCGACTGGACTGATGGTCAACTACCAGAAGCCGACATTCAGCGGCTCATCATCGCTCATGCTTCAGGGCCTCGCCATTGTCGTGCTCCGAGGCCGCAAGCTTCTACAACGACTCCACTCCCTTCTTACAGCGATTCATGCGAGCGTCAGGCTGTGCTTGACACGTATATCGACAAACACACGGAAGGCTGGACCGTAGAATGCAAACCTTCCACCGCTGCTACGATGGACGCTTCGCTTGACAAATGCGTGTTAATTACCGGTGCTACCGGAAGCTTGGGTTCCCATGTCGTAGCTGATCTCGCGCATCGAGCAGACATTATGCTGGTGATTTGCCTGAACCGTGTGAGCAGTATGGAAGCAACTACGCGGCAGCATGAATCTCTAACGGCTCGCGGAATCTCGATGAGTCCTACAGCAATGGAGAAACTCAGGGTAATTGCTACGGACACTAGCAAACCACGACTCGGTCTATCACAAGACGTGTATGAATATCTCGTCCAGAGAGTCACGCATATCGTCCATAGTGCATGGCCAATGAGTCTCACGCGTCAACTTCGTGGCTATGAGGTTCAATTCAAGATCTTCCGCAATCTCATTGATCTTGCGGCAGATGCTGCGAACGGTAGACCTCCATCCGTGAGAATTGGTTTTCAATTCATCTCTTCCATCGCAGTAGTCGGGGTTTACCCGGACTGGGCCGGCCATGCTCTTGTCCCAGAAAAGCCTACAGTTATCGAGACTGTACCTCGGGGAGGTTACGCGGAAGCCAAATTTTCGTGCGAAACCATGCTTAGTCAAACTCTCTACAAGCACCCAGAGCGGTTCAGTGCCATGGCCGTGCGCATCTCGCAAATCTCCGGATCAGCCTCTTCTGGATTTTGGAACCCAACTGAATACATACCAATCTTGTCGAAGTCTTCTCAGGTGCTCCGCATGCTGCCTGACCTCGAAGGTACTTTTGCCTGGTGTCCGGTCGACCAAGTTGCAGCTTCTCTCAGCGAACTGCTGATGTCTGAGACCGCGAAAGACCTTATCTATCACATTGACAATCCCTCGCGGCAATCTTGGAAGCACCTCATCGCTCTACTATCGCGCTTGCTCAATGTTCCAGCCGCGAACATTGTGCCGCACGAACAATGGACAAAGCGAGTGCGTCGTTTTAAGGCGTCAGTTACTGACAATCCAGCCCTCCAGCTCATCGACTTCTTCGATTCACATTTCGTGCCCATGTCTTGTGGTGGGCTTGTACTGGACGTGACAAAGACCAGCAAGCATTCAGAGACACTTCGAGATATGCAAGCTATCAGCGATGATTTACTGGCGAGATATGTGGATAAGTGGAAGCAGTCGGGATATCTCAACCTGTAGACGTAATCTCTAGTCGTGATTCGGGAGGCGGAAGATTGTTGGGATTACTACAGAAAAGTGCCACAAACGGGTTTTGCAATGTAAAGAGCTTCAAGGGACCTCCATATCTGCGTCAATGAAAAGCAATAGTGATACTCGATGCCAGCTTCTCACGTAGACGTCAATTCAGCGCCTTGGTCAATCGGACAGTCTCAAGACTCGCCCCTCCGACCTCAATCGACCCAGCGCCATCTTTTGCAAATCCCACAGCTTCGTAGAAATGAATTGCTCGCTCGTTTTTTGCTAGCACGAGAACCGCAACAGTCGTGAACTGGGCTTCGATGAGCTGCTCTTGTGCTGCCTTCCACAACTGCCGGCCAGCACCCTTGGACCAGTCTTGAGGATCAACATAGATCGCACGAAGCTCGCCTGTCTTTATGGCGCCATTCACGAAAGCTCTGCGATTTGGGGATGGTGCAGCGGCGTCACCAAAGCTGACGAAGCCCAGTAGACGTGTCCCCTGCGTCTGCTCTTCGGCGACGAGAACGTTGGCGGCTTTACATGAATCCGACAAGATCTGCTTCCATAGCGTGACTTTTTCTTCGATTCTAAGGCTGTCAAGGTGGGTTTGCGGCATTATGTTTACGTACGCAGTACGCCATGCGATGACGTGGACTTTTGCGATGGCTCCGGCATCCGAGAGGGTGGCCGCACGGATCTTGACAGTCGTCGACATGGTCATCTGTTGTGGGTGCTTGATACCAGGGTGTGTTGCAAAGCAAAAGATGCTAGCTCTTCCTGAGTGATGCCTTCTCACGAATGATTAGAATCACTGCCACCGCGATCGATGGGTTTAAGTACCAGTACTGATCTATCAAAGAATCACATAAAAATTGCCAGAGTCGACGGGAGGTAGACGGCTTTATATGTCATGCCGAGGCCCCAATCAGCTAGGCTTATCTAAGCGTTGACCAATCTAGTTCCACATGGACTGGGTAGTTCCGGTCAACTTAGAAGAAGGCATTAGTGTCGATCACCAGACTTTAGTCCAATCTATGGCTGGAGTGTATCTAGGATCAACGAATACCTGGAACTCGCCTTCTTTCCGAACTGCAACCATTCTATGAAATAAACAACTCGGGCTCTGGCAGCAAAGTCAAGAAAATTGCAAAAGAGTTGACAGCCAGCTTCTCGAGGTGAATCTGTAGGACTTGGTGAAAGGGTACGCGGTCGCATTCAACCTCGGAGCAGATGGTAACGCATCGAGAAGGTACTGGTTGGCACTTGGTCGAAACCTATCGTTACGAGGCACTAGTCCTATTGAGGTAGCAGCGAGTCCTGTGTGCGTGATGTTGGAAGGATAGTTCAGGCCCATGCCATGAGATATCACTCCGATGATGTAGTTTGGCCGAGTACGAAGATTGGGGAAGATATGGGTGTTTACTTCCTCAATCATACCCATACCATTTTGGAAAAATTCTTCATGTTGACACAAATGGCTCTGTTTCTTGCTTGGGATCTCCTTCAAGAAGTATTTGACACCGACGAGAAGGAATCCACTGTTTGCCGCCACTGTGCACGCCCTGAGAATGTCGAGAGCTTTGTCGGGGGACATACACAACACGGAAGTGACTTTCGAGTCGTTGGTGTTGAATCGCACGCCTTACGCCCTACTTAGTCTGAACGCATGTACAATCGCTGTTCACAACATGAAGATTCTGCATCTCCCTCCGCAGAGTATAGAATCACAATCAGGCTTTTGCTCGACTGATCGTCCCAGGAAGAGATAGGTAGTTCTTTATTAACTCAGCTGGACAAGATCTATCGCGAAGAGCCCTAAGTCGGTCGCTAGGTTATTCGTTGCCGAGATCGGCTCGGCGCCCTACAGGGTGCAATCTAGATCCCTTCAAGGCACCTTGTGAATTGTAGGTTACCAGAGAATGCTGAGCAGTGTAAATGAGACCAAGCGTCTCAGCCCGTGACTTGAAGAAATGGAACGATGCCGGGAGCGGTGGGTGATCTGTCCCGGAAACGATTTTCCACGGAGTTTGGGTGTCAAATCTCGAAAGTTTGTCGATGTTGAGGTTGTTCACCATGTCCATCTCTTGAATCTTAATTTCTTTGTTCAACGCAATACCTATTCATTCCCAGACTAATCGCATTCTTGGAACACTGTGAAGGTATTGAGGGCTACATGCATCGGCTATAGAGTAAAGAGATTCTGAGCTACTAAGAACCACATAAGTAATGACGACTCTTTAGCTAGTGCTACAATCATGGAACGCGTTGATATCAATACCAAGGCTTTCAATGGCCTTAGCTTTGGCACAGTTCTCTCATGAGATCGTGGGCGTAGGGATATTGATAGCCGTGGATAGCAGAGCCAACAGGCTTCTCGGAGCACACTCTCCATTGCACTCTGTACTTTATTGTTGCCCATGACCTTCATGTCCGGCCAAGTGCACGCTATCATCATGTGGCTTCTTCGTTGCACCAAGTTTGCTTCCCTCACCCATAGGGAAAGCAGGCCCTGGCCACAGCTATCAGAGAAGGACTCGAGTTAACAAAGCTTGATATTATATACTTTTGGTCGGATGCATGAGCTAACCCGGCTTCATCATGTCGACAGTCCTTGCGCGGGTTCATGTATCAATCTTATCCCAGTTGGCACACTGATGGGTGGTTGCGTTTGCTATGGGGATGGGGACAAGACTGTTAGATGACCATTGGAACGTGATCAGTCCCAGATCAGCATGGTACATTGTGGCTTGGTCAAGGAAGTCGAGACAGTGTTCTAGAAGGTTTAGACAGATGAGAAGAAAGGATTGAGAAGTGTGACTGACCATTGTGCAGACGATTGATTAGGTGCTTCCAATTGTAGCTTCCACTTGTCAGCAAACTTGCTTTTGTGCTTTCCTGGGTATACTCACTCGGAATATATGTATTGGTGGATGCGTTTCTGTCTTGATGTTGGTAGTTTGAATCAGTATCGTCCTGGGAATCAACTGACTATACAATGCACTAGCAGCGGTATCTGTTAGCAGAGGGCGCGATATGTGCGTAGCTTGGACAGCGTACGTTCGCGGTACACAATCAGACACTGGAACAGTCAGTGCTCGACATCGCACGTTTCACTTGACCCCACGGGAGAGAAGACATGGTTGCAGTGAGCAACAAGAGTGTTGTTCTTACGCAGCTGGATGTATTGCCAACCAATGTCACTACCAAGAACCGCAATTCGGCTCTACGCACTCGAAGCTCATTGCCATCAACTTACTCGTCTAGCAACGTTTGGTTCCGCGGAAATGGGTCGATTTCAACACTATCTCACTCTCTCAACTCTTGCATTCGTCGTCGATGCAGGACTCAGTTCTCATTCTCTTTATCATGTCAAAGCGAATCATCGCGCTCCTCACGAGTGGGTGCGCGGGGAAATAGCTTCACCAGATCACAGCATTGAGTTGCACATCGGATTGAAGCAAGAAGACTTTGCAGGACTAGAACGACAGCTTCTCCAGATCTCTTTGCCATCTCATCCTTGATACGGACAGCACTTGAGCGCTTCAAATACACACAGTCTTGTCGCGCCACATGAGGAAAACAGCAATCTGGTCCTTGAATGGCTGGCCGAGAACTGCTTTTTCCAGAGCATACACTCGTTTTCTCGCAGAGCCGAGATTGGGTGCATCTGAATTTGGCAATCCAAAAGATAGAAGAGTTGCTGGACGCACAATATCATTTCTTCAAGGACGGCGATGTTAGCATGGTTCGTCTTAACGAGTGGTCATTGCCGACACACCTACACGACCACATTGATTATATCCAACCAATGACTTCATACTTCGGAGCTTCTGCCAAAGCTCAGGGACATAACAGTGGGCCACTCTGTGAATTAAGCACTTTGGGTTTGTGGCTCTTGACACGAGGTACCGAAGTAAGCTACCTTGGTATTTGCAATGAGTCTAGTCGCGTAAAGGGCGTATGCGCACGCTATAACGATGTGAACTTGCTTGTTCTTGCTGCTGTAGGTCGTAGACCATATATCCTGAAATGGCAAGATCTCGGTCATAGTATTGACCACAGCCCTCTTCAATGACCTGGGCGTACGAATGTCGTGATGTTTGCGCATGGCATGTAAGTCCACCTGCATTCATGGATGTATGGAGACTATAATGAAGTTTTGGTCTAGCGGCTTTGCGTCGAGCACCAGACCTTGGATTACTATTGGGTAACCACATGAACGTATGTCTATCTCTTCGTACCGGCATCTGATCCCATGACAGATCTATCATTGGGATTTTCCCATGGCCCTAAGCTTGGCACCATACTTCCATAAGATCACGGGCGCAGGTACGCCGATGGCAATAAAGACTAGAGCCAACAGGCTGTTTCCCCAGCATAGCCCAGTTTCGCATACATACCAGAAAAGACCAATTGGGATGATGATAGCACCAGGTAGCATCAGGGGGACACGGTATTCTGGTTGTGTTTCTCCACTCGCGCGTGCCTTCAGGTGTTTCCAGACGCAATCCGTGATCCTCGCACCAACCTGCGCAGAAATGGTGTAGCCAATCGCCAGAGCGATGTAGTGCAAGCCGGAGTCGCCAAGAGATTGGCCATATCGCTCTATCCATAGGGTGTCAAAAGTTGAGAGGACAATGTAAAGGATTCCGTAGTTGTACGCAAGTAGGAAAGACATCAGTTGGATGATTGGCTGTGTGAGGAGAAGGCGACATGGACGGGTCAAGCTAATGGCAAGTCTCTGGGAGAGTGGTTGATTGCCCACGTCGTAATCGGTATAGTATTGTTATCCTGTCTGTTCGCGGAGAACTCTGGCCTTCCGACCAAGGATGATGCCTGCGTGGGTCTCAGGAAAGATGATGGAAGTGCAGATCATGAGTACGCCGTCGAAGATTGAGAGAACCCAGAACAACCACCGCCAGCCGACCGACTCGCTGATGAAATCTCCAAGAATTGGTCCTATCGCAGGGCCACAATGTCTCCGATAGTTCGAATGGACGTTCCGGAGGGAGATCAACCACCAGCGGTTCGGCCCGTCGCAACAGCAGGTCACCACATCGAGTTCCCCATATCACAGGAGGATTACGGATATCTTTTAGGTATTGAGAATCACTATGACATTTCAATCTCTTCTTGTTATCCTTCTTGTGCTTGATATACGGTAATACCAGGGTTGTGGACACAACCTCCTTTGCACATAATGCAATCGAGGCTTCATTACTCAGCAAAAATGTGTTCTCACCCCTTGAATCTGGCCCAGGTATCAGAGACTGGTGCAACAATCTCCCTTTTCAAAGACATCTGGCCTTGTATGCTTTATGGTCCTCATCTCAGCAAGGCGATGGTATTGAGTTAACTCTGATTTTCTCTTGATCCTATTTGATGAACTGCAGTTGTCCTCTGTTCACGTGATATACTGTTATCGGGTAGATAACTTGGTGTAAGTTACTCAGTCCTTGCAATGGACGCGTCCATGCTGTCAGAAATCTTGTTAGTAACAATGTTGTCAACAGATGACCGTGCTGTTATGTGTGCATACAGCGTCAACAGAGCATCTGGTATGAGATGTTTGCCAGTGAGTGTTTCCAAGCGCACTTCGCTGGTTGTACCGAGCGATGATCTGCTCCAAATACTAGGATTGGTCGAAAAGCAAATTCAAGTCAATGTCGCATCCCAAGGCGATTCGTCCACGAAGAAAGCCCGAGGCAGGATTACTGACCTGGTTGATCTATGGCGATCCCAGAACAGAAACAGGATATCAGTCAAGCCTAGTTGGTTGCCCTCGAGCTCAAGGCTCAGATAGCGGGTCTTTGTAGACCAAAAAAAGTGGCAAGTGGTCGAGCGTGCAGAAGCGTTTCTAGTTGCTGAATCAGTCATTGGACGGAGATCCACCAAGGATGAGCACGACATCTAAAGTTCAGGGACCAAGGCAAACCCAGTTTTGCACAGCCATCTTTGACAAATCTTGACACATTGTGAGAGCCGCTGAGAGTGAGGAACATGCATCCGCCAAGACATAAAGTATTCTCGAACCTATCTGATCGTCATATCAAATCTTGTGGAATCTGGGACAAGATCTGATCTACAGTTGTGGCTTGACCTTAATCCGCATGCAGATTATGCATGTGCGCTGGACGGTTTGTGGCTTGCATGTACTCCATTCTCTACGGTTTGGACATCTTTGGCCCATCGCAGAGGATGCACAGAGGTAGGCATAAGGGTATATGTGCTTCTGAGATGTTAGAAAAAGCTGGAAGTGGCCACCGTAAAATGCTTCAATTGCCCAACGACTATAGCCATCCCTGATCATCATGAAATGGGATGATCAAGTCTTCTCAGGGTCGTGTTTATTCCGCAAATCCACACTTTCATGAAACACGACTTCCGCTTCTCAAAGAGATACTTGATAACTGGGTCGTCCAACGCTTGACTCAGAAGAAAGCCAAGTGTAACTCCAAAGGACTCAAAGGGACCGCTGGACCGCCAGCACCGCGGTGAGACTCGGAAATCTGCTATGCCGACCTTGGGGATCATCAGGGGATCGTCAGTGGCTTGACGGAGATCCTCCCGAGGTCTGTGCCTCACGTGCGATGGACTGAAATCACATTTTGCTTAACACGGTCATCGCAGCTTTGATCAACACTGCAAGGCGAACGAAGGATTGAGACAATGTGTCTTTGAGATTTTCGCGATGATACTGCAAGTCCGAGCAGATGTTGATGGTTTCATCCTTGGGTGGGCCAAGTTCTGGGATCTTGAACATGCCGGATTGGGTCAACGCGTGACTCGATGCCCGAGTCTAGGTTAGCGCTAATGAATCAGGCAATACGGAATCTCGGAAGGTTAATCGATGGGACCGAGAGAGCCTTGTGGAGAGATCTTCAACAGGGGGATTGGCTTAACTTGGCTGCATAGAGCACTGTGGGTTTCAACTTCTGACTCTTGTGGTCCCTTCTCAGGGTCTGAGCACTGACATGATGACGATCAACACGAAGGCCTAAGCTCGCTGCCGCGGTATTGAGAATCTGAGGACCCGCAATGCAAGTCCCTCTTTAGGATGACTTCGCTCGCAGGGTCGTGGAGTGCAGTCCGAACCACAGAGGAACATCGCACATGGGCCACGAAGATCACAACTCCCAGGCGATCTTTCCTATACCAAGTTTAAGCCACCAGATATGATCATCCAGAAACACCACTTCTTGAGCAGCACTACCACCTTCTGTTGGGCAGGTGTATGACGATCTGCCTGTCGACGAGCAAATCCTCACCACAATCACGGCATGGCATGCTCGAGGAATTTCATCCAAGTGCTGAACATGAGTGCTGAGTACAACCACCATCCAGGTATAAAGTCGACCAGGATTCCACTCCAACTACATCCTCGTCATCACAACCAGCTTCTTCTCATCCAAGCATCTCATCTTCAGCAACACCTTCTACTTTATCCTTCACAATGAGACTTTCAACTGCCTTCGCCTTCTCCAGCATGGCTTTCACTGCCATGGCTGCTCCTGTCCCTCAGGACTCCTCTGTTGCTGCTCCTGGCCTTCTTCAGGACCTCTCTCCTGAGGTTGTTGCTCTCCTCACATCTCTCGGCCTCGGCGGCCTCGCTCCCCCAGTTGGCGGTATCGTCACCACCGCTGGTGTCGATGTCAAGAAGCGCCAGAGTCTTCTTCAAGACCTCTCCCCTGAGCTCGTGGACCTCCTGAACCGTCTCGGTCTGAGTGGCCTTTCCCCCCCTGTTGGCGACATTGTCGACACCGCTGGCAAGGACCTCAAGAAGCGTCAGAGCCTCCTCCAGGACCTTTCACCCGAGCTTGTTGATCTCCTCAACCGCCTGGGCCTTAGTGGTCTATCTCCTCCCGTTGGCGATATCGTCGACACCGCTGGCAAGGACCTCAAGAAGCGTCAGAGCCTTCTCCAAGACCTTTCGCCAGAACTTGTCGACTTGCTTAACCGTCTCGGTCTGAGCGGTCTTTCTCCTCCCGTCGGCGACATCGTCGACACCGCTGGCAAGGACCTCAAGAAGCGCCAGAGCCTGCTGCAGGATCTCTCTCCCGAGCTTGTCGACTTGCTTAACAGACTTGGCCTGAGCGGTCTTTCCCCTCCTGTTGGTGACATCGTCGACACTGCCGGCAAGGACCTCAAGAAGCGTCAAGAAGCCCCCGGTCTTCTTGAGGACTTGTCCCCCGAAGTCGCTGCCCTTGTTGCTTCGCTCGGTCTCGTCGCTCCCTCAGCACCTCTTGGAGCCATTGTCGCAACTGCTGGTCAGAACGTCAAGCGCCAGGAAGCTCCCGGTCTTCTCGAGGACCTGTCTCCTGAGGTCGTCGCTCTATTGACCTCCCTTGGTCTTGGTGGTCTTGCTCCCCCAGTCGGTGGCATCGTTACCACCGCCGGCCAGGACGTGTAAACAACGAATTCTCAGTGGAAATCGATGCAGATGGATATTTGACTGGTTGGCTTTGTGATAGCCAACCAATGAGCTTTATGATTGTGTGACAACACAGCGGACATTATGTTCACAAAGTGGTGGTTAATCTTCTTGGATGATGCCGTTTATAGAATCTTCTTTTCTCGATATTGCAAATGATATTTCTTCTCTTTCTCATGCAGCTTCTCTCAATTCCACCTTCCAAGTTTGTGTTCGGGCGTTTTGTACTTACAAGCCTGGGAAGTGCAATTCTTGCAAACTAGCACTAACATTCTTCGATTAGTGGTAAAGGCACTTCAGATGCGCATTCAGTGGTTTGGAGAGCGTCATAACACGTCAGTGTGACCATTGGTCTGTGCCGGACGATTTCTCCCAGAAACTAGAGAAACAGACACCTCATGTTCGAGAATGAGAAAGAAGACGCATCGGCAGCCCTTGCCGAAATCGGCCCACTCCCAATTCGGCTCTTCCGCAATCGGGGTCAACACTCTGGAACATCGCTTTGCCTGCCTCACCTCTCGATTCCATCATACCTTGCCATACGTCAATTACTCAGCACTGGAACCCCTTTCTTCAGTATATTCGACAATAGTTTGGACTATTGTCAACCGACAAGCCAAGAACACTGCAATCATGGGAGAAGGTCTGCTCAAAGGCTTTCCCGAAGCAGCTCCGACAAAACCATCAAAGGAGTTGATATATGCAGATGTAAGCCATTTGTCCAAAACCACATTGAAGACATAAGAGAGGAGCAGCACGGAGCTCAAGGTCTTGGTATTCGACGAACCAAGGCCATCCAACACCATCACGAAAATCATCAAATTCTTAACTTCATGCGATTAACAAGAAAAAACCCCCCAGGTCGCAGTAACAGCCACAGCAAAAGAATTTGCAGGAATCTACCGTGGCAAACAATACCACGAACCAGATGTTGCCCATGTGCTCGAACGTGCCGCAGACGCCGGTGTCAAGAAAATTCTCCTCACAGGCATGTCAGCTTCGGACATCGTATTCAATGCACAGGTAGCACGTTCACAACCCTCGCAATGCAGCATCACCGTCGGCGTACACCCCTACCACGCCTCCGAACCCTACGAAAACGGCAGCGATGGCGAGGAATACCTCACCGCCATGGCAAACAAAACAAACGAACTACTGCACTCTTCACCAGCACTGGTGGCTGCATACGGAGAACTAGGGCTGGATTACGATCACCTCTCCCTCGCAGACAAAGAAACCCAATTGCGTTGTTTTCACGACCAGTTGGATCTTTTTCTAGCCCAGGAGTGGCAATTACCGTTATTCCTGCACTGCCGCGCCGCTTTTGACGATTTTGTGGCCGTGATGGAAAAGTACATTGATAGATTACCTCGGAGGGGGCTGGTACACTCGTTCGTAGGCACAGAGGCACAGATGCAGAAACTTGTGGCTATGGGCTTGGATGTCAGTGTCAATGGGTTCAGCTTCAAGGACCTTGAGTCCCTGGAAATGGTGGCGGCAGTGCCTTTACACGCACTACAACTCGAGACGGATGCGCCGTGGGGAAATATTCAAACGAGCTCGGAGGTGGCGACGAGGTACTTGGCGAACGCACCTTCGCTGCCGGCGAGCAAGAAGAAGGATAAGTTTGCCATGGGGAGTATGGTCAAGGAGAGGAATGAGAGTTGCTGTATGAGGCAAGTCGCATTCATTGTTGCTGGGCTCAAAGGCATTAGTGTGGAGGAAGTGGCATCAGCAGCGTGGAAGAACAGTGTAAAGATGTTCTGGGCAGAGACGATGTAGTAAGAGAAAACAGCGAAAAAGCGTCGTGATTTCATCAAGGGGAGAACTATGTTGGCGAGGAGCTTTAGAGCTTGGTCTTGACCGTGCAGCCGTCCTCCTTTTGGCAGACAGCCGTGCGACCAAGGTTCTTGGTCAGAGGTCCAGTCGGACCACTCTGGTAGTGGCACAAATCGTTAATCTAGTTGTGGTCAGCAACTTCTTCGCTATAATCTTGCATGCAACTTACACCAAGAGTACAGCTTTGTCTCTTGTCGCTGTCGGGATACTGCTCGTCGCCCCACATGCCGCTCCAGTAGAGCCAATCCACAGTTTCAGTCGCCTGCTCGGTACCGCCGATGTCCGCTCCACCAGCATTGGTGACTGTGTTGCTGGCAGGATCATAATTATATCCACGATAGTTCTGTGCAACATCCCAATAAGGACCGGCATCGGTTGTGTCGGTGACGATGTTGCCGACAATAGGGTAGATCTTCTGGGTGCCGGCTGTAGCGTAGTTCGCATGGCTACCAGCAGCAGAGTAGACAACCGGACGAACGCCAACCTTTTGAACAGCTGCATAGGTGTATGCAGTGCCTCCGCTGTGAGCAGAGTAGTAGACATTTTGAGGAACACCCGCAGTAGAGAAACGAATCTGCGCGACGTTATTCACCTGATGCTGAATTTAGATGCTGGGACGACTCACCATGCTGTGTTCCCAGTCTCCAACATGATTGTCGACTCTGCTTCCTAGAACAAGACTGCCATGATTGTAGCTGTAGAAGTAAAAGTAGAATACATCCACAAAGCCATTCTTCTCAACAGCGATGATGGTAGCAGGGGCAGCACTGTAGCCCTTGGCGTTGGGCTTGCCATACGTGCTCGTCAGCCAAGCAGGATTGGTCTCGACGTTATCATAGCTGGTGAGGAAGGTGGATGAGTTGAAGGTGTTCAGTGTCTTGAGCGAGACAGATGTAGACACGTTCTTGAAGTTGTACTCGACAGACATGTGCTTGACGTGAGTGGCAACATCGGAGGGAAACCATCCTTCACCACTTTGAAGGTAAGTGTAGGGTGCGTAGGTCAACGCGTAAGCAGGGAGAGTCGCGCGCTTGACAAGGTTGCCCGTAGGTGCTGCGAGAGCGGGCACAACAGACACCAGCGCGAGAGCGGCCCAAACGAGAGACAGAGGCATGATTGCCGTATATTGCTGGAACGAGTGAGGTGTGGAGGGGGTGCTGTCGAATTTGAGGATATACTCGTCGTCTCCATATCTGATTTTATACCTTCGCTCCCGGCCGAATTGAGAATCGAGTACAGAGCTTGCGAAGTGTGATTGAAAGATCGATGTCATCTCCTCCGTGGGGAAACCAAGAGCCCTAAGATCATGAACTTGCACGCGTGGCTACTACAAGGCCAAGCACTGGAGTAGCAAAAGACGTGGCTTGTCCCAGATAGGAAGGAACGAGCAGTCGTGCTTGATAGTCAGGCACGATTACAAGCAATTGGCCAGGGGTTGTCGGACAGTATGCGGTGAGCATATCTCGTCGGTTGTTGATGATCTACATTGCAGGGTCACGAAGCAAGCTTTTGGCGACACGATCCGTCGCGTGGTCTCCAGCTCGTAGCTTCATCGGTCGACACTCACTTTCGGTGTTGCTGCACGCGCAGACTGCCAGTCATATACGCACAACAAAGAGCCCCATGTGTGACACTGAAGAGGTAGCTGTGTTGTACAGAAGCTGAATGTCAGATAATTTGGAGGGTCTTGCTCGACAAACAGGGGCACGGATGAATTGGCCAATTTATATGTGGCCAAAAGTGGTGGATATCTCACGCTCCAGATCGTGTTGACATCAAGATGGCCATCGATGTCAACAGCACGCTTAAATAAGGAAGCTCAATTTCGTACTGACTACAACGATGAGCATCAGGTAGAGTTCTCGGGTGAGACGCCAGATTGGTTTGAACGAGAAAAGATAAATGATACAATACGAAAATGGGTGTCTATGGAGCTGAATGCATAAACGAAAGGGGTGTAGGGGATGGAAAGGAGGGGAAACGCTTCTAGCCTTTTTCTTCTTCTTCTTTGTCCCTCAGACTTGAGCGAATCAAAAGGGGTAGATGGTCGCTGAGTCAATAACAACTTCTACTATGATTCCGGATTCCAGCTGGAACTAGAATTTCCGACCAGGAAATTCTGGTTGCTCATTCTGTTGACGACGTCCAGCCTCAGTATATGGAGGAGTTTTAGAGTTCGAAATGTCAGACTCCGAGTGTTCAGACCCCGAGTCCCAATGGGATTCTGGCTCCGCGCCAAAAGCCATCAGGGCGTTACGCTTCCCCGGCGGCGGTTCATACGATACCGGTTGATCATCGGATTCGAGCAGGGGTTCCTATCCTTGCATGACACTGCTTAGAGCTACCTGCGCGTCAGGACCCAGCTTTTCATTCACGGCAGCTGCAATGCGTCCACCAGTCTTTTGATCGGCTTCAGTCAAGTACGAGCCAACCCACTTCTTAACGTCCTGAACTTCGGGGAAAGGATCTCTAGGCACAGGCTTGCATGTGTTGAGAGCGGTGAAACCAACACCAAAGCCGACGTCCTCAACATCACGGTCTTCGATCATCAAGTCATCAGCAGACTGCGGAAGCGGAGGGTTGATGAGAAGCTTGAGAAGTGCTTCGCATGTGAAACCCCAACCCTTCTTGCCATAACGATCCACAAAGGCCTGGCTGTTAGCCAGAGTGTGAGTGAGCGAAACAACAGCAGTCTTGCGGTCGAATGGTCGTGACAGCTTTTGTGTGTCAGGAAGGATGATTTGAAGGTACATGGGAGTGAAGACGTTTTGCTGGACCTGATCGGTAACGTTGATGAAGAGATCGGGACCAAGACCTTTGTCGTCCCGTGCGGAGAAGAAGTGGTAGAAGCGCACGAAGCGGACGGTAAAGTTTTCCGTCTTGGAGTTGGAGAGACGGGTCATGAGCAGCTGCACGATTGTGGTCAAGTAATTTTGCAGAGCAGCAACAGGGAGGTTGCCACAAATGGCCTCGAGCAAGTCGAATCCGAGTGACTCGTTTGCCTTGGAAGAGATGAGCTTCTGGAAGATGACCAGGATAGGCTCGATCTGGTTGTTGGCAGCAATCTGCTCGCCCGCACGAGGGATCATGGATGAGAGGAGACGGACAAGAGCGGGGACGTTGCCGCGAGAGTTGTACATGTCCAGAGTGAGGATGGGGCCAAGTAAGCTCTGGTAGTAGCTGGGCAACGAACCTGAGGGGTTGGCTTCGAGGAGTGCAGCAAAAACCTGGAAGACATATGGCTGGAACTCTTGCACATCGTTGGCCAGAATCTCAGCAAAGGGATCGTAGAGAGCGGCTTCGAGCTTGGCAGCCTGCGTAGCGGCAGCGAAGCGAACAACAGCGCCGATGCTCTCAAAATGGTAGTAGTAGAAGCGGGGGTTGCTAGGGTTGTGACGAATGACCTTGACGATGTTGATCAGGTTGGTGAGGACCATGTCGAGGATGGGCAAGACACCCTCGCGGATGACGATGAGCACACGCATCACACACTTGATCAAGAACTCGTTCTCCTGGATCTTCTCGGCCTTGGAGTCCTTGGTCATGAGAAGGAAGAGATGCTGAAGCAGGTCCTTGCTAAGGGACTGGAGAGTCTCTCTGGGGATGATCGGCTGGCGTTTGTCATCAGTCATGTAGAGAACGCGCTCAACGGCAATGGCGGCATAGGAGTGAACGACGTAGTTCTCGTTACCGAGGCACTGAACCAGCAGAGGGAAGGCGGCTTGCCATTGGTCCTGGGTGAGTTGACTGCGGAACAGGTAGAGGTACTTGATGGCGTCAACCTTGAGGATGGCCTCTGTGTCGGCCGAAGTAAGGTCGACAGCAATGTTCTTCTGGAAGAAATCGATGACATCAACGTTGGTGTTTGTTGTCTGCACACCTCGAGCAGCGGTAGGCACGCCCTTGGCAGCAATCGAGGTGAAGAGGTAGACTGCAGTGTCCTTTGACTTCCAGTTGTCACTCTTGCTCTTTTCATAGTCGGCCAGGTAGTGTGAGATGTACTGCGAAACGACGTCGGTGACGAGCTTCTCGAACTGCTCAACCAACTGGCGGAGGAAGTCGGTAGCTGCTCTTCTGCGGGTATCGCTGTCGGATCCTTCCAAATCGCGGCGGATGAACTCAATAGGCTCGTCCTCGAACATTTCGACATCCGACTCACGCAGAGACAGGTTGGGAAGGATGACCTTCTCGACAACCTGGCCTAGAATCTCCTGGTTGTTGAAGCTCTGGGCGTACTGGTTGATCTTGGTGACCGAGGTCAGGAACTGCAGGGCCTTGCTGACCAGAATATCGTACTTGGTCTCGGGACCGATAGCAGTAAGAAGGGTCCACGAGCTCTCGACAAACTGGCCCAGGTATGGTCCAAAAGCATCCTCGTATTTCTGAACATAGAGAATCAGGGCCTCGAAGATGGCAGCCTTGTTGTACTCCAGAAGACCGGCCTCTGACTCGTCGTCGGTATGCAGGAGAGGGTTGTCGTAACTCAGATACTTCAGAAGCAGAGCGCTGATGGAGGCCAGGTTGTCCTCGAAGACAGGAGGCAGATCTTGGCAGGAAAGGTCGTTGAACAGCTTGATGCTGAGGTTGAGTGTGGCAAAGTGCTGGGTGAGGAGTTCTCTGTTGTTCTGGTTTGCGGCGATTTGCTGATCTGTGCTCTATGAAGAGTGTCAGTGAATGTGGCAGCGCTTGTGGAAGTAGGGGTGTCTTACCTGCAGAAGAGCGAGGTAGGGCTCGCAGAACTTGGACAAGACGTGGTTGATCTCGGTAAAGAGGTCGTCTGTGCGGAACAGTGGGCGCCAGCGACGGAAGATGGAGTGTGCGACCTGCAAGACACCGTTGTTGACCTTGGGATTGTCGGGGGTGAAGCGCGAGACGAGGTCGTCGACCAGCGTGTCCCAGCGCTCCCAGAAGTCCGAGTCGGCAATGACACTGATGGCCTCTCCCAGCTGAGTCTGGATGGTGGCAGGCACCGAGATCATGAGGCCAATGACCTCACATTTGATGGCCGTGACCTCGTCCTGGGGGNNGAGTTTGTAGTTGCCATCCTCGTCGGTCCAGCTGCGGCGGATGAAATTCTTAAAGAAGAGAGCGGCCGCCAGCCGTGTCGTGTTGGGATATGAGTCTGAGGCGACAATCTGAAGGAGAGCGAGGGAGAACTGAGGCTTGGTCTCTTCCTGGCGGATGGCCTGCTCGGCTGTTGTGTGTGGTCAGTACATGACGGTGCTGAGTGTTTTGAGAGAGAACTTGCCTTGCTTGTTAGAGCGGGGGTCGAGACTGGCCTGTAGAAGGTTGGCGATGGTTGCTAGATCGGCCGACATGATGAGAGTCGTCGTTGCACCGAAGAAAAGGAATGCGTGCGCCGAGAATGAGTGGCAGCAACCACCAGGCGACAAGAAGTTTTAGGCGTGTAAACAGAGCAGCTCCCCGCATTGGGGACGTGCACTTTGTGCCATGCATCATCATCTAGTCGGTTGCATCAACGAACTTGCATCTCTTGTGAACCATATTGACGGTACATTTATTCAATACTCTCTGATTACAGATGTGTGGCATTGTTCTATAAGAACAGATGTCTTGTCGGAATGGCAGCAATCCCAGGAGCTATCTAGTATGAGCAACGAACCATGAAGCTTATCGTTTGGAAGCTATGACTGGCTTGTGTAACAATCTATAAAACAGAGTACTTCTACTCCCAAGAAGATCAATATCGTTGGTCATAGGAAAGACGAGTGCAGAAAGAAAAAGAAAAAAGGAGATAAAATCAGTCGTTCGTCGGAAAGAGCCGCTGACCTTTGTACAGCCAATCAGGGCTTATGCTGTCAGCGGAACGGAAACTTGACGCCGCTCGATGCGAGACTCGGTCAAGGTGTCGACACTCGCCCTCTTCGCTCGATACAACCACACCCTACGGCCTCACACAACATGATGCGCCAACAGCTTTTGCGCAGTCTGCCGCGCTCGCAGAGGCTGGCCTCGGTCAATGCCACCCGCGCCTTCACCTCGTCCGTCCCTCGTCCCGCCGAGGTCGAGCTCACAATCGGTATGCCCGCAACCCGCAGACTTGACCAAAAACACATGGCTGACACGCGCAAACAGNATGGCAAGAAGGTCTCAATAGAGGGTATGCTCCCACTCACCATCGCTGTACATCGCCGCCACGTCTGACACACTCCCTACANNGCTGGCTCCGCCCTCATCCAGGCCTGCGAGAAGGCCGGCTCCACCGTCCCCCGCTACTGCTACCACGAGAAGCTCATGATCGCCGGTAACTGTCGTATGTGTCTCGTCGAGGTCGAGCGCGCCCCCAAGCCCGTTGCCTCCTGCGCATGGCCCGTCCAGCCCGGTATGGTCGTCAAGACCGACTCCNCCCTCGTCCACAAGGCCCGTGAGGGTGTCATGGAGTTCTTGCTGGCCAACCACCCTCTCGACTGCCCCATCTGTGACCAGGGTGGCGAGTGCGATCTCCAGGACCAGAGCATGAGATATGGTGCCGACCGTGGCCGCTTCCACGAGCTTGGTGGCAAGCGTGCCGTCGAGGACAAGAACATTGGCCCTCTCGTCAAGGTCTGTTCTGATCAATATCTTCGTATTCTGTTTGGCATTGGCTGACTAGCTTTCTCCAGANCATCCATGAATCGCTGCATTCACTGCACCCGTTGCATTCGTTTCGCCAACGACGTCGCTGGTGCCCCCGAACTTGGTTCCACTGGCCGTGGCAACGACATGCAGATCGGTACCTACCTCGAGACCGCCCTCGACACTGAAATGTCTGGAAACGTCATCGATCTCTGCCCAGTCGGTGCCCTCACCTCCAAGCCCTACGCCTTCCGTGCCCGCCCCTGGGAGCTCAAGCACACCGAGACTGTTGATGTTATGGACGCCCTCGGTTCCAACATCCGTGTCGACAGCAGAGGTCTCCAGGTCATGCGTGTTCTTCCCCGTCTGAACGACGACGTCAACGAGGAGTGGATCGATGACAGATCTCGCTTCTCTTGCGACGGCCTCAGCACTCAGCGTCTTACCACCCCTCTCATCCGCGAAGGCTCCACCTTCAAGCCCGCCACCTGGGAGAACGTTCTGGTCGAGATCTCCGAGAAGTTCAAGCAGCTCCAGCCCAAGGGCGATGAATTCAAGATTGTTGCAGGTCACACCATGGACACCGAGTCACTTGTCGCCGCAAAGGATCTCGCCAACCGTCTCGGCTCTGAGAACTTGGCTCTCGATCAGCCTCAGGGTGACTCTCCTCTGGCCCACGGTACCGACGTTCGCGCCAACTTCACCTTCAACTCCAAGATTATCGGTGTTGAAGAGGCTGATGCCATCCTTCTTGTCGGAACTAACCCCCGCCACGAGGCTGCTGTCCTGAACGCCCGCATCCGTAAGCAGTGGGTCCGCTCCGACCTCGAGGTTGGTCTTGTTGGTGAGGACTTTGAGTCCACCTTCGAGTACGAGAACCTTGGTGCCGATGCCAATGCCCTCAAGTCTGCCCTCTCTGGACCTTTCGCCGAGAAGTTGAAGAACGCCGAGCGCCCCATGATCATTGTTGGTAGCGCTGTCGCTGAGCACCCCGACGCCAAGGCCATGTTCGAGACTGTCGGTAAGTTTATCGAGGAGAACAAGGCCAACTTTGCTACCAAGGAGTGGAACGGATACAACGTTCTCCAGCGTGCTGCTGCCCGTACTGGTGCCTACGAGATTGGCTGGGGTGTCAGCAACCCCTCCACTGCTCAGACCACTCCCAAGATGGTCTGGCTTCTTGGTGCCGACGAGATCGAGGCCGCCGACATTCCCAAGGACGCCTTCGTCATCTACCAGGGCTCGCACGGTGACAAGGGTGCTCAGCTCGCCGATGTCATTCTCCCTGGTGCCACATACACCGAGAAGAGCGGAACTTACGTCAACACTGAAGGCCGTACCCAAATGGCTCGCGCCGCCACTGGTACCTACGGTGCCGCTCGCGAGGACTGGAAGATTCTCCGTGCCGTTTCCGAGGCCCTCAACGTTACCCTTCCCTACGACGACATTGAGATGCTCCGCGACCGCATGAACGAGATCTCACCCGCCCTCTCCGTCTACGATGTTGCCGAGCCCACTTCGCAAGAGATTGCTGCTCTCTCCAAGGTCCAGCTTGTCGAGGCCAACCAGGGCGCCAAGATTACCGGCACCGCTCTCAAGAAGCCCATCGCCGACTTCTTCTTCACCAACGCCATCTCAAGATCGTCGCCCACCATGGCCCGCTGCTCAGCATCAAAGGCTCAGGGCAACGCAAAGACTAACTTCATGGCTCCCGGTGAGCCCAACCCTCAAGTGCATTACGGACCCAACGCTGTCGCCAGCGCATAAGCGACGACCATGTTTTGGAGACGATAATTACACAAGACGGAGCTCTCACGAAAACACAATGCCGAGTCCGGAGTGGTAGAAGATGAAGATTTGGACAGAGGAATATACCCGAGAATCCGAGGATATACCTGGAGTGAATTGAGCAGGAAGAAGCAGAAGTCACTGGGAGAAGATTCTCTGCATAAAGGAAAGATGAGATGAGGGCCTCTACATATACTGGCCCTCAGACCGGCGAACATGGGCGTTCATTTGACTGTATTCGATATGCTTCTTATTTCCATTTGTTTTCTTTATTTCTGTTTAGCATAGTCGCGGTCATGGAAATGCTGTACATATTAAAACTTTTATTCCTTCATTGTCTGGTTTGCTTGACATGAACTTGGCGGTGTGTCAGACGGCAAGTAGCAGATGACTTCCGGCCATCCTTCTACAGCGATACTTGTTGGTCAAGCAGAGTGTCGAGTCTCCTGCCAGTGGGGCGGTCAGTTGCACTTTTTCGCCCATGTGATGTGTTTCATCTCACAAGCTCCCCTCAAGGCTTGGAGACATGGGGGATATCAAGGAGATGGCGTTTGGCGCACGGGCATGACACTTGATGGATGTTGCGGAGGCCCCAGGTATCGAGCTAGCCTTGCGTCGTGGACATTGATGGCTTGTGACTTTTGACTTCTCACCTTGGTCTTCCTTGCAGTATGATGGCTAGAACAAGGTCGTCAAGAGACAGAGAGTCATGTGCATTCTATGGTGTCTGAAGTGGAGAAGCATGGCGTTGATGCAGAGAGAACGGCAGTGCTCGGATAATCAGGGAGAGAGATCGACGCAGGTTCAGGTCCAAGGGGCAGCGACAAGCCGCGACGCATGGCAAAGGATGAATCGGAGACAGCAAAAGTAGGAAGGAGCGCCTTCTCTCTCTCTCTTTCTTCCGGCTAATCAATCATACGCCGTCTCTCTGTCACCGCCATTTCCAGCCTCTTCTCTCTTACCTTGCTCGAAAATCGTGAGCTGCAGGTTTTCTGTTGATCCGGCCGACGTCATTGGTCCCTTATCAGTGCGAGCTTTGATTCGCCGTGGTCCTGTTGGGTAAAGGTGTCGATATTCGTATTGCACCAAGTGGACAGAGCTATCGACCAAGGTGTTGTGATAGCCGCACGTGTGCTCTCTTGCCGGTAAAACCCTTTCTCATTCTTCTTCCTGCCTCAATCGCAGGCAGGGAGAGATTGAGCCCACAGCCTTCAAGATTCCCGCCCCGGCCAACATTCCATTGCACACTCTTTCATCGTCGTCACGGCATCTGCGCAACACCAGCAGTGCCTCATCGTTTGACGAAAAGCGATACTCTGACGGCAGCCGTCACCGGCGCTCGTCCGACTCTGCCCACAGCGACTTCAGCCTTTGGAGCGACACGGGTGACCTGGTAGACCAGCTCGACAACGAAGACGACCCCCTGCGCGTTGCTCTCAACCCACAGCACCAGAGCCCCAGTAGCCGTCGTAAGAACACCAAGCACGTTCGCTACCAGAGCGGTACCAAGGAGGGAGCAATTCACAAGAACGACATCCCCATCCCCAATCCCCCACCGCGCCAAATCTCCCAAGCCGAACGCATCATCGCCTTCATCATGGCTCCCAATGACGGGCCCTCGCGCATGCATGGCCTTCACGGCAAGAAGCTCATCTACTTCACCTCGGTCTTTGTCTCGCTAGGTGTCTTTCTCTTTGGTTATGATCAGGGTGTCATGAGTGGAATCATCACCGGCATGTACTTCAAGGGCTACTTCAACCAGCCGACAAGAGCAGAGATTGGTACAATGGTTGCCATTCTCGAGGTTGGAGCCTTCATATCTTCCCTGGGTGTAGGCCGCATTGGTGACATTCTCGGTCGTCGGCGCACCATCCTCTACGGCGCCGTCATTTTTGTCATTGGCGGTGCTTTCCAGACTTTTGCTACTGGCATGCCCATGATGATGCTCGGTCGTATCATTGCCGGTCTGGGTGTTGGTGCGCTCTCGACCATTGTGCCCGTGTATCAGTCCGAGATCTCACCCNCTCATAACCGCGGAAAGCTTGCTTGTATCGAGTTCTCGGGCAATATCGTTGGTTATGCCTCCAGTGTCTGGGTCGACTACTTCTGCTCGTACATCCAAAACGACTGGAGTTGGAGACTTCCCCTGTTCATGCAGTGTGTCATGGGCTCGTTGCTCATTCTTGGCTCTCTCTTGATCTGCGAATCTCCAAGGTATGTCTCGTTTGTTGTGCCGTTTAGGTTTGACGCTGACAAGGTCATGTNNAGATGGCTGCTGGACAACGACCACGATGAGGAGGGCATCGTAGTCATTGCTAATCTCTACGGCAAGGGTGACATCCACAACCAAAAAGCGCGTGACGAGTACCGCGAGATCAAGATGAACGTGTTGCTGCAGCGTCAAGAGGGTGAGCGCAGCTACAAGGACATGTTCAAGCGCTACTACAAGCGTGTCTTTATTGCCATGTCTGCCCAGGCTCTCGCTCAACTCAACGGCATCAACGTCATTTCCTACTATGCTCCTCTGGTCTTTGAGCAAGCTGGATGGGTCGGCCGTGATGCCATTCTCATGACCGGTATCAACGGTCTCACCTACCTGCTTTCCACCATACCACCGTGGTATCTTGTTGACCGCCTCGGCCGTCGTCCAATCCTGATGTGGGGTGCTGTTGCCATGATCGTCTCGCTCTCGGCCATCTCATACTTCATCTATATCGATATTCACCTGACTCCGCGTATGGTCGTCATATTCGTCGTGCTCTACAACGCAGCATTTGGCGCCTCATGGGGACCGATACCTTGGCTATATCCTCCCGAGATTCTCCCTCTAAGCATCCGCGCAAAGGGAGCTTCTCTGTCCACTGCATCGAACTGGGCGTTCAACTGGCTCGTTGGAGAACTGACTCCGATCCTTCAGGATCTCATCCAGTGGCGACTGTACTTGATGCACGCATTCTTCTGCGCTGTCTCGCTCGTTGTGGTTTATTTCTGCTTCCCAGAAACGTATTGCTACCTTTTCTATTGCATCTAGATATAAGCTGACCGTTCATACAGTGCCAATGTCCGTCTGGAAGACATGAACAGTATTTTCGGAGACGCGTCGACCATCGCTCCTTCTCCTCAGACCCTCGCCGAGGCCGAATCACTTTTCAGCAGAAGTCCTGCACCTTCCATGCACCTCGACCGCGACGGAGACGCACCTCAAGACTCAAACATCCCCGATCTTGACATTGACNCCCCTGCTGTCGATGTGCAGAATGGCAAGCCCATGTTCAGCAAAGACACTGACTCAGAAGGTCTCGGCGGCTGGATATCCAATCTTGTCAAGAAGGGCAAGGGTGATGGAGCGTCTTCCCATGCTGGTGGGAGCGGGAGGTATAGACGGGTTGGACAGGATGATGATTAGATGGAGAAAGTAAGACGAAGCATAACATGTGCAGTTTATGTATGGATATCTGTACTTGTTTGTATAGATGTAGTCATGACGTGATAGAATTAGTGCTGAAGTAGAAAAATGTCTGTAGCTTTGTGTATTTTGATCCTGACATTGCAGACTGTGTGTGAGCTTGATATTTCTTGATGTCGAGGTGAATTTGTATGGATATCCGTCGAGCTTCATTGTCACGATTGCACATTTCGAGCAACACGCGATAACGACCCCAGTAAGTTTCCAGATCCACCAATTTCCTTGCGAACCTCAAGATAAATCCCCTAGTGGTTGTACCTCACCAAAGCATGCACAATAAGCATCGTGGTGGTAAGATATCATGTCTTGTTGTTTGTGAGCAGGGTGCTCCCCCTTGCAACCAGCGAAATCTAGATTCGCTCAACCTTCCTCATCGAGGTCTGAGACATAAAAGGGTCCGAGGAAGGTACAAAGCCTTTTCCGCCTTGCCGCTTGCCGCGCCGCGTCCGGCAAGCCCGTCAGCCGCGACTGACAACGAGAAGTGAGAGATGAGATGAGCATGATGAGCTGAGCACAAGGGCATAGGGCTGGCGAGCGGTTTTGGAACCTTTCTCCTGGACACATCAAGACCTGGCTTCTCCTTCATCTCATCCGTCGTCCTTGCCCTTGTCCTCGGCGACTACTCTTCTGGCGTTGCTTTTCTTTCTTCTCTACGCATTCGGCACAGTCGTCGTCACTGATTATCTTTCTCCCCACGTCCCGTTATAGCCGTTTCTATCCGGATATAGACGGACGGGCTATTACGATTGTATCATTTTATTGTCTGTTGGGTGACTCGAGTGCTTGAGTACTGCGGGAGACCGCGACCTTCTTCTTCTTCTTTGGGTACGACTGGCTTTGGTTATACTCTTGGACGCAGCATAGGAGGGACAATACCTCGCAAAGCTCGCGCATCTTCGCCACTCACGAGTACGCATACCGTTTTCTGGCATCTGAGCACCCACGCATCGACTGCAAAGGGTTACTGGTCCCGTGAAACTAGAGCAGGACACGAACTCGAGCCACCATAATGTCACAATCACAACCACAGCCTCTATCCTCCGCCCTCCTCGTAAGCTACCTCGATCCCCTGCCTCTTCCCTCAACTAACACATTCACAGACACTACTCCTCCCTTTCTCCATCGCCCTTGCCCTCTACCTCGGCATCTCATACCTCGTAATCCCTTTCTGGCGCTCGCAATCGTCCAATCTACCCATCGATACCATGTCGGAGCTCGCGCGACGGGCAAAAGACGGGGTATACAGGTTTGCGAAACGGTTTCGCAAGCACGAGGAGTGGGATGAGGATGCAGGAGAGGAAGACGAAGAGGCGGCTATGCTGAATTATGAGGAGGATAGGGGCAGGTTGTGGAGAGGGAGTGTGCCGGTTTCGAGGGAGGACGAGGAGGGTTGAGAAAGATGAGAGAAAGGCAAGGAAAGAGAAGGAAGGACAGCAAAATCGAGCGCGCTGGTTCGCGTTGGAATGACTGGTGCAGAGGCATGGGAAAGAGCTGGCATTTGTGCTGGGCAAGAAACAGTCAGATGCTGCAATGAAAGAGCACACGAGTTTTCTGCTCAGAACGTGATTGCAGCGCACAAACGCGACAAACAGCCAGAGAAGCACCACAGGGTCTCCTCACAGCTGTGCGGACAAGCATTGCTCATAACCATGGTATAACAGACCTCACACAGCTTTTTGGCTTCAGGATGTGCTTTTAACCGCTCTGTGTCTGCGGTAGAGATGGCAATGGCCAAAGAACTAGCACTAGCCAGCCAGTCTCTTGGAAACATCAATACATGCGCAGCACTCATCCCACCTTCTGTATCCATGATCGCATACCATGATAGACAAGCCAAGACTAAGAATGACATCAGCACAATTGGTACTTCAACTACCAAAACGAGCTGAAGATCTTATGAGGGTCTCACACACAGATACGAGTACGCAGAATAACAGAGCAGAGATAGGCGATCAAGGGTCAAGGGTCTGACCTTGGACCTTGCTGATCCTCTTCGCTGTTGTGCTGATCAAAAGGTCGAGAAGTCTATCTAGACCCCCTGTCGAGCCATTTGTTACAACGCGCGGGTTTACCGAAGCAGTTTGTTGGCAACCAGCAAGGTCTGTTTCTGCCCCATGCTTCACCTGATTGTCTTCTTGTTTGTTTGACATGCGTGCTTGCTGCGTGCAACACAAAAGGAAAAGAGGGCAAGTGTCGAGAGAGAGAGAGCTGGAAAGACAAGTTTATCCATCGAGTAAACTTTGATTTGCCACATGTTCTTCAGGCTTTCATGACAGCAGAGCATGTGGCTTTGCGTCGTGTGCCTCTGCCTTGCTTGGCTCTTCTAGAAGGATTTCTTTGTCGCATGCATGCATGCATGCACGAGATGGGTGTTACATAGGTAGAAACCATGGCGTACTCATTGCAATCGAACATATCATTGCCCTGTCTCTTATCATGCGATTGTTGGTGCCTAGCATGGTGAGATGGCGAGATGAGTGCAGTTGATGAGAATGATAGGAGAATCTGTGAATTTTTGCTTTTTGTTTTCGCCTGCAGCGCAACTGCTGTTTTTGGATGCGAGATCCGAAGCTCGGACGCGTGGTGTTTTTGGTCTCGTTCTCGTGGCGGTCAAGACATGATCGACTGTTGAAGCTTCCCGTCGTCTTTCGCCGTTGGGTGGGTGGAATTGAAGGGATGAATAGAGCAGATAGTATCAGTAAGAGCCATGAACAAAGCAGTGTATGAGTGATGTGTCGCTATTGGTATGGATATAGATAGGGTGTTGGAGAATCGAAGCTTGGACGCTCGTGTCTGGCCTCGTTCTGTGGCGTCCAAAACATGATCGACCGTTGGACCTTCCGTGATCTTCCCCATCGTCTTTTCGCCATCCCCGGCCCTGTTTGATGTTTTTTTGCCATGGGGTAGTCATGGCAGTGAGGCGCGGATACGGCTATTCCGGACGTAAGAGCAGCAGGGGTCTCGGGTTTGTTTAAATCATGGATTGATCTTTTCTCCTTCGTCTGCTTCTCCCTTGCTTACTGTTTGTTTTGCACCATTTCCCTCCACTGTCATTCATCCATACGACCACTCCTTTCGCTCACCTACAAGATCACTCTTGTGATTCACAAAAACATGATCACCACCATCCCTGAGGGTCACAGTGACCACGACTACAAGACTGCCTGCAATGGCAAGCGACGTCGCATCTCAAAAGTGTCGATGAGTCTGGGACACACGGCATCCGAGGATCTACGAAGCGAGATTTCACAGAGCATCCGCAAGGAACTCTCACGCCGACGAAGCAGTGTCATTGCCCCGGAGCCACAACTCAAGTCACGACCTACCGAGACGGCCAACATTCTCTCAGCCGAGAAGGAAGAGTCAGCGGCGTCCAAGACATTGAACAACTTCGACCTCTTCGAACACATTCTGATGCAATTGCCTTGGTCCGGCGACGAGGTTGAGATGCAGCGACAGAGCATCCGCGCCATCATGACGACTTCAAGGACGTGCCGCAGTTTCAAGGGCATGATTGATGCATCTGCTCGACTGCAGAAGCGTCTATTCCTGGCCCGCGACTCTGAGCAAAAGAGACCCTGCTTCTGTGGTCATCAAGAGGAGGAGCGCATCTGCGGCGCAGAGACAAACCCCTTCATTGCACCCACGCTGAAGAAGCACATTCTCCACAACCCCTTCTCCTGCGATCAGCGACGACAGAAGCAAGACGCTGCAAGACAAGCACGAGCCGACCAACAGTCGCTCTGCCGCCACCTCGAAAACACCAACCAATCACACGACGACTACTTCAGCCACCCAGTCGTCTTCCGCGACCTCCAAGACCGCCAGAAGAAACACATGCTCGCCTTCAAAATCTCCGAAAACGATCCCTTCTATCTTCTCGGCGAACGCTCTGCCGCCGACGCGAGCTGGCGAAACATGTACTTTTCCAACCCGGCACCTACCCGCATCGAGCTCTTCTACTGGAGTTATCTCATTCGCTGCGAGTCGCAGGACGGCAAGCCGTTGACCGCGGGCTTTGTTTGGGACACCATCAGTGAGACGCTCGAGGTTGCGAGACAGCGCAAGGCTCCTGGATATCAGTACGAGGGGGATGAGCCTTTGCTCGTGCTGCTGGGGTCTTGGGAGAAAGAAGGAGATCACAGACACGTGTACGATTGGTTGAACCAGAGGCATGAGGCTTGTAGCAGTCCAGCTTGCCGATATGCGAAAGCCTAAGGTTGCGCGGCATGGCCTTGACATGCTGGCAGTCCTTTTGCCGACGCTGGCTATACCACAGGCACCTATATTTCATCTGCAGCGAAGCGGACTTGTTTTGTTTTTCAAGCGTTCTAGCGTTGTCCTCTTGCACTTTTGCCTAATAGCTGCATTTGCATTGCATTTCTTGCATAGAAACATAGACCTATCACAAGTCGGAAAAGATGAGTTTCCTCTGCATCAACTATACTTGTGCACATTTATTCAGTCTCCTTTTGTTCCGTGAACCGCGCGTCTCCACCTGTGACTTGTAAATCTAGAACTTTGCGGTCAAAGGCATGCCGCGGGTGATGGGGTCACACCGAATCAAGTGATCTGGTGTTTTCCGGACTACGGAGTCGTGACCACTCGACTCGAGCGCCATGCGACCGCGTGGTCTATGTGTGTGCCTGGGTTTCCCGCGTGTGCATTCGCAGCGACATGTCTACTTTGTCTGCACGTGTTCTTGTCCTCCTTCCCAAGCTTGCTGTTCTCTCTTCTTCCACGTCTCTGCTTCTTGCGCATACACCGAACCGAAGTCCGAAGTCTGGCGGTGGGTGGCATGCGCAAGCAATTTAACATCGCCATGCGACTCATGTTGTTCAGCTGGAGCTGAGAGGACCAATAAAGAGGAAAAGAAATGTGGAAAAGAGCAGCTGAAAAGAGCCAATGGTTTGAGCCGAGACAACCATACTTGCACCATTGTGCGCTTTTGTAGGGATCAATGGAGACTAGATGCGGCTCTTGCTCTCGAACTAACCTTTTTGCTCAGCTACCAAGATCCATCGATCCCGGTCTGAATCGAAAAGAGGCAGAAAGTCTGGCTCTGGCTGCCCCCTTCAGCCCTCAGCCAGAAACGGCATCTCCGAACCTTTCGGCAACGGCGTCGCCAAACCGAAACGGTCCAAGACTTCAATCTGCACTTCTTGTTGTGTTGTTCCCCTTTCTTAGCGAACCTACCACACCCTCTTTCATGCAAGGGCGCTTCCCTCTCTTGGTCACTATACTACGGGTCATGCTTAAATGCTCCAAGCTCTGGTTGTGGCGTTGTAGGTGCTGCGCTTATGACCGAGCAGCTGAAGTGCATACAAGTCGACGGCCCAGCATATGAGACCCCCAGCACAAACCGCCCGTTTCCACCGGTGGGATCAATACACTCTGTAAGTGATGGGCGATAATAAAACACTTGCTCGTCCCTGGAATTTTGTAGGTTGAAGACTTTTTTTCTTATACACTCTCTCTTGCCCTGCCTGCTTTTGCCGGTATCTTCATTCGTTTCGTATCGAGTCAGTCGTTCTTTTACAGGAAAAATGCCTTCCTCAAGGCTTGTTGGGGCCAGTAGCCTTTTGCTTGCTTTGCTGCCCGTGACAGCTTCTGCAGTCTCTTACTCGTATTCTTTGCAAGACACCTATGCTGGAAGCAACTTCTACGACGGCTTCAACTTCTTCACCGACCCGGATCCGACCCATGGCTTTGTCCAGTATGTGGACAAGCCTACAGCCATCAGCAGCGGTATTCTCGGCTATGGCCAGGGCAACACTGCCAAGTGGGGTGTGGACGACAGCACAGTACTATATGCCAACTCGACCGGTCGTCAATCGGTACGTCTCGAGGGCAACGTCAACTACAACCACGGCCTCTTCCTCGCCGACATCAAGCACATGCCTGGCTCCATTTGCGGTGTATGGCCTGCCTTCTGGACCCTCGGCGACTCGACCTGGCCCGCTCATGGTGAACTCGACATCATCGAAGGCGTCAATACCTTCACCACCAACCAGATTGCCGCCCACACCGCCCCCAACTGCACCATGAAGTTTCAGAACCAGACCGGCTGGGCCAATGGTAATGATTGCGCCGTCAGCACTGGTGGCGCGGCTGGTTGTGCAACAGGCTCCAACGACAACACGGGCTATGGTGATGGCTTCAATGCAAATGGCGGTGGTGTCTACGCCATGCAGTGGACTTCCGAGTTCATGAAAGTGTGGTTCTTCCCTCGCAACGCCATCCCGGCTTCCATTTCCTCCGGTTCTCCTTCGCCCGCCCTTGACTTTGGAACTCCCGTCGGCAATTTCGATGGCAGTAGCTGCGACATTGATTCCCACTTCATCAACCACCGCATGATCTTCGACACTACATTCTGTGGCGATTGGGCTGGAAGTGTGTATTCTGCTACGTCTTGTCCTATGGCTAGTGATGGTGGCAATGGGTGTGTCAACTATGTGGCCAACAACCCGAGTGCATTCAAGGAGGCATATTGGGAGGTCAATTACATCAAGGTGTTTTCCGAGACTGTTGTTGCCGACCCGACGAGCTCGAGTTCGTCTGTGAGTTCGACAAGTAGTTCCACGTCGTCGACGTCCTCGTCGAGCCTTTCTACTTCGTCGACTTCTTCTAGCAGTGCAAGACCTTCATCGACCTCGTCAACCTCGTCAACTTTGTCAAGCAGCATTCGCTCAACCTCGACATCGTCTTCCAGCATAATCAAGCCCTCGACATCGTCTTCCAGCATAATCAAGCCCTCGACGTCAACATCTTCCAGCAGCATTCGCTCCAGCTCATCATCAACTTCCTCCAAGCTCTCAACCAGCACCTCTAGCACGAAGCCCTCGACCAGCACCACAAGCACATCCAGCACCAAACCTACCACAAGCTCATCAAGTAGCAAACCAGTCACCTCCTCGACCAAACCAGTCTCCTCCTCTTCAACCATAAAACCAACCACCTCCTCGACTAAACCAATTTCAACCTCCTCATCCGTCAAGCCAACAACATCGAGCAAGTCTTCCAGCATCAGCTCCTCATCCAAGAGATCCACCACCATTTCAACCTCCTCGACTCGTAAATCTAGTACCTCGAGCAGTTCCAGCGCAAAAACCGTGGTTACGTTAAGCACCAAGAATGCCGGGATCACTGTGAGGAGTACTGCTGTTGTGAAGAGCTCAAGCAGCAGTAGCAAGAAAATCACTTCCTCGACGAGTTCCTCGAAGAAGACAACTTTCACCAGCACTTCTTCGAAAAAGGCCACTTCCACCAGCTCCACAAAGAAGTCTAGCAGCACCAGCACCAGCAGCAGCAGCACCAAAAAACCCAGCACGTCTACAAGCAGCACAAAGAAAGCTTCCACTTTGACGACCAGCACTCTCAAGCGCAGCACCACTTCTTCTAGTTCTTCCAAGAAGCCCACTTCTACTTCTTCTACCAGGAGAGTGTAATGAGGCCTTTTTACCTCTTGATTCGTTTTTGCATTGGATGTAACGACCTGTTTATGACCTCATTAAAGCATATTTCTTTTCTTTCTTATAGATTTTTTCTTTTCTAATCTACCTTATACCTCCTTCCTTTGTCTTGGGTTTTTGAGGTTTCGAGTCGACGAGGAGTGTATAGACATGTTTATGGCATGAGGATATGCATATACGGTTCTTAGTTCCTGATGTTATTGTCGCTTGCCAAGTCGGTGCTGACACTATGTCAAGATCAGATGTGACTGTTACCTGACTGGACCGAGTACCAATGGTGGCAGTTTGCCGTAGAGTTGTTCGCCGCGTTACTTGGTGCAGACGCATAATTCGCAGTATCAGTGAAGCCGTGAGACACGTATGCGTCACCGAGTACGGTACAATATCTCGTTTCGTTAACCAGAGTACAGCTGTAGGGACTCAAAGAGGGATTCCAACTTGTGAGATCCATCATCGAAACACCTGGGTTGATATAATCACAACTGACGGCGCCGTAGGTATTGTCTGTATATTCTTTACAGTCACCTCTGGTGCCACTCGCAAGAGGGAAAAGGTAGCTCTGTGTCGGCTCTATGCACAATGTTGCCATAGTTGCGTCTGGAAGCGAGTCGAATGGAGTTGGTTTTACGGTGATTTTAACACGAGAGCTCGAGGTGACCTTTGATGTCCCGGCCCCACTGCTATAGCCAGGATAAGATGAGATGTCGCCAAAAGGTTGTACACCTTCATGATGTCAGTAAGCACCGCGACTACGATACTACAACCTCCACATGTGCGAGGATCAGAAGAAACTAGCAGCAAGGGATTGAACTTACAGTAGCTATAGTTGAGGTATAAGTTGGTGCAGTTCTGGTTGACCTCGGGGTTCAGGAAAAAAAGTCCTTGAGACTGATTCCCTTAGCAACAGTTATGTGTGCACAAGTATCACCATCTATAGATACTGGTAAGCGTATTGTTGTATGCGTTGAGATACAACTCACCCTTGACATGATAGTACTGTCCGCAGTGGCAATTGGTTCCATTGACAACATCAGTCGGCACAGGGGCTACTGCTGTTGGCGATAGGGTCGAAAGAGCTCTCGTGTTTGTAGCCAGTGTAAAATTGTTCGGATTCGAGACGCAGATCTGGCGACCCACGACCGTGTCGAAGTTGCTGCAAGCTGGACCGAGATTGGGGTTCCAAGTACGCAACTGAGTGATAGTTATCCCGAATTTGATCGCTATCTGCCGACAGTTGTCGCTTGACTTCACTTTGTAAGATTGACAGTTCCCTGAGATGCAGAGACTACCAGTTGTGGGGAAGCCAGCACATCCTCCCTGCAGACCATTGGTAGAGAGCAGTTGCCAGGTACTGATATTATTGGTTGTAGCAATGGAGTCGCAAGTGCAACTGGGTGTGATATTCACAATCTTGCCGGCACATGTCGGTTTCGGGTTCGCGGCAGTATTGCTTGCAATCACGACCGAGGGAGGTGAAGTCACAGGTAGATTCGTCACGCCGCAACTCGAGGTAAGAGCAGAGTACTCAGACGCGAGAGCCCTGTTATAAAAATAGCCATTCTCGAGTTCGGCACGAAACTTCCTGAGGCCGCACTCATCACACTCGTCTTGCGTGTCGGTCTCTAGCAGATGTTGATAGCAGTAAGCACCAGCACTAATTCCTGAATCAGTCGAGTTTGAAAATGAATATTCTATCCGTGTGCAAAAGACAGTCACAACCCTTCTATCCCTCTTCCTCACCAATTTTTCGTGATATTATACGCTATAGAAATGCACAGTCGTCTTCTGAATAGAGGTGTCTCCACAGAGATGCCTAAACATAACAATCTCTCCGTGGACGTTGCTCAATCATAGAAAAGATTGTGCATTTCTGCAACCATAATGTGACTGTCTATCGCACATGGAGGATGTTTTTTATGCTCACCTATTTTTGGTACATCTTTGTTTGTAGTTGGCAAAGTACTAGTCGGGTACTACGATAGGGGAGTAAGCACCTCTAGACGCATAGCTGTATTGAGTAGCGTTACTCGTGTCGTTGTATACATCGTTCTCACAGGCGTCAACCACCCTCGTCCGATAGCTGGCGATAGAGTCCGCACAATCTGATGTGCAAAGTTGATCGAGGTATTCGGTTGTCAAATTCTCTGTCTGTCGGTATAATGAGCCACCAATCTCGATGAAATTGCAGGATATGTTTTGAGTGAGAGCAGCGGTACGATCAGCAGAAAGTATAGGCAGCGCATTGTCGCTGATGATCTGGAACGAGTTCTGCTGAGCACTAGTAAAAGACGCAGCAAGAAGGAAAAAGAGCGCCATGATGGCTATGACTTCTCGAGATGGTGCAGGAGAAGGGTATTTACCAGCTGGCATGACCGCATTGCGTGCGCTCCTGAGAATGTCGCAAGTCCGCACTACCGGGCAGCGATTCTGCGCACATCGTTGTAAAGGGTGACTACACATATAGAGTGGGTGGCCTGTTGGCACCCTTACTGTATCTCATCATCTCCGAGCTACAGGATCAGTTGCATAGGAGCCAGACTTTCAACCAGGATGTGCGATGGTTTTCGAGAATCTGCAGAGGGGAATGTTCCATGTTAGTCAGGTTGTCAGTTAAGAAAGTAGAACAGCCGTTCCAACAGTGGCTTCCATCCAGTGGGCACCTTCGACGCATTTGGGTCCAACTACAACATCAAAGGTATACATACGATTACCCCTTTCTTCAGCGTTGCTGCTCGCGTCGGGGCCGAAGCCATAGTATCGGCGCAAGCTACTGTCGAATTGACATTGAAGCACGATCGCTTCCAGTACTACTTGCCTACCACTCTAGGATCACTGCCCACAGAACCAGGCGGCGATTGCCAAGTCACATCACGAAATGGACCCATTAGTGCGTTGGGCGATATCTCCACCAGCGTTGGTGGCGGAATTATCGTCTCCATTGCCCCAACCATTGGCTTCGACATACAGCTTACTTTTGGTAATAAACAATTAGTCGACACCTCCGTCAAAGTCACCTCTCAAGCAGATATCGATTCTGATATTGCGGCCACTGTCGGCTCCTCCTGTACTGGCTTAGAAATGGATATCAGAGGAAAGTTTGGAGCCCAACTCCGCGAAGAGAACTCAGACTGCATTCCATGGGCGCTCACAAGGCGTGGTCTGTCCAGCAACCTCACTGAACCTCTTCTTAACAATAAGCGGTTGATCAAGCGGCAAACGTTGGGCGAGGACCTGCCTTCCATAGGTCGCGATGTGACACACGTTCTGGACAAGCGTGCCAACGGGCGGCGGGATCTTTGTTCACTGGATAGCAATTCTGGCAAGAATTCCAAGTCCAAGCTCAGGCTCAATCCTACTGATCTGTCTAGGATCGAGGAGGTAACAGAAAAGAGAGGGACCGAAGTACCTCATTGGGCGTTAAGGCCCGCAAGCATCGCCCAATCTATCCCAAGATCTAGAAGGGTGGCCATGATGTGTACACCGCCTCATGGTAGTATGGCGCGCTTGCAAAAGGTTGTAGAGCGAGTCCAGGAACCTTCAAGCTTGGAGCACGCGAGATGACGGTTTGTACCTGTCAATCTCGCGTACTGTAAACGTTAATTGAGCCTGACGTCGTCCGGAAAATCATAAGTCGAAGGTGCATCTCCCAGCAATTCGATACTATGAACACATGAGGGCAGTCTAGATCTACCAGCCGCAGCTGCATCTCGAATCTCCATCCGCATCGACATGTCAGAATCCGAACATGGATTTCCGCATCTGCCATCGAGTTTTATCTTTTGCAAAGCACCACATGCCGATGCGATCCTCAGAGCTGCAGGTAGTAAAATCTTGTTTCCGGCGTTGTGGTCGTCGTATTCGAAATCCGGGAAGTCCAGTGATATTACACATTTTGCATTAGGCAAGTGCCAATTGGGCGCAAAAACCGCACAGTACGGTGTTACCTCTTCACGTAAGCCATCCCAAATTGGTCGAGTGCCGGGCTCATAGGTATCGTCGTCGACATATGCAAGTTCTGACTGCAGAGCAATGTCGAGAGAAATGTCTTGGCCTGTCCATCTCGAGAGATAGTCAAATAAAGCTTGTACACCTTGAGAGAAAGCCTGGTTGTTCGAACAGCGCCAGGCATTGTCGTAAGTATAATCAGCTTTTTGGCACGGGCACCATCCAGCCAGTAAGGAACCGCGACCCTGTAGAGAATCCGACGAATATGTGTACGCCGCACTTGTCGCCAATCCCGTGGGCCACTGGTAAGCTCATCAAGCCCGGCGAAGCTCAGACCGCGTTTTTCGAGTCGCTCATCAGGGCCGATGGTGATGGTCGTCACCTCGGACGGACTCAACAGGACCACAGAAACATAAATCTGCCTCTCGAACGCGGCCTGCCATGATTTGTTGACCAGTGTGTACGGTGTCAATTTCTTCTCTTCTCTTGCCACGTGTTGAGCAATCAAAGACAATATCTCTTGAGGCAGTGAGGATGCCATGGAATCAGCTGCGCGGAGTTGCGCCCGGCAAGTAAAACTTATGTGGTGAAGAAGATCACGAAGAAGAAGATGAAGAAGAAGAACAAGTGTAGACGATAGGAGCGGTGTTGAAAGCGAGCTCCGGTTTGTGATTCAAGAATCAGAAGCAATAATTACATCAGGCGGACCATCAAGACTTGAAATGAGCGCGAATGCGGGCAATCTTCGGACCAAAGATTGCCGGTTTCACCATGCTTCCCCTGCACCCACTCTTGTATTGGTTACCTAACCACTGAGCTCATGCTTTATACATTACTCGCCTTTGGCCTTGTGAAAGCGTAGCTACCATCAGAGCTAGTATCTTGTATAGCAAAAGGCGCGAGACTCGGAATATCGAGAGGAACGCGCAGCTGTACGAATGTCCCACGGCCAATGACCATCCGCTCATCATGTCTACAGCTACCTTGACCTTCACTTAAAAGATCATAGGGTATTTACAAAGACAAAAATGAAATAACTTCTCAATCTACAACCATACCAGGCCTGCTACTGCTTTATCTACACACAAATCCGCAAGCACGCCCACAAGTTCAATAATCCATCGTTTGGGGTGCAGAGATTCGATGTTTGTCTACACTTTATGCAATCCAGCTTCAATGGCTTTAATCTGCAAGCCCAGGAATTTGCTGTAGATACGGCAGAGGGCGAGGTTACCGCCCATATACCAGAATTTTCCTGAAGGGTGGCCGGAAGGTCGCCACATCTATTCCTCTGTGTCAGTATGTGCATGCAGGAGTAGAGACAGAAGAGACGCAAGAAGAAGAGTGAAAGAAGAAAAGGAGATATAGAAGAAAACACTTACACCATTCAATTCCCCCTCGTCGTCCAAATCCCAAACATCAGAGACATTGTCAGCGATTTCGTCACCGAGAATCTTGCGGCAGGAAGTGCGCATGTTGTCGTAGCCGGTTGCGAGAACGACTACATCGGCTGCGATGGATTTGCCGTCTGCGAGGTGCACGTGTGAAGGAGAGAAATGGCTGATTCCTTGTTCGCAGCGGACGACTTTGACAGCACCAGAGGTTATGAGCGAGCTGCATCCTACATCAATGTAATAGCCACCGCCTTTGGTCATGTATTTCCTGAAGAGACCCGAGCCATCATGTCCAAAGTCGACCTTGAAGCCTGCTTTTTCCAGCCCTTGGAGATTCTCCTTTTCGACTTGTTTGATTGCTGCGGTGAGGTTTCTGCCGAGAGCGAATTGGACNGGGGAGAGGAAGGGATTGGGAGTAGATGTCTGCGGCGCTGGTGGGGGGCCGGTTTCATCATAGGTTCCTGCGTGCAGCATGTGGCCTCCTTTTTCGGCTTGGAGGACGTAGGTGCCAGAGCGCTGTAGCATGGTCACTGAGGCGGCACCGGCTTCATGATAGTTTTGGGCAATGTCGTGGCCGCTGTTGCCGGTACCTACGACGAGGACNCTTTTGCCTGAGGCGGAAGAGGGAGTGGCGTCTTTGTGGGTGCTGCCGTGGTAGATGGTTCCATTGAAGGTTTCTTGGCCTGCGAAGGAAGGTATGCGTGGTTCGCCGCTGTGGCCTGTGGCGAGGATTAATTGGGAGGGATGTAAAGTTCTGGAGCTTCCGTCTTCTTTTTCGAGAGCTACGGTCCAGCGTTTGGAGGAGGACGAGTAGGATGCCGAGGTGACGGATGTAGATAGCCAGATGTTGAGTTCCATCAGACTGGCATAGGCCTCGAACCAATCTCCGAGTTTGTCTTTGGGCGTGTAGAGAGGCCAGTTGGACGGGAAAGGCAGATAGGACATGTGTGCGTAGGTTACGGGATCATGGGTCACCAAGGTACGGTAGCGGGAGCGCCAGTTATCTCCCACACGGGCCTGTCTATCCACAATCAGCGTAGAAAGACCCAGCGCTTGGAGTCTCGCAGCGAGGTTGAGGCCAGCTTGGCCAGCGCCAATGATCAAAGCCGTAGGTTCTTCATCAGTAAAGTCGTAGGTTTTCTGTCTGCGCTCAAACCAGTTTCCACCAAGAGAGGAGTTCTGGCCGCCGTGGGAGCGCCGTCCACCGGTGGACTCCTCGTGGCCTTTGATTTCGTCGAGGGCGGTATACAACATGTGGGCTTTCCAGTCTCCATCCTCGGCCTGAGCCAAACGGAGAAAAGCGCGACCTCTGCCTGTGCTGGTTTCGAAAGTGAAGATTGACTGGATCCAATCGAGTTCTGGGAGGGGGTTGACAAGGGAAGGAGGATATGCTTCATTGTCTGAAGCCAAGCACAATGGATGTAGATTTACGAATGCGAGAATGGGTGATAGAAAGGATATTATAGCAGGAAGACCATGCAGGGTACGGAGATCCCAGGACAGGGCTACGTGGTCGCGCCACCAGCTGTCTTGATGCAAGACGGTAGATAGACGGGATGCATCACCAGATGAGAGGACAGCCGAGAAGCGGTCTAGCCATGATTGAGCAATCTCACGGGGAGATGTTTGAATGGAAGAAGTTTGCTTGGGTTGAGACTTTGTGAAGTGTGACAGGGAGACATCATGAGGTTGCAGAGGTGAAGCAAGCATGTTGGTGGTGAGATTGGATAGCAAGAAAGAATTGAAGAGACAATGGGACAGTCAACCAGGACCTACGGTGGTATGAATATATATACACGGGAGCAGCGGGAAGTAGGGCGGCGGGGTAGCATGTTAGTGCTTCTTTTTGGTTGCAGAAAGGCAAGACTGGCGAAGACGAGGGCAGGAAGAGAGGTGGTTCAGGTCTTCGGATGACCATTCTGGGCCGCCAAGGCTCGGTCGAGTTGCTCCCACTCGGCGAACCTTCCTTGATTCGTGTTGTCCTCGCACAACATCAACCCGAAGACACGATCAGACCCGAGTTAAGAATCAACGACTGCTGGCAGTTAGAGAGCAAAAGTCACCATGTCGTCGTACCTGTCCAACATCCTCACCAACACGACATCCAAATACAACACACTCCGGCGCAACCTCCTATCCGACGAGGTCGACGGCGACACCGAAGACGACTCTCACCTGTGTCGAGCACTCCGCGCATACTACACGGAGCAGAACAAGGCCTTTCCGCCATGGCTGCCCAATGACCCAAAGCGCTCGGCATCCATGCAGACAACAACATCATCCTTCACATCAAGCCTGCGACAACAGTCGTCACAACAAACACCCACCATCAATGCTCCCCAAGGCGGCGGCGGCGGAAGAGGCGGTCTGAGCGACCTTTGGGACACACCTGGCCAGCGACAAGCATCGCCACAGCCGCAGTCACTGCGAGTACGAGCACAAGATCGCAGCGGGTCATTCCAGGGACGGGCCCAGGGAGCGGACAGTCTGGCAGCACCTCGACCACTGCCCAGCCAGAGAGCAGGGAGCTATCAGAGTACCGCGGCTCAGCAACAACAGGGAAGCGAAGCATCACCACCGGCCAGCAGCGGGGGCACGGCGCAGGAGAGACTCAAGGCGAGATTGTGGGGAGCTGCGAGGGTCAACAGTGCAGCAAGTGCAGCATCGGCGGCGGGAGCAGGCACAGGAGGAGCATCGCCAGCGGGATCTGGCCGCTTTGCCAGAGGTTGATGTTGATCGAGTAGCAGGGAGTCATGGAGTTGCAAGTCCTAGGCTTTTCTAGGAGGAGTTGGCCTAAGTCGTACCAATCGCGCGCGGGAGCAAAAGAAACCTTCGTCCAGCATATCATGCATAATACACCTTCAAACGATTACTTGGAGGAACAATACTCGAGCATCTATAAAACTGATAATAATAATAATAGCTAGTCGCGCCAGTGGTAGAAAAGAGGGGCTTCCACTGTTCAAGTCCATCCATACATACCCCACACACGTCATGCCTTGGATCGGTCACAAGCATCAAGGCAGCAGTTTGACAGAGCGCGTCTTCTACCACAACAATGGCAGCAGCAGCAGCATCACATCACAGCAGCCCGCCTGCATCAGTCTACGACATGAGCGACGACGAAGAGAGCGACTACAACAGCGTGCGCCGCCGCTCGTCGGCCTCGCGCGGCGTCAAGCTGCTCTACGCAAAGAGCAAGGTCTTTGTCCACCCCTCGCCCTCGTCCAAGGACAATATCGATGGCTTTTGCGCCCTGTACGAGCAAAAGTCGCCTGCCTCCGCTTCCTCGCCCGCTTCCTCTTCCTCGACCACCCACATCCCGTCCTCGTCGCTCATTCTGGCCTGGACTCCCATCGCCTCCCTCCAGAGCCAGGGTCAGTTCGACACTTACAACAAGGTCGACCTGGACGACAAGGACCAACCCACGAGAAACCTCGTTCCTCCTCCGCCCATCACCTCGGCCCACTCGGCCACTCCAGCCCCATACCCCTTTGCTGTCCAAGCCAGCCAAATCTACTCGATCCAGATCCGTCCGCCCAGTGCCGGTTGGTGGTTTGGCAGTCTCGTCATCAACACCCGCTCAGGCGACAGCTTCCCCGCCCTCTTCTTCCACGACAGCGAATGCCAGTCCACCATAAACCACCGCAAGAAGCTTGCCCGCGAGAACTTTGATCCCTTTGGCGAGAGCGGCAACTTGTTCTGGGGCGGTGATCAGGTCTTGGGCTGGCTCAAGAGACACCTCAATGTCGAGCGCTCCCCCGAGCCCAACATTTTCCTGATCGAGCCCTCAGACGCCGATCGTACTGGCTTTGGCACAAACAAGTCTGGCAAGCCCACTCCCGACAAGGTCCAGCAAGCTTTGGAAGGCCCCAATGCACAACCCCAGAAGAAGAAAAAGGAGGATCCCGTTGCAAAGTTCTTGAAAGACTCTCGTTGGGCTGTCCTGGAGAAGCTCAGTCAGGTCACCACCTTCACCCGCCGTACTGCTCAGGCTGCTGCTGATAACCCCAAATTGCCTCCCCAGCTGCGTCGCATCATGCAGAACCCTCAGGTCCAGACGGTCCAAGAAGAATTCGACAGTGCTCGTCTGTATCTTGCGAGATGGGCCATGACTATAGCTGAACAGAGTGAGCGTGATAGAAGCCAACGCATCTACACTGCCAAGGACTTGCTGGAGAACGAAGACACCGAGCTGGGCGAGTTTGAGATTCTCGACGTTGACATGAGGAATCTCGAGCTCAACGAAAAGAGAGACGCCGTCACCATCAAGGAGTGGAATGCCTTTTTCGATTCTCATGGCAGACTACAAGTTACTCCCGACGAAGTCAAGGAACGTGTCTTCCACGGCGGCCTACATCCAGACGATGGCGTCAGAAAGGAAGCTTGGCTTTTCCTCTTGGGTGTCCATGACTGGAACAGTACCAGGGATGAACGCAAGGCCAAGATGAACAGCCTCAACGACGAGTACATCCGTCTCAAGGGTGCCTGGTGGGATCGCATGATGGACGAAGACGGTACTCTCGAAGAACGCGAGTGGTGGAAAGAACAAAAGATGCGCATAGGTAAGCTTTGCTCCTGACCAATCCCCTTCCCACCCCCTCCGCATCAAGTAACTGACATCTTCCCACATTGCGTGGGGTCCGTGCTGTAGNAAAAGGATGTGCACCGAACTGATCGCAATATCCCCCTGTTTGCTGGCGAGGATATCCCACACCCAGACCCAACTTCTCCATTCGCCGAAGTGGGCACCAATGTCCACCTCGAGCAGATGAAGGACATGCTGCTCACCTACAACGAATACAACAAAGACTTGGGCTATGTCCAAGGCATGAGCGACCTACTCGCCCCCATCTACGCAGTCATGCAAGACGACGCCGTGGCCTTTTGGGGCTTCGTCCACTTTATGAACCGCCTGGAGCGAAACTTTCTCCGCGATCAAAGCGGCATGCGACTCCAACTCAGCACCCTCGATCACCTCGTCCAACTCCTCGACCCCAAACTCTACCTCCATCTCCAATCCGTGGACTCTACAAACTTTTTCTTCTTCTTCCGCATGCTGCTGGTCTGGTACAAACGCGAATTTGCCTGGCTCGACGTGTTGCGACTCTGGGAAACCCTCTGGACAGACTATTACTCTGCAAACTTTCATCTTTTCATTGCAGTCGCCATTCTGGAGAAACACAGAGAGGTCATCATGGAGCATTTGCGTGGCTTCGACGAGGTCCTCAAGTACGTGAATGAGTTGAGCAACACCATTGACTTGCAGTCGACCATGATCAGAGCGGAAGCACTGTTTCGCCGCTTCCAACGCGTCGTCGAACATATCGACCGTAAAGACCACTTCCCGACGCCGACGTTGAGGCAGAGGAAACAGATCTCCGGCGGTGCGTTGGATCAGGGCGGCCAGGCTGTGGGTCATGATGGCAAGACTGCTGCTGCTGCAGCAAGTGCTTCTGACGCCCAAGGTGCTGGGGTTACACAACAGCAAGCGGCGGCGACGACGACGACTCCAGCGCAAAAGGAGAGGATAGTCAGTCCCGAGCTGCGAGCATTGCTCTCGCGAGAATTTTCCCGTGTCGAGAAGCCTGGAAAGTAAGCTTGGGGGTTATGTGTAGCCAGGTATCTTTGATGTGGGTTTTGTGGTAACTGGGGTGTATTAGGTTTAGGTTGGTTTTTGTTTTTGGTCACTGGGCGGTTTCTATTGTTTTTCTTTTTGACGAAGCGGGTTTTTGGTTGCAAAGGGCAAAGGGCCAATAAGGGGGGGATATATCTGGTGTAAATGCTGATTATCCACGATCATTTTCATGACAAAGGGAAGAACCAAACTCCTCCATTCTTTTTTTTAAATGTTATCTATTTCTTGTTGTTTGTTGCTGTTCTCTTCTCTTTCTTTCCAAACCCTTTACCATCCTCTGTCTTTTCCGTCATGCCCCGAGGGGGTTTAGTACGTGTGACAAGACCTTACAAAAGTATTTATAAGTAGAGTAGAGCAAGACGATAAAGTCTCTTTCTGTTTTTTCATGTCTCTTGCTATGAGTTTTTTGTCTTTTTGGATTCTTTTTACTTCTTAAGGAGACCAGGGTTACGGAATCGTTAGTGGATCTATCACCTGATTTCGCTAGAGACACATGACGAGAGTAAAAAGAAAAGTGTTGATTGATTGATGGAAGGACAGGACTAGACAGGACAGGACAGGACTAGTGTGATACTGCCAACTTTTTGAACAAAAGCCATGTTCACGTGATTGAATGTAGATAGTATCCAGAAGATGGATGGATGGGATTCCTATATATCCTGCACGATCCTACACAAGAACCTCTATGTCAAGAGCGACTAGGGAAGCCTCGACATGATTTCCCGGGAACAAAGAGACATTGTAAAAAAATAAAGAGGAAAAAAGCAGGTCATGACAAAAGTTATGAGAAAAAATAAGAAAGAAGAGTGTTCCATAGTATATTTCGGGGAGACTATGCACACAAAAAAAAGCTAATAGTGAAAAGAGGAAAACAAAGAGAAACAAGGGTATTCATCCATCGTGATAGGAAAAAAACAATAAGTCTTTTTGTGTCGGTCGTTGCGAAGCTCCAAATCACCAACATCCAAAAGGCACAACCCCTCAAAGGGATGCCAGCCCCAGGCACGGCTTCAGCAACAACACGACTCTCCACAAGCCCACTCTACGAGCTCTGTCTAGCTTGCTTGCGCTCACCATAAGCCTTGGTAGCGTAGTCACCGCCCTTGACAATAAGGTCTTCGGGGCGGTAATCGTGGCGACCGGAGAAGTAAGAGTCGAGGATGGCCTTTGTGCCGGCGGCATAGCGCTTCTGGGCATCGATCGAGGTGCCAGACATGTGAGGGACCATGGCGTTGCCGCCGCCCCAGTGGGTGTATTGGGCGGTGCGCAGGGGGTGGTCAGCGGGTGCGGGTTGGGGGAACCAGACGTCGCCTCCGTAGCCGCGGAGTTGGCCGGACTTGAGGGCGGCGGCGACGTCTTCCTTGACGACGATGGCGCCGCGGGCAGTGTTGACGAGCCATGAGCCTGTTGAGAGATGCGAGTCAGCAATGAGAAAGGTAAAAGTCAAGAGGTCAGAAAAAAACATACCCTTCTTCATCTTGGAGATCAGCTCCTTGTTGAACAGACCACGGGTCTTTTCGTGCAGGGGAGCGTTGATGGTAACGACATCACACTGTGCGAGCATCTCCTCGAGGCTGTCGACACGACGGCAGCCAATCTCGGCCTCCTTCTCGGCCGACAGGGGCTGGTAGTCGTAGTAGAGGAGCTCCTTGCAGTCGAATGCCTTCAGACGACGCAGCACACGCTCACCGATACGGCCAACGGCGACGGTACCGACGACCTTGTTCTCGAGATCGTACTCGTTCTTGGCCACGGCAGCGACGTTCCAGTCGCCGGCGGCAATCTGCTCGTGGGCGGGGACAAAGTTGCGGACGAGGACGAGCATGGTCATGACGACGTGCTCGGCAACAGACACAACATTGGAGCCAGTGACCTCGGCAACAGTGATGCCGCCGTTGGTCTTGTTGGCAGCGTCCAAGTCGACGTGGTCAGAGCCAATACCAGCAGTAACGGCAATCTTGAGCTTCTTGGCCTTGGCCAGACGCTCCTTGGTCAGGTAACCAGGGTGGAAGGGGGTGGTGATGATGACCTCGGCATCGACGAGGTGCTGGTCAAAAGTCGAGTTCTCGCCCTCCTTGTCCGAAGTGGTGACGAGCTCGTGGCCTTGCTCCTCGATCCACTTGCGCAGGCCGAGCTCGTTCTCGGTGGTACCGAGCAATTGGGGCTCTTCCTTTGCGTGCTCGAAGCCGTCGTACAGCACCATCAAGACCTTGCCATTCTGGCGGGAAGTGGCCGATAGCGAACGGATGGCACCGGTAGATCTGAGGGACGACGAAAGAGGAGAGGCACGCAGCGAGGCGGCAGCAGGGCGCACAGCGCGGGTAGCAAGGCGTGAGAAGACCATTGTGATGATGTGAGGGAGATAAAAAGGGATATGAGGAGGAAAAGAAGAGTCCAGCAGGAAGAGGGGATGTGTGGGCGGTTATAAACAAAAAGAGGAGGGGAGCTACTCTCGAGCTCGCATCACTGGGTTAGCCAATTGTGGAGAAAGCGTACGCGCAGTATGCATTCCCTCGTCCGAACTTCGGTCTCGCATCCTCTCCAATGCCCCGTATGCCCAAGTTCGGCATTTGGAATCGACTGATTTCCTGATGATCGGAGACGAGAGGGGGTCAGATGTGCGGCAGCCCTCGCGAACCATGTGTCGCGTGTAGAGACGAGTTGTTGTATAGATCGCGATGGTGTTTCAAGCAGCAGCCTCACTTTCCTTACGACTACTCCTTTCAAAATCACAAAGCATATAAAGCTACATGAACCCCTCCTGTTCCCCCGAGCAGTCGACCGACGAGAGCTACAGTTCTGACACCACCGCCGTCTACAAATTACAGCTGCCCTGCCATGTCTGTCATGGAAACAGAGCAGCTGTTTCACTCCTCCTCTTGCATGACGTTCGCGCTCCCGCACCCCACAAATTTCCAATCTCCAATTCCCGCATCGTCAGAACAACGCAATTGTTGCCAGCCCCCAATATATCTCTCATCTTTTCCATCCTCGAATCCTTGATCATCTGCTCTATCCATCGCGACTGTATCAAGTGCTCGATAGCAACAACATTTGTTTCCTACTCTGTCAGCACACATTGCTCTAGAACACACAAACAGAACCACTGGAGGCGGGAAAGAGATGCGGGGGTGTGTGCCCAAAAACGGTGCAACAAAGGTCAATGCCGAAGCTCTTCTAAAGCTTCTCCACAAATCACAAAACCTTGCCAGACAACAATCGCCGAGTCTGCTCCGCAAACACAGAAGGAGGCTCTCTTCTACTGCTGCTGTTGTATCTAGATACTCGGCGTCTTGATGCTGTTTGTGGAGGATGGGAGAGTCATGTCCAGATTTCTATTCTAGTCTCCAACACCAGTGTCGGCACCATGCAATCCTACAATATCCAAACCCATCACCACCATTCGGGGAAAAGGAATCCGGGTCCCGAATTTCGACCGCAAGGCTTGCGACTCCTCACTCGTCGCAAAGGGCGAGACTCGGAGCACTGGAGCACACCAAAGGTCACGAGGAGAAAAGTAACCCTCTCAGCGCTTGACCTTCTCCTTTTGGTGCATGGAAGCAGCTGAGGTCTGGAACATTGCTGGAACAGGCAATATTGTCCTTTCCAGCGGCCGAGATTCGCTGAGATGCCAAATGCGATGTCGGGAAATGGAATAACCGTCGAGCAAATAAATATGGAATTGGACAGCGCTCTTGTTTTCTCTCGAGCGACTCGCCAGAAACTTGAAAGGTGCACAGTGGTTTCTCTTCATCTCCACAGTGACACCTTGATGATAGAGCAAAGCGGGTCGCATTGGGGTATGACGTTTGAGTTTGCCGGGACAGCCGGGCCGTGATGGAGTCTGTCTCCTTGATTTGCGGCGCTTGACACCGAGAACACAAAAACCACGACCTCCCTGTTGCTGCAGAGCTGTATCATGTTCAATAAAACAGTGATTGTCGGTAAGTTTGGAAACGAGTGGTAATGTTGCATGCTTGTTTTCCATTTCTTTGATCTCTGTCTGTCTCTTGCCATCTCATACTCATCACATGTTTGTTCACTCCACCGTGCAAATCTGGAAAACGAAAGTCGGCGACATGGTCTTGAGAGTGTAAAGCGCAAAATACTCGAAACGATGACTTTGGAAGCCATGAAAACCTCTGCAAGAACAACGTCGGTCGCTGGGCGAAGACAGCAAAACCTCAAACCATGTCAAAGTGCAAGCCGAATGCCAGCCACCAAGCCCTTCTCATCAAAAGCCAATGTATGCCAGTAGCCCTAACTTGGGCCATCAAACATCGCCATCATCATCTTCGGTGTAGCGGTTAGAGACAGGCGAAGTGGTGTAGTGAACGTTGTGTCTGCGCGAGGTTGCTCTGCTAGGAGTAACAGGTTGCTGGAGTGAAGGAATGCTAGAAGTTCTGGTAAGAGTGACCCAATTGGCTGGAAAGACAGGCGACTCCGTGGGAGTATCAGTGCTAGCTGAGACCACATCCGCTCCGACTTCCTGGGACAGAGCCATTGCAGAGGCTGAAGTGGGTCTGGCCTGGATAGTACGAACCACTGCGGCAAGGTTGGTGTCGGTCTCATTTGGTGTGATGGTGGGCGAAGCAGAAGCAGCTCTTCTGTGTGAGTGGGTGTGGAGGTTGGCTCTTATCTCGGCGGTGGTATCGGCAGTGAGACGAGGACCCGAGCGCATGATGGGAACAGCCAAGACGGGCAGACTGGGATCGCGGACGGCCATGCCTGCAAAGGTGCCTGGACGAGCGGGTCTGTCGAAGCATGCAGAAGCAAAGTCATGGTACGAGGTAGGGCCCTGGAAGCGAGATCTCAATGGCGTTTCGTAAGAAGCCATGATGGCCTCGTTGTTTGATTCGGTGTCGCTCTCGACATCAGGCTCGTGACAGTAACGATACTGGGATCTGTCATCATATTCGCTTGCAGCAGCTTGGATCGCGGCAGCAGTATTGGATGCAGGAAAAGGACCGTCGGCTGGATCGTAGTGGTAGTAGTATTCGGCAAACATGAGGTCGGCTTCGATGGCGTGGAGCTCGTTGGGGTCGACTCCGTCAGTACGAATTGGCTCAGTCAGGTTAGCACTGTCACATCTGATCAGTCAAGAGTAGCAAAGACAAGGCAACTTGACGACGCACCGATATCTGTGAGTTCTTCCCCAGGGGTTGGAGTGCTGGCCTGGTCCGCCCGTTCCAAGCAGTCTGATCTGTGTCTGGACTTCGTCCATCTGTGAAGCGAAGGCAGTGTTGTCGACTTGGAGAGTATGATCGTCAGGGACATCATCATTGTTCGAGGCATGGCCAAGACCAGCTGGATGGTGCTGAGTAGGAATGCCAGGGTGGTTCTGAGGGCCGATGAAGGGTGTTGACCTAGCAGTAGGGACGGTGCTGGCAGACTCGCTCGCGGTGCCGTCGTTGGAGGGGTCCCCATCAACTGAAGACACAGCCGAAGCAGAACGACGATGGGTAAACTCAGCGTTACCGGCCATGTGTGATGGGCGATGCAAAGAGTCAGATGGAGGGTATAGCAGACGAAAAGGGGTTGGAGAAGAGGAGAGCAAAGTGTTTGTTGACGAGCGAAAGAGGCAATGGTCACGATGCTGGAAGAACAGAAGGGCACTGCGCGGATGATCAAGAGTGAGGGAGATGACTAACGAATAATTAGCAAACTGTGTGTCGCAATGTTGGTAAAGTGAGGGCAAGTTCGAGAGGTTTGCACCTGCCATATCTTGTTGATCGTCACTCACTGGATTTGCGCACTGCGACTCTGCTTTCGAGAATTCGCTGCTCCTTCACAAGAGACGACTTGAGTGAGGTATCCCAGCGGCAGGACGCACATCATAGAAACAATGATGGAAACATCTCTGTTCTTTGTCTATAGAAGAATCGTGACGAAGACAAATCCCCTGATGGCTCTGTATACCAAACTCCCGTTCCTCGCTGTGCAAAACCAAAACTGAAATCAAATCACGTAGTCTAGAGTAGATAGTGTTCCAAGAAGAAGAAGAAGAAGTGAATGTTTCTCACACCCCTTGAACCTTGCGATAACTCGGCGGCTTGACTGCTCGTCGAATCAACTTGCCAGCATAAACAGGTACTAGAGACACTGCAGAAATTGCAGCGACCCTCCACACAAACCCAGCGCTTGCCACGAACCTCAAATCAAAGTATCCGGAAAGGAATGGTATACTTCCAAAATACAAGCAGCCAGTTGCGAGGATAGAGATGATGTTTGCAGGATGCCATGTCGTGATTTCCGCAGCCACCATGATCAACTCATTGATGACGAGGACAGTGAACGACACACTGACCATACGTGCAAACGCGGCGGCAGTGTCAGCGTTTCCTGAACTGTGTTCCGCAAACTTGGGGACCAGCAGCTGACTTCCTCCCTGGATGATGATGCCCTGGTAGACCGAGATGGCGACCCAGATGAAGAAAGTACGGTAAGAGAGAGACTTGCCTAGAGTCAACTCCTTGTACAGCTCTGGATATAGGTTGGCGAGATTCTCATCAACATCGCGGTCGAGTGTGAGCGAGAAGACGGGCGCCATGGTGTACAGAGTTGCGTAGCCGACCAACAGCCAATCCCTGTACAGAGCGATGGGTTGATACGCTGAAGCAACCGAAAATACAGTCTGACATACACTGATGATCAAACCACGATGAATCACAAACTGTGCAAGTTTTGCAGATCGCTTGTAGCTGTTGCGACCATGCCAGACAAGCAGTTTGGTCAAGTGGCTGAATTGAGTGATGCTGAAGTCTGCGGCGAGCGAGGCCTGGCGACCTTCTTTTCCTACAATACCCACACCTACATCAGCAGCCTGAATCATGCTGACATCGTTACCACCATCACCAATACAAGCAATGCGCTTGCGAGTGTGAGTGCGGATCAATTTCGCGACGTCGGCTTTCTGAGTGGGAGAGCAGCGACAGGCTATCACAGCGGGCAGACGAACCGCTAGGGTGATGAAAGCATCCCTGTGGTGTGTCAAGTACAGAGACAGAGATTCACCATCGATGAGCAAAGCAGCGTTTGGACGAGAATGTAGGAGAGAGAGAGCGTCCAGAGCAAGCTCTTTACGTTTGAGCCCTGCAATTGTATGGATGTACTGGCCCCTGGAGACGAGTTTCGAAGACACAGCTACACAGCGTGCGGTCTCGACTTTGTCTCCAGTCAACATCCAAATCTTGATGCCTGCGTTGCGGAGGAGTTCCAGAGATGGCTTGATATGGGCTTGAAGTTTGTCTTCCACTCCTGTCACACCCAGTAGTTCAAGATTGTGTTCGAGATGCTGTTTGACGATTCGCGCCATGCTGTTATCACGGTCGTGAAGACTCAACGACGCTTCTGCGTAGGCTGATGAGAAGGCTGAGTATTGCTGTGCGGACAAAGCCTTCCTTCCGATTACTAGCGTGCGCAATCCTTCGCGAGCCATGTTTGCTGTTTCTTCGTCAAGCCAATCGTTGGCAGCAACAATTGAAGTCATGACGGTATCTGCACCTTTCTGGAAGAAGTACAGCTCACTTACATCACCTTCGGCTCCACCTTCTTGCACAAACTTGACAATGATTCCCATGCGCTTGCTGTCGGACGTAAAAGGGAAAATGTTGAGGATTTGTACACGAACCACGATTTTGCTGTTATCCACAAACTGCAGTGTAATAGATTTTCGATCGCGATGCAACAATCGTAATCCGACTTGCTCTGTCCACGCCACAATAGCAATCTCATCTGGCGAAGAAGCTTGATATGAGGTGACTGTGGACCCGTCGACTTCTTCTGTAGTAGGTGTGACATTGTGACATAAAGCCAATGCCAGAACCAGATCTCGGACTCGTAGACCGATCTCTCTGCGGGAGCGTGTACCAGAAGCAAGCCCACCAGTCACGTTGGAAGAAGGCAAGAAGAAGCCTTGTAGATCAGAGAAAGCCGACTTGACATATGCAGAAACCTCATCCATTGCCTCGTTGGCATACGAAACCGTACCGACGTGAATCTTCTTCAGCTCCATCTCATTCTGAGTCAAGGTACCAGTCTTGTCGCTGAGCAAATACTCTATGCGGCCGAGGTCTTCGGGAATGGTGCTGGTACGCACGACAGTCCCTGGGATACCTTGATCACGCTCAATGAACCAAGCATACATTGACTTGCCCATGTCGAGATTGACACGCAGACTTATGGGTACGATGGTAGAGAACAGAATGAGAAAGCGCATGACCGAAACATACCACTCCCGGCCGTTCTCAGCGTTGAAACCCTTGAGGGCAACCAAGATGAAAGACAGAGCAAGAGTCAAGAAACACAAAATCTTTGTCAGGGAATTGATTTCGTTCTCAAGCAGGCCAGTTTTTGAGCGAGAAGCAGAGGTGGAAAGAGCGGCGCGTGTCTCTGGACCTGTATAGATGACTACAGCATAGACAGTGGTGCTCGAGGCAAGTACAGTGTTGGCCCAGGCAGTGTTGTCGATGGATAGAGGGATGGATTTCGTGCCGGGCACTTCAGCAGCGGGCGCTTCTGACTCGTAGGGGTCATATGCTTGACGGCCGTCAGGGAGAAGATCCAGGGTACCAGCAAAGTCATTGACGCGTTTATCGGGCTTTCCGGCTGTCAAGCGCAGCCTTGTGAACTCGCGGGAAGCCAAGTCTTGTGTGAGAGGAGATGCCAGCCTGAGTTTCCAGTCTGTCTCACCATCGAGTTGATCTGTTCGGATGAAGGCTTCACCACCAGCACTGGGATCTTCAGAAGTGGTCTGGTTAGCCAAGGGCGGCTCTGGCACGTTTGCGGCTTCGGTCTCGAACAAGTTTGCCTCTTCACTTTCAGGCAAAGGTTCGGGTTGAGCGGATGACTCTTGCGAGAAACTCTTGAGGATGACAACATCGGCAGGAAAGCGCTGATCTTTGGTCATGACCAAGACATCTCCGACCTTCAGTAAGCGCGAGGGCTTGGAGGTCTCTCGCACTTGATCGTGCAGCAGACCATCAGCATCTGGATCTGTGGGTCGGCGTCTCGTCGTCGCAGTAGCGTCGTTCTCTCGGAACTGCAGGACGGTATATCTTTCCGAGTTGGCCTCTTGATCTCTCCTCCGTCGGTGTATGTCGTCCATGGCCTCCTTTCCGAGAGTGATGGTCAAGACGAAGAGCAAGGGGAAGATATAAGTGCTCAGGTAGCCGATGCGCAATTGCGGGATGATTTGCGACAGGGCGACGAGGAGGAAGTACATGTTGAAGAAGAAGGAGAACTCGTTGTACAGCGTCCGAGGAAGGAAAGACACGGGGGTATATTTGGCGTTGGAGACGGCATTGGGAGGGTATTTGGCATCCTGACGGCTGCCTACAACGATGGTGCGGTTGGAAGCGGGATCGTGTTCGTCTTCGGGCTCGTCGTCGTCGTCGTCATCGTTGTCGAGCGGAGTGGAGCGGGAGAAGGGGTTGAGGCGGGCTCTGAACTTGGCTATGGCAGACTGCGACTTGTCCGACAGGCGGCGTAGACGAGAAGTGTGCGACGGCGGTGGTTGAAGGGTATGCGAGTCTCGTTCATGGGCTTGACTGTCTCTTCCCACCAAGGCTTCCAGGTCGTCGGCGTCTGCATCGTCGACGTAGCGGTCCGGTCTCCTAAAAGCTCTCCTCCCTCCAAGACGCAGATTCTTGAGTGGAATGTTCCTGCCCGAGTCGGCATTTGAGGGCCTGTTGGAAGTCGTAGTCTGGGGGTCGAGTTCGTCCAAGTCTAGATCCAGGTCCGAGTCGGCATCAGGAATCAACGAGGCCGACGCGGTCGAGTCGCTGTGCCGATGTGACATGCCTCATTTGTCGTGCAGAGGAGGACGAGAAGAGAAAGGTTGAGCGGTGACTTTGTTTGTTGGTGGCTGCTCACACAATTACGTTGCCGTCCGCTATTCTAGCCTCTCGCATCCGTGACTCGAGCAACCCTGGCCGGGCATGTCGCACGACTCAAAGTCCGGGGCGCTTGGCGCAACCCCCGACGCGATTGGCTGTCAGGCTTGGCTGATGTCTCGAAGTCTGGCATTTATCACCTCCTTTCAACTCGCTACCATCACTACTCTTGTTCTGTCGGCTGCTTGTACTATTAGCTTATCCAATGTCTTGACAAGCTCGCCTTTGATTCTTGTCATTTTGTTTTGGTAAGTTGCAACGTCTCTCCGACCAAGTAATGGTCACGTCGCCTGAGTTGGTGCTATATGGATGCTGAGACATGTCCACAGCAACCGTTATACATAATACCCAGTCATGGCAGACGACGGCCACCATTCTTCGTGGCATCCTGCTCTGAGGACGCATAACAGCTCCAACCATGTACCAGTAGTCGCTCCACAACAAGCACCTGCTCGAGCCGACCATGATGATGCCGACTTCTTCGACCGCGTTCCTGCCGCCCAACCTCCGTCCATTGCTGAAGAAGATGCCGACCCAGAACAATCTGCCGAGGATACCTCCAATGAATCAGCCCAACTTGCTTTCGACCAGCCCGATCCCGCGACAGAAAGTGCCAAAGCCTCCGTACCCGTCGCAGAAGAGGAACTGGACGACACACAGGTCNCAAGAGCTAGAGCCTGCCGAATCGCCGAAGTTGATACCCGANACCGACTCACGACTTGCTCGAGAACGCCCATCATGCACCAGTCCTAGAGGTCCAGCACGCCGAGCCTCTGGCCTTCGCTGAGCCCGAACGAGCCATATCGCAAGAGCCGGAACGTTCATCCGTCGAGGAAGNCCTTTGGCAGCTTGGACAAGGAAGAGCAGCATCACATTCGAGAACAGTACGAGTACCAGGGTCAGAGTACCGCTGCCGACGACGCCGTTGACGAGAGTGACGATGCGCCCTTGATGCAGGATGAGGAGAGCTTGCCCACTCCCGGCTTTGCTACAGATGCTCCTGCCATCAACGCCCATGACGTTCCCTTTGAGCCCTTCCACTCGGATCCCTCAGCAGTTGCCGCCGCCGCAGAGCACGTCTACGACATGTCTACCGAGGACCCGTCAGTAATCGAGCGAGAGCACGCCACACAGTCGCAAACGTTCGACGATCAAGTCTCCGAAGTTGCAGCAATTTCTGAGCCTTCGGAAGCGTTAGAAGAGGCCAAGGAAACCTTGCGACAAGTGGCCGAAGAGCCCATTGAGGAGCCGACTCAAGTACAATCCCAAACCTCGGCTGCCTTCGAATGGGGCGACGATGACCAGACCGAGGACTTTGGAGCTGTCGTAGGAAGCGTTCCAGCACACGAGAACAATGTCGATTCAGACAACCTTGCGGCTGGAAGTGGCCTTGTGGCTTCTCGGGCAACTGCTCTGGCTCAGGTTCTGCAGGAGCAAAAAGCAGAGGAAGACGGTCCTGCCGAGGGTGAGAAGAGCGAAGAGGATCTGGCCGCCATGTGGTCCGCTGCTTTGGATGATGATGATTTCCTCGACGACAACGCTGTTGATCCTAGTGGCTTCTTCGACGACGACGGCGAGGGCTTCTTGGACGACTTTGACACAACTCCGGCTCCTACCACACAACAAGTCTTTAGCCCTGAGCAAGCACTCAGCCCTGGTATTGCCCCTGTACTAGACGCCCAAGGAAACACGGTCGGTTTCACAAAGCTCGGTGGTCCCCAAGAACAGATCAACGCGCCTGCAAACCCCTATTCACCAGCAGCTCAGCAACCGAATCCCTATTTGACTCCAGCTCTGCCATCTGTGCCTTTGTACAACCAGCAACAGCAACCCGTCCGACCAGTCCTGAACAATGCACAAAGCTTTGCCGACAAGTCCAAGGGCGGCTACTCCTCCCCCTATGACTTGCCCGAAGACATTGTTCAGCCCCGTAGACGTCCTGCTGCAGCTGCAGCCCCCACTCAGTCCAACGCGCCACGTCCACCACCAAGGAGTAGCAGTATGCAATCTGTTCCACCCAATGCTCCTCCACCTTTTCCCCGTTCCGCAACCGCTGCTCCTTCAGCAACCATTTCATCGCCTCCCATGAATCAATCGCCTAGCGTCGCAACTTTACCACCCAAGCCTGCCACTGCTTCGGGCGCTGATCGATCTGCCTCTGGATTTTTCGAGGAACTACCTATGGCGCCAAAGCCTCGCAACAGACCCTATACCCCAGCTGTGGCCGCTTCGTCTCCTGCTCAGGTCCCTGGTCAGACTCCTCCACAAGGGCCTCCTATCCGTCCGCCTTCCCGTCCTGTTATGCCTTCTTCCGCTGGTTCTGCAAGCTATGGTGTCGCAGATTTCAGGCAACCCGAGAAGCTCCCTTTATTACCTGATATGCAGGCCGCTCCTCAGCAGCTGGAGCCACCTCAACTCACTGGTCCTCCAGCAACTTCAAGATACTCACCTGTCGCTCCTCAGCAAGCTCCTTCAACAATAGCACCTCCAGCTAGTGGCCGCTTCTCGCCCATGCCGCCGCCTGCTCCTGCAGCAAATTCTCGTTATTCTCCTGCTCCACAGGCTCAAGCCCAAAACCAAGCACAGAACAAGTATGCAACTATGCCTGCTTCTACGCCTGTGTCAAGGCCAGTCCAGCCATTTGCCCCTCGCACTTCGAGTCCTCTGGCTTTTCACGAGAAGCCTGCTGTTGCTGAAATGCCACCACCACCTGTGCGTGCAGTCTCGTACNCAGCCTCCACCCCCGTACGTCAGATGTCGGGTCTTGCTGAGGGCTTCGCGACACCACCGCGACGAGACAGCAACACCCTGGACCAGACTCTTTCTCAATCCTATGCCCCGCCTCCTCGCGCCAATCCTTATGCTCCCATGACTTCGTCCNCCGAGTCTCGTATCTCACAACCGTACGCTGCCAGCAATGCGCCCGCGCCCAGTGACACCTTCTCACCACCAAGACGCTCCAAGACCCAGTCGCCGGGAACCGCTATGAAAGCACCTCTGAAAGCTATGACTCAAATCGACAGGCCGACTTCTGCTGCCGGAAACATTACCTCCNCCACATCATTGCAACGGCAGGACGCGAGAGCTGCTCTGCCTCCAGCTCGCCAGCAGTTCTCCTCGGATCTCAATTTCACTGTGCCTCAAGACGAACGAGCTCAAGATCCGTTGGAGAGATACAAGGGTTGTCCTGTCTTCAAATGGGGTCCTAGCGGCTCATTGGTGAGCTCGTTCCCCAAGCAAGCACCTTTCTATGCTGCTGGTCATGCTATCCCAACCATCAAGTGTACACCTGGCCATGTCACTATTCATGATACCAAGGTGACATTTCCTCTGAGCGAGCGTGATGCAAAATTCCCTGGGCCCTTGAACAAAGGCAAATCCAAGAAGAAGGAAGTTCTCACCTGGATCACTGGCAAGATTGAGGACCTTGAGAAGGCGAATGAAGACACTCTTCATGACTTTGGTATGCCTGTTCAAGTAAAGAAACGCATCGACGAGAAGGTTGTCCTCTGGAAGATGGTCAAGCTTTTGCTCGAACACGACAACAAGATTGAAGGCAATACATCTGCAGAGGACGCTGCTCGGAAGATTCTGTTGCCGAATTTCACACAAACAGAAGAGCCTGTGGAAGATGTTGCTGGTGAGAACGTTTCTGGACTGTCTACCGAACCGGTCAATGCAAAGGCCGTCGCACAGATTCGCAAACACCTCATGGCTGGTGATCGCGAGAAGGCCGTCTGGTATGCAAGTGAACAAAAGCTGTGGTCTCATGCTTTGCTCATCGCATCGGTCGCCGGTCCTGAGATCTGGAAGCAGGTCGTACAAGAATATGTCCGCTCGCAAGTCAAAGATGCAGGAGAGAACTCTCAATCTCTTGCAGCATTGTACGAGGTCTTTGCTGGAAATTGGGAAGAGAGTATTGACGAACTCGTTCCACCCTCTGCCCGTGCCGGCTTCCAGATGATCAGCAAGGCAGGACCGAGTTCGAAGAATCCTCTTGATGGTCTTGACCAGTGGCGCGAAACATTGTGTCTCATCATCAGCAATAGAAGCAATAACGATGTTCAAGCCATTTCAGCTTTGGGCAAACTTCTCTCTAGCTATGGTCGCAGTGAGGCAGCTCACACTTGCTACCTCTTCGCCAAAGCTTCAGCTCACCTTGGTGGCGCTGACGATGAGAAGTCTGACTTCGTATTGCTTGGTGCAGACCACAAGAACCAGACTCAGGAGCTCTCAGACCTGGATGCGATCCTTCTTACTGAAGTCTACGAGCTCTGCGTGTCTCTTGCACCTGCTCCTGGCACATCGCCTACTCTCCACCATCTACAAGCATTTAAATATCAGCATGCTCAGATACTCACAGAGCATGGTCTACGTAGCGAAGCACTGGCATACTGTGATGCGATCATGGCTTCGTTCAAGGCATCTACCCGCCTTTCGCCATACTATCACCCTGCACTACTGAGCAGTGTAGATGACTTGCACAGATGTTTGTCGCAAGCACCCCAAGCCAGTGCTTCTGGGGGATGGATTCCAAAACCGTCCATGGACAAGGTCTCTGGTAGTATGTGGAAGCGCTTCAACACTTTCGTCGCTGGTGATGACGATGAATCAAAAGCGAACGGCTCAACTGGTGGTGAAGGCGCCCCTGCAGGACCGTTCGGGGGTATCACTGGTGAGACACCTACAGTCAGTAGAACAGCTTCAACCACGGATCTGTATGGAGCAATGTCAATGGGAGGCAGCGTTTCGTCTGCGACCGGACATGCCGCACCCAACCGATATGCACCTCCCACTCAACATGGCGGTGCCTCGGCCTCACGCTACGCTCCAAGCAGTTCGAGTGCATATGCTCCAAGCAGAGGTTCAATGGACTCCTCCCGCTCCTACGAACAAGAAAGACCTGGAACGGGCTACAGTAGTCTTGTTTCTCCTACCACAGCCGCACCTGCGCCAGTCCAGCGTGCTAGTAGCACGCCGTTCGGAGCGTACCTGCCGCAACAAGCTGGAGAAAGCCAAGCACAGCCATCACTGGGTGTCCCTCGCCCGGAGCCAAACCGTGCTGTGTCAGACTACCGTGTACAATACAGCCAGCCACCTTCAAGACGTGAGTCTGTTCAATCTGGTGTTGGATCTGAGCCTCGGTCAAGTCTTGATCAAGGGAGATCAGCGTATGGCTACCAGCCCGAGCCTTCGAGACATTCTCCTTACCAGCCGAACTCGTACACCCCGCTATCGCCCATCTACGGAGACAGCAATGCTGAGGCTGCCGAGAGTGAACAGCCCTCGGCATATGAGCCTCACACACAATCACCATACCAGCCATCTGAGCCGACTCCTGTGCAAGAGCCGCAATTTGCTGGTTACACGCCCACCGCTCCTTCAGATGAGCAGACGAGCCTCGGGTATGAACCTCCGGTATCTTATGAACCACCTTCGTCTTATGAGCCACCGTCATATGACCCCGAAGCTTCCTACGAACCTCCATCTTCGTACGGGCCGCCTTCAGACGAGCCCCAAGAACCTCAGACATCTTCCTACGCCCCTCCGTCATACGAGCCTCCCTCGTCATACGCACCTCCCACATCCTACGAGCCTCCAACCGGCTCATCAAGCTACGAACCTCCTACATCGAGCTACCAGCCCTACGAGCCAGAAGCTGGTGCAGAAGGCAACGACGAGGAACTTCAAGAGAAGCCACAAAAGAAGAACTTCATGGACGACGAAGACGACGACGAGATTGTCCAGCGAGCCACCGCGCTCAAGAAGGCAGCCGACGACAAAGCCGCCGACGAAGCTTTCCGCAAAGCCGCCGAAGAAGACGCCAAACGCGACGACAAGGCATCTGCTGCTGGCGACAAGAAAGGCTGGTTTGGCGGCTGGTTCGGCAAGAAAGATCCAAATGCTCAACCAGGGCCCATCAGAGCCAAGCTCGGCGAACAGAGCTCCTTCTACTATGACCCGGATCTCAAGAAATGGGTCAACAAGAAGGGAGGTGCAGAGGCTGCCACCCCTACCGCTGCTACACCGCCTCCACCCAGGGGACCACCTAGTAGAAGTGTCAGTGCTGCTGCACCACCCATGTCTGGTCCGCCGTCGCGCACTTTGACACCCGCTAGTGGTCCGCCTTCCGGACCTCCATCTGTTGCTGCTTCCCCCGCTGCACCGCAAACGGGCTTTGCTTCTGCTTCCGCGCCTCCACCGTTGGGAGCACCGCCAACAATGTCTGGCCCGCCCAGTCGTCCCGCGACGAGTATGAGTAATGCGAGTAGTATTGATGACTTGCTCGGCGCACCCGGACCGAGAAAGGGAGGTACTGCAAAGGGCAAGAAGAGGGGAGGCAGATATGTAGACGTGATGGCCAAGCCTTGAGATTTTTTGTTGTCTTTTTTTTTCGAGCAGTCCTTGTTCTTTCTTTGTATCCTTTTTTTTGGAGCAGTGTAGGAATTTTTGTAGGATTAGCAATGAGTGAATCGGCAGTTATTGTCTTTGTATCTTTTTTTTGCATTGCATTGCATAGCTGTTGCCATGCTTGTTTCTTTTTTTTTTCCGTATCTCTGTGATTATTGTCTGTAACTCTTTCGTTTTTCTTTTTCTTTCTCTTTTTCACTCGTCTCACGAGATTGTTGCTTTGAGATGTGCGTATCTGGATATGCTTTATCCTTTTTACCAGACTTGTTCTCGCCTGTGGATTTTGCTCATGCCTTGTCTTTGGTTTTTTCCTCCATCGGGTGCTGGATTTTTCTACCTTTTCTCTGTTATATCGTGTCTGACTTATATACCTTTCTTGTAGCGTCCTCTCTGCCTTGCGTTCGAGAAGATGTGTTTTGCTTTGCTATCCTTGCATAACAAAAGGGACGTTGTGATTTGCTTTTCTTGCACACTTTTCTACGGATCCAAAGATAGCATAATACAAGACAGAGTGCGAGACATGAGAGCAAAATTCGACGAAACCAAAGTATACGCAAAGAAGACTGGTTTTGGAAAAGTAAAAATATTCTAGCAAGATGGTTGAGTGATGGCAGTGTCGGAAGAAAAAAAAGAGTATATATCTTATAGCCAGGGTTACATCCACGACTACCAAAGTCAGGCAACTACAGAAGTATTGCATTGCATTGTGCTTTTGAAAAGATTTATGACCAGCTATACTGGAGCTAGGTACGATTGTGTCGAGAAGAGTGGTGATGATCGTATCCTTGTGGCCAGGGAAACTACAGATGGATCAGTTTGGCCTGGGCAAACAGATATTTTATTGTATAGAATGAGAAAGCCGAGCCATTGTACTCTTGACTTGGAGTGATCCGAAGACGGACAAGTATCGCTTGACCAGCTTGTATCAGAGCATATCTGAGGTGAATGTTCGGTCGTATATGGCGCCCCAAGTCCGACCGCTACGCCTATCTCTAGGGGCGAAGAAAGCGAGTCTTGCATGTGTGCTAGGTCGGCGTTGTGTTCAGTGTTTCTTCTAGCTCTTTGATGTGGTAGATCGACGGTGTGGGCATAATCTAGTCGCTGGAAAGGTTTCCGGTACAATTTTTGGCACGACTGAACAAAAGCCGTCTCTGTGCCTTGTGGATTTTCGATCTGTTCGTTGTACGGATTGCCGGGGGTCTCGTATGGTTTGGTCCAATCTGGTTCTGTCAGTGTGCTCAATCGGTTTAGTTGTCTTGTACTCGAGCGAGCATCATGTCTAGGAGGATCTAAACATTGTTCCAGCAAACCTTGTCCAGAGCCTACCCTCAGATCTGACCAGAGAAATCCAGTCTACGTCAAGTGAACTTATGCTAACTGATGACAACCTCAGCGCTCTTACAAGGTCGATGATCTCTATCAGCTGTATTGTTTTTGCAGCTTATGGGATCGCAGAGGGCTCGTGCAGGGGTGGATGCTATGAATGCGCAAAGCCGACTGTCGTTGAGAAGTCGTGAAGCGTGGGAGCAGCCACCTGTTGTACAGAATACAAATGGACGAGGGGTCGAGGAGTTGAGGCATCTCTCTTCCAAGCTGGAGCTGGGAGCACAGCATACTTCAACACTCGTGTTGACTGTCCGCGGCCGACCCCTGCATGATCCTTGATTTTCGAATGTCTTGCCTTCAGGCGATTGTTGGCCCAACATCGACCTCAATTTAGCAAATTGAAATTGCAGCCATACTGCCGTTGGAGCGCCAATGTAGACACGTGTGGAATTAGTCTGTGGTCGTCCGATACACGTAACCACCTCCTTGTCTAGCGGCACCCGAGTGGGCGGAGTTGGCGAGAATCGTTTCGACCCCCACCAAAGCAGCTCGCCTTTGTTTGCGCAACTACCGCGGAGGTGCTAGACGGACGAAAGAAAGCAGAGGAAGATTCGTAAAAGTGGAAAAGGTCCTTCTGCCATGATATTCTTGTGATTTCTGTCCTCATGGCAAAACATCGTCGATGGGATAAACACGATCGTTGATACCCAATTCTGGTGAACTGTTTGTTGTCCGTGCGAAGCAAGAGGTGTGAAGATCGAGGATTTGGCGGGGCAATGACACCGGAGTCTGACGGGAGAGAGCCGTGCACACTGACATCACACCAGGCCATGTGGTTTTTGTCCCACCATTGGATCATTTTGAGCTCCTGCCACGAAAAATGTCGCAGCATGTCGGTGCCACAAACAAGCCAGAATTCGGCCCTTTCAACAGTAGCCCATTCAAACCTCGAATCTGCTGTGTTAGGGGCCGAATCGTTGTTGGTTTGTGTCTGTTGAGGCTCGTTGACCGGGCCACCTTCAAGCCCCACGACCCCGCCTATGAGGTCAGTAACAGAAAGGTGGTGAAGCTGCAGGACGACCGAGGGGACTTAGCAGAAAATATGACCTCAGCCCATCCAGCGGTAACGAGTGAACGGAGGAAGCTTCTTTTTAAATAGCTATCTCTTCCCCTGCACATCCTTTCCTCTCTCCATCCTCTCTTCATACCAATCCATCTTCCTCTTTCTACCAACAACCCCCACCAAATCACATCAACATGCCTATCTCTATTCCCAAGGGCGAGAAGCTTATGGACCTGCTCTCCATGAAGGGCAAGGTCGCCGTCGTCACCGGTGCCTCCGGTCCCCGTGGTATGGGTATTGAGGCCGCTCGCGGTCTCGCCGAGATGGGTGCCAACGTCGCTCTTACCTACGCTGGCCGTAAGGAGGGTGGTGAGAAGAACGCCGCCGCTCTCGAGAAGGAGTACGGCATCAAGGCCAAGGCCTACAAGCTCGACGTCGCCAACTACGAGTCGTGCTGCCAGCTCGTCAAGGACGTCATTGCCGACTTTGGCCAGATTGACGCCTTTGTCGCCAACGCCGGCAAGACCGCCGACTCTGGTATCCTCGACGGCGAGATCTCCGCCTTCGAGGAGGTCATCCAGACCGACCTTATGGGTGTTGCATACTGCGCCAAGGCCGTCGGCCACCACTTCAAGGAGCGCAAGACTGGTTCTTTCGTCATCACCGCCTCCATGTCTGGCCACATTGCCAACTTCCCTCAAGAGCAGACCTCTTACAACGTCGCCAAGGCTGGCTGCATCCACATGGCCCGCTCGCTCGCCAACGAGTGGCGCGACTTTGCCCGTGTCAACTCCATCTCCCCCGGATACATTGACACTGGTCTTTCGGACTTTGTCGACAAGGACACCCAGAAGCTCTGGCACTCCATGATCCCCATGGGTCGTGACGGTGACGCCAAGGAGCTCAAGGCTGCCTACGTCTACTTCTGCTCCGACGCCTCCACCTACACCACCGGTTCCGACCTCGTCATTGACGGTGGCTACTGCGCCCGCTAAACAGATCGCTGGCTGATCTGTTTGGTGTGAAGTTGCATCTTCATCACGCCTCTCTTCTATCAAAAACTTAGTTAATTTACACTCATGACGTTCATGAAAATGAAAATATATTCCTCAGTCTATATTTCTTGATCCTTTGTCTCTACTTGTGCTATACTACACTTTCACCGACACTATACGAACACACAGTTGATGGAGGCTCCCAAGGCCCCTCTGAAGACTTGATAAGTAACCTCTGGTAGGAAAGAGATGCACTAAGATACACAGCACTAAACCATAATCTTTTGAGACCAAGAACTAACAATACTATAGACCTTACAAGCCGATGCCAACCGGATTCATACCTGAGCATCAATGTTCCTGAACAGTCATCCCGAAACAATTCCTTCCGTGAACCATGGACGCTCGTGTTCATATTCAGCTACCGTGATGTGATTACCGCCCTTCAGAGAAAAAAAAAGTCTGAAATGGAAGATTGGTCGACAAAGTGGGCGATTATCGCCGAGCAGAGACTTGACCACACTACAAGCGATGGACAAGAGTCAGCTCGACATACTTCGCAGATCAGATCCTGGCCAATATCGTGATGTTCACAGCACAGAGAAGACAAGGAAGCTACACAAGCAGAAAGCGATAATGAGATTCCTGTTTTATTTGACCAGAAAGCGCCATGTCAAAAATACACAAATGTCGTCAAACAGTCAGCCAAAGCCGGAAAGGAGAAAGGGGGATGATCAGGTCTGTAAGTCCATTTTCTTTCCTACCTATCCCTCAATCCTTCTTTTTATCTATCTTGCTAGCTCCGAGACTCACTATTCGAGAACATTGCAGTAACGATGAGGGTTATGTATCTAGTCTACTCATCTTCTCTTGGATCGGAAAGGAGTAACTCGAAGACAGGGCAAAGTCGCAAGAATAAGACACGACTTGGATGGTGCTTCCTGGTATGGTGTTTATAGGAAACACCATACAAACTTCATCTCCGAAAGCTCTCAGCCGGGATCGATAAACTAATTCTTTCGATCGCACGAGGATTTTAGAATTGCGAAACAGAACCTGCCTGGCAGATGTACCGGAGCAAAAGAACTTAAGCCTAAGCAATAACGTCTTTGTTTAACGCCTCTGTTTTACTATGTTGGTCAAGTTCATGCGCACTGCAATCCATAAGAACCTCACTCTCACTCAAAAGGGACTCTATGATATCCCTCTGCTCCACCCACAACTCTGCTGTCTTGATCTCAATCCAAGCAGCATGCCTGTTTAAAGTAAGCACATCGTCGTTCACACTGTGGCGGAGAGGGAAGGAAGTGAATCATCGAGTCGATGACTCCTTCCACCTACAGGCTATTCTCTTCAAGTCCTGTAGATTGAAACAATGTGTATCTCCGCTTCCCCTCTATCCTACCAAAAGAAGTGGCAAGAGACAGCAAGGAATCACCAACCTCGATTCCCCCTACACTTGAATCTCTGTTCATTCCTCTTTACACACGAATGTCGATGTAGCAGAATATTGGGCTCTTCGATGCTTGACGATCCAGCTGTTATTAAATGCAATCATGTCTGTCTGCAGATTATCCCTTGTCCAATTTTCCCAAGATTCTGTTTTCTCCTCCTATACAAAGTTTCTAACTACCGCGAGCAAAGCAGTACAAGCGGAATGAGAAAGATCAAGTACGACACAAATAGTGTTACAGGTATCTCAGAAAAAGGACTTTGCTATACCATCACATATAAATGTATGTTTACATTTACAGTGTATCACACCGCTTTGATTACATGATAATAACACATCTTGATACCTTACCCAGCCTTTGAGCTTTTGTACGCAGATGACCTACCGTGCGTGTACTTTTCAGGAAGGGAGGGCTACTACAATCACAAAGATATCAACATTGATACCACAGGTGCAAAAGGTTATACTCACTTTCACACACCAGAGCTGAGAGGTCGCTTTTAGTGTCCCTTGGACGTTTGGTAGAGGACAAAAGTAGATTGGAGTGAGTTAGGGGTGGGGGTGACTAGGTCCATAACTCCCATTGTCCCTGTCCCTTCTCTCCTATCCACAAGCCCTCGTTCTCGTTATACCGATTTCTGGGTTTGGAAATTCGAGCGGCGATGGAGAAAGGAGAGGGTCGGGGATCTGCATCTCCTACTTGTTCCTCGTCTTTTCTTGTCTCTACGCATAGTCAGAGGAATGTTGCAGGGCTGTAAGCATCACCATGGCTGCCACGCGCAGCACAGATCTCGCGGCTCTCCCACATCTTTTTCAATAAATTGAGGATCAGGTCGTCAAGGTCATGTTTTCTTGGATGTGTCGGGATTAGGCAAGGGGTTTTATACTCTGATGTGGATGCAAGTGAGCCCGGAGTGACAGTATGCTATATCATATTCTTCATTCACTTTCTTGGCATGTGATAGGGATGCATATCACCTTGCCTTCTCTCCTTCTCGCCTTCTTGCCTTTCTGGGATTTCTATGCTTTTTATCTTCTATGCCACGGCGATCCCGTTGCCATTCATGACCACGTCTGCGATTCCATTTCCATTTCCATTTTCTTGTGACGCGATAGCGCCGCCACTAGTGCATCCAGGACAATTATGCACCACTTCATGGCAAAAGACATCACAATCGACGCAAAAGTGTCGCTCGCAAGAAGGACATTCGTAGCGTGAACTCTCGCTCGCGCCTTCTGCTCTTTTTTTGCTGTTGTTGTTNGCTGTTCTGTTTCCTTACCTCCACTCGCTGCTGCATCAGTGACCTTTGGCGGCACANGGAAAGGGATTTAAACAGCCAAAACATCTGCTTGATTTCTTTTCCGTGGCTCGCTGCCAAGAGACTTCGTTCCAGAGTAACAGAGGAAACAAATGGTGATAACTCCTCGCCAAGTGCGTGGACAGAATAAGCGTCAAGTCGCAGGCTGGACATGTTTGCGGTAGCGAGCAAACTTTGGCATTGCAGCGCGAGCAATTGTATCCGCCTTGGGTGAGTACACCATGGCAAGCACACAATGTAGCGACAACCTCGGTATACCTCGACGGAAACCCCATCTGCAGCAACGCAGAAGCAGAAGTTGCGGCAGAGGAAGCAGCAGAAGTGCGCATGACAGGCGGCGTGGTGATTTGCATGAGCAATTCGCGGTAATGCGGTTCGTCGAGGGCGACATTGTAGCTGCTTTGATCTCCTGCGTTTGTGCGCGCGCAGAGGTCTGCGCAAATGTGCATTTGGGCTGCTAGGCCGATGACTGTGACGCGGAGTTTGTCTTTTACGCAGGCGTTGATGGTGCTGTGGATGTCGCCCGGGTCGGAGGAACTGAGTGCGCCGAGGATGATGACCACTTCCCTAGTGCCGTGTGAGGGTGTGTGGTATAAAGCTGCTCTTGCCATTTCCAGCGCATTCTGTAGACTTGCTGCGCCTTTGGGCTCTGTGCTCCGCAGCTCTTTCAGTGCTTGAATGTGATCGTTGGGGTTGCCGCTGAGCTCTGAAATCCTCACTGCCAGTCCATCTCTCATGCCCAAGATACCCAACTGCGAAATGGGATTCTGCTCAAAGAACTCCCGAACAAAGGCCATGGTATAAGTAAGCGTGAGCAAAAACCTCGTGGGCCGTAGATCCTTCTCCAGCATGGCAGCACTCAAATCCAGCACCAGCAAACAATGCCGTATAATGCCTCGTTGCAGTGGCGTGGTATCTTTNTGCAATCGTAGTCTTTTGGTGGCTTCTTCCATGCCGCCCAGCACAGAAGTGAGATTGCCATCGCTGCCTTCGTGTAAATCCCAGTTCTTTTGCGCGCCGGCTTCCCAGCGTTGTGCACGACTGCTGCTGGAGGTTGTGGTGGCGGTTTTGGCCTTGCCCGGGTCTTGGGTGCGTGAGGGATGGGTGGAGCGAGAGGAGCGGGTGTTGAGGTCTTCGTTTGCATCGTCGGACATGTCCATGTCGTAGTCGACGTCGTGGTGCGCCATGCTGGGCAGTGTTGCCTGTCGTGTGTGTATTGGTGGATGGAAGCGTTTATCGGAGGTGGAAGTGAAACTAGGATATGTTGCGATGGTTATCCAGGGCGTAGCTGATCGTGCCGGTCTGGTATGCTTGATGCGATTGGTTTGTTGCGATGATGCTTCACTGCAACATGTTTACGCTGATGGACCTTTCTCCAGATTTCACATCGCGCGCGTCATAGCATGCATAATTCACTCTTTTGCGCAATTATGCTCTGTTTTATGCTCATGCACCAAATCACTCACAATTGTTACAGGACATTGATACACAAACGACTTCGTATGCTTGAGAATACAAGGAAATGAGTCTCAATGCAAAGTGAGACATTCAGAACTGCTATCTTATCATCCTCCTCCTTCTGTTTGGGTATTGAAAGGAAAGAAACAAAAAGAAATGATTCGAGGAAAACACATTAATGAAAATAAAAGAAAAGAGTCATTAGGGTGAGGAAAGGGATAAAAATCAATCAATCCAACGCCGTGCTGCGTCATGGTATGATAGTAAAAGAGAATATGAAGAAATATTCCAAGAATGGTAGTCGTGCTCGCGGGTATAAATGGCGTCAACAAGTGTGCGGTCGGGGTTTGTGGTTGATTGTTTTAGTTGTATGTGCTGGTCTCAGTGGAGGGGAGAGGCCAGTCGTCTTCGGTGATACTGGACCAGAAGACCCAGATCATGATGATGGAGAGAAGGGTGAAGAGGGTTTCAAAGAGTCCTCCGTTGATGGCTCCATTGGTCGCATTGCAGAGATGTACGCTGATGACGTATTGGAAGATCTGTCCGATGGCGAAGAGGAGCATTGCGGCGACGAGGTACACNTGCAAAGACATGTCAGTAATGTTCTCCCGGACAACAATGACGCCAAACTTACGCATGGGTCTAATCTCGCCGAGAACTCTGACGACAATGAAAGCCTCGAGGATAAAGAAGATGCTGAGGAAGACCAGAGGCACAAGCTGATACAACGTGTAGAGGGCGTATGCGCGGTTGGGTGCAACGAGCGTGTCATCCCAGTATCCAGTCCAGCTGAAACCGGTGTCGAGCGCAATGTAGCCAGTGCCGACAAAGAGGATAGCGGCCGAACCGAAGATCAGAGCGAGTGAGACAAAGGTTCCATCGTCCAAGAACTGATAGCCGACGGCACCGTTCATGAGAAGGATCCAAGTAGTCGCAATGATCGAGGCAATGTGTACGGCAGTGAAGGCNCTAGTCTTGTCAGTCTTTGCATCTTGAGAGGCTCCATGCCGCAGAGAACTCACCCGTCGCACAGCGCCATCAAGAGGGAACCAGCCGATGGTGAAGATTTCGCAGATTGAGATGATGATGAAGCCGACGAGGAAGAGTTGCATTTCCCTNAGGACTGGTCAGCTTGTGTTGGAAATGGCAGGGCGAGAGCTGGCATACCTTCTGCCGACAGCAGCGCGCTTTCTGTTGGACCTCCAGATCAGGAACAGGGCGATGAGGATGGCCAGACCGTCGATCAATATGGAACCCAGGTTGGCAAGATGTCTTCCTCCTCCCAGCGAGATGCCCCGTAGATCGCATCCGCCAAAGCCATTTCCTCCTCGTGATGCCGACTCGGCAAAGAGNCTGTCGCAAAGGGTCAGTTGGGGGTAGATGGTGGTGGCATGTTGGGCAGGTCGTACATTACACACTGGCAGGGTTGAGCGCAAGCTGCCCGTGTCGCGACAAAAGTCNCTATGGGCGACGTGTCAGAATGAGTATATACACAGTGAGCGAGGTGGACGTACGTGAAATTTGCCGTATTGGGTCATGTCTGGTGTTTGCAGGCGTTGGGCGCCTCGTCACAGGTCGTGTTTATTATGGGTGAGTTGTTGTACAGCAAAGGTCGTCGAGGCAGGAAGCGAGGGAATGGCAAGGCACAAGTGAACGTGTGAGTCTCTGTGAGCGAGTCGTCGTCGAGGGTCGAGGGTCGAGGGTGCGGTCAAAGACTTCTCGCGGATACAAGTCGCAGGGCTGGCACTGGCACTGGCACTGGCACTGGCTTGACGCTGGACCGTCTGGCACTGACACTTTGGCTCTCCTTTGCTGCACTTGCGGTACACCCGCCAAGCCACGAGTCTAACCACTTGCACATTCCCAGGGCGCGCCAAACAGGCTTTGGACTCTTTCGGTGATGCCATGAACTGGTTTCGCCATGATTAGCACCCCGAGCAACCCGTCATTAGCCCGACCACTAGCAAGCCCATCTCCCGCTCTCATCCAGAGACTCCTTTTGCCATTCTCTGTCTTGAACATGTTCGAATCTTCGGTATAAGGCCGTTTCCTGTTGCTCCCGGAGACACTCCCCAAGCAACCACCTCAGATCTACGTCAGTCCGACGGCCCATCTCAAAACGTCTTTCTATCTTGTATCTCTTGCTGTGATCTGGGTGGCTGGTCATCTAACAAGGGGAGGCCAAGCTTCTGCATCCCGCCCTCCCGCTCGTTTAAACACTCCACCGCCGAGCCAATCGTGAGCTTCGACTCAAGCGCTCTTGCCCTGCCTGCCATCTTCAGCTCAAGAACACCCTTGCGACACACTCCTTTCTTCTGCTCCTCTTTGCAGACACCATCTCTTGTAGCCAACACTGTCTGTACATCTTCAGCTCACAATATTCTCATCTCAAAATCTCCAAACAATTTTCCAAGGCTTCACGACTCCCGCATCCACGGCACATGACATATAACAATTCGATAGTTCTCGTGCTCACCCCTCAGTCATGCTTTCCCAACCACCTGCTTTTGATCTTTACCCCATCCCGTGTTATGCTCAGCTCTACTCAACCACAATACTTCCCCCCTCCGTGTAACCATAATCTTGCATGCATGGCCTTGTTCCTGCATGTGTCGAAGAAGGCCATCACTCCCGCCATCCCGGGAAGCGACTGCTCTGCATGAACCCAATTTCCCCTGTCAAAGCAAATTTGTCGCATGTGGGTGCAACAGCCAACCATTTCTTCAAGAGCCGGGGAGCCTTGCGTCAAAAGTTTGTTGCCGACTACAGTGCTTGCAGTTTTCGAAACATGGTCCTTGTTGATGTGTGCCTGTATATGCTCAAGGTGTGCATATGTGTTCGGTGGTTTGAGAGATTTGCGCATTAGGCTTGCAAACTCCTGCGTAAATCTTCCAGGACTTCTGCTACCATGATTGCTTTTTCCTCGCCGTAGTGTCCCGTCACGAGTTGCACGCCAATTGGCATGCCTTCCACCAGGTCCAAATCGTACTGCGAGTGATTGAACTCGTCACTCTTGTTCTTTGGCGAATACTCCTTCCATCCTGCACAAGCTTCAACACTGTCCAACTCCTTGTCTGCAATTACTCCAGTCGGCACAGCCAATGCAGAGTAGTCGAGCAAATTCCAATGAGCACTGTATCCAACGTATTGATTGCTGACAACCCATTGCTTGGGCTTGTAGCCCACCCAAGGCAACACAGGCGCAATAATGGCATCAACACCTGACTCGAGCATCTTCTCGGCATACATCTGTTTGTACTCTAGAATCTTGCGAGCTAGAGCTTGTCGTTGAGCTACATCGAGCTTGTGCTCGGGTTTACCGACTAGCATGCCTTCGATGAGTGGTTGAGGTGGATCTGACAGATTGCTGGCGGCTTTGCAGCCTTCGCCGCCGTCGGCCAGAATGGCTGGTTCCCAGAGCTCGGAGTAGGATGTTGGTTGTGAGGATGCGTCCCAGTCAATGCATTCGTGACCGGCTTCGGTAAAGAGTTTGCGGACGTGATTCATTGCTCGCTGGACGGGTGGCTGAGGTAACACGTATCCATCATCGTGGATGAAGCCGAGTTTGAGCTTCTTGCCGGCCGCGAGCTTGGTAAGTTTTGTTCGCCAGGGAATGGGAGGGAGACTAGGGTCGATTTGCCAGGGGCTGCTCGAGCAGTAGGCTTCCATGTATGTCTCGAGTGAGTCCAGGGACCAAGTCAAAGGCCCGGCGACAGAGGGAATCAGGTACTCCTGGTGGTTGGCGGCTCTCCGCCATGATACTCTGGAAGCAGACGGACAAAGACCATAGATACCCTGCAGAGTAGCCGGGATACGGATTGATCCTCCGATATCAGTTCCAATACCGATGACCGAGCCACGTCCACCCACCAATGCTCCCTCTCCACCTGACGAGCCACCCGAGACCAATCCACGATGCAGAGAGTTGACGCTCTGTCCAAAGACATGATTGTAGCTATCCGACATCATCATGCTTTGCGGCACATTAGTCTTGACATATAACACAGCTCCCAGTCCCACAGCCTGAGCGACGGTAGACACACTATGCTGCTCAACAGGCTTGAAACACAAACCCGCCCAGCCAACACAAGAATCATAGCCTTCCACCTCACAACAATCCTTCAAGGAGATAGGCAAACCATGCAGAGGCCCAATCGTCTTTCCAATGCGAGCAAACTCTTCATCCAGTCTTTCGGCGGTCTCCAAAGCATCGCCAAACATGAGCTCCGTACAGCATTTTGTCAATTGCTGTAACACGGCAGCTCGTTTGCAGAATGCAGTGACGACCTTGACAGCTGTAAGGTCTCCGGTTTGTAGCCTTGGGACCAAAATTGATGCGCTGGTGTTTGTGATTTCTAGTTCCTCGTCGCTCAGAATACCACAGCTTTCGACGATTGGAATGGATGATTTGTAGTCATCAGGGAGTGTTTTCAAGCGCCAGGTGAATGGGATGTTTCCAGCTTGTAGCTCGCGCTTGAAGTGGCAGATGTCTTGCCAACTAGACATGCTGAGTATTTTATGAAACAGAGAGAGCTAGGAATTTCCAGAGAAGGAGGGGTTGTAGATGGAAGAGGGGTGGACGGTGATGATGAAAGATCATCTTATCAATCTACCCTAGCAACGAACCACTTTTCATTCGGCATCAGGCTCATGGACTGGAGATTTATGCAGCGATTATGTATATGACGACGCCAAGCTCTACCATCCGTCAGAGCTTCGTTCCTTCCCAGAGGTACCAGGTATCAACTGCAGTTCTTTCACCCCTCATATGCTCTTCTCCTGTAAAAGAAAAAACAGCCTCTCAACTTTTTTCAACGACTCGCTAGTGCACTTTGGGGACTATGGCTGCCCAGGTCACGACGGTCTTTGGATTTCATCGTGGTACTGTCTGGTTCCTTGCAGGTGAGCCGGCAGACTGGGCGTCTGTAATGCAGACCGATCCCACTCTTCCTTGACTCCACCACTTGTGGCATAAGCNTCTGCTGCCATACCGACTTGTGGTAAACGAACAGCAGCAGACAGAGAAGACACGACAATATCACCATAAATATCCTCAGCTCCGTATTCAGTTGGTTGCGAAAGCTCAAAGTACTTTTCGGACAACTCGGACGCATCGTCTCGTATGTCCCGGAATCTGACAGCTGCGTCGACCATGCGTCGTTTGCAACCTTTCACATCTACGATTCTGATTTCTTCTACCGTCATCATAAAGTGCATGGCGTAGTTGCTAGTGTTGACAAGGTAGTATGTACGTGCTCTCGCCATGCCTCCAGGTGTCGTGGGCTTTATGTCATTTACGAATCGATCTGGGACTGCAAATCCATTAGTGTCGTCCCACGTTAGGAAATTCCGGATAACTCATATNGGATCTACGTTGGTTCCATTTGCAAATTCAAACAGGACGTCGATTGCATCTTCCAGTTCTTGTATGTGAATTCCGAAAATTTCGCTGGCCTCCCGAGCACATTTGGCATGCCCTGGAAATTTGGTGTCGAGGTCGCCGATTCTGATTGCCGGGAGTATTGCTTCAGCAAGCATCAGTAAGTGATCGCATATCTCGCCGCACAGACCCCTGATGTAGGGATTGGTTGATGCCGCATAATCCTGGATTGCGTCCCATGACGGATCCTCAGACAGAGTACTATTGCTGGAAGGTTGAGTACAGAAAATCATTGAGAAGATGGATGCTTGATATACAGGCAATATTTGCTGCTCTCGCTGATTTATGTGCGCTGGCCAGTTTGCTGACCGCGTGGTAGAGACCAGCTCTTTCATGTTCTTCTACTACAGGCTAAGCAGCAAACCTCGATACTGACAAACGATGAGGTCTGAGCGTGCATTATCCCTTGCATCGCAGACGATGCTCTCTGTCCCTTACACCTCATAAGAGCATCCTGTCTATGTTCTAGCGTGCAATGGTTGTGGATCTCTCTCGCAAAGCCGGAAAAGTAATAAAGCAGTCAATCGACTCTCTAGGGACCATTGTGAGTTGTATCCTGATCGCGCAATGTCAACACTGCTAAACGATTGGCCACATCCTCGCCAGTTCTATTCGGTATCGATTTTGAGCAGACAAGATATCTTCAACAAAGCCCTCGCTAACGAGTCAATCTAGAAGCGAAAGATAGACAGTACGAGGAGCGAAGGATTATACATATGTCGCCAGGGCGTGCAGCAACACGACGTCAAGTGGCACCTAACCTTTGAGATTTCTCCACCAAAATGCACGCCAAGCACTAATTTCTTCCGCTCCCGTGTCCAGGAATAACAACACTCTGCACCGCTCGATCCTTTCAAGAAGAGTCGCCTGACTATTGATTTTGCTAGGTGTGATGATCTGAAGAGGTTCTGGTGCCTGAGAGCTATAAGATGGTGCTCCGAGCCAGGCCGGGACCCTGGATCAACACCGACCTGAGTTTGACGTTCGACTATCCTTGACGAGATATACCACATCTTGTTCATACGTTCTCTACATCAATCGTCACCATGAAGACAGCATCCATTGCCACAGCTGCTACTGCTTTCCTCACCACCATGGTCGAGGCTGAAGCTTTCACTCTCAAGCTCCGTTCTACTACTCCTGGTGTGAACGACGCTCCCCTGGTCGCTTGGAACGGCATGTTCATTGCAGGATTACCCGGCAACAGCACTACCGCAACTTGCCCTCCTTGGGACGCCAATTGCCCTGGAAAAGACACCACCATCTTCTCGGGACCCACTGTCGATGGCCAGCCCACCCAACTGTGGATGGGTATCCTCCAGGAGCACGGTCAGCGTGTCTACACTCACGCTCACCCCGACAGACTCTTCGAAGGACACTATGGCGACTTGATCAGCTACACAGCCGCAGGCAACGACGAGTCAGCCAACGTGCCCAAGGTTGACGAGTACGGCGATCTCTTCGCCATCAAGACATGGGACAACGATGACGGTCTGCTGGGTCTCAAGAGAGGCGAACGTGTCCTCGCTCATGGATCTGGCAGCTCCGTCGTGTTTGACCTCTGCAGTCCGCAATTCGGCAACCATCCTGGACCAAACACTCTGATTCTCTCTACCATCAGCAAGTGGTGCACGCCTGCCGCACTCATCGTCGAGGACACCGACGTGGCTGCTCCTCAGTTCTACAACTGCGATGGCTGTGAGTTGAGAGGTGCGAACCTTGCCAATGGACCTGCTTGCGGCATTCCGTTCTGCGGCAGCAACAACTACTTCTGGTGGAACTAAGTTTGGTATGAAGACTATCCATGAGAGTTCATGGCGGTGCCTGCTGGATCACAAGAGTTTAAGAGGCTAGCCGAGCATGAGAGTGCGTCGTGGACCTCGACAGCCACCTCGGCCTTTCTCTTTCCCCATAATGGTCTTCTGACAAGCTTGCCCACCCGTTGTTCTCACGACAGAACTTATTCTTTACTCATCGAGTTGCATCATCTAACGATTACATGATCTCAATCAAAAACATTCCTATGCACATGCCCTTCTCCCGTTGCCTATTTTGCTTTTGTGGGACACTTGCTCATGACATTTTTGTATATAGTTATTCTTGGTTGTCGATGTGATCTAATCAACAAAGAGTCATCATCTTGAGCCACACCGATGCCGTACTATTAGCCACCTTATGTCTGGCAGCGTGTGGACGGGGTTTCCCAAGGCTGGTTCCACCACGATTTGGGAAGTCCAAGGGGAGGAGATGACAGGGGTCAACGATGCTACTGTTTTTATGTGTCCCTGGTCTCTCTGCTTTCCTACAAATCGTTAGCAGAGGAAACATTGGCTTCGTTGTTGCAGGTATTCGGAAGCAAGGACGTTGACCTGATGACATGTGTTCCTCACCGATACTCCGAACAGACTGCTCCAATATCTCCAGACGTGTGCTTGAGCCGGGAGAAATTATCGCCAGGAGACCAGAAGTCGAAATTCGGACGGAGCTTCGATGCAGACGTTGCTGAATGGCCAGAGCTAATACAAACGAGGTATATATTCATACACCTCGATCTGGTTGGTTTTCGAAGACTGCTAGCAAGTAAGGTGTGGAGCTCGTGGTACACACCACTTTGTCTTTCAACGGCGAGCTTCAGTTGTCTTCCACATCCGCTTCTCTATATCGTTGTCTTTCACAAGGCTAATCAAGGAAGCAATGACTCCGATACCAATACCCGTAACTAAATTAAGGAGAAAAAGAGTTGCCCGCCTATATGCCATGCTGAAGCAGTGAGAGGACAAGAGATAGGCAGATTTGCTATCAAAGTCGGACCCTCAATGCAACATGGAGTCGACTAGATACAGGCATGCTCTCTGAGTTTTTGGCTCGAGTGAGGGCCTTCGTCAAGGGGCATGAGAATGATGAGACTACTACCTGTTCGTTGTCACGAAGACAGTGAAGACATCACCAGGTCAGTGACATTCTGGTTTTCGGTCTGGCTCTTCTGCACCTGATCTAGAGAACGTGATTTCTTGGAGTTTCAGAAGTGATTGGGGAGTCATGGACCTGGTTCTCTTCGAAGTGCTTATGAAGGGAGGGGGCTCGATCCGGTTCTTCAGAAGGGGAACTCAACTCTGAGGTTTATAATACTGATGCAAAGTCCGTGGGTTGGGGACCCGCAGATACGACCACCGCCACAGCCGATTACGTTCACCACCGTAGCTATGTGACGGTTCGAATACAAGGATCTTCCACTGCAAGTCTCTATCCTTCCAAGACGTATATTGAATCGATACTGTCGCTTTGAACTCAAGTCAGGCATAGTTATTGAGACGACCCTGTCAGTCACGATCTTTGGCCGCTCGGGAGAGACACTTTGACCCGCCGACGCTCCGTTCCTCCGCGGGCCGATGTCTGACTTGCCGAACAAAAACAAAATGAGCTTGCCGTTCGAGACGCGTTGTCTACTCGAGATGAGTCCGAACTGCTCACCATGACGCCGATTCATGGGCAGTTGGCAACGAACGTCATGAATAATTGTATGCTTCTTCCAAAAACTTGCCGTGCCGACTCCGGTGTGCCCGAGGGGCATGCATCATAATTCGGTCAATTGCCCTCTCTTCCATACATCCGTCTCTCGATAGCCGAAGCTGTACTCAGCTTGACCTCAGCGACACGTCGTTGCGCCATCTTCTTCAACTATCTTCTCATACATATTCTAATACCCGTCGACCACCACAATGGCCTCCCTTTCCCGCTCGGTCTCATCATTGGCCTTCAGCTCGAGACATGCCGTGCTTAGAATTGGCTCTCGAGTGCCGCGTACTACACATGTCAACAGGGTCAGCGGCACCTACACACCAATTGGATGGCGATTTGGGAGCAGCGCTGCAATCCCGAGAAAGGAGCCCATCGCCGGTGATGCCCAGCCCCCTGCAAAGCTGGTCGGCAACTCAAAGGTGTACAAGAGCGCAGAGGACGCAGTGGCAGACATCAAGAGCGGCTCCACCATCCTGAGCTCTGGCTTCGGTCTTTGCGGTGTTGCAGGTGCGTCTTCCTTGCCAACAGGAGAGTCATAATCGCAGCCTAACAGCTCTCGACAGNAAACCATCATCCAAGCAATCGCCAAAAGAGGACCTAACGAGGTCACCAACCTGACGGCAGTCTCCAACAACGCCGGTGTGGGAGATGGTGGTCTTGCTTCCCTGGTCAAGTCTGGCCAAGTCACCAAGCTGATCATCTCATACCTCGGCGGTAACAAAGTGCTCGAGAAGAAGTATCTGACTGGAGAGATTGGCATCGAGTTGTGCCCGCAAGGCACTCTTGCCGAGAGAATCAGAGCTGGCGGTGCAGGCATCCCAGCTTTCTTCACTCCTACCGGTGTCAACACGGCCATCATGACTGGTGACATCCCCGTCAGATTCGGTCCCCCAGCTGAGGGCTCCACCGAGCTTTCCGTGGTCGAGACTGGTACTCCTCGCGAGACTCGCGTCTTTGATGGAAAGACGTACAACATGGAGCGTGCAATCAAGGGCGACGTCGGAGTCTTGAGAGCATGGAAGGTCGACGAGGCTGGCAACTGTCGCTTCCGGTAAGTCTGATAATCCACAATTGTTGCAAGTCTAGACTTCTGACATTCGTACCAGCNNTACACGACCCAAGCCTTCGGTGTCCTCGTCGCAAAGGCCGCCAAAATGTCCATCGTCGAAGCTGAAGAGATTGTTCCTGTTGGCTCCATCCACCCCGACGACGTCCACCTCCCCGGTATTTACGTCGACCGCATTGTGCCAGCCACGGCCGAGAAGGGTATCGAAGCCAGAATGACCCGCGCTTCCGAGAACGCCTCGACCGAGTCCGCCCCTGCTAAGGAGAAGTCGCCTGCCCTGGTTAGAAGAGAGAGAATCGCCAAGCGCGCCTCGAAGGAACTGCACAACGGCATGTATGTCAACCTCGGTGTTGGTATGCCTACCCTGGCCCCCTCTTTCCTCAACCCTGATGTCAAGGTCTGGATTCAGTCCGAGAACGGTCTTCTCGGTCTTGGTCCTTATCCCACTGAGGAGGAGGTTGACGCCGATCTCATCAACGCCGGAAAGGAGACTGTCACCATGGTTCCTGGTGGTGCCACTTTTGACTCTGCCGAGTCTTTCGCCATGATCCGTGGTGGACACGTTGATGTCTCTATCCTTGGAGCTCTTCAAGTCAGCGCCAACGGCGATTTGGCCAACTACATGATTCCTGGCAAGGTCGTCAAGGGCATGGGAGGTGCCATGGATCTCGTGTCCAACCCTGAGCAAACCAAGATTGTCTGCTTGACTGACCACGTCGACAAGTACGGCAAGCCCAAGGTCGTGCAGGAGTGCTCGCTGCCTCTTACCGGAGCTCGCGTAGTCAGCACCATCATTACAGACATGTGTGTCTTCCAGGTTGACCGCAAGGACGGTGGTCTCACTCTTACCGAATTGGCCGAGGGCGTCACTGTCGAGGACATCAAGGCCAACACTGGTGCATCATTCACGGTTGCAAAGGACATCAAGTCGATGGAGTAAACTCTTGTCTTTTGAGACGACCCAACAACCCTGGTTTCCCTGGCTTCTTTCCGAGTTCGACGGCGATCTACATTGCTGCCCAGTCTGGGACAGCTGGGCACGGCAGCTTGATGGATTGAGAGAGCCTAGCGTCCTTGACCTGCTCAATGACCTGCTCACCCGCGCTCAGCCGTTAGTGCTTTGCTCATGAGTAATGTCAGGATACACGAACGCATGGACAGCAAGACCCAAGCATTTTACAATAGAAAGGAGTATAGAGTGTACATAGCGTTTGGCCGTAGATCTGGCGTATGGGGCGAGTGTTTTTTTGGATATGGGAAAAAGCATAGTCAAAAATCAAGTTTCTTCGAACCTTTCGCGGCGTGTTTCAAGCATCTGTCGTGATCTGTAGCGGTCAAGGGGAGCAAAAGGGAGGCTTGTGTTCCATTCAAGAAGACCTTTGTGGCGGAAACGCCGAGGTTGACATGGCCTCCAATACGGAAGGCAGCCCCCCAGATGAAAACATATCTGTACTTGAAACTCATGACATCTTCATCCCTTATTCACATTGTAAGAAAATAGATAGACGTGCTTCTTTCTATTTTGTCGAGGATATATTGACCACCCGACGTCACATCAGTGTAAAATTGATTAGTATTCACATTGAGCAGATCCAAAAGAAAGCCAAGACCATGCTTCCGGATTGGGATCCATGAGTGAGGCTCTTTTCTGGATGGTTGAGTGCCTCATGGGACACCAGGGACTACAACAAGTGTGCAATGACTAGAGCAGCAAAAAGCCCAAAGCTTTTTCTGGAGCAGAGCAACTTCCTTTGCTCCGCTGGTATTCATTGGATGTACAAGCCAAAGCAATTGCCAACATAGGCAACAAGGGTAACGCCATGTCCATCTCTCACCTTCTGCAGCTATGACCCTTGTGTCACTGTGCTACTCTGGGGTTGTCGATCAACGCTCTAGCCGAGTGATGGTATAGCACCAGCCCGCGCTTCGCACCGCATGCGTGGTGTTGAACAGACACAGACTGTAGCGGTCTCTGGACTTGCTAGTTGACAGCTGAGGTCTTAGTGAGTCACAAGACAGACGTCTTCTTAGACTTTTGTTGGTGTGACAGTCCGCACATAGGAACTATCTATCACTGAATCAATAGAACGTGTACACACGGTCGGATCTACCCAGGAGATCTGCAGTATCCGGAGATGAGATGCGCAGGCATCCCCGGATTGGGCGCATACTGTTTGGTCTCTTTTGCTGCTTGCTCACAGACTGTCGTTCATACATTGTGGATGTTGTTTGTTTTAGTTTGATTGCCAGTATAGTGGCATCACGAATGTAGGAGTGTGGCGACTCTGGTAAGATAGTTCGGCGGAAGTAAGAGCTGAGGGGTGAGCTTTCCTTGAGGCTGAAAGACTCTTCCGATGAATCTCGTTGACAACTAGACATTGGAAAGAACGAGCGTCGCGTTACCTACAGAAACGAGTGTTGATATCTGTCTCCATCAATCATTGAGTTGCTTTTTCATCACGACCTTGTCAACATCATTGACTCTCCATCCTTGAGCGTCACATTCATCCAACAAGCGCCCTGCAAACCACTGCACTGCCAGTCTGTGCCGGCAATCATCCAGTCGCCAATCTCCTCATCAAATTCGTAGCTGTCTCGGTCGACAGGCCGTTTCTTTGACTGCTTCACGGTCCACCGGCACTTGCTCACGTGGAAGAGGCCAAGCTTTTTCTGATCCACATCAAGCATCTACCTATATTCTAATCAGGATCAGCAGTCAGTACTCACACTTATATGACTCGGTCATTCTTGGAGACGCCTATGGCCAATGGGCGGCTCAACAGCATGCAACCTCTACATACCTTCCCCAGACACTGACTCGTCATGAAGTCCCTTGATTGCAACTAACCTCAAGCTGTGCCTGTCACGGACCAGCAGCATGGTCTATCGAAATCAAGTCGAGATGGGTCTCAGGAGAGCTCGAGCAGATACCAATGATCGCCCCGTCGAGATGAATATATAATATCTGAGGACGCCGAACTCTAGCAATCCATCTCAGCATCAACTCCTTCACTCTCTCACCAACCTTTTCCTTCTACACAAGGCTTCCACTCTTTACGGGCCCTTTCTTCACTCTTTAATCCAACAACCTCGAAACTTTCGACACAATCATCATGCGTTTCACTCAGGCTATCGCTACTGCGATTCTCTCGTTCTCCATGGCCTCGGCCCTGCCTATCGTACAATCTGGAAGCATCCTCGGAAACGTTGGCAGCGGAGTTCACCCTACTGTCAACTCGGCTGGCACCACAGTCGATGGAGTTGGAACTGTTGTCGACGGAGTTGCCGGCATTGTTGGAGGCGTCTCGACCACCCTTGGTGGTACTGGATCTACCGTCAACGGCCTTGGTCAGCACGTTCAAAACTCCAAGCGTCAGATCCTTGGTGGTGTTCACCCGATTGTCAACTCAGCCGGCACCACAGTCGATGGTGTTGGTACGGTCGTCGATGGAGTAGCTGGCATTGTCGGAGGCGTCTCTACTACGCTCGGCGGCACTGGCTCTACCGTCAACGGCCTCGGTCAGCACGTCGAGAACGCTAAGCGCCAGATTCTCGGTGGCGTCCACCCCACTGTCAACTCGGCTGGCACCTCTGTCGATGGAGTCGGTTCAGTCGTTGATGGAGTTGGCGGTATTGTTGGTGGAGTCGGCCTCACTGTAGGAGGTGTCGGTTCTACTGTTAACGGTGTCGGTCAGCACGCCGCTGGCGAGAACGTCCTCAAGCGTGATGGCGTCCTTGGTGGTGTCCACCCCATTGTCAACTCAGCCGGTACCACAGTCGATGGAGTTGGAACTGTTGTCGACGGAGTTGCCGGCATTGTTGGAGGTGTCTCGACCACTCTCGGTGGTGCTGGCCATGTCACTAACGGCCTTGGTGAGCACCTCGAGCACGCCAAGCGTTCTCCTCTGCTCGACGCTGTCGTCGGCAACCCCCTTGTCCAAGGCGTAACTGGCACAGTTGGCTCTCTCGTTGCCGGTGTTGCACAGGGCGGCATTCCCGCAGCTCTTAGTGATGTCACCAAGGGTGTTACCAAGCGCTCTCCCATCCTCGACAGCGAGCTCGGTTCCGGACTTGCAGGCGTCGGTGGCACAGTCGATGGCCTTACCTCAGGCGGTCTTGTCGGCGGCGTCAGCAACGTTGTCGATGGCCTTACTCGCCCTCTCCTCGGCAACTTCGAGCGCGACCTCTCCACTGGTGTAAACTCTGTCGTTGAGAACGTCGATGGCATCGTTCGCCCTGTCACCGGCGACGTCCTTTAAACCTGTTAATTCCACTACCTGATGAACACTCCATTACTTTCTTCCCGGACGGAAACAGCTACGATCATGAGGTGATTGTTGAGAAATTATGCACTCGCGGGTTGTGCGGGTTTTCCTTATGTCCATCCAGCTTTTTCAATGTACTATACCAGATTTAGTTTCTTATTATAATCCATTGACTTGCATACTTCAACTGTTTAAGTCGCTGTCTCTGTCATGGGGTTTCATCACTGTGATCCAGCATGTTTTTGATACAATCTTCTCATGTGCTGAAGTGCTCAGAGCGAGTGAACGCGCAATCGTTTGGGGAGTGAGACACCGGTGGAGGAAGAAGAACTGCATGATCGAATCGGTCTCCAAAGTTCGCATCGTGATGCGAATCATCACCACCAAACACCATTCAGAGCCGGACTCTGGGTCGTTCGAGAACTCGGTGACTCATCGACAACCACAATGTTGAACAAAACAAGGAATACGGCCGTCTAGCAGACCGACTCTCATTGACAGCCAAAAACGAAGTGGCCGTCGTTCAAACGCCGTCTCCTTCCAACGCATTGTCGAGCAGCCATCCGACTCGCCAGAATGCGCGAAAAGCAGTCCGAACCTGTGCATTGGGTCTTCTCGAAAGGCATAGCACTGCCAACCACTGAACTGGGACGGGGACAGGTCTCGAACAAGCCCGTACAACTCGCTCGCACACGCCACGACCCAAAGCGAGAATACAGAAAGAGATGGCCAAGCAAACAATGCGTCGAATGGAGAGACTAGACGAGGATCCGCCTACACTCCAGCACCATAAGGAAATCTAGTATCGCTATCGCAGTTGACAGCAAGTAAACGGCTTGAAGGAGGCGCTGTCTGGCTCGTTTACGTGCTCAAGAGGCAGATCACGTCAAGATGGCAGTGGAGTTCGGCAGTCGCGATATCCTTCCAACAAGACCGCCAAGTAAGTTCTGTTATCGCTAGGTCCTTGTTACTATGATCTATTAAGTCAATCTTCCCTTGGCTTGAACTTCTGAGATGGAGCGCTCAGCGTCCGTTATGGTCGACACGAAGCTGGAGCGAGCACGCCATTTCGCGTCTTCGCTCCCACTTTCGGGCTGCACCCAACCATTGGAGAATACCATTGTTCCCACATCTGTTATCTCCTGCATTTGTTTGCCCTCTTCTGCTCCGCCCGGGCTGTCGCTACATCTCAAAGACGACATTATCCTGCACATTAGCTCAACGACTTAATCGTGGATGGGGATGCGCCACAGTATAATGGCGAAAAGGGCCTCCGAAATCACGAAATCGAGGCCCGTCCAGAGTGTGATTTCCAAGGCTTGAAATAGGGCTGCAATGCTCTTGTAGAACGAACATCCATAATCATTCTTTCCCTTTCTTCAAAATGTCTAACAAAGAGGACTTCGAGATCACGACTAGTGCCAAAACTCCATCCGAAGTGGACGAGGCATCCGACAGAAGTTCCATCGATGCCAGGAACCCCTTCAAAGATCCCAAGGTCGCCGAATATTACCGCAAGTTGTACGAAGAAGCACAATACGAATCTCGCGAAGCTTTTGATCCGGAAATCGAATGGACAGCTGCAGAAGAGAGGAGTCTTGTTCGACGATTAGACTGGCACGTCTGTCTTTTCGCCTGCGTTATGTTTTTTGCTCTACAGCTCGACCGAGGGAATATCTCACAGGCTCTGTCTGACAATATGCTTGACGACCTTAATCTCACGACTAACGAGTACAACTATGGTATGTTCTTACCTTCCTCATAGATGTTAGTGTTAATCATCAATANNGGTCAAACTTTGTTCAAGCTGTCGTTCATGGCTGCTGAGGTGCCTTCTCAACTCATCTCTAAGAAGCTAGGTCCAGACAGATGGATCCCTATGCAGATGATGCTTTGGTCTGCGGTCGCGGCCGCACAAGCCGGCCTCAATGGCCGATCCAGCTTCTACGTCTGTCGCTGCCTTATCGGAATCCTTGAAGGTGGCTTCATTCCTGATCTTGTGCTGTGGCTATCGTACTTCTATACTAGTACTGAGCTGCCCGTCCGGTTGAGTTTCTTCTGGACCGCACTCAATCTGACCACTATCGTTGCGTCACTTCTGGCGTTCGGCATCTTCCACCTTGACAATGCTCATGGTATTGCTGGTTGGAGGTGGTTGTTCCTCATCGAGGTAAGTTCAATGACATGACTCTTAACAAGGTCATTGCTTATTGGATCATAGGGTCTTATGACATTTGCCATTGGAGTGGCTTCTGTCTTCCTCATGCCTGCTTCCGCCGTGCAGACCAAGACTTGGTTCCGCCCCAAGGGATTGTTCACAGATCGCGAGGTCAAGATTGTCGTCAACCGTGTTTTGAGAGACGATCCTTCCAAGGGCGATATGCACAACAGACAAGCAATTACGCCAAGGCGTCTGTGGCAATCTCTCTCGGATTACGATTTGTGGCCTGTAAGTCTTCGTATCGGCATCGATGCTTTTCACCACTGACATACCGGCAGANTCTACGCACTTGGCTTGGTCGTCTTTATCCCTCCTACCCCTGTCACCAATTACTTGAGCTTGACCCTCAGACATCTCGGCTTTAGCACATTCAACACCAATCTCCTCACCATTGTGCCCAATGCAGTCACCATCATCACATTACTGAGTTTGACCTGGCTGAGCGAAAAAGTCAAGGAACGCTCCTTCATCGCCGCCATACAAAATCTTTGGTTGTTGCCTTGCTTGATTGCTCTGCGATGGTGGCCAGGCTCCGGCACAGATGTTTGGGGTACTTATGCTTTGCTGGTCATTCTTCTTGGATACCCTTACTGTCATGCTATCCTCGTTGCGTGGACATCGCGTAATGCTGGTTCTGTCCGCACACGCACCATCTCTGCCGCTGTTTATAACATGTCGGTGCAGGCAGGAGGAGTCATTGGCGCGAACATCTACCGCCAGGACGACAAGCCATTATACCATCGCGGTAACATGCAGATTGTTGCTGTCAACTGCTTGGCCATTGCGTTGTATGCTATTGCAAAGGTGTACTATATCTTCAGGAATAAGCAGAGGGAAAAGAAGTGGGCGGCCATGACTCAGGAGCAAAGAAACGACTATATCGAGAACACGACTGATCAAGGCAACAAGAGGCTGGACTTCCGCTTTGCGCACTAGATCATGTTTTTCTGGCCCGGCTATCGCAATACCGCCTCAGCCATGTCAGATGTGTAGAACAACGAATCATTAAACTGAACGCGTAACAGCAAAATATGATCATACACAAAGAGCCTCCACTAGCGACAATATATATATACAGATTTGTAGAATGGAAATCAATCTCGAACACCTTCCAAGAAACTCCGAGAACCCAAGGTCATTTTCCACGTCTCGCTGCACATTTACTCGGCGTCAGAAGCATCGCCAGCTCTGACCGCTGAGGCAATGGCGCCTCCTACAGCGTTGAAACCTCCGTCTACTGCTTTGCCGATGCCAGGGATCAGTCCGTTTGCAGATTCGTCGTTGAAAGGAGCCACAAGAGCACGCTTGCTGTTATCTCCTGCCCTCACAGCTCCAGCGATAGCACCTCCAACGGCGTTGAATCCAGTGTCGACCGCTTTACCAATATCAGGGATGAGTCCGTTTGCGGATTCGTCGTTGAAAGGAGCGACGAGTGCACGCTTGCTGTTGTCGCCTGCTCTCACAGCACCTGCAATTGCGCCACCAACAGCATTGAAGCCTCCGTCTACGGCTTGACCAACACCAGGAATGAGCCCGTTTGCAGATTCGTCGTTGAAGGGGGCGACCAGAGCACGCTTGCTGTTGTCGCCTGCTCTGACTGCTCCGGCAATGGTGCCGCCGACGGCATTGAAAACTCCGTCTACTGCTTTGCCGATGCCGGGAACGAGGCCATTGCCTGCGTCGTCGTTGAAAGGGGCTACAAGTTCGCGCTTTGTTGGTAGAGCGGTGGCCAGTGATAGCGAGAAGGCTGCGATGGCGATTGAGAAACGCATGGTTGATGAATTGATGTAGATACTTTATGCGCGAGTTTTTCGTGGAAGGCTGGCAGATACAAAAGTTGGTGTTTAGATATGGTTATTGCTTTGGTTTGTTTGGTGTTTGTGTGTAGACTTCACTGAAGAGGAAACGGGAAGGGAAGAGGGAAGTGGTCTGCGACTATCCAAACTAACCATGACTATATATTTCACGCTCGACAACGACGATCTCAGGTTGAGGTCAGCACTTTGACTTGGTTTGATCCAATACCCCAAAGGGGTATCTGCATATAGTTTTGCCTAACTCTGTTTGCGTTGATTGACAGTCGAAGAGGTCAGGAACTACTACTCTGGGAGGGTATACGTAGATCGTGCCTTGGGCGCGGAGTCGCGTTGTGCATCTCATACTCCTTGCGGTCATGGTAATTGCTGGTACGCGTGGAGAAGATCTCGATGTAGTAGATCTTTGAGCCGCCTTTGTGCAGAAGCAGTCATGTATCCGCGGGAGTGATTCGTGGACCCGGAAAACTGTTGTCGAGGTCGTTCAGCTCTGTTGAACCATTGTTATGGAGTCTAAATCATCACATTTGCTTCGATGAACATGTTTGTAACAGTTGTGTGTCTTCTTAAATAAACGATGTGTTCGTGGTACAGACTATTCGAGTATGGCGGAAAAATCGACCAAACCATGACATCATGGTGATGTGCTTATATACCGACGATCAAGCAGGGATCTACAAGAAACTTCGGCCTTCGGGTTTGAACGCACAATGTGAACGAACCTCTCTTACTTGACGATTTTGAGACCAATGAGTTCTATGGATTCTTCGATACCATGTCGTTCTGCCCAAATGCTCTAGCGACACCGGTCGCATGTTGAACCTGGGCTCAAACACAACAACACCACAATTCTCAATGTTGTTGGACGATAGATAAAACTATGCACAGAAATAGACTGAGCTCAGTGATAGACTCAGCCAAGACAGCACCTTTTATCAAATTGATTGAGTTAGACTGCATGTGATAATCAACGTTATGTACGCGCTGCTTCGTAATCATACAATTGCGCCATGATGCTATTCCAGAGGGATTCCAGTACTGCCTACCAGAGCTCGCAAGTGGGCGCTTTGACGGGGCAGCTAAATGCCTCCCTGAACTCGCGCGAGTTGGCGGTCGTACCNCTGGGCCATGTTAACACGAATCATCAATTCGTAGACATGAAACTCACCTTGATTCTGAACATATCCGGACTGTGAGGGTCAGTGTAGATTCTCTGCACGATCTGCTCCTCCCTGTACTGTGTCAGCGCTTTGGCGTGTTGTTGGTGCTTAACAACATACCTCATCTTGCCGCACCAAGTCTGTCCGTATGCGAGGAAGAAGATCTGCTCCTTGGTAAAGTGATCAAGACCAGGCAGCATCAAGTCTGCCTTCTCGTCATCACGGCGTTTCCACGATTGATAAGCCGCAGTGAGGCCACCAGCATCAGCAATGTTCTCACCCAATGTGAGCTTTCCGTTGATTGGAAGACGACCATTTTTGGTGGGAATAGTGTAGTTGTGATATTGCTCGACAAAGCAATCGGTCTTGGTCTTGAATGCCTCAATAGTGGAGTTATCCCACCAGTCAGTGTAGTTGCCATTCTGATCATAGTTTCTGCCGGACGAGTCGAAAGCGTGAGACAACTCGTGACCAGCAACGGCTCCGAATGCACCGTAAGAAAGATACCTCGGGATGGAAGGGTCGTAGAAGACTGGGGCTTGCATAATCCCGGCTGGGAACACAATCTCGTTGCCNTAGAATGTAGTGTCAGAGACCGGCAAGTGGTAGAAGGCAGGGAGAGGGAGGGAAGAGGAGGTAAAAAGAAGAAAAAACGGACCTGGAGGATTATAATAGGCATTCACCGTTTGAGCGCTCATGCCCCACTCGTCCTTATCAACAGGCTTGCCTACTTGCGACCAGCTCTCGCGCACATCATGTCTAACAACCGACAGCTTGTTCTCGAAGTATGTGGTCGCTGATATGCTGATGTTGCTGTAGTACTCTTGCAGTTCACCAGCATTGGTAATGTCAGGGCTTTGAGTGGGGTATCCAATCTTCTGGCGAATGAGATGGACCTTCTCGATTGCCAACTGACGAACGCTTTCGGTCATCCATTCTGACTCGTTGAGCTTGATGGTAAACTCATCCTTGATGTCAAGAATGATCTGATCGCCCAAGTCTTTGGCCTCTTTGGAGAAAGCACGCTCTACGAAGAAGCGGCTCATGATCCATTCTNNGTCCCAAGTTAGCAAGAGAAGAAATCATAGTGAAGGGGCTTGTTGCTTACCGAGATCGTTGCCAACAGTACTCACGCATGTTCTCCAACGCTCTTGCTTGACATCAGGAGCTTTGCCTTGCAGCTTGTTCCTGAAGCGGAGAAGTGGCTGTACGGCTGGGTCTTCTACAGCTCCGGCCCAAGATTGGACCACTTTCCAGACCAGATACGTTTTGATTGTGTTTCGCGATGAGGATTTGAGTATCTTGGAAAGTTCCTTTAGATAAGACGGCGAGCCAACAATGATCTTCGAGGGCTTGTAACCTCCAGCAAATGTGTTCAAGATGTGCGTGATAGAGATTTCCGAGTTGTAGGCTTCAGTATCTTTCAGAGTACGTGGATTATAGTACTTTGTGACATCAGCGGCATCCTCTGGGTCCGGGGCGGCATTGGCCATGGATTTCTCGAGGGCGACTACGCTGTCAACAAGATCCTTGCTCAGTATGCTGGAACTCTCGTCCCCGTCCAACATGAACGACATTGCGCCAGGATTGGCTTCCTTTAGAAGAGCTTCCAGAACAGTTCCGATGGTGCTTTTGTATGAGGCAACAATTTCTGCACGCTCATAGTACTGTTTGCTGGGCAGTCCGAATGAGTACGGAGCGCCAACAGAAATAATATTGACATCAGGATCCTTGTCGTCAGCACCAACCTCGACTGAGATGGGACCTCCAACACCAATTTCCATCAAATATTCAACTGCCTTGGTAAGCGACTCGTCTTTCTTGGTTGACTTTGGATTTTCAGTAGCATAGATCTTGTCGAGTCGCAGAAGAAGGTCCAGCAAAGGCTTTGATCCGATGGAAGCAAGCAGAGTCTCGTTCATGCAGGCATTGTAGCCATTCTGCAATTTGCTGAAGATCTCCTTATCTGGACTTGCTGCAGTCCAGAACAGGGAGACATCTTTTGGAGCGGGTGATTCCAGGATATGCTTCAAGACGAGTTGGTTATTCTCATTCATAATTTGGAGATTGCCAACGCCAGCCTGATCCTCCCTAATCTCGTGGCTGGCATCAAAACCAGCACAGACGTATGAGCGGAAGTCATCGCAAGGATCCAGCTTCTCGTAGCTGACAGATATTAGCTCGATTGTACAAAGGAGAATAAGACGATCTTACTTTGGTGCAAGACTACGAATAATGTTCGCAGATGCGAGCACACATGCGGCAGATGTACAGAGCTCGGTGTCGTTGGATGGTGGGTTCGAAGGTTTCTTCTCATGATCGTGATCATGATCATGGGAGCCGTGGTCATGGTGCTCAGATCCTTGACGAACGCTCTGGATAATCAGTGGGATAAGGACCAGTAAGAGCAGAAGTATGATAATCAGGTAGACGCCATTGCGTTGCAAGAAGCGCTTGATACGGCTGCCTGTCGGCTCTGTTGAGTCGGCGCGATTGGCTGCAGGCGCATCACCATCAAGCAACGGAGTACGCTCGTTCCTATTGTTCCCTGCCATACTGTCGATTCGGTAGGTGTTGTGAATTTAACAGGGAGAGCTTGTCTGCCTAGTTACTATGGCACAAGATGGAGTCGGGGAAGCGGGGTCGGCCACGGCGTTGGAGCTTGGGCCATGGGAGAGCTTCGGGCCGCAGCTTCCTGTACATCTCTTCTTCCTTGTCAGTCTTTGATACCAACAACACAACATCTCCTACGATCATGCTGGCACTTGGCCGTCCAGAAGAGCTTCTTCTCCTCCTGCAGACTCCAACCATAGTCGCTCATCTAAAGCCAGAACACAACACTCCCGGCCGATCATCGTAGCCGTCAATGTTAGGAAGCGCCGTCTCTGAGCGCACAGAGCACTTCCATCAGACCAAGCCATATCATGGCACATCTTGAGGCAGCAACGTTCCTTCGTGTTTGACACTGATTGTTGCGGTTCCCTTACGGCCGTTATTTACCACTTCTTTCTAGGATTCTCACGTATGGACCATCTGGCAACGCTGAGTCCTCAATATTCATGCTCCACTTTCAAGCCATAGGATTCTCTGAGGTCTTGGCCTCGAATGTGACGCCGCTTTGAGCTCTCTATGCGAGCTTGTTGAACCAGGTAGGAAGTTTCCAAGATTTTTCTTCTTAACCTATATATTCTTTTATTCCCTCGAACATCGCTCACCTATCAGCGTTCGCTCCGTGACTATGAAAGCACACACACAACTGGATGAACAAGCCGAGGCCTGGCTCTCAGCGCCTCCCGTGCTCAGCGAGACTCCCATCGTCGCCGAACTCGAATCTATCAGCCTTCGCATTCAGTACTTCTTCCTCGTATGGGCTGTCAAGATCGCCATTACTCTACAATTGGCGTACCTGCGAATCTTCAAGCCTACTTCTGAGACGCAACCGACATTCGTCAAGACTTATTCATGCCGACCAAAGCTTCCGGTCCGGGTGTTCTTGCCAAAATCTCACCGTGAAGGAAGCAAGACGGCCCTTCCGCTGTACATCGACATTCACGGAGGAGGATTCGTAACATGCGATGCATCTATTGACGACCCCTTCTGCAAATCATGGTGTGAGCGGACCGGAATGGTGGTTGTAAGCTTGAATTACAGGAAGGCACCAGTTCATCAATTTCCTGTTCCTACCCTCGACATCGCAGCGATCGCACGTGCAGTCATTGACGACGAGACTCTGGACATCGACAAATCCAGGGTGGTCATGGGTGGCTTTAGTGCTGGCGGCTCACTGGCACTAACCTCGTGCCAACTGCCTGAGCTACAAGGTTTGATCAGAGCAGCAGTGTCGTATTATCCCCCGGTTGACTGGAGTCATCCTCCTCCCGTCAAGTGGGCCCATCGTTTGTGTACGGAGAAGAAGACGGAATCACTCAATACAGTCGGCCCAGCTCTGAACTGGGCCTATGTACCTACGAATCAGGACAGGACGGAAAAGCTGCTCAGTCCGACTTACGCGACTAAACAAGAACTTCCTAAGTGGGTCTGTATGATTGCAGCTCAGCATGACATGTTATGTCGTGAGGCTCGTAACATGATCTATTCGCTCGCCGATAAAGAGGTTCCCGAGTCTGGTTGGGAGCAGGGATGGGAGCGTGGCACGTATAAGTGGCTGCTTGCCGAAGGTGTCAGACACGGTTTCACGGACGAGTTTGGCAGGAAGCAAGGTCGGAGCCAAGACGCTCGAAGACAGGTCTGCGAGGCCGTATACGCATCTGTACACGACTGGCTAGAGACGAAAGTATTTGTAGAATAGATAGACACTTGATATCGAATATGTGCTCCAGCTTCATGCCATCAGGCAGCAGGTTTCGGGTAAATGGTATTTACACCCGTTAACTCCGTTACGGAGTGCGATCCTGCGCGGATGTTTGTTGATGTTACACGTAACTCGCATAATATCAGTCCGACGGTCGGCCCATGATTCCCCGCTGGCACCATGTGGATTAGCAGACGAAGGATGCACCATTCTATGCGCTTTGATAGAATCACGTCGTAATCGGAAGATGGAACACGTGTATAAGAAGGAGCTGGGCTTCGTCCCGTCTCAAGCCTTTCAACGAACAACACCTCGATTTGCTAATCATTTCGATCATGGCCTGGAATCCAGCAACTGCTTTACCCACTGTGTGCGAGAGCTATGATGCTATAGCTCCGGCCAAGTATGCCGGCAAGCTCGAGGGCAAAGTGGTTCGTCAAGGACTCTTCTGAACGATCAGACACCATGACTGACTCTTATTCCAGGTCATCGTCACTGGCTCATCCGCTGGCATCGGCCGCTCAATCGCCAAAGCTTTCGCAGCCGCCGGTGCATCAGTCGCCGCTGTCGCTCGTCGTGAGCAGGACCTCCTCACATTGGTCGAGGAGATCAAGGCGGCCAATGGCAAGGCAGTTTCCATCGTCGCAGACGTGGCGGCTAAAGGTGCTGCCAAGCAGATTGTAGCACAGGTCGAGAAAGAGCTGGGACCCGTCGATATCTTGGTCAACAACGCTGGCATCTCACGCATCGGCCCCTTGGCTGTTGAAGACGATGACCTGGACATCTGGTGGCATGTACACGAGGTCAATGTGCGCGCCCCTGTGTCACTGATCCGTGCTGTACTGCCTTCCATGATCAAGCGCAACACTGGTGTCCTCATGACAACCAGTTCTGCGGTGGCCACATTCTCGTTCCCAGTCATGACCGCCTACTCGTCGTCGAAGGCTGCCATCAGCAAGTTCCACGAGAGTTTAAGCAAGGAGCTCGAGGACACCAACATCCTATCTTTCGCTGTCCATCCAGGTGTGGTCCAGACAGAGATAGGAAGCGCTGGTAACGCAATCAATGCAGAGCATGTTCAACACCCTCTCATGCAAGGTTTCTTGCAGATGATATCGACTTCTGATATCAAACGCCAAACGCCCGAGTTATGCGCCGACACCATGGTCGCTCTTGCTGCTGACCCACGGTACAAGGTGCTTACTGGCCGTCATCTCAATGCTACACAGGAGCTCCCTCCTGTTGCCGAGGAGGCCGAGAAGGAAGGTAATGGTCGTCTCGGTTCGGAGAGGTTGTACCTCATCACTGTCCCCACTCTGTAGGAATCTCGGAGGTGAGACGCAGGAGCCGTAGATATTCAGACAGAGCGAAAAACGTGGAATGAGATGACTATACCTGATTAGTTTCTTTTCCACATCGCCATCGCATTGTCCGATGTCTACGACGCTGTTAACTTCAGTGCTCTCCATGGACCAAAGCTCAAGACGCATACAAGTATAGAAATGCACAATCTCACCAGGGAATAAAACAGTATCCACTGATAGCCGACATCTTAGTGGCTCTCTTTGGCCACAACTCTGCTCGATAGAGAATTGTGCATCTTTTCAGTATATGACAACCCTATATATCGTTATGGAAAAGGCGTAATCGTAAGGTCTTCACAAACGGAGTCCAAGGAAGGCACCTCCCTTGCATAGCATAACGGGAAGTCTCTCAGGTGAAATCACAGTGCTCAGGCAAAGTCCACAATTCCCCTTCTAGCATGCGTTGCAAAGACCATTCTTGCACAGCAGAGATTGAATCCTGGTTCTTGCGAATCAAAAACTCGAGCTTCCAAGCATTAGATAGTGTGTCCTGAGGCGAGTCTGTATCCGTCGACAACTTCCGCATTCCGGCCTGAGCTGCGTCGTCTGTAGCGTCTACAATTACGACTTTGACGTGGTCCTCGAATCGAGCGATCACTTCATTTAGCCGAAAGTCATAGTCGTAGTCTGGTCGTGATAGGACCACTGTGTCCAAATTTGGCATGTTTGCAAGCGCTGTTCTGAACTCAGAGTCGAGCATCTGATTATACAGCGCAAGACGACGCAACTTCGTCCACTTTTGAAACACAAAGCCATTGATGAACTCAGCTTGAACTTCTGGAGATAGTGCTCGGACATGGCACGCAAGATAGAGCTCATCTCTTATGCTGCAAAATTCTTCGAGATGTACCAGCTGCTCGAACCCTTTTCGAAGAATTGGCCGCAATTGATCAGTCACATCTTCCTCAGGGTAATGAGAGCGGAGTGGCATATCGACAACCAGACGCTTGAGATTGGAACTAAGTATGGTAAAGAGCTCTGCGATTTGATTGACGACCTTTCGCACACGGATGGTGCGTCCAGGGAATGGCGAGAGATACAGTCTTTGAATGGTGGAAACTGAAGCACGCAAGCTTGATCTTCTGAGAAGTAAATCCAGACGCCACGGTGTGTCAATGTAAAGGCAATGGATGTATAGCAAGGACCTTGCAGTTTGACTAGCAGCTTTTGAGACTGTGAGGTAGGCTAGCAACGTCTTGGTGGTGAGATCTGATGCCGGGTATGCTAAGTGATTCGTATCAGGTATCGTGGATCGTATAATGTGGTCCACAATCTCCACAGGTAGTTGGGGTGTGTTGTAATTCATAGCTGGCGATTCGACGGGATATAAAGCAATAGAAAAATGAAACGTAGAGCCCAAGTGCCGGATGAAGAAGTGCTTATATGTCGATGAACAAAGTAGGTCCACGAATTCGTTGTCGGTGTCTCAATCGAGCTTTAGCCTCAGAACACGGCCGTGGAGTAACGCTTGACAGGGTCGTACCGTTTGGTGACGGAGAATCGCTAGATTTCACGGGCTGCCCTCTACAATGACACGTAGCTTTGTTATATATTCACATATCAACTCTATAATAGGGTTTCCTCGGCCTTCTCACAGCGAGACAATAGCAACGTCGTAAGCTATGAAAACTACAATAGTATCGACGACCAGCGCTAGATACGAGGAAAACCAGCAGCACGACATCTTTCACCGGAAGCCGCTCTGTCCGATGAAAGTACTGCGCATCTTCACAGACATGGCGAAGAGATCTCAGAGTGGGATGGAGATCTCTTGAAGTATGACTACGGTCAGATTCTTTGTGCTAGCGAGGTAGCTAGCATAAGGCATCGCTTCACTACGGCTCCCAATCATATTCTTGTGCAAAAGAAATGATCATCTCTAGAGTCTGCTTGTCTTTCTCGGTAATTTCCGTATAGCTGTCTGCTGTCAGACAACAAACATTGTCCTGCTTCAACTGCCATATCTTCTTCTTGTTAGAAAGATCCTTCCTAGGCGGCTCTTTCATGAAGATTTCGAAGGAGTCAATGCTGAGATCCTCAGTTTCTGAGAACTTGCTCCGAGCAATCCAACCGTTGAGCCAGAGAAGTCTGTCCTCTGTATCCAGGTGGAGTAGTTGAGGTGAACAGGAGGTGTAGTTCTGGGCTCGGGCATGCTCAAATCTCTGTTCTTGTGGTTGATGGTTGCCTTTGCTCCAATTCACATCATCCGTATCAGAGTCATCTAACTTGAACTCGTCCTCCTGCTTGAGCTTGCCCAGTATACCAGTAGACCCATTGTGGAAAGCGTAGTCGAGTACTCCAGCCATCTCCCAACTAAGCCAAAAAGTCTCTTTGTCACCTNNAGACGAGTCAGTATATGTAGAAGCACTATGCGGCATGAGACACCGCTTACCGTATACCATCTCATAAACTCCCTTCTTCCCGGTTTCTTTGTTACCATCGCGATCAATCCCATTCAAACGTGCCGTAAGTAACAGTGGTACGAAATGCTTCCATTTGTCAATCATGACAACGCCAGAATCCTGCATATGCCCGCTTTCCTTGGTCCAAAGACGATTGTGCTTCACTTTATCCGAGATGGGTAAGGCCAGCACTTTCTTGAGCCAGTTTCTTTTGTTTTCGCGGTCTAGATTGCGGTCTTTGAAGAACAGTGCTCCGGTCTCAAGGTATTGTGGATCTTCAAATAGTGCCTCTGGGTTGGTGAAGAACAGTACATCGGCATCCATGAAGATCACTTCTTGGAAGGAGGACATGAGCATTGCCCATGGCTTTAATGCCCAACCTGCCNNATAAGTTAGCATGATTTGAGATGAACGGCAGGAACACGGTATCGGACCTCTCAATTCCCAGCCTGCATCGTCGACCATAGTACTCATATCTCGAGTTACCACACCAGGCAATTCTTACAGCATTTCTCTGTACTCTTGTCCGAGATCTTCCTCACCATAGTACATGACTTCTACAGGCAAGACACAGCCCAATTTTCGTAGTGATTGGATAGACGTCAAAACCATATAGGTTTGTTCTTCGTTGAATGTCAACACAATGCCTGTGCCTGCATTCTTGAAGCTTGCATGTAGCGTCAAGTGATCCCCAAACACCTTCGTGCCAGGGAAAAGCTTAGAGCTAAAGACACTCATGTACGAGCGGAAGTCGTCGTACCTCTGGATTGCTACGTTGAGGTCCTGCACCGAGTCTTGACTTTCTCGTAGACTCTGCAATATATTTTGGTATCCAGTCATGCCTTTGAAGGAGTTTTGGTGGAGTCTTTCCCATGCTGAGAACGCGGTCTTGTAGATTCGAACTTGCGAGGCTAAGTCTTTGAGATGGTCCTCTCCAGTACTCGAAAATGGTGCCATCAAGGATTTCATAGCCAGATCCGATGGTAGCAGAGCCATTGTCCGTCGGAAATCATCCAGAAAGGCCGATGAGGAGAAATGTGGTCCGAGATCCGTATCTTTTTACAAAAAGAAGATGTCTATCTGACCAACATTCCACATCCTTGATGGCTACATTTACGAGACAAAACACACTTTCCCTCTAGATTGTACGAAGATTTTGGCCCAGTGATTGTGATTAGGCCCTCGTACTCTTTTTTGTTTTTTTGGTTTTTGACCATTCAGAGTTCGTTCCAGGAAGTCGTCAGTTTTGTTATTGAAGGTGCGTAATCGGTAGACCATTCACTGCTTTTGCGTTTGGACCAAGTGTCCATTCAAGGAACACACTAGTACTTATGCCCTTTGCTCTCGGGTCAGACTACAGACCGTGTTGTGTATTACTCCACTGTTGAGAATGTCCTTCTATCGTGCCAGTATCCTTGCCTACACAACACCACATTAATAGCTTGTCTTGTGTACCAGACATTTAACCCCGCAGCTCAATTTTCTGATGGCTACAAACTTGAGGTTCCATTATATCACCGACCAAACTGTACTGTGGCACTCCTTGCTCCTTTCTTGCTGATCGTATTTCTTTGCTTTGCTCACATGTATTGGAGCGCTTCGAATGCATCTATAAAGCTTGACCTGGTACGTCGGGTTCGTTAGTCCCAAGAGAAAATGATCTATCACAAATCAGCGAGATCCCCAAAACCGATGATACGGAGAAAATTGCGAACAGATTTATCGAAAGAAGCAAAAGCAAGATGTTCTGGCGATCAATCGAATCAACAAAGCTGCCAACCATTAGGAGTTTGATGTGTTTAGCTTTCGACGAGGAGAGGGAAACTGCATGTCAAATACAAAGCACGGAGTCAACACATTCTTGAAGACAGGGGAAGCAGATGAGTAGGTCATCAAGGTACACTATACTCACTTTCTTAGATCTTGACCATCATTTTGTCCAATACCATCTCTGACGCAAGGGGATTCGTGGAGATATGGCTAACAGACCTGATACGCTACTGACAGGGTCAAACTATCAATCAGGATGGTAACCAAGACACGCTCCTTGTTAGTGAAACTATTCGACAAAAGCAAGCTCGACTCTGACTGGCAACATCCCTTCGATCGAGATAGCTTCATAGCTCGCGCTGGATCTTGGAACTCGAGGCAGTACGGCAAATATATCACTCTTTATTACCGACATGACTGGATGATCAGGATGTCGAACTCATCATTTATCTATGCCAGGAAGTCTATACTGCCGGAGAGTGGCGTAAAACCAAGGGAACGACACTTTTGCGGCAAAAGAGATGATTGATGTACCGCTGGTCAAAGCATTGCGACAACGGTACACAAGGCAGTTGATATTCTGTAGGAGGTCTCTCATCGCAATGCCTCATCCCGACTGCCGTAGACGCGCACGCAGACCATGTACATTCGAGGACGGAGAGGAAACCAAGGGAGGGTGGAATGAAAAAACGACTAGGTCAATGATGCTATGGATATACATCTCCTCTCCACATCGATTGCCAGCACAGCAAGTGTGGAAAACCTGATCGAAGAGCTCAAGAATGACGGAAGATCCATGAATCTGGTCGTCTTTCCCCTTTGGTGACATATAGCGGTACTGTTCGCAAAACTACCGTATGATTCGTGATCAATGAGAGACTACCTATCATTTTGCGATACTCCCAAGACTAAATCGACACCGATTCCCAGAAGGTAGGCGAAGGCATAGTAGAGAAGGGAGATACCCAGGTCAGTGTTGGAGCATGTCCGTCAAGAATGCCGTTCCCCAGACTGCGGCTCAATACAACTGCCATTCGCTGTATCTAACACAGCTGAGCACAAGAAAGTGTCTTCTGTTATCACTGACCTGTCTACTTCCTCTCTTGCCCCTGAGCTCCAGTAATCACGAGGTATTAAATGGCGGTGACACAGCGGGGATTCGTGATGGTGGTCAGCAGCTGCTGATGGATGGCGATGGTAGAGAAAGCTCACGCATCTGAATATGGCCGATCGAGACACGCTGAATCCCAATCTCGTTTCTTGCTGATTGCTCGTCCATAGCCAAAAACCCGCGACGTACTCTATAAATCCGACCCCGCGAGCAAGACTTCTGGAACCTCGTCAATCGAATCTTACACCTCACGGGGCCACATACACCACCACCCCCGCCTCCCCGTGTATCTTTCTCCATTCCTGTTGCAGCAAATCACTCATCCGCCATTCAGAACTTGCAGTCCACTGTACACACTTTACAATTCCCCCTCCATCACTCCCTGCATCCTCTTGATTGGTAACCTCGAACCTCATTCCAAAGCTTGGGTCAACGGCGCTTCCCACACCAAGGCAAAAGGATTCGAGGTTTGGCATAAAAGGGATGGCTTTTGCGATGGTAAGAAGGAGGTCTTCGAGGTGCTCGGATGGCCACAAGAATGGAGATCTTCCAGAGTTTTTTGGGGGGTGTTGGTGACAATGTGCANNGTCTACTCCATCTCTGACATCCGAGGGAGAAGAAGGAGAAGAAGAGGGCAAAGTATCAACCCANCTCCCCCCGCCATCAGCAGCAAAACTACCAATCTCAAGATCCNNAAAGTGTGTAAGCCGTGGCCAGAACCCCTCTTCATCTTTATCGTTTTCGTCATCGTCNTGCAGATGAAANACAAGTTGACTGGATATAGCGATGTTGCTCAAACTTNNTACTCTCTGGATGTGTTTGCAAAGCTTGCGTAGAGAANNGACACTCAAGTGATCAACACCAGTATAAGGGAAGCAGCAAAACTCAAAATCCTCTGTGCCTGATATGAGATCCAGATACTGAAGACGAAGACGCAAAACTTCAAAACTCGTGACTGAGGGATACAAAATCTTTGGAAGCCGCGACACTTGGATTCGAAAATTCTAGCACGCCCACAAGTCAGTCATAATGCTAAGAAAAGGACGACAATANACATGACTTTGGACAGTAAACGAAAGAAACTGTTGGGGAAACAAGGTGTCTGGGGTACCAAATCTCTCACCATATCGATTTTCTCGTTGTTGAATCAGATGAATGTTTTCACTCCCATCAATCTCCNNCCAATCCACATTGNNTCGTAGATTCATCAGCTGTGACGCGATTCGCGACAAAGTCTGCGTGGGCAAAATTGCTNNCTGTCCTCTGGCGACAAACCTTTCGACACAAAAGACTTGCGATAGAGACTCTAGAGCAAGANNAATTTCGTGCTGTGTACGTATAGTATGAGTCNNGCCCATAGTATCACTCATCGGGGATACTAAGAAAACAATGTTGATCAAAAGATTCCTTGAGGCNCAAGATCTCAAGCCCTCGAACAGAGCAGCCAAACTTCGAGATATAGCGGCATCGTTGGCAGCGACTGCATCTCTTCGCTCCTGGATGCTGAACTCGCTCCATGGCTTGGTGGACTGAACAGGAGAGTAGACACGCAAAAACAACTGCCTCAATGCCGCTTTACGGTGTTCGCCAGCATTGACATGGCTGAAAACGCTCACAAAAGTATCGATCTCGTCATCGTTAATCCTGATACAATTGAACAGTTTGAACTCGATGATGCGTTGCCATGTCCTAGAGACCGTGACGTAGGGTGACAGATGGGGTTTGTACGAGAGTGCATCAGTCGTTGCTGCAAAGTCGATGATATGAGATAACAGCTTTAGAGGCAAGGCATCCATGTCGACTTTTGTTGTTGTTAAGAGTTGATTGACGACGTGGTCATCTTCGTCTCGAAAGGACGAGATAGGCTAATACGAGAACCTCGGCCGATCCTTCGCGCTAATAAGCGGTCAAGCTAATTAGGAAGGTCGGCTATAGCTACTTAGCGGCAAAAACTCCAGATTTCCAAAGTTTTATGTTTAAATGCATTTTACTACGGCAGATTCTTACGTATGTGCTAGCCTATGGAATCTTTTGTTTTTACTATATATGTTTTTTATTATATAGTCTAATAAGTTTTTAAGCTTATATATATTTATTTTTCTTAGTACTAAAAAAGATAATAGATCTACTTATATTATAGAAATAGGTTAGATATATAGAAAAGAAGTAGCTATATAAAGTATAGTAGTATTTAGTAGGCTATATATAGTTAGATAGTAAAACCTATAGGTAGGTTTAAAGATAGAACATAGCTTAAAGCTATAAACATAGAAGTGGTATAAGCTATATAATTCTTTTCTAGTAGAACCTTAGTTCTATAACTTATATAACCTAGATAGGGTTATCCTATTAGTTATAACGCTAGGTATAAAAAGCGTTATAATAAGCTAGTAGCGTTCTTACTAGGTTATAAAGATTAGTATCTCTTTTCTAGTCTATAATAAGAGTCTAGGGTTATCTAGTATTTTTACCTATTATAGAATAGTATATATATTAGCTAATTTAGTTTCTATTTCTTATTATTAGTTATATACTTATATAAGTATAAGTTATAATTCTATATTTAAAGTTTTTTTAGTAACTAGTTATTTAGCTAGAAACTCTAGACTAACTCTAGTAAAAGTATCTATATCTATCTTATTAATTAAACCTAATATTATAGATAAACTATATATACATAAAGGTTTAGTATACTTTAACATTTAATAGGTTTAATAAAAAAAAAGTAGCTATCTAGCTAGGATTTAATCCATTTTATATAGATACTAAGATAAAGCATATAGATATAGCCTATACCTTATTTAAAGGCTTACTTTTTATAATAAATAGATAGCTAAAAAAGCATAGATTTTATATAGTATTATTATAACTAGCTACTATCTAATCTCTATCTATACTTTTATAAGGTTAGAAAAGCTAATCTATAGGCTAATATCTATATAGTAAAAAATAGTAGTAGTATATATATATATATATAAAAATAAGACGGTTTCTTATAAATTACTCTTTTAAAAAAGATTAAATTTATACTATATTCTAGAAATAGTCTAAATCTCTATCTTATTAAGAATATAGTTAATATAGTTTAAAATAACCTATCTAACTACTATCTAAATAGTAAATTAAAAGCTATATAAAACCCTATAGGGTTATTTAAAAGTAGAAAAAGGCTAAAGCCTAAAAATCTTAGTTAGAAATGCTAAGTTTACTAGCTATGTTTCTTAGTAAGGCATATAGATATAAGGCTAATAATAGCTAGAATAACTAGTATAGATAAAAGCTATAAATTAATATATTTATCTTTATAATTAATTAATTAGTTATAGAGTTATTAAGTATTAAATATTAGAAGTAGTAAATTATATCTAAAGTATAGATATTAAAAGCCTTTTACTATAAATAAGTAAAAAGAAGGTAATTTTATATAATATAGAAATTTTTAAAAGATAAAGTATAAAAAAACATAAAGTAGTATAATAAAAGGTATAGAAAGTAGCATAATAAAAGCTATGTAAAGTAGCATAATAAAAGCTACGGGGACTATAATAGAAAATTCTGTTGGCTGGCGCATATGCGAGGATCTGCCGTGGTAAGCAGATGCATTTAAACATGAAACTTTGGAAATCTAGAGTTTTTGCCGCCATGTACCTATAGCCGACCTTCCTTAGGGAAAAGATTGAAGCTCTGGGGAGATTTCTCTCTTGCACTTTACTATAGGTTCTTTCTTTGCTCATGATACATTGCAGCGTAATCCTCTCCTCCAAAAGCGCTTCTTGGTAAGCTTCTCGCTGTGCGATGAAGGCATCCGTGGTTGTCGTGGAGGAAGCACCTTCTCGCTTCTTCCAGCATGCCCATGCATAGGTAACGCACCAATACCTCTACTCTTGTCTCGCGGCGTCGCCTTCATGCCGGCTTTCTAAGCACCCTGGCCTCCACTAGCACCAACCCTCCAACCAACCTTGACCAGCGTCTCACAAGTCTGCTCTGTGCTATTGCGCACCAAATCTTCATCCAAGGTGACATCACCTTGTTGATACAAGTTGATCACCGTACTGCCTCCATACTGGAAAGCGCCCAAACACTGTCCTCTTCTGATTTCTCCGCCGACTTCGATGCCGGGATTGTATTTGATGCTTCCCACCAACATGGCGCCCACAGCAATAATCGCGACCTTGGTGTTTGTAGCCGCTCGTCGCACAATCATGACACTGCGTCTGTTTTCGCAAAAGACGTCGAGGGTGCCTTCTTCATTGATGGCTTGGGGGTTGACGGTGTAGTATGCGCCGGGGATTTCGGTGATGCTTTCAACAACGCCAGAGACGGGAGAGTGCCAGCGGTGGTAGTCTTGGGGAGCCAGACGGGCAATCACAATGGCGCCATTGTCAAAGGTGGAGGCCAGCGAGGACGAGTTTAGGAGTTTGGAGACGGTGAAGCCGAAGCCTTTGATCCAGTATTTTGTTGCGAGGGAGATTGTAGGGAAAGCTGTGAGACGGCAGTCTGCTGGAGAGGAGACGACGAGGTCCTGTGTTGGTGCTTGTCAGTGGACGGTATCGAAATGGAGAGGAGAGAGAAAGCTCACATTGGCTGGCTCGTCAATGGGTCTGGCATCCTCACGAATCTCTCTGGAGAAGAAGTCATTGAAGTTCTTGTAATTCTTCGGGTTAGGCTCCTTCATCTCAGACATGCTCTCCTGCAGGTCGAAGCTCTCGATAAAGGGAACAATATGATCGACACTTTGGGGATCATCATACTGCCTGCCCATCTTCTTGCTCTGGTCTTCCAAAAGCTTCAGGGTACGTTTCCAGTGCAGGGCTTTTTCTTGCTCGGACCCATAGTACAGAGCATGCATGCCCACACGCACGTAGATGCTCATGGGTTCAAACGTCTTTTGGCCAGTGTTGCGATCCATGACGTAGTTGCCCATGTGCCAGGCGCTCTCTGCGGCCTCGAGGCTATCATAGGGGAAGATGCGCTTGAGCCATTTGTGCGACTTTTCATGGTTCGAGGGTGTGTGCAACGTGTTCTTGGGGTCTTCGGGGACGGCGGCTTGGTCTGTGATCTTGTCGAGGGCTGCCGCTGTGGCATCGAAGTGAAGGTCGTCGAGCTTGTCTGTCATGTTGGCGTTGGTTTGAGAGGGTTGGTATGGAGAATTGGGAGGAATTGAAGGCTTAGAAATGAGATGGTTGTAGGATATGTATCATACTATAGACAGCGATTGCGCGTCCCTCAACGACGGGAGCATGCAGGTCCCCTTTTAGCCATCCATGTCATTTCCCCGCCAAACTTGGCCAGCCGGAACCAAGCTTTTGATCTGCGTCATGCGAAAGCTTCAACCCATACCTAGCCTTAATTCTAGCGAACCATGTATCCTTGTCGTTCAGTCGTCGATATAAGTCTGTTTGGTCCGTCTTCTGGTGCTTCAATCATGACGCCTGCGTCTATCGCTGTCTCTGTCTCTCTCCCTCCTCTCCCTCGGCGAGCGACTTCTATGCCTCTTGCGCTCCCCGGATCTTGACCTCGAGCGCTCGCGACGACTGTGATGGTGTCTGCGTGCGTCCTCGTCTCGTCTGCCATCGCGCCCGTCCCTGTGTCGTGCATGTCGTCTATGCTCCTCGCCATCCCTCGAACGTGACCGTCTCTTGTGCCTTCTCTCACGACTGTCGTGCCGNNTCTATGTCTCCTCTCCCTACTCCTACTTCTCTCACGCTTGTCCATCTCCACTGCAGCCTTCTCCTGCCCTACCATCCCCGGCCTCAGCGCCACAGGCTCCAAATTCGCATTCTCTCTATCCGGCACCGGCAACCCCATAGCCCGCAACATTTCATCCTCCTCTTGCTGTTTCACCTTTCGCAGCTCTTCTCTTCTCTGTGCTGCTTCGTCCATTTCCTCGCCGTCTTCGCCCTTGGCATACCAATTCAGATCTTTGCCTTTTTGCCAGCGTCCTACGGGGGCCATCAGGNNGGAGTGCCCGAGGTAGTTTTGGCGGTGGGGGTCGTTTTGGACGTCGCTCCAGGAGAATTCGTTGCGTCCGCCGCGAGAGCCTTCTTTGCGCACTGTTTGGAGGAGGTCCATAGTTTTGTGGGAGTTTATGGCACGGTTGCGCTGGTTGTATGACTATCAGGTGGTTCTGATTTGCGTGCGGATGATGAGAGTGGGGAGACGGGTCGTTGGACAGAGAAAGTCGAGTCGATGTTGCGTGAGCTGGGCTCGCGGCGCAAGGTCCAAGGGTCTTGGTGCTTTGGATTCGTTTGTGTGAGAAAGGAACAGTGGCAGAAGTCGTGCGATGTGATGTGAATGGGTTGTGAGTCGCCCAGAGGTGGAAGCTCAAGGAATCTGGGAAGCGTCGGAGTGCTGCTGGTAGACGTGAGAACTCGTTGCCAACCATCACTTGTTGCCAACCATCACTTGTTGCCAACCACATCGATATACCAGCACTTTCTCCACAATCACAATCGAGATTCTGTTTTTTACCATACAAGACCATAACATCTCGTCGAAGCAAACAACGGCAAACGATTCGGCTTTTCTTTCTACCTACACCTTCCATTCGAAACAATCATTCTACAACTCATCGTGTCCGCTTCCACCCTTGACCTCAGGCACCTCAGGCATAGCCATAATCTTGACGACCAAACTAGTCCAGCCAGTGAAGTGCTGGGTGCGCTGTCCCTCTCCACTCTCTGGGTTGTATTGCTCCCAAGCAAAGCCAGTCTTCTCCCAAGACTTGAACACTGTATCCACAAGGTTCTTGCGGAGCTCGGTATACATTTTGGCCGCACGCTTTTGGTGGGGTCCAGAGGCGGATGCCGTGTTGAGAAGTTCCTTGACGACGAGGTAGTTGATGGGGAGCCACACGGGCGAGCGCCAGTAGTTCTCTTCCGTGCCGTAAAGCTCGTCTTGTTGTGACAGAGAGCGGATACCATGGGGTGACCAAAGATGTTCGGGTGAACTGATGAGGTCGAGGACCTCGCCCAAGTGAGGGTGATCTGGTGCCATCAAACCGGCGAAGAATGGTGAGAGTGAAATGTAACCCTTGTGACAAACGAGAGCGTGCTCTTCATATTCATCCACTGTGGCATCGCAGTATGCTTGCTCGTCAGCAGACCAGTGCAGATCGTCGAGATTACGGATGATGGCGTTCTCAATCTTGGCATAGGTCGATGCGTCGTCGGTCTCGGTAAGAGTAGTCGCGATCCTCTTCATGGCGCGGGTCATCATACCCATCCATGACATCAGATCAACGTGCAACTCACCAGGGTGAGGAGGTTGAGGGCGAGGATAATCATCGAGACCAGAGGTCAAAAGATGAGTCTTTGTGCTTCCTCTCCAGCGGTAGCCTTCCTTCTTGGAGAAAGCAGGACGGTCATAGGACTTGAGGTCGCCAGCTTGAGTCTTACGGAACCACTCAAAGTGTTTCTTGAGTAGAGGATAGAGATCGCGGAGATACTGCAGAGCGGCTTCAGGATTGGCGAGAACACCGTTAGCATTCTCCGAGCCAAGCACCTGTTGGCCAGACTTTGCAGCAGCGATCTTGTCGAGGAAAGAGTGGATGACAAAGAAGAGAGTGGGAGGGTTGGCGTAGTGAGGGTATTGAGTCTGGAACTCTTGAGGGACCTTGCTGCGAGCCTCGGGTCCAAGAATCTGTTCACGACCGATCCAACCATCATCGTCCATCAGATTGAACCAACTCTTGATGATCTGCAGAGTGAGATCCACATCCCAATCAATAATGGGAAGTAAGTGGAATCCCTCGTCCCAAAGGAAGCCACGAGGGAAAAAGGGTCTCGAAGGGGTGCCAGTGAAGAGCTCGTATGGACCCTCCAGCTTTTGTTGATTCCTTGCTCTTGCTTCGGCCGTCTCTTGCCAGAAGCCTTCATTTTCCTCTTCATACTCTGGTGCGTACGAGCGGTCGACAACCGAGTCGCCGTGGAAGTATCCAATACCGCCAATCAAGTTTGAGAAGAGCGACTTGGCCAGGCCAATGTACTTCTTGTCGTTGAAGGGTTGCTGGGGCTTGAAGGACTGGATGAAACGTTCGGAGAAGGATTTGATGGTGGTCTCGATCTTCTCTGACAGGTCGGCCGACTTGATGGGCTTGGAGCCGGAACCGGACGAGAAGATGACATCGAACTCGAATGCGCCTTCGAAGACTTTCTGCACGAAGTGCATGTTACCAGCACCGGGCGCATTGGGGATGGTGAAAGCTTGCATTGGAGGAGGCATTGCTTCGGCTGTGTAGACTTCGATGTACTTGTCAAGGGTCGTCTTCATGGAGGAGAACAGGACNGGCTGTTCATATGTCAGTGTCGAGACAAGGTGGTACGAGAAACGCAACTTACGCTTGGCCTGCCACAAAGCAGCTTCTGGAATCTGCACACTGTGCACCAGAGTCTTGTCGATAGGCTTCTCCTGGAACGAGGGATGGACATGGCTAGGCTTCTCTCCCTTGCGGTCAATAATCGTGACGGTGAAGGTGCCCAACTCGGGAGTCTCTCCAGCAATCACGACTTCTCCGTCAAAGCCACTCTCGTTCTCGTCCTCTTCAGCATTCTCGACCACCAAGCTTCCCAGTCCCTCGACACCGATGTTGAAGACCATGGTTGTCTTGAGATCCTCTGGAGCGCCTTCTCTTGGTACACCTCTGATCCTCGCACCCCAAGAACCTCCATTAGAGCCATGTTCAGGGAACTTGACAAAGTCGGTTGTAACGTCAATCTGGTTTCCAGCATCGTGAATGGTCTGCGAACCACCAGTTCTCGGGTCGTAGGCATCCCAACCATAGCCAGCCATGCCCTCGTGTTGCTCGCATGTGTATCGGAAGTCTNNGTTCGCACCCAGCGTCAGTCAATTGTTTTCTCTATGGATCCTTTACAACGCACTGTTCTGCACAGAAGCAAAATCCTCGACTTTGGCCCATAGAAGTCCAGTAAGAACACTCTTTGGCAATCTTGGTCTCACGCCAAAGTACAAGTTTGGACGGTACGGGCCCCAAAGAAGCGAATCATTGGAAGCCTTTGTGAATGGCGAAGCTACATCTTGAGCAACCGTTGTGTCGGGCAGGAGCTGCAGCAATGTCACAGCCGCCGATAGTAACCACGGAGCCATGTTGTCGACTTTGTTCGAGGAGTACCAGAAAGTCGATGGAAGCAACACGTTTCGCTGTGTCCCTGATCGTCATGGCCTCGCGTTTTTGCGGGGCGAGCTTCGAGTCTTCTTATTGCCGCTGTTAAGCCCGAGACATTGCTCTACCTCGACTTTCTGACCATCGACATGAACAAGTCGCAAAACTTATATGGACCGACGGACAGTTGGCATGATTACCCTAAGGGTGAGGACCTTGGTCTAGAGGTAGAGTCCGGAGGCCATCTCGCAGTGACACATGATGACATTTAATGACAAGCTCTAAAGATGCACAGTTATTTGTCTGATAACGAGGGTGTCCATAAGGATACCTGAAGATGTCCATTTTCTTCGGACCTTACTTTGCATCAAAAGATACTCTGCATTTTTATGGCTTGTTTTGTAACAGTCTTTATCCGTAGAGACCAAGGTAGATTCCATCGAAGCAGATAAATGCAGTCACATTTCGCATCTGCGTCATGAACTTCTGCCCATGGAAGTGCTCGATATATGGCATAACTTTGTGCACAGCGATGTCGGAGGCGACATAAAATCTGTACCATTGAACGACTGATGATTGGTCTGGATGCCCAAAAATAATCCCCATTACAGCCGCCTCTTGCACCCGTCCATCCACCTGCGTGAGGAGTGGACTGTGTTGATTGAGTTGCTGTTCTAGAGATACCCCTTGTGTTTTTATTGTTTCCTATCCAAACATGCCTCTTCTCCGCTTGAATGCGGCGGCCGGCGCAAGACTGCGTTTGGTAAGTTGATTCGCAGCTTGTGCCTATACCAATGACTAATGTTATAGCAGGCCACAGCCAGACTCAGCACTCGCCGCCCCCTCGTCAGAGCCACCGTCACTGCTACCCAACAGACCCTTCCGACTCGCCTTTATACAACATCGACGCCGCTACGAAATGCCTCGTCTCCCGATATCTTCCCTTCGCTTCTCGAACAGCCCGGTGTCTCCGACTACCTGAATGCTCAGCAACCCGTCGCCGTCCCTCAGACCTTGACCGAGAAGATCGTTCAGCGTCACAGTCTTGGTCTTGCCGAAGACAAGTTCGTCCAGTCCGGCGACTATGTCACCCTTTCCCCTCAGCAATGCATGACCCACGACAACTCATGGCCTGTCGCGACGAAGTTCATGTCCATTGGCGCCACAAAGATCCACGATCCCAAGCAGATTGTCATGACCCTCGATCACGATGTTCAGAACAAGACGGAGAAGAACCTACAAAAGTACCGCCAGATTGAGACCTTTGCAAAAGAGCAGGGCGTTGACTTTTACCCTGCCGGTCGTGGTATCGGGCATCAGATCATGGTTGAGGAGGGTTACGCTTGGCCTGGCACTCTCTGTGTCGCGTCCGACTCGCACACAAACATGTACGGAGGTATCGGCTGTCTTGGAACCCCCGTCGTTCGGACTGATGCTGCTTCCATCTGGGCTACTGGCCGTACCTGGTGGCAGATCNCCCCTGTCGCGAAGGTCACCCTCAAGGGCGTCCTCCCTGCAGGCGTCACTGGTAAGGATGTCATTGTCGCTTTGGCTGGTCTCTTCAACAACGACGAAGTTCTCAACCACGCCATCGAATTCACCGGCTCGCCCGAAACCATGTACTCTCTCCCTATCGACGACCGTCTTGCCATTGCAAACATGACCACCGAATGGGGTGCCCTTTCTGGTCTCTTCCCTATCGATGGTGTCCTCCAAGGCTGGTTGCGAGCAAAGGCCACCGAGGCCTCTCTCTACGAAGACGCTGCCCTGACTTCATCCAAGACCTCCACTCGCTTCAACCACCAAAGACTAGACGACCTGTTCGAGAAGCCCCTGACTGCCGACAAGAACGCCAAGTATGCAAAGGAACTTTTCCTTGATCTCGAATCTCTCTGCCCTTACGTTTCTGGCCCCAACAGCGTCAAGGTCGCCACCCCCTTGAACGAGCTCAACGCCCAAGACATCAAGGTCAACAAGGCATACCTCGTTTCCTGCACCAACAGCCGTCGTTCCGATATCGCCGCTGCCGCAAAGGTCTTCAAGGATGCCGCCGAGGCCAACAGTGGTGTCATCCCCAAGATTGCTTCTCACGTCAACTTCTACATCGCCGCCGCCTCTCTTCCCGAACAACGCGCTGCTGAGGAGCAAGGTGACTGGCAAGTTTTGCTCGATGCTGGTGCACAGGCTCTTCCCTCTGGTTGCGGTCCTTGCATCGGTCTTGGTACTGGTCTGCTTGAGCCTGGTGAGGTGGGTATTAGTGCTTCCAACCGCAACTTCAAGGGCCGTATGGGTAGCACTGATGCAAAGGCTTACCTCGCCAGTCCTGAAGTTGTTGCTGCTTCTGCTCTCCAAGGTAAGATTGCCGGTCCTGGGACCTACCAGAAGCCCGAAGGCTGGAACGGTGTCATTCGTGGAGAGGGCGATGGTGTGCCTGAGGAAGAGCGCATGATTAGCATTGAAGATGCCCTTGACATGCTCGTCCGTCAAGCAGAAGAGGCCGTCGAGTCTGGCGAAAAGGCCCTTGGCGCTACTGACGAGGCTCCCTCTTCCGACGAAAAGCTCACCGATATCCTCCCCGGTTTCCCTGAAAAGGTCACTGGTGAAATCGTCTGGTGCAATGGCGACAACATCAACACCGACGGCATCTACCCCGGCAAATACACCTACGACGATGCCTTCTCTTCCTCGCCCGACCGCATGGCAACCGTCGTCATGGAAAACTACGACACCGAATTTGCCTCCATCGCCAAGTCCGGCGACATCCTCGTCGCCGGCTTCAACTNNGGCTGCGGCAGTTCCAGAGAACAAGCCGCCACCGCCATCCTCGCCAAGAAGATCCCCATGGTCGTCGCCGGCAGCTTCGGCAACATCTTCAGCAGAAACTCGATCAACAATGCATTGATGGGTGTGGAGGTCCCTCGTTTGATCCAGCGTCTGCGCGATACTTTCGATACTCCCGCTGCTGCTCAAGACGGCACTGCTGCCATCACTGAGCCTAGCCAAAACAGACAATCGCTGGACACACCGCCGCCGGCACCTACATCCGTCCCCAGCCAAGAAAAGAAGTTGACGAGGAGGACGGGGTGGACGTTTACTTGGGATGTAAAGCGCAGTCAAGTTATTGTGCAAGAAGGCCCTAATGGCAAGAGCTGGAGCCAAAAGGTCGGTGAGTTGCCGCCGAATGTGCAAGATATCATTGCCCGAGGAGGATTGGAAAAGTGGGTTGGCAAGGAGTTGGCTACCGCAAGCAAGATTTGAAAACAACTGATTGTTGTGTGAGGACTGTACTAAAAATCTGGGAATATTCCATGGCGTTTTGATTGTTTTTTTTCGGGTTGGGAATTAAATGTATATGATATACTTGGAAGAAGAGTTACATCTCTCCCTCGCCTGATGATCGGATTTGGGAACCTTTGGAGCACATGTGATAAATCATAGAGAAACAAGTACTTTCACTCCATCTCTTGTATACTAATTTCACCCTCAAACTTATTCCCCAATGCGCTAAAGACCTTTTTGTTGTTAGCTGCGGAAATGCACCACAATACATCTGGAAAGGAGATGTTGTCCAAGGAGAGACATCACCCAAGGGCTGTTTCTGTGGTCACGGTCCTGGTTTGACGAACAATTGTGCGTTTTTATAGCAGATTATAGCACTAGATTCTGGCGAGGAGAGACAACGCTGGTGACATTGTGACAGTGTTTGAGTATGCGTTGGGTTGATGTTATAGTCGTGTAATCTCAAATTCGACTACATGTTTTCCAACCTTACATATCAAGGGGAATAGATGAGTCGTTGTCAATACTCATAAGCTGCAAGACCGCATGACCCCATTGAAGATGTGTCTCATCTTCACAACTCATTCCCATACCCCATCTTCCACACCTACCAGAGTCCATCACGTCCAACCCCCCGAAAGTAAGATCTACTTTCCACCCAACCACCCCACAGCATCACCACGATAAGCAACCACCGACCTCCCATTCCCCTGCCCGCAAACCTTGATCCCGCGCGTACCACCCATGTCATTAGTATTTGCTTCACCATCATCAGACCCAGGATCATCCCGCCATATCTCAACCCCATCCCAAATTCCCTGCTCCTTTGCCATCACAGCGACTCGATGGGCTTGCTCCAGATCCGCGACTTCGAAGAGGATGATGCGGGCAGAGACTTTTGTGGCGATGGATAAGAGAGGTGGGTAGAAGATGTCCCCGTCATCGATGGAGGGTGTAAGAGGTAGATTTGAGGATGAGGATGAAGGCACGAGGGCGAGAAGGGGTTCGTAGCGTTTTACTGAGCGGGTTGTTGTTGTGGCAAAGGCGGTCGGGGAGATGTAGGGTGGGTTTGAGATGAGGATGTCCCAGGTGGGTTTTGGTGAAGTCGATATGTCATTGTGTAGGACAGAGACTAGGGATGGTGGCTCAGTTGTTGTGTTGTCGTGAGAGGTAGCGAGAACGTCTGCTTGAAGGAACCGCAACGATGGGTCAGGAGGTAATGTTCCTTCGCTGCACAGGCGATGACGGTTCTTGTTTGCAAGTCGCAATGCCTGTGGAGAAATATCCACTCCCACAACTTCCAAATCGTTGGAGGTTCTACCGTGCTTGGTGACAAACTCGTGGTAAGCTAGTAAAGGGATACAGCCAGTTCCCGTACACAGATCCAAGATTTTGAGATGCTTAGGGAGAGGCTGGGTCCCTTGATGCAGACGTTTGATCAAGTGTGTAACTGAAGCAGCAGTTTCTTGCCTNACCTTTGTTTCAACAAAAGAGAAGAGAAGAACAACCTACGCTATATCTCCTTACCTTGGTATCAGAACTCCTGCCTCACAGGCTATCTCGAGGTCGCCGAAATACTCGGTGCCCATGATATATTGTAAAGGCTTGCCACGAGCTCTTTCAATACATAGTCGTCTCAGCTTATGTTGTGTATTCCAGCCTTTGAGACTACGCTGCTTTTGTTGTTGCTCGATGGTGAATTCTCTCAGCCAGCGCAATTCATTCTTTGCAGAGGCGAGGTCGCGCGTGCCTTGTAGTACAAGCGGCAGCAACGAATCGATACTGCGCGCGCGATGCAGCATACGAGGTTGTAATCGAGGCATTGTCAGAATCCAATGAGAGGTATGCTTGCCCTCTGAATGTGCGAACAAGCTAGAATATGCAAGAATTTAATGTCGGTGTCGCGGAAGAGACAGACATCCGAAATCACTTCCGAGTCGCCGCTTTTGGCCAAGCATTTTGTACAAGCAGTGCCGATGAGAGTTAACAGCCACAATCTCACATCCGTTCGATCCTTCCACGCCACGATTGTGGAGATGTGCCTGTCGGACTTGTAACGACAGCTGTTATACGGGGCTCTCGGTGGTTTCTCGACAGAAGCACTGGAACGGTTGTTGTCATTGCTACACGGATGCCTCCTGCGATGGACGGAGAAGTCTCGGTTCTTGCGAAAATGCCGTCTGATGCGAGAGCTGCCGGACGCCGCCAAAGCTCTCAAGACTTGCCATCATAACATCCGCTGTTGCACAGCAGCTCCTCGCCGAGCTGTGACATTCGTTTCGCATAAGATCGAGCCCTACTATGCCCTCATAGTTGGCTGGCCTGATTGATTGGTACTGCGCGGCAGGGCCGGGCCGGACAACGTTATCAACACATTCTCACAACAAACTTCTTTCGACTCTACAGAAGGAAGAAAGATCTTGTTGATTCCCTCGAGGCGAGACTATTCTGGAATCGTTCTCGAAATTTGACAATGACAACGCTTCGCAGCGACATGTTCTTCTTGCAAATTACACGTGGAAACCCTCGTAATGCTATGATCACAGATGGCTGATTATATGGCGATCTTCGGGCAAATCTGAAGCAGTGATGCTTGTTGAGTCACCTTTTGGTGCAATGCTGACAGGTCTGTAGGGGCTCCACATATCGGCACGCCTTTCCGACGTCACCGCTGTGCTTTCGCGTTCTATGCGAACCAGTCTGAATGCTTTCTTTGCTGGAGTTCACAACAAAGACCCTCCGTTGCGGATGACAAAATCGCGCTTTACCACTGTTTGCGGGATCATCGGCCGAAAGACCACCAAGCATCGCTGTGCACTGTACAAGCGTACGCGTATAGTCCAACAGACTCCTAACATGGACATGATAGGTTTGAGATATCGGATCCTCGATGCCGTGCCCGCAGGGGTCTGATATATAAACATGCTAGTCCATCCTAGCAACACCTACATTTACTCTCCCGATTCTCATGCCACTTGACAGACGTTATACGCCACAGCACAAGTACACTCACATATCAACGTACTACATCAATCATATTGACGAACACTTCCCCTTTACCATCATGACTTCCACATACGACAACATCCCCCTCCGTGTCATCCCTCACGTTGTCGACGAGGTGGCAAGAACAGCCCCTAACACAAAATGGGTGGAAGTACCGCGAAACAACGACAACCTGCAAGAAGGCTATAAGACCTTGACTTTCGGCCAACTATCACAAGCTGTTAGCAGGATGGCTCGCTGGATAGACAAGACTATTGGAACCAGTACTTCGAGAGAGACCATCACCTACATGGACCGTCAGAACGACATCAGATACATCTTCGCCATCATTGCATCTCAGAAAACAGGATACAAAGTTCTACTTGCCTCAACGCGCAACAGTGAAGAAGGTCAACGTGCTATCCTCCAGCGTACCCAAAGCAAGAAGTTTCTGCATGGACAAGGCATGCGAGAGGAAGTTCTCGCACTACAAGATGAGAAGACACCCATTGAAGCTTTCGAGGTTCCCTCCATGAACTACTTCTTCGATGGAGATGATGTCGAGCACTATGAGGGTACTGTGAGCAGCGATCCCAACGAAATCGTTGCTATCATCCATACTTCTGGCTCAACTGGTATCCCCAAGCCAATCTACCTGCGCAATGGTTATCTTGCTGTCATCGACCGTATTCGAGAGACACCTATCCCAGAAGGTCGTCTATCAAGAGCACAAAGGTTCGCCGGTTCTGATAGGGCTTTCACTAGTCTACCGTGGTTCCATGCCATGGGTTTCTTCATGGCGCTCAAGTCCATCTACGCGCAAGGGCCTTTGATCCTGCCTCCAGTGGGACGCTCTCCTAATGCTGATCTTACGCTTGAGATCCTCCAAGTTGCCAAGCCAGAGTCTGGCTTCTTTCCTCCTGCCATCCTGGAGGATGTCGTCGACGCTCCTGATGGCATGGAGACACTCTCAAAGCTGGATTTTATCTTCTTTGCTGGCGCTCCTTTGGCACAAGAAGTTGGCGATCGTATCGCTGAGGTTACCCAAATTCAGACCATCATCGGGTCTACCGAAGGTACCTTTTGGGACAGCTACATCACTGAAAATCGTGCCGACTGGGGCTGGTTCGAGTGGTGTGAGCACACCGGTGCTGTCATGGAGCCTTCTGGTGATCTATATGAGATGGTCATCAAGCGTGTGCCTGGCAACCCTGTTCAAGGTGCTTTCTGGAGTTTCCCCGAGCTCGATGAGTACCGCACCAAGGATCTGTACGAGGAGCATCCAACCAAGAAGGGTCTCTGGAAATACAAGGGCCGTAACGACGATGTCATTGTGCTCAGTAACGGCGAGAAGTTCAATCCCGTCATGTTCGAGAAAGACATTGAAGGCCATCCTGCCGTCAAAGGTGCTCTGGTAGTTGGACAAGGCCGCTTCCAAGCTGGCCTGATTTTGGAGGCGAACACCAAGACTGATCCCGAGCAGTTCCTCGAGCAAATCTGGCCTGCGGTTGAGAGGGCTAACGAGAAGATGGCAGCCCACGGTAGAGTCTGGAAGTCAAAGATTGCCATTGCCAACCCACAAAAGCCGTTCCAGAGAGCTCCTAAGGGTAGCATCATGCGACGTAGAACCAACGAACTCTACCATTTAGAGATCGAGGCTTTGTACTCTAACGAAGGCTCGGGTGAATTGCTTGGACAGATTGACGCCGATGCTGATGAGGCTACCATCCGCGACTTTGTCAAGCAAGCTATCCGCCTTGCTTTACCCAAGATCCCCGAGCAGTTCGACGATGAAGGCTACGAAGCTGACCTCTTTTCATTCGGTGTTGACTCACTGCAAGTTCTTGCTTTGGCAAACACTATCGGACATGCTCTGCCTAAGAAGGAAGGCTCGCGTGATGCCGCTTTCAAGCCTCGCATGGTCTACAGTAACCCTACCATTGACGCTCTGACCAAGGCTGTTAGCAACATTCTCCATGGCCAGGACGCCAATGGCACTCCAACCAGGTCGCGCGAGCAAAACATGGACGAGGTCATCAAGAAGTACACCCAAAATCTACCCTCGCCTGTCGAGTACAACCCTCGTTTGCAAGATCATGTTGTCGTTCTCACAGGCAGCACTGGTTCACTGGGTAACTACTTGCTTGAAGGCCTGATCGTAAACCCTGCAGTGGCAAAGGTGTACTGTCTCAATCGCTCCGATGCTCAATCGCGTCAGAAGCGCAGTTTCGAAGAACGCGGTGCCGACCCAGACTTTGCGAAAGTCGTCTTCCTGCAAGCCTCGTTTGGAAAGAAAAACTTTGGTCTCGCAGAACACGTATACGCCCAGCTGGAACGCGACGTCGATGTCTTCATACACAATGCCTGGGCTGTAGATTTCAACATGGGTCTCGAGTCGTTTGAGGAAACACATATCATGGGCACTCGTCGTGTGATCGACTTTAGCGCTTCGGCTCAGTATCACCCGCACATTGTGTTCATCTCGTCCATCGCCAGCACTGGCAACTGGCTCGGCAGCGGACACTCTGGTTTTGTCCCTGAAGTTTTTATGCCAGACAACGATTTGCCTCTTGCTCAAGGCTACGGCGAGGNNAGCAAACACGTAGCCTCCTCTATGCTGGCCATTGCAGCCCAACGATCCAATATCCCCTCCACCATTGTCCGCGTGGGTCAATTAGCCGGCCCTGCAGCAGAAAAGGGTCTTTGGAATCGTCAAGAGTGGTTGCCATCTATTGTCGCCTCGTCAAAGGCAATTGGCAAGATCCCTCGCACACTCGGCAATGAAGACATTGTTGATTGGGTCCCCACCGACTCTGCAGCAAAAATCCTCATCGATCTCACGCGTACACGTTTGCTTACCCAACAAGCAGAGAAACTGGATACTTTTCACCTAGTCAATCCATCCACCGTACAGTGGAAACAATTAGTTCCTGCACTTGTAGACTTTTACGCCTCTGAAGGGTCTCCCATTGCCATTGTGGAGTTTGCCGAGTGGCTGGAAGAGATCAAAGGCTTGGATGTTACAGAGGAGAACATGAGGAAGATTCCTGGATTGAAGTTGTTGGACTTTTATGAGGGGTTGGCTGCTGAGGAGGGAAGTTTGCCTAGGTTGGCGACGGAGAGGACTGCGGAGGCTAGTGTTACGTTAAGAGAGTTGGGTGCTGTGGATCAGGCGATGATGGTGAACTGGTGCAGGCAGTGGCAGTTTTAGAGGGGACATAGTTTGGCAATTCTCTGCATTTCCGAGTGGATTAGATATATCTTCATTATAGCTGTAGAACTGCACAACGCTTTCCAGAACAGGGCAGAGTCTACAGAAAAGAAGTTGTGCTTCAATATCTCCAGGGCCACATCATCCTTCAGAAAGCGACTCTGCATTCGACTGCATATGACAACACGGTGAATTAGCTTGGGAGAGCTTTCGATAGCAATGTTGTCACTATCTTATACAAAAGAGGAGGTCGAATGCAATTTGCAAGCTGTGAAAATGCACAAATATCCTCTAGTTGGGAGTGTCGTCAAGGAGTATCCGACGGACACCGTCTCCTTCGATATGGTATAGTGCGTTCCTATTGCGTATAACAATACTGAGGAGGGGCATTCGCGATGTAGTGACTGGCTATAGCTCATAATAGGTTGGGTGCAGAGTTCTGGTTAGTCCAGCAGGCTGTGCTGTGATAACTTATAAGACGCCTTTCTTGCATTCGTCTCTAGACTCGTATATACAGGCCATTGATCATAACATCATGTGCACACATGCACCTATCGCACAGCACCTCCACCCGTACTGGTAGAGGCAGGATTGCCAGTAGTGCCATGGTGGCCAGAAGTAGACTCGTGGTGCTCTTTGCGAGCGGCCTCCTTGTCAGCCAACCCCTGCAGGTAGTCGGTCATCTGGTTGCTAGTCGCGATCAACAGGTTGAACAGGGCTTCCTGGATGGAGTGAAGGCCAGGTCCGCCGGCGAGCAGGATCTTGTGGCTGGAGCCGTCGACGAGGACGGCCTCGTAGGTCTGGCGGCCTTCGTTCTTCTTGGCGCGCAAGACGATGCGGAAGGTGTCGGAGAAGAGGACGGCGGCGTTCNNGCTGTACAGTTGAGAATTAGCATTGAGAGTTGTTGGCCGTAGGATAAGTGTCAAGCACGTACAGAGGATCTGGTCACGGTAGAAGGTTTCGTCGGCCATTGTTGCGGTCTGGGTTGGACTGTTTGATGCTGTCAGCAACTGGTTTGTGAGCTGATAATGTCCAAAGGAGACACACTTGTTGATATGTGGATAGGTACTAGGGATAGATTGGATTGTTGGAGAAGAAGGAGAGATGGTGGGGTCAGACGTGGAGGACAATCTATCTCACTCCCACATGACGTGACTACCTCCTTCTCTCTTGCTTCCTTCTTCCTTCCTCCACCTTGCTGAGGGGCCGTTACGTGGCCGAACATTGCCGGCGCCGGAAACCGTCGACGTCATTGGAGGAAGCGATAAGCGCGATAAGCGGGGTTGACTTGGTTCGGAGATTATTTCCGTAAGCTCTTCTGAAGCTCTTCTCCCCCACCAAAGCAGGCTCAGTTCGTACCCGTACACAGCACTTGGATATGGAATGAGTTGATTATCACGTCCGATCAATACTCCAACGCCCATCGCGCAATGGAATAGAGAAGCCCGAAAATGACAAGCCAGGCAACATGAACATCTCCTCCGAAGCCTGTCTCGCCGGACGCACATCTCGGTTTTCTGCGATCATATCATTCTTCTTTGTCGCATTTGTCTGGCTTCGGGATTGTCATTTCTGAGCTCTCGCCATCTCTTGTGCTTTCTCTCTCAGCCCAGTCAGAGCCAACAGCAGGCTGTGGGCGGGAGGTCCATTCATGTGTCCTTGAAACTCAGCCCCGCTTCTCTTCTCCTTCCACAGTACTTTGGCAACAACAGATGGATCTCCAAACTTCGCTCCATTGTTCTCAGCTTGGATGGAGAAGCTCTTGCCTTGGGGTATGGCCACTGGCATGTCTTCTGTGAACTCTGTCAGCATTCGTGCCACCTCTCACAGCTCTGTATTGCTTACTCAGAATCTTCTTCTGCATCTGTTTACAAGACTTTTTCTCGTCTCGGAGAAAAGCAGAGACTTTTATGCCAGTTGAACGAGCGTTGTTGGACGACATTGTGGATGGTATGATGAGTGAAGAACGTTGAGGTGTTGATCAGAATGAGAACCAGGGAGGAGCTCGAAAGATATCTGGCACAGCATGGTAAGCACAGTGTTTCCTTGTTCGAGATGGAGAGCCGGTGCTCCAAGATCAAGGTCTTGTGACGTGACTGTACGACCACTCCATAGGTTGTCCTTTGTTACCATGTTTCGGGAACTGCAGTTCTCCATCTCCATACCTTGGCCTGGGCACGTAGGTCATCTCCAATCCTAACACATCCTCCTACATCCTCCAGATTTTCAAGAGCCTGTATCTTGCCCTCCTCTAACAGCAGCACAGAATGACCTTTCGATTATAGAATGACACGATCGTTTCTGTTACCATATTGTATTCAAAGAGAGTCCTTGAGTCGCCGCTTCTCGCTGGGAACTACCTTGGATTTCGGGAATTAACATGCTCTTCGATCATTACACGCGTTAGCACCTGGGAGGACAATAGAGACACAATCATAGATTCAAGAGAGGAAGAAAGAGTTGTGTTTTCAATTTGCGACGGAATCCCGAGGACTGCCTACAGAGGCAATCACAAAGCAGCAGCTTTGTCCTTCCTTTGTAACCCTCAAGAGACGTGGCGTGTCTTCTTGCTACCAAGATGAGACACTGTGAAGTCCCACTGTTCTCTGGCCAGCTTGTCCTTGTCCAGGAAGACATGGTTCTCGGCCCGCATGGCATCTTCGTACATTTCTCTGGGCAGGCTTTCGTCGCGCATGGCACCTTCTTCGCTCCTCTCTTCAGCGGCTTCCTGATTGTTGCGCTTCTCCTCTACATCGGCGTCAGGGCTTTCACAGACCATGATCATGATGCGCAGGTTCGTGAGAGCTTCGACTGGTGTAGGGCAGAATCTTGTGTGCAGAAGAGGTTCATCCTCACCGAGGATTGTGAGTGTGGCGGTGTAGAGGTTCAGTTTGTCGAAGGGTGTCTGCACATGGACTTGAAACCTGTCGCCGTACTCGGGAAGGTAATGTTTCGCAGTGCCTGGACAAACGAGACGTTAGAGTTTCGTGTAGTGCTGATCGGGAGGGAGAACTTGCGGTGCAGACCACGGCATAGAGACCAGGCGAGAGCGCTTTCGGCCATGTCGGCGCCTTTGACGTAGGCTTTGCCGGTGAAGAAGGCATAGACGTGATTGAGACGTCTTTTGAAGATGGTTTTGTTGCTGACGCTCGCGGTTGGTGGTGAAGATATGACGGGCATGGCTGTGGTTCTCTGCATGTTATGGTAAAAGACAGACTCGTTGGGAGGATTGATTGTGGTGTTGAGGTTTGTTTTGCTCTCCGGCGCTAATCAATCATTTGTTTATACGTTGAGTCACTTTCACTCGTGCACCGACGCCAACGCCGACGACAACACGGTCATCAGGTCGTGTTCCGATGAACCATACCATTGGTCTCCTGAGATGATGAATCAGGTTATCACAGCATCCTGTGATTCATCAAAGACAAGTCAATCATCGCGAAGGGGATATTCCAATCTGGAGATTTGTATCTGGATTCATCAATTGAGCCTCAGTGCTTCCATTTGCTCAGCATCTTTGTTCTGCCTGGAGTAACCATGAGACACTCTCCGACCCATCGCGGCGCTCCTCTAACCAGACTTCGTGCAATGCTTCATTCAGCATACATCTCCCAACTTTCAACCGTGGAATCTCTCAGCCTTCCACTCGCCACGTCTCTGCAGCCAGTAGTAGAGCCCAGCCAGTGCCTCTTCGACGGTGTTCTTGCATCCGCCCCTGAGGACAGATCTGCTGTCGACCATCAACTTGGCTTGGTACTGCTGGTGGCCACTCATACGGCAGGTCATGCAATGAGCAACCGCAACGTGGCAGGTCTTGCCGGGCAGGATGCTGGAGTAGTAGTCTAGTAAGATCCATTAGCAAAGAAGATCAAGGGGGAATAGGGGCTTAAGTACTCAGGATGTTGTAGCGAGAGATATCGCTCTCGAGCTCTGAGCTCACGGTAGGCTTCTGGTAGGCCATTTTTGCTCGATGATCTTGTTGAAGTTTGTTCTTTGTCGAATATGTTTGTGGTTTGTAACGACCTTTGATGTTGAAATGGCTCTAGTGGAAGGTGTTTTGTAGAGATCTTGTGGCACTGTGTCTGTTGGCCAGCGAACAAATGCAGCTTGTTCTGCGTTACTGCAACCTGCTTTTCAGGAGAAATGCTTGATGTAGAGGTTTGCGATGGTGGATTTGCTGGCGCGCCGGAATCTATATCAGGCAGCATGAACCAAGTTCTCGGCATGAAGGGGGCTCAGCGCTGACACATCTCGTGGTTTTCGTTTGTCTCGTTTGCTAAAGCAGAACTGCATGCTATTGATGCCTGTCGTAGGAAGGCCTTTAGGGGATATGTGAATATTTGTAGATCATGTGGTCAACTTTTGAGGAGCTCTTATCCCTGCCTATATCTATCTTGCTTTCCTGCTCGAATTGATTGAACATATAGTGCATTATACGAATGCGAAGTGTTTGTTGGTCTGAAGCAATACCTAAGGAGAGTCATGATGACATGGCCATTTCTATAGGTAATCATCCGATCTGATATGCGATTGTGCACTTTTATAGCATACCATAGTACTGCTTGTTCGTACAGGAGAGATCTCATGATAGTCTGAAGTAAGCTGAACTTCGAATATATTGCATGTAACATATGAGCCTTCACATGCTCTCTATTCTGAGCGCCTCGTGAAACTGTTTCCTGTCAATGTCTGAGCTATCGATTGAGCCACCCTGTCCACAGGATGTTTGCTGACATTGTGTTTGATGGTGTTACTCTGCCTATCGCCAAGCATCTGAATATGCTGAGCTGTTGCAAGTTTCTCATGTTTGATCAGATTGTAACCCTTTGACGGTAATAAACAGCCTAGATGGTAGGACATTGATGTACAAAGGCTTGGCAGTGACGTTATCCGATCTCACCTCTCTGTACTAGATACATAAGCACGCGATCCTTTCGCTTTGTTCTTCTATGTGTACATCAGGAACCAAGACACCTTCTCACAAGCACCGTAAGCTGTGCTGCTATCGAAATCATAGTCTCTTATCAATCCTGTAGGTAGCACGGCTGTACGAGCATCCGAGGACATTCTCCGGACATACCAAGCTCCCAATCTCCGGGACCCTGTATACACTTTACCAGTCGCCCTTTGGACTCTTCTTCCTTTCCAGATCAATTGACCTCATCCCATTCCACCACCCGAACAACACGAAATCTCCAAAATGGCGGCAGCAATTTCTTCCTTCTTCAGACAGTCAGCCTGGATCCCGACACCCGAGCTAACCGAAAAGAACCTCCCCAACCAAGCTGGACGCGTGTTCATCGTTACCGGCGGCTATGCAGGAATCGGCTACGAACTCAGCAAGATTTTGTATCAGCACGACGCCACCGTATATATTGCTGGACGCTCAGAAGAGAAGGGAAACAAAGCTATTTCTGAGATCCGTGAAGCTGTGTCCAGCTCGAAGGGAAAGCTCGAGTTTATGCATATCGACTTGGCTGACTTGACCACCATCAAGCCTGGTGTTGAGAAATTTTTGGCAAAGGAGTCTCGTCTGGATGTTTTGACCAACAATGCTGGCGTACGTATATGTTGATTGACCGATGTGCTTGAGATTGCTGACCAAGGAAAAAGGNTCATGACGCCGCCTCAAGGCTCGAAGACAGCCCAAGACTATGAGCTCCAGATGGGCACGAATGTGCTTGGTTCTTTCTTGCTCACTAAGCTTTTGCTGCCCGTCATCGAGAAGACCGCTGCCTCTTCGCCTGCGGGATCCACTCGCGTCACTTTTGCCGGCTCTCTTGCCGTCGACCTCATGTCCCCTACCGGCGGTGTAGCTTGGACTGACGGCGAACCCACCGTCCACAACTCGCAGCAAGCCAACTACGGTCAATCCAAAGCCGGCAATGCCCTGCTCGCCAGCGCTCTGCGCCGTCGATGCGAAAAACTCGGCGTCATCTCCAACGCTTGGAATCCTGGAAACCTCAAGTCCGAGTTGCAGAGACACACGCCCAGCGTGCAAGCCATGTTCATCAACATGATTGTGTACCCAGTTCAGCTTGGCGCTTACACCGAGTTGTTTGCCGGCTGGGGCGAGGAAGCTGGTCGTCCTGAGAATGCTGGCAAGTTTATCATTCCGTGGGGTCGTTTTGGTCCTGTGCGTGGGGATGTTGCTGAGGCGATGGAGAACGGGGGTGACGAGAAGCTGTGGGAATGGTGTGAGAAGGCTTCTGCACAGTATGCTTGATCTCAGTAACGATGCAGTACGGAGTTCATGACTATCACAATACACAGTATGTTTTCTTATCCATGAAAATCTATTGAGAGCATACAGATTGGTTTCATCTCTCTGGCCACCCTCGACTCCTAGAAACATTGTGAATTTTGACAGCTGAATTTGACCATCTCGCATTCCGCGAGAGCCCGAAAAAGCAAAAAACCAAGCTGCTGTGGCATCTTGGGAAACCCCCTCCTGCCCGCAAAGTATTCTCCCTTTGCAAGAGAGAAAAAACATGATGTTCCGCTACATCGGAAGATCGAACCAAGGACTTTTGGGGGTTTTATCGCAAAGCGTAAGGTTTCCCGATCGGGAAAACTTACTGGTTGCTGGAGAGAAAACTGGTTGGATGGTGTATATGGCGTGGTAGTGAGTGACAGAACGTGAGTCACTCCTTCCCCTCGAATCTCTCATCTGTGAAGGTCTCCTTGTTGATGCTGTGGAAATACAGGATTAGGATCGAATAGTCGCTCCTTCCACAGAAATGTGTTCATTGTGCCAATGGGAAGTCATCTCCCGCAGCTTTACCTCCCTACCCTGGGACTATCATAAGGTAGAGCTTTCCTCATGACTACCATACTTCCATCGAGATGTGCTCACCTGTCATTGTTTCCTGTCGACGACAAACCCGATGACCGACGCTCACCTTCAAGAGGATTGACTTTTTTCACTCGAATGTAACACACGAGTATCTCACTTGGATATACCACCATTCGCTAGACGGATCCGGTTTCGTCGAGTGGAGGTCGACTTAGCAATCAGGTCTCTGCCCCAACCTGGCTGTTTTTGGTTCGTCGGTCACAACTCACAAGTACTTCTTTCCAGTCCGCCACTAATTACAAAATTCAGTCTTATTGCGTCGAGGCTCTCAAGTCGACGTCGAACTCAATCATCGAAGCTTGCTCCCAAGCTGACACTACTGGTAAATAAAGGTACTCGTTTGCAATGCACCACTGCTTTCCTACCTGAACACATCTCCAACGGGCGACCTCCTTCGGGAAATATCCCGACTACAATCCATACGACATCTTCGATATCGCCCTTCTCTAACAACACATCTTATCTTACATCATCTTCAGAAAAATTCTCAGTAAGAGTGTACAACATAATCTAATATGAGAACCAGGATCCCGAAACACGTTGTCGAAGAACTTTTTTCCTCGGACGAGAGCTCTGAGGTCACCAGCGAACCAAACACTCTCATCCAAGACACAATACTTGGAGGGGACATCATGAACGAGCGCGAAGCTCAATCCTTCCAAGACAAGAGCGAATCAACAGGAATATCCTCAGATGCCGCACCACCAGAACAACCTATGGAAGTCGAACAAGACGATGGCAACACCAATTCGCTCACCGACGAGAACATGCACGACTTTACGGTTCTCAGAGACGAGACCAGCCTTCTTATTGACAATGCTCCCGCTATACTGAATCAAAGGTTCCGGGCCTTGCAAGAGAAGGCACCTCTTGATAGTTGCAGCGCCAGAGTTTCTTATGCTCCTACGGATCCCGAATATGCGAGAATACTGAATTCCGCTGCTCTCAGCCACCATACGCGTGATCGGAGAGGATCTGCAGGAACAGGCTCCTCTCGATCTTCTATCATTAGGAAAAAGAACAAAGAGCCTTCTCCTGATTCAGAGAATGCTGAGGATGTAGTGGAGATCACGAATGACCGGCAAGGAAAACAATCCCGAACGATCTTGGAAGAATCCAAGATCTCTCTCCGGAACTCAGAGCCCGACGATACGGCCGACACGGTCGACATGGTCGTTGACTCGTCTACGAGCGCCAGTGTTTGGCCGCGCAAGACCTATGGATCTGAATCTGACGACGAATATCACGAGATATTCCGTCGTCACAACTTCAGCTTCTCAAGGGAGTTACTATGTCGCGTATGCGGTGGTTGGAAGCCTATCAATCAGCATGCTAACAAACATGATCGTCAAACCTGTCGAGACTGCTGCATTGCAATATCATCTGTAGAAAGTCCGGGTGGCCGCACGAAACTACGTCCCTCAGGACGGCCTCGGTTGGAACATGAGGATACATCTCAAGCACAAGATGGGAAGCCTCAGCCAAAACGATCAAGGATACCAGACGGTTGGATCAAGTCGAAGAATTTACTCGAGAGTCTGCGCAATCCTACGGCTATTTCAAAGCCTCGATCCAAACGAAAGTCCAACCAAGAGAACGACGCAAGCAGGCTCCACGAAGAGCTGTTGCAAAGAGATCAGCAAACGGTATAAGAACAATATAGTATGCAGCCCGCTGCAAGTACGGCTTTTTCACCAGCTCATAACCATGGCACCTCTGACGAGTCAACAGCCGGCTTGATCAAACTTGGGATCAGGACAGCACCTTGGATTGAAGTTCCCCGCAGTGCACCGCTGGGTGACATGTTCATCACCGCTCTGCAGTCTGATAATGCTTTGCGAGACTACGTCTTCATGCTTCCGGGGAAATATGTTCGATGGGACGATACGCCAGATGAGGTATGATCATAGCACTGTATTGAATACAAACAAAGCTGACTTGTACTACTAGCTTGGTCTGGAAGAAAATGACTGTTTTGATATGCGTGCGCTTCCTGAAGCTTGCCCTCCCAATGCCCGAAACAACCCCCCACTGACGTTATCGGAATGCACAAACAAGAACAAGAACCTGACGATGCCAAAGAAATGTCTCAAGCAGGGACTTTGGAGATTACGAGATGCTTGATTCTAAACAGGTCCCCGGCCCCGAATACAGCTACCCTTCCATCTCCGAAACTGAGAGTCCAACACCTCGTAAGGCAGTCTCTTCTGACACCGAGGCTCAACTCTTTGCTATCTGGGCTGCAAATTAAACAATCACACCAATTCCTACATCGATATCCCCACACAGATACTCTCCTTTGCCTAGGTCTAAGCCCGAGACCATATCCAACACGATTGAGCTCGCACCCAAAAATGGCAACACGCCTGTCGATGGGCATGAATGCGAGATTGATAGGAACCAGGAATGCGAGTCTGCCAGATCACCATCGATTATTTTCCTTCACTCTTCGGAATCCTTTGGTCTTTAGGGCACAGACTTTGGCAATAAGAGAGGACACTCAGAACCCAATGAAACAGAAGCCGACGCAAAGCGTCAGAAACTGGCAAGAGCAGTGCAGGAGGACTCGGAAGTTGAAGAAGCAGAGGATGGAAAGTAGAAGATGTATTCAGATATTAATGAAGGTGCTCCACCAAGCACTCCAATGAGAACCCAGAGCCTATGGCTGTATTTTGGATAGCAGAAGTATAACATATCTTTCTCAAGGCCTCTCTTTGTGCAAAGATTATTGCTTAGTGCGTAGAGAGATGCACGCTAATCTCCACGAAGGAAGATGGTATCCCTGGAGAGAACACATCGCTAGGGTATTTCTGTGGCAACACTTCCGACTAGAAAACAACTACGCTTTTCCATAGCCATACAGCATCACTGTATCCCAACTTGAGAGAGGCTAAATAGGAGTGTGACAGTGACGAGCACATGAGGTCTCAAAAGGTGACCACATGACTATCTACCCCATGTGAAGAATATGTGACACCTTAGAAATGCACGATAGTATCGAGAAGCAGGGTAAAACCCATTGAAAGAGTGACAACTCATCAGCTCTCCTCGGTCGTATCTTGAGTTTGGAAAACATTCGTGCATTTTTTTTTCTTCAGTCGACGCGTCGCTCTATGATGTTGACAGGAGGGCAGGCGTCTCCTCCAAGGGGTTCACTTCCACTGAGCACAGTAAAAGTCAAATAGAAAAGAATCAGAGAAGTTTTCAATTGAATACTGGCGATGCGATATACTATAAGCACCTCCACTCGAATACCAATGCGTCTACCCTACGGCAAGCAGTCCAAACAAAAGATACGTTCTTTTGTAGTAGTCGGCAGAACTCTTTTTCAGGCGCTCAATCGCGGGGTCTTCCAACTCAGCCTTGTGTTTGAGTTTCTTGATTGCATCCTCAAAGCCAGGGGTCTTGGCAATAGGCTTGGAGACGGAAAGGGTCTTGTCGAGGTATAGCAAGTCGAAGATTGCTTGGATCGATCTGGGAGATNNTGGTCTGTTGGCAATGAGGGTGTGGGAGTTTTGGTCTGGGGCGCTNTCGTCGGCAGGTACTTCTTCGGGCTCATCTGCTGTAGAGGAGTCATTGTGTCCGTTTGAGGAATCTGGTGGTGCAGTCAAGTCGCTGGTGTGATTAGTGCTCAAGAGAACGTTGCCGAGTGATTCAAGGATAGCCTTTCTCAGTCTTCTCTTGAGTATCGAGACAGCGGACGGCGACCAAAGATCGCTGCCGACATCCTTCATTGTTCTGCATGTTTCATGCAGATATCTGAAGCAGGCAGGTGATGGCTGAACCGGAAGCGGNGGAGAGCCTTCCCACAACGCCGTAGGTGGAGGGCGAACAAACAGCTTTGGCAATTTTGTCGAGGCTCTTTGATGCTCTTGCGATTTTTCCATCACCTGCTCAGCAAGCATCTCGCGCAGGGTTTGAAACAATGACGGTGGTGGTCTCGTGGCGGAACTTTGTGTCTCGCCTAGTGCTGCTTGATGCGCGAGTTCCCGCAGAAGTCGCAACGACCGGACTGTGCGACCTTGTCTGTCGACGTAGGATTGTATTTGCTCATACGCATCCCTGAGAGACTTGGCTTTTTCTGATGCGAGCAGTTTCTGCAACTCGTCAGGATCCTCTCTAGCGAGCAAATCTTGAGGAGAATCAATCTCAAAATCGTCTTCAATGTCAAGATCGAGATCATCGTTCCATCTATCATCACGCATGGCTTTGATAGTGGTAGACCAGGTAGCCAAGTCTGTAGACCATGAGTCGAACGACTGTACCAGACCCTGCAGTGAGGCATCCTTGCCTTGCGAAGCGTTGTTTATCAGGTTCCGGAATGTGATAGATCCTTTGCCTGGATCAATCTCGAGATTGGCAGGATCCCAAATCTCGGCGGCAGGACCAGGGTTGATTATGGACTGGATATACTCGCCCCTCAAATAAGGTCCGACGATATATTCACCAACATTGGCAGACGCAACCACTAAAGCTTGAAGTCGGCGATTGAAGGAGGCACGCAATTCCTCAAAGAAGCTCGACGGGTCAAGACCAGGCAATTTTCGGTCGGCAGACAGAGAACGCGAAATGAATTCTTTCCGTAAAACGATCATTACCGATAAGTCATGGGTATACTCAAGTAGCAAATTCAGTCCTTTCAGGAGTTTAGATCTTGCTTGGGCGACCCATTTCTTCAATACAATTGTGGCTGCAGATGCTTGCAACTGGTCATGTCTGAGCCAAGGAGTGAAATTGCGTACGTCATCGGAGACCCATCGCTCGTAGATATCGAGGTTGAGCTCCGGCATGTCCTGGATGGCCAAATCTTGCAATAAAGGCTCGTCCTGCAACCTGCCAAGAAGAGCAGATAGCTGTTTTGGGAAGATGGCCTGCACTTCCTTGATGGTCGTAATGAGTAGACCCAATGCATCATGTAAGTCGGTTTGTGTAGGAAATTCGACCAGATCACCGAGACTAGATGCCCGCACATGCAAGAAGTGGTTCAATACGTCTGTTGGCGTGGATGTGGTTGCAAGAGAGAAGGCAGCCAATGTGTCAACCAGCGCGGACTTTTCAAGAGTGGCAGAAGCCAGACCCTTATCGATATGGTTTAGAAGCTTGCGACGGAGCGATGCCAACTTCGACTTCAGGTTGTCAAGCAGAGCTGGCGGATCGGGAAATTTGGTAGCACTGGTGAACAGCAGCCTGGAGATAACAAGCAGTTTTGCAGCACGCAAGGCAAAATTGCCTCGTTTGATAAGTTGAAGTGCTTGTGCCATGCAACGTTGAAGAAGGGCGACGTTCGAAGCGAGAGCATTGCGAGCATAGTTGCGATGTCTTTGAGCATTGGCGGTCCTTTGTTGGTTGGCGGCAATTCTCTCGATAGCACGAGCATTGCACTTTTGACCAATATCTCCGAGGCGCGTCTCGACTGAATGTATCTGTTGGTCCATGTCGACTATCCGGTCGGCAGTGCTCAGTAAGTCGCGGTAACTGTTGCCGACCAGGGAGCGCAACTTGTCGCTATTATCGTTGATATTCGAGCGGAGCTGCTGTTCAAGCCGGCGCACAACTGGGACCGGGTATTGGAAAGCATCTTCCCACGACTTGAACTCCCTCGGGTTGGGAGCCTGGTTCGTGGTCATCTCTCGCTGGTTTGTTGTATGCGATGGTTGTTATGCCAAGAAAGGAAGTGGTTGTTGTCCAGAAGGAGCGTTTGGAGGCCGGGGTTTTGCCGTCTATCAATCATCAAGGTTGACGAAACATTCCCAATGGTATACCTGTGAGAGTCGCCAACAAGTCTACTCGTTGGATTCCGGGTTCTGTATCCTACCGTATTTTCAGCCATATCCGCTACCATGCCCGCCCTTCACCGGATGTCGAACAGTACGAACATGAATAGCACCCAACGCAGCCGAACCTCCGAGTGACGCCAAAGGTCCACGCGTGACAATCACAAGAGACGAGTACGTGGACTTGAGCAGGTCCAAAGAAGAGCTTCGCAAAGCATGTCTAGAGGTGGAAGAAAGATACGAAAGACTGTCAATGTATCATTTGGAGGATATGACATATGCAAAGGCATGGCTCGACCAGGCACGACAGAAGGAGAAGTCTCGCTTCGAGGACTTTGAGCGGGTACATAAACAAATCTTCACATTCGATCTATGGCTCATCCCTAGACGATTCAATTATGGTACTCGCGACATATACAATCCTCGACCATCACGACATGCCACTAGACACGCCCGAACCTGCGACAGTCCTGCTCACAATGTGGACGAGGCACATACCCTAAACAAGCTGTCACTCAAACTGTTGTCCAGGCAATCTCAGTTTTTGGTCAATTTACTCGAGGCTCGCGCATCTCCGATCAGCCATCTGATGCTGTCTCCATTATGCTTGCTCAGCATGCAGGTGACAATCCCGAACTCAAAGAGCTCACGAAGATAGTAACCACAGGTGAAGCGAACCAAGAACAGTTGCGTATATTCGACAGAAGAAAAAAAACACTCGCTGGCGTTGGCCGACCATGCCCAGTCCGGCAGTCGTACAAACCCAGTACATATCAAATAGGAGCCTTAATCTTGGAGCGCCAAAGTATGTAACTCTGTAGCTTCTACATTACCATCTGTCATATATTTTGAAGAATCCTGTCTTACAAAGTTATATCTCGTCCTCTTCGTCCTCCCAATCGCTCTCCTCATCCTCACTCTCATCATCAAGACTAGGTGCATAGGGAGCCCTGCCCACAGCAACTTCGTCCTCGTCATCAGACCTCAACATTTCCATTGCGTCCTCGTCGTGTTCAAATCCCATCATCTCGGCTATTTGCTGTCGGTCTTCCAACTCTTGAGCCGCTTCCATAGCTTCTGATTCTTCTAATTCTCGTCTTTCTTCTTCGGTGAGTGAGGCATAAAAGTCTGCTCTTGTTGCATCGTCTAGAATAAAGTCTTCTTCCTCTTCCGAGGACTCGTCGTCTTCGTTGTTGTTGGTGAGAAGAGCCATTAGTTGCAAGAGTCCTGCTTGCATTGCTGCTCCGCGGTTGGGTAGTGCAAGACTGCTTCTGCTTGCACTGTCGCGAGGGACTTTATCGCGAACCTCCAAGCCTTCAATATAGGACAGTTCCTTGCCCGGACGGGACAAGTCTGGTGCTAGACTCAATATGCGAATTGCTTTTGTGGGAAAGGCGCGGGTGCGCTCAGGACGATTGTCGTCGTCAGAGTCGCGCCTGCTGCGCGGACTGCGAAACCCGAGGGTGGTATATGTGTGCATGATGCAGTCGTCATAGATACCCATGAAACTGACTGGCACTGCGAGTTGAGGCGCCGAGCTGATTGGTGTCGCCCAGATGGGTTTCTGGGTATCCCCTGTCGAGGGAATGTGGGCGAAGGAAGGTAAAGTGAAGATATAGATGTTGTCGATGATTTCGAACAGACAGCGTCCATTTTTTATGCCTAGCCAGCCGCCGAGTTCAAAGGTCGAGCCATCGCCTTCGGTGTGTAGGATTGCTGTTGTTTCTGCGAAACGTGCTGATGATGCTAACGCACCCAAGAAATCTGTGCAGATGAACACACGCCCGCCGCGAGAAACACCACACATGTGGTCTCCTGAAATGATGCCTGAGCCCCACTCATCGTTTTCGATGGCCAGTGGCGAGCGCGGTACTGGATGAGGTCCATTGTATAGTTTGAGCGGTGTGAGGCGATCTTTGCGTGGGTTTTGGGGTGGGTTGACGGAGACTGTGGGTCCGTGGTTCGTGGCGTTCATGGTCAGATTGGGCTGGGCGGGCGGATGAGCGATATGGAAGATGTTTTGACAGTCCTTGGGGTCGAGTTTGCCTATCATTTCGCCGGTGGTTTTAGAGCATACATGGTAGCCTCGTTGGCCCATGCTGTAGCACACAGCATCCTTGCTCTGATCCAGATGTCCCACAGCCTCGTTTTCGATTTCCAGAACTTTTTGCTGTTGGGGTGGATGCACGGAGAGATCCCAAACGAATCCTTTGCCCTCGGATGACACTACACATAGTGTTTCCTTGTCGTCGAAGCGCGAGAGTTGAAACCCTCTAGTCTCGCAATCGTGCTGGAGGATACCAACGCGATGGAAGCTTCCTCTTTCCACCTCATCAGCTTTCCACACTTCAATCGCATTGCCAAAACGATCCCAACATGCCGTGCCAGACTCTTGATCGTATTCCAAATGCGCACACATGCGCACATCTTCCCTCCTCAGCCTCCACAACATACGTCCATCATCCATGTCAGTCACACAAACTCCACCTGACTGGCTCGTCGAAACAATGAACCTCCTCTTAAAGTCAGGCTTGAAGCGCCACACCGGATCATAGCCCACCTGCACCACACTCTCCCTTACCACCGGCCTTTTACTCGACCAATTCTTCTCCAGCAACATCAGTCGCTTGCANAAGTCCCTCCAGCTCTCCACACCGCGCAAGTATTGAACGAAACTCTTGTCGCAGCGGGATTCGCCAAATATCTTGACATCACGACCGAGTTGTGTGACTTCACGGTCGCTCCGTGGGTGTTGATTGTAGAGCTGATGCGCTTGTGACGAGTATACCGCATCCTGGTGTGTGGTATGCAGGAACCCGTGCCAGGCTTTTGTGGTGCAGTTTAGCGCTGCAATGCCAGATAGAGGAGTAAATTCAATGCAGCGGAGAACAACCTCGGCTGGCAGGACTTGTAATGGATCCGGCATGTTTGTGATTTGACGGTCTGATAATCGTTTAATTTTGTTGCACAAGAAGTTGATTTGTTGATATTTTTTTGGTGGACGAGTGTGTTCTCTTGATGGACGTCATGTGGGTCGGTAGAGACGCCCTTGGTTTTGCCGACGCTGGTCAGGCGGTTGATCACAGATGTTCTTTACACTTCTCCAGCGAACACGATGAAGGAAAAGCAGGTCACAAGAGCAGTTAATGGGAGGGAAAGACTAGAAGGTCACAACCAGGTAGGTAGTTGCATCGATGGCTCCGCGTACCTCGAGCATCGCTGTAGGTCTGATATTACAGGGTGTCCATACACCGTCTTCAATGCTCGCATGTTACCCAAGCATTCCCTTGCAGGCAGCAGCTCAGATCCATTTCGAAGACTCGGGGAGAAGAGTCTTGAGCGAGACGGTGAAGTGGCGGTAGCGACTTCTACAGTTTGACCTGGCTTGAGCCCAAGCTCGCTACAACAAACACCAAAACTTACACGAAAACACGACTCAACCAAGGGCACAATGTTGTGAGTGTGGCTCTACCACACTGACAAAAGAAAAGCGTACGCGTCCCATTGACAAGGCTTCTTCTTCAATCTCCAGCTATGAAAGCCAGAGGATCAATGAAAAAAGTAGAGATTCGCGTCAGCTCGAGGTAGTGCAATACGAGCGACACTGTGCCAAAAGACATGAGCAAGCCCAGAGGTCTTTCAGCAAGTTCCAAAAATAAGAATAATCATTTTGACGGTCCGTAGACCGGTCACAGCGATTAAACTATGAAGAACAGATACTACACTTGATCTAAGCCAAAAGGCAAGAGACTTGCGGGGGGAAAGAGGAGGGCGAGGAACAGCGAGATTATATAGTGACGCGATGGGGGTGTGATTATGTCAGCGATGAGTAAGCGAGTTTGCTCGAAGAGCAAACTCAACGGTGAGTGAGGAAGTGTTGGGAGTGAGACCCTGTCTGAAGAGCTGATGGTGACGATTTTGGACGGTGGAAGTGACCTTGACAGTGAGTAAATACATATCATAGGCACAAAACCTCGCCCTCCCTCCTTTCCCTCCGCAAGTCTCTTGCCTTTTGGCTTAGATCAAGTGTAGTATCTGTTCTTCATAGTTTAATCGCTGTGACCGGTCTAACGATTCTCGCTCGCTGCCGCGAGCAAAAATCGTTCTTCTTTCATGATGAGCTGTGACAAGAGTATCTGTCAAAGTGCATCGTCCGTCCAGTGACCAAAACATCTTTGACGGTCATCCTCGCAGGGGATAGATGGCTATGGACTTAATCAGGGTCGTGAATGCGAGAGGACCTACCACGATAGTCCACTTAAGATGTGACAGTATGATGATTGGTTCGGGAGGGAAAGAAAACACAGCACTATGTTCAGAACATATTGATGAAGGAAGAGAAAATCGATCGTTATTCGTATATGGACACCTGCTACTACTCGGCCTTGTAGTACTGACGCCAGTTGTGTTCCTCCTTGAAGCCCAACACTTCTCTAATCTTGCGATTACTCAACGGCGCCTCAAATTCTCCCATCTTGCGCGTCAAAGGAGTGTTGGGACAGACCTTNTTCAAATACTCCTCGGTCGGTGTAGTGGTGGTAATGGTATCGTTCGTGGCATTGAAGATCTCAAAGCCCAAGCCATCCTTTTTGATGCACAAATCGCAGATCTGGCCTAAATCGCGGGCATCGATGTAGGACCATGCATTGCGCTTTCTAGTCTCTGGTTTACCAACAATGGTTGGGAAGTCTCTTTCGTACTCGTGGGGTTCAATTACATTGCCAATGCGAAGGACGTAAATGTCGCGGCCGTTGAAGCGGCGGGAAAAGGACTTTGCCGTCTTCTCGCCGCAGATTTTGGAAAGGGCATAGGAGTCCNNCTGAAGGTGAAGGTACAATTAGCATGTTTCTTATGCATGAGCATGGAACACATAGCAGCCGAAACCCCATCTGATGGGATTTGGTTTGTGCTATTTGTACCTTGGCCTTACGTACATGGGGTCGACATCATAGTCTTCCTCCAGAGGGAAAGAGTGATAGTCGGTGTCGCCTTGCGAGAAACAGACGCCATAGGTGGTTTCGGAGCTGGCGATGATGATCTTGGGGACGCCGAGTTTGCAGGCGGCTTCGATGACATTGTAGGTTGCGGTAACATTGCCTCTGAAGCACTCGTTGTCTGGAACCAGCATGTTGCGTGCGTAGGCTGCAAAGTGGATGACTACATCAGGTGGCTGGGGGACCTGTGCTTCGTCGTAGCCGGCAAAGTTGAAGTGAGTGGTGAGGGCATTGAAGACCTGACCACTGTCTGTGAGGTCAGTCTTGAGGGTGAGGATGTTGTGGTCGTTCCCTGGAAAGTCGATCAGGTCGAGGTTGAGGACCTGGTGACCTTTNTTGACGAGCTCTGGAATAACGTGTCTGCCAGCCTTGCCGGAGCCGCCAGTGAATACAATGCGTTTTCCTGAGGACATGATGATTGATGTGTATGGGAGAGGAGAGAGAGATATAAAAAGGGATTGAAGGAAAAACTGACTGCCGTGCCTGATATATACTGCACCTACTCTACCTACAATAGGCTGAATGAACGGCAGCCACCTGTGTGGAACTGCTGCTGGGTCAAGACGGTAGAGGGGTGGTACACGTCATGGTGCGGAAGGAAGACCGTGCTTGATGGAAGCTTCTTTTTTCTGGAGGAGCCTCGCGTGGTCGGTGGATGGTGGGGAAGTGGGAAGATGATCAGCGCTCCCGCTCGCCGGTTCTCAAAATCACCATTCCTGGGCACCTCTCAGCAGCTCTATTGCAATCAACCCATGTTGGACGCTCTCGACGATACATGACAGTCTGGCCAATGCGCCCGTCGCTAGCAACTCGTCTTGTGCGCACTCCTACTCGCCATGCTGCTGTCGCCGCCACGGTAACCGCTGCTCCTTCAGCCGCCGCTCTTTGTTACACCCGGCTTGATACCCACCAAGTCGCTGTCGCTCCCATATCGTCCAAGTCTGTCCTGAGCCATGTCTGGTTCAGCAGCTCGGCTCCCTACCTTTCCGAGAGTGGTCCTGAGGGCGATCACAAGCCACCGGATGAACGCACTTTGAAGCTAGGCAAAAGTATGTACTTTTGAAGAAATGACAGGAGGTTGCTAACATGTCGCTGCAACAGCTNNGTCCGGATCCTACATGAACGTCTGCCCACCCTACTTGCGTCGCCGCTGCCACAAGACATACTCTCGCCGCAAATATCACTCCACCTGTTCCCCTCGACACATCCACATCTCCCTACCGTCTCTGGAAGAATCGCCTACCTCGCTGCCCTGTGGACGGCGCCTGTAGCTTGGGGACGAGTGCCTGTAGTGGGCAATGTCAAACTCACCGTCATCTCTGAGCGTATGATTCGACATGGCGGCAACACTGCAAGCTCGGCGTTCCGTGACGAGAAGCTCATAGTCAAATGGAAGACATGTGGGAAGGCTAGGAAGAAGAATTCGGCTGGCATCTACCGTGGTATCGGTGCCAACGAGCAAGTGGAGAGAATCACAGATGTGCTCGGCGGCAAGGCAAGAGACGACGAGGAGTTCTGCGGTCTCTTCATCTTTGAGTTTGACGAACAAGGTCGAATCGTCAAACACACGATTGAACACGCCGACGAAGGATCTGGATCAGAACGCACCAACAGAGTGGTCAGCGTGACAGACTGGCTGCTGGGCAAGGTCAGTGGACACAGAGAAGAACATGTTCCTAGCCTTGCGTGGTGCAAGAACAACCAAATCAGAAGGGGATTCCAGGGTCGTCGCAAGGGAGACTAGGATGGGGGAAGCATTTCTGGAGGCGGGTATCTAGGCGAACAGGCAACGGCGTTCTGGTGGCTGGACTGGCAGGACCTCTCTCAACTCGATGCATTGATCTGTGTAAATATGCGCCCATCTATTGAAACCTGTACAACTATCATCATGTCAAACAGATTCGACAATTCTAGAATGATTCGGATAGAGGAATTGTCAAGCGCTGAAATGAGAATGTACTGCCGAGTGGAGGCTATCACAAATGATGGCATCGGTCCAAGCTCGCGCCATGCGGCTGGAGCATGGAACATGGCCATGCCGACCACTCCGCGCCGTACCCGTCGTCGTCGTTTCTTCTGTTTAGCAACCAACCGACTTTAGTATAATCTCTCACCCTTCCGGATCGCTGGTCGCGTGTACAACAGAAGCTATATCTCTAATACTGCCCCTCGACCGCAGTGCGCACCTCTTCGGGCCCACGTCATACCCCTTAGCATAACCGCATGAGGCTACAGACCTCAATCACGGCATAATGGCTGACCACTTTAGTGAGCACTCCTTCTGCTCACCGAGGCTAGGACTAACGCGTAATCAGATCAAAACAACCTCAACCTGTCGGCCGACGAGAAGCGCTACTACGGCCAGCTGTTCCAGCAAGCTGATACCGAGCGATTGGGCGTCGTGACGGGCGAGATTGCTGTTCGCTTCTTCGAAAAGACAAAGGTCGCTCCCAATGTTCTGGGTGAAGTACGTCGCTCTAGCCATACACAACCATGCGAATCTCTCTGACCGCCAATGCCAGNNATTTGGCAAATAGCCGACCACGAGAACCGTGGCCTCCTCACCAAGCCTGGCTTCAGCGTCGCTCTTCGTCTCATCGGCCACTACCAGGCTGGTCGCGAGCCTAATGCTGAGCTGGCTTTCAAACGTAAGTCCTGGAAAACGAAACCAGGCTTGAGATCACGACTAATAACATCTCAGCCGNGCCCTTTGCCCAAGTTCGAGGGCATGCCCCCACCTCCTTCGGCCCCCGTCGCATCTGCTCCTCCCGCCGCTCCTATCCAAGCTCAAGGCACCGGTATCAGAATACCCCCGCTCAATCCTGAGAAGTTGACACAATATGCCAATCTGTATGATCAGTCGGCTGGAGGGGGCTACCTGTCGGGTGAGTCTGCAGTCCCACGCATCGCGGTTCACATTTGCTGACAGTTTNCAGGCGAGCAAGCAAAGGCAATCTTCGAAAGAGCAGGTCTTCCCAACGAGACACTCGGCCGCATCTGGCAACTGGCCGATCGCGAAGGCAAGGGCTCCTTGGACAAGACCGAGTTCTGCATCGCTATGCACCTAATCACCTGCTACAAGAGTCGCGCATTGGCTGGTTTCCCGAACGTCCTCCCTCCAGCTCTTTTCGAAGCTGCCGCTCGTCGTCCCAACCCTACTGGCCGTTCGCCTGTGGCTCCTGCTGGTCCGTCCGCCATCCCCCGTCAGTTTACTGGCCCACAAGCTCGCGCCCAGAGTCCTCTGGCAAGAGCTGCTTTTGAGNCACCACCTGCCGTGGCCCCACAAACCACAGGTCCTGCTTGGTTGATTGCTCCCGCCGAGAAGGCCAAGTACGATCAGTTCTTCTCGAGCATTGATACAGCGAACAACGGCCACCTCAGCGGAGAACAGGCTGTCAAGTTCTTCAGCGACTCTGGATTACCCGAGGACACTCTTGCCTCTGTCTGGGACCTGGCCGACATTAATTCCGAGGGACAACTCAACCGTGACGAATTTGCGGTTGCCATGTACTTGATTCGCCAGCAACGTAGCGGTGCACCCCTACCCGCCTTCCTACCTCCAGCTCTCGTTCCTCCGAGCATGCGCAACCAGCCTCACCCAGCTCCTCAGACAACTGCGCCCGCCTTCGATAATGCCAACAACTCGTCGCAACTCCCTAAATCGGCCACTGAAGATCTGTTCGGACTAGATGAGCCTATGCCTCAGATCCCTAATCAGCAACCTACTCTCGCCCCTGTATCAGCACAAAACACTGGCAGTGCATTCGGTGCCGATCCTTTTGCGGGCAGCAAGCCTTCTTCTCCTCCACCCAACTCTCCTCCAAGAAATTTCACCCCCAGCAGACTGGTGNGCGGTCCCGCATCTCTGTTCAAGCCTTTCATCCCTACATCAGCATTCGGTGCCACTTTGGCAGCACAAAATACTGGGAGCAGCAATGCGCCTAGCAACGCTCCAAGCACTGTCGCTAGAGGTGTCCAATCTCCTTCAGCCATGGATGATCTGCTTGGTGACGCCAATGACGAAGAAACCAAGAACATCACTCAGGATACGACCGAACTTGCAAACATGTCCAACCAGCTTGGCAATCTAAGAAATCAGATGCAAGATGTTCAGACCAAGAAGACCACTAACGAGCGTGACCTGGCGGCTTCGAGTGCGCAAAAGCGTGAACTTGAGCAGCGTCTGGCACAGTTCCGTGCTCAATATGAGCAGGAAGTGCGATCTGTCAAGTCTTTGGAGGAACAACTTGCTAACTCGCGAAACGAGACTAAGAAACTGCAACAAGAATTTGCCATGATCGAGGGCACTTACCAAGACTTGCAGAACCAACACCAGCAGGTCTCCCAGGCTCTTTCGGCAGATCAGCAGGAGAACGCCAGTCTCAAGCAGCGCATTTCACAGATGAATGCCGAGATTACTCAGCTCAAGCCCCAGCTTGACAAGATGAGATCAGACGCTCGCCAGCAGAAGGGTATGGTTGCGATCAACAAGAAGCAGCTCGCAACCAACGAGGGTGAACATGAAAAGATTCAGACTGAGATGGGCGATCTGAAGAAGGCAGCTGAGGAACATGAGCAGCAGATGCGAGAGCAAGCAGCGCAAGAGCAGCGCTCTAGGCAAGCAGCACAAGAAGAGCGTTCTAGGTCTGTTGCTTCACCACAGCCTCCCTCCACTGTTGTCAGCCCTGCGCCTTCAAACACCAACCCCTTTTTCAGGAAGGCCACCGCCCCTAGAGAAGAGGGTACTCTTTCGCCTGGAGCAGGTTTCTTGTCGAGCGCACCAAGCCCTAGTGCTTTCGATGCGTTGTTCGGTCCTTCCGCTTCTCAACAGCAGGCTGGGCCTCACACACCACCCGTCACATCTTTCAGATCTGAACCTTCTGGTAACTCGGTTTCATCTGATGGTCGCATGACTCCTGCATCTCCAACTTTGTCTGCTACTACTCACGATGAGCCCCCACCACCACCTCCAGAATCCAGACAGTTCACTCCCAACATCCTGCCTATGCGTCAGCCTCTGACTAGAGATCAGTCTGTTGCTTCATCCAATCGTGCGGCACCACCTGGTAGCAGATTGGGTGAGCAGGATTCTGCGAGTGTCGCCTCTCCTTGGGATGCTGCCCCAACCAACTCCTTCAGCGCCAACCCCTGGGGCGGTGAGGATGTTGCCACTCCTCCTGCCCAGACATCTGGACCTGCCATCCAGTCTCAGAATCACGATGGACCTCATGAGAGTGCATCCCGAGACTTGCCTGAGCAGTTGGAAGAAGAGATTCCTGGTGCTTTCCCTGAAACTCCTATGGAGACTCAGACCACTGGCCATTCTGCACAGGCTCCTGCACATGACTTTGACTCTGCGTTTGCAGGGTTTGGAGAGACTCAACAGCAGAACGGAGATCACACTGCTGCTCACGATCCAACTGCACCTGCGCCAGTGTCCAGAGAAGTTGATCATGCACCAGTGTCTAGAGAAGTCAACGCTGCACCTCCGAGCTACGGAGACTCCGAGTTCCCTCCCATTCAGACTTTAGAGCGTGAGGACTCGAGCAGTGACGATGACAGTGACAATGAGCGTGGTTTTGGCGACGATCTCGGCTCTTCTGAGCCCCATGCAGCCGCTACCACGACTGAGGTGCCCTCGGCTGAGCACCATGAAGTTGCTGCTGAGGACTCACGCCGCCCAAGTGCTGTCGGTATGCAATCGACAGCCAATGTGTCAGAACTCCCACCCATCACAGCTCAAACATCGCCACCTTCGTACGAGACAGCCCAGGAAGGACAACACCGCAGTGGCTCGAACAACTTCCCTCCCGAGTTTACCGGTCTACTGCCCTCTCGTGAGGATCCGACACAATCTCCTGTGCCGCACTCGATTCCTCATGAGCAGCAGCCTCAGACTCCCATGACCAGCACGGCTGGATCTGACCACTTCCACGATGCTCACTCTCGTCCTATGAGCAATATCACTGACATGGGTGCCACGTCTTTTGCCAACGTGGGAGAAGTCACTCAACACGTTACTCCTGTCGCTCCCCAAGAGTCTAGCAAGGATGCATTCGACGATGACTTTGACAACTTTGACGATCTCGCCGAGGCCAAGGAAGCCAGCGGCGAAAACTTCGACTTTGGCTTCCCTCACCATCAGAACACTGATGAGTTTGACGCCAACTTTGACTCGCCCGCACAGTCTACCATCCACACCATCTCCTCACCACAAGAGACTCCAGTAACCAGAACCGCACCCCACGGCTTCTCGGACTTTGAATCCAACACTGGCGCCGCAGCTCAGCAGCAGTACCAACCCACACCCATTGCCATACCCTTTGGCTCGACACAGGCACCGCAAGCACAGGCACCCCACGACTGGGACGCCATCTTCTCCGGTCTCGACACGCCCGCGCCGCAAGTACAGCCCACGCCCAATTTCAGCGTCAACGACGGCGCGGCAACGCCAAAGGCTTTTTCGTCGTCGTCGTCTGCAGCTGCACAGACGACAGCAACCACCATGCCGCCATTGGGTCGCGCCATCAGCATGGGCACGGAACATGACGATCCCATCCTCAAACGCCTCACGGGCATGGGCTACCAACGCGAAAAAGCGCTCGATGCATTGGAAAAGCACGATTATGATATTGATAGGGTGAGTTTTTTCTTTCTTGCTGATTACCGCTTGATGACATGACATGACAGAGATGCTAATTTTTTATTTTTTCTCGTGGCAAATAGGCTGTGGATTTCTTGTCGAGATAGAAAGTCGACAAGTTGCATTGGAATCTCGCGAGATGGATGGAAGAAAGGGAGGGATGGGGGCCATTGTGAAGTGTGATTGATGGTGCTGTACGGTCGTTTTTGTACAGTTAGAATCAAGCACATACGCACTCAAAGCCCCATGATTTGGTAATGGGAGAAAAAAGATTTGAATATCCTTGTGCCCAGAAACTTCGTACCTCTGCATCGTATCACACAACTCTCCAAGAATGATTTTTCCATGCAAGAATGCCAAATGTTGATACAAAAAGAAAAAAAAAAAGAGGAAGAAAAAATGTTTCAATTCGAGGTTGTGTGTGTGTGTGTGTATGGGTATCTTCAAAAAAACAGTGGTATATCCCCTACTTCTCCAAATAGGCCTCTCTCTCTCTCTTTCTCCAGCGATCAACAAAAGAAAAAATAAATGGGATGCAAAAGAGCATGTTTTTTTGGCTCTTGCAGGATGGGAAAACAAAGGAAATGATGAGAAGAAAGAAGAAAAGAAAAAATAAAATAAAAATGGCAGTCACCCTCCGAGTTTCCTCTTGCGAGTGGTGTGGATGGATGGATGGAAAAGAAAAAGCAAGCATCTCTCTTTGCAGAACAAGCAAGAAGAAGATACAGAAAAGAAATAAAGAAGAAGAGTAGATAATGCCACGTCTCTCTATCCCAAGGAAACGAATGCAGGATTATCACCCTGGCGTACCAGCATTTCTCCTTGACCCAACTCTTCCCTGGCTCTATCATTCATGGTCCCCGCACTGAGGAAACTTTCTTGATTCGCCGAGGGAGAATTGTTACTCATCATCATGCCGCCAAAAGGGTTGTTGCTATTATTGTTGTTGCTGTTGTTTCCGTTGCTGTTGGAAGCGGCAAGCGCCTGCGCTCGCTTTCTTTCGTCTTCTGCCCATGTCGCTGCCGTAGAGGCGAATTTGATGGAGCCGAGGATCATGAGCACACAGGCTAGTAATGCCACTCCGGCGCGTTTGGTTATTATCCAGCGCACGCCTTCGACATCAGATCTCGAGTCCGAGTTTAGGAGCACGGTGATGCGGTAATTGAGTTCTTGGATCTTGCGCTCAATGTCGCGTTGCTCGTTTTGCACACCCATTTTGCGGTCGTCAAACATGCCTTTGAGTTCGTCTTTCATGTTGCCAGAGTCTTGGGACATGCGTTGGGATAAAATGTCGACTTCGTGTTCGAGGCGTGTGCGTTCTGTGCGTGCTCGTTCGGCTTCTGCGCGGCGCTTGGTCATGATTTCCGTGTGCAGTTCTGAGCACGCTGCTCGAAAGAGGTAGGCTTCGTTTTCGACATTGGACTTGCTGACGAGGGCGTTGCGGGCTAGCTCGATGTTTTCGGAGAGAGTGGTGCGTGTGGCTTTCATGATGGTGATTGCTTGGGCGTTGCTCCAGCCGCCGTCTTCGAGGCGTTTGACGAGCCCATATGTGTCGAAGTGGTGTACGTAGTCGGGGGCGTCAATGTGTGGTGGGCGTGGCCGTTGGGCGGCTTCTTCTTCGATCTGCTTGCGGATCTTTTGGAGGTCGGTGAGGGGTTCTTGTGTTACTGTTGTGTCCTTTGCTGGAGAGGAAGAGGTGGAGGAGCGTGCAGAGTCGCTGGACGGCATGTTCAGTACCGTCTCGAGTGGATTGGTAGGAGGCAGTCTCGGCGCCTGTGAAGCAGGACCCAAAGGTTGAGATTCGGCGGCGTCCAAGACAGGCGATTCGGGCAGCCGTGAGGGACGCAGCGGCTTCTCGCCCTGCTGCAGACCGGGCTGCGTGTCCCTGGGTGTCGCCGTGTCAATGTCTTTCTTGGTCGGTTGCGGCAAGGCTTTGGCGTCTGTGGGAGCAACTTGGCCCGGTAGCACGGCAGCAATGCCCTTGGCCCCAGCAAGGTACGGCGGCGGCTCGTTTGCCTTGCCATAGCGGATGGGCTTCGTGGCCGTCTGACTGCGCTTGGAGGCGGTGCGGAAGACCTGGCGGCCGGTCCTTGACACCTCACGTGAGAAGGGCGTCTTGCCCACCGGGGCGAACAGGAAGGGGTAAAGGAATGTGAGGCGCGGTGTCGACATTGTGGGCGGCGACTGCGACGGGTGATTGAGGTCGAGGAGAGAAGGTTCAAGACTGAGTGTCAACTGTCACAAGCCAGCGACAGGTACGAGTACCAAGCCTCATTGTTTTGGTGGGGGCCCGGAGGGGCGTTGCTGTCCGACGCCCACCAAAACTGCCCGTCCCTGCGCTTTCATCAGAGCACGTCTTGAGGACCCTGCGCTAAATTAATCCCCGTTAAACCGACCACAACTACATAGTATGTACCTGATACAGGGGAACAATCTGCCAAAGTACATCCTGTCATCGCTCCTAAGTATACACACTATCTCTTCTCTGGTGTGCCCTTTCTTGCTGGTAAAAGACCTTTCTTGGGACTTGGATTGACTTGGCTAATGCTTAAAGTATTCCTTGTTGCATTCGCGCTCTGTATGAACAGGACTGCTAGAAAAGATGAAAGAATGACCCGAATTGGTACGAGCACAATTCTTAAAGTCCAATGTCGACGAGACTAAGAAGAATCAAAACGCCAACCCCAGTTTGATATCATGAATGTTTGCACTTGATGTAGAATCTTCTATCTCCTCTGTTGCTTGGAACGGGCCTGCAACTTACGAGCAAGCTCATCACCAGCAGCACCCAAGCGGCGAACACCAGGTGCAGCTCTTGTGAGATCGCTCTTGGGCACAATGGTGTAGGTGCCGAGACCACCATCGACACGAGCACGGTTAGTAGTAGTAGGGTAAGCCAGAGCTGCTTTTCTGGCCGCAGCGGCGCGAGCAGCCTTGTCGACAGTCTGCGTACTACGCATAGGCTGTTGGCTGGGATCGTAGGTGGCCTCTACGAACTCGCGCTTGCGGAAGTCATCGGTACGCTTGAGGATAGGGCGCGTCCATTCGCCAACCAGCTTCTCGGCTTGACGTCTGATGCCCGGTTCGGCTTTGGTGCTGCGCGTGTAGAAGTGGGTGACTTTGCCAATGCCCGAGGCGACGAGGGCGTCTTTTGAGATGGGGAGTTTGGCCAGACAGGCAAACAGCTCGCGCTGAATGTTATAGGCGGGCAGGGAACCATCGTTGAGAGGCTCGAGGAAGAAGCGGACAGATTCGAGGAGGTTGATGTCCGGATCTACGAGGGCGTTTTGCAGTGTGTTGCGGTTCAGCAGGGCGACAACCTCTGGGAGGAGTTTAAGCTTGTGCATAGCAGGCTTTCCTTCGTCGCGCGCTTGTGTGTCGGCTTGGGCGGCTTCGGCCATACGACGACGCATCTCTTCGAGCTCGGAATCGGCCATCTGCTCCAGATCGATTCCAGCCTTGCGTCTGTTGTTTGTCTTGGGCTTCTTGAGGGCCTCGTCTAGCTTGCGAGAGAACTCCTTTCTGCGTNNCCTAAGCATGGATTAGCATACAAAGTTGCTTTTGATTTGCAGCATATACTCACTCTCTTCCGGTGTCAAATTCGAGTCATCCTCGGGGCTAGGTGTTCTCTTCTTGCGCTTCTCGCCAGGTCCCTTTGTCTTTCTCCTGCGGCCCTCGTCCTCTTCATCACCACCAAAGTCTTGACCATCCTCGCCAGTACGCTTGCTACGCTTTGGCTTTTCACGACGACCCTCTCTACGCTTTTTCTTGCCCTCTCCATCGGCGTCATCACGCTTGCGCTTGTGTTTTCCAAGCAGCGCAACACCACTAGCATCCACAACTCTCGGGCGCTCCTCAATAGCGATGGCGTTTGGGTCAAAGTCTTGGAATTGGGCTTCATCGACATCGCTCAGCGCGTCCGAGTCGGCGTCGTTGTCATCATTGTCGGCGGCTCCGGGAATTGACAATTCTGGGTTCTGGTCGTCTTCGGCGAGCTCGGTGTCTTGGTGAGGGTCGGCGATTGGTGGAGTGCGGGCAGCATCTTCTTCCNNCTCGATTTCAGGGCGAAGGGGATCCTGGGGGTCGTCGTTGCCAGCAGGCTCGTGGCCGAAGTCGTTGACGGGAGGAGAGTCGGCGCCTGGAAGGTCTTCCATGTTGGCGGTGTGTGGTTTAGCTGGTTGTGCGATGCAGCTGTGATGAGTTCGAGGATCTGTCTGGTGTTGATGAGAGGATGAAGATTGTTTACTGATGTGGTGGTTGTGGTTGTTATTGGTTTGTTCTGAGCTGGCTGTTCGATCGCGCCTTCCTTCATGCGTTCAGGTTGACGTCGTGCCTTCTCCGGATTTTACCGCAGACCCTCTCTCATTAGAAGTTTGGCAACCATCAACTCTAGGCACAACGAGCACCTGTCACTTCACATAACCAAAATGTTCGGTAAGTGAAAAGGTCATTTTAAATCTTTGTGCGCAATACTGACAAAGTGACAGCACCGCAACCCCCAGCAAGGCCGAGATGGAGGTACTTGGATCATGACCACGCGCAATCCGAGCGCATACTAACCCAAGACTATCAGGCCCAGGAGCAGTCCGCGTCTGTCACCGTCAAGCAGGCTATTGCCACTTGCGTCCTTCTCTACCTCTGTACGATCCTCCATGCGCTCTTGTCCTGTCAAACACACTCTAACGCCTCTCCAGCGCCCTTCGCCGTCGAGTACATTCAGAAGCTCGTTTAAACTCGCAACCTCCTCCCTCCTACTAGTCACGATACACTTGTAACAACATATTGTACAGAATGATACCTCCTAAAACTTTCATATGTTCGTCTTCAGCGGTATTCGCCAAATCCTCGGCTCAGCAATCTAGCCTATCGTCCTCCGCCTGGCATTCTGTCCTGTATACATGCCCTCGCGAATCTGCATGCGTGACTGTCACATCCAAGACCTTGCCACTCTGGCAACAGCAATGCGCAACAAAATGTGGTATCATATCCTAGTACTTTTCTTATCGCTTCACTTGCTAGGTCTGCTTGCAGCCTCCCACTCCTCGTACTCCTTCTTGATCTGGTCCATTTCTTTGCGCAAGTGCTGGATCTGGGTATCGTAGTCGTGAAGGATCTGTCAAGCGTGTTAGTCAAGTATGCGCCGGTAAATGTTCGAGTCATCGAGCGTCTCACCTTCTTCGTCTTTTCAATCACCTGCTCGTCCAGTCCACCGTTCTCTCCAGTGACTTGACGACCGAGCTTCTCACTCTCTTCCTGCAGCCACCTTGTTCTTTCCCGTATAGCCACCATGCGTGCCCAGATCTCCTCTTCTCTGCCCGAGAATGCTGGGTCAAACACGGCCTTTTCTAGAGTTGCCAACTTCTTCTTGAGCTCTTCCTCGGCGCCGTCCAGCACAAATCCTCTGTTTGCAAGCACTTGAGCGCGCACTGCCAAGGCAAGACATCTTTGACTGAGACCGATGTGCTTTCTCTTTGCTTCCGCCGCTCTGACACTCAATACCAATTCATGTTTTTGCATCATGGCTCCCAGGCTGTTGTTCATCTCGTGTAGACGCATTTGCAGTTGCTTGACGGCTTCCACCTGTGTCTTCAGACGCGTGCCCAGCGCTTCGAATCCCTTTGCGATGACGGGTACGGATCCCGGTGTAGGCTTGTTGCGCAAAGCTTTCTCCCACTCACGTTCATCGGCGTTCGGCGGCATGCTGATGAATGGAGTCTGTTCCGGAGGTACTTGGACGTAGAAGTAGTGTTGCATCATGCATTCGGCGGTTTCGGGGTTCCATTTTTGAGAGATGGACTCGATTTGCTGGGGGATGGTCTTGTCGCGTGGAGGGGCCATGGATTGTTGGTTGAATCCGATCGTCGTAGGCTTGTTCACGAGAGCTGAGGGCAAAGCGGACATGGAGGCACTGAGCAGGGAGGCGCTCAGCGAGTTTGCATTGTTGGTTCCAAACATGCCGGGCTGCTGTTGCTGGTTTTGTTCGTTGGTCGGCTGCGCGAAGAGACTGTTCGTCTGCTGTGCAGGCTGTCCGAAAAGACTTGCATTTTGCTGGGGTTGAGAGTTGGTAGTGGTAGAGCCGAACATGCCGCCCGATTGCTGCTGCTGCTGCTGCTGCTGTTGTTGTTGTTGAGGTTGCTGGGCGGACTGGCCGAAGAGCGAGGGTGTAGCAGCAGTGCCAAAAGGAGCGTTGGATTGAGGCTGTTGGGTCTGATTTCCTGTGTTCTGCTGTGTTGCGCCGGCGCCGAAAAGTGAAGGAGTAGTGTTTGATTGCGTGGGCTGTGCCTGGCCAAACAGAGAGGTCGATTGGGCAGGTTGCGAGGATTGCGTATTGTTGTTGTTGTTGTTGTTCGCGTTGCCAAAGAGCGAAGTGCCAGAGGACTGCTGCTGGGCATTGTTGCCCAGATTGCCGAATAATGACATGGCTGATTGTTTCGGGAAGGCGCTGGGCAGATGCAAGGGAGAAGGAGCTTGGAGCTTTCAGCAGAGAACGACGCGCTTTCTGTTTGCTGTAACAGGAAGCAGCGTCGGCTTCGCGGGTTGCACTTGCGCGCCCTCACAGCCAATCGGGTGCTCCCGAGCGCTGACAGTCGACTTCCAGCTTCACACGGGTGCGTCCATACAGCGACAAGAGACAGCCTCACGTCAATTGCTCAACATCCACCATGTCGGCCCGTCAGCCAAGGTCCGCATCTTCTTCCTCGCCTGACGCTCCGTCCTGACACCCGCGCAGATTCAACCAGCACACGCTGATCGACACCACACCTCTACCCGACGACATCCCCAAGGTCCAAGAAGTCGGTGCCAGTTCCGCTCCTCTGCTCTCGGCCTCGTTCTTCATTGGCGCAAGATGCAAGACATACAATGACGACTACATGATGTGCAAGGCCGACGCCAACGGAAAGGGAGAGCTTGACTGCTTGAAGGAGGGCCGCAAGGTTACCAGATGCGCTTCAAGCGTGTATGTTGATCGCTCTCCGTTGTTGCCCACCTTCTGACTATAAACAGCCNTGAGCGACATTGACAAGCACTGCCTCGAGGAGTTCAGAAAACACTGGTCATGCCTGGACAACAACAACCAGCAGCTGTGGCAGTGCAGAAGATACGAGAGACCTCTCAACAAGTGTGTCTTTGACAACCTGGTGCGTTCCTATTACCCTGTGAGACTGAGTTCTGCTTCTTCTGACTGCAATATCTGTACAGNNAAGTTGGAGAAGACCATTCCCGGAACCCCGGCAAACGAGCTCCCCGTCCACGAGCGCAAGAGACAAACATACGCTCACCACAAGACTCTGACTTGAACTCCTTTTACATCTGTACGATACCACAATTTCAAACCCACTTTCGAACTTCCATAAAGAGCGCCCACTTGAGGCTGGTACTCACCCAGAGCCCGACTTGTTCATATCAAGAGACGAAGATACATGCTTTGAATACACTCTGATAAATACTTATTTTGCAGAGGCATTTTGTGCTTCCGCATGTAAACAGTCGTTCAGGATTGTGTATCTGCAGTGACATGAGAAAACAAGTGTACTGACCATAAATATCAAGATAGTAGTGGTAATAGAGGCAAGCCTAATACGTGCACGGGCAGTAAGCACACAACCAGGTCATTTGCAGAGATGATTTAAGTGTCGGTCTGGAAAGAAATCGAGAGATTATCACATGTCAATTGTCGTCCTGGGCAAACAGATTAGCCACTTTACAATATCCCGTCCAGATACGCGTAAGCAGTCCATCAAGAGGATGAAACGTCTAGAGCATAGTCGACGATAATGCTGCATCCCATCTCTGCAAGATCTCCAAGCTGCATGAGCACATTTCCTCCATCGTATAGATCGTGCAAGCAGGGGCCATTGTTACAGATGTAAGTTCAAGTAGATGAAGAAAGACCCTACCCTCACTTCCCATACTCGACCAATGATGTATTTTACCGTACATGCGAAATCAATTTCCACCGTTCTTCAGCCCTGTCGTCTTGACCCTTGCATTGGATCTGTAGGCTGTAGCAGACCTCGGTGCTCACACCTTTGATTCTTTTGATCATCTTGGTTCGTCCTGCCGAGTAGGTCTGCCAAGATTTTTGCTAAATCTCGCTTGTGCATTGAGCAAGTGGTTGTGTTTGAGTCGAGATCTTTCTTGTCGCGCTTACGGCGCGAAGGATTCAAGAGATTCGTCTACTTTTGTCCAAAGCAGCAATCATTCCGAAATATCTATGCCCCTACGTGCGTAGAACTGGCACCATGACTTGAGACCGTCCCTTTTTGGGTATGTCCATGACAACTGCAAGAGCGAAGGATCCGGATCTTATCTTTCCTCGGTAGTCTGGCTAATTCGTGTCTTATGCAAGCCACACTTTCTGAGCAGCATGTGCTGATGAGTCGTTATGATGGATTCTTATTTCAACAGTTTTCCCATATTTCGGCTAGGGTGGATACCGAAAGTAAATAAGGTGGAGGTGTGCAAAAGGCTTGCGCAAAACAACAACAGCCACCACCCCCACCACGTTCACCATCTTTTTTCCCAAGGGAACCCTTCCCCGTTGGTTCTGGTGGTTTACGTGTTCAGCCGAAAGCCAACCCAGCCGACTGAACAGCTCTGGCAAATCACCCAGGAGCACCTGGGAGCCCAAGCACACAGTATATGAAACAGTCGACGGTTCTTAACCGTCTTTAGGTTGGAGAACCCTGGGTTTGCGCATCCTAGCCGGCGTCGGCGGCACCAGCCATAACCCTCAATGATACCATAATCTGTGTCGATACGGATGCTTGGGACTTTTTGGAGGGGGGGCTGAAAATGTCAACGGTTCGTTCTAGCGAACTTTGGCTGGGCAGATCTACTGCTTCCAGAAAATGGCCTCCCAATAGATCGTATGAATACAGGTGCCTTTTCCCCCACCTACCTTGAGCTTTTCCTCCAGGTTCCCTACTTTTCGGTCTCTTCGGCAACTATACTGGTCGCTCGACATACTCTTCCTCTTCCGACACTAGAGTCGCCATCCTCTGAGCCCTGGCGAGGGCACTTTGCTGTTCGCGAATATGGGTGCTTATATTAATGGATTCTACGTCTTTTCTCCCGTTTCCGCCAACGACCGTGCTGGAATACTATATGTTACGACCATCCTGAGTCTGATTTTCTCGGTCATCACGCTCATTGTTCGGTATCATATCCAACGAAGGACTTTTGGGCTTGATTTTTGGATCATCTTTGCTGCTACGGTATGTACAGTACTCCGGGATCGTGGTTGCGAGGCTTTTCATGTACTGATCGGCGCTTGCTTAGNNGTCGTCGCGTTGGGCCAATATGCAGCCATCTTTGTAGGGCTGAACAACTATGCGCTGGGCAAGGCGGTGTCGCTCATGTCGGAGAGTGATCAATTATATGCAGGCAGGGTATGTTTTGACAACTTTCGACATGTTCTCTCGCCAGCATCGATCTGACTTGCTGTATAGTCCGCCATCGCCAGTATTTGTCTTTTCCTCATCTCCAACGCGCTCTCGAAATGTTCCGTCATTTATTTCATGAAGCGTCTCTTCTCTACAGACAACAGGACTGCACGAATTCTCTGTAACAGTCTTTTGGCTCTCGTCGGCATCTGGACATTGGCTTCAATACTAGGATTGAGCATTTCTNGCGGTGCTGCCACAAAGTTTGCGCTGGAACATCGATGCAGTGGACAGGTCAGTCACTTGCAAGCCTGCCAGCTAACCCCCATTGCAAAAAGACTAACCATATATCATGTACAGATCACACGCTGGACCGTCGTGACAACCTTTGACTCCCTCTTCGAACTCGCAATCTTCGTGCTGAGCATCATCCTCGTGGTACCCCTCCAAATGACCACCGAGATCAAAGCATCAGTCATGTTTGCCTTTTCCTGGCGCCTGGTCGTCGCCATCTTCGCAATCATCCACGTCTACTACGTTTCCCAATGGTCGTCATCTTTCGATCCGGGCATTGCCACCGTATACTCTCTACTCTGGCAACAAGTAGAGCTGGGCTATGCACTCATGGCAGCCACGATACCCACTCTACGCTCCTTCATCCGCGGCTACGAAAAAGCAATGGGTTGGGAAAGCAGCTATTACATCCGCAATACGGCAACGCGCTCGTACCAACTGTCCACTCTCAACAAGAGCAGGCATGAAGAAGAGGGCAATGGTCAAGCGTTTGGATTGCAGAGAATAGAGACAAACGACAGGGAATTGCGGCCAGACAAACAAGGCTACAAGGCTCAGATCTACGGCCCGCAAGGTCTAAACAGCATCAGCGAAAACAATGTGCCCAGAAGAACCAAAAGTTCTTCCAGTGGCGAGAGCCAGGAACCGATTATTCGCAAGGATGTAGAGATACAGGTTAGCTCCGAGGCTGCGCATTAATTAAGCAAATGTAATTCTTCTTTTTTTTTTTCATCAAGACTACCTTTTTTCCCCCTCCATCCTGCTCTCATTTGTTTTCACCACTTGTGATTTTCTGCCAACCCGATAAGTGGAAAGTGCTCGAGATGCAAGGAGAGATGTCGTCTGCAGGTCATGACTCTGCTACACGCTACCGAGTCATTTCTCTTACTTCCGGGTTCGGCAGAAAGCACAATCCCCCGTTCATCGCATCTCGGAGCGTCCGGGTCGTGCAGGCTAAGATCGGCTTCACGACCATTGCAAGTGGACGCTGACTCGACAGGGGGCCACCCCAAAAGCCGAACAACGTACAGAGCATCCACTGTCCTGAGTATATACCCGCACAGGCTAAGATGATGGAAATGTGCGTGATGAGAAAAAGAATAAATTGGCAATACAAGAACTCCACGCTACTCTACAGCGCTTGCAATGCATACTCCCAGACAGCGCCATGCATATGCTTGTCTAAAGACCCATCCCAAACTCCACCCGTCTATCCACATACAGCCAAAATAATCACCCTCGGACAGCAGCTTGTGGCACTTCGCTAGCATACTGTCCACACTTACTCATCATCTTGCCAAAGTATTCAGTCACAAAGCTCTCGGTATAAAACTCGTGCTGTTGACTATGCTCCGAAACCAGGTTGTGCGCCAACTCGTGACACAAAGTCACAAACCAATACACTGCTGCCGCTTGCTTGCCCACGCCTCCAGCAGTGCCATAGTTCTGCCAGTGCAGCTGCAGGAAATAGCGGAGGTTACAGAAGATGGAGCCTTGGCGGTTGAAGGCGATGCTGCTGCCGGACTCGTTGTAGTAGATGTGCAGAGATTGTGGGCGAAGGAGGAAGACGTTGCCGACGTCGAGTAGGAGGGCGGCAAAGGCATTCAGTTGTGTGGCATGGGCTTGCAAGAAAGTCGCCCTGGATGATGCGGGAACAGCATTGTCGAGGAAGATCTTGACACCTGCAGAAGTGTTGCCAATGAACGTTAGGTTCTGTCCAGGGGTCGAATCACAGTAAGATGGTGTTTCCTTGACTGTGTTCTCTGTAGGAGGAGAGAAGAGCCCGGCCGAATCGTGCGCACGCGAAGAGTTTACTGCCGAGATCAGATTCTGCGTAATCTGATGAGGTGGTGTGATCTTTTCGGGTTGTTGGCTGACAGTAGACTTCTTCACAACTTGCCCAGGGTTCTCCGAGTATGGTGGCGGGGCATCGGAAGGTCCTGCTTCTGGCTGAGATGTGTCTTGCAACTGCTTTTGACGTTGCTGCTGCTGTTGAGCTTCTTGCTCTGCTGGGCCCGTCTCAAACCCAAGCTGTCTCTGGAGGTTAGAGAAGAACCCAGTCCCTCTCTTGGGACGCTGTGCAACTGTGGTCTCAGGCGAAGCGTCGAATGCACCAGGGATCGGCTTGGGTTTCTCAGGAGTGGCTTTTGGGGCTCCAGGTGCGTCGATGGCTCGTGTCTGTTGCTGTGCATTCCACTCAGCTTCGCGCTCTGCAACTCTTTGCTGTTCCTCTTCGATCTGCTGTTGTCGTTTGTTTTCAGCCATTCGATTCTCTGCGGCTTTCTGGCGTAGGATGCGGTCTACGTTATAGCCCTTGGTCTTCAAGCGACGCAGATCACTGTCCAAGATCATCTCCAGAGCAAGGAAGTCCTGTTGTTTTGGTCTCTTGAGCAAGAGAGACATGATCGCACGTGCAACCTCGTAGAAGTCAGGACGAGCAGTCACAAACAGCGTCGCATCCTTCTTCGTGTCTCTGTGCAGGGCAGCTGTTCTCTTCTCTTTGTACGTCGCGTTGTACCCACGCAATGTCTTGGTCAGAGTCAACGAGCTGACAACCTTGACCGCCAGGACTCCTTCGAGCCACTTCGAGTCGTGGCGGATCATCTCTGCAGTGTGGTCGTGCAAGAACAAACGACAACGCTCAACAATGAGACCCTGGAGTTTAGCTGCACCAGATTGATCAGGCAGGAGACCACCCATACGCTGGTCGTCTTCAATCAAACTACTAATCCAGGTGGCTCCCAGACCAGCATACAGATTCTCGAGAATTTCCTCTTGAGGACCAGCAAGCAATCTCTCCTTGAAAAGGCGGTAGCTGTAAAAATCGTCGACAAGGATTATACTCGAGGGCACGGCAAGATGCCATTCCTTGATGGCCGCTTCATTCTCTTCAAAGTAGTCTTGTTCGTCCTCCGTCACTTTGCTAGTGGTAGGCGCGATTTCTTTGACGGCAAGCAAACAGGGAGAGCGCTTTAGCGCAGCCCAAAGCATTTTGTCGTTCTTCAGACCGCTTGTGTTGTCTGCTATACGACGCAAAAGGCTGAGATACTTTTCCTGGCCAAGAGTGCTCAACAAGCGTGAGGGTTCGCGAACGAGCATACCTGCAAGTTCTGGCGCACTCGGTTCATGCTTGGAGCCAATCTTCAATAAGAAAGAATTGGCCTCAGAGCCAAAATCAACAAAGTCGAAGATCTCGCCGTAGGCAGCACTGTCGCCCAAGAAGCAAGCTCTAGGAGCTGTGTAGCGAAGACTCTCGCTCTTCTCATTGCCGGAACCAGACTTGACAATTGGAATGATGCGTGATTCCCCCAGCCTTTCAGCAAGATTGCCAGAGGGACCGATCTCGTTGAGCCGGCCTGCAAAGTAACCGAAGATGTTCTTAGCGTCCGCACGGCTCTTTGGAGGACTCTTTATAAGGTTTTCAGCACAGATGACAATGGGAGGATTTTGCTCTACATTGAACAAAGCGGCATGCTTTTGCAGATCGTCTCGGATGATAGGGAAGCCAAGAATGGCAGATCGCTTGTTAGCAAAGCACTGTGTTGGTGTTGCCAGCTGTTTCAAATCTCCACCCTGGAGAGGCAGGAACGGCACCGTGACTCGTTCGACGGGGAAGGTTCGATATCCATTGGTGTAGTGGTTGGTGATGTAGTACTGGAGAGTCTTCTCGTACAACCTTGAGTCACCTTCAGCGGCTGCCTTTGTCATGATTGGAATCAAATCTTGAACACCAGGATAAGCTTTGAGTCCGAGAACACTCAAGAATTTGGACTCTGGATTGGTCTTCCTGAACTCTCCAGGCCATTGTAAAAGTGGCAGGCCGAGCTCTCTCAAGACCGGCATTGGCTCGTAGAGATCTGAGACTTTGTAAAGCTTGCCCTCAGTAGCCTTCGAATCTCCTTGAACCTCTGCAGGACAAATCGGCGTCTTACGCAGCTTCTCATAGTCTTCAGTTGGGATATCATTTTGAACACTGACAAGATACTTGATCAAATCAACATGGCTCCATTTGCCCTCGGCAGCACCAGAGGACTTCGCCATGAGTCTGTCAAAGACCACAGACAGCTCAACGGTTTTACGGACACCTAGAGGCAGAAGGAACTTCTCCTTCACGCCCTGGAGACCATAGACTGTAGGCAAGTCGTCGAAGAGTCTCACAGATGCGAAGTAAGACTGAGATGGTTTACGCATACCAAGTTTGGTAGGTATGACTGTTCTTGGCTCAAGGAGTTGTACAACAGTGCCCTTCGAGGACTGACTGAGACCGTCCCAGGATTTAGAGATCACAGAGAGAACCTGCCCAGAGAACGAGGGCGACTTTGTGATACTTTGCTCGGCAGAGAGGCCGACGCCATCCTTCTCGATGATGTATCGGAGCCAAGGTACGATCTGTAGTTCATTCCAGCCGAACGTTTCAAGTTGATTCTTGGGAATATTCTTGACGAAGCGGAACGGGATTGTGGTAGATGGAGCGGGTAGCTCAGAGGGGATCTTGCTCGGGTTAGGGAACGAATCAATGCTGCCCAGAAGCAAGACCGGACCAGGATATGTGCTAGCGTATTCCTCAGCGATCGTAGCAACGGTTCCGTCGAAGAGCGAGCGAAGAGCAGACACGTCTAATTCATCCCGGCTTAGTTTGGTGGCTGCCCATTTAATCAGCTCAGTCAACTGCTTCTCTTCGAGAGCTCGGGCTTCTAGCTCTTTCTTGATATCATGAGTAGTGATGTCAGATAGCAGCCCATATTCCTTGAGGTTACGCATAAAGACCGAGGCTTTCTCCATAATTTCGTTTGGGACCACAGGAATGCCATCCACGAAGCTAAGGTCTTCGGTAGCAACACGAACCTCGAAGCTGGGAAGAACACCACGAGTGGAGAGCAGGTTGATCGATCCCTTCTGATTACAAGTCCAGAAGGCTTCCTCGATGATGGCACCAACCTGCGAAGATGGTGTGGACTCTGAGAAGGTGTATTGCTTGAACGTGTGGATAGCAGAAGCCATGACAGCTTCGAGATCCTCCTTCTGAACTTTCTTGTTACCTGAAGTCTTCATTTGACGCTCGAGCTTATTCTTGAGCTCAGCCATGTCTCCTGTATAGGCAACGCGACATGCTATGCCGGCAACTCGTAGCATTTCCACGTTCCAAGTGCGTACCCATCTTGCGTTCAAATCGATGCTCTCACGTTCGACGGTAGGAATAACGGAAGGAGCAGAAATGTGGGCAAGTAGACCAGTCGTCTGAGCAGTAGGGAACCCGATGAAAACACGACCATTCTTGCTAGGAAGTACAGATGCGAAGATTTCAGCGGCCTTGCCAGAAGATGAGCCAGAAAGAGTTGCCATGGACACGGAGCTCTCATCATATGAAGACGTCAAGATGGCGATTCTTGTATGCTTTGGTGGTGGCTTCTTGGTAGCACGCTCAAGTTCGGCGGCCAAGCTTTTGTTAACGTAGGTTTGCACATTGACGGTGCTGATTCGCAAGAACACCGAAGCAGTGCTCATACCAGCGAGATCTTCAGAAATCGCTTTTTGAACAGCTTCCTCTTCCTTTGCGGCACGTTTGGCAGCCGCACTAGGGCCAGTCGCAGCTGATGCAAAGCGACTGAAGAAGCCCCGCAAAGACTGAGTCGGTGGTTCTGATGAGGATGGCTGCAGTTGTTGCTGAGCACCGGCTACGCGTGTCCAGCCTATAACATTACACCATTTTGCGTCGATCTGCGCATTTTGATATTCCACGCCAACAATCTTCATGAGTCCTTCTTTTGTCTTGGGATTGACGTCGTGTGGGATACTAACATCGGCCGACGGAGCCATCTTCTTGTTAAGTGTGATCATGTTCCATTGGTCAACCCACAACTCGATGGATTGTAGGCCAACAAAGGTCAAACTGGTGGCGAGGAACTGGCAGATGGATATTAGGTTGGGCACAGGAGAAGTTGTGTTGCGGTAGTCAAGGACAAAGGCAGTCTCGCCAGTAGCCTGTTCCTTCGGTAACTTGCCCCTTCTGGTGAACAAGCTGTTGCCTTTCCAGTAGAATGCCATGGTCTGGTCGCCCGAACTGACGAAGGGATTTTCGCAGTCGGCAAAGACACTGTAGAAACCAACACCAAAGGCACCAATCTTTGTCTCGTCCGGGTTTCCTTCTGCGATTCTCTTTAGGCGTTGCCAGTCCGTCTCAGCAAACGACTGGCCATTGTTGGATACGAGCAATCGTTGGAGGGTGTGGTTGGTCAAGACATGCTTGAGTTGGGCGGAGGGGTCGCTAGCCGGCGGTACAGGGACACTCGGTGATGGTAGAGTCTCAAACTTGATTGTGACCTTCGTAGCCTGCGCATCGGCAGCGTTTTGAATGAGCTCACGCAGGGTAGTCCATTCTCCGGAGTATCTGGCTAACACCTTGTCGATCAAGGCTCGAGTGTTTACTGTGACTGCCTCTTCATCCAGGCCAGAGCCCATGGTCTGTTCGCGCAGACGCGCATAGTCGATAGTTCCTGCCATCTTTGGGGGCTCGGTGGCAATCTATCACATGAACGAGAAGACCAGTGTCCAGCAGTGGCGAGGTTTCGGGGGTTGGTGTGTTGAGCGGTGAAGGCGGACGTATATCGGGGGCTAGGATATGAGGATACTTGAATCAGTAGGTGCTCGGAGAGTGTTATCAAGGTTCGCAGAAGACGACTCTCGAGCAGATTCGAGAGTGCCACATGGTTCTTTCTGGAAGAGAAACAAAGGCACATGCGCCTGCCTCTACCGGACGATATCCCGGATATAACTGAAACAACACTCTAATCCCCGCGCCTGCCAAGGTTACGCCGAAGTTTCTCCACCTACAAACTCTTCCTGTCGGCGTCTCTCTGTTCTCTTCTTTCTTTCTTCAACTCATTACCGGTTCTTATTGTAGGAGTATCCTTCGCAGACTTTGTCTGTTTCAAAGGTCTCTCCTCTACACATGTACCGCAGACAGATGCCAAAGCGCCACAGCTGGAGCAACTAGGGTTGAAGTCATTTGACCTGATGATGTATATGTTCCTTACCGGTGTCGCTACATACCACCTTATAATCTTGTCTGTTGAAAAATACTTGACATGAGAGTGACTCAAGCCCACTCTACGCGCAGCCGCGATCGTGTCTCGATGATGCTGTGCTGAGGAGCGCGGCTCCGTGTTGACAGGGTGCTCCTTACCGCAACTTCTCAGACGCATCTCAAGCGGCCTGTCGCACCACTGTCGACCTCGATTGAATTTGTATGATCATAAGTAGATTGTCGCGAGTATTTGGGTTGATCGCACACTCTTTCATCCACATTCAGCTGCGCTGGGCTGTGGTTGTCGCTCATACGGTGCGACGAAAGCTCAGTGTCTCCTCCATCTGCAAACCACAAGCACAGAAAAGGTCTCGACCTTTACATTCGATACTTCAGCACCCGTTGCTTCGCTGGTGCTGATGTCTGTTCGAGATGGCGCTCTTCGAAAGATGTTACGAATATCAGCATCTACTCGATGATATTAGTCCCTCGTCTACAATCCTCTCAGCCTGCTATTGGTGAAACAATTGAGGCTCAGTCTGCCCTAGGCCCTACCGACGTTAGCTGCTCATCATTCTTCCATTCATCGTTAGCCCACACCCTGCGATGTTACCTCATCTCACCGCACGTTCAGATCAATCCACGTGAAGTGCTCGCGCCTGAGATGGTGGAGCAACGGCGCCGATGACGTGGGGACCCCACATTCCGATTTGTCTTCCACCGCTTCTCGTCGATCACTGAGCGACCTCTCTCGAGTTGACCTCGTGCCTGTATCACCGGTTCGTATGTATGTTATTTCCTTACGTGCGAGTGGCTCCATCAGCTGCACGAGCCTTGTGGGCAACCTCCGCTATTGTGGCCGAGGAGTCACAGGCTCAAGATGCCGTCAGTAGAATGAGTCCAGTGTCGACAAGGAGGCAGTGCTTTGCCAACGCTCGAAAGCTTTGCCGACTCCCAGGACAAGGCGGATACCTTTCAAAGTCCCACTCAAAGAGATTCTGACAAGACAACACAACCCGTCTCACGCTATATACGGCGCTTCCCAGAGGACGAATAAGCAGCAAGATTATACTATTCTGGTACCACATGTTGCAAGCCTAACGTCCAAGCCACTGGACTTGTTGCTGATCTTCCGGCGGCACCCTGCGCATGCCAACCTGCCGCTCCGCCTAACCTTAACCATGAGTAATAACGTCCTAACATCACGATTAAATTACGATCAACGAGGTCTCGGGTCTTTGTTCAGAAGATGATCGCTGGAATGATCCACTGTCCTTCTTGGCCGTTTAGACATTCCTCTGATACGGAGAGTAACAACCGCCCAGCGCCTTGGCTCTGTCAGCCCTCATAACAACTGACCAGTCAGCGCGGTGTTGTAGCTACAACGCATAGCTACAATCTTGTTTCTAAAACGTCGTTGCAGCTCGAGAAGAGGACACAGGGTCAACGGGTGTGCCTGCATGGCGCCCACTGTTGCTACCACTGAATACTTCCGACGTCATACAACAGAAGAAAAATACCTATCGAGAATGGACAGAAGGATCTTTCGCTCACGGTGCACCGCCCCTTACTCGTTGGAGATGGGGTATACAGCTGCAACAACGCCAACATGACGATGGCGGCTGCGAAGGAAGTATGTTGTGGGTCAAGTGATTGCACATCGCTACGGCCGTGTGTTGTTACTGCCTGCCTGGGCGGGCGGCAATACGTGATGTGAGCACTGAGTATCAATGTGGTAAGTCTATGGTAAGAAGATCCGAGTGTCGATTGACTGATATAAGGTCGTGAGTCCTCGACCATGTTGAGTTGAGTATATCCTCTACCGCCCTGTCTATACACAGCATACTCATCCTTATACTCCCATAACATTCTCGTCTTGTCATACACATCCAGCATATATCCTTCCTCCATACTCTGCCCTCAATGTTGAGCACAACTCTTACTCTGCTGGCAACAGCACTACTATCCTCCGCAGCTCCAGTTGACAAACGCTCGGTTAGTGGTGCTGTCATCACAACCGACTTCCCCGATCCATCGATTGTCAGTATCAATGATAAGTGGTGGGCCTTCGGTACCCAATCACTGTATGACTACAAGAACATCCACATCCAGGTTGCTACCTCTTCCGACTTTAACTCTTGGTCTCTTCACGCCAATCAAGATGCCTTGCCAAACTTGCCGGGTTGGGTTGATCAGAGTAATCCTTTGGTCTGGGCTCCTGATGTCATGCACATGGTAAGCTATCATGTATTCACCATCATGACTGAACGCGGCTGACATATCAACAGGNATGATGGAACATTTGTAATGTACTTCAGCGCCACAACCAACACTGGTGGAGATGGCAACTACCACTGCATCGGCACGGCCACTAGCTCCACCGTAGAGGGCCCTTACAACCCATCGCCAGACCCATGGTACTGTCCTGTCGACCAAGGTGGTGCTATTGACGCAGCCGGCTTCAGAGACGCAGACGGAACCTGGTACATCACCTACAAGATCGACGGCAATGCCCGGGGAAACGGAGGCATATGTAATAACGGCAATGCCCCCGTTGTCAACACTCCTATCATGATCCAGAAAGTGGGTGCAGATGGTATCAGCAAGCAAGGTAGCCCATCCACCATCATGAACCTCCAGACCTCCGATGGTCCAGACATTGAAGCCCCTGCCATGATCAGAAGAGGAAACACATACATCCTCATGTTCAGCTCTCACTGCTACAGCACAGACAGCTATGATACACTGTACGCCACCAGCAGTTCTCCCACTGGAGGCTTTGTGCGAGGCGGAAGCCTCGTGGGAGGTGGAAGAGGTGGTCTGGATGCCTCGTTAGACGCCACTCATGTTGCTTTCCATGGGCTTCAGGGTGATGGACGCAGATTCATGTATACTGGTATGCTCAACATCAACGGCAACACTGTCACAATCTAGATTATGGCAAACGACACGACGAACTACGAATTTACGACTTGCATTTATGATTGATGGATGGTTTATGTACTTGATGTATCACCATGGCCTGTGTTGGATTTATGTAAAGTACTGTTGTTTATGTTCTATGCTAGCAATAAAAAACTCTCTCCCATACTTTCGGCAAGCACGATCAACTTACATATCAGCAATGGTCATAGCCTCTAACATTGTGTTCGGACTCCTCGAACGAGATTTCCTAGTCTTCTTTCCCTTTATGTTTGTTCCTCGAAACAAGAAATGTTGGCATAAAGGTAAGATTAATTTTGCTATGGTCCAGGTCTTAGAAATCATATACCTATTACAGAAAAAGAGCAGTGTTCTTGTGTACTAAAGAAGGGCCTCGTATTGTTGTTGAGCCAGTTAATCACAACTCTGCCGCTTTAGTCTATCCACTGTCTCCTCCTCTACTTTCGTTCCCTAACATCCCCTTGCTTCCGACAATTTCTGTCTCGACTCCACAAAAAAGCCATGTTCAGAAGGCAAGAATCTCGCTGGCACGCTGAGGTGGCTTGCCCACCCCAGCATACAACGTCCGCACCGCCCCAAAAAATCTAATGAACCTGACCCGATTTGAAGGGGTGACCTTGTGGATCTTTTCAGACCCGGATCGCGCTTGGTTGTATGAGTGTTATATATATCGAACCACACGACACATAACAATGGACCTGTGGCGCAGCGGTAGCGCGTGTGATTCCAGTCTATGGGACATCCACAAGGTCATCCGTTCAAATCGGGTCAGGTTCATTAGATTTTTGGGGCGGCGCGGGCTTTCGATCAATCTTTTGTGTTCGTCAGAGGAACAGGTGGGAACTGCGTGGAACGACTTGGTTTTGAAGAGAACCAGTCGTGCTTCTCTCTTGTGCATGTCTGTTTTTCTAATTTTCTCATGCGGGGATATTTTGATTTGTTCTCCTTTTTCCTCTCTATTTTATCTCCATGTTAAGAACTTTAGAGATTTGGCGTAATTAGGAGAAAAACATCTCGCTAACCGTCGCAAGAGAAAATGAATAGTACTATTCAGATATAGTAGTATAATAGAAGCATATACCGATCAGATCGCAGGTTCAATCCCTACCTATGGGTATGTAAACTGATATATCTTTCGCACGACTGAAGCTTGTTAAATTGCTCAATTGCTCCAGTAATCCTTTTGTCACGTAGCATCCTTAATCGCTCTCCTCGTTATGTGTAAAAGACAGCCATAGCCTTGTGACCGATCCCTCTCCCATGTTCGCATATTGTGTTGCTACATACTACAAAACTGCACAGTCACTTTGTTACTAGGGACTAGCCAATAGAGATGCTTAAAGACAATTTTCCTCCTATAGATCTTCCTTTGTTGCGGAAAGCAAGTGTGCTTTTCCATGGCTACATTGTTGTAAATCTATTCGATTGAAGAATATGGCATATACCAAAAAACCCACCACCACCACCTTCTACAGCTTGACAGGAAACCTCTGCCTAATCCTCTCACCATAAAAGTAAAACGCTACTGGAATAGGCAACATCGCCAAAGCCACAAACCCAATCAGCGAATTACCCCATCCCAACCCCAGGGCATCATACATATCCAGACCCGCCAACGGCAACAATCCACCAAGGATAGAGCGCAACAAAGTGTTTGCAGCCATGGCGCTGGCCGCATGCAAAGTAAATGTATCCACCAAATACGTTTGGATGCAAATAAGGCAAGAAATCAAGCCAATGCCGAAAAACAGCGTGCCCAGCATGGGGACAGCCCATTGTACATGCTCCTGCGCGGTCCAACCATAAATAAACAGTCCAATGGGCATAGACACGCCCAACACCATGAGCGGCGGGAGTCTGTATTCAGGCTTGGAAACACCATTATTGGCGGCAGTGAGTTTTCTTAGTATGCGGTCTGAGGATGCGCCGGTTAGGATAAGGCCAACAAACATGCCGATGCCGGAAGCAATGTAGGATAATCCGACGTTGGAAGAGGAGAAATGATAGTGTTCTTCAAAGACAAAGGTGAAGGTTGTGAAGAGGAGGTAGAGGATGCCGTAGACCACNCTGTTGCAATATTCGTCAGTACTGGAACTTTCGTTCAGTAAACATGTGAACATGGCACTTACCGCAACATAAAAGGACATCAAGGCAACGATTGGCGAGAAGAGTAGCATCTTGAAAGGTCGGACGAGCGCGCGAGACATGCGTTCACGGCCAGAAAGACCACTGTCCAGCTTTGAGCGAAGCTCGGTATTGTTTGTTTCCTTTTGCAGCTTCGTGGTCTTTGATTGAAGGAGAACGGGCGCGAAAGTTTCCTTGCCGACGAAAAAGTGGATGATGGTTGCGACTCCGTAGGCAATGGTTATGAGCCAGAAGACNCCTGTGAGAGGCAGATTTGTCAGTCAAGTTATCCCTGATACAAGTCAGACAAGACCGAGTTTATACCATCGCCATCCCTCAGCAGATGCCAGGTAAGCACCAGCGACAGGCCCAATAACAGGTCCCAGCAGAGGTCCTGGGATTGTTAGTAAATGTTAAATCAATACTGCCAAAGACAACATACCCATCGCATACAAAGCCATAGCAGCACCTCTCTTCTCCTGCGGAATCATATCTGCAATCGAAGCACCACCAAGCGTCACAGGACAGACTCCAAAGCAGCCAGCCAGGAACCGGAACACGATAAGTTGAGGCATCGAAGACGCAACCGCACACGCCACGGTAAAGACAATGAAGCCCACGTTGCACGCAATATACAGCGAACGTCTGCCGTATATCTCGCTCAAGGGTGAGATGAGCAGTGGACCTACGGCAAATCCAAGCAAGTACACTGAGACGACGAAGGCGGCCAGTGTGACGGATCTCTCCTTGAACTCTGCGAGGACGGCCGGGACACCAGGCGCGAACATGGATGATGCCAGTGGTGTTAACAGAGTAAGGAAGATGATGGCGCCGCAGTTGATGATCTTGGCCTTGGAGGTCCAGTTCATCGGGTTCTGGGGATCGTCTTCGCCGTCCCAGGATACAATATTCGGGTCCGTAGCATCGTTGATCGATTGTTGTGCAGCTTGCTTCTCCACATCTGGATTGGACTGTACCATCGTGGCTCTGTCGACGTCGGAGGATGACTTGGAGGTGGCATAGACAGCACTCTCCTTTTGTTCAGCCATGGCGAGTGTGAAATGGTATGGCAATGTTCAACAACACAAAGACGGGCAAAGAACAAGCATGCGGATATGGAAAGGTAGAACCTTCTCCCTATATGTCTACCATCAGTGAGTGGTGCGACAGCTACCACGGGATCTCGACTCTCCGTGCATAACTTGACCCCAGATCATCTCGTTGTCAATGTGATAGACCAAAGGCGAGTGAGGGGAAAGGGTGGAGAGGGTCGGGATGGCTTCGTTCCTTGCCAGAGTTATGCTATTTGTGAAAGTTATGCACGAAATCCGGAATTTTTGTCTGCCGAAGCACAAAATCCAGTCTTGTGGCAGAAAGTCAGTCGCGTTGCCAAAACGTCTTCTGGCCAGATCAATATTAGTACACAAATGTCCGAGAGCAGACACAACATACTCAGCTCTAGACGGAAGGGATAGTTCCGGTGTATGCTCAGTGCTTCTTTCATTAATTACATCGATTGTGAAAGGAACTATGAGAACAGCGCCACATAGGAAATATCGTCGAGTCCTATATACAAATTCGCAAACAGCCTCTATTTTACAACCATTGACCAACTCACACAACAAACTCCTTGGACACAGTGGTAAACTGTGTCCGGGTATTCAATTACAGCAGATGCACCTCTAACCACATTCCCAAACTTATTTCAGCTCGTCCATGCCAAAGATGGAGTGAGTCTGGTTGGAATGTTGGTGATGGCCATGACCGTGGTGCTCTGCGTTGTGACGCATTTCCTGATATTTGAAGACGAAGTTCAGAATCAGAGCGACAAAGAGACTAACACAGACGACGACAGGACCAGTGAGAGCGTCAAAGTCCTTGCCACTTCGCTGCTCGATGAGACGACTTCTCCATTGGTAAACGCCCCAGCCCCAGACACCAGTGAAGACTGCGGCAAGAGTGTAGACGAGCGCCAGCGCACGAGCGATGTTGTTGTTCTCACCAGCGGCGTTAAAGAGACCCAAACTCAATGAGGCGAGGAGGACGGTGATGTGTTGCCACTTGATAAAAGTACGCTGGTTGGCAAGCCAGACCTTGGCTTCAACCTTGACTGGGCCCTGATCCTTAATCCAGTACTCGGGTTTTTGGACACCGGCAGGCAAAGGCATATCGCGAGTGCGGCGGTTTGCTGCGTATTTAGAGGTTGAGAAGGATGGGAAGAGTGTCTGCAGACCGGATTGAGTGGTAGCCTCAGTGTTGTGAACCTGACGGCCGTCGTCGTCAGAGTCCGGCTCATCTGCGACGGCTGCCATACCAGTAGGCTGAGAGCGAGCGACACTTCCGAGAGATTGGCCGCCCATCTTCATGGCGCTCTGACGAGAAGCACGACGGTCGAGGAAGCTGCCAGTCTTGTCTGTAGGCGAGCCAACAGGTGAAATTCCACCAGGCTTGTACGATGAGTGGCTCTTGCTCTTCATCAAACTACCGACGGCCAGCTCGTCTTCCTGCTGCTTTTGCTTCTTGGCCTGCTCCTTCTCGAAAGCATCTTCGGGATCTTGACGAATGTCCTCCTCGAGGGTGGAAAGCCAGAAGGGGAGGGTATTGACATTGTCTTCGAAGAGAGAAGCAACACCATGGACGAACTTGGAGAATTTGGGAGCCTCCTTGACTAAGTGTGAGTTCATCAGATCCTCGATCCATTCGTATTCCTTGTCATTCTTGACCTTGATTTCAAGGACTGCGTGAGGGAAGGTGGCGAGTTCGCCCTTGCGGATAGACTTGAAAGGGAACTCCATCTCGGCATCGTCAATGTCTCTGCGGTGCCAGTCTTCGGGGTCGCGGCAGGGACGGTCAACGTCGATAGCGTCTTCCTTGATGAAGGCCAGGTTGGTGTCAATCGAGATTCTCACTCTGTCATCGCCGGGGATCTGGAAAGCAGTACGAGTGTAGTTGGCACGGACGATGGGTTGCAGATCGTTGTCCTTGATGAAGATCTGGATGTCGTTGACACTGTCCTTGAATGACTGGATACGGTCCTCGGGAATTTGACGCGACGAGCGCTTCTCGATAGCCTTCTCCATGTGGTAGTCACCCTTGATGAAGGGCTGAATGTACTTGTCCTTGATGGGGAACCTCTCGTCGGCGCTCGAGTTCTCGGTCTTGACAGTCTTCTTCTCAAACATGATCTCGGGCTTCTGGCTCAGCTTGCCGTACCATCTTAAGCGAAGATTGGAGGCGTCGGTCTTGTGCTCGACCTTGTTGGAGTAAAGGTTGAAGTCGGGATTGTCAAAGTAGATGGAGGTGATGGAGGGATCTTGCTGGGAGCCCTCGGCAATCTTTTCGGTCTGGGGGTTGTAGACGAGGACGGGGAGACGACGGAGGATGATGGTCTTGACTTCGAGGAGGTTGTCCATGTGGACCCAGAACTTGTGGGTGACGTAGCTCTCCTCGCCGGCGACAGACTCGACGAGCGACAGGGGACGGTCCTGGCCCTCGAGGTTCTGGCGAGCGAACGAGTACATGGCCGACAGACGGTAGAGGAGGGGCGAGTAGTCCTCGTTGTTGAAAGGGACATCAGCCATTCTAGACTTGACCAGCGGGCGGATGCTCGAGACACGGCCACCTCTCTTGCGGTCGTGCTTCTTTGCGATCTTGAGGAAGCCAGTGTAGTTGATGCGACTGTACTTTTCCAGCTCGTTGATGTCCTTGGTGATGCGGTCCAGCTCCTCGAGGACTTCCTTCAGGATACGCTTCCTCTCGCCCTCGGAGGGAGAGGGCTTCTTTGCAGCGCCGGCATAGGAGGTAGCGGGAGCGTCAGTCTCCTGGACGGCTTTGGCGACGGGGTCCAGCTTGGACTCGCATTTGGCGGTGCGGTCGCGCAGCTTCTGGTAGGTCGACTTGTGGAAGTTGGTGACCTTTTCCAGCTGCGAGTTGACCAGCTCGGCGTAGAAGGCTTGGGCATCCTCGTCGGTCCAGGCGTCGTCCTTGCCCTTTGCTGAGTCGTCCTCTCTCAGCAGCTTCTTGAGCTTGGCGTAGTCGACGTACGACTCCCTCCACGGCTCGTACACGGCATTGCGCAGGGTGGTGCCGAACTTCATCTTGCTCTCTTCTTGGGCAATTGCGATAGAGAAGCTCTCCGGCAGAGGAAAGAGATTTTTGGACGAGAGCAATCAATTGCACATGTTGGATGCTATGTCACTCTGCTGCAACGCCAGCCAATCAGCGACGCTCAGCCTGCCACGCCTTCTAACATCAATTTATACGGCCACCAATCCCACTCTCTCTGTATCATCATGTCCTCCACTACAACAAAGGACTCGTCCAACAGTGACTTGATATCCCAGCTCCACAACACACTTGGCTGGCTGAAGAACAATCCATGTCCATATGTCGCTGGTCCCGAAACAACAAGGAAACGTGCTTCAGTCGCTCTGATCGTGCGCATACAGCCATCTTATGCTCATCAACCAGATAAGGCCGCCGCTCCTGCTGACAGCATTGACGCTTTCTTTGCTCAGGATTGGGTCGAAAATGGAGAGCCCGAGGTTCTCTTCATAAAACGTGCTGCGAGAAAGGGTGATCGATGGACTTCTCATGTCGCCTTGCCTGGTGGCAGACGCGATCCTGAGGACGAGAATGATCAACAAGCCGCCATTCGCGAAGCTGCCGAAGAAGTAGGCATCGAGCTGTCAGAACGCACATGTATCGCGGTTGGCAATCTCCCTCAGAGAGTCGTGACAACCAGCTGGGGCCGAGTACCGCTAATGGTCCTATGTCCTTATGTCTTTCTTGTTACACGCCATGATCTTCCACCTCTACGTCTACAGCCCACCGAGGTTGCTTCGACACATTGGGTGCCCGTTCGCTCTCTTCTTGATCCCAGCCAACGAACTGTACACACCGAGGACGTCAGTAACAGATTGGCCAACCAGGAAACAGGCATAAAAAAGTGGGCACTGGCAGGAATGCTCGGTAAAATGGAGTTTAGTGCTATCCAACTGCTTCCGACAGAGAGTCTGTATTGCCATGAATCTCCTACTGATGATTCCAATCGGCATAATTCTGCTCCACCAAGGAACGTGTTAAAGAGGCTGTTGGGCCTCACTCACCCACAAACACTACCTCCACCACCACAACATCGACCGCTCATCTTGTGGGGATTGACACTCGGGGTAGTGGCCGATTTCCTCGATTTGCTACCACCCCATAACGCACTGGAGCTGTGGACATATCCCACCTTTACCATGCCTGATGTTCGGCTAGTGATATGGCTCACAACGCATAGATTTAGAGAAGCCAAGCGGTTGCAACTTGAATCAGAGATCCGTGCAGGACCGCCCGCTGCGGTTGTAGAAGAGGGGTTGGATGTCGTGTCATTGCAAGACAATGAGCGCTGCAACGAGGTAGGCATGGGAGGATTGGGTTCAGGACGCAGTCTGAATGGATATTCGTTTGAGAGTGCTGTCGAAACCATGTTGGAAGGCTACTACGCCTGTATGAGAAAGGGAGTAACATATGCCTTGGTGTGCCGACTGTTTGGAATGGCCACCATAATGGGTTTGTTATGGTCCAGGAAGACATCTCTGCAATTGATCCTTGCCAGATTCAACAGACTCAGGTAGCATTGCTCGATCTTTGTTATGAATGTACACATAGTTACTGTAACCATAGAGGTCATAAAATGTTGTTGCTGACCATTCGATGGCTTCGGACTCAATTTCCATGTGGGGTCCTTCGGCGCATCTGCGACCGAGAGGCTTCTCCCCAAAGGCTGAAGTCGTCGGCTATTGACCCTCATGCATCGGCAATCAAAAGGTACAAGGATGGCGACTGTCCACCTTATGTCGTCTCTCCGCTTTGCGAGTCCGGTTTCTAGAAAAGTAGTTTCTCTCTACTTCGACTTTGTAGACTATTAAGACGACGCCAACAATGGGCAAAATTTACACTTACGACGAAGGTAGGCGACACCTAAACACCACACCTCTCACAACACCTCAAGGCTGATTGCCCCTCCCAANNGTCTCCCAACATAGGAGCGAAGACAGCTGTTGGGTAATCCTCTACGGCAACGTCTACGATGTAACCAAATTCGTGCCCGAGCACCCCGGCGGCGCCAAAATCATCCTCCAACTCGCCGGCCAAGACGCGACCGAAGAATACGACCCCATCCATCCCCCAGGCATCCTCGAAGAAACCCTGGCGCCGGAATGCAAGTTGGGCACTTTTGACGCCAGCACTCTGCCTGCGGTGGAAAAGTCGGCTGTGGATGATGGCGAAGTTGATGAAGAGGCCATTATGCCATTGGACCATTGCTTGAACATGGACGACATTGAAGCAGTGGCCACAAAGAAGATGAGCAAAAAGGCTTGGGCATACTACTTTTCCGCCGCCGATGATTTGAAATCAAAGGCGTGGAATAATACAGTATACAGCAGTATCCTGTTGCGTCCGCGCGTGTTTGTCGACATAACAAACTGCGACACCAGCACCAGCATCTTGGGCCACAAAGTCAGCACTCCCTTGTTTGTTTCGCCAGCGGCTATGGCAAGACTAGGTCACCCAGACGGCGAACACGGTATTGCAAAGGCGTGCGCGAAATTCGGCGCTTGTCAGATCATCTCCAACAATGCGAGTCAAACGCCCGAACAGATTTGCGAGGGTGCCCCTGCAGATCAAGTGTTTGGCTGGCAATTGTACGTCCAGAATGACCGCAAGAAGAGTGAGGACATGCTCGTCCGCATCAACGCAATCAAGAATATCAAGTTCATCGTCTTGACTTTGGATGCACCCGTACCTGGAAAGCGCGAACACGACGAGAGGGAAGGCAAGAATGTTGGCGCCAACCTGCCCATCCGCAGTGCACACCAGCAAGGCAGTGCCTCCACCACCTCTCCCTCACCCACAAAAGGCGGCAACAGCGGCGGTGGAAGCGTCGCCTCAGCGATGTTCGCCGGCACAGCAGGAAACCTGACGTGGAAAACCACCTTGCCCTGGCTAGCCAAACACACAAACCTTCCCATCGTGCTCAAAGGCCTTCAGACCCATGAAGACGCTTATATGGCTTCCCTCCACGCACCCCAAGTCCGAGGTATCATCCTCTCCAACCACGGCGGTAGAGCCGCAGACACAGCACCCNCTTCCATCCACACCCTCCTCGAAATCCGCAAGTACTGCCCTGAAGTGCTGTCCACCCTCGAAGTGTGGGTAGACGGCGGCATCAAGCGCGGCACCGACGTAATCAAAGCGCTAGCTCTGGGTGCCAAAGCCGTGGGAATGGGCAGAAACGCGTTATTCGGATTGGGAGCAGGAGGGCAAGAAGGTGTGGAACGGGTATACGAGATTCTCAAGGCGGAGATGGAGACGACTATGCGGTTGCTTGCCGTGCAAAAAATTGAAGAGTTGGGGTCTCAGCATGTCAATGCTAGAGCTGTGGAGAGGGAAATCTATGATGGTCCTGCTGGGCTTGAGAAGTTGGGTATGTGGATCAAGGCGAAATTGTAGGAGTGTATCATCGCAAAAATGGTTGATTGCAAAACCAACTTGACGTATTTCCAAACTTTGCCATTTGCTAAAGGCTTGTTACACCCGTGGATGTGAAATTGGCTCTCCTGGTTGGAGTGCCGCCAAAGATATTCTCTGAGAGACGGTTCTCGGTGGAAAGTACCTCTTTGTAGGAAAAATGTGCATCATCATAAGTAGCTAAGATGACCACATTTCATAATGAGAGAAATTGATCAGTATCAAACAACACACCACACCACACCACACATCAATGCAACAGTCAAAGCAGCAGAATTACAAAAAAGCCTTGGTAAAAGTTTCATCTCATTCATCTACGCATATCAAGAGCCGTCAAAGAAAGACACAGCCCTCTACGCAAAGGGGGGTATATACAATTTCGTCCTCTAGACTTTTGCAGCAGCAGCAGCAAAAATATCTAGTGCAAGTACTGCTTGAACCAGTACACGGCAGAGTTCTTGGCTCTCTCCAGACCCTCCTTTTGCTTGGGATCCTTCTGATCGCCACGGACAGCAAAGCCATGAACAAGACCAGGGTAATAGTCATAGTTGAAAGGAATGTTGAGTGTGGGGAGGGTCTTGAGGGTGAATTCCTTGAGCTCGGGCGTGAACATGGGATCAGTCTCGGGAACCAAAAACTGCACCGGCACGCCAATATTGGCAATCTCGCTCTCCTCGAGCAGAGAAGGGTGGGCAACAGCAGCGCAGTCGATGATGGCAGAGTCCTTGGCTGCGAGACGCAGGACGGCCCAGGCCCCGTAGCAGAAGCCAATGGCGGCCACCTTCTTGTAGTTGGACTTGAGTTCCTTTGCGTTGGCGGTGATTTCGGGGAAGCGCTTGTCTTTGCTGTTGCGGCCGATAAAGGCCATGATGTCGAAATTCTTGCGCTTCTCAGGGTCCTCCATCATGGCGGGCTCGATGACTTCGCCCTCGAAGNNCTGTTTGGTGCGTGTCATGTTAGTAACAATTTTCTAGACTATGCGAGTAGGAGTGGTGTAGATTGCATGAGAACACGGAACAACTCACTAGTCGGGGACGTAGACGGTCACATTGGCCTCCTTTGCGTAGTGGTCGGCAATCAGACGGACATTGGGCAGCTTCCAGCCAAAGACGTCGCAGATGATAAGGACAGCGGCATCCTTGTTGTCGCCAGTGACGTAGGCCGGGTTGTTACCGAGAGTAGTCTCCTTGCCGACAGGCTCGCCGTTCCACTTGAATCCTTCTTTGCAGCAGTTAGACATGTTTGTGATGTGTATGTTTTGGTGGTAAGTGAAAGGAAAGAGGGAGACGGTTCAATTGAGGGGGCAAAGAAGTTATATAACCTACGTACTCTACTCTAGATTGAGGGTCTTGCCTTACAAATTCGTTCATCCCGTGTCCGGAGCTCTGAGCTTAGAGTCGCTGCCCCACCTGCTCGCTTTGGAACGTCAAGCCTCGGGCAGATCTCGCGCCTCGCGACAGGCCCGGAACCGGCCCCTTCTGTAACGTTCCACCGAGTCAGTTATGTCTGTGTCGCAATAATGCTCGAGATGAACTGCGATCGGCAAGTTGAATCCCCGATCAGAGGGACAAGGAGACAGGTATATGGAGGAATTGTTCGTCCGACTTGAAATGCATGAGTGAATTTTGTATAATTACATCTGTTCACAAGAAATTCAGATGCCATGAAGTACATACATGGTGCCGCTTACCCGGAAGCTATCGAAAGCAAACGCTCGCTGTAGCAACTCAGACGAGGCGTCACATCTCGACTCATGTAATTACCTCTGTTTCTGTGCCCCAAACGCCACGCTAAAGATGAGAGACCACGAGCTACAACAATAATATCGTCATGCCTCTACTTGGGAAGCATAAACAGACCAGGCTTCATATTGATCCTGCAGAGCTTTGCAACACAACCAGAGAGCTGGAGGTAGGTCTGAACACCCTCAAGGATTCTCATGTGCGTAAAACCAATCTCTCTAATGAACTCGAGTTTGGCATGCTCCGAAAGAACGGGGATGGTCTTTGTGACTTTGAACATGGTGCTGACGATGTCGTGGCAAGAATAGCCAGAGTCCCTGTGATCACTAGTCAGTACACTAAACCTTTAGGATCAAGACGATTTAGTCACATACCAGAGTTCCTTGAGCATTGATAGAGCAGCGTCAATGTTGCATAGATGACAGTTCTTGATCATAGTCTCGACCTTGTAGGGGTGGGGCTGATCAACAACTCTGAAGACATTGTTCCCGTCGACGAACCCGAATCCTGCGTGGGTACTTTGCAGGTTGTTGATGGCTTGTCTCATGTCGCCCTCTGCACTGAAGACCAAGGCGGCAAGACCATCTTCGGAGTACTCGACCTTCTCAGCCTCGCAGACTTGAGTCAGACGCTTGACAATCTGAGCATCTGTCAGACGCGAATATCTGAGGATTGCACAACGAGACTGCAGGGGCTCGATGATCTTATTGGACTGGTTGCAGGCAAAGGCGAAGCGAGTTGTGCTTGAGTAGATCTCCATTGTTCTTCTCAGAGCTTGCTGGGCACCCGATGTCATGCTGTCGGCTTCATCGAGAATGACCAACTTTTGACGGCCAGCAGGTAGTGTGACCTTTTTCTGGGCAAATCCCTTGATGCGGTTGCGGACAACATCGATACCACGTTCGTCCGAGGCGTTGAGTTCGAGCACGGCTTCCTTGTATGCATCTCCAAGCAGTTGTCTGGCCAGACACAGGATCGAGGTGGTCTTTCCAATACCAGGCATGCCCGAGATGATGACGTGGGGCATGTTGCCATCTTTTGCGATGATCTTGAGTCGTTCGATGGTCTCTGTATTTCCGACGACGTCGTCCAGGAAGACGGGCCTATACTTCTCTACNCCTGCAGATGGCATCAGCTTTGCGCAGACCGAAGAAGAGGGTGTTTTGTACCAAGGAAGCTCATAGCCAGGGGCAGCAGAAGCTGCTGGACGTGCCTGAGCACCGTTCTGAGCTGATGAAGGGCCTGCAGTGACCATTGTGAGATGTGTGTGTGTGTGATGATGTCGACCTTCACCCGTCTTCGTCCAAACGCTTGTCGAAGGCACGCGTTCTTTGAAACACGTGAACGCGTAGAGCTAAAGTGGTGGATGATGTTATTGGGATGTCAACCGATGCTGACGAGAAGCTGTTGGCGCGTTCGAGTGGGACTCGGCTACACTTGCTCTGTCGAACAAGCAAGCTCACTCAATATCCGTCTCGCTGAAACTCTCAATGCGACAACGAGCATTGCCTGCTCAACTTCGAGGTTCTTACGTTCAATCTGTAGTACTGCTCGAAGAAGAACAGGCGACTGCCCGTACATCCAAGCAGGCGGCTATTGAGGTGACCCAGGAGAGCAAGAAGCAAGGCTTGGCCAATTGATTAGACGATCATCGCTGCTTCCGCATTCTTGTATCCTTTGGCATGCGCTCGTCTGTCACTTAAACCCTCTCTTGCCCTCAACTCTCTTGACTTTCGCTGTGTACAGTCCAACATCGGGTAATGCTCGTTTCAGCCATCCTCTACCTCCCTTACACGCCATGGCCATCAGTCCCCGAATGAAGAGCTACCGGCTCCTACTCCTCTTTGCCATCTTCGCTGCTGTATTGTTCATCCATCGCGATCGTGTCGCATATGCTGGTTTCAAGTCATGGAGTGCTTCCTCGAGCCTCGTCTTCGGTAATCATGTCGATTGGAGTCAGATTCCCAAGCAACACACAGTCACGTCTATGTATGCCCTGCCTACCGGCAAACCTAAGAAGCTCCCCAAGATTCAGTACAGCTTCCCGACAGAATCAAAATTTGAGAAATCTGTGCGTGAGGAGCGACAACACGCTGTCCTTGAGGCCTTCAAACGCGCCTGGGGCTCGTACAAAGAGCATGCCTGGATGGCCGACGAACTGACTCCCATTTCTGGTGACAAGAGGAATACATTCGCAGGGTGGGCTGCCACTCTGGTCGACGCTCTCGACACGCTATGGATCATGGGCCTCAGATCCGAGTTCAACGAAGCCGTGGCGGCAGCGGTCTCCATCGACTTTGCGTCTACGGACCAGGATGAGATCAACGTGTTCGAAACAACCATCCGATACATGGGCGGTTTCCTGTCCGCCTACGATTTGAGTGCTGATGAAAGGCTTTTGGTCAAAGCAAAAGAACTCGGCGAAATGTTGCTACACGCTTTCGACACTCCCAACCACATGCCCATCACTCGTTGGAGAGTCATGGACGCTCGTAGAGGAGCCCCTCAGACTGCCGACCCAGTCACTCTAGTAGCAGAAATTGGTTCACTAGTCATGGAGTTTACTCGGCTCTCTCAGATCACTGGAGACCCTCGCTGGTTCGACGCCACTCATCGCGTCATGAAACTTTTCGAAGAGCAGCAGTCAAAGACACACGTGCCTGGGATGTGGCCAATTCTTGTCAACGCCAGAGACATGGATCTCACTTGGCACGACACTTTCACACTTGGAGCAATGTCAGACTCCGCCTACGAATATTTGCCCAAGATGCACGCACTCCTTGGTGGACTGGAGCCAATGTATGAGAAAATGTACCGCGAGGCCATGAACGCCGCCATCCGATACACACTTTGGCGACCTATGACCCCTGACAATGCGGATATCCTGATTGCAGGAATGGCTCATGTCGATCAGGACCACAAAGGCGGACTTGACTTTCAGGGCCAGCATCTCGTCTGCTTCGCTGGAGGCATGTTGGCTTTAGGTGGGAAACTGTTTAACGATCAAACTCACCTCGATATGGGTAGGAAGGTGACAGATGGCTGTATCTGGACCTACAAAGCCATGCCCCTGGGAATCATGCCCGAGGTCTTTCACATGGTCGAGTGTCCTACCAACGAACCTTGCCAGTGGGACGAGAAGCTTTGGCACAAGGAGGTCATGAGAATGAAAGGCGATGGTGGTGGCAAGCTGGACGATGTTCAGAAGGTCATAGCCGAAGATCGTCTCCCTCCTGGCTTCTCACGTCTTGACGATCGCAGATACATCTTGAGGCCCGAGGCAATCGAGAGTGTCTTCATCTTATATCGCATCACTGGACGCAAGGATCTACAAGAAACTGCGTGGCAGATGTTCAATGCCATTCAAGAAAACACCAAGACGGCGTTGGCCAATGGTGCGCTTGGGGACGTCTCTAGAGACGATGGAAAAGTGACAGTCACGGACAGTATGGAGAGCTTCTGGTTGGCCGAGACACTCAAGTACTTCTACCTAATTTTCAGCGAACCGGACTTGATCAGTCTGGACGACTACACTTTCAACACAGAAGCACACCCTTTTAAGATTTCTAAGTAAATGAGATAGATACCCTATGCAGCAATTGTGAGGAATATTTTATGCTTAGCAGGCGTTCCTGGCCGGATTATACCAAAGCCACACAGCTGGTTTTCTGGGAGGTTGAGAAGACATCCTAGTTCTTGCAGCTCACCGTCGCCAGATAGACGTCTAGGCCATGTGCTTGACAGGACTGCAGCGCAGAGCCAACCAATAAAAACTACTTCTCCTTGTACCTCAAAGTCACATGCAGGACAACCCGTCCCTGATGCATGGGACAGAACTCAGAAATGTGTCTGTGTTCCAGCAAACCGATTTGATCAAAGACCTTTACCTATTGTATTGCAGCAAATGAAAGACCATTTTCGGGTATGAATACGAAGCTCAATAGAACAGACATATGGATTGATGTGGAGATGAATGGACGCCGCAATTTCTGGAGTGTCTCGCCTCTTCGACCTCGCGATGTTTCTAGACGCGCACGTTCGACAACGCGGCCGGCCGATCAGCCGCCATCATGCAGCGGGATGTGAGCGGTCGCACAACGAAGGGTGCCATGGCAGCGCGGAGGCGAGAAGAATAGGCAGGGAATACGGAAAGTATGCGTGAGGTACCAGGCCTCTTTGCCGTAAGCAAAAGTTACTCAGGCAGCCGACCTCACGGGTAAGCAAGGCACGATTTGATTTATAAAAAGTTGTGTGACTTCGCCTCTTTCTCTTGCAACAGGCTGTGTTGTTTCCTCTTTTGACACAGCAACACAGGTGTCTTCTCCACGGTCTCCTTTCTGACATCAGTCAAGTACGCTCCTTTTGCGCCTTGGTTCTGGGCCGCCGACACGAGCAAAAGCTTGATCCACCAGGTCGACGCAATCTTGCCTTAGCACCAGAGACATCCGCGTACGTTGCAAAGTGATCACACGGCAAACTGGGGCGGCGACAAGCACGACTTGTTCTGCTTTTCCATCTTGATCTCTCATCTGATTTGATCTACTCAGATTGTCCGCGGATCGTCTCTCTTGTTGCTCATTCTGCCAGATTTCCCCAGAGCTCGGCGTCATATTCTCGGGAAGGGCGGATCGCGGCTTCGACGACATTTCGTGGCTGGGCACATCTGTGGCCGCGTCATACAAACCCTCTCTTGTCATCTTTCTGAAATACTTGTTGCCTTCGCGCTTGCTGTCGTTTGCTGCTTCTACTGTCTTCTTTGTTTCCCTAACACTGCCACCTTTTGTCTCCTACCTCGCTCGCCACCGCTGTGTATATATCGTCGACGCCGAGTCCACTCACCACTTACTCGCAAGCCTACCGGACAACAAGACCAACATGAAACACATTTCCACCTTGGCACTCGCTGCCAGCACCATCATTGGAGCCGAAGCTATCACCCTGCAAAAGCGTTCGAACGGCGCACCCAAGGTCGTCGAGCACGAGATCCAAAGAAAGCATGTCGAGAACCCCCTGAAGAGAGACCGTCTACGAAGACGTCAAAACACCATCCAGGAATCGCTGGACAACGAGCAGACCCTGTACTTTGCCAATGCTTCCATCGGCACCCCGGCGCAAAACTTCAGGCTACACATCGACACGGGAAGTAGTGATCTCTGGGTCAACGTCGCCACCTCTTCGCAGTGCGAGAACACACAACAGAACGACTGCTCAGTCTCGGGCACCTACGCTCCCAACTCGTCCTCAACTTATGAGTACGTCAACAGCCTCTTCAACATCTCATATGTTGATGGCTCGGGTTCATCGGGCGACTATGCTACCGATGTCTTCCGCATCGGTGGTGCCCAGTTACAAAACCAGGAATTCGGTATTGGTTACGTGTCGAGCTCCGAGGAGGGTATCCTTGGAATCGGTTATCCTACCAACGAGGCCATCCTCCAATATTCGAGGGAGCCTTACGTCAACGTGCCCCAGCACATGATGCAAGCTGGACTCATCAACACCAATGCTTACAGCTTGTGGTTGAACGACCTCGATGCTTCTACGGGCTCCATTCTGTTCGGTGGTGTCAACACTGAAAAGTACACTGGATCTCTCCAGACCTTGCCCATTCTCACCGAGCAGGGCATCTACGCCGAGTTCATCATCGCGCTCACTGGTGTCGGTTACAATGGTAAAGAAAACTCCATCGCCTCGAACCTCAACACTGCTGCTCTGCTCGACTCTGGCTCCAGTTTGATGTATCTTCCCAACGACGTCACCGAGTCCATCTACCGCATGACTGGTGCCAAGTACAGCCAAGAGTACGGTGCTGCCTTCATTGACTGCAACATGCGCTACAACGACACCACTATCGACTTCACCTTCTCTTCTCCTACCATTCGTGTCAGCATGTCGGAACTGGTTCTTGTTATGGGCTACCAGGGTCGCACTCCTCTTTGCATTCTCGGCATTGCACCTGCTGACGGTACCACTCCTGTTCTTGGTGACACGTTCCTTCGCAGCGCTTACGTCGTTTACGACATCACCAACAACGAGATTTCGCTCGCTCAAACCAACTTCAACAGTACTGGCAACAACATCATGGAGATCACCAACACCAGCATTCCCGATGCTACCGGTGTTGCCTCGGCTGTCACTTCCGTTTCCCAGGAGACTGGCGGCGGTCGTCTTGGTGGCTTCCCCTCTGGCAGCGTGACCAGCAGTGGCATAGGTGCTATCATGACTCCTGGGCCCAAGGGACTTGGAGCTCTTGCTGCCGTTGGTGCTGCTGCGCTCTTTGCCTTGTAAAGCACTTGATGCAAATCAGAGCCCCGGTTACGAATGCATGACCTTTTTGCTTCTATGTTGTTGTTACTGTATATAAAAGAGTGCCTTCCCCCTCGGGCACGACATTTCTTTGCTGCATATTCGGCGCCCCCTTATTGCTCTCTTTCCTTTGCCTTCTGCTAGCGGTCACTTTCTTGGTATTTGCTCCTTCCAGACAATCTGTGTTTTTGGATATCGCCCATCACTACACAGCAGATAGAAAGTTCTTCTTTTCGTTACCTTTATTGGTATACAGCATATTATACTTGTGCAATCGTTTTCGCTTTCCATTCCAAACGTGCGTGCTTGTCAGTTGTGAAACCATTGAGGTTTTGATCACGAATCGTAGAGTTGAAGCCTCCTTGTGGTGACTTTTGACCGGTATGGCATCGGAGGTTTCAACCACGGCTTTGTGCACGACCTTTGGGTTTCTTGACTGTTGGTTTTTCTTTACCGAGAGGATGCGAAGTTTGATCTTCCTTTTCTGAGAAGCAAGAGGTTGTAGATTTTTTCTCCTTCTTATCCTGGTGTGAGTGGGAAACCTTTTTGTGTATCAAGACTGGGATTTTTCTTATGTGTGATGACTGCAGTGTTTGGACGTGCGTTTGAATGGTAAGAAATCTTGTTACTGTGCTTTGCTTTGTTTCTTTTTTGTATTGATGAGGATTTCTGGACTATATGTTAGGCAGGATATTTGTGGGTTCAATTGTGTTGGTGAGTAAGATTGATGTGAATTGTTGAAGCCAGGGTTGCTCTGACAGCAAGGGGACTTGGTCAATCCTACATATGTTCTGAACAATGGAGATACAGAGTATAGAATATATCTCCGGTCATTCAGAATCGCAAGAGTATCAGGGGTTTGTAGCCATCAGGGTAAATGTAAGGCTTGGAAGTTGCTAACGACTCTGCGTGTCTCTCTTGTTTCTAAATTTGGTCGTCATTCTAATCTTTTGCATCCACAAGTATCAGTCTCTTAAACACCAACCACCTTCGGCACAGCCCAGAACCCAGAAAACCTCTTCTCGGCCACCACCTCGATTTTGACCTTTTTCTTCAGCAACTCCTGTTTTGTCTCTACATCTTGCACACTCTTGATCCCACACTCCTCGACCACCTTTTTCAGCAACGCCACTGCGATACCTGTAGCAACGATACTGCCGAGAAGGCCTTGGATTTCCCTTTTAAAGGCGCTTTCGCAACCTTTGTAGCCGCCTGTTTCCGCATCCCCGGATTTTAGAGCTGATAATGCGGTTTTGGCGGCTGTGAGACGGGAAGATATGGTGGTGAAGACGGCGGTGAAGGAGGATGTGGGNGAAAGGTTTGTTGCAGTGGATAGCTCGTCTGCAGATGGGAGGGTTGGTGTGCCGATGGGGAGGTAGGGTTTCATGCGTAACTCGTGTCTGCGTGCATCTGTCGAGTATACCTCTGTTTCCTTCAGTGATTCAAGAAGCTTCAGAGAAGAAAGCACGGCATACACCGACGACAACGCAGACGCAAATTCTGCAATAGTGGTCGCTTTTGCGGTGTGGAAAGCGATAGAAGCTTGAGAGGTAGCAACTTGCTCTGCCATAAAATGATCCCCTTGCTTTTTGTATTTCCTGGCTCGCAAGTGGAGAAACAAGTCAATGTGTTGAAGATGCTCTGCGCGTGTTGCAGCCACAAAAGACAAAAAGCGATACATGTACCCAAACTCGGCGGCTTGGTATACATCAAGCTCGAACCCTAGCTGCAGACTCCACTCCATGACCCTGAGCTTGTGGAAGTACGCCCAGGCGGCCAGAGGATAGAACCTTTCCAGTGAAGATGCTGGGGTAGGGAATAGGGAGTGTAGTTCTGCATCTGCATTCTCGGCTTCTGCTTGCAGGCCATCGAGTACACCTACGCTTTGGCAAAAGGTTCTTCGCATGCGGCACCGGTTCTGGAGTATCATGCGGGGGATGTTGATGTACTCGTCCATTGCTTTTGCCATGAATTCGTCAATGATGCGGGAGGATAGGTATCGCGCATCTGTGGGCAACTCGACTTCCCAATTTGCGGGCGATAAAAGGGGGTCGCCTGCCATGGAGAGACTGCGAATGTCTTCGAGCAGCAAAGAGAGGTGAGGTGTATTATGAGAAAGCAGTTTCTGCCCTTTGAAGAGCAAGCCTTGCATTATGGCTCGCGAGTAGGTAGACGGCTGAGGAGTGCGGTTGGAAAAGTCCCATGCGAAGCGNCTGCGGTTTAGAAGATTCTTGTCAGTCTCGAAAAATGCAGAGAGCCATGCAGTAAAGAGAAGCAAAACACTTACAGTTACATTCAAGGGACTTGGGGTTTCGATGCTTGCGAATCGATGAGCTTCAATGTTGTCTTCGGCCAGTCTTTTGAAGCGAGGACATGCCTCTTCCCAACTCGTCTTGATCATGGGTGTCGGAGGTGTGTTGCTAGCCAGATGCCTTTGCACTCTCTCTGAGAAGAATTCAGGTCTTGCTTTACCCAACTTTGCCGTCTCGTTGACTGAATCGACAGAGTCGAGAACTGCTTTCCACACCTCAGTCTTGTCAACTACCTCAACAAGACTCAATGGCTCCAGAGCTTCGAGCAAGTGAATCCGCAACTGCAGACGCTGCTGAACTGCCTCGTTGACATCTGCAGACAAGCCCTGTGCGCTGAGAATGTCCAAAGCGCCGCGTAATTCTGCAACGACATCTTCATGGTTGACATCATTCAACATGTATTGCGTGAACGTCTGAGTGACAAAGTCTTCTTCTTCGTAATAGTGCTCGGAAGTGATCTCCTGTATTACTGCATCGCAAGATTTGATGATGCCGAGGCAGAATGCTCGAAGCACATTGCTGATTAGCAGGTCCGGGTTCTCAGGACTTGATCTCTTTGTGTTAAAGACAACAGCGTTGAGAGGTCGGTAGTAAGGTGTCAGCAGAGAGTACATGTGCAAAGAAGTAAACAGTGTCTGCGAAAGTGCGTATCCTTGGTGCCAGGCCATCNNTGCATCTCATGTCAGAACATCCACGCAGTCCGCAGAACACCGAGCCAAACATACTTCGAAGGAGAGCAATTGATCCATTACACCAATGATTTCCTCGGGCAGCATGTCTTGCAGAGGGTCGAAATTGTCCACTGCAGCATCCTTGTCGGGAATTAACAAACCACTATCCATCTTAGGATCCATGATCNNTGAGATGTATGTCAGCAACAACTATGATATCGACAACAGTCAACTTACCTCTAGTGCTCCAACAGCCTCGAAAAGCGTAAAGAAGTCATCCTTGACCAATTGTCCCTGCCGCAGTTCNTAGCACTCAAAGAATCAGCAAAACCTATACGACAATCTTACCACACGTCCTAACAAGATAATCTGCTTTCCATAGAACACAAAGACGACAATGGCAGGACTTCATAACTTGTAGGTTCACCATCACATACCTGCAGAAGCATCCGAAAACTCTCGTGTGATGTCCGTGACTCTCATCTGTCGCGGCGTATATTGCGATGACCGTGACGCACCATCGCCGTACGCAGACATGGCAGCAGACTGAGCACCGCCAGTTCCCAGAGTCAGGCGCGTCAAATCTGGTTGCATGATGTATATTCAGAGGGCATAAATTGAGAATTGCTAGGTAGATTTCACCAATCGGAGGTCTTATTGGGCGGCTTTCTTGGTGTCGGCTTCGCAGTCGCAGTATGAATGGAATTTGAAAAACAATGATTGTTTGACGAGTTTACGGTTGTGAATACATGGACATGTTGTCAAAGGATTACTCTATGGGATAGATTCAAAATAGTCACGACGATAGAAAGATAGATTGTTGCGACAACGTCACATTCAACACGGCAGGTAGAAAACATTCAAGTGACCGTAGCTCTGCAGGAATACTAGAAGTGGTGCCGACTGATGATTGCATTTTTATTGCATTTCGAGCGGTTTGGACTTTCGCAAATCGACAATTGTTGGTACAATCACCCCTCCTTGGGTCTTTCCCTGCTCTCCTTGTGTCTCTCCTAGCGCATGGTATCTGATTGGCTTTACGAGGACTAGGCGGCCGGGGTGGACTCTGCGAGAGCTTGGGCGAGGTTCTTGCTCTCACCCTGCTTGCCGTTCTGTTTGTGGGAACGAGTCTGTCAGCGATACTGTTGGAGTGTAGCGTCCGTGGCGTGGTGTATGTGTGTTGTAGAGGGACGGGTCTAACGCACCTCCCACTTGGCAAATCTCAAGTCCATCTCTCCTCTGCGCTCGGCAGCCAATCTCTTGTCCTCCTTGAGCGAGCGGCGGACAACACGGGCGGCGACGGCCAGGTAACGGTTGTAGCTGTGAATCAAATCCAAGAATCAGTCTTGCGGTCCTCCATCTTCTCCAGGCTCGGGCCGTCGCGGGTTGGTGGAGGTGCTCACCTGAGACCAGCGGCTTTCCAGGCGGCGACCATTGTGACGGTATTGGAGAGGTGTGGGTGGTTGATACAAAGGGTGGATAGAGAGCTTCCAATTCAACTGAATGCGCTTGCCTCGACTTCCAACCCTCCGTCTCCGCGCCGCTTGGCGTCCATCTCCGCCGACACGTCACGTGCGTTGAACAACCACTAATTCCACATTTTCTCCTTGGCTTACTCACATAGTCACAAATGCTAAGTGAATACCTGGTGACTTGCAATCCTGCATCATCATGGTGAAGGAAGGGTCATGTCCTACAAGACTGTTTGGGGACTTTGGGCCGGCTGGGTGCCAACCTATTCCTCTTCAGCTTGTTCGATCTTCGTTATCAAACTTCAATTGCCAACACTTTGGGTATCCACACTCGTAGCATTAAAAGAAGAAAATGCTGATTTATTAACAAACGAAAAATTGCATCAAGTCTACGCGTGAATCGCGAGTACATTTTTAATGGTACATTTTTTCTGCCCTCAATTCCCGAATCGTATTTACATCCTTTACACCTTGAGGCCGAGCTCCTCAGCGTAAGGGNNGAGAACGTAAAGGTCACCGACCGATGACACTGAGGCCTTGTTCTCGAAGATGGCCTTGGCAGCNCTGCAAGAACAGTTAGCACTTGTTACGACCGCGAGATAATCCATCAAACTCACCTCCTTAAGCTGCTCCTCAGTGACAGAGTCAATGCCCTTGGCGACCTCATCTATTTGGTAGGCCTTGTTACCCTGGACGAGACCGGCACCGGTAAGCTCAATACCGGCATCAATGTTCTGGCCGAACTCGAGCTCCTTGAACTTGGCGGCAGCCTTGGCCTTGGTGAAGTCCTCCTTGGAAACACCCTCGGCGACCTGCTTGAGGGCGTTGACGACCTCTTGAGCGGCGCCTCTGACGTCCTTGGCAGATCCCTTGATGGAAACGGAAAGGAGACCAGCGTCCGAGTAGATGGCGCTCTTGGTGGCGATGGTTGCACCGTGGAACTTGGAAGAGGCCTTGGAAAGAAGAGAGAAACCGGAAGACCACTTGATGGCGGACTGGCCACCGAGGAGAGCGGCAAGGACGGCAATCTCGGGCTTGTATGAAGCACCGGTAGGGGTGCTTGAGCCGGGGAAAGCGAGGACCATGGCGTTGCCGGAAGCGTGAGCGATACGCTCCTCACCACCGTAGTACTGAGACTTGGGGGTGGTGATCTCGGCCCTGGCGGATTGAGGAATGTTGTTGAAGAACTGACCAACCCACTTGGAAAGCTCACCAGACTCGATGCCGTTGGCGACAATGGCAAAGTTGGGGGCGGCGTAGGCGGAGTCGGCAAAGTCGGCAATAGCGTCGGCGTCGAGGTACTTGGTCATGGGGGTCGAGGAAGAAGGCGAGGTAGGGACACCGAGACCGCGGTGGAAGGCAAGACCGTGGGCCGAGTTGACGGCCATCTCGGTAACGTCACCAAGCAATTGCTTCTGGGCGAGCTGGATGTGGGGGTAGATCTCCTCGTGGTAGATGTGAGGGGCGTACTTGGTCTGGGTAGCGACCTCGGCGAGGAGCTCGACAAAGTAAGGCAGGTCGTCTCTGAGGAACTTTGCGCCGACGACGAGGTTCTCGCGGGAGCGCGAGGAGTAGGTCTGAGAGCCCATCAGCTCGGCCTCACGCTGGATGCGGAGGGTGGAGCGCTGGTGGGTGCCCNNTGTATGTACGGATGAGTTTCATGTGTGACAATCGGGTCGTTGGTGGCTGGCGCAGACCTTGAAGGCGAAGCTCTGCAGACCGAGGGAAAGGCCGGGCAGGGGCTCGTAGCGGGTACCGGCCTTGGAGACAATGGCGAGCTTGGTCATAGGACCGGCCATGTCTCTGCTGGCGAACTTGATGCCATTGGCGGAACCGGTCTCAAAGGCGAAGGAACCCGAGGCGGGAGCAGCGAGGCCGCGAGTCGAAGGGGCCGAGAGGTTGCGGGCGGCGCGCTGGGCTGGCCGTCTGAAAGCCGAACAGGACAGCATTGTGAGTGTGCCGGCGGGGAGCAATTGGCGGAGGCGAGGGGAGCTGGGAGATACGGCGATGTCTTTGAGCCAACGCTGTCGACGCTCGAGGTTCCTTCCTGGCCCTGCTGTTCGGAATAAGCCGCCTCTGATTCGTCGGGCAGGGGACCTTCCTCGAAAAGTCCAAAGCACAGACCCGGTCGCGCTTTCCGCAAGCCGGCCATGTTCAAAATGATTTGAGCTTTCTGTTCCTGCCTCATTCTGCGCCCACTCATGTCGCGGTAGCATAGGACACACCGTATAACCTGACCGAGGAAGACGTCGCTGCTGCGCCCCACCATGGCCGAGGTAATGACTTAGTTCTTGCTCTACATCCAGAATCCCCCATTCTGAGTCTTCTTTACAGCACTATTCGCAGCTTTGCGCTCTCCTGGTCGACGAGTCGTATGGTCAACTCTCGGCCCACGTCTTTCGTACCCTTGCTCTCTGGGGTCGTGTCAATCTGCAGACCCTCATCTCCAACGCTCAGCTCTCTCCTCGTCATGTCAAATACGCTCTGAGTGTGCTCATCCAGCAGCATCTGGTCCTCCACTCCTCGGCCGCCGGTAGCGATCCACAGACCTTCTACGAGGTCGACTGGAATGGCGCGTACAACTTGATGCGCTCTGGAAAGATCATCAATATCGTCCAGTTACGCTTTGGAGAAGCTGCCGCTCAGCTCGTCTCCAACTTGTTGCAATTGGGCCACGCACGTGTCGGAGATCTGGAGGATGCCTACAAGTTCACGAAAACCCCAGGACATGCAATCGACACCGAAGCCGAGCACATCAACGGAGAGGGCATGCCTGCGCACAGAGGTCTCAGGAAGATCACTAGCCCCGAACAACTTCACTCGATGCTGTGCAAGCTTCTAGAATCTGGCTTCCTCACAAGGGTTCGCCCGACCACCTTTCTCTCTCCCGCTGATGCCCACAACGAAGCCGACCTTGTCGTCAAACGCGAGCAATTTCCCGATGGAAAGGTCACCGGTCCCAAGGCAAAGGTCGTGTACGAGCAGGCTCTAAGAGATTTGAAAAGGAAATGGAGGGATGCCGCAGAGGATGCTGTCACTGGTGTGAAGAAGGTCCCCAAAAGATCCAACGGATATGGCCCCTCCGCTAAGAGAATGAAGACCAACGGAGGTGCGGCAAATGGGGTAGGCACATACGGCGCTGAAGACGAGGACGATGTCATCATGGACAAGGATATGGTGCTGAAGGTCAGCTGGGATAAATGCAACGTCGCCCTGCGTAGTCAGGCTCTACAGAATCTGGCTGCAAAATCTATCGGAGACGTCACAGCGACCGTGTACGGCGCATTACTGGAACTGCTGGAAAAGAAATGTCCGAGATGTTACGATGAGCTCGCCATCTATACAGACGAGGCAGATGAAGAGGCCGCTCAGCCTACTTCTACTACTCTCGAAATCACAGACATTCTCGACCCCACCATCGATCTAGCCTCTACCCTTTCTAGTGGCGACGATGACGATTATGACCTGGAAGACGGCGATGTTCCGAAACGAGAGAATGGCGACGAGAAATTCAAGGGCGGTGCCTCTGCTTTTGCAGACCGCAATCAGCGTCTCACACTGGTCGAGCAACACATGGCCCTCCTGGCCGAGCATCCACGCGGCTTTGCTCAAAAGGTCAGCACTCGCGGTAAAGGAGAGTGGAGGGTTAATTTCCCAGCACTCATCCGATGGATGCAGCGCAACGAAGTGGAGCAGGTTATCAATGCAGGCCATGGCAGTATTGCCACACGCATTGTGCGCATGCTTCACTCCAAAGGAAAACTCGACGAAAAGCAAGTCGCCAACTTCTCCCTCATGCGCCAAAAGGATATCCGCAGCATCTTGACCGCAATGCACGAGCATGGTTTCGTAGAAGCACAGGAAGTACCCAAAGACAACACACGCCAACCCAGCAGAACTTTGTTCTTGTGGTACTTTGACCCTGATCGATGCCGCCAATTACTTCTGCAACACACCTACAAAGCTCAAGCCCGCTTGATTCAACGCATGCAACATGAGAAGGACGTCGTCAGCGAGGTCATCCAGAAAGCCGAACGTCTCGACGTCGTTGGCCACGAGGACGAATATTTGACTGCCGGTGACAAGCAAGTCCTCCGTACTTGGCGCGAATTCGAGGAGAAGCTCTTGACCCAACTCGCCCGCCAGGATGATCTCGTTGCTCTGCTACGCGATTTCTTGCCTGACGTACGCGATGCTGCTTCTGCTTGATTAACCTCTCCCTTGCTCGACTCTCTGATGATTGTGTTTATTTCTTTTTGACGATCAAAAATACCATTTACTCTTTTTCTTGCATAGCGGCTGGCGTTAATCAATGGGTCAAAAGGACTGAGATGGGTTAGCTCTCTTGCTATAAGATGACAGTCTGACAGAAGCAGAAAAGGTGTGTACAGAAGATTTATATCATTATTCAACAGTCACTCGCAGAGCAACATTTGCTACTCTCTCACTCCTAGTCGATGCTTCGTGCTTATGCCGTTCTATGCCAAAGTCTCTAGTGTCACTAGCTAGATCGACCACTTTTTACGGTGACCCCGACTCGAAACGAAGCACAAACCCCGTTCCCCAAGAATTGGGGTAGATACATCACAACCCCAGATCCTGGAGGGATTGCTGCTCAAACACAAATGACGAGGAGGATATGAGGCCTCAGTCTTCAACTATTGGGGAGCAAGCAAAGATGATGAGCAGAGAATGCAGTTCTCTTGGAACAGTCGAGAGGTCTATAGATGAGAGAAACCCCATCAACCTTCATTGACGATATTATTCAGCAGTGACCCATCCTTGGCATCACTATGGCATCCACTCAACTCACCATCGAATCCTACGATATCTACCATGGCCTTCCAACCTTCAAAGACGAAGGTCTGACCGCCATCGTCACAGGAGCAAACGGTCTCTCCGGCCTCCACATGCTCAAAATCCTCGCTCGACACCCTCAGCGCTGGAAAAAGGTCTACGCACTATCAAGACGACCTCCTCCTGACGACGATCTACCGGAAAATGTCCAACATATCCCCTGCGATTTTCTGAGCTCTCCTGAAGCCATTGCGTCTGTCCTCAAAGACAACAACGTCAAAGCTGACTATGCGTTTTTCTTCGCATACATCCAGCCAGCGCCAAAGCAAGGCCAGAGCATCTGGGCAAACGTGCAAGACCTGGTGTCTGTCAACAAAGCCCTACTCTCCAACTTCATGGACGCCTTGACAATCTCCAAAAACATACCCAAGACCGTATTGCTGCAATTGGGGGCCAAATACTATGGCTTGCATCTTGGACCTGGCTCTCCTCCCTACGAAGAAACACACGAACGAGTAATGCTGGAACCAAATTTTTACTATGCGCAAGAGGATGTGCTCAAAGCATGGGCAGAGCAAAACAACACTCACTGGATAACCACACGACCATCGCATATCCCTGGTGCTGTTACCGATAATGCGATGAACTTGGTGTTACCTCTAGCCATGTACGCAACTGTGCAGAAACACTTGAACCAGCCACTGGAATTCCCGTCCGATCTCAAGGCATGGGAAACCACCGTCTCTATTTCGTCGGCGAGGATGAATGCACATTTGGCCGAATGGGCCGTGTTGACACCCATAGCGAGAAATGAATCGTTTAATGCTTGTGACGATAGCGCGTTTACTTGGGGTCAATTGTGGCCGCGTTTGGCTGCTCGATTTGGCATGGACTGGAAAGGACCAGATCTGGATGCCGAGTACAAAGAAATCAGAATGCCATATGAGCCGCCGCCGCGTGGATGGGGTCCTACTGCATCCATGAGATATAAGTTTACGCTCATGGAGTGGGCAAAGAAGTCAGAGGTGACCGAGGCGTGGAAACAGATTACTGCAACCCATGGACTGAGAATGAAAGAGTTTGTGGACATTGATCGTGTATTTGGGTTCACAGATGCGACGTTGGGGTTTTCGTATCCCATTCATTTCAGGCATGTGTTTTGTTGCTTTGTCGTTTCTTGAGATGAAGTCGATTGCTGACTTTTTTCCGTGCNNAGTATGACCAAAGCCAAGGAGATGGGATATTTTGGCTATGTGGACTCGACCAAGTCGATCATCAGGACGGTCGAGGAGTTTGCGGATCTGAGAATGATTCCTAGTTTGCCTCCGATGTGATTTGGCGGATCACATGCAGAAGTATTAGTTATGCGCCGGTTGTCAAAAGTTCGCGGGTGTCGTTGGTCTTATTCTATCACCTCAGCTCGTTGAATATCATCACTATGATCTGTACCTTTATTGTGGTGTTTCTACGCTCCTTGAACGAAGCATCGTGTTTTTGTGTGGCTGTAAGGCCGCAGATGCGAAGTAGAAAGTCGTACGTGATGAATTATGGGTAAGGTAAGTGGCTGGAAGGCGCGAAGGTGAGCAAGTATCCATGGGTAGCAGAGTCACGAAGATGCGCACCCAAACAATTGGTCTTGAGTATTTCGTTCAGTGACTGAAAACGGGCATGTCGGGGATGTAGGCAAGATCATAGAGTCCTTGTAGAGTAGTGGACAGTAATTGGATTGTACGTGAGTTGCGCACTGGGACCATAGTGTGTTTGCGTACAAGAGAGCTACCGTCAGAGTCTGTGTCGGACAAACGGCGGATTGGTGCTCGATATTGATGTGTTTCTCCGAAGTATTTGGTCCGATAGCGACGAAGAATCTGAGCCAGAAGCCGATGGCCTGACCGGACTAGCTGACCATACCGTAGTAGGAGAAGTTGAGTCGAATAGGGGATGCCTCTGATATGTCAGGGGCTGGTGTTTGTGGAGGTCACCTGGCAACCAAATCAACTCTCAAGTCGAAAAGTAAAACGCCAGGGTGTTATGAGTGCCAGAAAGGATCGTGAGCGCAAATTACGCGTGTTGAGACACAAAGAGTGAAGAAAAAGAAGCGCGCGAGCACGATTGCACGGGGTTTGGCATTGTGTTGCGAGCTGGCTGGTATAACTCACATCTCCAGCGTCAACCACTTCTTCTCTTCTTCACTTCTTTCATCTTTCTTCTCCATCAACCACACTGCCGCCAACCTGGGCCGTCTGATTTTTGTCGCTTCTAGAGCTGTTGTCCCAGCTCGCCCCCAAACTCGTTTGGTGTTGCCCGATCTTCTTTCTCGTTGCTTCCCTTGTGTCGGCGTGCTTCTTTCTTCGTTTCGCATCCTCCGCGCGCCTTGCCCAGGTCACGTCTGCCATTTTTCATCTTCTTCATCGTTTGCATATCGCGCATTGCCCCATCTTTCTTCTCTCATTCGCCCCATGGCTTGCCGCTTCGCCCCCGTGGTGTACAGGTGGGCCATGGCGCCGCGCACCCATCATACGTTCGTTACCCTCACTCTCAGGAGTGTTGTATACTCGGAAGGCGGCATTACCTCTTTAGGTGTGCTGACCTGGGTCGTTGTCGCTAACTCGCCCTCGTGCGTATGAAAACTTGGACAATCAGACCAGTCGCGGCCTGGATCCGATGCCCTTTGCCGATAAGGCCTGGGGATGTTTAGATCCAGGTCGTGGCAACTAGACTGTCGCGACTGTGTTCCAGAGCCGGAGGGTATACTCTGTCCTAGCCGGGTGTCCGATCACGCATAAGACATCCAATGGTGGTCCTTTGAATATGGAAGCGGCAGCACAGTGGGGAGACATAACAGAACGCAACGCGAACTTCCCAAGAATTGCTGTAATGGCCCGTTTCTGGGGAGGGAGCACCCTCTTGGTAGTTTTGTCAAAAACAGTCCTTCCCGCCAGTCGAGCGTACGTGGCTTATCTGCAGGTGGAAAGTCGGCATAATCTTTGGAAATACGGTCAATCTTGACCCAACATCTTTTCCATCGTCGTACTGGCTTCTCAGCCAGGCGTCGGAGAAGCTGTTTAATGAAATCAGTACGCGCTAGCTCGTCATCTTCCTCTCTCGCTGTGCTTTCTCGGGATGGCAGTGGTGTTTCCGTCCAACATGATGTCGCAGCTTCATTTCTTCAGAGCACCTTCATCTGTGTCCTATCATCAGAAACGCTGACTTCGTTGCCTCACAGACAGCGTGCTCGATGTATCACATCTCTATCGCCGCTTCGCATGAATTTCGCCACGTTGTCATCAATTAGAGAAAGGTTCGCGGGCTGTCGTTGAGAGGGCTGCCGTTGGTGCGGAGAAGAGATGACTGCGAACACATGCTCCCATGTGCAAAAATCATGAGATATAACAACGACCTCGGTCGAACTACACTGCTTGACCACCTTCTCACATCCTTGTGTAGTTTCAGCCCCAAAGACCAAGTAGTATCAGCGGAAACATGCCTCCATCAGTCCCTGTCCACGTTTTTAACGCCCTCAAACGCTTCACCTCCTGTGATGTACGCCAACACATTCCCTCCTCCCAACCATTCCACTCGAGCTAAACCACAAAACCTCCTTAGGTCGGCGACGCCCTCGTTAAACTAAACGTCAGATACGGCGGCTACCTCCACAGTCTCAAGATGTTTTCCNCCCACCAACAAGCCGGCACCACAAAACTCTTTGGCCCAGCCTATACCGTGCAAATGGTTGATGCCGCCGACACTTCCTCTCCCAAACCTTCTGGCCATTTCGTCGATGGAGTGACAGAAGGAAGTGTGGTGTTTATCTCTCAGCCAAAGGGGTTTTACTCTGCTTGTTGGGGTGGCTTGATGTCCACGCGAGCAAAGTATCTAGGTGCCCAGGGTGTGGTTGTGGATGGCAATTTTAGGGATTTGAATGAGCATAGAGAGATGCAATTTCCTGTTCGTGTGCCTTCTTCTTCCTTTCTAGTCACCAATGCATTGCGTGAAAACAATCTTTACACTGCTGACTCTTCTGGGTGGGAAACAGNNGTATTCGCAAAGGCCACTTCGGCTTTGGGTTCCAATACTTTTACTAGAGCGAGCGGGCTCAATGTACCCGTGCAGTTTACAAGTGACGAGCAACAAAGGCCACTAACCATCAATCCTGGGGACTTGATCATGGCTGATCTGGACGGCGTGGTTGTTGTTCCGGTCGAGCATGCCGAGCAGTGTTTGCAGATCTGCGAAGAACGATTTGAAATTGATGAGAAAACGATGGCCGCACTGCAAGCTGGAGAGCCAATGGGTGCGACTCTTGCTCGTCTGAGAAAATAGAAGTGTGTTTTTGAGAGATGGAGAAAGTCTAATGTATATTGAATAGCTGACATGAGTGAAACCTTCACACCATCAGGACCTGTTTTCTCTCATGGCCAGCTCTTTCCGAACTAGCGATCGCCGTACTCTGATGTTGATATACCGATGGTCTCATTACAGAACATTGTCAACCTCAAATCTCAAACCTCAGAGCGAGCGGGAACAGGCTTCTGCTTAGGAGGAGCATCAATCCTTGCCGATAGACCAGTAAGCTTGACGTCCGCCGCAGTGTTGTTCGTGACATCAAACTTGTCAGCGAAAATGAAGGTGTTAGGGAACCCTGGATCGAATGGAGCCGCAGACTCGATCTCGTTCAAGTCTTCCTGCGTGAGTGTGATACTCAATGCCTCAACATTGGCTTTGAGATGCTCGACCTTGCGCTGACCGATAATGGGGAAGACGTTAGGGGTCTTGTGCATGACATAGGCCAGTGCCACTCCATGCATGGTAGCCTTGTGCTTCTCAGCGACCTTCTCGAGAGCATCTGAGATGGCGTTTTCGTGCTCGCTGGACTGAGATGCTCGTGCAGAACCTTCGTGTTCTTTGCTGCGAGCTTCCTTGGTCTTGAACTTGCCCTGTCCTAGAGGACCCCAAGGTGCAAGTGCCATGCCCTGGTCATAACANCCTTTGGAGTATCAGCATGGGTCTGTATTAAAGTGTCCTAAAGCCAGAACTTACATGGGGATGATCTCTCTTTCCATGTCTCTGTAAGAGGCATTCCACTTTCCTTGGTAGACCGAGAAAGGACGCAGACCGTGAGCACGGGCGTAGTCGTTGGCTTTGACCACAACCCAGGCAGGTGTGTCCGAAACACCAAGATAGAGGACCTTTCCAGCTGTAATCAAGGCGTTGAGCCCGTGCATGACCTCCTCAACGCTGGTGCTGAAGTCCCACCAATGCACATAAAGCAGATCGATGTAGTCGGTACGCAACTTCTTCAACGAACGGTTGACAGAAATGTGCATGGACTTGAACGAGTTGCCAACAAAGTTGGACTGCAGAGGCTCGGCATCGCGAGCATGGTAACGGTATCCAGTGGTGTATTTGGTTGCGATCNNCTGTAAAGTTGTAAGCTGTCTGACCGGCGTTGTGAAGCGAGAACCGAGGGCTGCAACATACACCATCTGATCACGGTTTCTCTTCTTCTCCATCCATTCACCAATCCACTCCTCAGACTCTTCGCACTGATACGCGTTTGCGGTATCGACAAAGTTACCGCCGAGGTCGAAGAAAGCGTCGAGGACAGCAAAACTGGTGTCCTTGTCACATTCTCCCATAAATTCTTTCCTGCAAATGTCATCAGCCAATTGATTCTGAACAATTCGAGCTTGTGTTCGTTGATAGGCCTACCATCCAGTGCCGAAGTTCATGGCTCCCAAGCATAGTGGTGAACATTTGATGCCTGCAGTAGGTGCCAATACTCTGTGGTAACCGAGCAGGCTCTTGGGCTTGGGTGCGGGATCGAAGAAAGCCATTATGAATGATCAATATATTCTGCTTTTTCTATGTGATAACGTTGAACTTGAGATACTCTACAATGTCGGTGTTGGAAGACATCTAGCTCTACTTGTAGTTTCCCTCATCGTTCGGAGGCCCGCAATGACGTTGATCATAGCGCGGGGTTAGGAGGTAACACTCCAACCAACGGAGTTACGAGAACTCAATCTTCGAACCTCTGAGCACTTCGGCCGAAGCTTTGACTGTGGGAGCCAAAGTCTGCGATATATGGTTCGTGGAAGGCGTTATTTCGAGACTGCATCTATCAACACCGGACTTAGAAAGAACGTTAACTCCAATGATAGTATGTAGACTGTTGATTGCACGAGTATAGTCAGGTCGCAATTTTTCTTCTGCTCACCCGTAGATTGGAAGCCATTGAGTACAAGAAAATATATACGAGGAAGTCCTCAGAATATCCATCTGAGCTGATTCAGTATAAGAATCATCGCGCTTCCTCTGATAATCTTCCGAGATCCTTTAACGGAACCTGCGATTCATACGAATTTTCCCTGCTCCCGCTTTGCTCTTTGCCGTTCTCAATACTCTCAGTATGGAAATCGCTATCCGCGTCTCCAACATAGACCTGCACCTCTCTCTGTCGAGATATGCCTTTGATGTCTTCTCGTTGTGCGTGGTCGAGTTGGGAATGACCGATCACTGCGGTGTTCTGAGGTCCGATATTGATATCGTCGTCACCGCGAAGGGTCCGGGTGTGGTTTCGTCTTGACTGTTCTGGAAAAGGTCCATGTGAAGACGATTTTGGCTTGACGTCGTTTTCGGATGTTCGAGCGACCTTGACTATCATGTCTGCCATNCTGCGCCAGTTATGATTAGCAGGAATTCTTGGAAAGGCAGTGAAATCAGTTGATATACTCACAGACATTTCGATGTTTAGCTTTGCCATGTCTTCGATAAACGTTAGTGGTCGGCTACAGTAATGTTGCGAGGCAAATTGGACTCACATNGCAACAGGGTGAAATTGCACAAATAGGGTATGGTTTCTCAAGGACATAAGCCCGATGAGCATGATCNNTAAGAAGAAATTAGCAAAATTGACGTCGCATGTGCGACGTATCTAGAAAAGACATACATCCATGGCGACCGATACCAGACCCAAACGAGTGTAATACCCGATCAAGGGCTTGTATTTTCTGAGGCCATGGTACTTGACAAGGCGTGCCCTCACGACAAAGACAAAGTACCAATTCAAGAAAGCACTAGAACCTTATCAGCATATGACACATATACTGCAGAATGTGTTCAGAAAAACATACTCCACAAGCATAATCAAGACTTTCGAAAGACGATCCCAATATTTGTTGATATTGACAAAGGTTTGATTTGCCGGTGGCATCATGTGTGATGGAATGAAGATGCAAAAGACGGCGATATTGATGCATGAAATTATGACCGCAGTTGCGATCTTGAGCTTTGTCGCAGTAGGTCTTCGTTCCGCAATGACAGCGATTCGGTTAATGATGATTTGCATTAGGAGTTGCACTTCGAGCGCGTAGAAGATGAGGATGAAGAAGAGTAAGACTGGACTGTGACTGTGGTCAGTCGATGTTGCAAGATTCGATATGACAGTCCACGAGAGCTCGCGACGACTGGTCCAGGCGCTGAACTATAGGCTATCAGAGGAGATGCATCGAGGCACAAAGATCCGGACGAGTGTGTGGCGTAAGCTCTCCCTAGCCTTGTCCAGAGTGATGGATTGTATCTCGATGGATTATGCTGTATGCAAAGTACATTTCATGTTTGATCGTATGTCCAGCCAGATGTGTCCGAAGATGAACCCCAACCTTCGCGTCCGGCTTTTGTATGTGAAGCAGTACTTACGTAGTTTTCACGACGTCTTTGAGATAGAGCCATGTGAGGATTCCAAGGACAAGATTTGCAAAATCTCCCCCCAAAGCATGTAGATATACATGCTTCGGGCGGGAGCCCTGTTCGCTCTCGTCTGCTTGCATGCGCGGACTACAGTCAAGAATCCAAAGCCGAGTGAAAAGCCAGCAGCAGCTGCTGCGAGCTGAAGGTCTTCGGACGTCGTTTCGCTCGCCATGGCGGAGGGGTGTAAAGAGAAGGGCCAAACAAGAAGGGCTGATTCGAGAAAAAGCTGTCCTTGAAACTCGGCAGAGCAATAATGTACAGGGTCATCATATCAAGAGCCTAGGGAAGAACGTGCACTGTGCGCAGAGGCAAGTTTGCGAATGTCGTTCCGCATCATCGCCGCTTGTGTGGCCCAAGCACTGCAAGCTGAGAGCCTCGATCTCAGATGCTGATGAAGAGTAAGGAAGATAGTGGTTGTTTAGTGCACCCGCAAGTGGGATCTTGGATGTAGGGATGTGTCGTATGCAAGCTTCTTATATGCCAATTCTTGGGTACGAGAACCCAGTCGTGAGCGCGCCACCTACCTGGTCGAAAGCTCTGCAGACTGCAATGCAAAGAAGATCCTCTACCGGGGCACACGCCCTACAAGATCTAGAGGTTTGTCCTCTGCTGCGGACCTCATATATCAGACGCGGTTATGACCAAACATCATCGCTTCGGGCTTCGTTTCGGACATTTGCAAAGGTATCACTGCGGTGTCAAGTGGTCGACGCGACGCACCTATTCTGAAACCTTCATCCAGCCCTATGGCGCTAGAATCGGTCTTAGCTAAAAGTCATCTATAATGGCTTGGCAGATATAGGGATGCCGGCTGTAACACTACAGTGGGAAAGTTGAGTAGACATAGGCGGTCCCCTCGGTCTGTGGTGCTATGGTCGGTCGACATGTGAAGATGTTGAGTCAACATCGATGCTCAGGTGCGGGCTTTGGAGAGAAAGCGCGACACCCCGCGTTGCATCATGCCTCGGTCCCGTGAGCTGGCAACAACAACACCAGATATAACATCTACCTTAGGCTCCGATGAAACAATCCTTGTACTCTGAGCAGAGCATCAACAGACACCTATTGAACATGACCAGCACAAAACCTGTAGCATTGGTGATTGGGGCATCTCGAGGTATGGGCCGGCAGATAGCAATTGGTTTGGCTGAACAAGGATATACAGGTAAGTGAACTACAGAGACGTTGTATGATCGGAGCGAAGTCACTGAAGTTGATCAAATCANNGTCGTCGTTGCAGCAAAAACAACTTCAGATCCCGAAGAGTTGGCTTCCTTCCCACCAGACCCAAATTCGCCTCAAAGCACCATCAACACCGTCGCGAAAGAGATACACTCACGGGGTGGAATTGCAATTGCCATGGAAGTGAACACACGTTCCACAGAATCAGTAAACACACTATTTGCCAGGGTCTCGACCGAGCTCGGTCGGCTTGATGTTCTTGTCTACAATTCTGGAGCCATCTGGTGGTCATCAGTGGCCAAGACACCGGTCAAGCGGTTCAAGCTGATGCAGGAAGTCAACATCGAAGGCTTGTATGCCAGTATACAGGCTTCGTTCCCGCTGTTCGAGAAGGGCGGTTGGAGGGGCCGTGTTATTGTTGTCTGCCCTCCAATCTACAGTCGATTCTTTAGGGGCAAGGCCGCATATGCTGTTGGTAAGGTAGGAATGAGCGTTCTAGTTAAGGGACTGTCAATGGACTGGATTCGAGAAGGCAAGACTGATATGTCCATTACTGGTATCTGGCCTGCAGTGGCTATCGAGAGCGCTGCAACTCAAGACGCTGTCGCAGCGGACATGGACAAGAGAAGCGATTTAAGGAAAGCGACTATCTTCTCGGATGCCATACTAGGCATGCTCGATTCAACAACTGCTGAAGTGAATGGGTTGTTGACCACCGATGAGGACTTCCTTCGAGACGTCAAAGGTATGACTGAATTTGGCGGATACAGTCTTGTGCCTGGATTTACCCCAAGGAGAATAATGCCCAAGGAGTTTCCGGATCTGGCTGTTGAGGGACAAGATGACGAGGGTGTGAGAACAGATAGTACAGTCCTACGTGCTAAGCGCCATGCGAAGCTCTGAGCTTTGACGATCAAGGACAACCTCTAGCCCTGAGTCTTGACTTGGCGATGAATCTAGTTCATTTGCCTCTGAATGTGTTACTTTTCCATTCATCCTCTTTCTTCATCTCATCCGTGACTGCATGTATGCTCCGTTCCGCTTGACGGGCAATTCTAGACATACAACCGTTGTTGAAGTCGTAGCATGTTTCTTGTCATCTCATCCTTTCCTGTAAACTCAAGCCCTCCATCACGATCGGTGACGAATGCTGGGGTTCCTGGATCGGCCTCGCGATCACTCTGTATGCTTGCAAGATGAACGTGTTCGAGTTGGTGCGCGAACGGGATGATAACGCCGATTAGGCGATACAAGTCAATGCAGTTGAGATCACTGAAGAGATCAGTGTCGTTGACGGTGTCATGATGAGATAATTTCGTATTGGTTATCGACAAGGCGCGTACTCGGTGGTTGTTCGCGTCTGCCGATGACAAAACTTGATCAAGGTCGGATGGATCGAGCACGCATCCTTCGATNTGCAATTTTTCGCACCCAACCAAGTCGAACCAATCGCTGAACTCCGTCCAGTGAGAAGGGCGGACACCTTTCATGCTCAGACGTCCTTGAACGTAGTTGAACGATATTTGTCCGATTCTTGGAAACTCAACAACCAGTTCTTGAGGAGATCCAGGACTTAGGCGGCGTCTCGAGATACTTAGCGTGTCATGGAGCTCCTTCAGCAATTCGCCATGATACACACACCAGTTATCCAGTCTGGCTCGAACTTGAACACTACTGACCGCTAACCTGGCTGTTGCAGCGGCGGTCAAGATCATGTTTGCAATGTACAAAACACCTTCGGTGTCCATGGGATCCGCATGAATTGAGCTTCTGAAGGGATCGATCACGAGAATGATTTCGCGATTCAAGAAGGCAAAACTGCTGAAAATGTCATTGAGAAACGGCGCAATATGCCAAAGGCTCGGTTTCTCCCCCTGGTACACAAACGTGATCTTTTCGATGGCTGTTGTATGCACAATGCTTTGTAGTACAGCCTTCGTGGCCCAGAGATCTTCGTCTCTCCGCAGACAGATGGTCCAATCATTAAAATGTGCCAGAAAGGTTNNTTGTGACAAGCGCGTTCCAGAGCTTTACATGTTTGTCGTAAATTGAGCAGGCCTTTGGTTGGAAGTCCCCATAAGTCACCTTCGCCCTCGACCAGACCTACAATGTTCTCGAGAAGCTCCTCGGGCAGGCTGCTCAAACTAGTACCTGTCATGAGGTTGTGTTTTCCATCAATCGCTTGCAGAAAGTGGTTTCTTCGGAGGTGATTGTCAGACACGTCCTCAGATGGGAAGGCATTGGTGTGCGGCATGATTGGGGCGTTTACCTACCCTCGAGGGTCTTGACGAGATGTGTTTGATCAAACACCCCTAAGAGTCTGCCGCAAGCAAACAGTCAAGACAGTGTTATCTCGACTCGTGACACGAAGAAAGGCAGGTTGCAGCGACGCTTTGACCACTCGGATGCTGAGCAAGCCGCTCCTGCTCACCACCAGCTTGTCCTTTACCTCCACCTCATCGTTCGCAACCACAACCAGTCATCAAACAAGAATGCTCATGTAGTCGCGCCCTCCTCCGAGAACCCGTCGTACGACCCGAAAAGCTTGCTTGCATCAGCAAGACAGCCGTCTCACGGGTTGCAGCAGCACAAACCAACTGCTCAACCACACCTCCAACGGGTGCGGGCTTTCCATACAAACATGTTCGAGGTAAATCTTCAAGCTTCGAGAGCTATCCAACCAGACCTTGGATCTACCCAAACTCATCACAAACATCTGCTACAAATATAGACACGACATGCAGCAGACCGCTATCATCTCCGCCTTCATCGCGCCCGCTCAGTGGTCCTTACGAATACCGAGTTGGTCGAAATCCGTGCAGCTCAACGTACTTTTGAAGGCGCATATATCCGCACCTCGTTGGGTCAATTCAGCTTTGCTCTGGTGGTTCTCAAGATCTTCACGGCGGAGTTTTATAGTATTGGGGCTTTGTTTGCGATCTATGGAGCGGGTGTGTTGGGGGTAAGTGCATTCAGGAGGATGCAGGGGAATAGACAGTTCTTCTCTGAGGTTGGTGAGGATGGATTGAGGAGGAAGAGGTTTAGAACGAGTGGTAATGTTGTGGTTGTCTTGACTGCGTTGAGTGTTGCTAGTTATATATGTTTGCTGATGCTCACGCTGAGATTATGATGAGAGCGCGGTCTCCATACTGTTGGCATCTTGAATGTCAGACACTCAATAGAGCAGCTAGTTTGGGAGGTCAATTCTATGATGTATGAATGATGTTCACATGACCGAGACTGACAAAATCCTGATATTCTTGATCAGCGACATGGTTTGCGAGCATCGGAGTTTCCAAGCTCCTTTCGGACCCCCTTTCGACGTCCGTTGCACTTGCTATGTTCGTATCTAATCGGATATACATCCGGGGGTGTACTATACCTTGCAACCATCCAGGCAGAAGGTTGGTTGGAGATGCGCCCGTCTTTCGCGTTCGCATTCAAACACGAACATGGAAGGATTGAATATCCTAAACCATCGGCTTCCCTCTATCACGGCTCCAAAAAAGATGACTGAGACTTGGGCAAACACCGCGCCTTGTAGACTAAGACAAGAAGCAACATAGCGCTCCGGATTACTCGGTGCATGAATGCGACGGAGCAAATATTGGCTGAGCTTGGATGGGCAAGGCAGCCGCAAATGGGCGTTTTGGCGGGGTCCGATAGTGGAGGGCCGATGGTGAGACTTGCGGAGAGAGATCNNCTCAAGGATCGCGAGGAGATGATAATGGCATGATGGTCAAGCAGAGATATGAAATGTAAGGAGCTGATGGGTTNNGTCTGGGCAGGCAGATGATCTGACGCAAGACAAGGACGATAGCAATCTCTTGNNGTCGTTCATCTCAACAAGTTTTGGGTGGGCGAGACGCAGNCGTCAGTCGGCGTGGCATGCATCCGCCGTTCGATTGGCTCCCCCTTGTTGATATGTATTATTCTGACGCCGGCAGCCTTGGGGTAAAAGGTGGAANGAAGGCAACGGTCTATTCGGCCCTCTTCTGTCTCGTCGCATGAGTTATCATCCGGTCAGCTGCTGATCTCGAATAACAAACTTGATTCCCAATCGACCGTCTCCTGACGCTCAGCGACTTCTTCGGCGCATTTCCAACACGCTTAAAGCACAACCATACAACCCAGCTGAGCTCGTGACCAACCAGGGCGCGCCAGGAAGTGGTACTTTTGTACTGGACTTCTTTTGGCGAACCGTGGAAGAAACAGAAGATTCCTGCAACACGTTCTGCGACGCAACCTTATTGCAAGCGCGGTCTTTGAAGTTATTTATGATTCACGCGCCAACACAGTCATAATAATATTCTGGCTGGTCACACAAGCTCTGGACTCATCTCATCCAACTTGAATCTTCTCCCATCGACATCGCGCAAGTCTCTTCTACTTTTCTCCTTGGCGATTACCTACAATTTATACATATTCGACGGTCAAGGCTTCGCCTATCAGGATCCAGGCTCAGGCCGTTTTCGGAGTTAGTCAGTTTTGACGAGTACGAGTCGTGCGGGCTTTGACAGCGGCGCCGCGATAGGAGACCGTGAACTCGGACCGTGGAGCGTCATAATCCGTGGAAAAAATGCCACTAATCTGCAATCCACAAGAGATCCTGGCTGCTTCTTCCACCTCGTCCACCCTCCCATTCCATATCCGTCGCCAGAGCCAACAGAGCGACATTGCAAAGTCTGTGATGATGAGCAACGTCCACGACCAACAGCGCCGCAGCATCGACGAGAATACGACCAAGGACCTAAAGTCCAGCCTTAACACCAGCCTGGGCAAATCGGCCAACAAGAATGGCTCCCAGACGCCAGAGATCCAACCCTTCCGCCCTCCACCAACAAACCGCACAGCATCCGCCGTCGGTGCAACCAACACTGGCGCCCTAAACGACACCCCCGATGGCACCGCCCCGAACAGCCCAAGGCTGCTGCCAATAAGGCAGAACTCGGGCTCCAGCACCCCGCGCGTCCGTCCAACAACCCTCGATATCCCTGGCCTTACCAAATCAAAAGTCTCGCCCGACGGCAGAATCGCCAAAAGGGATGTCGGCGCCAAGCTGGTCATCGTCATGGTCGGCCTGCCCGCTCGTGGAAAGAGTTACATCACAAAGAAGCTGGCACGCTACATGAACTGGCTACAGCACGACACACGCATCTTCAATGTAGGAGAGAGGCGTCGTGTCGCTGCTGGAGGTCCAAACACGCTTGAGAAGACCAAAAGCCACACACATCGCCCTTCCTTCCTCCCAACAGAACACCGCCCTAGCTTGGCCAGTCTCAACGGCATTGTCGAGCAAGCAACACATATTGGGTCATCTGGTCTTGCTGCACAAATCCAGGCCCACACCGACAGACACGAGAACCATGACCACGACAGCCAATCTCGCAGACTCACAATGCCAACCATTCAGCTACCGCCTGCGTCCGAGGACGATGGAGTCGCCCAACCCATAGACGATGGCACAGATGGTGTTGAGCTGACCAAGGTTTCAACGCCCGAGATGCCCGACCCGGATTCGATGGATCAGTCGGCCAGCTTCTTCGACCCCCAGAACAAGAGAGCCGCATTGATCCGTGAACAATGCGCCATGGACACACTAGACGAGCTCCTCGACTACATTCTAGAAGGCAACGGCTCTGTTGGTATCCTTGACGCCACGAACAGTACCCTTGAGCGCAGAAAGGTTATCATGAAGAAGATTCGTGAAAGAGCTGGTGATGAGTTGAACGTCCTTTTCCTCGAGAGTCGATGTGTGGATGAGAATCTGCTCGAGTCAAACATGCGCCTGAAGCTTTCCGGCCCCGACTACAAGGACCAAGATCCTGTCGCTGCTCTTGAGGATTTCAAGAAGCGTGTTGCCATCTACGAAAAAGCCTACGTCCCGCTTGGCGAATATGAGGAGAAGAACAACATGCCCTATATCCAAATGATCGATGTCGGTCGCAAGGTCATCTCACATCAAATCCGCGGTTTCCTCTCTGCTCAGGCCAACTACTACCTCCTCAACTTCAATCTCGCACCACGTATGATCTGGATCACACGTCATGGTCTTTCCATGGACAATGTTTCTGGCAAGATTGGTGGCGACTCCGACCTCAGTAGCGAGGGCATCCAGTATGCCAAAACTCTTACCAAATTCATCGAGCACGCACGCCGAGAGTGGGACATGAAGCAGCTACACAAGCTCACTCACTCACACTTTCCTCCTCAACCCGGTGACACCACTCCTCCCAACCCCCACTACCAGCCCAACGCCAACAACGAACTTCCTCAAAAGTCCTTCTGCGTCTGGACTTCTATGCTCAAGCGTAGCATTCAGACCGCACAATTCTTCGACGACGAGGAGTACGACTCGAAACAGATGCGTATGTTGGACGAGCTCAATGCCGGTATCATGGAGGGTCTCACCTACTCGTCCATCGCCGAAGCACACCCTGCCGAGTACGCCCTCCGCAAGAAGGACAAACTACACTACCGCTACCCCGGCCCCGGTGGTGAGGGTTACCTTGACATCATCAACCGCTTGCGTCCTGTGATTGTCGAGCTCGAGCGTATGGAAGATCACTGCTTGCTTGTTGGCCATCGCAGCGTTGCCCGTGTTCTGCTCGCATACTTCCGCGGCTTGAAGAGAGAAGAGGTCGCAGACTTGGATGTACCCATTGGCATGCTCTACTGCCTTGAGCCTAAGCCTTATGGTGTAGACTTTAAGGCATACAAGTGGGACAAGAACACCGAGTGGTTCTACGAGCAACCCAACTTCCAACTCAAGCGTGCCGAGGACGATATGCAATGAATCTAGGGGGTGGCTGAAACTACAACCCTTTTCCCTTTTCTTCTTTCTTGTATGATGACAATTCCTATCTTGTTTCTGGGGGGCAAAACGGAGTTTTACACGGCTTGGGATTCACGACTGGGGCGTTTTCTTCTGCATGTGCTTTCTTCTTTCTGGCTAAAGGGGTGGCATTGCGAGCGACAAACATGGGAGGACCTTGCGAAACGTAGGAGGATTGTGCTTTACTAGAGGGATTCTTTTTCAATGACGAATGATTTTCCTGCCTTTCAACGACTTCTTTCTTCTTTGCTGCAATCTTGCTTGCTGTATGTGTCTCTTGATGGTTCTTTCTGTTCAATTTTAGCGTGGCGTTCTATCCTCTTTTCGAGTATGTGGTTTTCCAGTCTTTAGTTCACGAAGACTAGGGTGTCGCGTAGTGCATCAGATATTGTTATTAATGTCAAACATTCTTGTCTTGGATCGGTCCCAGAACAGAGATGAGGTTTATATGCCACAAGCGTCCAAATATAACTCTTGACCGGAAATGTGTGTTTTGACATGTCTTGCAAATGTCTTGTTCTGGTGTCATGCTAATCTCTCTGCATGGAGATATAAAGATATTGATGTAAGGTGACTATCGCAGTGGACAAGAACTCGCATACAATGATGCTGGCCATCTCAACCATCATCGCGATCTTCCTGTCAACAATGTTGTCGTCGCTCTGCTCGATGATCTATAGTTCTTCATCACCATTCTCATATAGAAGCCTCCTCTCCATGTGCAAGTCTCCCTTTGCTCTCACTCACACGCCTCCTATCCAACACCTTATAGTCTTTTCCCGTCATCCCTCGCCCTGCACCCTCAACTCAACAAACTCCTATGTCCTCGCCTTGTCCCTGAATACGTGACCCCAAACGAAGACATCCGCGCCGCCGTGGACGAAAAAGCACAATGGCGGCATAGTTCTCTACTCCTCCTCAACAAGACAAAATGCCTGGACACTTTGACAACGCTAGACGTCCTATTTGAAACCTCCATCACAGGACTCAAACTCGTAGGGCAGGAATTACTGCTTCAACAACACAATGTTTCTATCGGCAAAGTGATAGACACTAACAGCGGTAGATATCCCCAACTCTGAGGAATTGAGGGAGGCAACTGACAAAACAAAAACAGTAGAGTTTCTAGACGAGGGAAAATGCAACACGCCTAGTGTATTGCTAGCAGTCAGTCATGCAAGAAAAATCATCAAAGAAACCTACAGAGCAAGATTCAACATGACAGAAGACCAAACTAGACGGCTCGATCTCTTTGACTGTGCGACCAGGATGCTGGAAGCCAGCGAGCAGTTTTGCGTGCTGCAGAGACAGTGTAGAGAGTTGATTGGTTTGGTGAAGGAAGAGCAGGATTTACCAGTGGGGTTGCAGGGTGTGGATGTTGAGGGAGGCTTTTTCATGGAAACTGTCTATAGGTGTGTGTTTTCTGTGGGTGGCTTGGTTGCTGTGAGGATGGCGAGATTTTCTGCTTCTCAGGGGGCTCTCGGGATATGTGGAAAAGCTCTTGGATATGGTCAAGAGAGTGGATATACCCCTACATGAGCAGACCGAGTGTCTGAAACAGAGCGAGGATGTTGATCAAGGTTTCAGCCATATGAGGAAGTCGATGGCCTGTCGGAGACATATTGATACAGTATGAATCGACACTTGAAGGTATGATTATAGCGTGTAATGTAGCACATCAGACCTACCTTTCTTGACAGCCGCATGGCACCCGCGAGCGAACAGTCAATTATCAACATACCGACATATTGCCTTTATGCTCTCGACAACATGTGTTCTCCAGTCCATCGAAATCCCAAAGACGTCTGGTCACCCTGTCCCAAAGACCCAAGCGCCTCCAGGGTTCAACGCCAAGCCATTTTCCACCATCAAGAATTTTCGCCCAAAACACCACCACCTACCTTCTCCCCCCTCTTCCCTGGCAAAGAAAAACACATTCTACACCTCTTCTATGGCTCAAAAAGGCAAAAAGTATCGACGCCTGTGTGATTCGAACACACGCTCCCGAAGGAAATGCCTTAGCAGGGCATCGCGTTAACCACTCCGCCAAAGCGCCTATCCAGAAATCCAAAGTTTCCCGATCGGGAAGGAACAGATTCGAGGTTATCCCGAGATTGGTTGGATCTCGTTACTGGATGGGAAATAGCAAAAGTGTGGAGTATATGTACTGATGCAATGAGGGAAGGCGCGACCGACGAAATCGAAGAGGAAGGAGCGATTCTCAATCTCGATTTGGAAGGAGCGACCCTCAGGTCCAAGAGAGGTAGGAGCGATCCCCGACCCTAAAGAGAAGGAATGTACGACCAAGGCTGTCGCAGGTCGGTTCGATACCCTGCTTGGATGCAAAGACGCTGCGTACATGGGCGCTTTGTGTTGTAAAGGAACCCTCGTCCTGTTCTCTTCAGGCAGTGGCATATCTTGCCATCTGCAAACTCAGAAAAATCGGCATGAATCTTGGCAACAGCTGGCGACAATTTGTGTTCTTTGGTACAAATGTAGCAGAACGAGTGAGTAGAGAAGAAAAAGAAAAGAAAAGTGAATAGAAAGAAAAGTTTTGCTCAAGGTAAATTTCTCCGGCATGCGCGACCTTCCTGAATTGACTTTTAAGCCACGCCCGTGTCTTACTTGCTACTTATCAATACTCTGGCACAGATAGAAGTGAGAGAGCAGTGGTTGTCTGATTGGTTTGCCTAAAAGCAGTATGATATATCCTAGTTGTATAAGTTCTATGCCCTAACCGTGAATGGAAGTAGTTATGGGCTTCAAGTGAACTCAGCATCATCACTAGAAGTCAAATTCGTCTTCGAGGTATAGGCATATGCATCTTTCGTGATAGAGCACATATAGTCAGCAAGAGTGTCTCATCCATTGGCCCAACTCGTTTAGACACATATACATATAGCACCTTACCGGTTGTCAACACTCGAGAGTAGAGTGATTACTCAGACAGGGTTACCCAGTACTACAAGGTTGCTTGGCAGAGCACGAACAAGCAACTTTCTTGTGAAGTAACAAGCAGCTTCCAATCACCTACATTTCTAGCGCGCAAGTAATCATAATGGCCGAAACACAATCATACAAAGAGCTCCTCGCAAAATGGGCCGACAAGTACCGCGGTGTAAGTTCATCAATCCCCTGCACCTATACCATTGCAACTCGAATTCAGCATTCTAACATTTCCAAAAGGNCCACAGTAGAAGACCTAGACNCCCCAGCAGCAATGTCCACATCCCCAGACTCACTCATCTCAAGCGCCATGATGACCGCCTACGAAAGAGAATACACACACCTCACCGTAGTCGCGCCCGAGACACGCGCACTGGTGGGCTACCTCAGCATGCCCCACCTCAAGCACCTACTCAAAGCCGGGGTTGTCCGCGACAGCGATACGGTAGACAGAGCAATGACAAAGTTCAAGAGAAAGGGCACGAAATATCACGTCATCACCATGGATACACCGCTGGAAGAGCTCGAGGCCTTTTACGCGGGCTTGACGGAAGATGGACAGATGCCTGCACAAGAGTTTGCTGTCGTGACGGATGCTGGTCGCAAGTTTGTGCTGGGTGTCGCGACGAAAGAGGACTTGGAGGAGTTTGTCAAGAGGAGACCGGTCTATTGATTTTCATGTCCACCCGTTCCATCTCAAGACATATTTCGACCTTCCGAACGAACCCAAAAGATCGACATCCTCATCTCCACACCAGGCTGGCTATATCTGCACCTTGATGGCACCAAGTCTTAAGGCAGAGTAATCTTCTCCTGAGAGTATGCTTCCAGCCATGATGTATAATGTCGTCCAGTCGTCATGCTCGAGCCTCTTTCCACCTCGAGACAGTGCTGGAAGTTTGTCGGCAAAGCACATGCATTGCTTCGTGCTGCTCGAGGAGGCCGGTTGCGCCAACACTATTTCATACAAACCCTGGAAATAGCCGGGCGGAAGGAGGATCGCGATCAGCAGTTTAGAGTGCGGCTCGATAGTAAGAATCCTCATCTGCCAATTCGCTTTTTGCACACGGCCGCGACAACACTGATATCGTCGAGTTTGCCGCCCTCTATCGAGAGACCTTCTTCAATTGCACGTTCCATGTAAGGACTTTCTGCGAATGGATCTTGCGCGATGGTGCGAGCTGCCTTGACGAGCTCCTGGGCAACAAACTGCATGCCTCCTGCATATGTGCCCTGGTCGTCAGAGCGCATCACCTGAGGAACACTACCAGATCGCCATTTCTCCATACTCTGTAGAACATTGTCGACGACTTCGTGTTCCCAAAGATTGTCCACAACACCATCAGACATGGCAAGAATGATGTCGTCTTCTGCGATTGTGATTTTGTCCATGACAGCATTCTTGTCGGGCACATCGGGACTGTTGCTACCAAGCTGTCGCGGACAGTCGAACCAGTGCCATTGCTCGGCCGTCTTGTAGATGACATCTCCTTTTTCCGGCCGAATAACCAGTATCTGAGAATCTCCGAGTTGAGTTACGTAGAGTATAGGATGGGGTGGATTGTTGGTATCGGTATGCAGAAGGGCACCGCAAGCAGTAGTGGTACCGAACCATTCGTTGGGTTTACTGGTTGCGTCTATGGTGTGTTGGTAGGCTTTGGAGAGGTATCTGACAGGATCTGGCTCCGAGTCGTCTCCGTATGCATCCTTCTCAGCCTCCAGGGCCCAGAAATGGAGTATGAGGCGCGACCACAAGNNCTAGCAGAGCATGTAAGCGATCTGAAGGGATTGACACAAGGATATGTTTGAATCTTACGCAGCGTGGCCTCTCTCACGACCAGCCCATGCTCCTACACCATCGTTTGCGCCTATGAAGTTGTCGCTGACCAGGACAGCATCATCACCATTGGTGATACCGCGGATCATGTCGCCATTGACGGACGGACGACGGTCGCGACTTCGGTCATGTGTACTCAGTGGATCGGAAAAGGAACCCGAGGGAGGAGATAAGAAGGGCGGTGGGAAGGGTCGTGATGGTCGTTTGGCAAAGAGTCCATAGCCGGCCTCGAAATAGTATGCTGATTTGGAGACAACAATCGAGGCTTCGTCCGGCACAGGCGTGGTGGTGCCGCCCCTAGGTTCTTCGTTCTTTTGCTGGCTACGCGACGACACGGAGCGGTATAGAGCGTGCGACGGGATGGGCGAATGTATTTGTCGCCTCTTGATCAGCACGCGCATGCCTCCCCTGACGTACATCGAGACTGAAGCCGAGCGATGTCGAGCCCGACCAACTCGTCGCTGGTCATGTCAGTCTGCATCTGTTGACGACCAACTGGACCCTCGCATGATGCTGACGGGCAAAGGCGGCCGCCTACATCGGCTTCAACAAGTCCGTCGTCTGCAACTTCCTATCTTGGAAAACACATCACTGCCAACCTTGAGTAAGTTTATACTGATGCAATGGCATCCATTTGATTGTCTATGTTGAGAAGAGTGAACATGAGTAATCATCAGGCCTTGCTTGGCCAATCCGAAACAGAACGCCTTTTGAAAGTGTATGCAAATCCGCCATAACCAAACCAGAAACCTCAAATGCTGTGAATGATACCATCAAGCCTTCTTCTCCTCAGTCTTTGTCTCGGATGCCTGTTGAGATCCCATTGACGACATGGGAACACCTGCTTGAGTCTGGACCTCGCTCTCGTGCTCACGTCTGAGCGCATCCTCTTGTCGGCCTTCGTCCTCCTTCTCATCAATGTTGTCCATATCGCTAACGCGAGCCGACTTGCCGCTTTCGCTTTGCTTCTCACTTTGTTCGTTCTCATCCTCGATAAGCTCCTGCTGTTCACGCAGAACCTCAAGACGTTGCTTGTTGGTTGCAGCTCCCTCTGCAGTGTGCACCTCCAGCTCGATCTCGTGGAAGAGTTCCTCGGGGATACTGGACAAGACAGCCTGCAGAGCGTCGATCTGCGAATCAAACTCTACGTCCTTGCCCTGAGTGTACATGAAAGCGTTGGAAAGAACAAGAAGAGTGCTTGGGACTCCATACTTGAGACGCAACTCGAGCCACAAGTTCATGTCATCGCGGAGTCTAGCGGGAGAGACACCATGAGTGCGCAGACCACGCGAGGCACATGCAGTCTGGAGCTCAGGCACTGAAAGCGACTCGACACCCTCGAAAGAGATGGCCCTGTCATCGCGCTTGATTTGGCGCATACGATGTCTGACTTGGTAACGAAGCATGGTATCGGTACCGAAAGTGGTCAAAGACATGTAGCGGCAGATACCAACAAGTTGAGGGCGGGACAGGTTGTCGAGAGTCAAGTCATCCTTGAAGATCTTGCAAACACGAATGACATCGGCTTTTGTTGGCGACTCACCAGTGGTGCGAATCNNTGGATCCAGTCAGTATGTAGTCTGATTGAAGGCAATGGAATGTTGACTTACCTTGCGGAAGAACTCGGTAAACTCTTCTTTCTGTGCGTTGGCAGCACTGACAGGCAAGCCAGTCTCTTGAAGAGTTTGGCGCAAGAAGCTGCTGACCTCTTTGCGAGTACCACGTAGACTACTGGCTTTGGCTTCTTTCGACTTTGCGCCCTCGTATGTGCTGGGAAGCATGTTGGGGAAAATCTTCAGGGCGACTGGGAGTAACAACTCGGCAAAGGGCACGATGACAAAGACGGAGAAGGGAACAAGACGGCCAAGATCCTGGACGGTACGGTGTAGNCTAGATAGAATGTCAGAATGGATCAGGTGCATTATGTTCGACACACTCACTTGTCTGTGCTCTCTGCGGGTAAGCTCGTAACCAGCAGCCATCTTCAAGGCCAGCTTGGAACTGATCTTGACTTCAGCAGCCAACAGCTTGGTACCATCCCAGTAGTGGTGAACCTCCTTCATAATCTTTTGACGAAGGGTGAGCTTCTTGTCTTCCTCCTTCTTCTTCTCCAACTTCTTCTCTTCTGCCTTGTCGGCAGCGGCTTTCTGACTAGCGAGCTCATTGAGAGCCTGCTCTTCCGAGGCCTTGGTAGGTGCATGCGCAGTGGGCTTGTTCACGGGAATGTTGACATCTGATGTGGAAGATGACTGCTTCGACTGGTCTGCGAGCGGCTTCTTGGCCTGGTCGGCATTGAAACCTGGAGGCGGGTAGTTGGTCTGGTTGTTGGATGTGGATGTCTCGCCAGACACGGAACGGTTCGGAATCAATATAGCGATGGCAGGTAGTTGCCTAGGGAGGCGTAGAGAACGAGACAGGGCGGTCCTTGTGCTGTTTCTAAGCAGCAAAGGCGCCATTTGTGAAGCAGTGCGGTTGAATGACATGGCGGGCGGACGCCTTGAATGAAACTGAAAAGTTCAGATGGCGGTAATAGGATGGAGAGACAGGAGTTGGACAATTCAGAAAGATGAAATGGGCGAGGAACTGCTTGGAAACTTCTCGGACTTTACAATCTTCGGCCGTCGTCTGCTTCCCAACTTCCGTATCCCGCCGCCCCGTTGATTTGGGGTTGACAACAGTAGCTCAGCAAATTCCCAACGTCGAGCTCTCCATCGTATCATGCATACACGTGCATAAGATTATGCCAGGCCGAGCCTCGGAGGCCGGAGGATCCAAGTCACGGATCATGACCCGCAGCTTTCCCCGCATGAACGATGCCGGCGCCGGCTGATTCCAATTGTCCGAACAATTAACAATTGTCCCTCGTGCTTGTCGACTCCCACTCCTTGAACCTTGCCCATACCCAGTGTCCCTCTCTTTCCTACCTTGACACTCAGACCCAAGGACATCACCATCTGGTCACCCTCTCGTTCTCGCCAAACTTCTATCTGGCGCTCGCCCAGCCGTCTCATCCGGCCGAGTCCACTCCTTGCACACGTACCTTAACAAACCATTCACTTCAAGATGCAACTCCGCAAAGCCGCACGCATCATCCTAGTCGGTGCCCCCGGCGTGNGCAAGGGCACTCAGTCTGAGCGCATGCTCCAGCGATTTCCCCAACTAGCCTCGATCAGCTCTGGAGATCTCTTGAGAGATAACGTACGCAGACGCACTCCGCTCGGTACTGATCGCCCGTAGTCCCTTCACACAACAAATGCTGACCTTCAAACTCCAGGCATCCAAGCCGAATCCCTCATGAAAGCGGGAGCCCTCGTCCCCGATTCGACCATCTTGCGCCTGATCACAAACGAGTTGACCACACGAGGCTGGCTTACTCCTTCTACGACACAGAAGCCTATGATCATGAACTCGGTCGCTGCTTCAATCAGCACCCACGAGGCTTTCGCATCCTCTCAAGACGACTACGTTACTCCCACATCCTCGCACCAGGGTAACTACAACTTCAGTGATCAGCCGGATGCATCCTTCATCCTTGACGGCTTCCCGCGCACTGTCGACCAAGCCATTCAACTCGACAAGTTGGTCCCCATCAACCTTGTCGTCCAGTTGAACACTCCCACTTCGGTTATTCTCGATCGCATCTGCAATCGTTGGATCCATGCCGCCTCGGGTAGAGTCTACAACACTACCTTCAATGCGCCAAAGGTCGACGGCAAAGATGATATCACCGGAGAAACGTTGGTGCAAAGAGATGATGACAAGCCCGAGACCTGGATGGCTCGCCTGAAGAAGTTCGAAGAGACTAGCCAACCTCTGCTCGAACACTACGATCAGCTTGGTGTTCTCTGGAGAGTCGAAGGCAACAGTAGTGATGAAATCACTCCCAAGCTGTTTGACGAATTCAACAAGAGATTTGGATTGCCATGAAACACCGAACATCCCCGATGAACGGCTTTTACGTCTATGCACACGCCTATGCAGCTATGTATCTGCGGCATACTACTCCACCGGGCCGGAAGACATGTGTTGTAGGGTGCAGTCATCAGCCCGCTAGAACATCTACGGCGTCCAGACAGTTCCACCCAAGGACTTGCGCACATGAAGACCTGCTGGAGCCGTGCTTTCTCGACCGTGGAACGACCCTGCCATGGCTGTCTCGTAGAAACACTTTTCTCCGAGACTGGATCATGCACACGTAAGCGGACCCAAGACAGCCAGACTTCGTGACAGCTTCAGCGATCTTACACTACACACTCGATCCATTCCGATTGTGGAGAATCACGATCTTGCAACGCAGACTCATGATCATACGCAATGAAGCGATTGTACGAAGTTAGCAATATGCCTGAATATGCCAAACAAGCAATACTCTAGCTAAAACCATAATACAGTCTGATCCAGTTATCACAACCAGATTAAGCAGTTCCATATGTGTCCTCGAGGAATGGAATTGTTGGGACCGCCGGGCATTCGTGGACTGTAACGCTAAACTATCCCTCAGAAAGCGTAGAGTAGAGTGTGCGCGCTATAGAAATGCGCAATTCTTCAACAAAGCAGAAGAGTAGCCAAGGAGAGCCGCCGAGAAATTGGCTCTCAGTGGACGGTGCCCCATCTCTTGATAGCACTGTGTATTTCTATAGCTACTCACATTATATATTTGTGCACACGCGGAGGTCTCGGGCCCCCTATAGAAAACATGTAGCCAACTCTGGTCTCCTGCGGTACCCCTGCCTTTTCATCCCCGTGCGATATATACTATCACATAGTAGCTATAGGAATGCACAATACTTTTCAGAAAAAGTGTTGTCCAAGGAGAGCCATCTCTTCAAGGCTGCTTCTATGGACACAGTCTGATCTTGTTAATCAACTGTGCATTTCTATAGTATACTACAACACTGTATGCTAACCGGAAAGAGGAGCTACTGATTGAAGGTGACTATATGTTCTCTCTAATCTAGCATAGCGCCAGGAGGTGTCAATGTTGGTTTGCCTTTAGATATCTACCCCAGACCACTCGGGTGGGTGGCCGAAGTCGTATCACATTCGTATCGAACACCCTGCGATGCCGGAGGTGACGCCAGGGTTCGCCTCGAAAGAAAGTTGCGTTTGTAGATCCAAGGGCGCAAGGCGCACTTGTGAGTCAAGATAGATGTACGTACTAGTACAAAGTGCCTTCTGTCAAATCTGCTTTTGTGCACCTATAACAACTGTTTCTTTCTTTGTGATTCCGAAAAAACCCAATCTTGGGTAGACGATACCGCCAACAATGTCTCCTCCCAGCGCCATCGATGTCGATGTCCAGGCCATTGACGACACCACCGCCATCACAGTGCCCAACCCACTCACCCTCGACGACGTCGCCGCAAGACGCGCAGCCACTGGAAAACTAATCGCCGGTGTTGCCGCTGTGGCCAACGTCGAGCAATTCAAAGGCGAGAAGCAGCACTCGCACAAACCCAAGTCCAAGCGATGGGACCGTGAGTAACCTTGTCTAAGAAACCATTGGTGATGGAAGCATACACTGACACGACAAGCATAGATCNGCCTCAACATCGAGTCCTCCTCCCGCAAAGGCAACTCCCTGAAAGCCGCTGCAAAGTACCTCAAAAAACCCGGCATCATTTCCCTCGGCGGCGGCCTGCCATCAGCAGAATACTTTCCCTTTGACCAACTCTCCATCAAAGTACCTCGAGTGGGCCACTTTTCCGAAAAAGAGACCAGGGACAATGGCACAGTGCTCACAGCAGGAAAAGCAGATTTGGCAGAGGACAAGAGCTTGTTCGACATTACTACTTCCTTCAATTATGGACAGGGAAGCGGTTCTGCACAGTTGTTGCGTTATCTCGTCGAACACACGGAGATTGTGCATAACCCTCCTTATGGCGATTGGCAGTGCAACATGACGATTGGAAGCACGTCGGCATTGGACGTTGCATTGAGAATGTTTGCGGAAAGGGGTGATGTGGTGTTGACCGAAGACTACACATTCGCAACCGCAGTCGAGACAGCCGCACCAATGGGCGTGCGAATGGTGGGCGTGGGTCTCGACGACGAAGGTCTACTCCCAAGCTCCCTCGACGACATCCTAAGCAACTGGGACGAAACCGCCCGTGGAGCCAGAAAGCCATTCTTGCTATACACAGTCCCCACAGGCCAGAACCCCACCGGCGCCACCCAGAGCGAACAAAGACGCAGACAAGTCTACGCGGTGGCCCAAAAACACGACCTTTACATCCTAGAAGACGAACCATACTATTTCCTGCAAATGCAGCCATACACGGGTCCAGACTCGCCTGGCGTGCCGCCCCCAAAGACACACGCCGAGTTTCTAAAGTCGCTGGTGCCTTCGTTTTTGTCAATGGATACTGACGGTCGCGTCATGCGTATGGATTCGTTTTCCAAGGTCGTCGCGCCTGGCTCCCGCGTTGGTTGGATCACGGCATCGCAGCAGATTGTCGACAGATTTGTCAAGCACATGGACGTCAGCACTCAAGGTCCCAGTGGTATTAGCCAGTTGGTCTTGTTCAAGTTGCTGGATGAGCACTGGGGTCATGCAGGTTTCTTGGATTGGCTCGTCCACATCAGAATGGAGTATACACAAAGAAGAGACGTTATGCTGGGCGCGTGTGAGAAGTACCTGCCCAAGGAAGTCATGAGCTGGAAGCCGCCAATGGCCGGCATGTTCGTAAGTAATTTGAACACGATATGGTGATGGATTAGGGCTAACAACACGACAGNNCATTGGCTTCAAATCGAGTACGAAAAGCACCCCGATCACAAGAACAAGTCGGTCGCAGAGCTCGAAGAAAAGATTTTCCAGACAATCGTCGACCACGGAGCATTGGTCATGAAGGGCTCATGGTTCTATGCCGATAGCCAGGCTAAGCACGACACCATGTTCTTCAGATCAACATACGCAGCCGCACCATTCGAGAAAATCGACGAGGCCATCAAGCGTCTCGGCGACGCAATTAGAGAGGAGTTCAAGCTAGAGAGCCAGTAGATACTTTTTTGATTCTGGAAATACGTGGGAAGGTTTTGGCATTTCGGATTGAGAAATGCATGGCATTTAAGACAGGGGGAATAGACAAAAGATGCAAAAAGGAAACTTTTATGATAGGCCTCAGTTGATGAAGTTGACGCAGAAGAAATGCAGAATCAGACTGCCAAAGACATAATCGGCGAAAGCTCTGNNTGTTGCATGTCAGACACGTGCTAAGTATGAGACGGGTTGTGTGTGCGTAGAACGATACCTTTCGTGTGATATGGAGCCAAAGTCGACCTTGTTTTCGGGGTTGGTCTGGATTCTCAAGCTGGCGGTAAGAACGAATTGGCCGACGGTGGCAGAGAAACCGGAGAGGAAAGCATTGAAGGGNCTATATAGAGCGATTAGTCAGGGATCGAGGATGCGACCAGAGGGGCTTGAGCATACGTAGTTTCCACCGATAACACAGTAAAGGAACTGAAGAACGCCGACGAGGATGAGGAAGGTCATGAAGACGTCAATCAGCTTGACGCGCTGGGGAGTGTCCTGAACATAGCGATCCCACACGGCCAAAGCGATCTCTTGAGCATCTGTCGAGTTGCGAACAGTGGACTTGGTGGATGTGGGCTTTGCAGATGCGGCGATGGGCTTGGTGGGTGCAGAAGAAGCAGACGTCTGTCCGTGAGAAGGCTTGGCCGTGGAAGGAGGGACGATGGAAGGAGCAGGAGCTGCGGCGTTTCTCTTGGGAGCCATGATCAAAGTGTCGAGAGGGGAGTTGTGTCGTGTGAATCGAGTGTGGTCAGAAGATGTTGTGATAGAGCAGGACAATTTCTCGGTCAAGATGGGATTGATCCAAAAGACAAGACAGTTGAAAGATGTCAAGGGCGGTATAACCTTTGGTATAGCAATTGTAGGGAAGGCCAGCTTGCTGAACGTAGCTCGCCGAGGCGGGAGACGCCCGCACGGACTGCCGCGTCACTGACACCCGAAGCTCCTCCCTCCGCTCCCTCAGGCTACCTTGCCGACCTTCTACCCGTTGATATACATCCACATCAGACACTACCTCCGACTCCCACACACAACATCAGACTAACAGAACAAAATGGTAAAGGACTCTCAATCTGATCATTGACCAATTGCCAGTGAAGCTAACGCCGAACAGAGCCTCGAGTAAGCCTATGCCGAGGACTAGATGTCCAAATCATCTTTCTAACGACCACATCCAGCACTGTTGCATTCATTCTCGCCGCCCTGACTGCTGGTGGCGGTACTACCGGCTACGTTAGAACTGGCTCTGTTCCCTCCATCGCTGCCGGTGTCTCTGTCGGCGCCCTTTACGCTCTCGGTGGCTACCGCATCTCCAACCGTCAACCCTACGGTGTCGAGCTGGCCCTGCTGGCCAGTGTCGTTCTCGCCGGAAGCAGTATCCCCAGAGCCATGAAGTCTGGAAAGCCCCTTCCCATCGGCCTGAGTCTTCTTGCTGCCTATGGTCTCTACAGCTTTGGCTCTGCTTGGTCTTCCAGAATCCGTTAATGTAATCGTATCTTAATCACTTGGTTTCCTGCCTCTTTGTGTTGTAAAACACCATCGTCTGCCTATGATTCTTGAGTGTATCTGCTCAGTCCTACTTTTAGCGATGGTTTGTCCAACGTCTTGTGTGTCTATACATCTGTTGCTTATACCGATCGATCTCGCAGCCTTCACATCGAGACTGCCTAACCACACCACACGGCACACAGTGACCATGGAAAATCCCGAGTTCGCCTTGCTAGAATGAATTGTTCCTTTGCTACACAGGTCATACCTTCATGCATGTGACATGCGCAAACGAGCGTTTGTCCCGCCTTTTCTCGTAACACTTCTTGCTTTCTATCAGTACCGCTCATTCTCGGCTAGGCATGGTGGTCAAGGCCAAGCGAATGGAGACCGATCAGGTGTGCGGATCAGTTTGGATACGGGGACAAGAGAGGACTGGGGACGGTGACTTTCAAGACGATGGGCGTGCTATTCTGCATGATCGTCTGTGTACAGACTGGCTAAGGACCATGAATGGAAATGAAGCGTATCAACGATAGCCTATCGCGATCGGAGCAGAGCAATGGAGGAGCCAATGGGTTGTTCATTTGATTCTTCTGGCAGATAAAGCAGTATTATTTGGTATCTTTGATCAAGGAATGCGGGGCCGATTTTGGCGACGACCTGAAAAGTGGAAAAGAATAGTGTAGAAGAGATGGATCATCGGTCATCCACATCGGGGTTGAAAAGAGCGATGCGCATACGGTGAAGCNNTGTAGAATTGGTCAGAGAAGGAGGCTTGAAGGGTTTGGCAGGCAAACTTACAGCAGGAAGCTTCGGCACGACAACAGCGAGAGTCGCCATGAAGTTGATCATGAAGTATGTAATGTCGTAATGCGTGTAGTGAGTGCTGACAAGGAAAAGGATAATGGGAACACTGAGCAGGAACTTTTTGGCGGGAGTATATTGGTCGCCGCTATCGATCTGCTCCCACATGTTGAGGTTGTCGTAAGCACCGGCGTTGAACTCGAAGGGCACACCTCGCACCCAGTGGAACATGAGAAAGGAGCCGGCCATGTACGAGATGTTGGTGAGGGTCCAGGATGTTTCTTGAGAGATGTTGGGGACAATGTCGAAGATGATTTTGAGGAGAGCGATGAGGACAAAGTGGATAGCCCAGGCACCTGTGGAAACGTGTCAGCATGCGATTCTGGCAGAGCGCAGAGATGGTGGTGGCTACAGACCTTTGGCATTGACCCACTCCGAGTTGAGGTTGGGCAGGGCGGCCTGGTCACTGATGTGCTCCAGCGACTCAGGGGGCTCGGTGTACATCAGACTGCTAGACCGTCTCCTCCGTGCCGCCTTGGTGTCCATGCTGGAAGCTGCTCTTTCTGAATGTCTCCTCTGGTTCGGCGGGCGATTTGTGTCTCCGGCAAAGCTAAGGCCGGAGGAGGGCTGGAGGAGTGTAGAAGACAGCTTGGCGGTGTTTGCTGGTGCTGCTGGTGGTGCTGAGGGGCGTGAAATCGTGGCGGTGGAGGGCGCACTGCTGCACCGGGAAAAGGGATACGGATGGAGAAAGAGACAAAGAAAGCGCAAGAGGGGTGGGAGTAGCGACAAGCGTCTACGACGATGGAGCAGAGAAGTGGACAGGCGGCCGAAATTGATACTTTGAGATGTGAAGGGGTCCAAATGGAAGCCAGCACCGACAACGCGCCCAAGAACGACAATGGAAAAGTTGTGGCGGTGCACGTACGATTATTTCCCCACCTCGTCACCTCTCCAATTTGTCTCTCTCTGTCTGTCTACCTGCTGCGTAACCACCGCGCTATTGACTTTCAATGTCTTGCTTCCTTCACTTCCGTAGTCCTCTCTCTTCTTCCTCGCCGCGTGGCTACGTCGCCCCATTGTAAATGTCTTCCGTCGCCCTCCGCGGCCCCTTGGCAATAGATAGGGCTGGTTGATGTTGCTATTTTGGTTCCACTACTGCTTTGAACAAACTTCTGGAACCTCTCGACAAATAGAGGGAATATAGGTGAATACAGTTATAGTACAGTGTAGCGAAATGAGCCCCATCATCTACGGCTGACACCAGGACTCCAGCTTTGTGGCTGCCAGTCATCTCCTGGGTTGCCCTTTGGTGCTTGCTTCCACGGGTTCGCCTCCTTGTCTCTAGCTCTGCCCTTGAATCTGCCGTCGTCCTTGGTTCTGCCCTCAGTCGAAGCATCAATCTCACCCGCATCACCTACCGCACTTCTCACGCCTTCGTTCTCAGTTGGCTCAGTCTGGTTACCGTGCATATATCCTGCAGGATCCTTGACACCTATGGCTGGTTCGGGTTGTTGCTTTGATGGTGCGTCCAAGAAAGACTCCTGTGCGGCCCATCTTTCGTCTGCAGCAGCAGCTAGTTGACGCATTTGTGCTTGCCGCGATACCTCATACTGTTGTTCCTGAAGTGTAGGAGCTTCTGGACGGACCTGGCGCAGCCATTGGTGCCATTGTGCNTATAGCGACTCAGGGTTAGAAGAGACACATTTAGTTGATCGCAGTCATGTTGGTGGCGTACGTGATATCTTGACATCAGCGTAGTGTCCCTGACTGCCGTATTGAACAATTCTTCGCATGCGACCAGCATTGATAGCATCTTTGAACTCCCAGAAGGTGTTGCCAGAAAGATCAGCGCCNTGTAATTATATGTGGTCAGCTATGTCAAGGCGGTGATTTGATAATTTTTTGAACATACCAACAAGCCACTTCTTTCGCCACGGAAGACGCAGACTCTTCCATTTGAACCAGGCTTGCTTGATAGCTCCCGGCTGTGCTGGCATGATGTGATTTGGATAATCAAGTCGAGTTGCAGAGGCAACGGAGCAGTTCAAAGCAAACGTGAGTGAAGCAGGCACGATTTTGATGACGTTCTTTGATGAAACGCGGCCGAGGCGTATGCACAGACGCGCAGCAATGCAATGCAATCCGCTCTGGCCGCCCAAACATTAATCAATCGTCGCAGTCCCTTTTACCCCTCCATCACCAACACACCTCCGTCCACGTCCTGAACATGGCTTCTGTGTCGTCGCTGGACCAGGACATGCGCAACCTGCGCTTGTCCAAATACACCCCTCAAGCCGCCAACGAGATTCGCTCTTGGATTGAAGAAACACTCGGCGAAACACTACCCCCAGGCGATCTTCTCCAGAATGTACTCAAGGACGGTGTTGTCCTATGTAGACTTGCTAACCTAGCTCTGCCCGCTCCAGGACTCAAGTTCAAAAGATCCGCCATGCCCTTTGTTCAGATGGAAAACATCTCACACTTCCTGCGAGCATGTGAATCCCCTCCGCTAAACATGCCTGCCCACGACCGCTTCCTGACCGTCGACTTGTTCGAGTCCAAGGATCCTGCCCAAGTTCTTCAATGCATCAGCGCTTTTAGTCGCGTTGCTCATGCTGTTAGCCCGGCTAACTTCCCCAACACTATTGGTCCTCAAAGGAGCGCAACACTAAGTCCTGCCGGTAATGGCCCTACTACACGAAACGCCCGACCGATAGCGCCGAGCCCTCTCTCTGCTAAACCCTCATTCGCTGTCCCTTCTACCAGATCTATGAGTCCTGCTCTCAGTGGAGGCTCTTCTGGCTCACGCGCAATGGACAATGGTCTCATGTCACCTCGAGGCACAGTTAGTAGCTGGACCAAAGCAGGTGATCGGGGAAACACAGCGCCCGCTTGGAACATTGCTCAGTACGGCTACATGGGTGGTGCCAGTCAAGGAAACCAGGGCGTCATGTTCGGTGGAAGGAGACAAATCACTACTGCTGCACCTCACGTTCCTGGGCAGGGTGAGTCTGATTTCAGCAAGAGACGCCGTGAGAGGGAAGCGGAAGAGGAGCGCCTTAAACAAGAGGCCGAGGAAGCCGAGTACAAGAGGAAAACTGAAAGGGAGGCCGAGGAAGAACGCGACAGAATCGCCGAAGAACAGAAGTGGGAGGAAGAAGCACGTCGCACAAGAGAGCAAGAGAGACAACGGATCCTGGATCAAAAGCGACAATGGGAGGAACAGGAGAGAAGATGGAAGATCGAGGAAGAGGCTCGCCAGAGGGAGCAGGAAGCAGATGCAGCTGATGTGGGCCTGAAAGGACAATACATGGATCAGCATCAAGCCGACCAAGGTGCCCGCAAATCTAGCGCGCACGAAGACACGCCCGAAAGGATGAGAGTTCGTGAACTCGAAAAACAGCTCGAAGAGGCAAGGGAGCGTGAGCGTCAGTATCAACAAGAGCGCGAAGAGCGCGTACATCGGAACAGCATCCACTCGCGACCTTCTACCGCGAGATCGCAACAGGAAGCAGATACGATACCTAGAGCACCTTCGCCAAAGGATAGTGAAGTTTCTTGGGCACCGATAGAGGATGAAGTGCTGAACAGGAGCATGCCTGCGCCTGAGATGACTCGCGGATCATCGAGACCTCTTCCTACACCAGCAACAAGACAGACACCCGCTCTACCTGAACGTACGGCATCACCAGCAGGACCACGTCCTCTACCAGACCCTTCAGCATATCGCCCTGTTTCACCAGCAACGACACGTACTGATCGTTACCTTGCTGACAATCCTGCACCTGTTTCGCCAAAGCCTGTTGCTCACCAGCCACGGGAAATGGGCTATACATCAACATTCGAAGAGCAAAGCGATAGAGACCGCCGGGTTGCATCACAACAAACGACCAAGGCTGGAGGATGGGCATCCAAGTCTCTGTTGGAGCGTGAAATGGAACGCGAAAGAGAGAGACAGCGGGAATGGGAAGCAAACCAACAAGCGACCAAGGAAGTCGCCAAAGATTTGAGCCAAGGAAGCGGCGCAGGACAGAGCTGGGATGTTCATCAATATGGCTACATGGGAGGAGACAGCCAGAACCGAGGCTCGAGTGCAGGCAGCGGGATAGGATTTGGTGAGCGGCGCCAGATCATCGGACCCCGCCCTCCCCCAGGTTCCTGATCAACAGGTGAGACAATCGGGAAGATGAAGACGAGGTGCAGAGTCTTTTGAACAAGTAATAATATGTACATAGCGTTCGAAAAGATATGGTCGTCCTCTGGCGTAAATGTGCTGACTCGAGCAAAGAATGACATGTGAAAGGCCCAAGCGTTGCTGACCTATGACGTGGGTTCTATCAAGTCTTTGAGGCTGGCAGCTGCACGGCGGGCAGGCGCTTGCGGGAAAAGTCTTTCTTTGCACAGTCACGCTCCACCTTGTTTCCTGCTCTTCAAGTCGCTGACTGACTCGATTCAAGCACCTGCTTTCTGTAGCATCTAATGGAAGTGAAGCTGCCTCGTCCATTTCTCTATATTCGCCGCGTCTCGACTCCCATACAGTAACCCGCATTACTTAGCCCGCACTACGAGTAGAGCGACCCCTCTTCTTCACACCGCCACCTTTACACTTCCTACTCTACACACAAGACACACACACACACGCACACCATGCACGATTTGCGCAAGCAAGTGCTCCTCGAGAGCGGCAAGACGCTGTCGAAAAAGGCAAAAGCCAAGCAGGCCATGGGCTCTGCCGCCAGTTCAAAGCAAAACTCGCCCAACGCCTCGAGAGCTGGCTCAAGAGTCGCTAGCCGCCAGGCCTCGGATGATGAGGCTGATTTCAGCGACTCGACGACTCAGTTCAGGTATCTATTTGTCTGACATACTTTACATCACGCAGTCGCTCATTTCTCTCGCAGTGTCAACTCCTTTGACGAACTCCGTCCCGAAGACATCGATGCGCCCGAGGATGCCTGGGTCGCACAACTCAACGAGCGTATGGAGCATCTCATCGAACGCAAGAGAAGCAGTGTCCAAGGCCGCGAAGAGAGTCTTTCGGTTCTTTCTCATCTCCTCATGGCCCATTATGCCCAGCGCCACGTCCGTCCAAAGCTCAGTGAGCTGGTTCCAGCCCTTGTGAAATGCGCCAAAGGTGGCCAGTCGGACAATGAAACCGCTCTAGCTCTCAAAGCCCTGAGCCTGTTAATCATCACCGAGCCCTCCGATTCCATTTACGACGCCATGATTCGTCCGCTCAAGGGCATAATCTCCTCTTCCGAGTCATCTTCGGTCATGGTCGCCGCTATCCACACTCTCGGCATAGCTACATTCTACGGTGGGGTCGGTCTGGACGAAACACAAGAGATCATGGACTTCTACCTCGAAATCATTGAGTCTGACGGCCACTCTGTCGAAGCAGGTGACGATGGAAACCTCGTGGCCGCTGCCTTGCAGGAGTGGGGCTTCCTTGCTACACAGTTCGAAGGCATGGAAGACACGAGCGAAGAGCCCATGGAAGCCTTTGTCGAGCAGCTAGAGTCTAGCGATGCTAGTGTAGTGATTGCTGCTGGTGAGAACATTGCTCTTCTTTTCGAGAAGAGTTGGTCGGAACTGGAAGAAGATGAGGAACCCGAACACCAAGACGACGAAGACGATGAGGAGGAGGCAGACCCGACTGCAAAGGGCATGATTAAACGCTACACAGTATGGCGCCAGGAGCATCAACTCAAGCATACACTCAGTGCTCTTGCTCAAGCACATGGGAAACGCATATCAAGAAAAGACAAAAAGGAACTGCATTCCAGCTTCGCCGATATTCTCAACACCGTCGAGCATCCAACAAGAGGTCCTCGTTACAGCAATGCAATCGATCAGTATACCAACAAAGCGTATGGCTCGCGTATGGTGGTTCACATTGGCAAAAACTCCATGAGCATCGACAAATGGTGGAAGCTTCATCGTCTGCAGTCGCTACGCCGCGCACTCCAAGGTGGCTTCATCGTTCACTACGAGGACAATCAAGTCGTGTTCGATTCTCTGCCTGTCATGCTGGACTAGACCCTGTTCCTTGTCTCTATCGCATTCTCACGATCAACAAAAAAACATTACGATTTCATATCTCAGCATGGGAGTTTTTGGTGGTTTCGTTAAGCATTGGTGTTTCCATTTTCGTACAGTACCTGGTTATCCTAACATACCATTATTCAAGCCGGCTTCTGAATTCCAATGTTCACATTTATCCTGCTTCTCCATGTGCCAGGGTCAGACTCGCTGTGTGGAACGACTTCACTACTCAAACCGACAAACCACAAACTCCTCCTGCTTCGAACAACGGCAATGTCCCCGTCATTGAGAAAGACACCACTACTCAAGCCGACAAGACAGAGTCTCCTGCCCAGACGACCATGACCGACTCTTCCAACAAGAACGAACCTCCTGCTGAGCACGACAAGCAAAAGTCTCCTGCCGTTCAGACAAGCAATGCCAGCCCCGTCTCACAGCCACCCCAACCCACCACAGTCTCATACATGACCATCGATTGGCAGGCCAGAATTCCGCCCCTCGACTTTCAATGGCCTGCAACCGTGCAACGTCTTCCTACCGAGCATCTCATGCGCAATGTGATCATCGCCGACAGTAACTTCACGCCCACCACAATCGGCTATCCTCGCAGCGATGGCTATTTTGTTTCTCTTGACGGCTGTGAGATCGGCCGCTACATTGGCACCAGCGTTTTCACACTTGTAGCGCAGCTTTCTTCTTGAGCACGAGGAGTCAAAATCCGAACAGCATAGGAAAGAAGGGGTTTTTCGTTTCGAGATGAGGACTTAGGGGGGGAGCCAGGTAAAAAAGCATTGGAAGGAAACCCGAACAGCAATCGAGATGAGGATATGCTTTTCGAGATGAAGACTTTGCGAGAGGAAGAGGTAAATGCATTAGGAAGAATCCGACAAGTCACCACTGAGAGACGCGCACAAGTTACATAACGGACCAACTCTCAGAAGATAACAACATGATGACTTGAAACAAACCACAAGAGAGCATTCCGTGCGACGCATACACATTCGTTTCCAACATCTGAAAAGCGATATAAGTTACTAGAACGTAATCATAGCATTAGATAACTCCTCGTCCCATACTCGGGTTCACTGCGTTCAGTCGTCGATCGAGTGACATCGATATGAGTTGAACTCTTTGGATGGGATCTACTTCTCAACCCAATCCCCGTGCAGAGACAAAGCCTGCCGTCGGTATCCTGCTAAACATAGCACATATATAATCTCCTACACCTGAAGAACGATTCCGACGCAGTTTCTGTCACGACGAATTTGCCTCGATGGTAAAAGTTGTCGGGTTATATCATTCACCACCAACCGGATATGATTTACGATAGCTGCAGCGGACTTCTCGATGATTCCGACAAGGATCAATGACGCATCGAAGATGGACACTGAATCAGTTATACTTCGCTGTGATGGATTGAGTGAGGGGAGAAAATGGTCTTTGAGGGCATCTCCTTGGTGAATCTCTTGAGGTTGGAAGCTATCGTGCATTTTTATAGATGTTGATGCTACTCCTGTGTCCCCGTGAGAGAACTGATGATAAGGAGTTTTGGCATACCCACTATCCTAGGCCCCTGAACTGATGACCCGCTCCCAGGATACCATGTGTTAATCAATCTGACTGTAAAAATGCACGATACTTTGTAGAAAAAGAAGGTGTCCACAGAGATGTTGGCGTTTTGAGGTGTTTCTTTGGCCATGCTTCTGGAATGGAAAGGTATTGTGCATTTCTATAACTATATCACGAACATTTTGAGCGTATGGAAGAGTGAGCAACCAAATATATGTGAGACTGACCTTGGCAATTATGGGCCTTAGGGGTTACCCCTGACAGCTCTGTGGGTACTCGCATACTGGACTCTCAATGGACCACACAAGAACCAGGAAAGAATCATGACTTTAGATAGTAGTATCAAGCACCTGCTATTACTCAGGGAATCAACATTCTACTTGACTTTATCAGCCTGATGATTGTTTCTCCTGAAGCCCTGGTCAGGATCTCAATTTCGTATTGTGCTCAATAGATGGCTATAAAAAGGCAGGATAGTTTCCAAATAGTTGTTAAGTCCATGAGACTGTCCTCCGAAGCCTCCCTGGAAAAGACTTGAAGAAGAGAAAGCGGGTTTTGTCGCTTTCACGAAGAAAAGCACGACCGTTCGAGAACCAGACATTCGGAAAGCATAGAAAATCTTGTTCTGTCATCAGCTTTTCCATCACGACAATCAAGTCCATGGATGTTGATGTCAAGTGTACGTCAATCTATGCAAAGTGTTGAATCCGACAAGGAACAACGTGATTTGTCCATAGAAATAGCGAAGCCTCGAAACAGCGATACTGATCATCACCAATGTGAAAAACGAATACCGACGATCGGTTTGTGATCAGCTTTTACATTACGATAATCAGATCAATGAACATTGATGCCCATTGTACTTTACATATATGCAAGGATCGAATCCGACACAGAATAATGAGTTTCGTCTATACGGATATTGAAGCCTCAAAACATCGACCCTGATCATACACCACTTGATAGCATTCAAGATTTAACCTATATACTACAGGTAATATTAATTGCTACGTCTCTCCTGATATTACTCGTTGGCTTCCCCGCTACTTGGTAACGTTGGCTGTGATAAAGTCGAAGCCATTGCCAAAGTTGCCCTTCTGGGTACTGAAGTTGGTCTCGGCACCCAGAGTCTTTACCCTGCCCAAAAGTTTTTCAACTAGACGATACGAGGCTCCAGGGGCGTATTGGGGCAACATGTGTCCACTTAGTTGTACAGTAGCAAAGGTAAGACCACGTTCAGTGTAGTATTTGCCCATGACACCGGCTCCAGCAAGGTCGCCTTGGTTGAGCTCAGAATGGTAGGGAACGAAGAAGTCATTCCAAGTCTGGGGGCCTTGGCTGAACCCTTGGGCACCGCCGTAAGTCATGTTTTGGATAGCCATGAGTGTGCCGTTGTAAGAGATGATGTAGTCGAGCATGCCTTGACCGATGATGACATTGTTGGTGTGTTCAATGACTTTGGGAAGTACACTCAACGAGGTGTATTCGCTAGTATCCTTACGGAGGACGCCAGAGCTGCACTCTTCCCATTCCTCAATGGGGGCGTTGATGGCCTTTTGAACATCTGTGCGGTTAAAGTAGATCTGGGCGCCTTCCGGAAGGTAGTCGAAGCTACCGGGGAAACCGAGCACGTCCCAGAGCAGAGGGCAAGTGGTAGCGACCTGGTAGATATCGAAGCAAGGGTTGACGAGGCTGACGGCACTGAAGATGTCGTTCCAAAGTTCACAGCCAGGCATACTGTAGTCTGCATTCGGAGGAGCAGGAAGCAGACCCTTGGGTGGGAAGGTAAGAGCCTCCTCCATAAAGGCAGTGTAGCCGCAAGAATCCGAGCGATTGTGGATGTCGTCCATGAATGTCTGATTCAGGTTGAAAAGGCCTCCCCAGTAGTCAACGAACGGAGTGGCTGGGATGTCTTGCAGCACAACATCATAGGAGATCGAAGGGTCAAAAATCATGATACCATGAACATCATAGAGAGCCGTGTCATTCTTCTGAATGAAGTTGTCGGCAATGTCTGAATGAGAGTGTAAAGTCAGCATGGATTTTGACAATGCACTGTAAGTACACTTACAAGGAACGTAGAAACCAGCATAACTTTCGCCAGTAACGTAGATTTTCTTGTGCTGCAGACCAAAAGTCTCGATAAAGTTCTTCCAGAATCCGGCGAATTGTTCTGCGACCTCTTCCTCGCTGGTTGCCGAAGGTGTGCTACCCTTTGAGCTGAAGCCAGTACCGGCAGGTTGTTCGACCCAGATAGTGTTGGTGAGGTTGTTCCAGTTGTAGTTGTTCTTGACTGGAGCGTATGTACCATATTGCCACAAGAAGGGTCCATTCTCCTGGAGCAAGCCCTCAAGACTACTGCAACCCGGACCACCGTTGAGCCAGATCAAGATTTCATCACTGGCATGAGAGTCCTCTGAAGGGAAAAACCAGAAGTAGAGCTCGCTAGCATTTTGCTGCGAAGAAATGGGCATCAAACCAGCATAACTCTCGCCTAGAAAACAGTCAGATTTCTAGCACTAATTTTTCGTGTAGCAATCTTCCTTACCAATATCAAAGTTGACATCAGGAATCTTGGTGCCGTCGACAGCATACTCTGTGTTCTCATTAGCCACAGTATCCAAATGTGCGGTTTCCATCACAGCCGAATCTTTGAAGCCTCGGTCTAGAATCTAGATCTGGAATGTCGAATACATACTTGTTGTGTTCTTGTTCTGAGGAATGATATGGTGCTTCTTCTTGGTGGCAGCTCTCTTGTCCAGACCTACAGCAGGCAGACCAGCAGGCTCACGTCGAATACGCTCAGGTAGCTTCTTGTTGACATGCTGAGCACTGCGGCCGGCAATGGCACTGGTAGCCAAGAGTAGTGTGGAGAACACAGAGACCTTCATCGTTTCGTCGAGAAGTCTTGGAAAAGGTGTTGTCCAGGCTAAGAGGCCGAGGGCCTTGCTTTATACTTGCGGACAGCACCCATGGATACGAGTTTGCAGCGCCGGATAGCCTGGGATCGACAGCTCCATGCAAACAATTGCTCGATAAAATGTGATGATCGCATTGTACAGGCTAGCGAACAGATCACTTTACGTTCCTTGCATGATAGGAAGACTCACAACTGCCTTCTACAACGGGCCTAGTATGATGGTTACACAAGTCACCCCACAGAAGAGGAAGCTTGATGGCGATAAGCAAACGGCAGTAACGGCACCCATACCATGACATACCAACCAACTCTTCGTTCGGCGTACTCATAGAACAAAAATGCAGTCTATCTAATAAAACTAGGGAAATTCCTCCGTCATCAGTATCTCCATCACAGAATTCTCTGGACACTCGACGCCACGTCAATCACCGACTCCCCTGGTTTGATCCCCTTCTCGAGGCACTCTCGGTGCTTCATGCTGATCATCCTTGAGGCCTGTTGCTCCATTGCGATACCCAAGAGCTTCTGAAAATCGGGTGTACCAACTTCGGTGATTGGGTCCCAACCTTTGTTGCATTCAATTCGATGGTTGTCACCAATTCCTTTCCGTCTATCGTCCAACAGCCTTTGCTGCTGCCGCCGTCAACCTCTTGGAATGCTTTACGACCTGCTGAATAGGTGGAAGGATTCATGAGAATCGTCGATCTTGGAACATGGTCGCTTACCATATTGTCGCCTGAAGCATACAGGACCGTAACGCCTCTTGCACCAAGTCCGCCATGCATGTCGCAAGACTTGCGCATATACGCATTCGGAACATCGTTCTCGTCAAGCCCGCAGGAAACGGACAAAGTGTGCGGAAAAAGGTCTTCGGGCAGATTTCTTATATACCTCATGAGTACGAAGTCAACCTCCGATCCCCATTGTATTGCGCTCTTCAATTTCGGTGGATCAGAGTTGCCCAAGAGTCAATGAGTGGAGTAGAATGTCAGAGGCACAGGGTCTCCCATCGCAGCGTACTGTACATCGAGGTTGGCTTCGACGTTGCCGTGAGTCGAAATATTCCTCTGGCCGTCGACAGGAACGCAGGTGGGTCTGCCCGTGAGATACGGCGCAAAGTGTTTTGTGAAGAGGTCGAAATCTCCTGACTGTGGATACTACTCAATGAACCTGACAATACCGATGGAACCGTGAGTCGAAATGTTTGTCAAAGTGTTTGTTGACGGTAGGTTGTACAGTTTTACGAGACAGTCAGGCGTTATAGTGTGGTTGCAATTGTTCTGATCGACAGTTCAGGGCAGAGCCTGACCCGACTGTGTAACATCAAGGCTTTGAGCACGAACGATGCTTGGGAAGTGTGTAGTTGGCTCAATAATATTGACATGCCTAGCCACTTCATCGGGTAGAGAGTATTCCGTTGTTCTGGTGATAACGATATGTCTTCCGGTCTCTTCACGATACGTTCTGAAGGAGGCGGCCATGATTTTGTCGGCTGTGGTCACATTTGCTGTGAAATCGATCCACTCACCACTTTGGGCGATATCAGACTGGGCAACATGAAAGAAGAGGTCCGATGATGGAGAATGAATGGATGGATGGATGGTCCGATGAGAAATGGTTCGCGGGTGGCTGATTCGAGAAAAGGGGTTTCAATGGTGGGGGATTGGATGTTGGAGAAATCTATGCTACATAGCAATCACTGATGGCGGAAAGCTAGTTGATAGGGAGCTTCACGGATGTGTTGGTTGTGACGGAGGCAGAGACGAGAGCTTTGTGCTGGAAGGCATCAACAATCTCAACGACATGTTCTTCGGGCAGGAGCGATGCTCATGCATCTGACTCTTCCGCACCTCGTAAAAGCGATGACGAATTGCTCCCACTCTTCTACTGGTGCTGATGCAGAGCAACTACTTTTCATGCACTGATAGTCGATCAGCGCAAGAAGCAGACCGCATCAATGTTCTGCACATCACTTCGTCGGCGCTCATCCTTCGCATCGATCGTTCCTCTGTTGACTGCACCAACTGGACTTGCAATCAAAGGTACGTCAAGACTTGATGAAGATCCAAGCAACCATCTCTGATTGTCAAACTCCACAGAGTCGTTGCTGGAAACGCATGACATTGCTTTCCCTATACCCGACTTTCCCAAGCCCATCCCTAACACAAAGTCAAGTCGGACGCTACGACTGCTCTTACTCGTTCCAAACAACATGTCAGAAGACAGACTACCCACCACCATCGCACGCATTCAACACTTCGTAGCTCTCACCGGTGGTCTCGACGTCGCCATCATCCTATCACTCTCTGCATCTAAACCATTCTCGTCAGCAAAAGACCTCCTGAACGATTCACAAGTTGACAGCATGGACGGAGTACGCAGTTACGCGCTTCTCCAAGCGGAATTCATGACCAGACCAGAGCTCGCATGGGTACCAATTCTACCCCTAGCAAAATTAGATGGCATCGTCGATTTCGTAAAGACACATGTACAGTCGATCAGTCGGCCTAAGCCCAAGCCATCGTCTGCAGTTCGTCCCTTGGACATGTTAGCACACTGTTCTCCTGATCGGCCGTTACCCACTCTCGCTGTCAACTTGGCCTCTGATGTGTNNTTTTCTTCTTTGAGGGACGTGGTTCAAGCTGCATTCACTCATCGGACAAGCTCATCTTTACACGACTTAGACGAAGTTGCTTCATCAGACGATTCTCTGCAAAGTCGCGGAAGTCCATTCGGCGTGCTAGCAGAGCAGTTAGATAAAGAGGTCGTGGAGAGTATGATCGAGTTCTGGCTCGAGGACTGGATTATCGAGTAGCAATAGTGCACCTATCTGCACATGAGAGGAGGACGTTAAAGTAGTGCTTGAATGCTTTGATGCTTTCTCATCTATGGTCAATAGCTTTCGTTATCCATGTCTCGCTTTTGTGTGCCAAAATCACCTCAACTGATCCTTCATCTCATTGGTGACAGCCTTGATTCTGGTTTCCTTGCCCAAAGCACTCTTCTCAATGCTCTGCAATAGACCACCCATATCCTTTGCTTGGGCAACCTCCTTTCTGAACTCATTGCCCAGCGACATTAGTGTGCCGACCGCAACAAGTGCTCTGTATGCAGCCTCGCTGTCACCATCGGGCTTGATAATGTTCAATGCTCCATTGATGACGGCTGCTGCACGCTGCTCTCTGGTCTTCGACTCGGATGAAGGGGCATTAGATGTCAGCAATACAGCATAGTTGATGTACAAAGTCGCGATTGCCGTAGCCAGGTTCTTGTTGGAAGTACTCGAGAAAGGCTGAGTGGATGAGATAATGTCCTCAAAGCAGCCGTCAGCAACCAGTCTGCCTTCTTCAGTCATAAAGAGGTTGGCAAGAACACGGATAGCCAGCATGGTATTGTTGGGCTTGTCAGTGTTTGCGTCAAAGACACCACTCTTGGCGAGAGTGTCCACGATAGTGCCCTCTCCTCCACTTGTGTGCATTGCGAAACCTGATGCTACAGCGGACAGTCTAAGAAGATCGATGCCGGGCAAACGATTGGCAGATGGCCATTGAGTAGCGACTTTGGATACTGCACTAAGTTGATCTGCTTGAGGCTTGGGATCCTTGGGACTGGTCTGAAGTTGTTTGACCAGATTGTCCAAGGCTTGCAACTCATCTGGTGATAGTGCGAGGTCGGCTGACATGGTATCATTGAGCTCGCCAACCTTCTTGCGAATTGCAGACAAGTTGGCTGTAGTGATCGAAAGATATTGAGTCTGGGGTAAAGATCGTGGACGCGTATCTCCTGATGGCTCGGGAGCACCGGCCTCGCCTGGACGATAGCGGTTTTCGCTGCCCCACGGATCGGCTCCAGGTGTTTGAGTCTGCTGTTGAGACGACGCGCCAAGTGTTGCGCCTTGAGTGTTGGTGGTGATGAAACTGGCGACTTGATCAAGATAGGTCATGGGTAGCTCATTGTTGGCAATGAACTTGCTTGCCACGTCGTATGGGTTCTGACCAATGTTGTATGGTAGCTTCAAAGGAGGTGCGCCATCCGTAATGTCAACGTCAAAGACAAAGTCATAGTCTTTTCCTTCATGCGTCACCTTGCGACCGCTACTTGCAGCAGCGTCAACCACAGTTCCAACNCTTTGCAGATCTGTCAGCATGGTTTTATTGCAAGTTCGGTCAGAGATAATTACGTTAATCCATTGCTGGGCCGCAGATGACCAGGTATGAGCTGTCACACTGCCATCTTCTTCCCTGATCATCTGGACTTGGCCTTCTTTGGTGCCCGATTTTTGCTGCAAGAACTCTTCGAGGCGGTTAGTAATTGTTTCGAAATCAAAAACTGTTGCAAACGCACCTGGACCAGGAAGTTGTTCTTTGTTGATCTGTTGGCCCTCGCTAGCTGTCTGCTGAGGTATCGAAGACGAACTGACGCTCTCGTCAAATGCGCGCAAAGACTTAGCATCTGCATGGCGGCTCGGGTCTCTGCTGAAGATTCGAATGATCTTATCACTAGCACCTGTGACAATGTCGTTGGTCTCAGGACACACAGACACAGCCCAAACCGAGATTGCAGGATGCGTGATGGTTTGAATGCATTCGGTGCCCTTCCATACTCTCACAGTTCTGTCTTCGCCAGAACTAACCATGTCACCGTTGGAGAGGACGGCAAGGGCGTAGATGAAAGACGTGTGACCATGAAGTTGCGCAACTTCAACACCATCAAGGGTCCATAGTCTAATAATTTGGTCGTTGCCTGCAGAGGCGAAGGCGGCGCCGGAAGGATGGCCTTCAGGCAGCTTGCAAAGGGCACGGACAACATCAGGCAGACCAGGAATTGTCTGTAGAAGCTTGCCTCTATGAGAGAATATGCGGATAGTCTTGTCGGCGCAGCCTGTGATGATGGTACTGTCGTCGTAGATCATGACAGCCCAGACAGCAGCTTCGTGTCCCTTCAGCTCAGCGGTACATTCGCCCTTCGAGATGCTCCAAACTCTTGCTTGTGTGTCCCATCCACCACTGACCAGTGTGTCTCCATCAGCAGAGGCGTCGAGAGAGCAGACGTTGTTGGCGTGACCGATAAGCAGGCGTTCAGCGTCTGAGTCCGGACTTTGGAAGGGAGGACGGACATCGATGATAGTGTCCTTGCCAGCGGAAACCAAGAGGCCCTCGGAGTGTGCGGAAGAGGGAGCGGCGAAGGTCAGCGAGTTGACAAACGAGGTAGCTTGAACGGCAATCGTGTCATCGTATGTGGGCGGGTTGGGCGACGTGAGGAGCCACTGTCGGACGGTGCCGTCACGCGAGGCCGAGAAGATACAGCGAGCCGAAGGAGATACGACGGCGCGGACNCTGAGGGGGTTTGACAGTCAGCGCTTGGGATCTTTGATCTTGCCGTACCACTCACTTACGTCGTCTTCGTGCCCTCTCAGAGACGCCGACAGCTTGAACATGTCGGCCATGATGAGGGGAGTGTGGTTCGGCTTGTACTCGCCAGGTTTTTGGGATAACTAGAAATGTCTATAGCAACCAAGATAGGGTTGGTGCAAAAGTGCGCTGATTATTGTAGTCAAGTATAGGTACTTTCTTGGGAGTTGTTGTTTGTGCCTTAGTTCACGCTGTTCGTGATCGTCACCAGCGTTTGCCCGACGTCATCCAGAATGGTCAATCCAACGCACATCTCCATCGACTTTTCCTTGTCGCCGACCTACTTGCTATCTATTTCACCTTACAAGAACACAGCCTTGTGCGACACTGGAAATCATGCATCACTGATAAGTACATTGTACTGGTCCTCGCACATATCTAAACACAAGCGTCCGTGTCCATCGTCTGGCTGATCACCAAGCTTGACCTGCTGCTACACAATTTCCTGATTGAGTGGTCTTCTAGATTCTCCTTCCAGCCACGCTAACCCTGGAGTACTTGTTTTCACAATGACAGTCACTTCTAGCACTTTGGCCCTCTGGAATTGGCGGTGAGATGTGTCGGCTTTCCATCTCTGCCGTCCGCCGAGCTAATAAATTTGCTACACAACAAGAGGACATTACCCAGCGCCAACACCTGTGGCACACCAAATTGGTACCCTGATGGTCATCTGCCTTAGGTCATGGGAAATCAGAAACCATACCGTCCCCCTGAAAACTTCGTTGCGAGTTGCATGCCTTTCGGAGATTGTGAGGAGAGATTCTTCGGACTTCATGCTTTCCAGCGTCGAGAACGCTTCTGATGTGTTTTGTCGAAACGCCTTCGTTTCTATCCAAGCTTGGGCATGTCGATCTGAGAGGCGTAATCTTTGCTCCTATCTTGCAAGCCATCCGAAATAACCTGCAACAGGCGGCCTTGGGTGCCTGCAAGAGATCGATTTGTGGCAGACGTGAGCAGCAACGTCCTGGATCTGTAAGTTCAGGAGATCAAACGAGCTGAGAGAAGACCGGAGTTACACATGCTGCTCTTGCAGAGCATGCCCCTCGCATGTTGGTGTAATGGCCAGTGCATCGTGGATTGGTTCGCAAGGTCTGATGCAGAACCAAGTCATACGACATTGACAACCATTGCACCTACTGCAGCAAGATTCTGTGTAGCAAGGCCACTTGTAAGAGGTGGAGTTTTGAGCTGGAGACCTCTGCAGTTCACAATGTTTGGAAATACTAGGTAGGTGCATAAACCGGAAGCTTCTCCGCATATCACTCGACCTATAACGGCAAACGGTAAGACCTCTTCTATATGCTTTCCCAGCACACCTGAGAAACACGACCGTCAACTAGCTGGTTCTGGCGCAGGGCTGAATACGATCTATAGATCATGTACGTGAGTCTGTGCAACAAATGTATCTTGGGACTGAGATGCCCTGTCCCAGACATCCCATACCCAGGTTCACTGTCAATGCATCAATAACATGGCCATGTTTCAGACTTCACAACCAGAATGTCGTCTAGTGGCTGACAGGCCACGCCTACAGCCTTGTGAGTTGAGACGCGGATGGTTCGAACCATGACTACGGCGCCATGCCTCGAGTCGTCCGTGTGCAGAAGCCCTGCCGCTGCTGGCACGCGACTTGTCGAGACCCTGCAGCCAGGCTTTGGGCCCTTCGACCACACTTGCATGGTCCCAAAGATCGTCCTCTCCACATGGCAACGGTTCCAACTCTCTTGCTCTTTTGAGTTTTCACAACCGTCGACAGGGAATAGTACAGTCAAGTGAGAAGGCGGTCAGAACAGCTCTGTATTCTTGTACAAGCAGCTGGATCACTTCCAGCTCAGGTCATCGTCGATGTCGTCAAGTATTTTCGCACAATCCTACAGAGCCATCTGGGCTTGTGCGAACCATACGATGCGGAGTGGGCGCAAGCCAGAGCTTAGTCGCTTTTACTTCAGCCTATCAAGCAGAGGGTGAATTTTTCCAAAGCAGTGCCCATGCACGAAAGACAAAAAAACACAGAGTCGGTCGACGCACATGCGAGATGCCGAAGCATGAAAGGACACGCCGAAAGTCACTTCCGCGTGTGGAGGCCCCTGAGCCTGGAGGTGGTGATCTAGATTTTTGGGCAGTGTTGATCGCCAACCATTATTAAAACGAGCAAACACCCCCTCGACCAACTCGATAGCTAGTCCAGTCCTCAATCAAGTATTCTCCTTCTTCAGACTTTCGTCCCAAGCCGCAAACGTCGTATACGGTAGCATCTCTACTGCCACGCGCCGCTGCCACAAGCACTAGCGCCCTGAACTCTGGTCACTGTGGGGAACGCCGGCCGAGTGATAGCCATTGGCGTTCGCGATCGCAGATTGCTGCAATCACACACACAAAAACACTTTTGACGTAGGTCGGCAATGGGCACTCCCATCATCACCGACACCACGGCGACTCGGCGGAGCACCTCGGTACGCGTCAGTGCCCAGGGCGACCGATCGTCTTGTCAGGGTCACGCGTTGAAATAACAAGTACTGGCTGCTCTGGGTCTGGGCTTACTTATGTCACAGCTTCCCTCGACCACCATCGCTTCACTGTTTATCCAACCAACACCTCTACTCACCACTTCTGTGCCATTTTCTGAAGTCCAAAAATCTCGCTCTATCCGTTCTCGACACGAAGGATCTACATTCTTCTGAGAAAAATTCTCCATTGTCAAATAACCTTAAGGGCCTCGCTGCACCATCGGCTCTCCACCTCATACCCCGAAGAGCATCCTGTCCGTCATGGAATCCCCCAGGAAGGAATTGATGTCTGCCCTCTCCACGTGAGTCCCTATTGCGGTTGTTCCTGTTCCCGTCTGCTCGGTCGCTGATCATGACTAGGNNCTCCACTTGGGTGGTAAATATTCTGATCTTACCATCAAGTGCAACTCTCGAGAATATGCCGTCCATCGAGCCATTCTTTGTTCGCGGTCTGGATTCTTCGATGGAGCCTGTAGCAACCAGTTTCGCGAGGCTCAGACCGGTCTGATTGACCTGAGCGAGGAAGATGAAGAAGCCGTCGAGCACATGATCCACTGTAAGTCCCTGAATATTCGGATGCGCCGGCGTGGTCCGCATTGCAGCTGGTCATTTCCCTCGACGCCACGTTATGCATGCTGCAGCCTGCTGCCGTGTTAGTTCTCCTTTTTCTGACACAGGCTGACGGATGTTTTAGACTTCTACCACCTGGACTATCTTGTTTTCGAGGACGAAGAGGAGCCAGCTTCTCCTGTCTTCCGTCACCGTGCGCAAGAGGCCCTCCGTCAACGACCGCAAAAGCTTGACCTGTCTCACATCGTGGACCCCCTTTTCGCTCAAGCCGCTGCTTGCGCCCCGCCCACGCCAGTCACGCCGTCGACGGAAGGTGTCGGTTCCCTTTCACGCTCGAGGCATGACTTGAGCGTTAACCACTCGCCACGTGCAACGAGCCCGANNAAAGGCAAGAGCGGACTTCGCGGTACTGGTCCCGGCAGTGCTTCCAACTCTGGATCTGAATGCGAATCTGATGAGGATGAGGAGTGCGATTATGAGACCGATGAATCGAACCTCCTCACTCATACCCGCGTTTATGCATTGGCGGAGAAGTACGACATCCCTGCTCTGAAGGATCTTGCGAAAAGCAAATTCGAGATGGCCATGGCTTGCTACTACGATTCGCCAGAGTTCGCCGATGCCATTGAGGAAGTTTACTGCTCGACCATCGACAGTGATCGCGGTCTTCGCGATGTTGTTATCCAGGCTTTCAGGAACCACCCTCAGCTTGCCAGCACCCAGGATGTTTTCGGCGTCATCAAGCGCACTCCGACTTTAGCCTTTGAGCTTTGGAAGACTGAGAGAGGAATTCCGGTTTGAAGCAGCTCGGATTTGGCAAGTGAGGTCGGTCAGAGGTTACACAACCCCGACGAATCATCTTGCCAGCGAAACAAATCTTGCATACTGCACAGCGTTACTTCGAACAACAACGAGACGTCGTGCCACCGAGTGCGACAGAGTCACGACACGTCGACCATGTCGAAAGCTTTTTACGTCCGTGTTACATCCATAGCTTCGCGGCATTGAATCTACAGGAGTGCGGCATTGCATCTGTAGGACTGCGATACTTCATTGCGGCGCAGCAACTACACGTCCAGTGGTGCGCGAAGAACGGTTCGAGGAAGGAGAGGGATGAAGCCTTGGCGAGGAAATCGATTTCTGGGCATGTGATGGCGACGGCGCTTGAGAGAAATATCATACCCATGGGGAGAACTTTGTTTTGGGTTAAGTGTGGCCACGACCCATGAGCGTTTTTTTCGTGGAGTTTCGAAACATGGGAATTGCTTTTAGGCACGATACGAGGAGTACAATACCCAATTGCATCTGCAGCTCAAACCCTCCCTCGCGAATGAAAAGTAAAGTGCATGGAGAAACAGCAGGGGTTACAAGGTACAGGCTGCATGCGATGGGGTTGTTCCTTTTGCATATCGACCAATCCACTGCTCTACAAGCAGTGGAACCATGTGCAAGGGACGACACTTCCAACGCTGACTGCTTCTCAAGCGCATACCTTGACATGTCGCGCCAGCTGCCGGCCATCTTTACAGCTCACCCTGAAGAACTCAATCCTCTGTCATCTCTTGTTTCTCGCATCTTCAGAGCCTTTCTTGGGCAAAGATGCGGGGTTGGTTCGAATGGAGGGGCATCAAGGCCACGTGTGTCAGCATCCCTGTCGCGCATCCCTTCTGTCTTTCTACGCTGAACTTTGAAGGTCTGGACAAGTGACCCAAGTTTTGCTTTCTGTGGGAGGTGCGGAACCACGCGCCATTGGTAGTGTCGCTAGACGACTGCAAGAAGCGATCACCATTTTGTCACACCAAGCTGCTGTTGCTGCGTTGCTGACAGTTTTCTTTTGTATGTGAAGGAAGGAAGGGAGTCGTCGGCCTTGAGAAAACAGAACAAAAAAATTCTTGAGATTTTCTGACGCTTTCCCTTCCGAGGAGCTGGTACTTTTTACTGGTCTTGCATGAGTGGGCTTGCGCCGCCCGTGTTTTTTGTGTGTCTTTTTGACATCCTTCGCTTGATCTTTGGCTTCCAGAGTCGGGAAGAGCGAGGAATGCGCAGGCGAGAAGGAAGGAAAAGTCAAACCGTGTTTCTTGAGGGCTGAGGTAGGCGGTGGCTCCGAGAAGCAGCTAGAATGGACACCAGAAGCTCTTTCCGCATTCTACCTTGAAGTCTGTTGCAAGCCATTGCCACCTTTGCCATGGGTTCACGGAGCTGAAAGGAAAGCACAATCTGAAACATGGGATGGGAGCATGCATTGCATGCAATGGCTTGGAGAAGTGCATTGTGGCGATGGTTCGTTCCCTCAGCCCAACTATCAAGGCCCCTTAGCACGGCAATTCGATGCTCCAATCACTCCCGCACCCCTGAATGCAAGCGCGACAATGAAGAACCCCGTCGCTGCAAAGCCCACGTTGAGCCATTGGGCCGCGTGCAAGCCATGCAGGTAGGCATGGTCTTCAACATTTGCTTCCATGTGGACGACACGCGTTCCCTCCTGACTGCTCTGCACGGCGACTTGAATGGCAGTGCCGATGGCTAGACCGATGGCTCGTCCGATCTGACCCAGCGCGTTGACGAGACCTCCGCCTAATGCCTGGTCCTCGGGCGGAAGGTTATGCGCGACGAGAAGGAGTAGCGAGGGAAACAAGGTATCTGCGCCAAACACGGCCAAGCACATGGCTGGAAAGCCATAAGCCCAGTACGTCTCTGTCGGCGGTATTGGGACCGCCATAAGCCTGTGAGGTTGCAAGTCAGCATACGATTACGAAAAGTCAAGCATGTTTGTAGTGCTGCTGAAGCTTACAAGNTTTGCCAATCCTACGCAAGCCATCCCCCACATGAGTAAGAAATGTATCGGGACTCTGCTCAGGAGTTGTGAAGTCACCAGGACTGTAAGTATACCTACGACGCCTGTGGGTATGAAGCGAAGTGTGGTCTGGATGGCATTCAGCCCGAGATACTCTTGATAGAAATAGGTCGAGAAGATGAGATAATTGTTGAAGGCCGAGAAGAAGACGGCCATTGCTAACATGGCGGCAGAAACCTTGAGACGCTTGAACAGAGTAATCTTCATCAGAGGACGTCGCTCCGTCCGTTGCTCCAGATATAGTTGCCAAACGACAAAGGCAACGATGAACAGAATCGACAGTACAATCAGAACAGGGATATAAGGCTTGCTCCAGCCTACGACGTTGCCCTCGGCTAAAGCAAAGAGCAGCACCAGAACGCCAACCGTCACCAGAAAGGCTCCTATCCAATCCACGGACTTCTTCAGTTCGGCGTCTGGTCGTGGTGGCGGTATTGGGATGATGAAGTAACCGGCTATTGTGACCAGGAATGCCATAATGGAGAGGATCCAGAATATCCAGCGCCAAGAGGCATATTGAGCAACAAGCCCACCCAACAGATTGCCCATCACAGAGCCCATGGGAGCACCTGCAGAGTACAGTGAGAAGGCGTAGTTGCGAGCCTTTCCAGGAGGGAACGTAGCAGACAGGATGCCGATAGCGGTCGGGATGTTGCCAGCTCCGCCAACACCTTGTAATCCCCGGAGTAGGTCAAAGGCAATCTCGTTGGTCGCAAACGGATTGATCAAGGTGAGTATGGCGACCCAAAGTGATCCTAGGATAAAGATTGGTCTCTTGCCATAAACGTCGGCGAGTTTACCCCATAACAACAGGAAGCAGCCAAAGGATAGAGAGTATGCTGAAACGATCCATTGCTGTCTGGCTACAGGTATGTCGAGTGCTTTGCCAATGCTAGGAAGTACAATCACGACAGCCTGGACGGTGAGAGTGCTNGCATTCATGTCAGCTGTCGAGCATTACTTTGTCGACGTGGGAGATACTGACTTTAAAAATGCCGCTCCGGTCAGCGTAGCCACCAGGGCGATTGTGCGAGCCTTTGATAGCGGAGGCTGCAGCGAGTCCGCGGTCGGCGACTGAATTGGTTGTTCGCCCAACTCCACCTCGATTTCATGGTTCTCTGCCTCCTTCGACTGCTGCTCGGCCGAAAGCGGAGAAGAAGCGTGACTTGTCTCCTTCTCAATCATGACTGAACGGTTCCGAAGAACGATTAAAGATGTGGAAGAAACGAAAAGAATGGACAACACATCCTAAAGCACACACATTTGACCGCAAAAGGCCTTTGCGCGCGTGTGGGACAACAGGCGCATACAAAGGTGGCAGGGAATGATTGGATTGTCGTCCGTACTCGCGCAGTCGTTCGGATGTGAGCGACGGTAGTTCCAACGTTTGGCTGAAAATGTTCGGGGTCGCCGACGTGGTTCCCAAGCACTCCGTACGTAAGGTGATTGAACTTACACTCACTGTTTATTCATGTAATAGAAGCCCCTACCTCAAGAGTTTGACGATGTCGTCGGACAATCTCCTCTTGTGCCAAAAACTGGCACGATCTCGCGGTCGACCCTTCTCCCACTGTAAAGTATAGTGGTGTTGTAGGCTATCAAGATGCACAGTTGCCTTCCGATTGGAAGCGTGACGATGGAGATAGCCTAGCATAGCGTCCCCCTTTATGGATAGCAATTCGAAAGTGATGTGCATCTCTATGGCTTTGCTACGACAGTTCTTGGCAGATGGAGAGAGACTCCTGTCAAAATGAGGGAAGACCGGCATCTCGGGTGAGTCGGACATCAACTACCTATCTCCGTGTCTAGAACTTTAAGAATGATGTAACCAGAAAGCTATATAAACAACTGCCGTGGATTTGGATCAAGGCCTCAGTTCTTGATTACCTCTACAACTATAGTTCTCATCAACACAATGCCTTTTAACTACAACAAAGTCCTTGTCCTCGGTGCCACATCTGGTATCGGATGGGCTCTTGCAAGCAAGCTGGTCGAGAATGGCACTTCTGTAATCGTTACCGGCCGCAGACAAGAGAAGCTTGACGAGTTCGTCTCTCAACATGGCAAGGAGAAGGCTGAGGCGGTCCAATTCGACATCACACAGCTGGACAAGATTCCCAAGTTCGTAAAGGACATCATGGAGTCTCACCCAGACATCGACAGCATCTTTCTCAACTCTGGTATCCAGAGAGGGTTCGACTTTTCCAAGCCCGGGAGCATTGATCTTAGCTCAGTGTCGGAAGAGATGAACACCAACTACATCTCATACATCCATTTGGTCACTGCCTTTACTCCGTACCTTCAGAAGCAGAGCAAGCAGACTTCCTTCATCTTCACCACATCTGGACTAGCTTTGGTAAGTACCGAATTGATTGCGATCACTCGCCAATGGTCATGTTCCAATCACCCGAGGACTTCGTTATTATGACGGCATCTCGTGTTGTGATGTTCGTTGTGATTGGAACTTGACCGAGTGAGGGGCAAGAAAAGTCGCACGAAGCAGTATGCTAACCAATGTTTCTAGGTGCCTATGATCAGATGTCCCAACTACTGTGCTTCCAAGGCTGCTCTGCATCATTTCATCCTGGTGCTGCGTGAACAGCTCAAGAACGGACCCGGCAACATCCAGGTTATCGAGATCTTCCCTCCAGCAGTGCAAACCGAGCTACACGACGAGAAGCACCAGCCGGACATCAAGAACGGTGGACAGATCGGTATGCCCCTGAAGGACTTCACCGAGGCCACATGGGCCGGACTCGAGGCTGGCAAGGATCAGATCCCGGTTGGCATGTCGGAAGGCCCGTTCAACGGATGGGAGCAGGAAAGGCAGAAGGCGTTCCACGGTATGAATGCCCACATCGCCAAGATGATGGCACAGCATTCGTCGTAGGGGCAGCACACACAAATACTAGTATATCTACATAGACGGAGAATAAAGACAATAGGAACACGACGTGACGTTGCAGGAGGCTTGGCCAGGCCGCATTGCCATGTGAAACATAACGCGACGACACGAGTGCACTGCCCAGCCTCGATCTCGGACTCGATTCCCTCAGCGACTGTTTCCTAATATCTCTCCCTCTCTCTCTTGCTGTCATTCTTGAGTCGAACAAGAGCACTAACCCAACAAATCTCAATCATGGCACCCCTCGAAGAAATGCAGATTGCGCAGCTCAACCGGTCCATCCGGACGATCAAGGCGGTGCGGAGACACTGCAATGTGCAAAGCGACCAAGCAACGGCCGACTGACGGATGAACAGGNAACTCGAATACTTGTGCGACGCATCTGTCATTACACCGCAGCAGCTGTCGTCGCTGCTGTCACAGATCCCCGCCCAGACCGCTCTGCATGCGCCCTTGTCCGTCGGCGCCGTCCCTGGCGCCGTCCCTGTCAATGATGTCGCCCCCACAGCGCCCATGGCCAACCTGAACATCAACAGAGACGACGAGAAGAAGCACGGCAACAATTTCTACCAGCCCTCGCCAGCAGCCACCCCTGCTCCTCCTCCGGCCTATGCTGCTCCTCCGCCATCCATGCCTCCGCTTGCTCAGGCCACCGCTTTGTACGCATACAATGGCACCGATCCTGGCGATCTCGAACTCCACCCCAACGACCACATCAACGTTACCGAGTACATGAACGCCGAGTGGTGGAAGGGCAAATCTTCGCGCACCGGCCAGGAGGGTATCTTCCCTCGCTCATACGTCCGTGTCATCGAGAACACTCTGCCGCAAGCTGCACCTACAAACTACGGCAACATGCCTCTTGAGGTCAGTGGCCAGGGCGATGGCAGCGGCAAGGTGCCCAGCAAGGGTGAGGAGATGGGCAAGAAGTTTGGCAAGAAGGTAACGTTCATGTGTGCACGTATGTGGGCTATTGACACTAACGACCCTCACAGCNTTGGTAACGCAGCCATCTTCGGTGCCGGTGCCACTATCGGTGGCAACATTGTCAACTCCATCTTCTAGTCCTTCTGACTGCTGCATACGGCTGAAAAGCCTCTACTCCTTTTTCATGTTTGGCGTTGGAGGTTTTGATTTTCCTAGGACCTGCAGTTTTTGCTTCATCAGAATTAGTCTGGAATCACTCAACCATCTTGTGGCATCTGTAATCACCATGATGAAACCAACTTTTCTCTATCACTTTTCCTCTGGTTTCCAAAACTAGAGTCGGATGATGATCCATGTCTAATATGCTTTTGCTATACAGAGGTGAGATATATATCGTTGCAGGGTATCTTGAGAGGTGTGATGTTATGTACAGGGTGCGGATCTGACGCTGGCCAGTCGCTCATTGGCTTTGCTCCGCCGGCGAGGTGGTTTCTGCTTTCTCTTCGTTGTCTAGGCTTCTTATGGATTTGGAAAGTTCTGCCTTTTGTGTCGCAGGATCTTGAGTCGTCAAACTTGCAGTAGATTCGTCCGTCTTCTCGTCGTCCATACTGCCTTCTCCAGGACTTGGTAGTGGTTCGTATTTTGTTTTCAGTCGTTCCACCTCTGATTTGAGATCGATGATTTGGCGAGTGTGGTCTTCCAAGGCATCCAATCGGTCTTCTACACCCTCCCTTCGAGTGCTCTCCTTCCTCCTCGTGCGCCATTGGTCCCAGACAAGCAGGCCGACTGCCACAGCGAAGATGAAAGATTCTGAGAGGAAGTTGGCGCCTAGTTCGATGGCTCTGGATTCGGAAAGCGGGCGGATCCTGGGTTTTGACGGAGCTTCTGCCTTCTTCTCTTTGAGGTCTGCTGCAGCTGCGTCGTCTGCTTGTTGTTGGGTTTCTGTCTTGACGGTTGGTGTCTCGGTCTGTCTCTTTTTGGCAGCGGCCTCTGCAGCTTCTCGAGCGTGCATGCGTTCCTGAGCGGCAGCGTCGTGTAGGATCCCCAATCGCATGCGCATGTCTACCCGATGGAGGCCCTGGGCAAAGCCCACGCAGTATCGACGGAAGGTGTCATGTTCTCTGGCGGACTGCTTGATGCGATTCNNTGCCTGAAAGTCAGATTGTGCATGCATTGAGAAAGATTAGATGGTTCATACGCCTATGGGCTTTGCAACAGTACGAATGACCAGAGAGGCAAGCTTGAAGGTCAACGACATTTCCAGCAGCAAAGATCCGAAGAGCAGAAACAAAAGTCGCACAAGTCAACAACAGCGTTCAGGGCATGACGCAGGCCTGGGCAGGGTTCAGCGGTCGAGGTCGGCACTCGGAGCGTCGGCGGCGCTTGGACCGGCCCCGTTGCTGTGCGGGTTCGCGTGGGTAAACAAAATAACATGGCGCTGGCACTCAGCAAGCTTCTCTGCCCCAAGTCACGACCAGCCATCCACCAGCATCCTACTCGCAGCAGATACTAGCCATGTCTGTCCACGCGGAGCCTCCGCCGTCTATCGTCTCGGAACCGCATGGCATCAACTATGCTACCTCCAACCAACTGGGCAAGGGCGGCTTCGCCATTTGCTTCAAGGCCGAACGTCTCGAGCGCGACCAGCCCACCGGCCATCTGGTGGCTCTCAAGATTGTCAAGTCCAGGATGGAGCCCGCGAAGCTAGCACAGAAGGTGCGCTCTTTTCACTATTCCATCGCATGCTGTCTCGACCTGTTCTGACCTGCCTTTTCCCTCCAGTTCATTACCGAATTGCAAATCCATTCCAAGCTGTCCCACCCTAACATTGTAGGCTTCCACCGCGCCTTCTCTTTTGGCGAGAGCACCTACGTCGTCCTAGAACTTTGCTCCAGCGGCTCGCTTGCCGACATGCTGAAGCGTCGCAAAAACATCACTATGCCCGAGATCCGTCGCTTCATCATCCAAGTCTCTGGTGCCGTCAAATATCTGCATGCGCGCAACATCGTCCATCGTGACCTCAAGACTGGAAACCTTTTTCTCGACGAGAAGATGAATATCAAAGTCGGCGACTTTGGCCTCGCCGCCCTGCTCGTTAGTGGAAAGGACATGGACGCCAAGCGACGAACCACCATGTGCGGCACTCCCAACTACCTGGCTCCCGAGATCCTGGAAAAGGGCAAAGGTCATAGCGAGAAGGTTGATCTGTGGGCTATTGGCATCATCGCGTAAGCTCATTCGGCCTGTTTCGCGTCCTGTCGCTAACCTGAATAGATACACTCTTGCTGTCGGAAGGGCCCCATTCCACGCATCATCCAAGGAAGAAATCTACAAGAAACTAAAAGCAGGCGACTATTCATGGCCCGAGTTATCATCAATCACAAACGAAATTTCTGCAGACCTGCGCGATTTGGTCTCGTCTCTGCTGGTTACCGAGGAATTGCGCCCCTGTCCGGATCAGATTGTTTCGCATCCCTTCTTCAAAATCGCCTTTGTTCCTAGGCAGATGAGTCGTGCTCAGGTCAGCAAGGTTCCCACATGGCCCAATGTTCAACCGCCAACCCCCGAGGTGCTTCAAAGAGGCTATAGCGAATCCTGGTGGCATGTCTGCAAGGAATCTGGAGTTGGCGAGTACGCTCCAGGCAAGTGCTTCCAGCTCAATGCAGGCAAGAAGATACGCAGCATTGTGAGAGACATCGAGAGAGAGGTTGCCGCAGGCCGACAACCCGTAATTCCAATCCCATCAGACACAGTTTATACGTCGCCAAACTGCAATAGCATCGACGCCTTCCAGCCCAGGAATGCATTGACAGAAATCGCAGAGGAGCGCGAGCCCGATACGAGACAGCTCAAGGAGATAGCCCATAATGAGATTCGACCAGGATCCAAGGACGAGAGCGCCGACGAGAACAAAAAGAAGAAGGATGCCGAGCTGATGCCTCCTCCTGCACGCGTCAGACGAGCAGGCCCGATCCGACGGACGCGCGCAGTTCCAGATGAGAAGGAAGAAAGTGCTCCCGAGTCGACCCGCCAGTCCTCTCGCCTGAACACTCTCAACCAAACTAACACTTTGAGTCAAACTGCCTTCAGTGGTACAAACTTCCTACCGTCATCTTCGCAACCTCAGAGTGGTGAGATCATCCCAGTCTCCAAGCGAAGTGTAGACGCCAGTCTAGCACGACGTCCGCGAAGAAATGTTACCGATCGAGAGATTCCTGCTCTAGCAGATGCCATCCGCGATGATTTGGAGATTGCGCCATCGAGAACGTTAGCCACCAGAAGCTCGCGGTCAAGATCGAAACAGCCGAGTCAAGACGTGGTCGAAATATTCGATGAGCAGGAGAATCTTGGGAGACCGGCTCTGCCACCACCCCCGGCCATGACTGCCAAACTTCCAGTCCCAAGGAGGAAGATCCTGGACACAACTTCAACCTTCCCAGGATCCGACCCGACAGCAGTATTGGAGCGTCTCAATGCATTCCGTGATAATCTGGCGTCAGCTCTGGAAAGAAAGCATTTGGCGCCCTCCCGACGAATCCCGCAACAACCGTCAAAACCGCTTCCTTTCGTGAGTCGATGGGTGGATTACAGCAAGAAACACGGAGTAGGATACGTCCTAGATGACGGCACAGTGGGATGTGTCATCAACGGTTCTGCTGCGACCGGAACACCCGTAACGCATGTGGCAGTCAAGAACGGAGAACGCTGGCTTGCACGTATAGGAAAACGATTCGAGCATCTGGAACGCGTTCCATTCAGGATTTTCGAAGACCACGGAGCTGCTGGACTTGAAAAGCTTGATCTCGCAAGCAGGGATGAGAAGACGAGAGAAAGACTACGAATGCTCCGCGTTCTATGGGTGAAGTTTGGCAGATACATGAGCCAAACGCTCAATGCGACCGAGACGGCAGACTGCGCGGATGATGAAATGGACGCGGACTCAGACTTGCTGTTTGTTCGATTTTACCAGAGATCGGGCAATGTAGGTATCTGGGGATTTTCAGATGGTTGCGTACAGGTATGTTCAATCGGCGATGTTGCTGCTACAGGGACGAGATACTTACACAAGAACAGCTTCATTTCCCTGATCATACAAAGTTCGTGCTCTCCTCTGATGGTCTGCACACTTCTGCAACACTCGTGCCTGTGGAAGGAGTGCATGCGATCAACGAAAAGCATGATTTGCCGACCAAGCTTCTCAGAGACCGGCAAACGTTGGTACATTCAATCCATGCACTGCTGTATGGATCACAGCCCGGAGGACGCGGGCAGAAGCTATTCGCCGAGATGGTCCAAGCTAACATGGTCGAAGACAAGATGTGCTTACTGCTTCAAGTACTAGACCAGTGGATTCAAGGAGGTGGCCTTGGTTGCACGGGTGTCGGAGAAGAACGTCTGCAGTGGCAGGGTTCTTGGGTCAACGAGCACGCGCGCAAGATTGACTGGGTGACGGTGGGCAGACTTGGAGGCGACGAGGTCAGGTCATAACGGTCACGACCTTTTGTGTTTTGTCTTTCCGATTCTTTAGGTGCAGGATAGCGAGGCGTTTTGGGTGGGCTGGGTTTTAGCATGGGACAGTTTTTTGTGTTTCGGTTTCTCGTTTGGATACCTATGATCGCTGCCATGAATTTTCGTCTAGCAATGAATGTATAAGAGGCGAATGACTATTTCCAAGACTTTGATTGCGAATCTTTCGGAATATAGGTGCCTAAAAATGGCAAGATCTTGTGAAAAGTATATGGTGTATGGATGGCTTAGCAACAGGACATTGCGCGTACAACGTGGAGGCGGTTGAGGAGCGGATAAGCGGCGCCAAAGATATCTTATTCGAACGTCCTTAGATTCATCGGTCACCAATCGGACCCTGCATAAGAACATGGACTATCCGCTATCTGCCGGAGCACCACTTCGGTGGATGCGACCGCGGCGGCGCTATGACATCGTGGCTGGTGCTGTGACCGTGGAGCAACTTTGGGCTTCCGGATGCCTTCAATCTTAGCCAGATTACAACCAATTCTCGAAGACCTGTACACTTTCTTGTGTCTACTCTTCTGATATTCTTTGCTTGGATACTCTGACAGTCCAACATAGCCGGAGCTCTGCGCTACATCTACACAACCCCCGACTGCCCCCGCCATTAGATCGGGCCCACCATGGTGAGCCTGGTCTGCCAGCACCATCACTTCGTGTCAATTGACTGACTCTCCACCCACAGGCCGTCACCAAACGAGCCGGAAGAAAGAAGGATGCCGCCGCCGCGCAACCCGGAGCCACGGGCGGAAAGCCCCAGGTCAGGAAGGCGGCCTTCGAGTCGACCAAGAAGAAGGAAGTCGGAGTCTCGGATCTCACCCTGATCAGCAAGATCTCCAACGAGGCCATCAACGACAACTTGAAGAAGCGATTCGAGAATGGCGAGATTTATGTATGCGCGCTGTCTACTCGCACGTGTCCAGATGGGTGGATGCTGACTGTAGTCTTGCGCAGANCGTATATTGGCCATGTGCTGGTATCGGTGAATCCGTTTAGAGACTGTAAGTCATGACTCCTGCCATACGAGGCTTCAAAGTGCTGACTTGTTCGCTCTANNGTGGGCATCTATACCGACAAGGTGCTTGACAGCTACAAGGGAAAGAATCGTTTAGAAGTATGTCTCTCAGCCATGGTATGCGTCCAGCGCTGACTCTCAGCAGNNGTCCCTCCTCACGTCTTCGCCATCGCCGAATCCTCCTACTACAACATGAACGCCTACAAGGAGAATCAATGTATCATCATCTCAGGAGAGTCAGGAGCCGGAAAGACCGAGGCGGCCAAGCGTATCATGCAGTACATCGCCAATGTGTCTGGCGGCAGCAACTCGTCCATTCAAGAGGTGAAGGACATGGTACTGGCCACGAACCCACTGCTCGAATCTTTCGGAAACGCCAAAACGCTGCGCAACAACAACTCCTCGCGATTCGGAAAGTACCTCGAAATCCAGTTCAACGCTCAGGGTGAGCCCGTTGGTGCCAACATCACCAATTACCTGCTGGAGAAGTCAAGAGTTGTGGGGCAAATCATGAACGAGAGAAACTTCCACATTTTCTACCAGTTTACAAAGGCATGCTCGGAGAACTACAGACAGACCTTCGGCATTCAGCAGCCTCAGTCCTATGTCTATACTAGCGCATCGAAGTGCTACGACGTACAAGGGATTGACGATCACGCCGAGTTCCAGGATACATTAAACGCTATGAAGGTCATTGGATTGTCGCAAGCTGAACAGGATGATATCTTCCGTATGCTTGCCGCAGTTCTTTGGCTCGGAAACTGTACATTTGGCGAGGACGACCAAGGAAATGCCGCAATTGCAGACCAGTCTGTGGTTGACTTTGTCGCCTACCTTCTAGAAGTCGACTCGGCTCACGTCAACAAGGCCTTGACTATCAGAGTCATGGAGACTAGCCGTGGTGGCCGAAGAGGATCGGTTTACGACGTGCCACTCAACCCGGCGCAAGCAACCTCTGTCAGAGATGCTTTGGCTAAGGCCATTTACTACAATCTTTTCGACTGGATTGTCCAAAGAGTCAATGTATCGCTCCGGGCTAAGGGTACAGTTGCTCAGTCGGTCGGTATTCTGGACATCTACGGATTCGAGATTTTCGAGCGCAACAGTTTCGAGCAGCTCTGTATCAACTACGTCAACGAGAAGCTGCAGCAAATTTTTATTCAGTTGACTCTCAAGGCCGAGCAAGAAGAGTATGAGAGGGAACAAATTACCTGGACCCCGATCAAATACTTCGACAACAAGGTTGTGTGTGAGCTGATCGAGGAAAAGAGACCCNCTGGCGTTTTTGCAGCATTGAACGACGCTTGTGCGACCGCCCATGCTGATCCCGCAGCGGCAGATGGTACTTTTGTGCAGAGACTGAATGCTTTGTCCTCGAACCCGAATTTCCAGCCAAGACAAGGTCAATTTGTCATCAAGCATTATGCTGGTGATGTTGCCTATGCTGTTGAGGGCATGACAGACAAGAACAAGGATCAGTTGTTGAAGGATATTCTTAATCTCTGCGGACAGAGCTCGAACAACTTTGTCCATACTCTCTTCCCTGAGCAGGTCGACCAAGACAACAAGCGCCGACCACCCACTGCTGGTGACAGGATCAAGGCCTCCGCCAATGACCTGGTTTCTACGTTGATGAAAGCATCGCCCTCTTACATTCGCACGATCAAGCCGAACGAGAACAAGTCACCTACCGAGTACAATGTCGGAAACGTCATGCATCAGATCAAATACCTTGGTCTTCAGGAAAACGTACGCATTCGTCGTGCTGGCTTTGCGTACAGACAGACATTCGACAAGTTCGTGGAGCGTTTCTACCTTCTTTCGCCGAAGACAAGTTATGCTGGAGACTACACCTGGACCGGCGACGCCAAGTCTGGTGTCAAGCAAATTCTCAAGGACAGCAGTATTCCTATTGAGGAGTATCAAATGGGTGTCACGAAGGCTTTTATCAAGACTCCAGAAACTCTCTTCGCACTTGAGACTATGCGTGACAGATACTGGCACAACATGGCCATTAGGATTCAGAGAGCTTGGCGCAACTATCTTCGCTACAGGATAGAGTGCGCAACACGCATTCAACGCTTCTGGAGACGCAAGACCGGTGGTATGGAGTTTATTCAACTTCGCGACCAGGGTCACCAAGTACTTGGAGGCCGCAAGGAGCGTAGACGCTACTCTCTGATCGGTTACAGAAGATTCATGGGAGACTATCTTGGCATCGGAAACAGTGGTGGATCTGGCGAGATGATCAGAAAGTCGATCAATCTGCCCAGCTCTGATCAAGTGCTATTCTCGTGCCGCTGCGAACTCCTCGTCTCCAAGCTTGGACGTTCTAGCAAGCCAGAACCGCGTTTCCTCATCTTGACCAACAAGAGTGTTTACCTGGTCAAGCAAGCTATCCTCAACAAGCAATTACAGATTATGGCTGAACGCACAATTGCTATTGGCGCTATCAAGTTTGTCAGCGCCTCTACGCTGAAGGATGATTGGTTTGCGATTGGTGCTGGCTCTGCTCAAGAGCCTGACCCGTTGGTGAACTGCATCTTCAAGACTGAGTTCTTCACAATGTTGAAGCAGGCTTCGCGTGGTACAGTCGACATTCGCATTGCTCAAGAGATCAGCTACAACAAGAAGCCTGGCAAGCTCGCAACTGTCAAGGTTGTCAAGGACCAGACTGTTGCCCGCGACGATCTGTACAAGAGTGGTACTGTGCACACTGGACCAGGTGAGCCTCCTAACTCTGTGTCGAGGCCTACGCCCAAGGCCAAGTCGATACCTGGCAAGCCAATCACCAGCGGTAAGCTCCTCAGACCTGGAGGTCCTGGCGGCCAGCCCTCAAAGCTTGCTGCCCGTCCAGCGCCTCAGTCTCGACCTGTGCCGCAAGCTCGCCCTCTACCAAGCGGAAACCAAGGATTGCCAGCAGTTATGCCCAGTGCAAACCAAGCACCGTCAGCAGGTCTGCCCACTAGGACCCAAGGAAACCCAGCAGGTCTACCTGGGCTAGTTTCAACCCCTGAGGCTGCCGCCGCTGCTGTACAAGCCGCCATGGGTATGGGTCAGAAGCCAGTACCCGCGCCTGTCGCAGCACTCAACGGTAGTGGACATGCGCGCACACCATCAGCAGGGTCGGCACGCACTCACTTGCCTCCACCACCACCACCACCTCCTGCTGCTGCGCCAAAAGAACCACAGTTCAAGGCCATGTACGACTTTGCTGGACAGACGAGCGGAGAGCTAAGTCTCACCAAGGACGAAATTATTCTGGTAACCCAAAAGGAAAACAACGGTGAGTTTTGTCGCTTTGAGGTTACAGAAAACAATACTAACGAATCACAGNGATGGTGGCTTGCGAAACGAATGGATGGCTCGGCGTCAGGATGGGCGCCATCGGCATACTTGGAGGAGGTGGTGGCTAAACCAGCACCTCCACCTCCCCCACCAGTGCAGCAGCGCTCAATGCCTCCTGCACCGCCCAAGGCAAATGGTGCTGTAGCTGGTAAGAAGATGCCGCCGCCACCACCAACAAAGCGACCGGCGGGACGTAAACCCGCGCCCCCCTGCGCCAGGGAGGCAGCGGTAGTGGTACAGATAGCGGTACATCGACACCACCAACAGGAGGTTTGGCGGGAGGGCTGGCAGAAGCGCTGCGAGCACGATCAAAGGCAATGAGACAAAACGAGGAGGACTGGTAAATGTTTCAGAAAGACGCAAAGCAGCAGTTCAAATATGTAGTTTGTTTCGTTAAAAATTGTTTACAAAGAAAGATATTTTCACATTTCCTATTATACAAGCACAAGGCAGCGGATGTTTTTACTTCTTAGGGGCAGCGGCGGGCTTGCGTGCAGCGGCCTCTGAAGGCAACAGGCTACCGATCTTTCTGAGCAGCTTGGTCGAGTCTTTGTTGAGATATGTGCCGTTGCGGGAGATGGTGCGGGCGATCTCGTTCAAGACCTTGTTCTTGTGCGGTGCGGCCTTGGGGTCTGGGTATGCGCCGCGGACGAACTTGTCAAATATGACGGACTGACTGTTGGCGTTGAGGGCGGAAAAGTTGAAGTCTTCCTTCTTTACTGTTGCGAGCACGGCTGCTTTTTCCTGCTCGTCCTTGAAGGAGACGAGGTTGCCCTTGATCATGCGCTTGGCGATGTCGGGGGCGTAACGGAAGTCGTCCTGTTGGGCTTCGGCGACGATCTTGATGCGGTCTTCGATGACACCGGCAAAGTTGCCGGCGGCGATTGTGGCACCGCCTTGGCCGAGCTTGAGGTACTCGTCGCGGGACACGGTCTCGGGTTCAAAGGGCACGGCGGTGACTTCTTGCTTGTCGAACTGCTCGAGGATGGTGAGTTCGTTTGCGGTGGACTCGCCCATGGGGTCGGGACCGAGTTCGTCGCTGCCGTCGACTTGCATGTCTTCGTCTTGTGCTTCTTCGTCGTTGGCTGCCGCTTGCTTTCCTCTGGGTCCGCGCTTGGTGTCTCTGACCACGGCTTCGCCGCCTTCGTTGGGGTCTTGCACAGCGACTGAGGCTGTGTGTTCGGATCGCGATTCGTTGGCGGCGCGGCCGGCGCGGACAGGGCGGCCGGGGCTTTGTGCGAAGGCGCTCTCGCGGGTTGTAGAGTCGTTTGCTCCCATGGGGCCGCTTCCGCCCACGGCCTCTGCGTCCACGTCCTTGGAGCGTGTGGTGGGGTAGACACTGTTGTTGCCGCCAGACACGGTAGCGGCGGTGCTGCCGCGGTTCAGCATGCGGACTTCCTCAGAGACCTGGGCGGCGCGTTGTTGCCGTGAGCGGCCGGTGGCAGGTTGATTGTGCGGTGTGGGTGTGTGTTCGGGAGCCGGGTTTGTCGCTNNGTTGTAATACATGGTCAATCATTGCTTTGCAGTGGCCGATATGGGCAGTAAAAGCGTACGCATGGTGTTGGAGCCTTTTTCCTGGCCTCTTTGGCGGTCGGCCCATCTGAGGTCGCTACGGTAGCGGGCTGACTGCACGCGCAGACTGACGGGGCATCGTGGCCTTGCCGATGACACGGCCGTCAGCGGTTGTCTCTTGAACATTGTGGTGGGGTGTGAATGGGCGGATACAGAAATCCAATGGCTGGCCATGTCGCTGTCTGCATGCGCCATTGTTCCAAATCTTGGCATGCGGAGGAGTTCCATGTTCCATCGAGACCTCCGAAACATCAACACCGCTCTGCCTTCTGCTCAATTATTGTCAAATCATTATTAATCTCTCATTAGCCACTGCTGATAGTCAAGTTGAATCTTCCGATTGTAACATCGAGAGTTGTTCGATCTCAGTCTCGAAAAATCTCGGATCTTATCTCCTTGTTTCCTTGAAAAGCAAGACAACAACTACATCAACACCGCCATCATGCTCCGTAGACAACCCACCAAAATCACTCTGGTCCAGGACGACATTGCTGCTTACGATGCCAATAAACTTAAAAAGGATCAGGAAAAGAACCAGCAGCAGCGTGCTGACCTCAATGCTTTTGGCAACCCGCACTTCGACCCTTCCAAAGGCCCACGAAAAGATACAAGGACCAAAGAACAGAGACTCGGTCTGTCCAGGAACTAGCCATGGATCTCCAATCTTCTTCAAGCTTGCGAGGAATTCGTTTGGCTGGGCACACTGCCTTGCTGCTTCCTTGCGTGAAGGATTACTCGGGCCAGGAATCTTCATTCCTCTGCATGCACCGGCGTCGTAAACACACATCACCTGCTCAACCCACTTACACTGCCATCTGGAATATGCCCAGCTCTGTTCTGTTCTTTTGCTTTCGAGAGACAAGTTATCTCTATCGTCAACAGCGATCATGGCGCGATTGCGATTATCCCTTCTTTTGGCTTGTGTCACTCTCTTGTTGTGTTCGTTCTCTTCGACGTTCGTTCAAGCCCAATCAGACAACGATGCTCCACTTCATACTGCAAATCATGTAAAACGTTATGGCTCAGGAGCTCCCTACTGGATGTCCGAAATCACCAGGCAAGGCAAAGTTGTATATGGCACAAACTCTTCATATGTCGTCTGGAGAAATGTCATGGACTATGGTGCTAAAGGTCAGTTTGAAAACATTCATAGCGATAAACATGCATCTAACAGACCACAGNGCGATGGCATCACTGATGACACCGATGCTATCAACAACGCTACCTACGATGGCAACAGATGTGCCTACCCTTGTGATTCGCAGACCACCGCTCCAGCCATTGTGTACTTCCCTCCAGGCACATACGCTGTCAGTCGACCACTCGTTATGCTCTACTACACCCAGTTTATCGGAGACGCCAACAATCTTCCTATCATTATGGGTCTTCCAAACTTCTATGGTATCGCTTTACTCGATTCAGATCCTTATTTGGCTTTCGGATTCAGTTGGTGGGCTAACCAAGTACTTCCACCTCCTATCTGTCTACTGTACAATGCTGATAAATTGTGCTACNAGAACAACATGTGGCGCCAAGTTCGCAATTTCGTCCTGGATATTCGCCAGATCCCCCCTGGTGTGGCTCATTGCTTGCATTGGCAGGTTGCTCAAGGTACATCGTTGCAGAACATTGTTTTTGAGATGACTGAAGGTGGTGATGACAACGAGCAAATGGTCGGTCTGCAGAACTTCAGTTTGCGTGTGTATTATTGACAATCTGCAGNNGGAATCTTCATGGACAACGGATCGGCTTTGTACCTAGAAGACCTTATCTTCAATGGTGGATCTGTCGGCTTCTTCTCTGGCAACCAGCAATTCACTTGTCGAAACCTGACCTTCAACAACTGTCAAACTGCCATATACCAGAATTGGAACTGGCTGTTCTCCTACAAGGATGTTGTCATCAACAACGCTCGAGTTGGTATCAATATGACGCAAGGTGGAGATGTTCCTACCACTGGGTCTATTACTCTGCAGGATGCGACCATGAACAACGTTCAGATTGGCGTCTCCACGACCTTCTCCACCAACTCAACACCCGCATCCGCCGGCACTTTCATCTTGGACAACGTAAACTTTGTCGACACTCCCATTGCAGTCCAGCACTCTCCTAGCAATAACATTCTCCTCGAAGGAAATCAAAGAGTTGCCTCCTGGGCTCAAGGCAGAGTCTACACCGCGTATGAATCTAGCTACGAAGAGAACAACATGACTTGTTATGGGCCTGCAGCCAACTACGCTCGTGTGCAACAGACTGTCGACCCTGCACCCAAGTCTCCATCTCTCTTGAACGCTGATGGATCAATCTTCACACGTTCAAGACCTCAATATGAAGGTGTTCCGGTTGAGAGCTTCATATCGATCAAAACTTACGGATGTGCCGGCGATGGTGTCACTTATGACACTGCATGTGTGCAAAGCTTCCTGGATTCTATCACGCCCGATCAAATCGCCTACATCGACTACGGCGCCTATGTCATTAGAGATACTATCAACTTCCCCATCCCGATCAGGGTTCAAGGCGAGCTATGGCCTTATTTCATGGTGGATGGCACCGCGCCCAGGTTCAGCGATAGAAACAACCCCCAAGCAGCGTTCCGTGTTGGTGAGCCCGGTCAAGTTGGTGATATTGAACTTGTGGAGATCATATTCCAAACCTTGGGTGCCGCTCCTGGTGCAATCATGATGGAATGGAATCTCGCACAATCGTCACAAGGTTCTGCTGGTAAGTCTAGCTTGTCATTCAGCCTCCAGCTGTCACTAACCTAATCGGCTCAGNGCATGTGGGATGTCCATTGGCGTATCGGAGGTACCAATGGCACTCAATTGCAATCATATAACTGTGCCAAGACGCCAAATACACCGACCACACCCAATCCTGAATGTTACGGTGCCTTCCTGCTCCTGCATATCACAAGGTCAGCATCCATGTACATGAGCAACAACTGGGGCTGGGTTAGTGATCATGAAATGGATCTGNCTTGGTAAGATAAAGTGTCATACTTTCCATTCTGAGATGTGCTGATCGAATTTCTAGATCATAATCAGATTAACATCTACACTGGCCGTGGAGTCTTGGTCGAAAGTCAGGGTCCTGTATGGATGTTGGGCACATCGTTCGAGCATAGCATGCTTTACAACTATCAAATTTCTGGTGCGAAAGAGATCTACATCAGTGCTCTCCAAACGGAGACTGCGTAAGTTTAGTTGTCCTCTATGTGTCTGTCTATACTAACAGATTTGTAGTNNTACATGCAAAATAACCCTAACGCCATTGCGCCATATCCACCAATGTCTAACTGGAACGACCCAACCTTCTCTGACTGCTTCACTTCCAACTGTCCCAAGACCTGGGGCTGTCGTATCCTCAACAGCACATACATCTTTATCTATGGCGCTGGAATGTACTCCTTCTTCAACAACTATGACTCTGGATGCTTGGCGACAACCAATTGTCAGCAGAAGATGGTGAGCGTCGAGCAGAGCCAAGGCATCTATATGTATGCCGTCAATACGGTGGGTTCTGCGAACCTGGTCACAGTTGATGAGGTAGATCTCGTGCCTGCGATCGCCAACGGCAATGGCTTTGCGGACACTGTGGCGATATTCGAGTATCCCTGATTGCAATGTACTGGAGGGAGATTTGTTCGATAGTCTGTTCGTCATTTGTAGCTTCCCTTTCCGGCAGCAATCTTGCTTTATTTGTATGTGGTAGAAAATGGATTATCATACGTTGATCATATTCATATTCGTACAATTTGGTGAACGCCGAAATCGGCGCTGCACCTCAAACCCCATCGCGTGAACTTCGTCGCGTGAGTTTATCAGTCATTCACAAACCAATCTACACTGCCTGATTCACTCTCGGTGTTGACCAAGCATTCAAGAATGCTGTCGCAATCTGCTAACATCTGGACGTCGCCCTATGTGCGGACTGAGGAATGTAATCGACCATCCCCGTAGAAGGAATGTTACCCAGTCGTGACAACAACATGTCAGTCCTGGGCATGTGTAGACTCTCTGATGTAGCAAGGCAAGTCTTGCTTTTCTCTCTATTGTCCACTACTACGTGAAGACACAAGGCGAAAATGCCGACCATGGCATCACAATTCGGCATGGGCGTTCTGCCTTTTCTTTCTCTTGTTTTACCTACTGTATCTCAGAGTATCCCCGGTGCAAGCCTTTTCAAAGGTGGTGGTATACCTGGATCAGGAGCATATCAATTGGTCGATGATTATCAGCCCAGTGTGTTCTTCAGTAAATTCAACTTTTACAATGTATGTTGGTCTTACGACAGGCAGTGACGAGACATGGCACTAACATCTTACAGTCATACGATCCGACATATGGCCATGTTCAGTGAGTCTGATTCATCTTGCGTGTACGGAGTCTAGCTGACGAACTCAGATATGTAAACGAATCTGTCGCCAATACGAATGGCTACGCGACAACCCTCAATGACAGCGTCACGATCAGTGTCGATACAACGAACAAATGGCCGAATGGTGGACCAGGAAGACCAGCTGTTAGGATCATCAGTGATAACACATACACCCATGGTCTCTTCGTCTTGGACCTGAGTCACATGCCGTATGGTTGTGGAACATGGCCAGCTTTCTGGCTCCTCGGACCAGATTGGCCAGGAAACGGCGAGATAGGTAGGTAAAGCTAGATTGGTGTTATACGTGAACACTAAACAAGTTTAGATATCATCGAAGGTGTACACACTAGCGACTCGAACACCGTCTCCATGCACTCAAGCCCGAATTGCACTGTTGCTGGTTCTGAACAAACTGGCCTCTTCACAAATGCCAACTGCGATAGTAATGCGAACGGCAACTCTGGATGTGGAAGCATGTCAAACAATACTGCAACCCCCAACAACTATGGCCAAGGATTGAGCGACAACGATGGTGGTGTTTACATCACTGAATGGACATCGGCTTATGTCCGTGTCTGGTTCTTCTCTCGTAACGGCATCCCTGCAAGTATCACTGGTGGCTCTCCTGATGTTTCCGAGTTTGGACTACCCATGGCAAACTTCCAAGGCTCCTGTGACATTGACAGTCATTTCGCTAACCACAGTATCATTATCAACACCGACTTCTGTGGTGCATGGGCTGGATTTGCCTACTCCAACTTCGCAAACTGTCCGCTGACAGCCGACATGAATGGCTACGACTCATGTGTCGACTTTGTGGGCAACAACCCACAAAACTTCACACAGGCGTACTGGGAAATCAACTCGATCAAAGTCTATCAACTCCCAGTCAATGTGGATCCATCCTCTGTTCCGACCAGCACTGCACCATTGACTTCATCATCACCCGTCAGTATCAGCGGTAGTATCATCAACCCTGGTATGGGTCAGTCGGCGTCATCTTTGCCTTCATCAGTGCCATACACTGGGCCACTATCTTCCGTGTCTTCTACTGTCTCATCTACAGCGACCGCGCTGGCCACGCCGCTCATATGTTTCCCATACGATGGCAAGACCTATACAGACTATAACGGACAGAACTACACCATAAATTGTGGATACGATCTCACTGGTCAGAATCTGAATGGTAATGGTCAATCAGTCAGTAGTTTCGAAGCTTGCATCGAGCTTTGCGACAGTACAGCTGGATGTGGTGGAGTTACACACGTTGGTGGCAATGGAGCTGGAACTTGCATCCTGAAGACCGGTCAAGGCAGTTTGGTATATGATGGCCACACATTTGTTGCTGTTCTGGCCTCCATCAGCTCCAAAGCCTCTTCCACGGTGTCAGCAGCGGCTTCATCAACAACCTCTCTGTCCTCTACCCCTCCGAAGACTGCTACTCTCCGACCAACCGCTCAGGCAACGACTTGCCCGGAGGCTAACAATAACGTGTACGTTGATGAGAATGTGGTCGACTACAATGTCTATTGCTCTTCAGACACAGATGCCTCTACCTTCAACGACACCACGATTGGAAGTGGTCGCTTCACGGCCTGCTTCACCATCTGCGATGTCACACCAGATTGTGTTGGGTTCACCTTCGAGGGTGCATCGGCAGGCACCTGCCACTTCAAGAACCAGTTCGGCAACGTCTTGTCGGCTCCTTCCAACTTTGTTGTTGCTTTCCTCTCGTCAGGTCAAAACTTGACTTCGAACGTCTCGTCCGTTGCTTCCACGAGTTCGATAACGGTCAGCACTAGTGTCCTTCCTAGTCTGTCCGCCTCCACGTCGTCCGTCTTAGCATCCTCGGTTCAGAGCTCCACTCTTGGTTCGAGTGCCCCTGCCACATCAATGACTGCTTCTTCTGCATCGTCATCCTCATCACTATATTCGTTGTCAACATCTCAGACCTCCTCACTCTCCTCATCGGCAACGTCGACATCGCCATTGACAACTTCATCCACAAGCCCTCAAACCATCGTCTATTATGTCGCTCCTCCATGCCCTTCGTCCAAAAGACAATATCTGTGACACTAACACACCAACGACCTGCTCGAATGCTCATGGCGCAAACTTCGACGTCAACTGCGGCAAGGCATACACCGGAACAGAGATGAACAGGAGCAAGTTACGCATCATGAAACGTGTGACCGAGCCTACCTACACTGATTGTCTCAATCTCTGTGATGGCACTTCTGGCTGTGTCGGCGTCAACTACAAAGGCGATGAATGTACGCTGTTCAGTGAGATCACGGGTACCATTCCTGATCCTGACAATGTCGCTGCTACGCTCTTACCTCCCGTACCAATCACGCCCACAACATCAGACGCTGCGACATCGACACCGACAGCATCTACACTGCCAACATCAAGCTCCAGCTCCGTCTCTCTATCAAGCAGCTCAACTACTTCCTCTCCTTCATCGTCCGCTGCATCTCCGTCTCCTGCCGTTCCGATGTGTCCTGGAGCTGCTGGGAAAACCTACACAGATTCAAACGGAGCCAACTACACCGTTGCTTGTAACATGAACGTCCAGGGAGGCGATATTTCAAGTCCCTACCGTGCTGCTTCCATTCTGGACTGTTTGCCTAGCTGTGATGTCACGTCAGGATGTATCGGTGTTGTCTACGATACGGGAACGTCTTCCTGTCAGATGAAGTCTACATTTACTGGAACTCAAGTCCCCGGCGCAAACTTCATGATCGCTGCACGTGCAGGCGCAACAGATCCTGGCCTTTCATCGTCATCGAGTTTGGTAAGCTCCACTTCGACTCCAGGAGCCAGTCTTTCAAGCGCCAGTATCAGCAGCAGTGCGACGATCACCATTACCACATGTAAGTCTTGCGTCCATCTGATTTTCATCTCCTACTGACTACCATCCAGCTTATCCTCCAAGTGCAACGGTCACTGTCGTTAGCACATTCGTCACAACAGGATTGCCTCCTAGCGGCGCTCCTGGTAGCGAGAGTACTGGCTCGGGTTCTTTGTGCTTTACTTGCTTCTTGACCCCAATCATAGTGACTGGAGGCGGCACATACGAGTCTCCTCCGGTAGCTTCTGCTACTGGTGGCGCATGCTCTACTCCGGCATCTGGTTCTGTGGGAACAACAACCGTGTTCACCACGGAAACGGTCACTGCTTGCCCTACCCCCGGCATGTGTCCACAAGAAGGCTTTGGCTGGGGCGGTACACTGTTTGGTTCCAACTTCAGCAGTTTCAGCATGGCTCCTCAAACCATCAGCGGAGGTATGGGATCTATTGGCAATGGTGGTTCCGGAGGTTCTCCTACCTCGACAGTCATCGTCACTGGCTCTGCTCCGAGCAACGGAGCCTCGGCAGTACCAGTGTGTCCTGGCTCAAATGGAAACATTTTTACCGACAGTCTGGGCCAAGTCTATGAGATTGGTTGCGGAAGACTCATCACTGACGAGACAATTTCGACCTCGAATGTGAGCTCGCTTACCTCTTGCATCGATGCTTGCGACATGTACAACATCCAGAACTTCAATTCTCCCAGCGGCTGCTTGGGTGTTTCGTTCTATAGAGGACTTGCCGCAGGCAATTGCGAGTTGAAGACTGGCTCTACCAACGTAACCTCTCCTGATGCTGACTCTGCTCGCCTCCTTTCGAGAGCGGTTGACCCAGGAAATAGCACAGCTGGTAACGGAGGTACTGGGGGTAATGGCGATTATGGTTCTGGTTCTGTTGTCGGCACTTTCACTGTATCAGCCCCTGGTGGTGTGACGACTGTCCTTGGTGGAGGTGGCTCTGGAACCGGAAATGGTGGCTCTGGAGATGGTGGCTCTGGAAATGGAAATGGCGCAGGCACGGGACCGGGCACAGGACCTGGATCCACAGTCTATGCTGTCTCGACCGCTGTATCGACCATCGTCTCCAACGGACAAACGATACTCTCGACATACGGAGTCAGCACAGCCGTCAGTGTGGTCTACCAGCCGGCAAGCACTCGAACGGTCACCACGACCACAGTGTCCATTTCGGTGTCTGAGCGTACTGTAGTCTCCACCGCTCCAGGTCAGACCGTTGTTTCTACTGCCTCAGGCGGAGGTGGTGGACAAGTGATTACGATCACAGCCGGTGGTGGCAACTACATTACTGTCACACAGGTCGTAACGAGTTATGCCAGCCCTACGAGTGTCAGTTCATCATTCACCTGCAGAACATACGCCACGAATTACCTCAATGGGCAGCATGGTCGTAAACTGATGGGGAAGAGAAGTGTTTTCGATCACCATGTGATGGGTCAATCAGAGCACCTGGCACCAATGCCTGGAGCCGTGCCCTGAGCTGTTGGTTTTGTGGCAGATTTGGGTCGGTAGCCTTAGTATTTAAGCATTTTCTTCGTTATAGTCTTGTGTAATGCAAACGTTCAGTTTCTCAATCAATCTTTTTGCTTGACTTGTTGTCTTGAACCAGCTCAGCACGTCCAGGCTCTCGGCTGAAGCGTATGGACGTCCATGATCCCTCCGGCATACACCAAAGCCAGGGTCGTATCATCAATATCCGGCATACTGCCATCTGAACCATCTATACGAAAGTGTTCAAGCACTCGGTAACACATGCGCACAGAGATGTGTCTGCATGACTACCACCACTTCTCACACAGAACCTTCCGTCTGTCCATCCCATCTCTTGTGCTCAAAAACTCGACGAACTGGTCCGTCATGGCCGGCGGACCACAGATATAAGCCAACGTCACTTGCCTGATGCTACGATCCTCTCCAATCGCCGCTTCCAAGTCATCCTTTTCGATTCTTCCCAGTTTGACGTTTCCAGGCAAGTTTGTTGCAGCATCAATCTCCTTTTGCGATGTTGCCGTGAGGAACAGATCTAGCTGAACGTCACCATTTCCTTGCTCCTTGATCAACTCCATCAATCTCGTCAAGAACAGGATACGAGAAGTTTTGATCGGTCCTTCCTCGACTTTGCTACCATAAACAAATCTCACCTTCTTCGGTCTCTGCGGCAAACTCATCAAATGCGCAAAGATGGAAATCAAAGGGTTAATCCCCACACCTCCTGCCACTAGAACCACTTGCTCTATACCAGTGACATCAATCCCCGGNGGTGGATAAACAAAACTTCCTCCCGTGCGTACGATGATTTGTTGATCCAAAATCTGATCCTCGGGTTTCCAGAGCCATTGCGCAGGAGGATTTGTGGATTTTTGAATTGCGAGTTCAAAGTAGGCTGATCGGTTTGGGGTGGGTATTCCTTGGTTTGAGGGTGTGGAGGTTATGGTGAAGCCACCTGCTTTGGACAGAGAAGGGATAAAAACGTCTAGCCATTGGCCTGGGAGGAACTTTNNACTTGCGACGAGGATTGTTAGTTTTGTATTGTTTCAGTGTGAGATTGATGGATTGGTGGGAGGTTTGGTGGTGGATTGGTCTTGTACCTTTAGTGTGTGTGAGGGGTTCAGGGCACTTAGGCGGATTAAACGAATTGTGCTGTTGACGGTGTCGATGCGGGATACGGTTACGGGTTCTAGACGTGCTTCTCGCGGTTCTTGGGCTGTGCGTTCTTCATGGCTGATAGAGGAGCGGATGGTTGCCATTGTGCGGTTGATGGAGGGAAAAGAGCAAAGAGGAGAAGAACAAGATAAACGAGATACACGAGATACTAAGAGCTTAGAGGACATAGCNAAATTGATGTCTGTGATTTCAGCAAATGTATGTTGGTTTGANTGGAGATGGAAGTCGCTGCCGGCTACTGTACCCCAATTGGGGCATGACGTTGCGTCTGTCCGGCAAGAGCACCCCGCTCCCATTCGGTGTCTGGGGATGCACGCCGGGCACCTTGACACATCTGAAGTCGTAGATTTCCCGTCTAGAGAACGATACATACCTATGGTCAAGATGACTGCTCCACTAGCCACGATAGGAGTCATCTCGATTGGCGAGATGGGACTGGGAATCGCCAAACTACTCAAAGCAAGTGGTTATCGTGTAGTCACCAATGTCACTGGTCGAAGGCATGCTATCTACATTTCCCTATCCAGAATATGAATGATAGCGACTAATACCAAGCAACNNAGTCAAGACACACATGATCGAGCGAGATCAGCATCAGTAGACTTGGTTGCTACAGATGAGGAACTGGTAGCGACCTCGGACTATATCATCTCCATTGTACCTCCGCGAGATGCCATGGCAACTGCAGAACGTGTTCTGGAAGGCAGCAAGGATGCATCCTTTGCCAAAAGAGACAAGCCACTATATTATCTCGACATGAATGCTGTCTCGCCAAAGTTGATTAGGAGCATGAGGGACCTCTTCGAAGCTGCTGGAAACAATGTGCGATTCCTCGACGGAGCTGTGATTGGCAGTGCACCCAGCCTGAAAGATGAGCAGGCAGACTCGTCCGAGCTCGAAGCGTGGAAACGACCTGGCATTCCCATGTCTGGCCCGGTCAAATTGGCAGACGCAGAACCAAGTGGTTCCCATCTCGCCAACGTACTCGGGGCTCGACACATCTCAGATGAGATAGGCGCTGCATCAGGACTGAAGATGAGTTTCGCAGCTCTGACAAAGGGATTTACCGGACTGGCCATTCAATCGTTCACAACAGCACATCGCCTCGGTGTCTTGCCAGAATTGCAGCAGCATCTACAACAGTACAGCCCAAAGACGTTTGATATGGCCAATGCTTCGATGCCTCGGATGCCACCAAAGGCTTACCGCTGGGTTCGAGAGATGGAAGAGATCAACGCCACTCTGGCAGAGGACGGCGGATTCGAAGACCAAGAGTCAATCTTCAGTGGCATTGCTAAGACTTATGAGTTGGTTGCTCACGGCACAGACCTAGGCCAAGAGAAGACTGAAAGTAGGAACAGAGGAAAGACGGCCGAGGACGTAGCATTACTGATAAGCGAAGGCATCGATAGACGAAAGCAGAAGATGGATTAGAAAACCTCGCATATAGAAGATAGAACCCATATGATTTCCAGCGAAAGATAAACAGAAGAAAGAGCATCCACGCAGCCACCACTCGAGTCTCGGAGTCCCTGGAGCGACCAAGAGAAAAACAAACTTTCTCGGCGTTAAGGGCCTCGACCCGAGGACTTTTTGCGTAAATCTACCCAGCGGGTTCCCTTCTTACTATTCCTAGTCATGGGATGTTACGAACATTTACACAAATCATGACAGGCAGCATGGCGAAGAGAGTCCTCATCCCGAAGAACGGCGTCGACTACCGCGGCAAAGTGGTCCTCGCGCCCATGGTCCGCAGCGGCGAATGCCCTTCGCGACTGATGGCTTTGAAGTACGGTGCTGATCTCGTATGGGGTATGTCTCTGTTTCTTCAGTCGTCTGCACAAGAAGATTGTATTGACTAGAGAAATCACANNGGCCCAGAGACCATCGACAAAGCACTCATCGGTACTACTCGCCGCGTCAACACTGTCACAAACACCGTCGACTTTACCCGCCTCTCCTCCAACGGCTCCAAGAACCCAGACCTCAACCCTTCGCAGCGCGAAAGCATCATATACAGACTATATCCATCCCTCGAGGGTCGCCAACTAATCCACCAAATCGGCACTTCGGATCCGGAACGAGCTGTCGCAGCTGCAAAACTGATTGCGGGCGATGTGGCCGGCATCGACGTGAATGCAGGATGCCCGAAGCCCTTTAGCACACTCGGAGGCATGGGTGCCGCACTGCTCAAAACACCAGACAAACTAGTCGCCATCCTCGAAGCACTGGTCAAGGAAGTAGGCCAACCCTTCGAAATCGGCATCAGTGTGAAGATCCGCATGTTGGACAACCCGGAAGACACGGCGGCACTGGTGCGCAAATTGGTCGCTACAGGAATCACAGGCCTTACTCTGCACTGCCGCACGACACCCATGCGACCACGCGAAAGCGCCATTCGCGATCAACTGCGTATGGTCGGCGAGATCTGCCACGAAGCAGGTGTCGCATGCCTGATGAACGGCGATGTGACAAGCAGGGACGAAGCTCTCAAACTGGCAGAGGAATACGGTGTCGACGGCGCCATGATAGCGACAGCCGCCGAGACAAATCCATCATGCTTCCGCGCTGAAAAAGATGGTGGCATGGCACCCTGGCACCAGGTAGTCAAGGAATATGTCAAAATCGCCATGGACGTCGAAAACAGATGGGGCAACACAAAATATCTGCTAGGCCAAATGATACCCGGCAAAGCAAAGGAATACCGTCCCATGAACCAAGCAAAGAGTTACACCGATCTAGTCGAGATCATGGGCTATGGGGAAGAATTCGCGACCCGAGCTCGTGAAGTGGATGAGAAACTGGAAATCAGCTTCGGTAGAAAAGAAACAAGGTCGGAGAGAAAGCAGAGAGGAAACCAGGCAAAGAAGGAGAAAAAGGCAGAAGCAAAGGGGGCAGAGGAGTCGCAGTCGTTGAAGCGCAAAGCAGACGATGCCGAACTCAGTACGCCGCCAGTTGCTAAACGTCAAGCAGACGATGCTGAGCCTAGCATGCCTCTAGACATCTCACGATCTGAAGCCCCTGGATCAGTGACTACTGAGCAGGTCCTCGCAGTATAGATACTACAACTAATAATACGAGATTTGATGTCATCCATTTTAAACATTACATGCATTGATATCGTTAATCGTGGGAGAGCGTCAGGGTATAGTGCTAGCGAAAAGACGACCGCCGAAATCATCAAGAGGACCCTTCACTGCCAATGTGCAGCTTGCTCTTCAATCGGCCAGTTATGCTGCTCTGTCGCTTTGCCTCTTCTTCCTTTTTTCGCTTGAGCCTCGAGTATCTCTCGCTCTTTCTGAGCACTCTTACTCTTGTCTTTCTCAGCTTCTTCGCGTTTCCGGGCTCCTTCGGGGTCAATCACGTCTTTGATCTTTTGCTCACCTTGCTTCAGACTGCGCTTGGCGCCGAGATAGCCTTCCAAGCCAACGAGAACAGCATATGCTCTGGAGATGCTTACTCGAGACATATCAGCACCTTCATCTTTGAGACTGTGCACGAAGGCCCTGAAGCTGCTGGCTGGCGGCGCATAATGTCCAGATAAAGGGCTCAGTCTTCTCAGCTGACCTCGCTTGATGCGTATTAAGCCTGCTGATAGGATCCGAGCTCCTTTGAGAAAGGACGAATGCTGAAAGGCTCCTGACTGTTTGATGCCGATATAGATACGCAATTGCGTATCGCAAACAAAGATCCATGTGTTTTTCTTGGTGGTCTTTCTAACACGGTTGTCAGCACATCAGAGACCTCCAAAGATCGATTGGAAGCGCGTGAGGAATCCGCTTACCGAAGAAGGTTGTTCATGATGGTATTGGTCGAGAGATGCTTGAGTTTGCTGAGGCCTTTTGCGTCGTGCAGTTCTTGATTCACATATCGAGATGCGTCTTCGCTACTACCCACACTGACATCCGAATCGCTATCCGAGCCACTCGATGATTCAGAGAGTTGCTGACGACCAGTTGTATTACGCCACGTCGGTGTGGTATCATCGGTGATGGGGACAATACCCTCCATAGAATCTTTCCACTCGGGGGATGTGGATATGCGTTCGCCGTTCTTCGCCCAGCATAACATACCCTCATCATCAATCTTGACCAGATACTTTTGGCGTTCCTCACGCGACAGATATCGTACTCTCTCTTCGTCCAGGCGAGTCCTTGGTCGTTCCGGGAGGTCCACATCTTTACCTCCTCCAAAGTCCAGCCAGTAGAAGAAATTTTCCTTCGTGTCGCTCTCTTGCCAGACTTTGTGGTACTTGCGTAGTGACGAGCCATAGCGATGTTTCTGGTCCACCTAGAGGCACGTAAGCCAATGCTCAACACGCGAANGCATACGGACATACCATCTCGAGAAAGTATTCGATACCCATAGTTCTTGCCATCTTTTCCCGCTCGGCCTTGGCCTCTCTTTTGCGCTGGATGTAATTGTCCCGATCTTGAGGATGCACATCCTCAACTTCTTCATCAGAACTGGTATCGTCGTTTTCGGCGTGTTTGGCGATTTGGCCAGCCCTCTTCCACTTTTCACGGGCCTCGCAGTTACCAGGGGTAGAAACATGGGTTGAAGCGTGTCGGGCACGTTCGTCGCGAGACATGGGCTGGGTGGAGTTGCGGTAACGAGCTACTCGGGCATGAGCAGTGAAGTATAGGACGACGGGCGAGAAATCATGTACCTTCTTGAACAGCCTAGATCTTGTCAGTCACAGACGAGTAGAGTCGAGGCAGGTAACATACATCAAACCATCTTGTCGAGGCAGACAGTCCTAGACCACTCATTTCCCTGCGCTCGCGATAGCCGCGGTAGTTTCGCTGGTCGGGTTCAGCATCAGAACTTGACAACTTCGAGTGTTGATCGTCACCGACTTGGATGATTTCAGCAGCGGCCTCCTGCTCGTTCGACGGCTTGTTCGACAAACGTCTGGCGCGAGCCTCCTTGATCTTTTTCTCTTTTGCATCTTGGCGAGCAGCTATCTCGCGCAGCTTCTCCTTGGAAGGCAGCTCATAAGCCATGGGTGTGTCTGGCCGAGTGTCGCAAGGTACATTTGCATGTCAAATCCTGCAGAATGACAATCACAGCGGGCGACAGGAAACGGTGCATCAGGCATGTCCGCGTGGTGGGAGGGACAAGGAACCTGCTCTGCGGAAGGCACTCCAGACGCGTCATCCCGCTGGCCTGCCGCCCATGTGTGTGACATGCGCGGCTAAACCTGCCGAACCGTTTCTCTCAGGGTCCACCAAAATAGCAGTCATGAACTCGATACACTTCTACCATTTCATCTTGATGTTCGACCACCATCTCAACATACAAAGTTGATGCTGTCGCCTTCGCGTGTCTTCACACGCGCTCGCTTTCCGCTTAGGCACTATGGCATTGCATTACCCCGTCGATCCCTATTGACCCTTGCCATTGAGACGTCGTGCGACGATACATCAGTCGCCATCGTCGAGAAACACAAAGATGCTTCGGCAACGCTTCACTTCCACAAANAAGTGACTGCCAATACAGCCGCCTATAATGGTATTCATCCGGTTGTTGCACTCGAGTCGCATCAGTCATCACTTGCTCCGTTGTTGCAAGAGGCTTTGAGCCATCTACCATCAATACAGCTGGACTCTGATCCTCGTCGTTCATTGCACCATGGAAATACTTTGCGCACCAAGCCGGACTTCATTTCGGCCACAAGGGGCCCTGGTATGCGTTCTAATCTGTCCGTCGGTCTGGACGCTGGCAAAGCACTAGCCGTCGCCTGGGATGTTCCTGTTATTGGTGTTCACCACATGCAAGCACATGCCTTGACTCCGCGCCTGGTATCTGCACTCGAGTCTAGGTCTTCCTCTGGCCCAAACTTTCCTTTCCTCAGTGCCTTGGTGTCGGGAGGTCATTCCATGTTGATTGAAACTACTGGGCTAGTCGACCATAAGGTCCTCGCGACTACTGGCGACATTGCCTTAGGAGACTGCTTGGACAAGGCTGCCCGTGCGATCCTGCCATCTCACCTCGCAGTGCCTCCATATGGACGAGCACTCGAGCAATTCGCCTTCCCCACTGGAGCCGCAGACTACAATTACACAGCACCTGCGAAACGGGACACAGAGCTCGCACGTAGAGTCACAAAATGGGGCTGGGGGCTAGGTGCACCCTTGGCCGGGAGCAAGAACGGAAGCAGCAGTCGCAAAATGATCTATTCCTTCTCCGGTCTATTGAGTAGTATCGAACGCTTCGTGAATTACGAGTACGACCACCAAAACTCCACCATCTCTAGCCAACTGCGCCAGTCTGGCCAGCCTTCCGACGATGAACGCCGCGATATGGCCAAGGAAGTCATGCGCGTGGCCTTTGAGCATCTGGCTTCTCGCGTTCTGCTGCATCTATCCTCTCTGCCACCTGCAGAGGCTGCCAAGGTAAACTCTGTGGTTGTTTCGGGTGGTGTGGCAGCGAATTGCTTCTTGCGCCATGTTATGCGTGCTTTCCTAGATATAAGAGGATATAGCCATGTGGAGTTGTTTTTCTCGCCTGTCGAGCTATGCACAGACAATGCGGCCATGATAGGATGGGCGGGCATAGAGATGTGGGAGGCAGGTTGGAGGTCGCAGCTATCGGTGCGACCGATCAAGACGTGGTCCATGGATCCAAGTGCTAGTGATGGCGGTATCTTGGGTGTAGAGGGATGGTTGAGAGTGTGATAATCTGAGGTAGTGTCGCTTTGTGGTTCGTAGTAGCTGCTCGATCCTTCATGTGTCGTCTGTCGATTAAAGCCGTGTGGTATGTGGTATTTACTGTCCCTCCTTTTTCTTTGCAGCCGCGACCTGCTCTTCCAGATGAGCCCAGAAGTTCTTTCCATTGGCCATGCAAGCCGCTGTCATNGATTGTCAGCAACGCTGTCTTTGAATCCAACCACAAAAACACTTACCATCCGCATTTGGCGCACTCGATGCATTTCCACTGTAGTCAGGCTTATACACCGAGCCCGCCTCTCTCTTCGCCAACATTTGCTTGACCTCGCCCTCATTGAAGTTATTCACAGACACATGTTGCGTCTCTTGCACTCCAGCATTCACACTTTGCTCTTTCTTCGCCGCCTTGGGCGCAACAGCAGCAGCAGGCTTTTGCGCTGCCGCTCTCTGAGCCCACACGTTTCCTGCTGGCGCGGCAGGAGCTGGAGCAGTGGGGGTGCAGGTTTCACGGCTGGTGCAGCAGGTGCGGGCGAGGCGTTTGAGNGATCGTGATTGTTGGGGCGTGCGTGTTGCGGCAGGACGGGGGCGTGCCCATGCTCCTCTGTTGTGAAGTGTTGGTGTCAGTATTTCTGTGATTTTGTGGATGAACCGTGTGACGCGAGCGATTCGTACCGTGGTTCGTTTGCCATTGTTGGGCGGTGGGTTGGACTGATATGGGATGTGTTATACGTCGAGATTCTCTGATGAAGAGAGAATGTTTGGAATGGATGCGCGATGTGCGTGTTCAAATTGTGTTTTTTTGTGAGCAAGTCAACAGGTCAATCAAATGCCGGGTGACGTGAAAGATACGGCAAGCAGCCACGGAGAAGCGAAGCCGGGGCAAACAAAAGCATGCCCATCACTGGTTGTCGACAAACTCTCACAAGGAAAATCATCTCTATAAACATTTTGAAATTTGTAGAAACACGACGAAATACAGAATTTGGATATTTCCCTTTTCCCCAATGGGCTTCTTTGTACACCCTTAACTCCACTCTCTATGCAGTTCATTCAATATTCCTTTACCTTGACTGTTTGCCCTTCTTGCTCTTCTTGCCGTCGAAGTTGGCAGCTTCCTTTTGCACCTCCTCGAGAGCCTCGCCAGCCTTGCGTTTGCTCGATGCATTCTTTGACTTGACACTGACTGTTGTGCTCTTGCCGCTGCGGCCTGCTGACTTTTGGATTTGGCGTTCGGCTTCGTCCCAGTCGGCCTCTCCGTTGGCGATCGCGTACTTGTCTAGAGGAAGCGCATCGATCATGGCACGAGCACGCTCCTTCTCGGCGGCCATGTACTCATCACCGGCCTCGGCAAGATCGTCCTCGAGGGTTTGCTGAAGAGGTGCAAATCTCTGTTCCTCCTCGCCGTCGATCTTGTTGGCCTCGGCGTCACCACCACCAATACCCTTGGGCATGGTCTCTGCCACAGCTCCTTCGACTAGGCCACGGAAGTGCATGGACATCTTGCGCATCACCTTGACGAACATGGCAAGCAGCTGGCTGCTTCCCAATCCAAGTTCCTTCTCGAGATCTTCAAGAGTCTTGCGTTGCAAACCAATAGCATACAACAAGGCTTGTTGCACACCACTGAGTTTGACAGCCTCTTCGCCCTTGATACGGCCAGTGAAAAAGAGCTCGGCAATCTTGGGTAGTAAGTCAAGAATGACGTGGTAATCCAACATGTTGTTGGCGTAACTATCCAGACGCTTCAGATCGAAGGGGCTGAACAACTCGTCCAATTCGCTCTTGGTCAGGGCCTTTGTAATCACACTGCTATCAAGTTTGATACCGGCATTGGCAGACTCGTCGAGACTCAGAGCCTGGACACTGGTGAACTTGCGGAACTGGTAAGATGAAAGACTGAGGAATCTGCGGTGGAAGTCCTTGGAGTATGCTCCGAGCCAGGCAGGATCCGAGGAAGTAGCACTGTCAAGCGTTCTCAGCATGACACAGGTGTGTTCTCCAGTCAGATCGTTGGCGGTTTGGCGAAGGTAGACAGGGACGAAGTTTGCGCGCTTCCAGAACTTGTGCAGTGGCGAAGTAAGACCGTATGACACACCCATGTAGTCGAGGCGGGTAGGTCTGCGCTCCGACAAACGGGCAAAGAGCGGAGGCATTGTCGAGATGTCACGAACCTTGACGTTGTCCTGCAACAGACTGGCATTCTCAAGCTCGGCATCTGTGACACGGACCATACCTTCGCTTCCGGCCTCGGCCTGTCCATCATCCTCAGACAAGGATGTGAACTTGCCTTCGAAGAAATCGGTAAGGAGCTCAAGGGCTTTCTTGCCATAACCCATGTTCATGTAGTCGGGGTGAGTAGCAATACGAACGACACGTGCTCCAGAAAGTCCGGCAAAGTCTTCGTCCTGGAACTGTTGACTGACCAACCAGGGGATCAAGTCACCTCCTGCTCTTTGACCACGACTCAAGCTGTTGATCACACTTTCTCTGCTAATTTGACCCTCCAGGGCTAGTTGAATGACACACAGTGGCTCAGGTAGACGGTTGCTGCCCTCTTCTACTGGAGGTACCAGCACAAACAACTGATGAGCGGGAGCATCAGACATGAGCTGCAGATCGTTAGGAGTGTTCTTGTAGTGTGAAGCGACGTAAAGTGCCATCATCTGTTGGAGGAACTTCTCCGAAACAGGATGGAAAGAGAACAAGGTATCTCTGTTGACGGAAAGAAGCTGGCATTGATCAGGATGGGGGCAACCACGGGTTGTCGATGCGCGAGGAAGGGTAGCGTCAAGACAGAGAAGGCGGTTCATCCATTTTTCGACAGAATCTCCTTGGGCATAACGGATGGGTTCCGAAAGGGTGATTTCGCGAAGAGAACGACCGGCGACAGCCACTTGGTTCTCATCCTTGGCGGATCTTCCAGTGGAGCGATCAGCGACCTGCTGGTCACTGGTCTTTGAACCTCCACGAGACTGCTCACGGAGCTGTTGGATCAGCTTGAGGGACAGAGAGCGACCAGTGCCTTCATAACCGTTGATGGTCGAAGCCATGAAGACTAGGTAAGGGCCCATAAGTTTTCTAACCAGAGGCAGGGGAATGGCGGCAGCTTCATCGATAACCAAGAGTTCTGCTTGACCAAGAGTGTAGGCATCCTGCGGTTGAATGTACTGAATGGTTTGCTTGTGTTGACGGTGAATGTTGACTCTGACAATGGCCTTGTTGAAGTCGGGGTTAGTAGATTGGATGATGGTATAATCGACGTGATCGAGGTAGCCCAAGGCGTCGAAACCCTTGAAGACGAACTCGAATAAAGTCTTCAAGTTCTCCGGGCTGGGCGAGGTGATGAAGATGTTGCTGTAGCCATGGGCGACGGCAGCGGCAATGGCAACACCCAACGCGGCTGACTTACCACGACCACGGGCAGCAGTCAAGGTAACAGTGCTTTGCAGAGTCTTCTCCGCAATGGCGTCCACGAAGGTAAGCAGAGCCTTGGCCTGATCGACGGTACGGGCCAGAGTGACAAGAGATCCTACGGGCTGGGTGTCGGCGAGACTCTCCTTGATGGTTGCAAGTTCCCTGGCAGCAGGAGTCTGGCCCTGGGCCTCCGGGTCCGGGGGTGGCAGTTGCTGAATAGTCTTTCCTCCAGAGATGGGCAGTACGTTCATCTCGTCATCAATAACCAAACACGAGTCACAGCTGCCGAGAGATAGAATGAAGCGCTCGTTGAAGCGAGCAACGACATCACCGTGAGCCTCTGTACGGTAGCGCGAGTGGATGTCCATAGACAGGGTGTAAAGCTGCTTCAAACTGCTCATGCCCTTCAGAAGCATAACAACAAGACCTCCTCCTTCAACGGTTTCGATGGTACGGGCGAGAAGGTTGGGGGTGATGGCCTCGAAGTCCTGCAGAATGCACATGCCGTAGGTGTTTCCGAGAATTTTCTCCGTCTCCTTGTAGTAGACATAGCGGATGTTCTGAGTCGAGACGAACAGCTCGAAGGGATCCTCGTTGTCGACATCACGGATACCGCGCTTGATTTCCTTCTTGATCTTTTGCTCTCTCTTCTTGCGGTGACTGGTGAAGCCTAGCAGCTTGTTCTTGTAGGCCCACAGGACGGATTTGTTTGCTTTGAGGTTGGCAGTCTGGAGAATATAGTGCAGGTTGACGATGACATCCTTTTGACGGTCGCCGACGACTACGAAGAAGCCGCGCTTGTGTTCTTGGGCGGCATTGCGGATGAGGGCCGGAATGCGCGAATCACTGTGCTGGGTCAGTAAGAGGGTCGGGTGTTGGACGAGAAGGAGAGTATTCGTACATGGCCTTCTTGCCCATGTTGAAGCTGCGACTCGAGTCGCCGAATCAGATACAAGCTGGAATGCTATGGGTGGAAAAAGAGGCGGCGGAGCTCGAAAAGATGCCTCTCCAAAAATCTCGGGATTAAGCTTTCGACCCCAGATTTTGGATGGAAGTGGTCCGTGCAGCCTACATGTTTTGCCGGTGACGACTCGCGACAAAATGGCAATCGCGTCTTGTAGAGAAGTCCAGTAGACATGTCGATATCGCCCATTTGGATGCTATATCTCTGTCGCATACCCTAACAGCACATTCTATGACCCTCATGATGCACGCGCCCGGACCCTACCATCTGCTACAACACTCCAAACATCCATAGGGGAGGAAACATTCGAAACCCTAGTTCGCAATGGAGTCGCTAGGAACATACGCTTTGATCGCCTCGACCGTGGCTTCCTATTTTCTGGCCATTAATTCGGCCCAAGTCCTTGCATATGGTACTTTGTCTCCAGTCTGTCACACCGACACGCAACTCACACTTTTTAGGANNCGTACCCTGCATGTCCTCGGCCTAATCCTCGCAGCCGTTGGTGCCTCTCTATTGCTCTCGTCGCGATACCTTGCCAAAACATCCTCTACCTCTTATGATGAGCTACCTCTCGAAGAGACCGCTTCTGATGTCTCAGTGTCGCCCAGCCTCAGCCACGTTCATGTTCCTTACACCAGTCTTCGCAAGATGCGACTTTTCTTTGTCCTCTTGGTAGTCTTGATGTGCGCACGCGCTGAGGTCTTTAGACGCCTGGTCAGAGATGTCCAATGTGCCGGACCCGCTTACACCGAGCTTATACCCTTCGGCCTTGCCATTGTCGAGTTTTGCATACATCGAAGACATAAAGTCTCTGCTCCAGAGAGCAACTCCGACCTTAGTGTGTACGAACTTTTAGGACATTCCTGGGCCACCAACCGGTTTCGTTATATCATCATAACCGCTATCTTTGGCCTTTCGAGCGCAAGTATCTTGCACCGAAGCGATAGCCCTTCTTCCTCTTATATTTGCACTCCCGCGACTCACGATAAAATGATCACGATTCAACGCCTTGCTTTGGTTCTCGACTTTTGCATTTCTTTTTGTCTGGACGCCCTCATATGTTCCTTCCCTAATACTGGCAAGGCTTCTCCTGCCAGATCTATAAGCATTACTGGTTGGGCCTGTCTTCTTTCTGCTTCCGCCATCGGTGTCTGGGGTATCATCTGGTTCCTTGCCGTTCCTGAGGATAGATTTTGGGTTCTCGAGATACCGCGTGGCTTCATCTGGCAGTTGATCAAACTAGCTGTATTATGTTGTATTGCAGCGCTGTCCACTTGTATAACGGTAAGTCTTGGTTGCCCACTTAGGAATCGTAGATGTGCTAAGACAATCAGACTTNTCTATTCTGGTGCAATTTCGGCTGTCTCTGTTCTTATATTCGTCGCTTCGTGCACGATAACCATCAGCTGGTCCTGGCATACTTTACCGGCGTTTCCACCTGATAACGATACATTGACTTTGTTGTCCTTCTGCGGGCTCATTGTTGCATTTACCGCACTTATACATACTCAGGTCATCTCGGAAGATCACCGTCGCAAGCAACGGACTATGTTCTCTGAGACTCCGATTCCTCTCATTGGACTCCTGATCTTGCTATTCTGCGTTCGCTTCCTAATCTGGCTTGGTCATATCACCAATGTCGCCTACCACCCCATTGATTTACTTATACACGAAGCAAGCGAAGCCCACAAGGTTTACACTGGACGAGCATATAAGAGCGCGAATCTTACAGCTGCTGTGATTGAGTATCAGCATCGCAACGGCAGAAATCCTCCACCAAATTTCCATGAATGGTATAGATACGCGATCGGGCGTAATTCTCTTATCATTGATGAATTTGACAAAATTCACGAAGACCTGTTGCCTTTCTGGACGCTGGACCCGTCTGAAATCAGAGAGAGAACATGGCGGACGACATCCAACCCATGGAATGATGTCGCTGGGATTAGCATACGCAACGGCAAAGCTGAAATTAGTCCGCACGCAATGGCGACTCACAGGTGGATGCTCGATGGTATCGTCGACATGATCAGTCACTTCAGCGAGTTCTTGCCAGATATGGATTTAGGCTTCAACTTGAATGATGAGTGTCGTGTCGCAGTGCCTTATGAATATATACAGGCAAGAAAACAGGCTGGTAAGCGCAAGACCGACTTTGGCAAGAGCGCGCGAAACTCGTTTAGTGAGAAGCGCGGAGATGCTTGGAAGCCATTACCAGAGGAATCTAGCGGCATCACACCATTCAGAGAGATGTCGTGGCAAAAGACGTTCAACGAGTTTGGAATCTCTGGATGTCCATCCAACTCGGCCGCACGCAGCACATTGCACTGGGACACCAGTCATCTTTGTACATCATGCGCGGCTCCGCACTCTCTAGGTGCATATTTGTCTAATTGGACGAAGAGTGCAGACATCTGCCATCAACCCGATATCGCAAATCTGCATGGCTTTTACCTCTCGCCAGCAGCCTTCAAAGCAACTCATGAGTTGTATCCTGTCTTCTCGCAGTCCAAGGTACATGGCTACAACGACATTATGTATCCGTCCGCGTGGAATTACATGGACAAGGCGAAATACGACCCTAACGATGAACATCGTGACCTCTCATGGGACGAGAAAAAGCGAACACTCTTCTGGCGTGGTAGCACTTCGGAAGGTGTCTCGTCCAATACAGGTGTCTGGAAAGGTATGAGCCGTCAGCGCTTCATGCACCTAGCTAACAACATCGCCTCCACCCTACCACCACAACCAATTCTTCTCCCTTATCCCTTCGCCAACAAACGCAAGAAGCTTGCTTATGTGGACGTACCCGCCTCCGAACTCACCAAGCACGTCTCTGTTGACGTCAAACTCGTGGAACACATCATCCGCTGCGGCGGCATGGACTGCGAAGACCAAGACCGTCACTTTGCCCCCATGGCCCCACCGACAGACTTCCAAGCGCACTGGTCCTATCGCTACTTGCTCGACCTCGACGGCGCTGCCTTCTCAGGCCGCTTCATCCCCTTTTTGCAATCGCACAGTCTACCCTTCAAAGCAGCCTTGTTCCGCGAATGGTGGGACGACAGACTGACCCCTTGGCTCCACTTTGTGCCTCTCGATCTCCGTGGGCATGGATTTTGGGCCACTCTGGTCTACTTTATGGGTCTTGAAGGCAGGGTTCAGGGTAAACAGGTCATGTTGCCTGCGCATGACAAGCAAGGGCAGTATATTGCCGACGCGGGACGCGAATGGGCCAACAAGGTACTGAGGAAAGAGGACATGGAAATTTACATGTTTAGATTGTTGTTGGAATGGGGCAGGATCACAGACGACAAGAGAGATGAATTGGGGTTGGGAGTTGAAGAGGCGGAGAAGATTGGGCAGAAGTGGGTGGATGGCGGGAAAATGTATTATGGTGATAAGGATACGTAGTTTGTGTATATCTGTTATGGTTTCCAATTGCTTTATGCTTTTATCATGTTTAAGCCTCAGTTCTTCCATCGTAATGTGGATGCACTTAGCAACAAGTTATTGTGGAAGACTCTAGATATTGCGAGTAACATTCGACATCAACTTCCCAGTGGCAGAGCGTGCAACAGACTTTCAAGCCGGGTCGCCAATTGATTCAAGAAGCTTCCCTCATGCCGGCGTAATCGCAAACCGCAAGACACTCCCCTGAACACAAGTTTGGTATGGCTATTGGAAGACAGCCAGGGTCATACCCTCTACATCTCAGCTTGGGGGCAACCCTGACTTATCTTGGGCATTATCTCTTTCTAGGAAAAGACAGTATATCATATAATGAGAGAACGAGTTAAACAGGGATGATTTCGTCCAATGAGTGTGACAACCTTTAGCAACACGGAAAGATGATATAAGCCATCGACAAAACGACATCGATGACCCAAACAGGAGGCATTACTTGAACATGGCAAAACAATCAAATTGGTATATATCTACATGGAGGTTCGCGAACAAGGGTTTGAATGAGGTGATGGGAGGATATGAGGTAGGGAGATGGACACGTCTACTTTCTGACAGGGCCGGAGACACCAGCGCCAATGACGCTGGGGAGCTCTTGGCTGCCCATGGTGTAGAGCAGACCGATACCCCAGCTGACGAGGAAGACCATGAAGACGGAGAAGGAGCTGATGAGCCAGAAGGGCATGATGATGTCCTTCTTCTGGCAAGCGGGACCGCCCCAGCGGGTGGTCTTCTGGGTGCCATCCGAGTTTGTGCGGACTTCGGCCTTGCAGGCGCAAGAGTAGCACTTGCCGCCGAGGTCACCAGCATCCTTGTCGGTGTGAGACAAGACGCAAGAGCCGTGACCAGTGCAGTTGCGAGTCATGGACTGGCATGCAGATAGAGAGGCGAAGCAGCCAGGGAGGATGCCTCTAAGAGGAGCCGTCTGGTTGTAGGTCTTGTTGGAAGAAGCGTCGGGGGTCAAGGTGGCCTTGAGGTGCGAAGCGGTCTTTGTGACTTCGGTGATCAGAGGGGCCTCCTTGAAGTAGCGCTTTTGATGCGAGTCGGCAGGACCGTCGTAGGAGCCGAATGTTTTATCGGTGGTAGCCTTGGGCGCAGTGAGGACGAGCACGGTGCGGTACTGGCTGATCAAGGTGTCGATAGCGTCACTGAGTGCNCTAGATCTGTTTAGCAGAAGAAAGGTAGATTGTGGAGTAGGACGTGCAAGTACCAGTGTATCTTGGGCGATCCTGAAGGCAGGACCAGTCTCAGAGGAGACGGTAGATTGTTGAACTCCAGTCAGATGCTCAATGCCGGCTTGGTGTGCAAGGTCGTTAAGCAGCTTCTCTGCAGCGTTGAAGTCGGGGCATTCCTTGATTGAGATGGTCTTGGTGTGGGTAGATTTAACAAGAGAAGAGGGAAGGCCTGCTTCGGCGGCCGACAGGATCAAGGCGACAGAGGCATCGCTTGACGAGAGGAAAGATGAGACTCCAGAGAGGCGGTTGATGTCTTCCAGGGCGGATTCAGACTGTCCTTGAAGGGAGTGGTATTGGTCGAGACCCAGTCGCGAGGCGATGACCAGACGGGCGGCGTCGGCCTTGAGGGTAGCGACGGGGGCGTTGAGGTCGTACTTCGATTGATCGTCGTAGATGTAGAGCGAGCCATAAGAGGCCTTTGCTGCAGCAGCTGCGGCAGGCAGCAAGAAACACGGAGCCAGTCTCATGCTTGGTGGTTGTCTGTGTTGGTATGGACGAGTCTCGTTGGTTAGCTTTCCTATGATGGAACGTCAGCCAGCGCCTTGGCACTTCTTCCCCGTCTTCCGCCCTCCGCTACTTCCTCGACCAACGCCTGAACACTCATCGTCATCCATAGGGAATCAGTCCTCTTGCGCCGTCGCGGCAGTCGTCTCTGGTCGCATCCTACTTTCCATCACTCTGTCCCGATGTTTCGCGCCGCGCCAAAGCTCAGATCATTAGCATGCCCTTCAGCCCTCTACCGTCGCCCGCTCTCCACCACCGCCCATCTTCGCACTCTCGTCCAGCCGAAAGACGCCGTCAAATCACACAACGTTCGCTTTCTGCCTCCGCCACTACTCACTCCTCTTCGCATCGCTACCTTCTTCCTGTACACATCATGTCTGGTTGGCTACGTCTGGTACTTCTTCCCGGAGCTCGAGATTGAGATACAGGAGGGCGACGAGGAAGTTGAAATATCCGACTCCGAATTCGCCGATGAGAACTCCCTCTTCATCCCCATGACCTGGGCAAAGAAACTGCCTCGCTCGTTTTACAAGGGCTCCGATCCGGAGTGGCAAGAGTTTGTCAAGGTTTCAAAGGACAAGGCCCGCCACAAGAAGATTCAGTGTAAGCATGCCTTGTCTCTGTCTATATCTTGCACGTACTAACGTTTGGTTAGCGNNGAACTGGTCAAGATAGTATACGACACTGCCCAAAAGCACCCAGCCTTCGTCAAACAGCTCGGTCGCGATGCCAAAGTTGGTCAGTGTTGGCTCGACATTATCTTTCCGGACGGGCCTCCTCAGGAATACGCTCGTGCTGGCATCGAAGTCGGCAGTGACTATGTTGCATATGCTCTCCAGCGCATCGATGCTCAGGAACAACATCGAATTGTTCGCACTCTATGGCCCACAGCTGCGGCCAACGGTCTCTACAACAGTACCAAGGTTCTTCTTGGTTTCCAGTATCATCGTCTGAAACAGTTGATGGGTTGGGAAGTCGATTCTACGCCGGGCAGCCAAGACGCCAAATATACCCAACTGCTACAACTACTGCAGGCTCAACAGGCTCAGCAGGCTGAACAGACAAAATCACAAGCAGGCTCTGGATCGCCCGAGGCAGACAATTCACAGACCAGTGCTTCTTCGCTACTACCATGGGCAGCCAAGGTGCCGCAGCCGCCCTCCAGCATAGAAATGCCGATAGCGAAACACATCTTCCACGCCACGCTGGCTCAGNGGAAGATCCCCAAGAAGATGGAGCCACCCAGAGGAAGCTTTGTTGTCCAAGGATTGATCCAGCTTAAGGGCAGTAGATCTATCTTGACGTTGGATGTGCAAGCTTTCTATGATCCCAAGGCTAGCCATTTCCTGGTTGTGAATGCCACTCCCAGGACCATCAAGCAGCGGAAGCAGTCACCAAAGGGCGGTAACTGATGACATTATACGACTTTTAGAAAAAGCATGGCATGGTGTTTGTTGAATTTCGAATTGGGTTTTGGAAACAGCAGGGCGTCTGGGTTTGTTACATCGTTTTTCGGGCTATACATTGATATCCGCATCGTCGTAAAGACGTAGCATGCATTTGATTCTTCTCTCTCCTCAACTCCTTCCCTTGCATCCTACGAAAAGCCTTTAGCTCCCTAACATGAACTCCCAGCATGTGCATAACCTTTTGACCTCTGATTGTGGAGGCAAGCTGTCTGATGAATTGAAAAACACTTCTCAAACAAGAAGGATGGATATCTTGAAATTTCGTCGCGACACAGCACAGAGATGTACGTGTCGTTTACTTCTTGCTCTTCTTTTTCGCGCTGCCTGGTGTCTCGACCAAGACGGCATCTTCGGTTTGACCAGCGATGGAAGTCACAGAGCCCTTTCTACTGTTTGCAGCCGAAGTGACCGAGCCCTTTCTGCTGCCAGCAGCTTCATCGTCGAGCTCCTTCATGAATTGAGACTGGATTCCTTGCTTTCTCTTGTCCCACCACGCCTTCTCCTCGGGCAGCTTGGACTGAATGTCCTCCATGCGCTGCTTGGCTAGTTGGTTGTTGGCGATCTCGTTGGCTGATTGGAAGATGATTTGACCCCAGTTTGGTACGAGGGCGTTGGCNCTGGATTATGGTCAGTCTACAAGCACGAAAAGGAAATGGAGACAGGGGAAGGATACCTCAGATACGACATCCTTGACTTCTTCCTCGATCTCTTGCTCGGCCCTCTGGAAACGCTGCCATAGCTCGTCTCCGACACTTCCTCTTTGTAATAGTGACTGGAGGGCGGGCTTTGCGTTACGGATTTGAATGATGCGGTGGATGTCTTCGACGGCGCGGCGCAACAGAGCAGCACGAATGATGCTGTCAGGGATCTGGCTCAATGACTTTTCGGAGCCTTCGGGAGTAGACGAGGGATCCTGAGGGTCCATGTGTAGGAGCGACAGGTAGATGTTGCGTTGCAGGTGGGGAGGGAACCATGGTGCAAGGTTGGCGGCCTTTTGGGCCTTGCGACGGCGGTATAGGGAGCTGAATGTGGCGAGAGAACCTATGAGGATGGACAGGTATGCCAGGGGGATCAGGAGACCAACCCAGTCAACCATGATTGCGAATGTGTGGATGGAGGAGATTTTGGGAGGATTGGATCAAGCAAGCATGCGCCTAGAGACAGTTTGCGGACGACGTGTCTGAACGGAGTTTAAATTTAGCCCCACGCTTCACGTCATGTAAGGAAGCTGCAGCCCGCGAGACATGCAACAATAGACACCGAGAGCTCCTTCCATCACTTACCGTACTCGACTGACTTGACCAACCCGCTTTCACTCGCAGCAACTCTCGACGCTGCCTTCCTAGTTCCGCCTCTTTACCTCGCCTTCCTTCCTCTCTCCACAACCAGACTCGATCCTAACGAAGCACATCGCCCACCATGATCTTGCGCTTCTCAAGTCGTATTGGCCAGTTTCGCTTGACCGTCGAGCCCTCGACCGACCTCGCATCCCTACTTCCTCAAGTTCTCGAGAAGCTCACTCCCGAAACCGTCCCTTCATCAGTCTCAATAAGCCCGCAACGTGGTGGCCAATCAAGATCTCTCGAGAGCCTCAAGGGCGTCACTGTCCAGAAACTCGGTCTTGCGTATGTTTTCCCGTTTTCTCATCGCATATTACCACTGACAGCCTCTAGCAATGGTGCTCAAATCTTTATCGAGTTCAGTGAAGGCCAAGCTCCAACTAATGACCAACCACCCGCTCCATCCAACGCCTACAGACTAAACGGAAAAGAAGTCACTGCTCAAGACACCGCCACCATCGCCATCCCCAACCTCACTGCTCAGACACGTGTCGACAACCCCTGGGATACAGTCAAGCAGTTGCCCATCGATGACGCTTTGGACAAGGATAATGGCAAGATCAAGAGACCTCGCGACACCAGAATGTGCAGACATGGTCCTAATGGCATGTGTGACCACTGTCAACCCATCGAGCCCTACGATGCTGGCTATCTGGCTGAGAAGAAGATCAAGCACCTTTCATACCACGCATACCTTCGCAAGATGAACCAAGGAAAGAACAAGTACGAGTCTGGAAGTTCCTGGATGCCTCCGCTCACCGAACCTTACTACCGCGTAAATCCAAACTGTCCGTCTGGTCACAAGCCTTTCCCTGCTGGCATTTGCACGAAATGCCAACCCAGCGCCATCACTTTGCAACCTCAGCCCTACCGCATGGTCGACCACGTCGAATTCTCATCGCCTGCAATCATCAACAAGATCCTGGACTTCTGGCGAAACTCGGCAGCTCAGAGGATTGGTTTTATGTACGGTCGCTACGAACCTTACTCGGAGATTCCCCTCGGCACAAAAGCTGTTATCGAGGCTATTTACGAACCTCCTCAAGTCAACGAACTTGACGGCGTGACGCTGAACGATTGGGCAAACGAGAACGAGATCGACCGAGTGGCGTCGCTTTGCGGTCTCCAGCGTGTCGGTGTCATATATACTGATCTAATCGATTCTGGCAAGGGCGACGGCACCGTTGTGTGCAAACGCCATAACGACTCTTACTACATGTCTTCGCTAGAGATCATGTTCGCCTCGAGATTCCAAGCCAAGTACCCGCGCCCCTCGAGATGGAGCGAGACAGGCTCATTCGGCTCCAACTTCGTTACCTGTGTCATCACTGGTGATGACGAAGACCAAATCGCCGTTCAAGCATATCAAGCATCCGACTCTGCTGTGGAGATGACAAGAGCTGACATCATCGAACCGTCCGCGGATCCGACTGTAATGCTAGTGCGAGACGAGGACGAAGACAACGAGTTGGGCCGTACACGTTACATTCCAGAGGTCTTTTATCGCCGTATCAACGAGTACGGAGCGAACGTGCAAGAAAATGCCAAGCCCTCTTTCCCAGTCGATTACCTACTGGTCACACTCACGCACGGTTTCCCACTCCAAGCCAACCCCTTGTTCACCAGCGAGGAGGGATTCATCGTAGAAAACAGAGAGATGATCGGACAATCGCAGGAGCCTAGAGCTCTCAAGAGCTTCCTGAGCAAGGTGGCTAGACTCGACACCACCGACGGAGCCCAGAAGATGTCAGACTTCCACGCCTTATGTTTTGTACATACAATGGGCGTTTTGAGCGAGGTATGTTAAGACCAATATCCCTTCTAGACAGCAAGCTAACGTTTCATAGNNGACGAGTTCCGCCTCCTCTGTCAAGTGGCAACGCAGAAGGACACGAGCCTTGGTGCAGCGTTGCAGCAAACACCAGGTTGGGCCACACTCCAGACGATCCTTGACATGTAGTGTTTCGGATACGTATTTGCTTTTTTGAAGAGGAAGATTTTGGCTGACGTTTGGGTGCGTGCGCTTGTAAATANNGGCTGGAAATCCCTGCTGACTATCGTTGAGCTGAGCGGCGACCGTCGACCAAAGAGACCAAACGAGTGGTCCGCCAGTGGCGGGGCCTCAGGCTACGGCAGCGACGGAGAGCAGCTCGCCAAAAGAGTCAAGAACATCGGCCTCAATGGCTCGAAATGAAGAGCCGGAGACAGAGAAAGCAAGCCGTGATCGGGGAGGCTGATTGGAGGAGAGCATGGCCAAGCGGAAGGGGATGGCCGAGCAGATACGCGCATCGTCTCGTTGAGAACAGTAACGCGCAACGAATGGCGAGACACGAGAGGATATCAAGAGAGGATGATGGTTGCTAAGTGAAGACTTGCTCGTAAAGAGCAACAATAGCCACATACCCAGAGAGTGGTCACTATGCACGAGAGATGAAAAGAATCTAATCATCATGATCGCATCTACAAGTCGGCTCTAATCTCCCCGTGTACGAAGGTCTGTAACCTTGCCTGCTCCCACTGCAATAAAGAGGCACTTTTGGGCTGTAGAAAGGCACAGCATTTTCCAACGATGAGGATATAGCTATAGAGAGATGATAGATTTGAGTCTCTCAGTGGAAACTACCATGCTTCTCAAGACCATCATGCATCTTTATAGCTATACTCGTTCCATGCTTTAGTACATGGGAAAGAAGGTCTGCATCACCGTGTGATATCGTGGACTGCTGGGAACGGACAGAGTGAAAGCGATATGTCAGGCTCAAGAGCTGCTCCCTCGAGCCTGAACAATAGCATGTATTCTGCTTTGGGCCAACAAGACATGATATCTATGCTTCTCGAGTGTCAAGCACTCCAACAACAACCCACGACTTCCTCAATCGGCATCTACTTTTCCTCGTCATCATCACTACTAACCTCCTCCCCATTCTCCCTCGCCTTTTCCTTTCTCTTGCGGATCCTGTCCCTCTTCTTATCCAACAGTTTCCTCAAATTCTTGGCCACGTTGAATGTACCGCCCGTATCTGCACCGCAGTTTGCACATTGCTTGCCACCTTTACTTTTGTGTCTTTTCAACGCGCACGCCTCGCAAAAGTAATGCCCGCATTTTGTGACGACGGGGCTTTTGTAGGGTTGTTTGCAGATGATGCAGGCAAAGGGGATTTTTTCGAGTTCTTTTGCTTCTTCGTCGTCGTCGGAGGGGTTGTCGGCTTGGGTGTCGCCAGAGCGGTTCGCAGAGGCTACCGTGGTGGACTTGGGGGCTTTTGATTTTCCGGCCTTTTCCCATTCTTTGTCGAGTTGCCAGCCTTGTTTGTAGTCTTCGCGGGCGTGGAGGAATTTGCAGCTGTCGCCGAAACCGCACTGAGAGAGATCCAAGTTAGTGATGTGTTTCCTAAAAGTCTGGATGTAGGAGACACTTACGAATCCAGTCTGCTTGTAATCCTTGCAGACGTCTGGCGCAAAANNGTCGACCAATGTGATCATACGCATATTCGTGGGTGCCTTTACCGGACCCACGCTCTTGCCNCTTAACTTGTCAGGATTCTTTTGTATAAAGTTTCCATATCCTTTTGCGCCTTTATATGTGCCGTCTTTCTCTGCCACCTCTTGCTCTGCTTGTGCAGTCTTTGCAGCTTCGTCCGCATGGAACCAATTGCTCGTCTTTGTCGCATCGTCTAGATCCGTAATCGCTGCACTGCGGTCACCAGCAAATTGAGTGGACTTGCCGAGATCCACTACGCGCGAGGGCTTGTTGATGGCGGACGAGGATGTGATGCCGCCTTTGCGACGCCGTTTTATGCGTGTGCCGCTTTCGTCTTCTGCGCTGCTGTAGTCCGAATCCGAGTCCGAGGGGGGTGTTGCGGCGCGTTTCTTGAGGTTGGCACGGCCGGCGCGCTTCTTGAAGACGACGGGGGCGGATGGTGTGGCGTCTGCCATGGTTGGCGGTGGTCGCTGTTCAGAGGTGGTGATGCTTTTGGGTTGTGATCGGTCGTCGAGGCCAGAAATGTGTTTAGTGTTGAGTGATGATAGGCCTTGCCACTAGTGGATAAAGTGCGTATACGATGGTGTTCAGATTGCGAGGTTGTTGTTTGGGTAATGTTGTCGCATCCAAAGATTGGAGATGTTCTGGAGTCGGAAGCTGCTGTCCCGAAGAAGTGGAAAGAGGGTTCTAGAGTGACGCAATTATTAAGCATAATTATTTGAAAAGTCGCAATGAACAGGCACGCGACGAAAGTTGACGGAAGATATATAAATTTTATTGAAGAGTTGTGATTAAGGCAAGCACAATGATAAACATCGACCTGACCAAGCGATATGAAGTCAGAACAGTCGTACAAGTTCCAACAACAATAAAGCCATTTCTACACAGCCATATCTCAATGAACAGCTAGGTTCTAGCAATGAAAATCAACCTCGACATCTCAGACTGACGCCAATCCAGCGGCCATGGTTTCCTCGATGGCGCGCTGGCTAGACATGTGTTCCTGATGTGCGATGCCACGCTGTGCTAATAGCTCATTTTGATGGCGTGCTAGCTGATTAGGGTCGAAATCTGTATGGTGCAAGTCGGTAGTATTGCCTTGCAAGTGCTCGAGCATAGAATGGTCATGCTGCATCATGGCGTCACGAGCCATGAGTGTGTCGTGGTTGGAATCGTGGAGATCCATGGACAAGCCGTTGATCTGATGGTGATGTTGAGACAAATCAAGACTCGTGTCGTCCGGTGCTGTGCCAGTGAGATCAGATGCACCAGCCAGAGCATCATGATCATCAGGCTTGGTCCAACCACCATAGCCCTCGCCGCGACTGATAATCTCACCACTCTTCACCATCTTACTACGAAGCTGGCTCATCTTGCGACGAGTGCGCTCGCGCAGAAGATCATCATGTACTGGAGCATACCACTCGGTGTGATCGACCAGGTGATATAGCTCTGCGAATATGGCCTCGAAGGTCTCGAGGGAATTTTGGTTGTACGCATAGGTCGAGTGTTTATGCATCAATTGTACCAAGAGCTTCTCAGGACCCTTAGCCCAGACGTCCCGGCTCTGCACCCACTCGGCAGTCAAATGCTCGCGACGGCGACTGCGACGTTCCAGGTCCTTGAGCATGCGCTCTTGACGCTCTTCGGTACGTTTGCGAGCCTCTTGAACCTTACTCTTGCTGCGAGAATCTCGAGGCTTGGGAGTGGTTGAAGAAGTGCCCGTGCTGACTGATTGTGGAGCGAAAGGATCATTGTTGGCAGTCGAGTCTGGATGCATGTGTGAGGTTGAAGTTGTGTCAACATCAAGATGGTCGAACAAAGAGTCATCATTTGGAGTATGCGACTCCCGGCGTTGGCGCAAACGACGCATCTTGATCTTGAGTTCGAGCTCTTTCTTCTGCAGCACAATCTGCTGAAGCTGCAGTTGTAGAGTCTCCTCGTCCTCGGACAGAGGGTCCATATGATCAGGCATGAGATCGTGGTGCATGGTGGTAGAATCAGTCAAGCCTCCCAGAGCGCGAGCCAGCTCAGGACTAATGTCTGGTGGAGGTGGCTGGCCACTGTCGTCGGTAGCGTCAGCCATGGCCATGAGCGGGGCATAAGGGCTCTGATAGGTTGTGTCTGGCTGCGACACGGCCATGTGTGCTTGAGGCGCAGGCACGGGAGTGGGGTCCTGGATGACATTCTGCAGGGAGCCATGGTCATCGTGGTGTTGAGGGTCGACATTTACGTCAACGTCGGAATCCAGGTCCATGTCAACACCCATGTCGATGGTGAAGTGCTTGCGTGCATCGGTACGGAACTTCTTGTGCGAAGTGTTGCGACGCTCAAAGGCTCTGCGAATCGTGCGGGTACCGACAACGAGTTTGTACGTGTCGTAGAGCCACCAAAGCATGTCGTCGACGGACATGTCGGGCTTTTGGGCGACGCGATCGAACAAGGCCTGCTCGACATCCTTGTTCATAACGCGGTGTCGTCCAGTCCGGCTCTCTGGCGGCTTGCCGATGCGACCATAGCGTTCAAGTTCGAGCTAACAATTCAAGATTAGGCCGTGGTGGTGTATGCATACAGACACGCGGTAGGATACCTTCCAGCGGCGAATAGTCCTGTCGGACACGCCCGTTTGTTTCTCAATCTCATCCTCAGCGACGCCTTGCTGCAGCAGCTGCTTGACTTGGCTGCGTGCCTCCTCGGGGTATGCTTTGCCTNNGTAACAATGGATCAGCAAGCTTGTCTGGTGCCGAGGCCTGGGCCATGGATACGCACCCATCCTTATGACAGCGATGCCAATGTTAAAGTCACTGGCACTGTCGTTCAAAGTGACAGAAAGCATGTACTCGGCCTTACCCGCACGCCCGACTGACGACGCTGGTCCCACGTGACCATCCACTCAACCTCTCTCCTCCTCGGTCGCACTTTGACTTTATCATGCACATCACTTTGAGCCGCTTCGAACTTGACAATCTTATGTAGCAAACTTGAATTGATAACTTGATCGACCTTGCTAGCACAGCTTTTGGTCTCGACTACTTTGGTCGTCCATCAATACTGTACATTCAAAACTGACTCGCATCCTTCGTCAATGCCTAACAATACTAATGCAACAAGTTCCTCAGACTAGGGCTTGCGCTTGCTCCATTGGTTCTCACATCCACTGATCCGTCTCGTGGTGTTGCTGCTCTGACAATTCCTGGGGGAGGACTGCCATGTCCAATGTTACCGCCAGGAGTCTGTTGACCGTTGGTGATTGGCGCTAGAACTGGTGCATGATGCTGATGATGCACTCCGTGAACTCCGTTGCTCAAAGGTAGCGGATGATGACGTTGACCCTGTGCTTGTCCATTAGGTTGTGCAAAGGTTGGTGGTGTGCCATGGCCAAATGCTGGCACGCTTCCTGGGGTGTAGCCGTTCGGCTGTGCATGTGGGACTTGATACTGTCCAGGGTATGCTTGAGGAGCCGGAGGGTGCATTTGACCCACTGCCTCCACTGGTGCTGGTGGTTGCACTGGAGTTGCTGCGTGGGCAGGAGTTTGANNGCCTGTGGCTGCGGGTTTTGGTTTGCGATTCCTGTACCCCAACCTATCTGGAGGGGAAACTGCTTCGGGGGTGACAAAGAGATTCTCTTTCGANGTTGAGGAAGGCGACGGTGATGGTTCTTGCGGAGCATTAATCCGCTTGAAATGACACTTGTTGCATCTGTAGCCCTTGAGATTATCCTCACTGCGTGTTGTGACTGGCGTCTGGGCTTGGACTCTTTTCAACGTCTCTTCAGCAGTCCACCATCTGGGACTAATATCGGTATGGCACTTGATACACGTCTTTGTAGGCTCATCTTCAGCAGAGCTCGCGCCGTCCATCTCATCGGCCCCAAAAGCTCCTGCTGGTGAGTTGCGTGCCGATCGCGCCAAGTTGCTTGCTGTAGAAATGCGACGATTGGCTGTTGCGTTAGCAGGAACAGCCTGTGAAGCTAGTTTCGTCGATTGACTGAGTAAATTGGCCTTTCGGGCGGTTCCAGTGAGAGTTGGGTCTGCCTGTTTGTAATTCTCAACAAAAACCTGTAAAGCATTTTGGCTTTTGTCGTCGGCAACCTCGCTGATCGGGTGAACCGGGGTCTTGATGGCGTGTTCCTTACACCAGATAGCGGCTGTGAGAGATCCGCTTTCGCCACCAATGGTCGCTGTGATAACTTGGTCTTTGCGTGAGCCCTTGACTGGTGTCACATCAAAGCCCAATGTGTACCCGGCCTGTATCGCGCAGCCAACATGGAAGTTGGCACGACATTGAAGACAAGAGACACAGGCGCCATGGTTGTTCTTCTTGCAGACCTTGCATGTCGCCTCATACCGTTCCAATGGAATGGCACTGAATCCTTCCGCTCTTTCCAGAAGGCTGGCTTCGCTGAACTTGATCTCGGGCGTCCATATCGCGCATTGGACGTGGACCCAGTTGTTACCGTCAGTGCGCTTGAGTGGCTCTCGAGGGTTGCTGGGCCGGTTGAGAGAGGCTTGCTTCTTGTTGTACTCCAGCTGCACACTGTCCATGAGCTCCTTCTCGAGTCTCTCCTTTTCGCGCTCTCGGTCTGACTTCTTCTTGTGGGTAACTCTGGGCGTCTCGAGCATCTCGTGGGTCGTCTCTTCGATCGGGCAGAGTGTACACATATACTCAGTGGACACTGCTGGCGTCCTATCGTTGGTGCATTGGTCGCAGACCCACTTTGTTGGCACATTTTGGGTTGAGAGACCATAACACCTCTTGTGTACACTGAGCTTGCAGTGCGAACACACCATGGGGCGCTCTCCTGCTGAGTCGAGAACATTGCAGACGAAACACGGCAGTTCTCTCCATCTAGGCTGGTCGGGTACGATCGGTGGAGGAGGGGGTGTCGGAAGCTTGGGTGCCTTCTTCTTCTCGGCGCCTTCAGGTGCAAGCTTGGTCTTCTTTTTCGGCGGCTCCGCTCCTTCGACTGATTGAAGGACAATAGTCTGATCTTCCGGTGCAGCTTCGTTTGAAGCCAGAATCTCGCGCACAACCTCTTCGTCGAGCTTGCGCTTCCAGGCACGTCCACCGGCCTGGACAGCCTTCTTAGTGACTTCGTCGATATCTTCCCATACGATCGCGTATCGCCTCCAGAGTCCAGCGCATCTTCCACACAATGCCAAAAGTAAACGATTGCCCTTGTCCTTGCTAGCTTTGCCTTCACCTGAAGGCACAGTCTGGCCAGGAGTAACACCAGGGGCTCTACGCCACTGTCGAGAATGTCGTGTAGAACAATGCTTGCACTGAAATCCTCTCTTCTGGTTTCGTGCTTTGTCGGTGTCGAAGGCAGAGTCATCCAAGTCATCGGCGACCTCAGCTTGAAGCTTACCAGCAGGATCCATGTTCTGGCGTTTCCGTCCCTTGCGACCTCCGTAGTTGTCCCATATCTGTCGACCGCGTGGTGTTTTCTTCCAAAGATAGTAAAAGCGAATAATCGTAGATGTAGGGTGGTGGGTCTTCATATGTAGCCGGACCAATCGGTGCTCTGAACCGTATTTCTGCACGCCATCTTCGAACCTCTTCAACTCATCTGGCGTAAGTAGAGGTTCTTTGAGATCCTTGGCTTTGTCGACCTTGGACAATTGTTCAATTGCCTTGTCTGCGTTGTACTTATGCAGAATCAAGAGCTCAAGCGCCTTGTCTTGAAGATTGGAGCTCCAAGTATGCAACTTGAGCGACTTCGCAGTAGCTTTGGCGCGGTCCATGAATTTGTCGATGAAGTCCTCGTTCGAGGCTGGAGCGTGTTCGTTGTCATCTTCCGGCATTTTGAACATGAGTCGAGCCGTATTCCTCGGATCGTCGTTGTCGTAGTCCTCTCCTCGATGAACATAACCTGGAGGCTCGTCTTGAACCCATTTTGGACGCTTTNNTTCTCGTTCTTTCCGATCCGCCTCAATTGCGGCCAGAGTCTCTTTCGTAAGTTTTGTGTCCTTCTTTTGGCCACCACCCTTGACGAACCGCTTCTTGATATCAGCCGGCTTGACAAGTTCAACTGGTCTACCATGCCACACATTGACATTCGCTTGGTGGCGTGGTCCTAGACGCGAGCTAGCTCTCGGGTAAATGGCACGGTCGTCGTATTGCAGCGCATCCTCAACTCTGCAGTGGATACCCAAGTACCGGAAAGGCCACATCTTGGCCATGGCAATCTCAGCTTGAGTACCAGGGTGCTGATCAGTAGCGACATCGGGACCACTGGGACTTGGTGCTCGCGTGCTTGCTGTCAGTGCAGGATCTTCTTCCTCTTCTTCAACGACTTCTTCCTCTTCATCAATGCCACCGAGAGGAGTGTTACGAGCCTCGAGCCTCCTTTCTGCAGCACGACCACAAGGACCACACGCCCAAGCAAAACCACGTGTGGGCTTTTTGGGCAATGGCGGTCGGACGCAGTTCATGTGGTAACAGTTGCCGCAGATTGCGCAATCAACAGAATCGTTGCTGNNGGAGCAAGGTTAGCGATGATTTTTCGGTTGTTGCATGTGAGGTTCGTACCTTGCACAGTATTGAGTGCATCGCTTACAAAGCTTGACCGCCGCTGTGAGCTCTTTGACTCTGTTGGTCTCGACAGCGATGAACTTCCATCTCTCATCCAAAGCTCGCTTGACCTTATCCGGAACATTGATAATTTGAGAAGTTGGAATCACTTCGTAGAATCGGCGGATGAAGCGATCAAAAATCTGACTGAACCAAAAACAATTCGTGCCTTTGCGGTACTCGTCAAGGTTGTCAATTTCTGACCGATGGAGAATCTGACACTTTCCACGCAGAGATGTGAGGGGGCAAACGTCAGAGTGCATGGTACCGTATACAAGACGGCTGTCGTTGTTGAGTCGCTGTACGTCGCGCGGACGGTAGAACCAATTCACCCGGATCGAGTCTACGGGAGATTTCGGATCGTCAGAATTGGTGTGTAGAAATTCCATGATCCTGCAGAGGTAATAAGGATCACCGGGTGGTTCGCAGACGAGATATACGTGATCNTAGAGGTTTGCATTAGTCGTACGAAACGTGAAAAACAGAGATAACAAAACATTCTTACCATCGACGTATAATACCGTGCCATCGTCTGCAACAAGTCCGCCTTTCTTTAGAAATCCCTTTGACTTTTCGAAAGTCATCATGTTAGACCCACGAGACATGTTTGCCAACGGGGTGGAAGATGCCGGTCGTTTTGTAGTGGGTTGCGCAGCCGCATTTGCAGTGGTGCTACCAGATCCTGATGCAACGATGGCAGTATTGGCGGCACCGGCTGCCTTACGCTTCTTGGGAGGGGCAGTCGAAAAAGTGGAAGTTCCAGGAATTGTCTCTTTACCAGAAGCAGATGGCGACCTCTCGTCTTGGTCTGCACCATTGACTCGAACAAATGAAGGATCAGCAGTAGCCTTCTTAGTCTCCGTCGCAACTTGTTGATTCCGCTTTGAATCACCGACCGTGGCGTTTTTGGCAGATGCAGGCTTGGCTGGTGGCGGGGGNACTTCGAAATCCATATCTTGATCCTCTGCATAATTTGGTCGAGGGCGGTTGCGTGAGCGTGTTCCATATGGCATCGCGTCGCCCATCGCAACGTCAGAGAGATTTTGTGCAGATGCCAGTTCTGATGGACGTGATGATGATTGTCGTGAATTTGACTCAGTGGGCTGATCAGTAGTGGCAGGAGCTGGAGTCTGCGAGGTACTCATGATTTCATGCGGAGTGTCATCTGTTATGTTCTCGGCTTTGATAGTGCTGTTGCCAGACGGCTCAACAGGAGAGCGAGAACCTGCATCATTCATGGCGCTGGACGCGCGGGATTCCATGTCGTGAAGCCAGCGACGCCAGCAGAACGTCGAGATGCTGGCGGACTGCTCCACGGACGGGGTGAGTTAAATGTATTGAAAAACGTTCTCCCGCTGGCGAGATGTTAATGTCAAGGGTGTATCATACGATACTGGTGATGGTAAATGGGTATGATCAAGAAGGATGGAAGATGTCAAGAGATTGAGAGAGACAACATGCGTGTCGGAGAGCACGGGTACTGGCTCGAACGAAGCTGGTTGCGCGCGCGTGTCAGTTAGGGTATTTGACTGTACCGGCAAGCGGAAATTCAAGCGAGGGCGAGAACGTCGGAGCTGGGTTTGGTTGCAATGAAAATTTGGGGAAGCGTGGTCACGAAGTTGATGGCAGTGATGAAGGAGGGAGAAAAGTGAACATTGATGATGAAGCCCATCGGATCAGATGCCCCCTGTCCGTCTCTGGTAATCGCCGTATTTATTGTTACTGTACCTAAATTCGAACGCCCTCTCTTGATCCCTCGTTGATACTCTTGCAATGCCAAGGCTTGCACAGGTCGCTTCCGCCTTGCCGGTTCCCATCTGACAACATCAAAAGACATCAGGCCTTAACCCGGGCCTCATATGACCATCCTTCGACTTGCAACAATGTTCTTATTCAGCTAGTCGCTGATCCATGTACGGCTCTTCGTATGACAGATGATAGAGTTGATCGCATTTTCTCGGCTTCAACGGCCGTTTTCGTCCAAAAAGAGATAACCTTCTGCGAAACGCGGCCGACGGCTGGGAGATCACGACTGCCATCCAAAAACTATCGGATGTCAAATGCTCGAGGAGTCCCATCACTGTCTGCGATGTTCTCCTTCAAATGCAGCTCGGTCGCAGTCGATTTCGCTCACTTGTATCATGATTGCACCGACCCCCAATTTTTCTCCCAAGGTACACCCAGACCAGCCTGGTTCTTTGTATGCCTACGTCAATGTTTAGCTTGGTTGCATGAGTAGCTACCCTCGATTGACGGCTATCTCGATCTTCGAGAGTATCCTGCTTTCTAAGGGTACCCTTGCGAAACTGCGACCTTGTGAAATTAATGTTCGTGTGCGCTGCGTTTACGATAGCAGCGACCGGATGTCGAGCGGTGTGTCCGCTACAACCAGACTGATTGTGATAAAACATGGAACAGCAGCCTAATCCAAGATGAGATGATCTGAAAACACTGCGGTTCTTTTGATACGCTTCATCGTTTGCACGATTATGTCGCGTTCTTGGCAGTAACTTGAAGGGTCAAGTTGTCGTCGCCCAGATCTGCAGATAGCCGAGCCAATCACATGCACGATGATGTTTGTGGGCACTCCACTTTTTCTCGACTTCAGCTCGAACCTCACGTTGTGCTGGCACGCACTGCGCATGGCCATTCGACGGTACACGAACGCAGCACAGTCTACTTTAAGCTTTTGGAAACATTGGTCTGGCTTGAAAAAATATTGTTTGTACGAGAATCGGCACAGTAAAATATCAACAGGCCTGACTCGCATTTGGCTCGGACGAAAAAACAAGGGTCCAGTTGAAATAGGTTGCCAAATGAACGGACGGTATCGTTGGGTCCGTCACGCGGGCCAGTATCCACCCGTGATCCATCCTCTCAGTAGATGTACCTGAAATTCTCATTTTCACTGGCAATGTCAGCACTCTGTTTTGTGTCTTCTTCCAGTTGATAGTGGTCTTACCGATCAGTCAAATCTGCAAAGGCGGTCGCATTCAAGTCTCTACCCTCCAAACCACCAGGCAAGGCACTCTGAATTCGATCTCGACGGCGATTCTCTCTGCTCAAGAGCATGCGCAGCAAGAGGATGACGCAGACTTCGATCAAGTGGCTTACGATCATGCTCCAAATGCCGAGCTCGTAGCGAGGACTCTGCGACTGTTTGTAAAAGAACGGCCCTGCGATGTTGCCTGTACAATACTATACAAAGTAAGAATAGTCAGTATAGTCAAGACTTGGTAGGTCCATTTCACTTACCCCAAGGAAGAGTATGGCATTCGTCACAACTTTCTTGGAATGCCCAGCCTGTTGATGTCAGTAATGGCCCAGATTCCAATTTTGTTCTTTTTTGTTGAGAACTTACGACGTTGGCGGTGGTCAAAGACAGAATCATAACAAAAGCTGCATTATAGGGGCTGACCTGAAGATCAGTATGGCTGTCTTTGATGGTGTTTGAACCAACTTACCCAGTCAGGTAATAGCAAATCAGTCTTCCAGCTTTATTGTCGGCAGCCAGAAACGCTGCTAAAGGTCAGACTATCTATTCTTCTTGGGCTGACACTTGAGACCTACCAAGTCCGAAAGATCCACTAATGTTCGGTAGCAAGAACAGAAGGATGAAGTAGCACCTGGTCTGACTGCCTTTGGCTGCAAACTTGTCGTTCAAGAATACACATGTGAGGATACTGATGGCTATGAAAATGCCTAGAAAGGTCAGAGACGATCTTCGAGCTCTCGTAGATGCTTACCATAAGGAACCTGCATCAGCGTTGTGACGAGGGTGCTAAATCCAAAACCTTTGATGATGATGGTACCAAAGTTGGAGATACCACCGTTCCTGTAAAAACAGTCAGCACAGGCTACAACATAGTCTTAGAGCAGGGAGACCCACGGGATGTTGCCAACCACTCCTAATAAGAAGAATAGGGGTGTCTTGTAACTGAAGTTGAGAGTATGATTAGCACGGTTTCTTGTGGCAGACAACAAATCGATCCCAAGAAGCCATCAAGGCCTAAATCACCTGTCAAAAGGCAGCAATACTCGACAGACCGGCTGATAGCCATTGAGAGCTCGTACGATCTTCGAATCCTTAAGCTCTCTCTGGAAAACGACGGTTGTATTACATGATGCTGCCTCTTGGCACAAGGTAGAGGTCCAAGCCTTCATGGTGAGTAATACTCAAGGAATGTGAACCGACCGACGATGTACGTACTCGGTAAATGCTTCGCGGACCTGGTACCACTTCAGATGCTTGTTCTCGATACCAGTCTGGTTGTCTCTCAACCTCTCCACTGCTATCCTCTTTTCTCGTTCGTTGAGGCCTTTGGCGGTGACTGGACTGTCTGGAAGAAAGATCATCATCACTACACCCCACACACAACAGAGAGCTCCGATGATAAGGAACTCAAATTTCCAAGAGGGCAAGCCTGCTTTGATGTGACCAATGCTGAGAAAGTCAGCTCACCTTACGTCTGGAGACTCAGAGATGAATACTTACCCATAGCCCAGGAGACCACCAAGAGCAATACCGAATCCATTGGCAGTATACCACAGACCCATCCTGATGGGTTGCTGACGTCTCGAATACCACATAGAGGTGATGATCATGAACGCTGGATCCGAGCATGCCTCTGCAGCTCCCGAAAGGGCTCTCAGAACAGCCAGAGTGGTAAAGTTCCTCGCTGCAGCCTGACACATAAGCAAAGCTCCCCACATGAAGATATTCGCTCCCAAGTATTTCCCAATCGGGAACCTTTGCATCAGGAAATTGGTCGGCAAAGCCCAGAATAAGAAGCCGAAGTAGAAGATGGAAGACAACCAGCTGTACTGTTGGCCATGGATCTTCAGGTCTTCGCGGATGCCGAAGATGGCTGCATAACTGAGGGTTGTCTTGTCGATGTAGAAGAAGGCGTAGCAGACGGCTAGGTATGGCAAGATCATGAAGTCAATCTTTCTCACTACTCTTGCTTCTTCGGCTGGATCAATGGGCTCGTGAGCCTGTGAGGCGAAGAGTCTTTGGGCGACATCCCCATCCTCATTCAGGTTGATCTTCTTCCACTCGGTGGGTTCTTCTATGGCATTGATGTTCTCATGGTGTTCTACACCATGTTTTGCTTCGTTCTTGGTATCAGGACTGCCTTGATAGGGCTCACTCCGAGAAATGGCATCGGCCTGCTGTGAGCGTGACAAAAATCGCATGCTGAAATTTGACAATAAAGGTGCAAGGTTGGGCAAGGCTCAAGTGGCTACTCGACTTCTACATATGTTCGCTAGCTACTGCTGATCTACTGCATTTCCCCGTTTGTATTGTAGTATTCTATCCAATTAGTTCCCGGTAGTATACCTTTGCATCTCCACATGACCCCGCACCCTCATGCCGCAGATCTGCAGTACAGTATACGCAATCGGCGAGAAGTGCGTAGTGAGGTAAAGAGCGTCAATAGCGATGAGGTCACAGATGTACAATTTAAGAGCATGTGATCTGTATCCTTGGACGGGATAAAAAAGTGCAGATTACGAATGGGTATATAAAACGATGCTATCAATCACGCTTGTCGAAGGGTATCCAGGCTGACTTCCAATACTCCCTATCTCCAAATCTTCCATCCTGGCTTTTTCGCAGCTTCTTGCTGTCCAAGTGACTGTTCGTCAATATTTGGTCTTTCTCCGATTCCTTGTGCACTCCTACCGAAAATGCGATCAGCAATGCTTGGTCTGCGGCCTCGCTGTTGCTGTTGATAGTGTTCATCTTCCAATTCTGACTCGACGAAGCTTCCTTCTGTGTCCGTATATCCATCATCGAGGCTCTGATCGTTGGTGTCGAGGCCATTCTGTTGCCGACGTCCAAATGGATTCCATGAGCGTTTCTCACGTGTAGAAAGCTCTGAAGGATGAGGTTCAGTTGGAGGTTGGATAGAGGCTTCGCGAGCTTTATCGTTCTCTGTGCCCGCCAACGCAGGATGGCGGTGACGAGAAGGAGGTGGTCCGATCTCCTTGTTGAATCCACTCGTGTCCGAAGGTCCGTCATGACCATGAGGATGTCCTCGAGTTCTAACAGGCGCAGCTGAGTGACGTTCGGTGGTCTGCAGTCTCGAATTCAGAGCTCTGTCATCCAGTTTTCTGGTCGGCGGCCCATGAAGGCTGTCTGAACTGCTGCGGCTATCGCCGCTAACGGAGGAGTGCTCATCGAAGCTGCGTGATCTGTGAACTGTCTTGCCTCTTAAGTGGTCCATCATCGAAGCACCCCTGGACTTGAATCTGGCCGTGTTTATGTCGGCGTCTCCTTCGTACCACAAAGCAGGCACTAATAACCTGTATGGTCTGGTCACACCTGCAGGATCCTTTTGATCGACCTCCATGTTTAGACAGATATCAAGCCCACTCTCGAGGTTGATATTTCCGAATTGCTCGCCTTCTGGCCCGCCTTTGGCACTTGCTTTGAGTGCATTTTTCTCGGAGAGGTCTGTAGGTCTCCTATGGAAATTATTGGTGGGCCTGGGATATGTTTGCGGAAAGTAAGATCCGCCATTGTCGTGAGTACGCGACAAAGCGCCGTCTCTTGTCTCATCTGGCCCATATGCCTCCATCGAATGTACTTCACCTCTCGACGCAATTGGCTGACGTTCTTTCGCTGATGCACCTGAGAGTCTCCGCACTAGATTACCGGGACGAAAGCCGCCTCTATTGGTGGATGCAGACCTCGCCATTGCACCAGGCGGGTATTGGCGATCGTCTGGCAGATGATTTGGCGAGTTTATGGGTTGCCGCTCCGGGCTCGGAGAAGGAGGCGGGGTGGAGCCTGGAATGTACTCTCTAATGCTGCAGAAGTTTCTCCTAGGTAGGAGATGGAGGTTGTTTCGAGCTTTACCATTAACATCCTGCTCGAACATGGGGATCATGTCCTCGTCGGTCTCGGCATCCAGATGATGAATTTTGTTACGCTTGTTAAGCACGTCGCCCATGATGTTTGGCGGAGGTGTGTTGACAATGGCAGAGGACACGACATTGGGCATGTAACGATGGTCTCTGTCTTTGGGGACACCCAGCTTCTTCTTTGTGTAGAATTGTCCCACTGCACCTAAATGTACGTCGCCTCCAAGAATGGTGATTCGTACAGACTTGCTGGCTGCGAGCTCTTGCAGCTCTTGAATGAACCAGTTTCTTTCAGGTTTGTGGTGCTTGGCAGTCCAATGGTCATCCAGGTCATCCAGAATCTCAACACCACCGTCAAATTTGTTGATGAAACCGCCCAGGATACCGGTCCGGCCAATGGCTTTGATGGGATCCATAATCCTCGATGTCAATATGTTTTCCAAAAAGTTGAGTCTTGGATACGCGATGGGTACACCAAGTAGGACGATGAGATGCTTGGTTTCTCCTTTGATGATTTCTGATCGACATCGGTTGAACACAATATCGTAGCTTTCCTGGCTCAGAATCTCGTCTCTCATCCTTTCCGTCCGGCAGTCCAAGCCTAGGAATGCAACCTTTCGGCCGAGGAACATGAATACACTGCGACTGAGCTCGTTGATGTAGGGTCCTGGAGATGCACCCAACACCCACGAGGGCTCCTCGCGTTGGGTCTCAGACACTACACTCTGGTGCTGGAAAAGCATGTAGTACTTGAAGGCAACTGCGCCTAAGCCAGTGAATATCCTGGTGCTCATGAAATGATGAGGATAGGATCCGTAACCCNNTGGGATGACTCAGCACAAGTAGATGATGGCCATCGGGAAACTTACATCAATGATATCATGATCGTCCCAGATATTCACCATTGGGATCTGGCTGTTGGCCATACCAAATAGACCTTGGGAGAACCACATACTATACCTGTCAAGGTAGAATGTCTCAAGCTCGTCTTGCATCTCTTCCGTGAAGTCGGCTCTGTGCTTGTGTTCCGGATTCTTGGTTTGCAGCCACTCTTTGAAGTATACCGTGTCGCGCATGGCAGCGTCGTTGTAGATCTGGTCTCCGCCACCGAGCATGACATGGAAAGGTCTCGACAGATGTTTGTTCAGGACATCTCGCCAAAGAGGATCTGGCCCTGTGAACTCATTTGAGTTCACGGACAAGCTGAAGCCATTGCAAGAATGGAACATAACGTTCATGCTTTGACCTCTCCCAGGAACCCAAAACCCGGTGGCTGGACCCCGATTGATCCGATACGCAACTCGCGCTTGTTTTAAGCCAAGCTCAATCTCGAGATTGAATCGCCAGAAAGTAACACCACGCTCTCTGTGCAAACGAACAGCCTTGACTTCGCGATACTTGCCAGCTTTCTCGCCGTCGCGAGCTCGAATCCGAGGCTTGTCGGGTACATTCTCAGGACTTTGGGTTTGCTGAGGTCCTTGGCCGGTTGATCGTGTTAGCTCAAACAAACCAGACTCGTCCTCAACCCGAGAAACGTCGACGCCATCCTCAAGAGCAGTCACAGGCCTCACAAAAAGTGGCTGTCCATTTCGAGAGACTTTCATTTGGCCAGCGATCGGATCCAGGTACTCGGATGGTGGGTTCTGTTGGTGCTCTGCTGATAAAGGTGGCAACAACTCCATCGATTGCGCGAACAAACGAAGTGTTGGAATCTCCTCATACAAGGAGCGCTCATCTTGAGTCACGATCATCACAGTGCCTCTCCATATCTCTTTCTCGGTATGACCAGTACGGTTCGACTGCGTTGTCTTCTCTCGGCGCATACCGGTATAACGTAACAATGGGCCGCATTTCAGGAACAGCGGGGGTCGGAAAGTCTTTGCTGGTTCGTCATAGGCCCCATCATACACACCTGACCTGTTTTGAGTGGGGTTACTTTTTCGCGACCCTCTACCCTCCCACCAAGGATCGTTCTTATTAGCAGTGGCTTGTACTGGATCTTGAACATCGTGATCTTCTGCGAACAATCTTGCTACACCCGCCTGACGCCATTCTTGAAGCTCGGGTCCTTTTCGATAGGTGCCATCCTTATGCTGATGTCGATGAAATAAATTACTGACACCGTGATGATTGTTACGCTTCGTAGGTTGGTCGTCCCGAGGAGGAGCTATGGGCTGGACGTTAGAGAAGCCTACATGGTCTCTCGCATCCTGTCCTCCAGCGGTTTGAGGAGGGATGTTGTAAGCGGGTCCATGCTTGTGACCAGTTTTGACAGATTTGGGTGGGACGGGGTCCGCATCCTGGTGTCGGATAGCGGCTGTCGTGCCTCCACTTTCTCCGATACGAGAAGTATGGAGAGACTGTTGGGCGACGGGGACATGAGACGAACTGTATTGGCTTGCAGGCTGGCCTCGAGTATTGGTGTGCTGGTTGGCATTGTGGTTGATGTCACGGCTACCCAAGCCAGCTTCGTCATAGTGACTAGACGAGCGCCGACCACGTTCATTGCTACCAACATCAGTGTGTGCGTGAGCGCTATGAGAGGGTACAGCAGCGGCGGCGGCGGCTCCAGCAAAGCCAGCGTCACGCGCCCGATGGCGATAGCTCTTTGAGTTTGATCTTTCGAGTCGTGTCTGGTCTTCAGGTTGCCTTGGATACTCGGTATAGCTGAGGCTATCTCCTGCGGCTTGTGCTTGCCCTTGCATTCTCAGAGCGTCAGAGGCACGCCTGAACTTTTGCCCAGCATTCAACCGATCCGAATCAGCGACACCAGACGGACGTCCTCCATAATCCAGCGAGGGTCGTCCTTGTTGCATGTTTCTGTCGGATTCGGTTCCTTGCGTAGGCGCAGACGAGTATCTCCTTTCGTGGCGACGGTAGCCTGCATCTGGATTGCGAGACAAAGGTTGCTGATTTCCGATATCAACTCTTCGAGATTGGTTCGCTGTTGATTTCTGACGAGCACGGTGCTCGGCGCTTTCAATACGGGCTCGCTTCTCTTCTTTGCTTATGTCGTCGAGTTTACCCACCAGCTTCTGGAGGGGTGACTTATCAGAGACAGTGCCGTGATTTGACGGATGGCGATTGACACGTTCCGGCGACATAGGAGACCTGTCAAGAGCGGAATTTCTGTACGACATAGCACCTTGTGTGTCGAGTGATGGAAATTGGTCTGCACGATCCGGACCATGGTGTGCGTCTGACCTGCGGGTTTTGGGTACTTGAACAGATGGATAAGAATCGTATTGTGTGGAATATTCAACCGATCTGGCATAAGAGCCACTGTTTCGTCTGGCATCCATGGCGTGCCGAAAATGGAGGCTCTAGTTTTGAGGTATCAGCAGTTTCTTGACATATCGGCTCTCGAGAAGGTGTAGTAGGATGTCGATTATGAGAGGCAGCGTCACAAAGAGGGCGGCGGAGGGGGTGAAGGAGAAAAGTCAGTGATTTTAAAAGGGCTATATACAGGCAGCTTGTGAAAGAAGACAGGGCGGGAAATAGATGAAAGTTGATGATTTGCAGACACGATATCATGGCAGAAGAGGAAGCGCTTGCAGCTCGGTGGCTGGTGTTCCGGAGCACGGGGCGGGCTTGGAGAGGCACCACGACCAGGGCAGCGAATCGCGTTTAGGATTGTCGAGAGGCGTAGATTACGACAGCACGTGTGCGGCGCGGTGTACAGTAATCGATGCGCAATCAAGATCTGAAGATGGCTGCGACCTGGTTTGTATGCCACTCACTGCGCAGGTCCCGTTGGCCGTTGGGCAATTCACGCCAAGCCTGCCACCTTTGAGATGCAGCTCTCCGTGCTAACTCCGCTCTCTAGACAATGCCTTGACACGACAACCTGTATTGATCCCCTTTTCCGTCCTTTGTTCGCCAAATTTTTCATGTCTCGACCATCATGCATCTAGGGTGAATTTGACTGGACTTGCAAACACTCGACTCGATCATGCGCTTTCCTCTCTTTTTGCTCCTGCAGCTGGCAGCGTCCAGCGTCGCCCTGATCAAGCCCGATTACGACAATTACGATTACTATGCCGTACACCTTTCCCCCGATGCCTTACCAGAAACTGTAGCGACGCACCTTGGATTCCACCTCGACAGTGTTATCGACTCGCTCAAGGATCACTACGTTTTCAAGGCACCAAAGGCCTCGAAGGATGTCATACACGAAGCCAAGCAGGACCTGAAGCGTCTAAGGAGAAAGAGGCAGGCCGGGTGGGATCGTCGTCATGTTCTGGACAACATTCTACTCAACAAGAAGCAAGAGCGTCGGTTGCGCCTGTTCAAGCGTGCGCCTCCACCGCAGTCGGCTGCATTTAATTCACGTGCCGACAAGCAGCTTGCCGACTCGCAGGTGCAAAAAGGACTGGACATTGCAAAGAGCTTGGATATCGAGGATCCTATTTTTATGGACCAGTGGCATTTGTACAACCCCGTCCAGCTTGGACACGACATCAACGTCACCGGAGTATGGCTTCAGGGTATCACGGGAAAGAATTCTACCGTCTGTATTGTAGATGATGGGCTGGATATGGATAGTGACGATCTCCGCGACAACTACTTTGCTGCCGGTTCTCATGATTTCAACGACCATGTTGACGACCCAAAACCAAGACTCTCCGATGATCATCACGGCACTCGTTGCGCTGGTGAAGTTGCTGCCGTGAGGAATGACGTCTGCGGTGTAGGTGTCGCCTATGACTCCAAGATCGCTGGTGTTCGTATTCTCTCCGGCGCTCTCACTGAGTTGGACGAAGCTCTTGCTCTCAACTATGCTTATCAAGAGAATCAAATCTACTCTTGCTCGTGGGGTCCTCCAGACGATGGTCAAAGCATGGAAGCACCAGGTATTATCATCAAAAGAGCTATGGTTGCTGGCGTTCAACAAGGTCGCCAAAACCGTGGAAGCATCTTCGTCTTTGCCATTGGCAATGGAGCAGCTAACGACGACAATTGCAACTTCGATGGCTACACCAACAGTATCTACAGCGTATCTGTCGGTGGTATCGACCGCAAAGGCTTGCATCCATACTACAGTGAGAAATGTTCGGCGCAACTGGTTGTGACTTACAGCTCCGGCTCTGGCGATGCTATTCATACTACTGATGTTGGAGCAAATCAGTGCTACGTCAGCCATGGTGGTACATCAGCAGCTGGCCCACTGGTCGCAGGTATATATGCCTTGGTGCTTGAAGTCAGACCTGACCTCACCTGGCGCGACATCCAATGGCTCACCGTTCTCACTGCTATACCAATCGATCAGCCAGAGGACGACTGGCAAGACACTCCTTTTGGACGCCGGTTCAGTCATGCTTCTGGCTACGGCAAGATCGACGCCTATGCAATCGTGGAAGCCGCTAGGAATTGGACCAATGTCAAGCCTCAAGCATGGTTCTTTTCACCTTGGATGCATGTCAGACACGATATCCCTGAGGGCGAGAAAGGAATAGCTTCCAGCTTTGAGATTACTGAACAAATGCTCAAAGACGCTAATCTAGAACGTATCGAGCATGTCACAGTAACCATGAACGTGGAACACACTCGCCGTGGTGACCTTAGTGTCGAGCTGCGCTCGCCCGAGGGTATCGTCTCACACATTGCAACTTCCCGTCGTAGAGATGAATCAAACTCGGGATACGACGATTGGACCTTCATGTCGGTTGCTCACTGGGGTGAGACCGGTGTGGGAAAGTGGACCGTGATTGTCAAGGACTCGACAAAGAACGGCCACACCGGCAAATTCATCGATTGGCACTTGAAGCTTTTTGGCGAGTCCATTGATGGATCCAAGCAGGGACTGTTGCCATTGCCCGATGAGCACGATGATGATAACCACGATATCGAAACCACCAGTGTTGGTGGAGCTACTACGAGCGTCGACCACCCTGCAGTCACTGGCGAGCCTCAAGGAAACCCAACCGACCACATCGACAGACCCGTCAACAGCAAAGTATCGACCACCACAACCACAGCCCCTACAGCAGAACCGACATCAGCAATACCCGAGCCAACATCCAAGCCTGATGCAGAGGAGGATGAAGTCAGTGAAAAGCCCGAGTCGAACTTCCTCCCATCACCCTTCCCCACTTTCGGCGCCTCCAAGCGCACGCAGGTCTGGATCTACGGAGCGTTTGCGCTCATTGCCGTCTTCTGCACATCACTCACCATCTGGTACGTTCTCACCAAACGACGAAGACAGCGCAACGCGCGTGACGAGTATGAGTTCGAAATGCTCAACGAAGAAGACATTGACGACGAAGGAGCCAGAGCCAACGGTGCCAATGGTATGAGTGCAAAGGCAAAGGGCAAGCGAAGGGCGGGTGAACTATATGATGCCTTTGCAGAGGACAGCGATGAAGATGTGTTTAGTGTTGGAGATGATGAGGAGCACGCTCACGAGCACGATCACAGCTACAGGGATGATGATGCGGGCGATGCGCATGGAAGCCCCAGCCGTGGGCACAGCGGAGCGCGTGAGACATGATCCCCGCGGACTGCTTGCATTGGGTCGGCGTTCTTGTATAAAATCACAGGAAAGAAACAGTATTTGGATCAGAGAATTGACATCACGCCTGGTCAGAGGTCTTGATATTGTTATGTCGACCGTGTTCATTCTGGAGTGTTCCTCCTTATTATGGTGCCGGAGGATTAGTCTGGCCTAGACTCTCCGTCTTAGCCTTGTGGGCCCTTCTCTTTTGCTCTCGCTTTGAGAGGGGCTTCTCCGAGCCATCTGTAGTCGTGTCCTCCACCTCATCGGCCTTTCTCTTCTTCGCACCGTTGTCCTTGAGCTGGGCAACCTTTGTTTTATCTTTCTGAGCCTTCTTCTCATGCTGTTCTTGGGCTGTAGGCTTTTCGCCTCCGTATACGACATCTACCACGCCTCTGAAGCTGGTCCTCTTCAACTTCGCACTGACTACGACACTCCTGGCCTCTTTGCTGACAGCCTCGTAGCCGCGATCTTGAGCGAGTCCCCAGATAGCAGCCAGATTGACGACATCCCAGGGTGCACGGCAGCCGACAGCCTTGGTGGCCTCGCTACTGATGATTATGCCACGACCACCTCTGGTTGCGCGAATCAAGCCGGTCGCATTGCTGATGAGATTGCGTTTGGCGGCAGGATCAGCCAGCAGAGGCTGGCTGTATGCGATCTCGAAGCGGACGCCGCGCTTGACTGCCTCGGACACGGTCTTGAACTTGAAGTGGTAGCCCAGACGCTGAGTGAGGTCGAGAGATATTAGGTCGCAATCGGCAGTTCCGCAGGCATGTTGAAATGTCTTCTCATCGACGGGACGTAAGGCGAGGATGTCGTAGTTGTTCGACAGGGCGCCCAGACGGTTGTTGGTAGCTGATTCGGAGAGGATCAAAGTGCAGCGACGGAGGATGGTCAAGGAAGCGGGCGTCTTGAACGGTAGAGGATCTGGAATCGCACAGGACTACTGGGTCTCAGCATGTGAATTTAGAGTTGTAGTGAGCGAGACTGACAAGNNGTCTGATGGCAGTCTGCCAGAGATGGTGTGGTTCAAGGCGATGACATTGTATCCTACNTGGTGAACATTAGCGACAACTCAAACGAAAGTCGAGTGAATGCGCTCACACTCGCTGAGAAAGGCCAGAGTCTTGGACAATTCAGCGTCGCTGGTCGACGGATTGTAGTCGACATTTAGGTCGTAAAACATGGCTCATGGTTTGATCAGTCCATGGTTGATGGTGTGGTGGACATTCACATGTCAAACTTCTGGGGTCTTGAGAATTCGAGCAAGAGGACGATCCCTATGACTCGCGAGAGCATTCATTTGTAGCAAGAATGAGAGCCTTTGCAACTGCCTCAACTAGACCTTCTTGGAACAAAAAAGGTAAATAGTTAGCCTAGGTAGTCACTCATCTGATAGCACAACTTCCGAGTTCAGATACTCGCAGTAAACGTCAATTGCTCAGGCAGTTCAGGTGCGCGAGTCAGGAAAGAGCCCACGGCTTTTGCAAGCGACCGCGACTGCAGAGTTGCGCCATGTCTGGTGCAGCAGCAGCGGCTTTGCTGTGCTCCACCTCGATCACCACAACATCCACATTTTACCCCTCGCTCACCAAAGACCATCGCTGTCTACGCAGCCTCGTCCACCTCTTGCTGCTTTGCGCACTGTTTCTATCCACCGCGCGCGCCTGCCACATCAGCCAACGGCCATTGCTGCCCAGCATGGCTCGCGTCTACGCCGACGTAAACCAGCACATGCCTCGCGCATACTGGGACTACGACAGTGTCAACATCTCTTGGGGTGTCCTGGAGAACTACGAAGTCGTTCGCAAGATTGGTGCGCCTGCTCGTCCGCTTGCTGCCATACCATAAGCTAACCTTGGCGGCCAGNGCCGCGGAAAGTACTCGGAAGTCTTTGAGGGCATCAACGTCGTCAACTACCAAAAATGCGTCATCAAGGTCCTCAAGCCTGTCAAGAAGAAGAAGATTAAGCGTGAGATCAAGATCCTCCAGAACCTAAGTGGAGGCCCCAACATTGTTGGTCTGCTCGATGTTGTGCGCGACAGCCAGGTGAGTTTGTCTCTCTGCTCAACCTGACCTCTTCTAACATTGTTCTTGTAGAGTAAGACCNCCTCTCTCATCTTCGAGTACGTCAACAACACCGACTTCCGAAGCCTCTACCCAAAGTTCGCCGATATCGACGTCAGATACTACATCTTTGAGCTGCTCAAGGTGATTGATACACCCCTAGGGACGGCTCTTTCATTCACTAACCACAAGCTAGNNGCCCTCGACTTCTGCCACAGCAAGGGTATCATGCACCGCGATGTCAAGCCTCACAATGTTATGATTGATCACGAGAAGAAAAAGCTGCGTCTGATCGATTGGGGTCTTGCCGAATTCTACCACGCTGGAACTGAGTACAACGTCCGTGTCGCTTCGCGTTACTTCAAGGGACCTGAGCTCTTGGTCGACTATCAGGAGTACGATTACTCGCTCGACATGTGGTCTCTGGGTGCCATGTTTGCTTCCATGATCTTCCGCAAGGAACCCTTCTTCCACGGCAACAGCAATTCCGACCAGCTCGTCAAGATCGCCAAGGTCCTAGGTACTGAGGACCTGTTCGATTACCTCGACAAATACGACATCGAGCTTGACGCACAGTACGACGACATTCTGGGTAGATTCCCCAAGAAGAACTGGCACAGCTTTGTCAACGCCGACAATCAACGCTTTGTCAGCAACGATGCCATTGACTTCCTGGACAACCTCCTCAAATACGACCATCAGGCAAGTACTCGACCTTTCTATCATTTAATGCAGCAACTAACCGTGTTCNAGGAACGATTGACTGCTAAAGAGGCCATGGCTCACGCCTACTTCAACCCTATCAGGCAAGCTGCGCAGCAAAACTCGTCTGTCGCGCATACCTGATGATGAGATGTAACGGCTGTCTGAGCCCGAAGGCTAGCAGACACAAGTATCTCGAACTCGCATTTTTAATCACGCGGAGATGCCTTTCAATTCTTCTTCGTGTATCGATCGACTGCATACAACCAAAGCCCAGCTTGCCAATCAGCCGGTCGCATATCAGGTCAGAGGAGTGATATACCGGCGCTGAGGATTGGTCTCGCGATAGGGCTAGTGGAGGAGGGCGCAGGAGGAAAGGTTTTTTCTTTTCATCGTATTGTTGCTGCCGTACAAACGGACAGCACGGATCAAGAGGCCACGGGCTGTAGATATCCCATGAAGTTCTGTTTAATGCCCTTTTCTCAAAAGCACGCGATCAAAGTGATGTGACACGAGATAGCACAGCTTTGCAGAAAACGCCTAAATACCCTTGCGGTTTGATGTCGACATTCGCCTTGTCGCAGGAGGGACCAATCAGCAGTATCATCTTTGAATCATCTTGAAGGCAGCTTAGGTAGACCAAGTAATGACCAGACAGGGCAGTATGCGTAGAGGAGGGGTAGCAAATAATACCGACAGGGTGGGCAGGGCAGCTTGCATGAGTCAGGGAAACAAGTGAGTCAGGGAAACGAGCTTCAGAATTAACTCCGCGATGGCCTGCACTTCCACCGTCTTTCAATCGAACTCAGTCCGACACAGATCATCAAGATACTTTCGCGAGCGCTATACAGGAGCGCTTTGGTCGTACGGCCTGTTTTCCAACATCGCACAAGAGGTTTCGCAAAGATGGCTCTCAATGCAGCTTCGCACAACATTCGTGAGCACAAACACTCTTTTTCTACAGTTGAAGCAAGTCTAGTCGCTAACATCCAGCAACAGNCGGGCGAGAAGACCGGCCCCGTAAGCGGTCAGCCGCCAGCACTGTCGGCTGAGACCACTGAGGCTCTCATCTCATCCGCCGAGAAGGATCCGCAAGGCCAAAATGCCCCCGGTCAGGACGGTGGTGACGCCGAGGCACCCAAGAAGCAGAAGACCGAGAAAGAGCGTACGCAGTCACATCAAGAGATCAGGAAGACCGGGGATCTGACACAAAGCANNGTTGCGAAGGAAAGAGCCAAGGCTGAAAAGGCACGCAAGTTCGCCGAGAAGCAGGCAAAGCAGACTGCTGCTGCTCCTGCCGCAAAGGCCAAGGAGAAGAAGCCTAAGGTCAAGGAGGAGGCTCTGCCCAAGTACGTCGAGGAGACGCCCAAGGGAGAGAAGAAGAGTAAGAAGACACTCAAATTGAGGCAAGTGATAGCAAGGTACTGACAAAACGCAGTCCTCAAGCCTCTGGACGACGAATACCACAAGGCCTACATTCCATCCGTCGTCGAATCAGCATGGTACGACTGGTGGGAGAAGGAAGGCTTCCACGAGCCCGAATTTGGAGCTGATGGAAACGTCAAGCCCCGCGGTTACTTTGTTATCTCTGAGCCTCCACCGAACGTTACTGGTGCTCTGCACTGCGGTCACGCCCTTGCCACATCTCTCCAGGATACCCTGATTCGCTGGAACAGAATGAGAGGCTACACCACACTTTACTTGCCTGGATGCGACCACGCTGGTATCTCAACTCAAAGCGTTGTCGAGAAGATGCTGTACAGGAAGAAAGGACTCACGAGACACGATTTGGGCCGCGAGAAGTTCGTCGACACTGTCTGGGAGTGGAAGGAGGAATACCACCAGAAGATCAACACTGTGCTCAAGAGAATGGGTGGCTCGTTCGACTGGACCCGTGAAGCTTTCACCATGGACGCCAACCTCTCGGCTGCCGTCACCGAGACTTTTGTCAGAATGCACGAGGAAGGCTACATTTATCGGTAAGTAATATGAAGCTTCTCCCCCCCCCAAAAAAAAAAAAACAGGGGAAGGAACAGAAATCGAATCAACCACAACCTTTTCTTCTCTTACCGTAGCTAACACCTGTCCAGCTCTGGACGTCTTGTGAATTGGTGCTCTCAGCTGAACACTGCCCTCTCAAACCTCGAGGTTGACAACAAGGAGCTTACTGGACGGACCCTACTGGATGTTCCCGGCTACGAACGCAAGGTCGAGTTCGGTGTCATCACGCACTTCAAGTACGCGATTGAGGGCACCGACGAGATGATCGAGGTTGCTACCACACGTCCTGAGACTATGCTTGGTGACACTGGTATCGCTGTTCACCCCTCAGACGACCGCTACAAGCACTTGGTTGGCAAGAAGGCAAAGCATCCCTTCGTCGACCGTCTTCTCCCCATCTTTGCCGATGAATACGTCGACCCTGAGTTCGGTACTGGTGCCGTCAAGATCACCCCTGCCCACGATCCTAACGATTTCAACCTTGGTACTAAGCACAAGCTCGAGTTCATTACCGTACTGAACGACGATGGCACCATGAACAATAACGCTGGACAATTCGAAGGACAAAAGCGCTTTGACACACGTTATAGCGTTGTTGAGGAGCTCACCAAGCTTGGTCTCTTCGTCAAGAAGGAGGACAACCCCATGAAGGTCCCTCTGTGCTCCAAGTCGAAGGACGTCATCGAGCCCTTGATGAAGCCTCAATGGTGGATGAAGATGCGTGAACTTGCCGATGCTAGTATTGACGTTGTCAAGAATGGTGAAATCAAGATCCGTCCTGAAGGTGCTGAGCGCAACTACTATCACTGGATGCGTAACATCAACGACTGGTGCTTGTCACGTCAGCTTTGGTGGGGTCATCAGATTCCTGCTTACTTCGTCAAGCTCGAAGGGCAGGAAAACGATGAAACCACGGACGACTTCTGGGTTGTTGGCAGAACCGAGGATGAGGTCAAACTAAAGGCTGAGAAGAAATTTCCCGGCCAGAAGTATGAACTTGTTCGCGACCCCGACTGTCTCGACACCTGGTTCTCATCTGGTCTCTGGCCTTTCTCAACTCTGGGCTGGCCCAACAAGACTCNNCCCGACTTCGAGAAGCTTTACCCTACATCTGTTCTGGAAACTGGATGGGACATTTTGTTCTTCTGGGTCGCAAGAATGATCATGTTCGGTCTCAAGCTTACTGGCAAGGTTCCCTTCACTGAGGTCTACTGCCACTCTCTCATTCGCGATTCTGATGGCAGAAAGATGTCCAAGTCCCTTGGAAACGTCATCGATCCCGTCGACATCATGGAGGGTATCACTCTGCAGGATCTTCACGACAAGCTTCTTCAAGGCAACCTCGACCCCAAGGAGGTCAAGAACGCCACCAAGTACCAGAAGGACTCGTTCCCTCAAGGTATCCCCGAGTGCGGTGCCGACGCTCTCCGTTTCTCTCTTATCCAGTACACCACTGGTGGTGGTGACATTGCCTTCGATGTCAAGGTTATGGCAGGCTACCGTCGCTTCTGTAACAAGATCTACCAGGCCACCAAGTATGTTCTTGGTAACTTGCCCGAGGACTTTGTTCCTCAAGCAAAGGGCGGCAAGACTGGCAAGGAGTCATTGCCCGAGCGCTGGATCCTGCACAAGTTCACCACCGCCGCCAAGGAGATCAACGAGGCTCTCACCGCTCGTGAATTCTCGCGTTCGACCTCGCTCGCATACCAGTACTGGTATGAGAATCTGTGCGATGTCTACATCGAAAACAGCAAGGCTATCATCCGCGACGGCACCGAGGAGGAGAAGCGCAGTGCCGTTGACACTCTTTACACCGTCCTCGAGGGCGCCCTGTGCATGATCCACCCCTTCATGCCCTTCCTGACCGAAGAGCTGTGGCAGCGTCTGCCCCGCCGCCCCGAAGACAAGACCAAGAGTATCGTCGTTGCCGCATACCCCGAGCACGACGCCTCGCTCGAAGACTTTGAGAGCGAAGCCGCCTACGAAGTCATCCTCGGCTGCTCCAAGGGCGTCAGATCCCTCATGTCCGAGTACCTGATCAAGGAAGACGCAAAGGCCATTGTCCAATGCTACGACGACAAGACCTACAAGACCGCCGCCGACGAGCAAGCCTCCATCAAGTCTCTGTCCGGCAAGGCCCTCACCAACCTCAACATCATCGGCCCCAAGGACGCCACACCCACCGGTTGCGCCGTCTTCGCCGTCTCCTCCTCCGCCGCCGTCTTCCTCGAAGTCGCCGGCCGCGTCGACATCGATGCCGAAATCACCCGTGCCCAGCAGAAACTCCGCAAGGCTGCCGATGGCGCAACCAAGCAGCGCAAGATCCTCGACGCTGAAGGTTTCGCCGACAAGGTCTCGCACTCTGTCCTCGAAGCCGAAAAGACAAAGTTGCAGGATTTGATGGCCGAGCAGAAGAACTATGAGGAGAGTATCGCTCAGTTTGAGAAGCTCAAGCTTGAGAACTAGATGTTCGTTTTTTTTTGGCTTGGTTTTTGCTACTTACATTTCCAAAATGAACGTTGTTGTTGAAAGTCATGTTGTTTGCATTTGCTCACGAGTGATCGGGTCTGTTGAGAGAATATGAACACTCTGTCTCCCAAACGCATTTGTAGGTCTGTTTCATGTCTATGAAAATGCTCAGCTGAGTGTATATCGAAGACAATGTTCAGAGAGTGAATAGATCGAAGACCTCTTCCTGGAAAGTACACTGTTTCTCGAAAGTGCCATGCACTGTTACCGTTGCAAAAGCAAGCGTATTGAGAATGAAGAAGTGGAAGTAAACAAGCATATGTTTCATATGATATGTACAATTAAACACCGCTATGCATATTCCATCCCAGCCAAAGAAGGGTGTGTCGGTCATGATGTCGTGCTGTTAGTATGCTACAAAAAAGAACAGAAGGAGAAGGAGCGCTTGTGAGCCGTGTCAACCGAAAAGATGCTCAACTCCCAATTCAAGCCAATCGAAACCCCTTTTTTGGTTTTTGCGTGTAAACGACTTCGCTGTCGTCGTTGATACCGCTCGTGTCTAGATCAATCTCGACACGCTGGACTTTTTCGTCCTCTTCTGCGTTGAACATTTCACCTATGTCTGCGCTGTCGGCTAGAATAGTTCTGGCCATTTCTCGATCGCAACGCATGTCTTCCATAATCAGTCCAAGGGCCATCTCTGGTACGAGGATGGCGTGCACGTAGCCTGAGACGCCCCCTGATGCACCACTAGAAGCCATGAGTGGCTCGGTTTTGGATAGAGATCGAAGTTTGTCCGAGAACATCTGGACGATATGCTCGGCCNNCTGTTTCAGATTAGATGTGGACGAAGAGATGCAGATGCAAGACAGTACGTACATGATCTTCTCGCCTTTTGTCCCATAGTAGCCGGCGCGTAAGCCAGTGAAACGTCCTGATACGGCAGCTGATCTGGCAGAATGGCCCTTGGTCTGGGATACCAATTTCGCATGCTGCTTGTAGTAGGGACTTTCATAATCTCCGTCTAGAATGGCGTGGATATGGGCATGATGCGTGCCAAGTCGCGGTTGTAGGGCGGACCAGTCGATCTTGGGATAGCCTCTATCTTGCCAGACATCATCTGCAGTACGAGCTTTGTGTGCCCGACAGAACTTTTCCTGAAGGCGTAGATTCATGCGCCTATGTAATATCTCATCTTGAAATTTGTCCCAGAAGTCTTGTTCAATGCTCTCGGCGCAGATGGGGCAGCGTGGGCTCTTGTCGGGCTCTTCGACTATATCTTCGAGTTCGAAATCGCATATACTGCTGATGGGAGATGAAGGTGGTGGCGAGAGTTGTGATGATTCAAGAAGTATAGGTTGAGATTGGCCAGAGACATCTGTGCTGTCTGCAGCAGAAGTTGTGAGATGTCGGAAGGTGGGACCTGAGGCTACTTGCGGAGCATCTGCTTGTGATGACGGAGGTTCGGGGGCAGGTAGAGTCGTCCGGAAGCCTGCCTTCTTCTTGGGAGGTTCAGGTTTGGGCTGCGCTATTGTAGTTTCTTTGAAGGAACTGGCTACGGAACATCAGATGAGAAGCAAGAGCAAGAGAAGCCGGTGTATCTGACCTGTCTTATCTTGCTGCCGCGCTACACGATTCTTTGTCCCATACTTTTTGCTGAAGGTGTTTTTGAGACGCTGCGATTGAGAGGAGGGCTGTGAGAAGATCAGGTTGTCCGATTCGTCTTCAGGCTCAGCCGCTCTTTTCGCCGGCACGACCGAGCTGCTTGGTTTGCGATTCCTTCCCGGCGCACGAATCCGGTTCGGTTTGTCACGAACTTGGCCGAGACCTGATGTGTCGTTGTCGTCGTCGCTGTCATCGTCGCTCGAGTCTGGTGCGCGCTTGTCGTCCGGTTCATGGTCCCTTGCAGTGGCATGCTGTTTCCCGCCAACAGTCTGCAACAAGGGCGCTGCATTCCTAGTAAGAAAGACCATTCTCCTCCATCTGGCGCAACCCGAATTCAAAGACAGTCTCACTTCGTTGCAGCTTCTCAATGTACCGCGACATGACGCGTTGCGGGACAAACGTGATGCCAAGCCACTTTGTTCCATTCGAGGCAATCCATCAAGGTCGTCACTCACAAGCACTTTCCTTTGAGGTATAAACATGTTCTCATAATCATCCTGATTGTCTATGCTCGGGTATCCCTCTAGCTTGCCTGCCCTTCTAGCCTCTTTCTACCAGTCATCAATGGGTATCGTAAAAATGCTGCAAAATGTTCATCCCAAACTCCTTGTCCGTATAGGTTCCAATTCAGTACTCTCCTTCTCCCTCTTCTTCTCCCTCTTCCTCCATTTCCTCGTTGATCGTGTGCTGGACATTGCGTTGGCGGTCTCCAAGGCCATCGACCAAGTTGTCTGTAGCGTCGAGCATCCTGACAGCTCCTTCAAGCCATTCTGCTCTTCGGCAGCTGGCTCCTAGTGCCCATCTGTATTCCTTTAGACGGCACGAATAGAACCCTGCTTCTTCCTCTCCTGGCGCTGTTGCCCTAAGCAAGTTGCCAAATGTGTTGATCAGGGCAAAGTTTGTCGCCGATGCAAAGTACCAGAACGAGTCTAGGTGTTCTGGCTTGAGACGGTTGACAAAGTCCATGGCCGAGATTAATCTTGTCTTTGCCGCTGATCGACAGATATACAGGACATATGGGTCCGTCGCCGAGGGCTGTAGTGACTGTACAATGCGTCGGTGGATCGAAATCTCGGTTGCGAAGTATGCAAGATGCAGGTATCCTNNGTTTCATGTGTAAGCGTGTGCCACCTTGTTTCGATGCATTTTCCGTCGCTTACCATTCGAAGATAGCTTTCCCGGTGTGTATGCATCCATTCTTGCAACCGCAGGCAACTTCGAGAACCATTCTTTTAGCTTGAGTTGGACTGGCTTTGCACGCTCCAAAATCAACCGCGTTGCATTGCGGCCACCTCTCTCAAACTCTGCGTTGGCCCTCTGTGTATAAAACACGTCAATGACCTCGGCCATGATACTCGTCAACTCGATCATCTGGATGAAGATAACTCTGCTCTTTTCTTCCTCCTCGTTCTCATCATCGACAATCATCTGTTGGTCGGCATTCTCAAATTCTTCATTGAAGTCGTCCAGCGAGAGAGCAGATACTGCCCAATCAGCAGCCTGAATGTGAGATGGTCGCCCATGCACTAGAGCCGTCCACTTGTCCTGCATGTAGAGTGCCCATGCTAATCTTTTGCGCAATCGACGTTCCCAAATCGGAATATCCCAGTTTGTGCAGTCGATATGCAGACCGAGATCTTGGGCCAGAGCAACCAGTTGCACAGTCAGGCCCCAGTCGGTCGATTGTCGTCTCTGCAACAGCAATAACCCAGCTTGGAGAGCAGACAGCTTGGGATGTTGCATTGCCATGCTGAGTGATCGTGCCGCAAGTTCCTCGAGTCGGTACACGGACGGTTTGGGATGTTGAGAAAGTACAGGATCCCGGTTCCACCAGCGGAGAGCTAAAAGGTACATTCCAGCCAAAAGGCCCGAGTGGAACTGACGGTCGCCACATCGATGTCGGTCCATGAAGGTGTGTTTCTGAAGGATGGGAAAGCTGGGATGTACATTGCGGAAGTACAGGTCGATGAGCGAAGGACCGTAGGGTGCCACGGTTTGTTCGACAGCAACCAGTGTTTGTAACTCGTCTTCGTACGTTGAGAATGCGGCGTCGGTGTGCATACTGAAGAAGTCACTGTTCGCTACCCTTCTAATCTTGCCAAAGCCAGTACTTGTCTCGTGACGACTACCAAAATCCGAGAATCCGAGAAGAGAAATGTCCAAGGCTGAAGTACGTCCAATGAGCCTGCAATGTTGTTCTCGTTGTAAGCTCAGAGTGTCTCCCAAAACCACGCCTCGTACGGGTTGAGGGGCATGCTGTGGTTTCTCCAAGCGAATCACAGGGGCAACGGGACGTTGTTGTGGAGGTGGTGTTTGGCCTGGACTTTTCGAGTCCTTTGGNACTGTCATGATTTAGCAAAAGACAATCGTTTGACCCAAGCACGCGAACACTTACCGCTTGGAGTTTGGCGAGTCTTTTGACAAAGCAGAGTCGTCCACTTTTCGCTTGCGTGGTTGGGCGGCCTCGACAAAGGTGCAGTCTTGCTTGTGGAACTCACACAGAACACAAGGTAATGAGTCTTGGAGTACACACTTGCTCTTACGTCTACGGCAACCGTCANNCCTGTAGGGTGGTTAGTCTTAGAGCTTGGCGCGAAGCAATATAGTAATATACATACAGGGTCTTTCTCTTCGACCACGCGAGCTAGTAACTNNACAGAGAGATGATCATTTAGTGGACGGCACGTGGTCATGCAAGAAGGCGACCTTACTGCTCCTGGGTTGTTGTTGGTTGAAAGCCATTGGGCCGGAGCGAGGGGCCAGAGGTTGTATAGCTACAGCAGCGGCCATGATGGGTCACTATCGTACTTTGTTGAAGCAGCCCGGGGTCCCGAACTCGGACAATCAATTGACAGCGGGGACTGATAGATAATGCGCAAGAGGCCGCGGGGCACGAGTTCGATAATGGCTATTATAGTAGGCGGCTTATCGCAAGATAGGCCTATGTAGCTGAATGATTCAAGTGGCTGAGAGTGGATGGTCGTAAGGGTCCAGCGAGACGGTATGAAGGAACAAACAATCAATCAGGCAGCGGGATCGGACGAGCCACAGAGCATTGCAAGCAGAACAAGATGTTTGAAAGCGGCGACAGTCATTTGATATGCCAGTGACCGGGTGAAAGGTTGAGACAATTGCACCGCTGCACCCTCTCCTACCTCTACGTTATTTTATGTAACAGATTACCAAATAGATGAGGGCCTAAAGCCACTCTAGGCAAAGCGCAGGTCGCTCTCCAGAGGCCCAGAGATAGCAGGTCGAGAGTCCAGAGATAAGCAAAGTCCTGACCAATGAGAGCGGGTGCTGCTTTTTGCGCCCGTTAGATCCGACACGCTTCCCGCTCCTGGAGGACCTCCAGGCTTCAAACCGTGTGTAATAACATCTCACACCCCGAACCATCGCTCTGGCACAGCCTACAGACAACTCGAGGAATGTCGCTGCTCCCTTGGCGCGCGTATACAGCATCGATGATGTTCATTCCCTTTGTCAAACTTCGTCACACATGCTTGTGCGCCTTCCGAAGCCTCTTGCCCCCAACTCATGTCAAAGCCAATTGCAAAAAGTCAAAAGCAAACACTGGGCGATGCTGTCACTGTCACATGTCAACGCTCAGGGTCCTGTCGGTCCGCCATCTCAGCATCCGAGACAAATTCCTTAACATCAGCATATAAATGTAGAGGACTTGGACCTTTCTACCATTTGAAGCACTGGTATAGCTCTGGTATAGCTAAGCTATTATAACGCACAAGATATAAGATTGGTCGGTTTAACTTGGAGAGCCTTGACTCCGACCATATCTCCATGGACATGACTCGATCGTCGACAAGATGGCGCATTTTTGTGAACCCTGAGAAAGACAACTGATGAGGTTGAGGCTTTGAATGCTGATCTGAGTGACAGGAAAACAATCGTGCAAATCCATAATTTCGTAAGTAAGGATACTAAAGCTCATCTCGTTTCCGCATCTGGTGTTTGGCCGCCTCGACATCTTCTTCCCAAACTTTCTTCTTGGGATTACGGGGGATGTCACCTCTTTCTTGGAGGATTGTCCCATCTCCTCTTCTCTGAGGTTGCTTCTGCTCTTGTGGCTCCTCCTTCTGTGGTATCGCCTGGTCACGACTGGCTTCTGCCATCTGACCAATGCTTTGCGACATGCTGCCCTCGGGACTGGGATCTTGAGGGCGGCCATTGGAACCGGCCTTTGCACCACCACCTCCGACTGGTACGACGTTTGCTGGGCGTTGATCCATACCTCTACGGAATGTAGGTCGATCGCCTGAAGCGCTGGGTTGAATACGAATGCTTGGTTGTATAGAAACACTTGACGAGACAGAAGAGACTGCGGCAGTAGCTGAAGACCCACCGGTGATGCCGAGAATGGCAAAAAGGAGATAGACAGGCTTGAGCAGCAAGAACTTGAAAGGCAGCCAGATGAACCACCAAGCGGGACCGTAAATCAGTCTTCTGAAGACCAACCAGCAAATGGTAGTGACGAGGATGTAGAAAGCAGTTTCGAGATACCAAGTGTCACTTTTCTGACTTCTCACGAGGGTCCCGAGGAGGTTTTTACTGTTGCTGAGGAGAGAATCAAGATCGGTGTAACGCTCACCTAGATCAGCGAGTGCTGCTGTGGACTGGTCGAGAGTCTCTTGTGCGAAGCGCGAACGGGAGAGCTCCGAGGTAAGCAGGTTATGTGTGCGGCGGAGAGCAGAAGTCACGTCGGTCGAGGCGTTGATGAGAAGTTCGTCCTGTGTGAGTTGCTTGGGCTGAGGGCGGCGGGCAGCAAAAGGATCTGGAGTCGACGAGGTTGAGTCTGGCTCGAGGGGTTGTTGTAGAGAAGCGAGGAGGATCTCACGTTCCTTTTGCTTAGCGGCTTCCGAGGCACGCTTAGATGAGAGCTGGGCGGCGCGAAACTGGCTTCGGGCGNNCTGGACAGATGATGAGTACGGTGTTCATAGTAGAGGAGTCGAGAGTCGAACATACTGCTTTAGGTCCTCGTCTAGACGGGCTAGTTGAGCAGCAATACGAGCCCTCTCTCTGTCTTTGAGACTGTCGCGGCGACGCTGGGAATATGTGCCAAACTCTACGACGTCTTCTATTTCCTGGCGGATAGTGTCGAGCGTGTCGTCGTGCTGTTTGAGGGCGTCGCGAATGTCGTGTGCAAGCTCGACGCGGACGTCACCGTCTCCTTGGAGCGGCGTGGATCCGGGTTGGAAGGAGAGTTTGGAGAGGCGGCCGATGAGCTGGAAGGTGAGCTTGATGTTGTCGGACAGTTGCGACAAGGTGTCGAGGACGCTCTGGTTCGTCATGGCTCGACGCTCAAGTGGAGGACGAGCTACTGCGTATGCACGCCAAACATGGCACCAAGCACCACTCTGCCACTTCCCCACGCCGCTTGCTTGCACGGCTGTTGCCGCCATCTCGACCTGCCTCTCATACCGATCCGGCTTTTTTGTTGCGACAAGGTCGACAATCGCTCAGCTTACACAGACGTTCACACAATCGCATCACCCATACCGCCAAAATGATCACTCGCTTCTTGACGTCCGTTTCGACCGCTTTCTCTCCCTTCAACCCCAAGTCTGGCAAGACGGCCCGCAACTTCCTCGCCCTTCTCCCGCCAAATGCCCGCCAAACCATGAAGATCGATATCAAGCAACTACCCAGAGTCGATGCCAACAAGCCCGCTCTCTTGGCTCTCAAATTCAGTACAGCCCTCTACACGCCCTTTCTGATACGCCTCTTGCTTACACCGAATCACAGAGNNGATGGCAAAGAGATGAACCTTGATTTGGAGACATTGAAGATCAAGGACATCATGACAGAGGTCGACAGACACTCGCGCATGCTCGGCAGAAAGGAAGAGCTGGCTGGTTGATCTATCTCATCTTGTTCATTTCACCTTCACTTTGCATTGGGAGGAGCGAGGCGTTACGGTTTCTACAACTTTCCACGCGACATTGCATTATACAGCAACGTCAATTTATCTGCAAACCACTGTATTGATAGAGTAGTCCTTGGACTCAAGACTCAAGAGAAACAAAATATGTGCAATTCCTTTTTCGTTGCTTGTAGATTTATATATCTAAATCATTTTGTGGTCTTGAATCATTTAAACGGCAGCACCAGAAATGAAGAACCACTTGTCAATGCTGGGGTCAATAGGAGCAGGAGCCTTGTTGTCAGCCTGAGGGAGGTCGAGCTTGCTGGCGTCGGTGCGGTCGTTGGAGTGCGAGACGGTGGTGTTGGTGCTGTTCGTCTTGTTAGCTCTTGTCGGCTCGTTGGCTCTAGACTCTAAAACTTACAGGTTGATGTCACCCTTGTTGGTCTTGCCAGTGATGAGCTTCTCCCAGGCCTCGGCGCACTCTCTGACAACGTCCATGGCGTACTTCTTGTTCTTGCACTCGCCGCTGAAGGCGAACTGGTTCTCGGGCTTGCCGTCGGGGATCTTGTAGATGCGGAACCACTCGTTGGTAGCACGGAGAAGGCCAGGCAGGTGTCTCTCGACATCCTCAATGTCGTTGAGCTTGGGGGCGAGAGGGTCGTTGACGTCGATGACGATGATCTTCCAGTCAGTCTCGCCCTCGTCGAGCAGGGCCATGACACCGAGGACCTTGACCTGCTTGACCTCACCGGGCTTGGCGACGAGCTCACCAATCTCGCAGACGTCGAGCGGGTCGTTGTCACCCTGAGCCTTAGTCTCGGGGTGGGTGACATTGGGGTCCTCCCAGGTCTGGACAGACGGTCAGCAGAGATCCAATGCGTCGATTGCATGCGATTTCAGACATACCTGGGGGAAGGCACCGTAGTTCCAGAGGTAACCCTTGTGGGGGAAACAGTTGCGGACGAAGCGGAGCTTGCCCTTCTTGGTGTCCTGCTTGATGGGGTTGAGGGTCTCGTCCTTGGAGATNCTGTCGACTTGTTAGCGTGCTGCTGCGAGGCATTGAGAGGTGCTGCAGCTTACCTCCTGCTTGGCGTTGGTCCAGCGAGGAATCTCAACGACCATGTTCAGGATGGTCTGCTGCTCGTTGGCATAGAGGGGGATGTCGTGGAAGGGAGAGACGGGCTGGCCATCCTTCTCGATGTAGATGCGGTGCTCAAGGGTGTGAGGAGCCGCGACAGAGCGGACGGAGTACTTGGGGAAGACATGTTGTGTGATGAACGTGTCGTTGCAGACAAGTGACGAGCGACCTGAGCAGTGCGAGATTTGAAAACAGCAGCGTCGGCGGCTTTGGCCGTCGTGGTGGGGTCAGCGCTGCGGCTGATGCGGTGAGCCAGCGTGGAAACTGCCAGTCGCCCAACAGAAGGCCTGGCTTGCGTCGTCGGGGAAAGAGTCAGTGTCAATTGACGTCTGTACGCTGCCTGGCTTCTGTGTGCAAACATGCAGCTGTCTTGAGATACAATTATCAGATTCGGGTGTTGGGATGCTGACTGCTCGGTCAATGGCCGTCTTCGCAACCTCGGTCTGAATTTGTTTTGCCTCCAAGCACTGGCCTTTCCCCACTCCCTTCTGCCACTGAACTTCAATTCCTGTCCATGGTATAGTCCTGCTAATCACTCTGCTTGCTGTAGCACGAGGGTATCAATACAATCTATTCGGCTGCCAGAACATCGCAAACTCGTCCATAGCCTCGTCATCCCGAAATCGGAAGTCTTGTGTTCCATCGTGCTGTTCGGCAACACCTTCATCCCACTGCACTCCATCCTCCGCTGGCAGATCATAGCCATCATGTGAATCTAGAGGTTCTGAGTCCTCTTCCAAAGTTTCTTCGGAGCACGGACGACTGTCGTCTTGGTATTCAATGGCTTCGGGTTGAGCCCAATGTACATGCTCACCGACAAAAGCTGTATTGTCTGGATAGTCATGCTCTGCGTAGTCACCAACATTCAGCCCCCAAAGTCGAAGGTCCGCATGACCGTAAGCAGCAGGTGTATACTGATCGCGGGGATCAAGTGGATAATGATCTTGGATACCGGGTAGATTGTACTGGAGCGGAACCTCGTCGTAATATGTTGGAATCGAAGGTCGAGCTGCTTGCTCACAACTTTGCAGCAGCTCCTCCCATGGCATCGAATACTGTTCGACCACAGGGTTGCTAGAGAGGGTCTGTTGTATTAGCTTGTCGATATCACCACACTGGTTGCTATCCAGTGGATATGGCGCTCTATCGGTCGACGAAGTTCTGTTCGTGCAGGACAGTCTGGCTTCATTTTGTGGGGCCAGGCTTGTGGAAGTAGGTATGGGGATGCTGTTCTTGTCAGAGATGTGTACCGGCAGTGCCTCACTGGCGATCTCTTGGGCAACCTGGGGCTCGAGTGGTAGGTGAGCGGCTTGGCTGATCTCTTGAGCTGGCTCAGATATCGGATTCTGACTCTTGCTGTGTATTTTAGTGGTTGCCTGGTCTGCAGAACGATTTTGGATTGTTTCTTGTTCGGGCAAGGCGCCTTTTATCTGCTCCCGGGCCCGACTGCTCTGAAGCTGACCCGCTGCTAATGGCTCAAGAACCGGAGCCAATTGCGTCACTCGTGCTGAGCTTGCTCTTCCAGACTCTGACCAGCTGTAATAGCTTGTTGTAGGTCGATGTGTACCCCTGCTTCCAAATCCTAGGAACGGCTTCTCCAGGAGATTTGACACCACTGGAGATGCTGACTGGACATTCCGTACAACTGCTGATGTGTTGGGAGGCGGCGTGTGTCTACGTTGAACAGTATCGTTGTCGCCGGGTCGTGTTCCGCCAGCATCGAAATACCTTGAGATCTCTTTCTCAGATGAATGGCGACTCTTTTTGTTCTTCTTCTTCTGGGATTTCTTGTTAGACCTCGAATCATGCTCCTCCTTTGTCAGAGATTCTGGCTTCTGTAGAAATCTCATCTCGGAAAAGACCAGATCTGGTACTGCTTGAATCAGTATTTGAAGACTAACAAGAGCGCTTGGATCTTACAGNCCTTTGCCCCTGGTCGGGCCCGACGAACGGCCGTTAGTATAGATCCCGAATTTGGTTCCAGGGTCAAGCTGTGCGTCNTCAGTATAGGTCATGGCTAGTAGAGGTGGGCTTGGGGATACCGTGATACGGCTCTTGGGAACATTCTTGGCTTGGAAGGCTTGAACTACACCTGTGATTGCCTCGTTCCTGTGTTTCTTGCGACGCGACTGCTTTGCTTTCTTCTCCTTTTTCTTCTTCTTTGGTTTTGACTTCGATTCACTCTTGGAGCGGTATTTGTCTGCTTTGGTACGATGACGTGGTCGCCTCCGATATTTGATACTGGATGAGGATGACGATTGCGAGAGTGAACGAGAAGATGTGGATGTTGACGTGGCGTTGCTTGTCTCTGCACCTGAAGAACCTATCGACACGGCTGAGTGTCTGTCTTTGGTGCCTCGTTTTTTGCGATTGGCGAACGGTTCCAGCAAGGAGCTTGCCTTGGAGCCTCGCCCATGTTTTTGAGATGCATGAGTTCGATCAGTGGGCAGAGGAGATTGGTTGGGTGGAACCGCTTGGTCCAGACCCTCGATCCATTGGTCAATATTCATGTTTCGTAGATATTCATGACCATGGAAACATGATGACCGAAAATCTTCTACCGACAGAAGCCAATGCTGAGCACCGAACGAAGTGCCGTGAGCCCGTGAAGGAAGGAGCTTACCTGTCTCTGGCAAGCAGCTGCGTCCCAGAGCCACGCAGAATTTCCCAGGACCATTTGAGCATTCGGCTCTTACACTGTCGTGAGCAGCATCAGAATCACACCAGCATATTGCGCCTTACATTGGTGTAGGCCTTCTGTACGGAATAGTGAACGTCGTAGTATGTTGAGCAGTACCTTTTGCTTCGTGCTTGCAGCGACATGCAGCTTCGTATGCACTCAAATTGTTGAAAACAAGGTGACATGGTTGGAAGGGGTGCTAGAAAAGCGTGTACCGAGCAAATAATGGTACATGTGATTAATTCGACCATCGATTGTCTCCTTGGTCTAGGTAGTTGCCAGGCACCCTTCCCGGGTACCGACGACTATGGTCAATGTCTGTACAGAAAAAGTTGGGTGTTTCCAGACATATGGCCAAAAGAGATCCAATGGAATTGGGTCTGCCAATAAATGCTATTTCTTTCTGTGAAGCACAGTGCACTGCAACTGTCAATGTCTTTAGTATATCGGAAGGACAAGTAGCAATGGAAAGACCAAGGCGCTGACTATTGGGTTTCGCTTAACACAAGCATCCAGCACACCGACAAGGTGCATCAGATCACTCTCCAAGGACGGCCGCATATTGACAGACCGGCGGTGCATGCATGCGAGCTTGTGGTTGGAGCACTTGGCCCACTCATTGCAGTATCGGGGCATTGTGATCACCGCTCATTGGTGTCGCATGAGAGAAGTATTGGAGAGCTACAGGACTGTGTCCCACTCAGTTGCCGCTGTGTCCAAAAAGCTGTGAGTCGTGTCATGCCATGAGCTTTCTTCAGTGTGTGTAGCCTGCTTTGACCCCACCATCCTTGAGCCCAAGAAACACGCCCACGCGCGCTATCTTGTTGCGGTCTACGAATCAACCTTTACCGGCAGTATTTAGCTTGGGTCTTGGGCTGCAGAGGAGACATTCCACGTGCTCGCGACTGCCTTGTCACCTTCCTTCCATTCCTCACTTTTTTCTTTCCAATCAGTTTGCCAGCAAGCATCTCTTCGCAGAAACAACCTTCACGGCTCACTTGTCGTTTGTCACTCGTAAGTAAATCAAGATCGTTTGCACTTCACAACAACAACGCTCACCACTTGACGAAGCTGTCTTCCACGCTTTCAGTCCAAGTGCCCCCCTCCCCCGCTTCCAATTCCCCCAGTTTCAAGCAAGTGAGTTTCTCATCAACCGACGTGTCGCCTGCCAATCCTTCCGCTTCGTCATCCTCAACCAAGATCTTGCAGACTCCTCCTAAGCTATTATCCTCCAGACCTCTTCAAAAAAAAACATCAATCATCATGTCGAAGCTTTTCATTGGGTAACGATCATCTGAACATGCGCCCGTGGTCACTTGCTAATACATGTCGACAGCGGCCTTGCCTGGCACACTGACGACGTCGCTCTGCGCACAAAGTTCGAGGAGTTCGGCGTTGTTGAGGAAGCTGTAAGACATGCGCGCGCACGAATCTCCAGCTCCAGAGCCCAATACTGACGCGATATGTGACAGGTTGTCGTCAAGGACCGTGACACCGGACGCAGCCGTGGCTTCGGCTTCGTGCGCTTCTCGAACGAGGATGAGGCTGATGCCGCAATCAAGGCCATGAACGAGATCGAGTGAGTCACAAAACATATCATCGACGGATTCTTCTTGTGCGCAAACACAACATACGCATTCGCTTCGGCCTTCCAACTCCCGTATCGGACATGAGATACTAAACTCTGCAGATTCGACGGCCGTACCATTCGCGTGGACAAGGCCTCCGAGCGTGGCAGCGGTGGCGGTGGCTTCCAGAGCCGTGGCGGATACGGCGGTGGTCGCGGTGGCGGCTACGGTGGTGGTGACCGTTACGGCGGCGGTGGCGGCGGCGACCGCGGTTACGGTGGTGGCTACGGTATGTTTCTCCTCCTGACACGTTTGACCTTCCTCAACTGACAACTCTCCAGGCGGCGGCCGTGGTGGCTACGAGAACCAGCAGGGCGGCGGCTACGGCGGCGGCGGCTCCAGCTGGCGCGGCGGAAACCAGGGCGGCTACGGCGGTCAGCAGGGTGGCTACGGCGGCCAGCAGGACGGCGGTTACGGCGGCCAGTAAGCGTGCCATCAAGGTACCAGACCACACACACAGACACACGACGGATCATCAAAACGATATGAACATCACGGCCTTAACACAGGGCCATTGCGAATTGCCCAAGCTAGCGGAGCATCTCACGGCATATAGTCCAGTTCTCTGACGTCTGCCTCCAGAATTCAGTAATCTCTATAGAATGCCACTCCTCTTTGATTTCCACCTACCTGACATTGTCGAGAGACTTGTATTCGTCCTTCGTATCGGTGACTATAGCCGCGGATGCTGCGCGCCACTGATCTATCACATGCACTTGTGCCGTCCACGACAGCTTCTTTCATGAATGATAAAGAGGTCTACAAACATGCGTGTCGAGTTAGGTCTGAGCTGATCGGCGTTACCTATGGTCAACACGAGCGCGAGGTCTATCTCCAGGTCCTGCCATGCCGTGAGAACGACACTTGAAGTATCTTTCTTGAGAAGAGAGGGTTTCAGAAAATGCTGCTGTAGGCGAACGGACCCTCTGGCAGATTGTGGGGAAGCTCGCCGCCAACGGACCCTCGGGACTTTGGCGCATCAAAAAATCTCAGAGACGCTGGACCAAGATTTCTTCTAGATCCAAATTAACAACCCCGAGCGGCTCTCACGACACAGCATTATGGCGACTACGCAACCCACTACGCCGCTGAAGTTCAATGGCGCTGGCCATCTTACCACTCGCCTCGTCCTCGCGACTCTTACTGGCCGTCCGGTCCGCATTTCACAGATTCGCGCATCGTCTCACACAAATCCCGGTCTCGCACCACACGAGGTCTCGTTCCTCCGACTTCTGGACGCCATCACGAACGGCTCTGCGATCGAGTTCTCCATGACTGGTACGACCTTGGTATACAAGCCCGGCCTCATTGTGGGCAGTGCTGCAGGCTACGGCGCAAGTGGTGGCGTGGTGAAGCATGAGCTGCCCAGAGACTGCGCTCGGGGTGTCAGCTGGTTCCTTATACCCTTGTGTATGCTTGCTGCCTTCTCCAAAGCCCAAGTCAACGTTATCTTCACGGGCCCTGGTGTGATCACAAGTGCGACAGACAAAGGCGACGTCAGTGTGGACACAGTACGAACGGCCATCCTTCCTCTCTACAAGAACTTTGGAATCCAGAACAACATTGAGCTTCGTGTATTGAAGCGATCAAATCCCGGACCAAGCGGAAGAGGAGGTGGTGGAGAAGTCCAACTGGTATTTGGACACCAGGTCAGACTACCCAAGACGATACACATCATGAACCCTGGCAGAGTCAAGAGGATACGTGGTGTGGCATACGCAACCGGAGTGGCAGGCGCAAACAACGCCAGAATGATCGACACGGCCCGTGGTGTGCTCAACCAGTTCGTCGCAGACACATACATCTTCTCGGACGTCTCTTCAGCACCTCTGATTCCGGCTCCCGAAAGAAACAACGCGGCAGCAAAGAAGAAGATTGGAGTGGGTTTCGGTCTGAGTCTGGTTGCAGAATCAAACACAGGTGTTCTGTATTCGGCAGACGTGGCTAGCTCAGCAGCAGGTGGTGAGGCACCAGAAGACATCGGCAAAGCTTGTGCATATCAGCTGCTGGAGAGCATCTCCCAAGCAGGATGCGCGTCAGTCGTGGCAGCCCCAACCATGCTCACGCTGATGGCCATGGGAAGTGAAGATGTGGGAAGACTTGTCCTGGGTAGAAATGTGCTGGGTACTGAGGAGGTTGTGCAACTCGCGCGAGACCTTCGAGAATTTGGCATGAGTGGCTGGGGATTGAGAGATGGCAGCAACGCAGGAGATGTTGTTGTGTCGATTGTCGGAAGGGGCGTGGGTAACGTCGGAAGGAAAATTGCATAGCGGTCCGGAACTCGACCTGGTTTTATACATGATAATGATACCCCATATTCTTCTAGCGATCAACAGTAAACAAGACCGAGTCCAGGCTCGAGGATCGTGGTGGATTGACTCTTCTATCTTACCGGCTATCCAAAAGGCGAGAAAGCCGAACCGGGGGAACGTGCGCGCGAACCCCAGGGTCCAGGAGCATCTTCATCGGCAGCGAAAGGTGGCTTCAAGCACAAGTCGGCCCTCTTGACACAAACTCGACCTTCCCTCGACAGTCACCAAAAGCCTCCGGGCTTGAGAAATTGCTTGGATGCTGTGTTAAACTGGACCCGACCTCTACATTCCTTCCCGTCCGCTCTTCGTCTTTCCCGTCATCACGACTCGGACCAAATCCCAGCGAACATCACCATGCCAGTCAAGTCTCGGTTCACGCGTCTGGACGCCTTTACCAAGACGGTCGAAGATGCACGGGTGCGCACGACCTCTGGCGGAATCGTCACCCTCTCGTCTCTGCTCTTGATCCTATGGCTCGTCTGGGGAGAATATGCAGACTATCGCAAAGTCGTTGTACACCCCGAGCTTATCGTCGACAAGGGCAGAGGAGAAAAGATGGAGATCCACATGAACATATCCTTCCCTAGAGTGCCATGCGAGCTCCTCACCCTCGATGTCATGGATGTGTCGGGAGAGATCCAGACTGGTGTCATGCACGGTGTCAACAAGGTCAGACTTGCTCCCGAGTCTGACGGCGGTCATGCCATTGAGAGCAAGGCACTCGAACTGTATGACTATTGCTTCTTCCTCCTTTTGAGGCTCCATACTGACCCCTATCAGTNNCACAGCGATGACCCTGCTGCCCACCTGGATCCCAACTACTGCGGAGAATGTTATGGCGCCCCCGCCCCTGCAAACGCACAAAAGGCTGGCTGCTGTAACACCTGTGCCGAAGTTCGCGATGCCTACGCGAGCGTCTCTTGGTCCTTCGGAAGAGGAGAAAACGTTGAACAGTGTACGCGCGAGCATTACTCGGAGCACCTCGATGAGCAGCGTAGAGAGGGCTGCCGTATCGAAGGTGGAATCCGTGTCAATAAGGTCGTTGGCAACTTCCACTTCGCTCCTGGCAAGTCCTTCAGCAACGGCAACATGCACGTCCACGACCTCGAGAACTACTGGGCCGGAGGTAACAATATCGAACATACCTTCACCCACAAGATTCACCACCTTCGCTTCGGTCCTCAGCTGTCTGACGATGTCGTTGCCAAGATTGGCAAGAAGGGCATGGCCTGGACCAACCACCATGTAAACCCGCTCGACGACACCGAACACAAGACAGATGAGAAGGCCTACAACTTCATGTACTTTGTCAAGGTTGTCTCGACTGCCTATCTACCCTTGGGCTGGGAGAGAAAGAACTCCATTCTTGACCTGCCTCACGAGCTGGTCGAGCTCGGAAGTTATGGTCACGGAGAAGCTGGTAGCATTGAAACTCATCAGTACAGTGTAACGAGTCATAAGCGAAGCTTGGGAGGTGGTGACGACCGTCAGGAAGGCCACAAGGAGAGACTGCACGCAAGAGGCGGTATCCCCGGTGTCTTCTTCTCCTATGTAAGCAATCGACTTCCCCTATCGCTGTTGCGTTGACTGATTAGGTTCGCAGNNGACATTTCACCCATGAAGGTCATCAACCGTGAAGCTCGCAGTAAGAGCTTCACTGGTTTCCTTGTCGGCGTTTGCGCTGTCATTGGCGGTACGCTCACTGTCGCGGCTGCCATTGACAGAGCGCTGTACGAAGGTGCACAGCGAGTCAAAAAGCTACATACAGGATAGGCTCTGTAGTTGGCATGGTTCATTATCAATATTCCAAAATCTAAACCAAACTTCGGCAACGTCAATCGTAACACGTCAAGTGTGTCGTGTCTATGGAGACACGACTAAGCATAGTTGCGAGCACCCTCTAGGACCCAGACCTCTCCATTAGCGACCTTGTTGGGGATACTTGAAACCTCGATGCCTCCAGGCTGGATCNNTAGTGTCTTTGTTAGTGCAAATCTGGCAAAGAACAAGATGAGGCTTGCCAGTTTCTTTCCATCCTTCTCTTCCCACCAGACAGTGTCTCCGCCCAGCGTTTGTATCTTGTGGCCCTCAGCCCAGGGCGACTCTGGAACCACGTGTGCCTCAACGAAACGTCTTAGATTTCTGTGCGCTCTGTCCTCGCCACTCTGACCGTCATATGCGTTCTGGCCTAGGGCAGCATAGTCTTGTGGATCCTCCCACGGCTTCCTGGGCAGTCTGGTGATGGCCGAGTTGAGCGGCGCGAGCAGAGTAGTGTTGTGCGAGCCAGCCTCGAGGCGTCTCGATACGGACTCGATGTCACGAGTGAAGCCGGCGAAGATGTTGATATTGCGCTCTCTGCTGAGCACGTCGGAAATGGTTACGCCGCTGCCTGACATGACGTCGTGTGGTCTTCCTGTTCCTGGGACGATGATCTTTGCCTGTGCGTCTGGCGCGTTGGGAGAAAACAACTTGGCGGAAGTCGCGGTGATCAGGCAGGCTGCGACGAGTGAAGAGGCGAAGGTTGTGCGTGCTCTCATGATTGTTAGGGTAGGGTGGTAGAAGATGGTGACGGAAATCAAGGTGCTTCGTCTGGCTGCACTCCACACATTCACGCAGCGCTTGGCATCTTTGTGCGACGACAAGCGCGTGACCATCTCAACTTCCTCCCACTTTTTCAACAGTTACATATAATCAGTCCGGCCGTCATGTCCACTCAACAACTGAAGATTCCGTCAGTAACAGAAGTGAGTGATGAACCAAACAAATCATGTCGTGGCAAGAACTGATCGATGCAGGATGACTTGCGACTCTTCCACGACAAACACTTTTCCTCCCTGAGCTCTGGATCCTCCAACAGGCCCTATGATGCTCATGTAGAAGTCGAGGAAAGAACTGACGATGACGGTCTCGGCTACTATCCCGACGGCGTCAAGCGCACACTCACCGACGACCAAATTGCCATGTTCAGACACAGTGAAATCCAAACTCTGCTACGAGAGCGAAGGAGAAAGCGCGAGACCGAAGAAGGCGAACTTAGCCCCGCCGCGCCTAGCAAATCCACTCAGCCGGTAGGTGACATCAGCCAACCAGACACAGCCGAAGACGCGGTCAGGCAGCGCTCTGCAAGCACCACGGGTTCTCAAGGCGTAGGCAAGCGGAAATGGCAACGGTTCATCGAGTCGTCCGAAACGAATCCAGAGTACTTGACTCACCGCAGGATTGCCCGCGAGTTGGATGAGCAAAAGGCAAGTTCCATCGACTTGGCGTATGGTGATGAAGAAGAATCTACTTCTCCGGCTGTCGACAAGCAACCAGGGCCAGCTACGGCGNCACAACACCGCCGAAAACAGGTCGCATATGGTGACTCGATTGAGTCTGTACCAGCGCAGCCACCCTCACAAGGCCCTCACAATCCAAATTTCATGTGGCCGACGTTAGAAGCGAAGGATAGTTCGGGGGACTGAAACACCAGAAAGAACATGTGAGTATCCTCAACTCTTCCATCTTTTCCTCAAAATGATGAGACATCATCCTTAGACCGATGGCTGCGTGGGACAAGCCATGGTCGACGCTGCGTTCAGTCTTCCAAGGACACAACCAGTGTTCTGACCACCACGAAGCCGCTGGGGACTGTAATCTTCTCTCTGATTGTCATTCCCATCTCGATCCCGACTCTATCCAACTCTTCCTCTAAACAGCATACTGACGAGCCTCGACAGATCAATGACTTTACAAGAGACCGCAGGATCTCATCGGGAAGACATGGAATTAATTCCACTTGTTCAAACTTAGCATTAGAACCTTAGTCTTATGAAAAGCATCAAGTTTATTTTCGCCTTCTGATTTATTGGAAATAGTTGGTTTGGTTATGAATAATGTGAAGACATGCGGCTGACGTTGTTCCACGAAGGAAGTCCATCAGAATTCATGATGTGTAATTTGTCGACGACGACGCAGCGAAATTGATCAGGAAGCGAGACAGAATTGCAGATGAGCAAGAGAGACCTGTTATCCCCTGCATTGGAGCCTGCAGCAGTCTTGATCAAGAGAAATTCATCTCATACTAAGAAGATCAGGGTGGCAGGTACAGCAAGAGCTTATGCTCATAGCCGGACACCGATCGTGGGTGATGACCCGACCTTGATCATGCTTTGCGACGACTCAACTTGAACACGGAATGTAGTTTAAAATAGGACATAGAACATGGGAAGCTTGTTGACGGCAGATTGAAAGTTTAGATATGCAAGGTCTCTCGAGACCAAGCCGACTTCTATCTGTTCTCGAAAGGGTATCTGGCACGCAACAGTACGGCATCCGCCGCGAATATAGACCAACACATATATGTCCTCTTTCCCACCACGTCCACCACGGCATGTTACTTTTGCACCATTCGGTACGACGGCCGTAGGTGGCGTGGGGGCCGGTCTTGTCGATTGCGTGCGCGTGTAAGGCATGTTGGGCGCAACCAAGACGACGGGCATCGACTGAATGCAGGAAGGCATGTGTATTCGAGAACGGACCCGGGAAGCTCTCGCTTTGGTGGTTCAGCAAGAACAAGTATGCATTTAGTAGAAGGACTCGACCATGGTGTCCTTGTTGGTTGTGTTGATGGCCGAAGGACCCATGCCCTCGCCAAGCTTGAAGATGGACTCGACAACGCTAAGCTCAGTGGCAGTGGTATCCAGACCAGTGACGGCCATCCAATCGTTGACGACCATACCGGCACCGACAACGGGCGAACCTCTGTTGACGGAACCGGCAACAAGAGGAACCTGGAGCAGCGAACTCAACTCGTCCTGATCCTGGATGCTGGTCTTGGGGTGGACAATACCACCAGCGTTGCTCAAGCTCATGTACGAGCCAACAAGCACGTTGTCGGCAATTGTCTGTCTGAAAACCTCGACGCCCAAAACATCGGCAATGATCTCCTCAGTCTCGCGCTCCAAATCGGGGTGAACAAGGGCGACGTGGTCGTTGCAGCAAATGACGTTGCCGAGTGCAGAGAGGCGCTCCTCGATACGTTGAATCTTTACATCATCGGGTATGCTGTTGCGCAAGTGCTGCAACTCCTGGTCTGATGTGCTGGTGGGAACGAGCAGACCTCTGCGGTTACCGGCTGTGAGACGACCAATGATGCGTGTGCCGGCGATGGTGGTGTGGCAGATGGGAATGACGTCCTGGAGTTCGGCCTCGAAGACACTTNNGGGCGCTCGTCAGTCATGGTCGTCGCGGCCTGTCATGTTTCTCTCATCTTACCTGTAGAAGTTCTCAGAAGCGCCAACGGCAACAAGGGCGTACGAGTTTGTGAGAGTGGAGAAGACACCAACCCTGAGCGGGGCATTAGTATTCTTGCGCCTCGAATCTTTTCGTTTTGCTGCTCACTCGTTGGAGTTTTCGAATTGGGCGCGGACAGCCATGATTGTTGGAGTTGGTCGGTGTTGGTTAATGCTGCTTGAGTGAGGGATGCGGTGGGGCGCGAAAGAGTGGTTTGGTATATGGGAAGGAAGGCGAAGTCGATGGTGGGTTTCTTGCAATTCTCACATGTTCTTTGCCCGCATTTTTGTATGAGACGTCAGAAAGCTCGACGCCCGCGCCTTCCTCTTTTCGGACGCCACCATTGACTCAGGCCCCTTTGGCCAATCACCAATCACCATTCAACATCTCATCTACCATCTTGACTCACCCTTCCTCACACCTGCCCCAATTGGATGCATTCCCCAAGGCGCTGTTGATCTGCTTATACAGACTATCTTATTGGACCAAGTCGCGCGTCACAATGATTCGTTGCGTCCTGGTAGCCAATGATCCACAACTTTCACGTACTCAATGTCGAGTTCTGTATTCTGCTACCTTATCTCCATTTGCTAAGTATGTAGTTATACAGAGGCACAGTGCTACTGAGGAATAAAGCAGTATCTACTGGGAGGCAATATCTTCGCGGCCCTCTTGGCTACTCCTCTGCTTCAAAAGAGAACTGTGCCTTTTTAGTGTACACTTCCCTTTACGCCCCTCCAGCTGCGGAAATACAAGGTTTAGCACACGACGAGGATGTGAGGAACACAACGAGAATAATTTTTTGCTTCTAGTCAAGATCCCCAATTCCATCAAGCCAAGTTGGCACGCCATCAACTATCAATCATTTCTGTCAATCATCGTGGCCCGTGATAATGCTGAAACTCTCTGTTCCCAAGACTCTGGTTCCGTCTCCTCCTTCCATCGTGTTGTTGATATTGTGCAAACGCCGGTCCGGCGTTATTCGATACTGGTTGTCCATTAGGTCCGAATCGGGGATCGTGGTTGGCCGGAAGTATAGGTTGTCCTCCATACTGTTGCCCATACGCCGGTTGCGTTGGCGGAGGTCGAGATGTTATCGATGGAGGACCGTACCCACCTTGTTGCTGAGGCGGAGGTGGCAGGTTGTGAGGTCCACCATAGAACGCAGGCGGCCCTTGGCCTTGTTGCATTGGTCCTCCAGGCAAACCTGCAAATCCTGCTGGTGGTGGGTAGGGTGTGATTGGAGGGTATGGGCCTCGTTGATCGTAGGCGAACGGAGGTGGAGGGGCCGCTCCATATATAGGTGCCGGACCATATGATCCTGATTGTGGTGCAGAATTAGGAAAGCCTGGCAGTTGAGGTGGAGGAGCCGGTGCATAATTCGTGTGCCGCGACTCTGCGGTACTATAAGGTCCAGTCCCACCGAGTCCACTCGATGGCCTTGGATGGATGCCTGGTAGGCTGGGTTGAGGCGGAGCTGTGCTTGTCGTGCTCGCTCTTCGGTCCAGTGGGTTATAGTTTCGACTACGAGGCCAGGGTCCGTATAGAGACTTCTTAGGTGCAGGCATCTTGCGTGGCTTGGTATCATCGAGATCACCTGCTCGTTCAAGCAATGGTCCAAAAGAATCCGACGTGTTCCTGAGGGTCTGATGCACAGACTCTAGAGGAGTTGAAGAGCCAGGCAACGATGACCGTGACTCTCTCTCTTCCACTTTCGCGTTGTCCGCACCGCTGCTAGCAGTTTGCTCAGTGGCTGAGATCTGACGAACCCCTGCTTTGGGAGCATATTCAGCTTTGCCTTGTGGGTTAGTCTTGATGTTGCTGACAGCGAGACTTGACCAAAAGTCGGTAGCAATAGATTTTGATGGTGTCGGTAGTGATGAAGATGTGGCCACTGGCTGTGGTAGTGACTCCGCATGTGACTGTGATGCCACAACTTGACCTATTGGAGGGAGTTGTGGAAGTCCCGATTGAGGCCTTTGCTCTTGCTGTTCACGCTGTGTGTTTCGCGGGAAGAGAGGAGCAGTTTGTGTTGTCGATGGTTCGAGCACAGCTTGACTGAAACTGATAGGGGCAGTTGCCTGAAACCGTTGCTCCGGGACAGCTTCTTCCAGAGATTTTGCTGGAGTGCTGGTGGAAGGAGCCACACTTCCAGTGCGAGACATGCTCGGTCTCGGCACACTAAGATTATCTTGCCGTGAAGGTACATCTGACGGAGGATCCATTTGAGGCATGGGAATGCTCTCAAACTGTGCAGGCGTTGTGATGTTGACAGTAGTCGATGCTTCGGCCAAAATCAACAGACCAAGTGCCTCGTTGTTTGGTATGACTGGGATTGCTGGCAGAGCTTTGAAGATCGGTACAGGAGGTGGCTTAGCGACTTCCTCTGCCGCTTCTCCCAGAGCGGCGAGAAGCCCTCTCATCTTTCGCTGAGCATCCGCTGCATCTCTGACAACAGGATCAAAGGTAGTGAACGGTCGTGGATCTTCAAGAGCAGATGCTTTGTTGTGCTCGAGATGATCGTGGGCAAGTTGGTGCCTTTCATACATCTCATTGAACAACCTCTCGGTCTCCAGAGCAGGCCGACTCCGCCAGTGATATTCTGGACCCAGTATACCTCGAAGTGCACCTTTGGCTGTGACCCGCCGTAGTGAGGGAATGACATCGTCACCCTGCGGTAAAGAGTTAGCAGGGTATGCTATGTGTCAAGCTCTCTTGTACGAACCTCGTCATCGCTGTATTCATCATCTTCAGCTTGCTGCTGTTGANCGGAGTGTGTTGAGAAAGTCGTGTTGCAAGCGTACAATTATATCGTTCTTGATGTCCTGGGTGACGTGCNNTATACGTTTGATCAGTTTGTAGCAAGAGAGCTCTGGAGCGATGATGCTTACCTCGTGGTTTCTCTTCCGCATGGCGGTTTGCTCTTCCAGTATGTCATCCAATCTCTGTTTGTTGAGGTCCTTCTGCTTCTGAATCCAGGCAAGACGCTTCTCAAAATGCTCATCGAGGCCGCTTTTGACGACTGGATATTCCGAGAAAGACGTATACGCTTCTGAGTCTTTATGAATATTGCTGACACTTCGTTTTGCCAGCTCGGCAAGAATGGGCTTCAAATTCTTGGCCACTGCTCGATAGGCCATACGCAGATGCAACTGTCTACGCAAAGCAGCCTCAACTTTTGGATTGGCATGAGGAGCTCTGCGCCTCCCTGGTAAACGTTTGACTGGCTTATCACCATCTTGACTTGCTGTTGGCGCACCCTCGACGAGGATTGATGCTAATTGCTTGGTTGGTGACTCTTGATCGACATTTGAGTCTTGATTGGAACCGGCGGGAGATGCTGTGGCAGAAACAACAGGCGTGGGATCAAGAGTTTCTATGCCGAATCGCTTAGGAAAGGTCATCTCATCACGGGAAATGTCCAAGTCTGCATCTTCGTCGTAGCCGCGCTCTGCATCGTCTCCGTCTTGTGCTGGCCCCAGCTCTTCCTGAGAATCCGCTGAGACTTGTGTAGCAGGTTCGTTGGCCTGGGTATCGCCAGACTGCTCTGCAGCATCATCAAGTCCAGTAATTTGCGTCGGTTGTTGATCAGATAGATCTTGCTCACTATGCAAAGAAGCTTCAACATCGTGCATGCTGTCGTCTTTGTCAAGGCTCCCTGATGTGCCATGCATGATCCCGTTGGTACCATGAGCTAACGTTTCTTCGCCATGACAATTTGCAGAAGGTTGTGGGCCATCAAAAGATTCTACTGTGTCTTTCGCAACATCTTCTGCAGCATCTGCGTCACTGTCCGCAGAATCATCATCATCATCATCCTCGGCAGTGTCCTGATCTTGAGACGAATAAGACGACCGTTTGACCTTCCTAGGCGGCTGCCTTTTCGTGGCCGGTGAGCGTAGAGCACGCTCAAACTCATCACTGCTTTTGATAGGCTGAGCTACCGAAATATTCTCAGCTGTGACATCCGAAGTTCGTTTCCTTTTTCTCCGAGGCACAGGTGATGACTCGGCAATTGAATGAAGGTTGTTACCAGACATGCTCCTTGTAGAAGGTCTGGACGAGGATGACTGAGAGGTATAGACAGCTCCGGTCGGTGTCGACTTGGAAGCCATTGAGACTCTTCTTCTCTTGGGGTATCTCTCGCCTTCATTTTCGTGACCAGCCATTGGACTGATTTGACCATTAGAGTAAAGAGAACCACGTCGACTAGATCCTCCGTTTGAAGAGACAGCCTTGGACGCGGCACGTGTAGTCATATGTAAAGGTTCTGTTGGCTGCAGGCGCGATGGCTTCTGCGGCGTGGCAGCTCGTTTCCGCCTGAGCTCCATTGTGGCCGCAGGCTACCATCATATTGGGTTACTGATATGGTCTACAGATGAGATTGGAAAGACTTACGAATAAAAAGATATGAAAGATTTGGTTCGCGAATGTTGGGTTGTTGCGACGCAGAAGTCTTTTGCTAGACCAGTATTAGTAAATGAGAAATGTCGTCAACATTGGAACATGACAGAATTTGCTATGGGCGAATGAAAGACATTGAGCGGATGGATTTGGATTGAACGAAGGGCAAAGTCCTGTGCTGTTGAAAGAAATTACAGCTCGTTGGCTCCGAAGCAACAAGGAGATCAACGAACGTGAATGAAGTGGTTGTAATGATGTTCCGGAATGAAAAGCCATCGGACTATTGCGCAAATGATAGGGTAGTCGACTGGATCAAGCGACATCGAGGTATCGAAGGACTCACTCACTTTGAATGGTCAAGTTGGTCGAGATGATGTTGCTTTGATGCAAAACTTGATCGCCCCCAACAGAGACAATCCTCAAGAACGAATAGAAGAGTATTGAAAATACAAAAGGGACATATATGGGCAAGAACACGAGACGGATGAAGGAGTAAGGACGGTCGACTTTTGAAAGGTCTTGATCATGAACAACATATCGAAGTCTTCTCTCACCTGGACACACACACACACCTTGAGCCTCCAAAGCGAGTTATGCCCAGCCAATCAGAAAACGGCTGGCTCGTTAGCGCCATATCTGGAAGCCGACGGCTCCACCCGAACTCCTTGACGTGGCCAAAGACGTCCAGATACCAGTCACATTGAAAAGAGCAGTTGATTTGAGAACGGTATAGATTATTGAAACAAGACAGTCAAGGGAACGTAATCTGAGCAGTGGTATACATAGTATTACAGCTCTTCACATGTCACAGCAGAATTTCCTGAAAACCAGACACGGTTTCGCCTGCTTCGACCATTCGTGGAGATAAATGCAACAACGGCTCTCTGCATACTTCAGATTCGAGACGCCTTTCTCGCAATACGAAAGAAGTTCTGAATAAACATGAGTCGGGTCATGCCGCGTTCTAGCCTCAAGTATGCTAAGATTAACACGCAATACATTGGTAGCTCCTGCGATTAGCGAAATCAATTCTCCACGCTATGTACCGAGTCCGTTTGGACATGGCGAATTAGAAAAAAAGAGCCAAAGTATCATGACTATCGTGTAGAGCCTTCTTCACTGTGAACCAGTCCCTCCTGCTTCCTTTCAACGGCAATTTATTGCTCCTCGGGATCCTCAGGCTGGTCAAAGAGAAAGTTGGCTGCAAGCTCCTCGTTCTTGTCGCATGCGAAGTAAGCTTGAATGACAAGGTCTCTCTCGAAACCGAGACGGCAAAGNCTACCAAGTTGTTAGCAAGTATAGACTGATATGGATCAGAGAGAACATACTCTCTCGATGGCTTCTCTCTCCTCTTCGGTAACACTGATGGCTTGAGCACCAGCAGGGAGAGCGGCGTCATCGTCAACATCCTCAGCAAGAAGAGACATGAAAGCCTCGGGATTCTGGCCGATAAGCTGTGCGATTTGAGGGTTACCAGCGGCAACCTGCTGAAGGATAGGCTCGAGCATCTGAGGCTGAGCCTGAACGAGCTGACGGAGTTGCTGGAATTGAGGGTTGTTTCTGAGGAACTCCAGGGGNTCACCACCTGCACCCAGTCCAGCCTCAGCGCCTTGAGTGGGCTGAGCTGCACGAGTACTTCCACGGCCACCACCCTGGGCAGCCTGAGCGGCAGCCTCGAAGAGGTTGAGGCCCTCATCGTCAGCACCAGTAGATTGTGCAGCAGCAGGAGCAGCAGCGGGGCTTGACTCTGTTGTCTAGGTGCAGCCTGGTTCTGCTGTTGCTGCTCTTGCNTCACGTTGGGCGCTTTCGGGGATGCCGTTCAGAAGGTACTCGACAGCGCGATCGGGGTTGAAGAAAGCGGCGCGCATGGCACGATCGATGTCGGCGCGAGGGAAACCCATGGCCTCCATGTTAGAGATGGCCGCAGCGCGCTCATCGCCAAGAGTGAGTGCCGAGGGATCGTTGAAGCGACTGCTCTCATTCGTGGCAGGAGAGGGAGTAGCGGGGACGGGGGCGGACGCGGAGGTTGAAGAGGATGTCGGTGCTTGGGGAGGAGCAGGAGTTGTGGCGGGAGCAGCGGGGGCGGGGGTCGCGGGTGCTGAAGGTTTTGAGGGAGCAGCCTTGGGCTTCNNGGCGAGTGTTAGTCGGCTGATTTTGAGCGGCAGGGAGGGAGGAAGATATACCTTGGAGGTCATGCAGACGATGAAGCCCTTCTCCTCTATCTTGTACGACTCGACGGTCTTGTCGTCTTGCAGGATCTTGCCCGAGTAGATGAGCTTCTGTGTCGACGGCTCCCAGCCCTTCTCGGATGCGATCTTTGACTTGACTTCGCCGATCNNTATGCAGTGTTAGTCGTTGACACATGCCGTCGTGAAATGAGAGGAGCGTACCGTCTCTGAGGGCTCGGCCTCGATGACAAACTTCTGTTGCTTGAGATCCTCTGAAGCAACTGTTAGTGGGGGCGCTTCCACGAAGCGCAGAGCAGAAAGAACATACTGAATGTCAACTTCATCGTGTCGACCTTGTTGTGCTGGTATCTAGTTGTGGTTGTGGTTGTTATGGGGTTGGATGCGACGGATGGATCCGAGTTTGAGGATTTGGCAAGATGTGATAGTTGGCGGAGTTGTAGAGTGAAGAGAGTGTGTGGCAAGCTGGACATGCTTCGAGAATGCGCGCCCGCCCGCAAAGCCAGCGAGCGTCATACAGATTCACCTTGGCGCTGTCCACGACTTTCACTCCTCCAACTTAGAGTACTCATAGCTCAGACATACCTAGTTGGCTGTCTCCTCCTCACTCACTTGTGACAGTCTCTGTTCAATCGTAGCTGCTTGGTTCGAATCAGTCATGTTGCTCCCACCATCAATTCGTCATGTCTCTCCTCACTGTCAACCCCTCAGCCGCCGTCACCAACACAGCTTGAGCTTGCATAGTTGTGTAACCCGACCACACCCCGTCTTCATCAGCACGGTGCCCCAAGCATCGGGCAATCCGAGAATATGATGAGAGCGGAAGAAGGCTCTCACTAGAAGTGGCAACATGCTTCTAAATTTCTATCATCTCTGACCTAGTTGCATCATACCCAACCACTGCAGCATAACACGATGCAGATCAAAACAGCGCTCCCTAGTTTAGTCCGTTGCTGACATGCAGCTACGACAGACATGCATTTGTTTCTGGTTCAAGACCATTCATTGGACTTGCTGCTCTTGTTAGATGATCCTCGTCCTCCTATAGCAACATGTCGTTTGACAGTCTACTATGCCCGAACCTGGTTGATGGAATATTCGTGTCCATCGTCCCCGCCAATATTGCGACAGGAGCAGCAGCGCGCAGACGAATGCAGACTATATGCAAGCCGAGCCAGTTGTGTCGACTTGTCAAGGCCTCCATTCCGCTGCACCGTGCGACGAGGAAGCAAAAACTCTCCGAGTCTCCGTGCTACCTTCAGGCCGCTTCTCAGCAACCAGTTCCGCCGCTTCTGAGCGTCATGTTTATTAACTGTTCGTTCTGGAATGGACGGCCTTGCGGTTTCAAGAAGCTTCTCAATTTAAGGGTCTTGTCTTCTGACGTTGATGCTTGCCCAACAAACTGTGGGAGCGATCTTGTGAGCGTCACGAGAATAGTCAGATGCTGTCGTACACACTGTGATATTATTCCTTCCGTGTCTCTGCACCACTCAAGCCTTTGTGTTGCAATTTCAATCGCTGCGAGTTGCGATTTGACTTTTCGAGGCGGCCCCACCTGTGACCTGTCAAAGCTGACTGACTGCTCAGAAGCTTCGTCGTCGCCGACATTCGACGACATCTCTTCAGCAGTGCCTCTCGTGTCATGTTGAATTGCCCCCTCCTCCTGCATACGACAACAGGCTAGAGATGATAAGAGCGCGGTAACTCGCAGCTGCACTTGTCTCGCGCCGTCTGCATTCTGGGGACCGGACTTGGATGGCCAATTGCTCAATGCTCGCCAGCCCGAAGAGGTCAAGTTCGCGGCCGAGCGCGTCCCCCATGCTCAACCATGGCGTTTGGTAGCGAGATGCCGCCGCCGATTGCTAACCACGGCATGGACAGCCCCCAGAACCCGGATTACACAGGCGCGCAATCCGGGAAGTCCTTGTTGATGATCGCAAACAACGACCGGGCGTGTGTTGATGGCTTGCTGCCGCCTGCTATGAGATAATGCTTGAAGAGATTTAGATGAGCATCTTCACCCTTGCCCGTAGCAACTCCCCTTACATATACTCCTTCTGTCCTCTGCCTTTTAGGCCTCGTGTCTTTCTTTTTCCGTCCTGATCATCACCACTCCCCCGGATCACTATTGATTTCATGCATGAAACCGTGCAAGGACTCGGTATGATATTCTAGCGCACATCCCCGACGACCGAGAATCCTTGGCTGCATACACCACACAACGTTCATGCTTGAGGCTCAAGGCTTGCGAACACAGTCAAACTCGTGTCATCCTGCATCTTCGTTTCTCGCTCAGCTTACAATCGCCCGTTTCACCTCTTCTTTTCTCCTTCATCCGTCTCGATCCTTACAACCTTGGAAGTACATCCACAACGTTGAAAGACCATCAAGTCTGAGAACCAGGACCACATCGAATATCCTCTGAAGCATTCGAGTTTCATGTATCTCTGAAACTTCTCAAGACTGTTCTGTGTCTTCCAAAACTCTTCGAGAAGATCCTCTGCCATCTCGCCACGATCATTATACACCTTGCGCAAGCATACGACACTCCTTCCAACTAACTCACAATCATTTACTGGATATCAACACTTCTATCATGGCTCTGATTCAAAGAAGCCCAGGATGCATCCTTAGCTGCCTGGCAGCTTGCTTCTCTACAACTGCTCTCGCCACTTTCATCACACTATTCGCCGCGTCCGTCCTTGTACCCACCCCCATACATATGCAAGCTACGGTAGCTGCTGTGTTCGATATTCTGGCCATCACCACCCTTTTCGTCTTCGTTGTCTTTTATACCTGCACCGCTCGCAACCTCCAATCTTACAAATGGCCTCTAGCAGTTGCAGTACTTTTGCCATTTACAGTTGCGATGATCATGTCGATCTACGTTCTTGGTTGGATGTATAACAATCTACCACTCATCGAGACACACTATCACTCTGAATATCTCGCATCCATGGTTGCTGCGGCTCTCGCGATGTGGACCCTATCGCTCATCACTCTCGGTGTTTATGGTGGGCTCTACTGGAGATCAAAATCATCGTTGCCCGATTCTGTTCTTTTCACCTCAGACCCACTACAAAGTTGTATGGACCTGGGAGAACACAAGACTCAAGCCCTCTCCTTGAACACTCTCTCACCTTACGCACCGAGCTTCAATCGACCAGTGTCCACATTCTCCGATGCTTCCGAAGAACAGTCAACCGGCATTAAGTCTAGTGTTCGCAATTCCGTGCAACAGTTCCTTCGTAAAGGTTCGAAGAGCCCTCGCAAGCAGTCAAAGGAGACTCTGCGATCAGATTCGATATCCGAGCGCAGACCATCTGATGGATTCGAGACTTGGAATTCTACCACAGTCGAAGCAACAGATGCTTTGACGGCACTACGCGTCGCACAACCACACCGACTCGAGACTATTCCTGGCAGTAGACCGGTATCGCCCGCCCATCCTCTCGATGGACCTTTCCCAGAGGCATGTGAGGNNGAAGACGAAGAGGCGGATGAAGTGCCCGAGTCACCCGAGTTTCCTCCTTTTGCTCCATCCTTACACCGCCGTCCATCAAACCAACAGATAAACCAGGATCAGACGCATATTCATCCCCTGTTCCGCAGCGATAGTCCTTTGCCCTCTCCTGCGGCTTCTCCAGGCACCATTATCACCTCTTCACCATTCGCTGGACAGGTCGTCAGCCCCAGTGATGTCGCGTTCGGCTCCCGTAGCCGTAAAGGCTCTGCATTGAGTTCACGACCATCTAGCCCAAACAGTCTCATTCGCTCTGGTAGTGCTATGAGTCTCAGCAGACCAGCCAGCTCACGGAGCATCAGAGGTCTCGCAGCACAACAGAGACCTCGCGTTGTCTTGAGCCCCAGTCTTGGAGATTTGAGGGCAGAGTGTGACATGTCCATTCAGAAACCCAGGCCGACACTACACAAGCGCGAACGATCCGCCTAAACTCAACGCTCTTGTTTTACACCAAGAGCTTGCCTCTTTACGATATAACGTCTCCTCTGTCATTTCTTCCGCGCTCTCTCACAAGGGCTTACCTCCATGCTCTACATTCACTTTTGTCCCATTCTACCGATATCCCCTGAGCGATTTGTTCTGTTCTCATTTTCTATATTATTAGTGTCTTCTTACAAACGATGCTCCTCTGTCCATTACACTCCTTTTTCCTCCTACTATAACGCGCCATGTCCTATAACGCAAAGTACCAAACAGAATTCAATGGTCGCATGCAAGGCCAATCCTTCCTCCCAAGCCAAATTTCGTTGTTCCTGCAGCATGGCGCACCGGCGCACGCGGTGCGTTTTGGAAGTTGACGGTCCGTTGAACCTTGCGAACCGTTTCCCAAACTCTAAACTTCGGGACGCCTGACAAGAAACGTTCTTGCGTAGTCAAATTTCGACACCAAGCTGACGCCGTGTTGCTGTGCAGAGAGTGTTCGGTACGGATGATGAAGGTTCATACGGCGAAATTTATGCTGTTTCCGTGGTACTGGAGTGTCATGTTTTGTGTTTTGTTTTGTGGCTGTCTTTGCCGTGCTGTTGACAAGCGTGTATTTAGCTGTTGCATTGCATTTGCGTAGCATTGACAGCGACTTTCTGCTCGGACGTTAAGACGTGAACTAATTTTCGGATGTGTTCTGGTGGCCGCTATGAGCATCTCCAATATTCTATGGTTGTGCTGGAATCCATGCGTGGTTGGCATGGAGCAGATTCAGCGGCAGTGAGACATCTCTTGCGGTGAAAGTATGCTGTCAATGCTCCTTTGATCTGTACCATAGTTCTGTTCTACGCTATGACAGTCGACAGCTTGCTTGACTGCTCTCCGCGACTCATCGATGTCTCTAGAGACACGCGGGCAGAAATGCACAAAAATGTTCCCGTTGCTCTACAGCTCCGGATTTAACACGGTGTTTATATTTGAAGACGCGAAGAGAAATGAGAAGTGGACGAGAGATACAGCGGCAGCTGTAACCTCTTATAGCTAGTGTGATCAGAAGACTGCTGCATCTAGAAGGCAGTTGTGGGCGAACTGAGCGTGAGAAGAAGGGGCAGTCAATAGTGAGGGCAAGAGCAGCAAAAGCCAAGCTTTGGGACCAACCTCGTCTGCCTAACTCCATCAGCGTCATCTACTCTTTCACTCTCCCATCACCACGTTTCCATCGCTGATCTCCATCGCGTCTTTCGATCGCATCGATGGCTCACTAGAAACCAGGTCATCGGATCGCGAAAAGTCTGACTTCCATCTCTCTATCCTTCGCCTATCGAAATGGCGAAATGCAATCAAAATCTCGGGATATGCATCAGCAAAGACAATCTACACAAAACAGTCCGGGGTGGGTACCCACGCGAAACTCAGCCCTCTGCAAACAACTCCACCCAATCACCAGATTCATATTGCTGCCGTCGCTGCCACTTGCGCGGGCTGTTGTTGCTGTTTAATATAGCAGGCTTTCGATAATCTCGGGTAAGCCGCTGGATGGAGATGCGCTCGAGCTGTGTGTGGAGGCTGCTATTTATGCATATGCAGCACGCGAGTGAGTGCACCAACACTGATATGACAGGGAGGGCTGTCTTGAATTCTGCATTGCGATTGCTAACCTGGTTGCCGTCTATGAATGGCTGCAAGAGTGATGTATGCTGCAGCTTGTTGGCTGTCTGCAATGGCTTGCCTATTCATATTCATGCAACTATAATCTGCTGTTCGTTCGAGTACGGGTATCGTTTATCCAATTCCGCCAAAGACGAGTACAGATACTGGTCAAGCAGCTGAAAACTCTCTTGCCGACCTTCGGTATGCGAAGAGGGTTCGCAAGCCGCTTTACTGAATTGTCCAGAAGCATACCGAGGTGGCAGGAAGAAATCGTCAGAGGGCACATCAGGGGAAAGCCGCCCTATCCAACCATGGAGCAAAGTACCACCAGTCCATGCCAGTCGGCTGGGTTCTGTTCGGCCAAATTCATAAACAGTGACGGCATCGGCTCAAGACGCATGCCTCAAACGCCTTATGGCGAGCTGGACATGCACATCAAGGACAACATCTGTGGGCTCGGCCCTACAGATAGAGAATCAGGACAGGACGTTCTTCGTTGTGTTTTCAAGGCCACATGGCATCTTGCGGGGCGATGGCCCATTTCTGCCAAAATAGCAGTGCCCGTTGGGTATTTTTCCACCCCGAAGAATTGTACAGATTTGGAGGGACTGTTGTCATTGTCTTCACAGAGACATTCCTATGACTTTTTGCAAGCCCTCCACGACGGATCCAGTTCAAGCAGGCTCGAAGTTGAGTTAGTCGAGGACTTCGACACCTCGCGAGCAGTACTGACCACCTTGCGACACACCTCTACCGCACCGCTCGTCTCGCGGGCCGCCGCCTCTCGCTTTGCTTCCTACAAAGAATCTACTATCGTTAGGTTTATCGGAAAGGCTTTCATCCGCCCCCGCAAACATTCAGGGGACAAGAGGAGTATTGGATACACTGACGCCCGCGCTATAACCATGCGTTTCTATAGCCATATGCGCTATAAGCTTTAGCACATGGAGAGTTCAGAAAGAAGACTTGAGGACAATAGATATTGGATTCAAATTCGACACGACATGCTAGTAATCCATCAACTGCAACTTCTTGCCGACCTTGTTCCTTGCCGCAGCTTTCTGGCTGGGCTTGATATTGCCATTCTGCTCTTGCTTTAATGCTTGCAACAACATTCCAGCATCGAAGAAGCCATCTGTAATGGTTGTCAGTACTGCGATTACCAAGAAACAGGAGATCAAACTTACANNGCCACCCAAGCCGTCATCGTCGCTAACCTGCTCACTTTCCATTGCAGGTGTTCTAGTGCCATCGACGAGTATGCCTCGCGACTTTAGCCTGGCATTCTTTGGTCTGGCCTTTGTTTTCAGCTCTTCTGCTTCTCTTGCTCGACTGGCAAGCTTATCGGTATTGGTGCCTCTTCTCTGTGTCTGCCTCAGGACCTTTCTCATTTCGAGGAAATAGCTCTCGATGGCGTCAATGTAACGCTTGGTCTGGCGGTGCTTGGAGGATGCACAGATACTGACGCTGCCATCCTTGATGATGTAGCCAATACCAAAACCATCGCCTGAGGTAGGTCCGAATCCGAACTGGCGTAGAGAGGGGTTACCACAGTTTGAAGTCGAGAGAATGGTGGTGTTCAGTCTATCCCAACCACCGTCGGCGAAGAGCGAAGGCATGACACCTGTGTTGGTCTGTACGCGATTCATGGAGCTTCGAGAGCTGCCATCATCGCTCATGACATCAGAGGAGTTACCATCATGCGCACTGTCACCACTATCGCCATTCTGACTCAAGATTTCTTCATCTCCATCGATCATACGCTGCCAGACGCAGAACAAGGCATACAAATGTCTGTCTTGTCCTTGGGCTTTGGCACACTCTTTTGTGATCTCTGTATGTTTCTGGCATGCTTTGCGCAATGCTTCCACCTTCTTGGCAGGCGGGTTGTCACCCCAGAAGAGTTTGACGAACTCGGTGGACTCATCAGTGACAGGTCGGATGGCTTCGGTACGGCCGTGGTAGAAGACCTTGGTCATCGCAGGCTCGTAAACACACTCCATTCTTCCGTACAGACCATAGTATGCTGCTTGGAAGGCCATCTGTACGAATGCGTCGGGCGAGAAGCCCATGCTCGTCATAAAGTTCTTGCCGTACTGCATGAACTCGAGAGTTGCGAACTCGTTCTGCTGAATGAGGTCTGCAAGACGAGTCTCGGCGAATCGCACGGCCGTCGATACCTCGGGCAGCATGTCCCACTCCAATCTGTGCGGTGTTGTCGAAACATCACCGAAACTGTTGGGGTCACGCTTGGCAGGATCTGGTGAGTCTGATGCCCATAATGAGGGTGCTTTGCCGTTGATGGTTCGAGCAAAACGTAGGATCGTGTCAGTGTACACGTCAGATGCGAAACGCAAGACTGTGTGGCCGTCGACTCCGGTATGTTCAAAGTTGATACCGGCACTGCCGTTCTTGCAGACGATGAGTTGCAGCTTGTCGTACCAACGGTTGGTACACGTACCAACTTGAAGACCATCTTCAATCTGCGAGGTGCCACAAAGCATGTTCATACAGAGATCTGCGCCGGACTTGGGCTCGGTGTAGTCAAGGCAGAGGATGAACAGGGCCGAGTCAACAATGTTAAGACTGTCTGAATTGTTTGAACCTTCCTCTCTGGAGAGGACATCACGGAGGCTGGACCAGATCTTGCGATTCTCAGTGCTCAGAACACCAACGGCATTTCGTGCAAACTCTTGGATGGGAATATCCTGCGCATCATCGACAATGACTTGGAGGTTCACAGTGATGTCTTTCTCCGTCATGATCAAATCGTTGTTGTCGTCCAAGACGTCGAACCAGTAGAACTGGCCCCGCACCAAGACAACAATGTGCTTCGACGAAGGATCCTGACCAATCTGACAACCATGTTCGGTAGGGATGCGAGCAGTACCAAACAGACGTGAATACTGGTACATGTCTAGAGGCTGGCCTCTGAGAGTGTCGGGCTCGAGCTCTTCCTTTCTCACAGCTCTCACGAATGAGAGTGCGGATATGACGAGAGATGCGGCGCGGGTGACCTGGTTGTTTCTGGCCGGGGTGGGGTCATCTTCGAGCAAGAAGAACGGGTTGAGGTTCAGAACGACAGGGTTGTCGAAGTTGAGGTACGAGTCGTACCCTGGGAAAGGTCAGCGGATGAAGTTTGGACGATGAGCAGTCGCAAACGTACAGAACTGTTCAATGTAACTGGACCTGCCAGTGGCATACTTCTTGAGCTTTTCTTGAAGCTCAGGACCCTCAGCTCTCAGGAATTCGTGTACAGCGGCCTCGGTCTCTGCGTGTTCTCTTGCAGACTGTAGAGGCCTTAGAGAAGCGAGGTACTTGTTACATGACTTGTCCAGGTCCGGGATCGGAAGCTTGGGCAGCTTCTCTTGGGAAGCGAATGTGACTCCCTGAGTTGCCATGGCGGACTTGTCGGATTTGTGATTTGCGACTGGCAAGGACTTTGTTGCTTCTTTGGCGGAAGAGTTCGATCGCTTGAACTCGGTGGGCGTGGACTTCGGGGGACTAGAAGAGGAGACGACCTGGTCTAGAGAAGTGGAGGTGTTGGTAAGTCTTCTGGCAGTCATGACGATGATTTGTCAGTTTAGGTGTACAGAGGTGAGACAGTGGTCGAGATGGAAAGGCCACGAAGAGCGGTGCGGAAGAAGTAGTGGCAGTCTTGTAGACAGTAAGGTGGCATTTGAAGGGGGCGTGAAAGGAAAAAAGACCAAAGGGGAGGGAGAGCTGAAGAGGCTGATACAAATATATCGAGGCTTATCACATGCGGCAGCGTCATGCAGGGACCCTGAGGATAAATGGAGGGGCACGTGTTGACAGCCGCTGCTCCGGCTCTTTGGAATCATGAGGGGATTGGGAACGATGCAATTTATGGCAAGGCTATTTGTATGCCCTGGCCTCTCGGTTATAACTCACCTTAAAGACACAGAGACGGCGGGTCAGTGGAAGATGGTTAGTTGCTTGTACATGCATGTACCCGTACTGTGCTACACTGCACTCGAGACGTGGGGTAATGGCAATTGCTGCAGAGAGGCTGCTGCAAAGAGGATGAGCTGAAGACAGTGGATAGATGGCTTTTCGATAAGAACCCAAAGATGGTAATGAGCGGTCCTAGACTCCTAAGCTCGGCTATCCCAAGTTCTCGACAAGCGGTGGCTTCTGAGTCGAGCGGCTAGCTTTTGACAGTTGGTCAGAGGCTTGAGATGGTTTTGGGGACACCTCGGATGACAGCGCCCAGGCTCGAAACCTGGAGAAGTCGCGCCGGGGAAATGGAAGCACGGACTGCGCGCGTGAAGGTCGCGCCTTCTGGAACAAGCAAAGAAGTTTGGAAGCAAGTGCGACTCGCGACGTGTGTCTAAGAGGAAGTTGGACATGAGCGACATCATCCAGGTCCTTCCGAACATCGACACCGAGCCGTTCGAAAAAGTGCTGGAACGCCTGGAAAAGGCAAACATAAGCAGCAATGACTTGATGACCCTTGGCGCCGTCGATGTCGCCCGCCGCGCCGACGTATCTATTGATCAAGTACGCGAGCTCACTGCATCTTTGACCACCAAGCTCCATGCTCAGCTCGGCTTCGAAACGCTCGAGAATGGCTACGACGAGGAGAAAGATGGCTCTGCCAAAGCAGCGAAGGAAGACGCGACATGGTCACACATAAGCACTTTGGACGACGACCTTGACGCAGCGCTTGGAGGAGGCTTCCCTGCTGGCCAAGTTTGCGAAATCACTGGAGAAAGTGCGGCAGGCAAGACCCAGCTACTCTTGACCTTGCTCCTTGCTGTACAACTAGCTCCACCCAAGGGGCTAGGCAAGAGTGCACTGTACTTATCCACCGAAGCACCACTGTCGACCACCCGCCTGAACCAGATTGTGACAAGACACCCATACCTGTCCTCTCTGTCCGACTCGGAAAAGCCTTCTCTCTCCCGCGTGCAGAGTACCCAACTCCAAGACCTCGAGTCACAGGACCATGTCCTCCGCTATCAAGTGCCTGTACATATCGCCCGAGCCAATGTCGGCCTCATCATTGTCGACTCGGTAGCAGCCAACTTCCGCGCAGAGTTTGACCGTGCTGGCGCCAACTCATCCGATGCTCTGGCTCGCCGTAGTTTACAGTTGACCCAACTTGGCGCTCATCTTCGCGACCTCGCTCGTTCGCATAATGTCGCAATCGTTGTTGCCAACCAAGTCCTCGATCGCTTCGGTCCCGTCGCCTCTCTTCTCGATGCTACCGCAACGCCTCTGTCACAGAACTCGGTCGCCACGCAACTCTCGAGTANNACAACAACAATAACAATACTTCCGCCCCTCCGCCACCTTCACAACAACCCCAGCNTAGCACTCTCCACAAACGACCCTTTGTCTTTGGACCACCAACAACGTTTCTTCACAGGGTGGGGTGACCACCGTTCCATACGGGACCTCAAAACCCCTTCGTTGGGCTTGACCTGGACAAACCAATTGTCAGCTCGTATTGTGCTGCTCAAGCAACCAATACTCAAGCCTCAAGACTATCTGCTGGGACCAGGCATGGACATTGTTGGCTGGAGGCGCCACCTCAAGGTCGCTTTTTCGGCTTGGTCGCGTGATGACAACGGCACGGATGGTGTCGAGTTTGAGGTTTGCGAGGAAGGTATCAGGTCGAAGAAACCAGAAGATAGCACAGGCACGTCCGATGAAACATGAAGAACATGAACAGCACGATACGAATTACGATTGGATGGCATACAGAACGCTCCAACTTAGTGGTCTACGAACATAGAGATAGAACGATCAACTTTCACTACAGTTGAGAAGAGTTGCAAAACCAAGTCATCATACTAGATTGGTGCTTATGTTCAGTGTCTTTTTGCTGACAAGCTCACCTTGTGGTTGTAGATTCGAGTATCTTCAGTTCCGAAGAGCATGTGCTGTAGCCCAGCGCGTTGTTACATAGTGAAGGGGCGATTTCTCCTATGCCATGGCTCTCGCCGCCTTGACACTGTGATTTCAGACCAGAACCCCAACAACAATACACACTCGAAGAGAGTGTGGCGCATCCGACCTCCTCACTTTGCATAACCATCCCACTAAATCCAGACGCTGAGCCACACCCCATCCCCTTCCAGTGATACTTCTTGTCTGCTCTCTCATCGTCACCATCCAGCACGACTGACTGCTTGAACACGGCGCATTTAGCCCAACAACGTTCTTGCCAGGCAGGATCTATTCACAACTCCACTTCTGCTTTCATCTTGGATGACATCTCTTAACGGCGCCAATATGGATGAGCTACCTATGGAACTCAAGCAGCGCATCTGTAGCTTCCTCACACCGAGAAACCTCAAGCCACTCAGACTCACTTGCAAAACCTTCGCCACGGCAGCTGAACGTTACTTCATCAATCGCTTCGTTCTATTTGTCCATCCCAACAGTCTCGCAACTCTTCGCAAGATTGTGGACCACGAGATCTTCAGCAAGTATCTCACCACCATCGTTTACGACACCGTCACCTTGAGTCAAGTACTTCCTATCACAGTCAAGGATCCGTGCTGGGATGACTTCCGACCCAAGACATTGTCGCTCGGTTTGAACGAAAGTTACGCTACGATAACAAGTCGACTAATGCGTGACGCCACCAAGAGTTATCAAGCCGCCTGGAAGGAGACACAACATAAGAAAGCACAGTTGGGACTGCTTGAAGATCTGCTCCGGTATCAGCAAGACCCGAGTGTGTTTCATCACTTCGCCGACGAGATCGAGTATGCACTACTGCAATGTCAACGTCTTAGAAACATCATTCTATCAACGCGCCATCCTAACAAAAAAGCCAAGGCTCAGGTGTTCATGCACGAGAGCTTGTGTCTTGGATGGGCACTGCGCAGAAATGATATTCAGGACATTGTCTATCGCGAAACAACCAATCTGGAGTCCTTAACCTTGATCGGAGTGAAGCTGCCTCGCCGAGTCAGCTCCGAAGATGCCCAAGTACTGGAAAACCTGAAGCACCTCCGAATCAAGGCAAAGCAAACCACCTCTAGTCTCTCCTGTATGCAATGTCTCTTCAGTGTCACAAAATGCCTCGAGACCCTGAGCTTGTCGGTGGATTCCTGCGACATCACAAAGATCATCAAAGTGTTTCGTTCAACCAGTCTTCGAGTCTGTCTTATGGATTTCAAGCACGTCCAAGGAGATGCTTTGATCGACTTTCTCCTCCATCATGCTCCTTCACTGCAGCGACTTGCTCTTGGTACCGGAAGTTCTGATATCGGCTGGGCTCCGGTCTTCTGCAGCATCTCTGGCGAGCTCCCGGCCTTGAAATGTATCCAGCTCGAGGCTCTCCGAAGCCGCTGGAATAGGTATTCGATGAGAAGGGATGCCGAGCTACAAGCAGAGCGTTTCGTCTTGTCTGGAGGTTTGCTGCCTCTGATTCAGTACACAGACTGGCTTTCACGCAGGGGCGAGTACGGCCTCCCAGGTCGGGGGTTCTTTGTCAATGGTGTCACTCGAGATCAACTACAACCTGGACTTTGGTCTGACTACGAAGGCATTGCTAATGAGCCTTGGAATGGGTACGAAAGTGAGAGCGAGAACGAAAACGGCAGTGAAGATGGAAATGACGATGACAGCGAGGGCGAAGAGGATGCAGGCGAGAATGAAGACGACTGATCCAAACTACCTGGACATCACGATCGGCACAAAGACTAACACGATACTGCAAGTGAGGAAGAGAGAGCGGCAAGATCCTGGTAACACGGATATCAGGACGAAAGTACTCTTCACATCCAGAAGTACCGATAGCAGCTTCCCATAGCTATACACACAATCAAGTAAATGACTGCTCCATGCTCCAAAGTGCAAGCGTGAGACGTGATAGTCGTGATGTCCAATTCATACTATAAGTGCCTCTGACAGACGATTCAAGAACAGATGTCTTGCTAGTCAAGAATCATTCCTTCGAGGTGCCTTCACTACCGGATATGGTGAGATATGCGATTGCCCAGTTCGCGTGTAGTGTCATCAATGACAGAGATCAAGATGGTGAGAGGACGGATGAGACGGGCCCACATGCGGCTGTTCAGTGCATGACAACGCTATAGACAGAGCAAGAACACTATGGAGCAGGAGATGACTTACACAGAGAAGGCTAGTCGTCATTATATATGTCTGCTTGACGACACTGAAGAGCAGGAGGTGGTGACATTATGAAGCACAAAACTATCAATCAACTGGACAAAGATTAGATATCTCCCAGAGATAACGCCAGCAAACAAGCAATGAAGGTCTAGACAAGAGAAGAAAGCCGATATCAAACAAACAAAACTCACGATGTCAAACTGATAGCCTGATCCTTGAACTCTCCAAACTCCGAAGACCTGATTCCCTTCTCAAACAACCAATTACCAACATCCTTACGATCGATCGTCCAACCCAAAGCAGGATTGCTCTCAAGCCCGTACCTGACATTCTCCACACCTACGCCCTTCCCATCCATCAACAACGTCGGCCGTACGATGGCAAATTCACCAATCACTCTCTCAGCATCAGGCTTATCTTTTNNCTGCTCCCAGACAAGCTGTTCCATGATTCGCTTGTCAATGTGCGGGGTATGGAGTAACCAATGATAGAGGGGAATATAGAGGATAGGCACATCTCTAGGGCCACGAGTGATGCCTGTAGTAGAAACAACAAGTAGTCTTGGCTTCGTCGCAGCTTTGAGCTCAATCATAGCAGAGAGAAGGGTTGCCATTGCTGTACGGCAGAGACCTGGGTCATCCAGTGTTACGGGCATGATGTGTAGTCTCAGCTTTGGTGCTGCGCCTACGCCAAAGACGATGGTATCTACAATGTCAGAGGAGGTTTGGAGCAGTTCCTTGACAGAGTTGATGTCTTTGGCGTTTCCTTCGAAGATTTCGAGGTTGGCGAGCGAAGATTCTGGGACTCCTTGTTTGTTGAGGGAAGTGGTGAGTTTGGAAGGGGTGCGGACAAGAGCGCGGCAGGTGTAGCCATCTTTGAGTGCGGCGATGAGACAAGCACCTGCGCATCCACCTGTCGCACCCAAGAAAGCAATGGTTCGACTCATTTTTCAATAAGGGTTGATTAGACGTAGAGACAAGAGGATGGTGGTATGAGAAGCGTGAGCGTCAGGTTTGGCATACGATCAGGAACACGAAAGAAAGATATACCTGTGAGCGAAAGAGTTGTAACCTCGATCACTCACGACTTGATAATGTCAGCGAATGTAGCTGCCTGGCACTGCCTAACTGGAAAGAGAAAGAACTCAGGGATTCATTCTCGCGGTAAGCGGAGAAGGCGGTGGTAACGGCCGACAACGCCCGAGTCTTACTGTGGCTTGGAGGATCATCACGACATGCTTGGTTCGCAACGTGTTCGAATGGAGGAAGACTCGCCGCATCAGAGTGGCTGGGTATTGTCAAAGATCTACGACGCTTGGAGTAAGGAACGTAGAAGTTCGAATGGAGTTGATGCAAAGACGCTGCTGGTTAGAGGAGAAAGACGTGAGCTGAGGAACATGACGAAGCAAGCGGGATTCTGCAGTGCGGGCCATGAGAACCAGGGCTCAGTCAGTCGATGTACTAGGCATTTGCAAGGTTGTTGGAAAGACGGGATGCGTGCTGACAAAGATCTGTTGAGCTGCTCTCTGGCCTCAAGTTAACCATTGTTGTGCATGGCGAGACGGACAAGAGAGACTTTGGAGTGATGGCGTCTCTGACAGAATAGGGAAAAAATTGCCGAAGATGGGCCTCGAGATGTCGGGCAGTCTCGTGGACCAGGTCATGCCTTGCATGTCACAACAAACAGATTGGTCAGACTGGATGACCTTGTTCATGTGTGATAAGGGCGCAAGACGGACAAGTGGCGGCGCATGCTCAAGAATCAGCGGGCATAAGGTTCAGCGGACATACAACAACGGGTGTTGCATTGTGCAGAGTGTTTACAAGTGGATCCCCGGACAGTAAATAGAGGCGGACGGGACGACGGTTCAACGGCGATAGAGAGTTGATAAGATGGATAGTGAGCCCCGCTGAGCATCAACATTGACCTCTTCCTTTTCACTCGACAGATTTTGACACTAGATTTTGTAATAGCATGTCTTTCTTGGAGCTGCCCCTAGAGCTCCGTCTCATCATTTACGAGCATGCGGCCGTCGAGGGAGCAGCCGTGACGATTGGAGCTTGCGAGCTGACGGGCAAGGGCGCCGACCTTGTCCATCGAGTCCACGGCGACGACCGCGCCCCTCTACCAGGCCTTCCACCAATGCACGAGCCCGCCATTCTCGACAGCTACTCTTCGCGCCTTCTCTCCGTGTCAGAGCCCGCCCGCATCGACGTTTCGTCTCCATCATCGACTCCCCCAGATTATGTCGCACCAACACACCACTCAACCTTATCTTCGCTCCTGCTGCTCAATCACCAAATCAATGCCGAACTCAGCACCCACTTCCGACGGAAAAACAACAAAAAGACCAGTCTCTTTGTACAGTTCCCTCTTGGCCTGCACGTCTTCAAGACAAAGTGCCCCGACTTTGTGCGACAGGCTCGCAGCATCCACATCGCCGGCAGCTATCCCAAGCCTACGACTACAAAACAGTCCCCGCAACTAGACCAGCTAGCACATCTCGTGTCCGCAACTCTGGGCAAGAGTCCACGCTACCCCATTGAGAAGCTCGAAGCTCGCATCTACTTTCCTGGTGGCGATTCATATCCCCGTGTCTGGGACGACTCCAGTCCCGCTTCCGTCATCTTGCGCAACGTCTGCGGTGGCTTTATCGACATGGAGGTTGCAAGAGGAAGACACGGAACTGGCATCTATGTTTCGGTGCGACCTCATCCGGACAACAAGAGGGTCATATCCACTGTCTGGAGACGTCTGGTTGAGGGAGATAATGGTCAGCCCATTTGCGGTGATTGGGCTGTCGATAAGCAGTGGCCCGAGTGGAACAAAGACTTTGCTCCCTCGTCACCTTTACCCTAATCTTTCTTACAACGAGATGCATCTCGGGTAGATGCTGGCGTCTACCTCTTGAGCCTCTTGAATAACATCCTCATAATACCTAGTATCCGTTCAGACATCCATCTATCAATCCGATGAGAGTACTACCAGTGAGCTCAAGTTGTGGGCCAACGTGCTGTCTTTTACAGTCATATCACCTGCGGCCTTATGACACCAAGCGTAATACATGCCTCTCATATCCATACTGTGCGATCCCGGGATCGGATCAGCAGCCTGAGAGCCGAAGCACTGAGGGCAAATCAAATCTCACGCTTCCCAGCCACAATCTGGGACGACTCATTGGTATGGTTGCACTCGTAGATGAGCCATACAAATGACCTCAAACTTACGACGGGCACGGCTATCAAAGAAAACTATGATTGTCGTACTCCATCTTCCCTCCATCTTGGATCAAGAACCTTCAAAATACCTCGAAAACACATCGTAAAGAGACAAAAATATGACTTCTCTCAACCTCCAAAGACCAGTCAACAAGCACTCCACTCCAAACAACTTCAACGACAACATGCTCAGCCAGTCATACCCCATGATGCCATCACCGCTTAAAATGCATACCGTCCATATTGAGAACCGACCAAATCCTGAACGTGTCGACATTTCGCTTCCTCCATCACCAACGCCAACACCAAACGAGACTCCGCTCACACAATCAAGCCAGAGCGATCAGGAGCCCCTGCAAAAGGTCACCATGGAAGAGCAGCCTTCAGAGTCTCGAGCCCAACAATCACCTCCAGCCATTCCTCCTAAAAGCCCTCATCGTGGTGCCAAAAAGACCAACTGGCTATCTAGGCTTCTCAGCAGACTGAGTTGCTTGCACAGCGGCAGTCGCAAGAAGTTCGGATCGAAGAAGGATACCAAGCAGCCCAAGGACCGCAAAGTCAGAGACAGATCTACGTATACCAGAGGTAGCGGTGATGGAGGCAGTTACGTCGATCCTGGACCTATGATGAGCGCTGGCTTTGCGGCTTCGTCTCATGGAGGAGGTACAGGTATCGGTGGCTCTTCTAGAGACTGCGGCGGTGATTCAGGCGATTGTGGCGGCGGCTGCGATTGTTAGACATAAGAGAGAGGGAGAAGGAGTCAGATTGAGATATTTCCCGTACATCTGAAAACCAATGTTCGAATTGGGCACGCTCTTAGAACTTGGTAAGCCAATAGATCTTACTCAAACGCACGTGGACAATCGCCTCAGCTCAGGCCATATGACCAAGTAATTTAGAGACGCGCGCACGTAAGTTCACTTTCACTTTTCACTCACAGATAAAAGGTGCACTTGTCCTTCTCAGCCGTTTATCAATATCAAAAAGTGAACAAAGTGGTGACAAGTGTTGCCAACATGAACCGATAACATTACCTTCGACTCACCCATATCGCCTACGAAAGATGTCTACGACTACATTACCTCCAGTTCCCATCGCCGGACCCTCATCCAGATTGTCTCAAACAGGCAATGTGTCACCGCAAGCTGCAGCTCTCCCAACGAAGGGCTCTCTTCCACCACCAATCACAAAAACAACGACTCAAACTCCGATCACCGACTATGGAGAGCCTACCAAGGCTTCCTGCCTTCACCTACGACGACCCAAGTTGCCGCAGCGCTTCGTACATCTCCTTCGACTGGATCGCCCGAAGAAATACAACCAGACAGCTGTACCAGCAACAGAACTCTCAGACCAGGAATCAGACCAGCCCTCAAGAATAGCAGAGTCAGAACACAGAGGTAGAAGCCGTACAGCAAAACTCCCAAGCAGTATGAACAGACCTCTCACACTCTATGATGATGGACAAGGCTCCTGGACCAACGAGTTCGGCTACCTCTACCGTGAACAATATCGTCTGAGTCTCGCATCTGTTTCGGCTCTGAGTCTCGATCTCTCTGGTGATGGACTCACTGCTCGTTCCGATAAAGCAGATGATCCTCAGCAATGGACGGAGTCGAGAACCTTACAAGGCTCAATTGCTGCCGACAATGCTATCGAGGGTCACAACGCAAAAGGAGTGGAGGTCAGTTCGGAAACTGAGAGCCACAATACCAAAGTCCAGCGTGTATCAGAAGATGAAGTCACACACGATGGCTGCGAAGAACAGCATGTGTCAGACGACGAGACCAGATATGAGCGCTCCGGGGACAGGTGCAGATCATGCGACAGAAACGGCGACGTTTGTCGCAACTGTTGCGACGCTGAAGATGACGATGGACATGGCAATGCTTGCCGTAGCTCTTGTGAAGCGGAGGGTCGTTGTGAGGCTGAAGGTTGTTGCGAAGCTGAAGGTTGTTGTCGTTAGTGCGATAGATCAAGTGCGATACGAGAAATTTAGCGAAGCCCTAACAAAATCGAACAGTCGTATCAGATTTCAATCGTTGACCACGATGGTTGTGAGTCGATGTCAATGATTCGCAAAGAATAGAACCACCATGGGGCTACAACTTGCAATGCGGTCCTGGCTTTGGATTGATGCAAGCAGATATCCAACATACAACAGTAAAGATTCGAAGTCAATCAAGCATTTAGAAGTCAAGTTCGTGTCCAGTCTTGGAAGTCTTGAGTGATGTTGGAAGGAGCGAGAAAGGCTTCGTGGTGGTACTGTACATCGGCGCTCGGCCGAGCAACTCGGAGCAAACTCCACCCGGCAACGGCGGCACCAGATCGACCACAGTCCACGAACACCTCGATCTCACTCTGACTCACTACCATACACTGACTGTGTATACCTGCATGGCCGTGTCGATTGCCAACAAAGCACAGAATTGCGAACAAGACGCTCACTCGCACCTTGATTCACGTTATAGCACGCGGATTTAGTGACGCATCAAGGAAACATCTCCTAAACGACCCTGCGCATACAAGAGCAGAAATCTCCATGCTCAGCATACAAAGACAATGTTGGCTAAGATCAAAGAAGAGTTTGGTGTCGAGACGCTGCTCTCCGCTCCTAAAGATGTCCATCTCATCCTTCTGATGAGAACCCTTCGCATGTTTGCCTATGGCTCAACCACGTTGATCCTCGCTCTTCACCTTTCGACCCTCAAGAACTCGGATACTCTGATCGGAATCTTCATGTCACTGACACTTGTGGGTGATGTCTTCATCTCCTTGCTTCTTACTTTTGTGGCCGATTCGCTTGGTCGACGCAATATCATTCTTCTGGGGTCCGTAACTATGGCGCTCAGCGGTGTTGTCTTTGCAACTCAGACCCGCTTCTCTATCCTTCTGATTGCCGCAATTATCGGTGTGATCTCGCCAAGCGGTAATGAAATTGGTCCCTTCCGTGCAGTCGAGGAATCTACACTAGCACACCTGGTGCCTGCCGCACAGCGTAGCGACGTCTTCGCTTGGTATGTCGTTGTCGGCACTTTCGGCACCAGTGTTGGCGCCTTGATATCCGGATGGCTGGTCACAAGTCTGGGTGCCGAAGAAGGGAAAGCAGTGGGCAGCTACCAAGTTGTCTTCTGGCTGTACGCTTTGCTGGGCTGTGCCAAGGCTGGGATCACCTTCCTTCTCAGTGATGCTTGCGAACTCGAGAGGGTTGTACAGAAGCCCAGCGCAGAATTCGGTGACGCAGAAGAAGCAGAGACGTTCATTCAACAACCCCAAGCGGCTTCAACGCCCAAACCGTCAAGCAAATGGGCATTCACTCAGATCAGTCCTTCCTCTCGCAAAACACTCCTCAAGCTCGCAGGTCTGTTCAGCATCGACAGTCTGGCCTCTGGAATGGCTTCCATATCTCTCACGACTTACTTCCTCGCAACAAAATTTGGCTCGGCACCTTCATCTCTGGGTACGATCATGGCATTCGCATCTCTGATGTCGAGTATTGGCAACATTGCTGCCTCAAGTGTTTCCAAGCGCATTGGGTTCATTTACACAATGGTGTTCACGCACTTGCCTTCTGCCCTGTTTCTGGCCATGATGCCGGCACCACACTCTTTGGCCTTGACCGTGTTCTTTATTGTTGCTAGAGCGACTCTGGCATCTATGGACCAGGCGCCTAAAGCTGCATTCTTGTCTGCTGTCGTGTTGCCAGCGGAGCGGACTGCTGTGATGGGTACTTTAAACACGGTCAAGACGGCAGCGCAGAGCGCAGGACCTCTGGTCACCGGCGTTCTTGCACAAAACAACCATTTCGGTGTCGCGTTCGTCATGGCTGGATTCATGAAGGCCGGTTATGATCTCGGACTCTTGCATTGGTTTGCCGAGAGTAAAATGAGAGGAGGCTCTGCTGATGAAGCTAGAGATAGAGCAAGGCAGCAAGAAGACGAGGAGGGTCAAGAATTGAGATGATGATTTCGATACACATGGCGTTTTGGAGTGTAAACAACTTTTGTGATATCTTGAATATGGACTGTCTATGTTTGCATCACAGCCTCCACGATCCTTCTGATTCTGGAATGCTTTAATGACTGCTGCTCGAGTTCTCCCAACCAATTGACTGGTCACTCTGATGCAGTCACCAGGCCTGTGCGATCGGCTGCAGTATAGAAAGTTGTATCACAGCAACAATGAGCGAAACAGAGACCCTCGCTAGCCGCCGAAAGCTAGGAGGGGAAGAGAAAGCAAGGCTTTCGTCATTATTGTTGTCGGGTTAGGATTACTGGGACCTCTGGCATAAAGAAGAGGGGGATTTATAAACGACCCAGACGAGAATCGAACCAGTGGACACCGGCCGCATGTGTGGGAGACACGAGCTACTACCACTGCGCCATTCCACCGGTTCGATGAGGAAAAAGGCTGAATGGCATCAATATGAGGACACATGGTGACTCAATCCGCTTTGAGCCGTTCAAATCACTCCAAGGCGAGATCTTAGGGGGTAGGATATCTTTGGTGCGTGTCATACAATCTTAATCAATGTTTAGATCCTACAGCTTACTCTTGCCTGCCTTAATCAAATGAAGATTCACTGGACTGATAGCCTTACCCTCCAACAGAGCTCCCAACACGTTCTTATAGCACAACTCTTCGAATCCGATGTGTGTATCAATGGTGCCACCCGCTGTGTGTGCTGTCAAGGTCGCTTGCTTGAGCCCACACAACTCTTTGTTGACATGCGGCTCGTTCTCGAACACGTCCAACCCACAAGCACTCAACTGACCCGACTTGAGCGCTTCTACAAGATCAGCCTCATTGACCAGAGGACCACGTGCAATATTGATAAGTCGACTGCCACGCTTGAACTGTTTGAACTTCTCAGCAGTGAAGAGTTGTTTCCCGGAGAACGGTGTTGCGACGATGATGCAGTCGGCAGCTCCTAACATCTCGTCGAGCGTGTCGTAGAAGGTAGCACCCACTGCTTCTTCCACAGATTTTGATTTGCGGAACAAATCATGGTAGGCGATCTTCATATTCAAGCCGAGATAAGCCTTTTGAGCAATTCTGTAGCCGATGTTGCCCAGACCAACAATACCGAGTATCCTGCCAGCAGGGTTGATGGCCGTTATGGGAGAATTCTTGTGGGCATCGAAAAGTTCGTCTGGGTTCCCTGAGCGAGCGGCGATTTGAGACCAAGTCAGGTTACGGAAAGTGGAAATGATGAGGAAAAGTGCCGAATCGGCCACGGAGTCCGAAGATGCTGCTGCGCCGTTACAGTAGATAATTCCTATCGTCAAGATTAGCACACGACATGCCTGTGTAGGAGACGTATAAGATAGGTCTGTACCCTTTTCAGCAAGAATATCGGTATCTACCCAGTCGAAGCCCGCACCAGCAGATGCATACACCTTGACACTATCTGGGAGCAAAGAGATAAGTTCTCTGTCAATTCTTCCCATCTCTCCTCCTGTGTTCCAGAATGGTCGCAGGATGGCTACGAAGTTGCCCCATCGCCTTTCCTTGAGGGCTTTGAGGAAGGCAGATCTTTCGCGTTCTTCTGCTGAAGGGCGAACAATGGTGAATTGTGATTCGAGCTTCTTGTAAAGATCTGCATGCCAGCGAGGTGGATCGCCTAGATGGAGGATATATGGCTTAGAGGACATCTTGTGTGTTGCGGTATGAATTCCGAACGAATGATTATAGATGCGTTACAACGTAGATCTCTTAGAGGATAATGAGAGGTAAGTAGAGGCCTACATGGCGATACAGATTATATGACTGGACAACTATTTCCGAGACGTGGTGTTGCAGAGCAGGAAAGATGAATCCAGTCGGCGTCGGGTATTGACTTCAATCGCCGACACCTGCCATTTTTGTGGGGCTACATGTGCATTATTTCGAAGGGGTCGTTGCTACACCATTATATCAGTGTTTCGTAGTCTGAGCCTGTATACATGGAAGGAGTGCAACAGAAAGATCGAGCCTCTCTCTCTGATCGAGTGATTTAGCTGAAGCAGCACTAAGTCTGCCGTGTACCTATCCATCAGTATGTCGAGAGCTTTTGTCGTTGTGAGCACCTGAAGACGAATGTGAAGCCGAACAGTGCTGGAATGATGAAGATGTTTTATTCGTATGGCGTCGCAAATTGCTTCAAGCCTCGTAGTAGAACAGATGATACCTAAAGTTTTGGATGCCTTCCCACATAACGCCAGCGCTGGAATGAAGTCTCTCATGCTTTTGTAGATCATTTCGCAATAACCATCTCCCGGGCAGGGCGTTCGTACTCGTACTCGATCTCTCTCTTGGGACCCTTTGAGCCTGCCTTCTTCTTTGATTTTGTGTCCGGAGCGGGTCTCTTCTTCTTCTTGAGGTCTGCGAGCTTCTTGGCCAGCTCCTTGTCGTCTGCTTCGGATCCGCTCTCATCGTCCTCATCCTCATCGTCTTCGTCGTCGTCGTCCGAGTCGGCCTCCTGTTCGCTGCCGAGCCAATCTTCCAGGTCGTCCATATCGTCGTCGCTCTCCTCGACATCACTGACATACTCGACATCGGGACCCTCCTCCTCTTGCTCATATTCGTATTCCTCTTCATCTTCATCAATGTCCTCGTCGAGATCCTCGTCACGAGTAGCCTCGCCACCACGCTCCAGGGTGCGCATGACACGCTTCCAGATGTTCTCGTCGACGTTGAGGGGTTGTTCGCCGTAGGCACCGCTTCGCAATCTCTCGACCAGCTCTCTCTCGATGGCGCGCTCGATCTTTGCGGCCGACTCTGCCTTGCGCTCACGGGTCTGTTCTCTTCTGCGGATCTTGGGAGCAAGTCTAGGCACCAACTGTTCTCCAAGTCTCTCTTCCTCGCGGGCCAGTTTTTGCATGCGGACTCTGACTTGAGTCAAACGAGTAAGACGTTGCTTGTTCTTGTGGACCAGGAATTTAGGCCAGTACTTCAGACGGTCGTCGACTTGTTCCAGAGCCTTGGAGTAGTTGCTGCTGAGACGAATCTTCTCCCACCATTTGCTGGGCATGTGTGCGCGTTCGATGGTCTTGATGTAGAGGTAGAGGCGCTGGGTTTGCGGGTCGGCGCGGATGGTGGCATAGCGAGAGTTGGCGAGGGGGCATGATTGACGATTGCAGAGACCAGTGACGTTGTGTTCGTTGCGACAGAAGTTCTGTTCCTTGGTTGTCCTAAGGTCGCGAGTCAGTTGTGTTCAGCAAGCAGTGTATGCGTTTGGGTCGTACTTGAGTTTGAAAGAACAGAACTGCTGGTTGATAACCTGCCAAACAATTTCGTCCGAGGCCATCTTGTTGGCCGTTTATTGTGATTCGGGAGGAGATCCGGATGGAAGGGCGAGAAGTAAGATTTCTCGATGATGCGACTACGCCGGTATAAGGTCGTAGGTGTAGAGAATCAAATGGCAAACTAGAATGCAGTCCGCAAGTCGCAAGCGCCCAGCGACTTTTTTCTGAGCAGAACTTGATTGCCGGCGTCGAGATGCTTGGCCGCTGTTCACCGCCTTCGGCCCGCTCCGACACCTCCAGCCGAGCAACCGCCGTGGTCAGCAAAGCCCTCGCCTCCTGCTTTTCCTCCTGCTCAGAAACACAATTATCTTAGACAATAATCGAATGCTTGCGGCGAATGAGGCTTGCCAGGAGCTCATTGTCACTTGCTGTCACGCGTCTGTCATGTCTTTCTCCGACGGCTAGAATCTTGCCATCGGCCATCTCACCAGCCACACCCCTTGCGCACAGTACCCGGAAACATGGATCGCCAAACATCATAGGTCCTTTGAACACATCGTTGAGACACCAAAGTAGTGTACCTTCGTTCTCGACCAGGTTCTATGGTGATCCTACCATCTATGCCTTGTCCACTGCTCCAGGCCGAGCTGCTATTGCTATCATTCGCATCTCTGGTCCAGCATGCAATGACATCTACAAGGCCCTTTGCCCCGGACAGAAGCCACTGAAGCCTCGTTATGCTTCCGTACGAACCCTGTATCGTCCTGAAGTCAAAGTCTCGCCTGACAATCTCCTGGACTCAAGCGCTCTGCTTCTCTATTTTCCTGCTCCAAACACAGTCACCGGAGAGGACCTTCTTGAGCTGCATGTGCACGGAGGCACAGCGGTGGTGAAAGCTGTTCTGTCTGCCATTTCTCAATGTTCGCCTGTCGTTGGTGCTATCCGCTATGCAGAGGCTGGCGAGTTCACCCGAAGAGCTTTCATGAATGATCGTTTAGACTTGACACAGGTTGAAGCTCTGGGAGACACACTCTCTGCAAACACCGAGCAACAGCGTCGTTTGTCGGTCCGTGGTACCACAAACACTCTTTCTCTCCGCTATGAATCATGGCGCCAGATGCTTCTAGCAGCCAGAGCTGAACTCGAAGCCTTGATCGACTTTTCCGAAGATCAGCATTTCGATGAGTCGCCAGCCGAACTGGCTTCTTCTGTTGCCGAACAAGTTCAAGATCTAGTCCTCCTGATTGATACGCATCGTTGCAATGCAATGCGTGGAGAGCTGCTCAGGAACGGTATTGCTATCAGTCTACTAGGCGCGCCCAATGTTGGCAAAAGCAGTCTTCTCAATCGTATCGTGGGCCGCGAAGCTGCCATTGTCAGTCAAGAAGCAGGCACTACCCGCGATGTGGTTGAAGTAGGAATTGATCTGGGTGGCTATCTCTGCCGCTTGGGCGACACTGCTGGCTTACGGAGTGCCGTCCTCGCGACTACTCAAGCCCAGAAAGAGCACATGCAAGAGAAGATCAGCATGATCGAAAAAGAAGGCATGAGACGTGCCAAGCAACGAGCCATCGAGAGCGACCTCGTAATCGTTGTCTTGTCGCTAGAATTAGAGGGCAAGAAAGTGGTCCTTAGACCAGATCCTGAAGTTATCGACACTGCTGCCGAGCTTGCAGAACAAAAGTCGAACGTGCTAGTCGTACTGAACAAGATTGACCTGCTCTCTGGTCATGCATCCGGGTTGGAGAACTTTAGACGACAAGTCGCTGATGCGCTCCCTCATGTCAGACTCGAGAACATCTTTGCCATCTCCTGCAAGGATGCAGAGTCATCAGTTTCAGCCGATGCGGGACACGTTCCGACTTTCCTCTCAGGTCTCATTCGACAATTCGAAGACATGACTTCTGCAGTTGCAGCTACGGATGACGATACGGATCCTTCCATCTGGCAAGAGTCTTTAGGAGCGACTGAGCGTCACAGGCTTCTCCTCGATGAATGCCAATTTCACCTCGAACAGTTTCTTGTCCAAGTAGAGGCTGGAACCCAGACTAGTGGAAGCTCTGGCATGGGAGAGATGGACGTTGACATTGTCCTAGCCGCAGAAAATCTACGTGATGCTGCAAACTGCCTCGCAAGAATCACTGGCAAGGGTGAAGCTGGAGACGTCGAAGAAGTGCTCGGAGTTGTGTTTGAGAAATTCTGCGTTGGCAAATAAAGGAAATCGTTTTTCATTTGGAAAAGGACTGGAGATCTCTGTAACATGCAAAGATCCTGCTTTGCTGATGATATACCAAAAATCTAGCAATTACCCTACGAGATCCAAAAAGAAAGAAAAATGATTGTAAAAGCGATACTTCAAACGAGTGAGAAAAACAAAGCGAGCCTATGACCTCCCGAAGACTAAATCCTCTCAACTCCCAGAAATGCTACATTACCGTGGAGACTCTCCCCTCATTACTCTCTTGTACCACCGCTGATATCCACGATGTCATGCTGTCTAAACATAGGAAAAATGCTGGAATACTGTAGTTTGTGTCGTCGAAGACCATGCCAGTATGTCGAATCCTGTATGTCGAGATGCATAATATCCAAAAAGAACGCCGCCCAATGCAAAAGCGAGTGTTGAATATTGAGATTGCTCCATCGAAACGCCGTCTATGTTGCAAAGTCGATTTCTCGGTCAAGTGACCAGCACCAAGCTCGAGTTGAGATAGAGATATATTTGTCGGTATCTCTAGTTGTAGCCACCTCTGCCGTCATCGGCGGCACGGGCAGAACGAACGGTCAAACTGGAGGGATTGCTGGGTCTGCTGATGCCGCTGGCTTTGACATCGCGGTTGTAACCTCCACGGCCGAGTGTAGGAGATGAGGTGCGGTTGTAGCCACCGCGGCCCATGATTGCTTGAGCGTACATGTCGCTGATAGTATTATTGAGTAGAAGTGAGTATTTGGTATGGTTCGGTGATGATGAAGGTGTAGTCTGAGGTTGCGCAGACAGAGAAGAAATGGGCTGATGTCTGTATGCTCTTGAAGTCTGAGTGCGATGATAGTGACGATGCAAGAAGAAGATGAAGGCCAGTGGCAGACCATATATACCTNNTTCTTTACCTTTGTCCAACATACCAACCNNCGTGGCACTAGCAACCACAACCTGTGTTCTGTTTTGGATTATCGGCATCTCCGCCTTTCATCTGCACTGCCTGCGACAGACATCCCAAACCAGAACCGTGTATGTAACAAGAAAAAGGCCTCTTCTGCCATACACGCAGTCATCAGAGAAGCCTCCGACATGGCATCCCGGCACCTTCACAGCCTCAGGACCTCCTGGTGAGCGAGATAGGGGAAACTCGAGGTAAGTTGCTGTAGAAGCAATCTGATAGGCTGTTAATTCGAGCAATAAGTAAGGTGCTGACTGGCACGAAAAAGACCACTAAGAGTGCTATTTTGAGGACATCGGACTTCCCCCATCGGGAAGGGGAAGTTCCGCACAAAGGTATCTTGATACTGGATTCTCGCGTCCTTCTTCATATGTTTCCATCATCAGCCTTATGCAGGTACATTAAGTCTTTGCCTGTTTGAGGACGAGTTTTGCGAAGCTGACGAGGTGTTTGGGATGGGACAGCAAAGTTATGTTTGGGACGCATGCAGCCCTATGCACTCTACACGTGGCTGACTGTCTGTCTGACATGCAGTGATCATCGTCACTGCATGGCTTTGGGGAAAAGTCGACGGGCACCAGATGCCAACCTTCCTTCCCGAGTGAGGTTCATCGTCATTCAAGATCAGGAACCAGGGTTTGCGTTGCACACCTTCCTATCTGGGCTTCTTGGGCTGTTCTTGCTGACTGAGAAGTATTTATTTGATGTCTAGCAATTTCGACAACTCTCAGATGTATCAGGTATCTGCGTTCTCTATTTGCGTCCAATTTCCGATGCTTCGATAGCACTAGCTGCCAAAGTCACACCAATTTTCCGTTTGTTGCGACGTTTCAGTCAGAGAAAGATACATGTATAGCACATCTGCGAAACTCGTAGTAACAAGCTTTTGGGAACGAACACAGAGTCGTGAGCAGAAACACTACTCAAGCTGCGATCAGGCGTCCTGGGAGCCAGGTGGCTGGATCATTGATTAGCACACCATCTTTGGTACTTGAGTAACAAAACCCAGTCCGTGTTAGGCCATGTGTTGGACATCGAGCGTTTTCCGCAATACACGAAAGGTCGTTGGTTCCCTTGGGTTGCATTCTGCTTACCCACATCTGCTTGAATTTGTTCAGCTGGTCTAGACCATGGGTGGAAAGCTGGGCGGACTAAGTCATTGTTGTCTTCATCCAAAATCAGCACTGTGTGTCGCAGAGAAACGTGTACAATGTAGATAGCATTCAACCCATCGAGAAGTCTCAATGCTTAGTCACAATTAGAAACTCTTCGATTCCCACGATGTATCGACTGCAGCGCTGCTGCCTCGCGCAATCTTTAAACACGAATGATTTGCAGCTCACTGGTTCATTGTGACTGAGTTTTGGATGTGCTACTTTCGAACATTAGATCAAGAATTTGTGAACTACCTACATCTTTTGGTTGAGAGAAATCCATGGAAAAGATCCTTGACGAAGTGTGTCGAAGTCTTGTCGATACACGATCCATGTAATGTTGTTCCCTTTGAGATTGGTTCAAACAGGATAGCATCGCAGAGCGATGGGTTTCGAGTCCTTCATCGACTTTAGGACAAGGCGTGGTGATATGTGGCAATGCAGTCTTCTCGAGTGCCTCTGGTGCTCTCGCCTTGGCATCTGACAAGTGCAGGAGATTTTCATTCGATGTTGGAGTGCCCGCTATCCTGGCGCTTTCAAAGGGCTCCATCTGGTCCATGCTCCGAGGGTCAATGTCAACCATCGCTGTACACAGCATTGTTACTGGGGTGCTGCTATCGGCCACCGGACCGTGTTGCCGTTTGCTGACCGCTTTCGGCAAACAGGGCAAAGTCGGTAGCAGGTGTCGGCGATGCTCCTGATGGGGATCGTGAGGGCTCGTATGAGGCCTTCCAATTTTCGTCGGAAGAGTGCATGGCAACTGCGTAGTAATCGGTCCTTCTCCGGACAACCCGCATTCTGTTCTCACATGGGGAAGCCGCCTGTGGGTTGGACTTTCCAAGTCGGAATTACCCAACACAGGAGATGCCTGCAGCTGTCATGGGGAACGACACTTGTGAGCCTTAGACGACCGCCGCGGCTGGGGAAAAATGCAGACAGGAGCGAAGTACGGCCGTCGATGGTCTTTATAAATCGCAAGATGATCGTGCTCGGCGTGAGGAGCCATGTTGTTTTGATGACTTGGCATTAGTCGAAGATTGAGTATCAAGGAACGATAGTGGATCCGTCTATCAGAGTCCAACCCCATGGAGTCCCACTGGCGGGGCTCTCCAGAGGTGTAATATCAGACTTGCCGACGGCCTCTCATGCTGGACCAAAAGTGAGTGGGTCGATGTCTCTGCGAGTTTGTGGGGATCCACGGATTGATGAAGATCGTAACCTTCCGAGGATTAGCCACTCTATTATCCGGCGGCGAGTCAGAAGTGGGGCTGTCACTTCGTGGGTGTTCATGCGGAGGCTGGCCAAGAAAGCATCATGATATTGTCCAAGTTTCCTTGACTTTCACGACACTAAATCAGTTGAAGTCCACCTCTTGTTAACTGCTAAGCTCTCTTGTTGTGCTTGGATCAGTTGGTGGCTTGGAACAACACACGCTCATATAGCTCCAATAACAATGAGATCGGGAAAGGTCAACAAAGCACTGAAAATCGACTTGGACGTTTCGGTAGAGCCATATCCAGAGTTTTCCGCAGCCAGAGTCACTCGGCGGACGATCACCGAAATGCAACGATCATCACCATCAGAATTGGTCGGCAGATTGGAAAGGCATCTCTATCGGATGGCCATGTTGCCGCCTCAGCCGACCGAGTGGGTGGCTTAGTACGGGCCGGTCAAGGGTCAACGTCGGGTCGCAACGGGATACTACGTAGGTGGCCTGCCCGACAATAATCACGATCATTGCTGCTGCTGCTGCTGCTGCTACACAATGCTTGTCCAGAGATGATATCGATTGCGAAATAGAGTGTGGTTCTCTCTATCTTGATCAGTGAAGTTTCCTCTCGCAACGGCTGGCGACAGCGCTGCTTGCTTACGACGTCCGATCCCGAGAATCCTTGCCAGACTTTGCCCGCGTCTGCCATGGGGCCTCCAGTGGGGAGATGATCTTCACTCTGGGGCAGAGGCTGGAGAGCACGCCCGTGCACGCCAAAAGTCAGGTACCCACGTCACATTATTGTTGCTTGAGTTTTCGAAATCGAAGGGCACGAACTGTGGGTCAGCCAGGCAACTTGTGTCCGGGCAGGTCAGACATGGATCTTCCAGAGGCACAGCATTCAAGTATAAAGAGGAGTGATGATCCTCTGCTCAATCGTTCATCAGCAGCTCGCCTCTGAGGGACATTCACAACCATGCCTTCTCTCACATCTTATATCCTTGCTTCGGCGGGAGCCTCTCTGGTGAATGCACAGTTTGGCAACTTCGGTTCGCCATTCCCAAACACAACATATCCTGGATTCGAATCCGAGAACCCTTACACTATCGAGGGCTCAAAGAGCTTCCAATGGAGTCCTCCCAAGTACCCTAGTCCCTGGGGTGAGGGTTCTGGTGACTGGAAAGAGTCCTACGCAAAGGCTCGTGCCCTTGTTTCACAACTGACCCTCGAAGAGAAGGTCAATCTCACCAGCGGTGTTGGAACCAGTAAGTGTGGTATCGATTCGATTTTTATTTTGTACTGACTTCTTTTCTAGNACCAGGGCAACTGTGTCGGCCAAACCGGAAGTGTGCCTCGCCATGGAATCAACGGCCTCTGCCTTCAAGACAGCCCCGTTGGTGTTCGTTTGACAGATGGAAACAGCGTTTTCCCAGCAGGCGTAAATGTCGCTGCTACATGGGACCGTGGAGTCGCCTACGCCCGTGGACGCGGCATGGGTCAGGAGCACTACGGCAAGGGTGTTGACATGCAGCTCGGCCCTGTTGCCGGTCCCCTTGGTCGCGCTCCTGCCGGCGGTCGCAACTGGGAAGGATTTTCGCCAGACCCTTACCTTACTGGTCTCATGTTCGCCGAATCCATCAAGGGTATCCAGAGCGCCGGTGTCATGACCAGCGCTAAGCACTTCATCGCTTATGAGCAGGAGCATTTCCGTCAATCGCAGGAGGCCAAGAACTGGGGCTTCAACGTCACTGAGAGTGTCACTGCCAACTTGGACGATGTCACTTTGCACGAGCTTTACCTTTGGCCATTCGCCGACGGTATCAGAGCAGGTGCTACTTCAATCATGTGTTCTTACAACCAGGTCAATGGATCTCAGTCTTGCCAGAACAGCTACATCCTCAACCATGTCTTGAAGAACGAGCTTGGCTTTCAGGGATTCGTCGTCAGTGACTGGTATGGTACGCACTCTGGCGTGTCGAGTATCCTTGCTGGTCTCGATATGAGCATGCCTGGTGACCCCGTGCAAGAATTTGGCAACCACGGAGGCGCCATGTTCGGTTCCAACTTGACCATCGCTGTTGTCAACGGAACCGTTCCCCAGTGGAGATTGGACGATGCTGCTGTCCGCATTCTCGCCGCTTGGTACTATGTTGGCCGTGACAAGAACGAGGTTCCTGTTTCCTTCAACTCTTACTCTCTCGACACCTACGGCTATTCGCACAATGCCGTTGGTCAAGGCTACGGTTTGATCAACCAGCACATCGATGTCCGTGCTGATCACAGCAAGCTCATCCGCGAGATCGGCTCTGCCTCTACTGTTCTGCTCAAAAACGTCAACAACGCTCTCCNNCCCCTTACAGGCAAGGAGAAGTTCACTGCCGTCCTCGGTGAGGATGCTTTCGAAGACGTCAATGGTCCCAACGGCTTCAGCGACCGTGCTGGCGACTCTGGTACTCTCGGCATGGCCTGGGGCTCTGGATCTGCCAACTTCCCCTTCTTGGTCACTCCTGATACTGCCATCCAGAACGAAGTTGTTGGAAAGAACAACGGTCTCTACCAATCTCTCAGCAACAACTCCAACCTTGATCAGGCCTTCTCTTTGGCTAAGCAAGCTGAAGTCGCAATTGGTAAGTTTTTCTTTTTCCTACTATTACATCCACACACATAGGCCTTCAAACCCTTGCTAACATTCCATTTCCAGNTCTTCGCAAACAGTGATTCTGGTGAAGGCTATCTCGAGGTTGACAACAACTTCGGTGACCGCAACAACCTCACTTTCTGGCAGGGTGCTGACGAGCTCGTTGCCAATGTCTCGGCTACTTGCAACAACACTATTCTCGTTATCCATTCAGTCGGCCCTGTCCTGATCGAGGAATACGCCAACAACCCTAACATCACCGCCATTCTTTGGGCTGGTGTTCCCGGTGAACAGTCTGGTAACTCCATTGCTGATATCCTTTACGGTCGCGTCAACCCTGGTGCCAAGCTTCCCTTCACCATGGCTGCCAAGCGATCAGACTACGGCACCGATATTCTTTACACTCCCAACGACAAGATTCCTCAGACCAATTTCAAGGAGGGTATCTTCATTGATTACAGAGCCTTCGATAAGCAGGAGATTGAGCCTGTCTACGAGTTCGGCTTCGGTCTTTCCTACACCAACTTTACTTACAGCGACTTGAAGGTTCAAAAGTTGAACACCAGCGCTTACGCTCCTACCACTGGCATGACTCCTGCTGCTCAAACCTACGGTAACGTCAGCATGAACGCTGCTGACCACGTTTTTCCCGGCAACTTCTCGCGTGTTCCTCTATACCTCTACCCCTGGATCAATTCGACCAACCTGTCCTCCGCTGCTGGCCAGTCTCAATACGCGCCTTACGGCGACAACAGCTTCGTCCCTGAGGGCGCTCTCGACTCTTCTCCTCAGCCCCGTCTTCCTGCTTCCGGTCCTTCCGGTGGTAATCCCGCTCTCTGGGATGTCATCTACCGCGTCACTGCCCAGATCAAGAACGTTGGAAAGATCGCCGGTGATGAGGTTCCTCAGCTCTACGTCTCCCTTGGTGGCCCCTACGATGCTGTCAAGATGCTCAGAGGTTTCGAGAGATTGAGCATCCAGCCCAACCAGACCGTCACTTTCTCGGCCGACATCATGAGAAGAGACGTAATGAACTGGAGCCCCGAGGCCCAAGATTGGTTCGTCAGCAACTACACCAAGAACGTGTATGTTGGTAGCAGTTCGAGAAACCTTCCCCTCACTGCTCAGCTCGCTTAAGCGATATATCTTACTTTATGATCATGATAGGCCAAAGATGATTGCTTTTACCTAGACTAGACTATTAGTTCATAATATAATCACATTTACCACACACTACTGTCCTTTTCTCGTGGCCTCTTCTGCGTTCCAAAGGCATTGTACATGGATACATAACTAGGTTGATACACGCTCATTGACATACTCAGTTCTTGGGTACGGGCTCTGCTTCCGCAACCTTCTTGATGACTCTTGCAGGTGATCCAACAGCCACCGAGAATGCCGGAATGCTCTTCGTGACAACTGAGCCTGCTCCGATAGTGCAACCATTGCCGATGGTCACGCCAGGCAGAATACTGACATTTCCGCCAATCCAGCAGTCGTCTCCAATGAACACCGGCAATGCGAACTCGACACCGTCGCGGCGTGACTGGACGTCGGTCTGATGCGTTGCACTCAAGATGCTGACATTAGGTCCGAACAAGACCCTGTCGCCGATTTCCACCAAGCAGCAATCAAGGACCGTCAAGCTAGACTGTCATTAGCTGGCTCGAATTTGAAAGTGGAGAGAGATAAACACCCACCCAAAGTTTGAGTAGAAGTCCTCGCCTATGAGGATGTTGCAACCATAGTCGACATTGAGAGGTGGCTCGATGAAACTGTTCTTGCCGAGGGAGCCAAAGAACTGTTTGAGGAGTTTGGCGCGCTGTGACATCAAATCTTCTTCTGTAGTCTCGATTGGGATGGGTGCATTGAATTGTGATGCTAGCTTGCGAGCACGGAAACGGCCGGTCAAGAGTTCTGGAACAAAGGCATTGTACCTATAGACATTAATGAACATGGTCCTAGAATGAATGCTTGTATTGGAAGCAAGATTCCAGTGTAATGGACAACTCGTGTCGGATGCAATGGAAGGTAAAAATCTTACAGCATGCCAGAGATCATCTTTTCATACTCCTCGCACCATGGTACATTGGCCAGATCTTTGGCACGAGCGATGATAGCCTCGTTCTTCGATTTGGCGGGCTCCATTTTGGTGATGAGCTTGGACGAAAGATGTGAGGGATAGAATGTCGACTGTTAAGCAGGAAGACGAGATTAAATACAGATGGTGTATAGTTTGAAGAAGAAAGACCTAGCAACGTGTTCTTTCTGTACGAGCTGATGTTTGGGCGAAGCAATACCAAGAGTTATAGAAGGTGGTAGACGTCGGTCCGAGTTTAAGGGCTAGCGCATTGTTGAGAACGATTCAAGCACCTGGGGAATGTCTGCAACAATTGGTCTCTCATACTTTGGGCATGGTTGAAGCGGAATGTCGTCCCGACACTCCGCCATGAGCGTCACACGAGGAGGATGGTAACCTGTGCCAAGTCGTGTCGATGCTCTGGCTTGTGATAGGGCAAATGTCTGATTAACAGCACTCGACTCTTCAGCTCCACACTATGCATCTCCCTTTCCTTGCTTCACGTTTTGAGTCGACAATGCAGCTTTGATGGAGGACGCGTTGCATGATGTAGGTGTCCGAAGAAGTGGAGTATATCGCAGGCCAAGCCCACGTGTTTCAAGCCTGCCAATTGCAGCGACACTCGTGAACAAGAGAGTTCATCATCGGGAGCGACGGCTTTTAAGTCGAGGTTGCTGCATGTTCCTTGGTGATGAAGCTTTCAGATACATATGGACCTTCACCCAGCTCTGTATGGGATTTGGTTCTATCTCTCACTATTTCTACCACAATCGTTAATCATGGGTCTGCGCGAACTCCTCTTCCCCGCCGCCCTCTGTATAGGTGCCGTCAATGCTCAAAACATACCGTCTGGAGCAGTGTCTTCTCATGTCGCTTCCTCTGGCTTTCCAACTTCTGTTTTCTCGTCCTACTGGGTCAAGCCTGTCGCTACAGCGGAGCCTCAACCTGCTCTGTATGATCCAGTCTTGAACATCACGTTTCCACTAAATCTGACCTCTCCTAACACGATTCCGGATGAAGACAACGACCCAGTCTACTACGTAGCTCCAATCGCCAACCTTACTCTCGCTGGCAAGCAGGCTGTACTCAAGAGCATCGTCTCCCAAGTTGAGGAAATTGTCACAAGCAATCAATTCAACACCAGCTGCTCGAAATGTATTGCTGGGTTAATAGTAGCAAAGACTGCAGCTCAATTGGCACCTGAACTTGTGCCTGGCGCCATGGTATCTCTCTGCAAGCAATTCAAGCTTCACAACAATGAGACTTGTGAGGNNGAAGACTTCGAGGCAACCACTTTTGGCGCTATCTGGACACAAATTCTGGCTCTAGCTGATGTGTCTGGTCTAGACGGACAATACATCTGTAACAGAGTGTCCAGCAACTTCTGCTCTATGCCGACAACCAGTCAGCTGAACACTACTGGATTATTCCCCAAGCCAAAGCCCACCAACTACACTATCCCCAAACCCTGTGGTAACCGCATCAAGGTACTTCACATGTCTGATATCCACTTGGATCCTCGCTATGCTGTCGGAAGTGAAGCCAACTGCACGTCTGGTTTGTGCTGCCGCGCCAATAACTTCAACACTGCTCTTCCCGATGGTGAAATCTCACTTCCCGCACCATACTACGGCGACTTCAAGTGTGACAGCCCGTACGGCTTGGTCCTCTCAGCTTTGGATTCTATTGCTCCTCTCACCGGCACCAGCAAACAAAACCCATTCGGCTTCAGTATCTACACTGGTGATCTGGTCAGTCACGAAAGTCAGAACGAGCTTTCTAGGGCCTACGTCGAGTACGCAGAGCTGTCAATCTATGACATGCTCAAAAAGTTTATTGGCAAGGCGCCTGTTTATGCTGTCCTTGGAAACCATGACACCAACCCGGAAGCTATCGATGCGCCCCACAGTCTTCCTGGCGATCTTGGTATGCAAATGTCATGGAACTTTGACCACGTCGCTGGACTCTGGCATGAGGAGGAGTGGCTCAACGCGACTGCTGCAAAGCAAGCACGTCTCCACTATGGCGCCTACTCCGTCAAGACTCCTCAAGGTCTCCGTGTCATCACCTTCAACACTGACTTCTGGTACAAATCAAACTTCCTCAACTTGATTGACACACTGAACCCGGACAAGTCTGGCATGTTCGCATGGATGATCCAAGAACTTCAAGCTGCTGAAGATGCAGGAGAGCGAGTCTGGATTCTCGCACACGTGCTAAGTGGCTGGGACGGCACCAACCCCATGCCCAACCCTACCGATCTCTTTTACCAAATCATCGACCGCTACTCACCTCATGTTATTGCCAACGTGTTCTTCGGCCACACCCACGAGGACTTTGCATACGTCTGGTACGCCAACAATGGCACCAACCAGTCCGCTGGCAATGCCCTGACTACCGCGTGGGTCGGCCCCAGTATCACCCCACTTACAAACGTCAACTCTGCTTTCCGCAGCTACGAAGTCGACACTGGCGACTGGAACGTCTACGAAGCCTACACATTCTACTCTGACGTCGAGTCCTTCTCCGGTTTGAACAGCACAGGCCCAACATTCAAGTTCGAATACAACACCAGAGATACTTACGGCCCGAGCATCAATTGGCCTGCCGAGGCCCCTCTGAATGCTACTTTCTGGCATGAGGTTTCCGAGCAGATTGCCAAGAACACTACTCTGGCCAGTATTTTCAATACTTATCAAGGCAAGAGTAGTGTCATGAGTCCTAATTGCACGAATATTGCTTGCGCGCAGGCAAAGGCGTGCTATATGCGTAGTGGCAGTGTGGCTCTGGGTCAAAAGTGTCCTCAAGGGTAAGTGGCTTTTCTCCTCTCTGCCGCGTACGATGTTCGGCCTTTACTGACTGTCACGTATAGATATGGTAGTGTGCAGAGTCCTTTCAAGCCCACCTCTTAAGAGGCGACCACGATGGTTTGAGAAGCTGGAAGAAATCCTGCTCGGTAGAAGCATGCTTTGTGATGTTTTGAAGGTGAGATGATTGGAAGGATAATTTTGGAGCATCCTCACTGTCTCATCAGCAGGAGAACAGATTTAAAGACCTCGAAAACATATATACAAAAAAACTATCCGCCTTGTTTTTGGTAGAAGCGAAAATCCCTCTCATTGTTTAGTAGACATTCGAATCGATTCATCTGCATCAAATCCTTTTTGATCTACCACCTCTCCTCCTCTTGACCCATGATATGCTTTTGCTTCCTTACTTGTACTTTACTTGTATTGTATTGTTTCTAGACAAGGACTGTGATATTTCTAGACCAGAAATTTGAACAAAAAGACTATTTTGGGCTTCTGGTATAACCCTGCTCTTTTTGAGACTTGAGACTGCAGATTTATATTGCTTCGAAGGTATAGATCTATTACTACGTTTGCTGAGGCTTCGTTAACTGCATGATATTGTTTTGCAAGGGACGAATTTTTATTCGCCTTCTAGAACTCGCATCACTTTGGATCAACCGGAGAGGAAGTCTTGTTGGTTCTCCATTTTACGTTCGTATGTAGTACTGTAGTAATGCACAACACCTCAATATACTAGATGAATGACTAAGCCAATGGCCATGGGATACAGTACCAACTCTGTTTGAACATTACCTCGTACTAGAGAGTATTGTGCATTTTTATATATAGCTATACTACAATAGTCTCTAGCACAAAGGGAGGCATAGTGGCTATCGAGAGCAGAGGGGAAGAATTAGGTAGCCCCGTTAAGTGGCTGGTCTATGTATCGCACATGTATATTTTGTACCGTATTCCTTCCTTTTTCAATACAGTGCCTTTTCACTACCTCGCTACTTCACCACTCCTTGCATCCCCTCCATCGTCCTCGACTTCCTTTTCCGTGCCTCCCTGTGTCCCAATAGTCAAGAACATAGCAAAGATAATAGACACTCCGCTCGCCGCAGACGCGAACCAGAACACCGCAGAATAAGGTTTAGTAGCCACATCCCAATAACCTCCAGTCTTTGCACTTCTACCCACAGCATTGAACACCGCAGTCCCGATGCCAAAACCCACAGACTGACACAGCTTGGTGATTGTCTGGACAATAGATCCGGCGATGGATTGTTGATGTACAGGCATAGAGCTCGCGACATACAAGTTCGCAACGTTGAACTCCAGATCAGCGCCCACGACTGCAAGCAAGAAGGATGGGAAACAGAAAGCCCAGTAGGAGGAATGTATAGTGTTGACAGAGATGAGAGTGAACGCCAGAAGATAACCAGAGCAACCGATAAGCATGAGAGCTTTGTTGCTAATTTTGTGCATGACGAGAGCGGCGACAACGTTGACGATGATGCCCATGATGGCCATGGGAAGGAGATGCACTGCTGTAGTCAAAGGTGACCACTTCCACACTTCCTGCATATACAGAGCGAGGAAAAACTCAGCGACGGAAAAGGCCATCATGCCGAGTAGCAAGACAGCCATGAGGAGGGAGAAGTTCTTGTCGAGCCAGATGGACATGGGAACTAATGGGTGAGGGTAGTAGTTTTCCCAAAACACGAATGCGACGATCAACAAGGCGCCGACAATCAACATGGCGATGATGTAGCTCGTTTTCCAGCCTTGGGGTGCTGTATCGCCTGAAGAGAGAGCAGCACAGAACATGCCTACTCCAGCAATAGTCAGGATAACTCCAACAGGGTCGAGTTTTTGGAAGGTCTCCCAGTTGAAGGGTTCCTTCGGTGCGGTATCCTTGGGGACCGTGAACACAGCCAGTAATGAGAAAACGACGTAGATTATTGCCAATAGGAAGAAGCTGGCTCGCCAGTTAAACAGATCGCTGGCGATTCCAGAGAAAATGGTTCCAAACACAAAACCCAGTGGGTTACCAGCAGAGAAGCAAGCGAACGCTGCATTCTTTCGTCGCGATGGTTTCTCGTATATAGTGCCCAGAAGTCCTTGGGCCGGAGGTACAGAAGCTGCTGTCATCAGGCCCATCATTCCGTTGAGCACATCAATTGCGATTGGTGTATTCGAGAAGCCTGCGGCAAGTGCAAAAACAGCGAAGAAGAAGAGCGAGCCAACAAACATCGACTTTCGTCCAAAACAGTCGGCGAGCCTGCCAAAAAGCAGCAAGAAGGCACCACCAGCCAACGTGTTTGCCGAGCTCATCCAGGTGATCTCAGCCGTAGTCATACCCAGGTCCGCTCCTACAGAAGCAGAGATGACGGAAACAGCTCCGCTCAGAAAAGCACCCATCGCTATGGCCATGGTTGCCGTCAAGACAAACAACACTTCTTGCGTAGTCGATTTGNNGAAGCATGGTGGACGACCATCAGGATTGCGAATCTCGACCTCGAAAGGGAGAGCAGCTTTNTCGTCGACCACGTTGGTCGCAGCTGAAGCTGGCGCTACAGGGGCGGCAGCCATCTCGACTGTCGACATGACGGCTCAACTAGACGATGGAAAACGAATCTTGGGTTGATGCATTGATGGCGAAGAAAAGAAAGAGTCATGGAGCAGAAAGCTCAAGATGGTTTCGTAAACTGTCGCAAATGCTTGATAAGATTGACGGAATGGTGCCGTGGGGAAAGGCAAGCAAATGTGGCGGGGATGCGGCAAGCCAAAACGGCAAGAACAAGCTGAGCGTCCACCCAAGCGGGTAGATTTAGCCGTAGATATGGTGATTACAAGCGAAGCTTGTTCCTGTGCCTATTCGCGAGGTATGCACGTGGGATGGTAGTCGAGCAATTATAGCTTGACAACTTGCCAGCCTTTGAGGTCCATGTGTGCAAGTGCACCACCCAGAGGACCCTGTACTTCTCGACCGTTCAGCCACTGCTTGGGGCCAGCCCAGTAATTGATGAAGCCCTCGGGCCCCGACACAAGGATGATCTTCTTGCCTTGATCAGGAGTCGCAGGTTGGTTTGAGGATTGAGCGACGGCATTGCGCACGTTCTGCGGAGAAACATAGGTGCCTTCTTCGTCGACGAAATAGTCGACGGTGAGTGCTTTGTTGTTCTGTTTGAGGGCATCTAATTGTCTTACGATCAGGCCCTTCTCGTCGCCAGACAGAGCAGTATGGCGTTGAGTGTTGGAAAAGAGGTTGGTAAAGGAAGCGTACCACCCAGGTGTGTCTGGATCGTCGCTCTGTCCACCAAAACAATCTTCTCTCGATCTACTTGCCCACAAGACAGCGATGCGGGCCTTGTCGCCCAGAGCGTGTGCTACCTGAATAGCAGGCGCAACGCCTGTGCCCCCAGCTAGGAAGACGACTTGGTCGACATTCTCTGGCAGTTGGTACTCTGCCGAAGGGCCTCTGACTTCGACATCAGCGCCCTGAGGGCGTCTATGCAGATATCCAGATACCTCACCCCTCTGCTCGCGGCGTACCAACAAACGCAGAGCATCCGGGTCGGAGCCCTCGAGTGGCGGTAATGGGGTGTATGCTCTTGCAATCTGAAGTTGAGGCTGCTTGATCTCAATACTCCAGACTCCTTTCTTCGACCAATGTTCAAAAGTGCCAGGCGGAATATGCGATTGCGACAGAGTGAAGATGGCGCTGGTGGACGAAACGGTCTCTTTGTTTTTCAGGGCGAAAGGCGTAAAGGTCAGGTCGTTGAGGGGCTGCGGCGACGAGAAGGAGACGAATTTGTAGTGCGAGTTCATGGCCCAGCCGGTGCCAAAGAAGAAGAGCGATGCTGCAATGCCTCGGAGAGAGCTGCGTTTCGCCTTGACGGGAGCATTGTGAATGTTGGCTGATGTGTGTTGACTGCGCGCGAACTGTCTGCGGGCGGCCGGAGGTTGATTCAACGAAAAAGTTCGTGGTCTAGGCGAGAAACGGAGACGATGGCGAAGTGTACAAGCCATCGTGACTTGATTGTGCAACAAGTCAAAAGTTCCGTTGGCTGCTCGAATCTCGAGGCCTGTCAAAGTCCGCCAAGATTCACATGTCGATGACGACAACATGGTCATTTTCTAGCAATGTCCTTTTGAAGACGATCAAAGTACATGGCATATATACATATACACTTCCCTCTAATCCAGGTCGAGCCTGAGAATCTCGCCGCCCTCGCGGATTCCGCCTCGGAAGAGGCTCTTTATGACCTTGCCATCGATCAATGTCTTGCCCACGATACCCTCGACATGCTGGGGTTCTACTCTTCCATACCAAATACCACAGCCTGCCAGAGGGTTGGTCTTGAAGCTAGGCGGGATGTACACAATCACGTTGCCAGCCCACTTGTGTCCTCCAATATGCGAGATCTGCCCGACTCTTGCTGCAGGCTGGTACTCTTCAATCGAGTAATCCGGCTGCACCGTGTCGTGAGGTGGTGCGTCGCGAATGATGGGAATGTTCTGTCTCTCCAGCTTGTCCTCGAACTCTGCCTGCAGAATCGGGCCCATGGTTCCACATCTTACATCGCGCCCACCATGACCGCAGATCAAAACTACAATCTCGTGAACCGACCGCGCCCCGGGAAATTCTTTGCGCACCTCGGGTGCATGGAGAATAGTGTTCTTTTGTGCCCTGCTCATACGTTCATTGGATGTTTGTAGAGACGCAGGCAGGACGAAGCCCTTGACGAATGCTTCGACGCCGCTGTCATCGGTAGGGATACTGGGAACGTATTGGAAGCTGGGGAAGAGGAAGGCAGACGCGGGACCTGTCTTGGGTACTTCTTGAGGGACAATGTCTGGGTCGGAGCCGGGTTTGGCGGCGGGCACTGTGTTCGCCTTCTGCGCGGACTGTGTCGATGGCTCGGCGTCTTCGAAGGGTGTCGGCGGAATTGACGAGTTGATGACAGATACGGCACCATGGGTTGGCNNTAGAGGGCAAACAGGTCAGCGAACTGTCGTCAACCGCACTCTGTAGCGGTCGCTTACGTCGAAGAACTTGCCCTTGGGTCCAGTCAACTTGGCCAGCTGGTTCACAAGCGCGCTATCCTCGTCCTCTTGTATCCTGCTCTTCCAATCTGTTCGGCCTGTCGAGATGATGACCTGCTCAGCATACGCCGGCATGGTCCCGTTGAGTTTGCTCTCGCGATCAATGTCCAAGCCCGGAGGCGTCTCTCTGCATTGGCACGTCGGTGAAGGACATTCGTCAAGGGTAGGGATGTGCCAATGCTTGTCCTCGGCCGGCGGTTGAGCAATGGGCACTGTGTATGTGGCTCGAGAGGCGCTGCGGTACTGTGACGTCCATAACGATGTTCTAGGAGCGCGTGACACGATCCTGGATCCTCTGAGTATTAGTCCCATGGTGTATGGTGGTTATGATTCTGGGAGAGAAACAAGAAAGCGAACATGGTTTTGGTCATGATCGAAAGAGAGGTCAGCGTCATGGCCTGGTCAGCACGAATCCACATCTCGGCCTCTCGGCTCCGTCTTCTCCGGCACGACATGTGAATTTATCAACACCTTCTTATCAAAATTCATACATTTCAAGAGTTTTAGGTGTTGAAGATGTAGTTGTTCTGAGGAGACCCCAATGAGATAGCCTGAGTGGTAGCCATCAAAGTTCAGGTGTCATGAGAAAGCCACATCAGCCTTGGCTTACCTTCAATCTACCATTCGCTCTTCAATCAAATACCGCCCATAACATCCTTCTCAAGCTCCTGAGCGCTTGAGCGTCTTCTTCCCTTTTCGTCTGTCCATTGGTCACATACATTCTCGAAGCATTCGCCAGGTTTTCGTCTCATGAGGTCCAGTCTGATCACCGTCTTGTCCTCCGTCTGCCCTCCAATCCTCAACGCTTGTATCTCTCCCGCCAACGTTTTGGCAACCAGCGAAGATGTGCATTCAAACATCTCCAGAACTGCTTCGTACGGGCTTGGGCAGCGTTTTGTTTCGGCGAAAAGCGTTCCGCGTTCGAGAAGCATGCTTTGAAAAGTACCATCAGAATTTTTGGAGACGGCCATGCGGACCCATGGTTGTTGTCGGTCAGGTGGCGTCTCGAATGTTGGATGAACGGATAGTAGATGGTCGTCTAGTACTTGAATGTTCGCTGTTACTGTTCAGTCAAAGCCATTTTGCAAGCCATTGCGCTGTCATACCAGATGTCAAGTTCCATAACTCCTCAATGCCTAGTGATGGTCTGCTCATCCGGACGTCCTGTGAAGGTGCCGACTTGTAGCGATAGGACTCTGCGTTCGAAGCTGATGAGCACTGCATTAGGAGCTCTGGGGACAGAGCGGCGAGATTAATTGATAGGGTGGATGATCTTGTTGTCAGGTGGTAATGGTCGGGTGTATTGATCTGTCAAGAAAAGCTTGCGTCAAACGTTTGTAGCTCGTTACACAGGCGCTCTTTCCTTCTTTGTATCTTATGACGCGTTATGGATCTGCATCTCCGGACGGACAATCGACTATCGCACTCATGATACATGTCTCCTACAAGACCAATGGCAGCTGAGTTGATGACGCTCAGGCAGCGACTGGGACTGGGGCAGCAGCAACAGGCGCCTCGACTGGAGCGTCGACGACAACAGCCTCATCTGCTTACAGTCAGCAATCCGTCGTTGTTACCACTGACCTCAAAGACCCACCAATTGATGCTCTTTTGGGGTCCATCTGCATAGTCCCGTCTTTGTGCCTGGTAAAGAAACGCTTTCCCTGTTGTCGTAGAGCATGAGTTACTTCACCACGCCGTTCGAGCATATCGGCTCTGGGCCGGTTCTTCTCGACATATTGTTGTCCTGTGTTTCTGTCACGCACCCATCGAGGACCAAGTATAATGACTGTGGCATTCTCGTCTTCTTCTTCTTCTTCTCCAGCAGCTTCTTCAGCAGCAGGAGGCTCAACGTCAGCAGCACTCGTTCGTATGGTAATAGCATCTGATTTGGAGGACGATATGCCCATGTCGCTTTGAAGGTGAGAAACGGTATGGACTTGAGCACAATAACTCAAAGCTTCAGTGATAGAAACCCATCGAAACGGCCATCGACGGAAACGAAATGATATGAAGCACTCGCATGTGCAAGTACAAATTGGGTCAGAGGCACATTGAACTTCTGATGCCCAACTCACCTGTAGGCTAGTAGGACGTCGGCAGCAGAGGTCACAAGTAGATAGACCGAATATGTCGGATAAGCATTACAAGAGCGAGTGAAGGCAGGATTACCTTTCGGGAGGCGGATAATAGTCCAGGCTCGTGTGCCACGTATCGTTGTGTCTGTTCCCCTCAGGATGGGCGTCGCTGTGATTGAAGACGTGGCATGCGTCAGAGATCCAGCCTAAGCAGCGCCGGCTCAAAGTGACATGTTTGTTTATCTGAGAAAGGCCATGGATAGCATTTCGCGATATGCATGCTACTCCGGATGTCCTTTTTGGAATTGATACGACTTGCGATGCTGTGCAGGAAATCCGCATTGTTGTCGCTGCACGGAGAGCGAGCTGTATGCTCCCCTGGCTTGGGAGACCTTTACGAACCAGGAGTCGCGACGTGCCTCATGCTCTACTGGATGCACATGACTTGACACGATGAACGTATACACAAGCTCGGGTCGGTTGTTGTGTGATGTTATTGAAGGACGATTGCAGTAATTGAGCGGTCAGACAAAAAAGCTGCGACGTCGTGCACAAGACCCTGAGACTGGCAGTGCAGGCCCAAAGCGGAGGAGGCTCGACTCCTGAACAAAGTTGGGATTTTGCTTGGACTTGTTTGTTTGTCAGTTGAAGTCTCAGATGATACAATAACACAGCAGTCACACGAAACGCTTGTTCGCATGGCCGGACTCGCACCCCCTCGCCAATTCGAGCGCGACTCGCTGGAGCTGGCTTCCCTCGCTTCTTCCGACCACAACTCGCGTGACAGCATCGACTCTTCGGCCTCTGGCGTGCCTTCGTCGCGCAAGCTCTCCTTCGACGATGACCATCTTGGAACTCCTGGTCCTAGCAGTAGAGGCAATGGCGGTCGCATGAACAGGTCCTATTCAGTCTCGTCGGCCTTCGACTTTGCTCCCGCACTCTTTCCCTTGTCGAACTCGGGAGCAGGATATACCGCTATAGGTGCACCGAGCGGACAGCCTTTGGCATCGGGAGGAGAAGGAAGCTTGGAAAGACACAAGACGTTGACTCTGTGGAAAGGCGGTCTGTCGCTGGTCGTTGGTCTCATCATCGGCTCGGGCATTTTCTCGTCACCGGCTCAGGTCAACATCAACGCTGGTTCTCCCGTCGCAGCCCTGACCGTGTGGGTTATCGCTGGTCTGCTTGCTTGGACCGGCGCTGCGAGCTATGCCGAGCTGGGTAGTGCCATGCCACTCAACGGCGGAGCGCAGATCTACCTGAGCAAGATCTATGGTGAATGGGCTGGCTTTCTTTTCACCTGGTGCGCCGTCGTGGTGCTGAAGCCTGGTTCTGCTGCTATTGTCGCCATCATCTTTGGCGAATACACTGTCAGAGCCTTTGTCGGTGCCGACGCCATGGACGCAAGCATCTGGATCGACAAGGCTGTAGCCATAGCTGGCGTCATCCTGGTGACTGCCCTCAATTGTGTCTCTACCAAAGTCGGCACGCGCAGCACTGATGCTTTCGTTCTCCTCAAGTTCTTCGCATTGGCTGGAGTCACTGTAGCAGGTATCGTTGTTGCCATCACGGGTTGGAACTTCGAAGGAAATGCTTCGAGAGAATGGAAGCAACCATCTTTCTGGGTCGATGGCACCAAGCATGACCCGAGCAATTGGGCCGTTGCCATCTATGCCGGTCTCTGGGCATATGATGGATGGGACAATGTATGCTCTCCCAGTCACCAAACTTTGGACAGGACCGTGCTAATGACTTTGTAGGTCAACTATGTTGCTGGAGAGTTCATCAATCCTCAGAAAGACCTGCCGCGAACCATTCATACTTCCCTTTCGATGGTAGTCTTGTCGTATTTGCTTGCCAATGTTGCCTACTTTTTGGTCCTCCCTCTGGCCACCATCAACTCGTCCAACACGGTGGCAGTGGCGTTTGGTCGCTTTGTTCTTGGACCAGTGGGCTCCTTCATTCTTGCATTGATCGTGGCCGGGTCATGCTTTGGCAGTCTGAACGCTACCACTTTTACATCTGGACGTCTGGTATACGCTGCTGGTAAAGAAGGCTATCTCCCCGCCTTATTTGGACAGATTGGTTTCTCTAAGGATAGCGCCGTTCGCCTTCCTTATCGTCCTTCACGAGCATCCCGCCTGACTCGGTTTATTGCTGACGATGGAGTCGGCTTATTCTACACTCCTGCATATGCCATGATGCTTAACGCAGCTTTGACTATGGTATATGTCGTGGTTGGCAGTTTTGGGACTCTTACTACATTTTATGGAGTTGCTGGATACACCTTCTACTTTTTCACAGTGCTCGGTCTCATTGTTCTCCGCGTCAAGGAACCAGATCTTGAACGGCCATACAAGTGCTGGATCACGACACCAATCATTTTCTGCTGCGTCAGTCTGTTCTTGCTCAGTAGAGCTGTGTTTGCGCAGCCACTGCAGACATTGTTGGTGGTGGCTTTTATCCTTGCCGGGTTCCCACTGTACTGGTGGAGGATGAAGGGCAGGAATGGCGGCCAGGGAAGACAGCAAGAACTGAACTGGAAGTTCTGGGAACGATGGACACGGCGATGATTGAATTAATGTATAGAAAAGACAGGGACGACTTGGACATAGAAGCAAATAAAGTTAATGACCCAATACAGTTTGGATTGCCCGCACGTGACCGCGCGCTGGATGACGCTGCCTGAAACACGTCCCGCAGCCAAAGCTTCAAATCTTCGACCATCAATGTGGCGTCCGTTCTCGTCCATCTTCAATATACACCAGAACAGTCATTATGCGTTTTCGAGCAGACATTCAGAACAACAATGTATTCACAAGTAGGAATCCGCGACACTTGGATATCGACACAATCTGACGTTGTATAGAATTGACGGCTTCGCTTGCATCACTGGGTCCGATAGCATGGGTCAAACTAAGCAATGAAGATGTTCGCTTTACCGTAATTCCTGATCAAGGCTCGTCGGTCTGGGCGTATGTAAATGTGTGAGCTCACTATCTGGATATACACTGACTGCTCGGCAGTGCACTTGAGATTGTCAGTAAACTGTTTTTCAAACGCTCGGATCGTGGACTAGNNCCTAACTCTGTGAAGGATCAAATCTTCGAAACATACACCATTCAGTCCGCAGCAGAAAATAACACAATCAATCTCGAGGTACCGTTGCAGAATCTCCATCGAGCGCTCAAGTCGGCCCAGAACGCCAGCCATGCATCAATTCGCTTGACCAAGAAGAACAACATCCCGCTCCTCTCTCTGACCATCACGACCGCCATCTTCGCCGGCGCTCCCAAACCCACAATACAGCATGGCGCTTCAGAAGGCTATGGCTACAACACAGGCTTTCCGCCAGGCGACGAGTTTGCCAACCAGTTCCCCACCGACGAGGTCGACGAGCCTGTTTACGATCGCCCCAACAGAGAAACCATCATTACCCAAGACATACCCATCAAAGTCCTCTCTCAAGCCGTCGTATCTGGCCTGCTTGAGCCAGTGGCCAGAGAACCAGACGTCCATATCGTGCTTCCACCCCTGCTTCAACTCAAATCCATCTCCGATCGCTTCACCAAACTCGCCGTCTCGAGCACGAAGACACCAAATGGGTCAACTGGCTTTAGGGGAAATACAGCGCGGATACCGAAATTAGAGTTGAGCGCAAATATGCACGGATGTTTGAAGTTGAGACTGAAGACTGATGCCATGGACATCAGCTCAAGGTGGATTGGACTCAGTAATCCAGAACTCGATCCTAACACTGTGGCTGGCGGTGAGGAGGGTATTGCACAACATCCGAGTACCCTGATGCGGGCACGAGGCGATCCCGAAGGCAACAGTGATGAAGGCTGGGCAGTGGTCAGATTGGATGGTAAGGATTGGGGTAAAGTCTTGGGTATTGGAAGGGTGGGCGGAAGAGTTATTGCTTGTAAGTCTCACTTCTGCTGTCTACTGTATTCTTACGCTGACATATATCAGGCTNTTTGCGATGAGCATGCATTGATATTGTACGTCTATCTCACCAACGAAGAGGCTGGCGGCGCTGAATCGGTGATTACATACTATATCAGTTCGTACAGTCAGTGATTGTATAACAATAGCATGTTATCTCCTTTGCAATTGTCTCTGTTTCTGTGCCTGTAGAAATGCATGATATTCTCATAAATCTGTATGATTCCATTGAGAGCCCAAAATTCATGACCGAAAGAGGAGCCCTCACTGGACGTCTCAGGTTCTGGAATGCAACTCTGCATTGCGATGATGGATTATGTTGATGGTCTGCTGTCAGGAAAGCACTGCTTTTGTCGCCGTACCTTCTCTCCTGTCGTAGTGTCTTACCTCCATCGACTCTCTCAGCATCGGTGAAACGACTATTTCATATCGATGTCCGGTGAGGTGGTATCATTTGTTCGGAGAGCTCACGAAGCACATATTTGTTGATAACATGAAGACTCATGATCGCTTGTGCTCGTGTGGGTGCTTTGATGGAAAGACAAGCAAAGACGAGACAGGGTAATGGTCGGTAAAACACAACTGTATGGAGTTCCCATTCTCGTCCAACGAGAAATATGGCCATAAGGATGTCGTCAGTCTCAGTGGTCCAGAAACGTACTCAATGCCCTGAGCAATGCGGAAGTCGCCACGGTACAATGATCTTCGCCCTCAAAATTGATGATGGACGTGTCTCTCAATCTCCCGCTCTCGCGCAGTGTCTTCTCCATAGCAATAGCGTTCTCCCCCATCTTACGTTCTGCACTCCGCTGTATCCTCTCCTCGAATTCGATGTCAGACTCGGATGTGGCTCTTCTCGGATTTGCTTCCAGAGACCCATAAGACAGTTGCAAGGAGCAAGCCATCTCATCTTTGCAACTGCAGAAATTCTCTGCCTCTTCAACAATCTTCACATCCCACCATACGGAAGGACTGGCCGCAAAATATGCATCAAACGAGCCTCCTCGCTTACTGAACATCGCATGCAAAACACACAACCCACCAAACGAGTGGCCAAAGATTGCTTCCTCGCCGATACTGACGTCTTGGAATTGATTGCGCACAAAGGGCCTTACTTGCTGTTCGACAAAATCCAAGAATGAGTCCGCACCACCTAGTCCAGCATACACCTCATGCTCGCTGAGCGTCAAATCGGTATTGCGCTGGCTGCTATACAGACTTCCGCTGTCTGTAGGGACGTCCTGGTATCCTATGCCCACTATAATGCCCCCGCCTTGATAGAAAGTATTGCTCGAACTCCGCCACAAGATTTCGGATGCGGTGAGAAACAACGAATTTCCGTCTAGGATGTAGATTACCGGGACTTTGGAGGCTCTGAGTGTTTTTGTGCGGTCCCAGTCCAATGGCCAGGAGATCTGGATGCGGTAGTGGAGGTTTGTTTTGGGATTTGTGAGGTCGTGTTGGGTAGCGTTTGGTAAGATGATAGGCATGCCGAACGATTTTGACATTTTTGGTATTACTCAGATCGATTGTTGTATGATGGTCGTGTACAAGGTTGAGATGTTGCTTCAAGAAGTTAGTCCGAGGTCGGCAGGATTGTGCCAAGGCAGTGCTGTCAAGGCCATTTGTGAATGAATTGAACTAGCATGACATTGCTGATGTTATGTCGGCGTCATCTTGTGTATGTGTATGCGGTCACCTTCTTGGGGACCGTACATTCAGAAGTATGATGGGATGGGAAGAAGAAAGAACGAGGTAAATGTCCTAGAGTACATAAGGAGCACGAGTGGTCAAAAGTCATGGTCGCAGTACTGCCACATCCAGATAACTTTCTATATTCCATCCTCCCCATGTACAAGGGCATGTGACGCGTATAGCCATAGAGATGCACAATAGTCTTGAGAAGTAGGGCAGCACTCACTGAGAGACAAGATCCCATCAGCTTTCTACGGCTATATCTTTTGATGTTGGAAAACACTGTGCTTTTGTTGTTGGACTGGTCGCTCGGAACAGGTCGTCGCTCCGATGCTCGAGCAGCAGATTTTCTCAACCTCTACTCAGCCTAGAACGACAAAGGGCTTAATTCTACCGTTTCAATGGTTCGACAAAGATGAGGAAAGAAGAGACGAGTCGTTACATATCTTGTCTGTGGTGACAGCGAAACACGTTCGCTGCCGCCGGCAACGACTTGTTTGTGGAACATCTCAATGCGGAGCGCCGAGCCCGAGACGTTTGCCAAGCAAAAGTCGATGCAGAAAGACGGGACAATTTCGATGCGCCTCGACTTGGATGTCACAAACCCGAAAGAGCGTTGTTGATGCCTTGGTGTATGGCTGTATGAAACAACCCATGTGGCCGACAGATAATTGGTGTACTGTCAAAGAGTGCCTCCCATAACGACAGACATCCGGATGGCCATCACTCTCGAGCAGACTGGTGCTCGCAGCACATGAAGCTCCCCGCGATTGCAGTTGATCTGAACATTCGCATCAGGCCCTTTGGAGATTGAGTACATCCGAAACCTCATAGACTGTATATCTCTCTTTGCAGACGGGTTCCTAGAGTGGATGGCCATGGTGACCGTGGTCTGAGGACTAGGACTGTGGCAAGAGCACACGTTGACGACCGTTACCAAGTCGCATCCTTCACATTGTGTAACCTTATACAAGGGACCCCCGTTTTTCACAGTGGCTAGCTGAGCAGACTGGTCTTGGGACATGATCGTATTGGTGCTAGTCAAGCCACTGCTGGTTACCAGGCCTTTCAGAATGGTGTGTTATCTGTGTAAAGCCTTTGTGCGATTTTCACCAAGCAGTCCAAACAAATGAATCAATAGTCGGGTTCATAGCATGACCTGAGTGCGCCATCCTGAGATTACACCTTCGCATGAGGAAACATTCTACTTCTCTTCCAGAACATCCGATCGAACGCTTATGGGATCCTGAGATGCTGGGGCGAGGCTGATCCTACGGACGTGGCCGAGAGTTATCGACCGTTCCCAAAATACCAGATGCTGTGCAGTCCTCACCGGCTAGGACATCGCCTCTGCTCAGCCGAGTGATTCTTCGTCCGTGCAAGTATGGTTGGAAGTGCTATATAAGATGTGCCAATGTTGCATAGCTGCTCAATTCACATAACTCAACAACACCTCCTGTCCGATCACCATGCAGCCTCCGAGTATACTGTCGTTGGTCGTGTTCTTCACGTTCATCTTGGGTATTGACTCGTCTCCGGTGTTGCATGAGCGAGCTACTTCGAAATGTACGCCAGAAGACATCGCGACCGTACGCCGTACAGTCAAAGATGAGGCATACTTCTGCAATTGGTGGCTCTCTGAGTAAGTGGCTTCGAAGACATATCTCTTCATGACTGGCTATTGACTGTTTACAACCAGAACCCGCACACAATCTCCGTTCGTGGAGTTCAGTCCTTTACAGGTGACCGACCTTTGCCGATGCATCTCGCCAGCAAAGACTACGACGAAGAATAAGCGTGCAGAAACGACCGAGGCCACTGTCGAAGCTCGTCTTGAGAGAAGACAAACCATGGCAACCTGCAGAGCCGAACTAAGCATTCAGTTCAGCCAGCCTTGGCGCTTCTGTGTCTTCTATACCTCATATCCCAGGACCACCTCTCCCTTTGCTGGATACTCTGCTCAAGAATTGACCAAGCTGTGCGGCTGCGTTAGCGGAAACGTCGTCTCAACTTTTTCCAAGAAGACTATGACATCTACCAAAAGCACAAGCCGTACGGGTAAACCAGTCTCGAAGGCTTCATCCTCAAGTAAATTCAGCAGTACCTTGGTCAAACCGGTCACCAAAGTCTCATCTTTGTCGAAGCTTTCAAGCAGCTCGATTAAGCCCATCTCCAGACCTTCATCCACGTCAAGCAAACTTACAAGCAGCTCTTCAAAGCCTATCTCGAAGGCTTCATCATCGAGCAAGGCTAGAAGCACCTCGGTCAAACCGATTACGAAGGCCTCATCTTCGTCACGGCTCCTGAGCAGCTCAATAAAGCCTATTTCCAAAACCTTCTCCTCGTCAAGCAAACTTAGAAGCAGCTCTTCAAGGCTTGTGTCCAAGACTACATCCTCGAGCAAGGCCGCCACCAAGTCGACCCTCAGCAAGTCCTCAAGTGGGACTCACTCGACGTCGACACCGAAATCGTCTAGTAGCAGTGTTCATACTCGATCGTCTTCGTCGTCTGCTAGACCAGCTACTAGCGTTTCAAGCAGTAGCAAGCTCAGCACCATCTCAAGCCAGAGACCGTTGAGCAGCACCTCTTCCACCACATTCAGGTCTTCCGTTCCGGCAGCTTCTAGCTCGATTGAACTGTCAAGGACTACAAAATCTGCGACTTCTAGCACTAACAGGCAATCTTCGACCACCGCTTCGGTCTTGACGACTTCCTCTTCCTCCGCCGTGGAAGACCACACGTCAACCACAGCGACGATAAACTCATCAAGTTTCCCTTCTGCAAGCAGTTCTATTTTACTACCCGCCGGCTCCATCTACATACAGAACTCAGTCATCACTGAGTTTAGTCGCTACCTTTGGAGGTTGAAAAAGGAAGCCTCGTCTCAAACATCTGGATCAATCGTACACAGCCAGAGTTGATGACTCTCGCTCAGTATATATATGATCAGTCGACTGGATTCGTCTACAACCAAGATCGCAGCAGTATCCTCAGTTACTATAGCATGGCTTCCTACTACAGCGACGTAGGGTTCCTCGACCCAAGTAACATGTATAACGGGTGGTTCCCATTACCATGCATTATTGACTCGTTCACAAATCAGCTGCGTTGTTCGGGCAAGACCCAGACTGGAGTCACGTTCAACGAGTTTGCTAGTCATAAGTATGGTGGCAATCCTGACACAAGCTTACTCTGTATCGCAATGCCCGGATTCGATACCGTTTCACAAATTTTTCAGCTGGATTTGTTCGTTATAAGGAACGGCGGCGAAGAACAAACTACCTCTACTGCAGCCGAAGTCTCCAGTTCCACGGATATCTCGTCCTCATCAATAACTCCTGAAGCTCATCCTTCAGCTTCAGAGTCTTCCGCTTTCCTAACAACCACTCAACCTTCATCTACACTTGAAGTGTTCCCGACAGCCACCTGCGCCATCAGCACCGCTACTTCGACTCCCCCCTGGCTATCTGTACGTAACAAATGCATGTACTGAAGACAATCTCGCTGGACTTACTATCGATGGCTTGGACGACGGAGATAGAAGTGCAGTAGTGGTGAACAACCGTCTGGGCGCAACACCCTTGAGATTTACGTATGACCGCTCCACACAATACATCCACCTTGGAAGCAGTGGCGTCAACACTCTCTGCTACCTTGATTATTGGCGATTAAATCAAGATCGATACAACTCCACAGCGCGAAACGACTACGTACGCCTAGCTTCAATATCTACCATCGACCCAAACGATTACTGGGTTCCTCTATTGTGCGATATCGACGACAATGACGAACTTCTTTGCACTGTCAAGGGCAAGCAAGGCGAGGTTCTCACAAGGTTTGCTGTCTGGGTGGATACCCTTTATATCATGGTACCTGAAGGGTTCTCGACTTTCGCGCCTGTTGATGTGGTTGCTCCGCAGGTGGAAGTCGATGTTACCCCAATCTCTGTTACGATCGATCCGGCGCAATCAAGTCCAACGACTACCGACTTGCCAGAAACGATCGCATCCTTGTCTACATCTGCATCAACCGCGGGTGTGGGCGGCGCGTCGATCATCGATTCTGCAATCCCGTCTGACACCACGCCTGCTCCGTCATCTGGCTCCAATACCACTATTGAAGCTACCAACCGAACCTCGTCAGCAATAGTAGCGACCTCCTCTACTATTACCTCTCAAAGTACGTCTTTATCCTCTGGCTACATTCGCATAGCGAATTCAGGCGACAAAGAGCTCGATGGACTTCCGCTCCGAGACCCCTTCGGTGGTGTAGATACCAGGCTATCCATAAGCTCCCAGGACTTTGGCTTACAAGCGCTCAAATTCACGTACGATCCCGTCTCGACTTACGTACACCTAGGCGATGGCAGCAACACATTATGCTACCTAAACAGGGATGGATACTCTGATGTAGGCATGTATGAAGACTCCAGCAGTACTTACTACTTGTACTCCATGGAGACTCGCTGGCTGTCGGATGTTTATGTGCCCTTACAATGCACAGTGGCCGCAAACGACAACAAAATCCAGTGTACCATCCCAGGACCAAACGGCAAGGAATTCACCCAATTTGCCATTAACGGAACCGACCGGCTTCTCATCACAGAAGTCGGGACTCCCCCTCTACAAAACGATTGACCTCATCGCCACAGATACCATTCCGACCCGACCAAGTGTTTGCGACACTACCTACACGGATAACTCGACCACTCCGCCGCTCAACTACAAAATCAGTTGTACAGTGGATTATATCGGTCCTACAGAATACCGGAACGCGAGCTCCTTGGACGAGTGTATCAATTTCTGCAGCGCCGAGTCCGAAACTTGCATGGCCGCGGTCTGGACGCACATCGGCCCAGAAATTCCGTGTTTTTTCAAGGGTGCGACAGACATCTCTAATGCTGTCACTTTTCTTGCTGGACTACCTGCATTCTCGGCAACGAGGATCGATATCTAAGGCTGAATTCCTCCGATAAAGTCGAGGTGACGGAAAGCAAACGGGGCCGATTGTGATATCCACCAAGCATACTAGCAAACCCCTCTCCTTTGTTCTTAGTAGCGCTAGCGGCTTTAAATGTCTATAATGGTGATCTTGATTTGATCCCTAACGAAGAAGAATACAAATTGTATGCAAATGCACCTCACGCTTATACTGATGTTTGCCTTCACGACCCATATCAGTGAACATTGTCCTCAGCTTTAGCTATTGACGATCCATGATCGATATCTTTAGTGTCGTGACAAGAACAATTGCGGCATTGAACAAGAGGCAAACGACAATATCCACGCAACCACATTTCGAAACCAAAAAGCAAACTTTAGAAAAGAAAACAAAGAAGAAAGGAAAAAAAAAACATTAGTAGCTAAAGCGCAATATCTCATTTCCTCTTATAACATACATAGCAATAATTAACCGTAGCTTAGATTCCACTACACATATTGCTATTATGTTAGGTGTCGTGTTAGTGGCGGCGGCCTAGATCATTTAAGAATTAGCTTACCTAACGTAATACACTATGTTTAGCTTTAAGCCTTAAAACCTATTAAGAATAAGAGTTACTAAAGATAGAACTAGAGTAAGATATAGTACTAGCTAGGTTATATTACTTAGATATAGACGGATAGAATAAGCTCCGTTCTATTACTCTATTCTAGCAATATAGTAGAATTACTAATATAGGTAGTATAATACTTTTTAAAGATTAATAGGTTTAAAGAAATTACTTTAAGCTCTAGGCTACTATTATTATAATAAATACATTAAGTATATAAGAACTATAGTAAAAATAGGTTAAGACCTAGTAAATAGTATTACTTATAAATAGGTTAGATAGATTTAGTTTATTAAATCTATCTATTACTAAAAAAAAAGAATACTAAGTAATCTTATTAATCTTATCTTTTTATATAAAAGTAGGTTTAATACTAATCTTATAATCCGGTAGATAATTTATTCTATAGATAGACTGTTTTTTCTAATCTAGTCTATAATTATTATTAGTTTTAAGAACTAGATCTAGTTTACTAAAGTAATTTAGTATATAATTAATTAGCTAGATAATCTAATACATCTATATAAAATACTACTAGTAGATAAAACTTAGTATTTTTAGTTTATATATAAGAAACTTTATATAATAGATATACTTAGAATAATTAATAATCTAGACGCTTTCTATCTTAACTAAGGTATACTAATAAAAGTAAAAAAGGTCTATAAGTAAGTACTAGTAGTAAGTTATAGGCATATTGTAATTAAGCTATAAGGCTATAATACTTATTTAGTAGATCTAACTAATTACTAATAGCTACTATAAGATTTAGTGCTCTAATATAGCCTAATTACTATAGCTTACTAATGTACCCCTAGCTACCTTATTACTCTTAGGACTATAGTAAATTAAGTGTATATAAAATATAGAAGAGAATAGAATAAGCTATATAATAATCTATAGGATTAGTCTATAAGATCTTAATTAGATACTATTTTATATAAGGGTTAGACCTAAGTCCTTTCTTTGCCCTATATAACTACGCTATTAGTTATACTATAATATTAACGTTATTACTATAAAGATAATCGCAACGATCTAATAGAGCTAGAAGCTTAATAAAAAGTCTATCGCCCAAAACATTTGTCTTTCCTTATAATAAAGTCGAAGATGCTAAAGATAGGATCTAATGGTGGTGTCAGGGGATCGGTCTTACTTGACAAAGACCCCCGTGAAGTACGTTAACGACTTAGTCTCGCCTATCAATAGCGCTCCACAGCCCTGCGTGTCAGACAGTGGGGCGCAACCTGTATCATCATGGTGGGCGCAGGCGCATTAGAATAGATGTGGGTATGAGCTCTTCTATGTTCTTTACTCCAAGATACATGATAGAACCCCATGCTGCTGATTTTTCCATCATTCACTCGACTACTTTTCATTACTATCATAATGGCAAGACCTATCGATCCGTCTGGGACCCACCTGCAAGACTTTGTTCCTCCTCCATGCCTCCGGTTCCAACTAACGACACTCGACAAGAAACACACCTGGAAAGTTGAGCGCCCGTTGTTTTTTCGCGACTTTGTCAGTAGTGAGGCTTCAGCCGAGTCTAAGCACCATTGGCAATTGCTTCAAGAATCAGATAAAGACGGCGCCCGGGTCAAACTACAACATTGCGACTCTGGCTACGTTATCGATGAGCCGTTGTATTCGGCGTTACGCCCAGTCCAAATCAGACAGGAATTAGGGCAGAGAAGTAACAGGCAGTGGCTTTCGATCGAGACGCGTGAGGATGGAAGCAACGAGTTCAAGCTACGCTTTTCCGAAACAAATGCCTTACTGTGCTACAAGCTCCTCAAGGAGGGTATCTATATCAGGGCCGTTATACCTGAGATAGACCAAGTGGGAGGGTCTGCGCAGAGGCCATATATCGATCGCTTCGGTATCGAGATCGAGGAAATAAGCCTTGTGAAAGTCGAGTATCAGCTTGACAAAGGCACTACAACACCTCCAAGGAGCATCATTTGTACTAAAGAATTGGCTGTCAACAGGACTGGAACTCCGCAATCCACTACTCTTCAGATTTCAGACACCCGAGAGAACTCCTCAAACTGGCGCAACGAGTTCGCTCTCAAATTCCAAAGGGAATCGACTACCAAGGTTGGGATTCCTCAATACTGCGACACCAGCATCCGCCTCGGCCACGAGCAAACTCGAAACATCACCTGGGGTGCAACCAAGAGCGAATCACTCAAGTTGGAGAAGACAGTCAGCATCTCAATGGATCCTTTCAGTTCGTACGAAGTCAAAGCGTCTATAGTTAAGCAAAACTTGCAGGTCCCTTTTGTCGCAACATGGAGAGTCGTCCGAAGCCAAGAGACATTCAGTACTCAAGGCGTCTATCAAGGAGTGTCCTGGCTTGATTTTAAAACGGTGTGGACTGATGTGACGAATAGAGGAGTTTAGGGTTTTAGGGTTAGTAACATTTTAATACGCTTCTATATAAGCTATTCTTGCTCGTCTAACTACCTTCTATATATATATATATATATATATAAAAACAGAGAAGAAAGGGTAAGATTAAAAAGAAAAGAAAAAGTAATAAGAGAAAAGAAATCTATCTAGTCTATACCATATCCTAGCTAGTTCCTAGCCCGGAGAAGAGCCTATATGATGGCAGCTCCTCAAGAAACATTGAAAATCGGTCCACTTCGCCAGGAGAGGTTCCGAGATGAATCTCTATTACAGCGAGTAGTCACGATTCCAGACAGATTTGAACCGTGGTCCTTGACTGAGGTTAGGCTTCAGAACTCACATCACACCTTGTTGATCCAACAACATCTACTCAGTCCTTGCCAGACATCACAGAATACAGCCCATGCAGAGGCAAGATCCCAGAGAAGGACCCAGTCTATATGCAAAGATCACGCTAGGAAAAAAAAAATGATATCGTTGTCAAAACATGAAATTCGTAATTACATACAAGTAGGGTATCGGGATGATCCCTTGTGATGTCAACATGATCTGAACAGTTTTCAGAGCTCTACAGAGTATATCTGAATCCATGCAGGCCCTCAATGATCTTGCCGCCGGAAGCGGCTCTCTTGTTGGCGCGGTGGAACTTGACGTCCAGCAACAAAGAGATGAGGATAATCAACACGCTAGCACCGAGGGTGGCATACATACCAGGCTTGTATCCTGTGGCTTGGTCCTGCTTCCTGAATACAGTGGACCCAATAATTCCTCCAATCCCTCCGGCACCGACGAGAGTGGCAGAGGTAAGTGCGCGCTTCCACTGTCCGCGGATGTTGTTGGCTTGCCAGGTCAAAACTGCAGGAACGTTGGCATTACAGCCAGCAGTAGCGAGGAAGACACCGAAGTAGCGGACAGCGACGGACTTTGCAAAACCCAAGCAGGACAAGCCGATGATCATGAGGCAGGCGTTGGCGATGATGAAGGGGGAGCGAATGCGGTACTTGTCGGCGAACCAAGCAAAGCCAAAGGTCACCATGGCGGCAAGGACATAGGGAGGTGCAATCAGGCATTGCGCATCTCTCTTGTTGAATCCCATGCCCACTTCAAGAATGATTGGAAGGAAGTAGGCTATGGCGTAAGTGACCGTAGTAGAGAGGCCAAACAGGGCTGCAAAGGCCCAAACTTTGAGATCGGCGGCGCACTTGAGATATTGGCCAACTTTGAACTCTTCGAGGGTAGCGTCATGACGATCCTTCTCGATAGTTGCGACGACAAAGTCTACCTCCTTCTGAGTCAAGAACTTAGGTCCGAAAGAGACGTGGGCAGCCTTCTCGGGGAAGTTGACGATGGTAAAGTAGGCACCGAGAGCGAGGATGCAGGTGATAAGTCCTNNCTAAAGCCTGTCAGCGTCACCTGGATATAGAGCAAAGATTTCAGACACTTACTGCATGATGAAGATCCAGCGCCAGCCTGCGAGGCCAGGGGCAATGCCCTTGGGACGGGTGGGGTGAAGCTTGTCGGGTCCGTAGTGAGCACCAAGACCGTCTCCAGATCCCAAGCCTGCCATTTGGCTGAACCCATAGGCAAGAATACCAGAGAAGGCAGATGAGAGCGAGCCAATCAAATAGAAGACGGCATTGCGCTTCTGAAGCATGTATCTGGGATACCAGGTAGACAAGAGGTAAGCACAGCCGGGGAAGAAGCCAGCCTCAAAGATACCCAACAGAATGCGAAGAGGGATCAGTGTCGTCCAGGTCTTGACAAAAGCCATTCCAATCATGGTAATGCCCCAGAAAAGGGTAATTGTAGGCAANAAGGCGCGGGGGCCAACCTTGCGAAGGATGACGGTGGCCGGAGGTTGGAAGAAAATATAAGGAATAAAGAAGACGAGAACGATGATCGAGTATCGGTCCTTGATGAGAAGAAGGTCGACACCCATGCCTGCTACAACAGCGATACCAGTGTTGGTACGGTCCATCAGACTGACACAGTAGAGGAAACCAAGAGTCAAGACCAAACGACGGTCGATTCTCCAGATAATCTTCTTCTGTTCTTCTGGTGTGAAGGCTTCAATGCGTGCATCGTTGATCTTGTCAGATGCTGCATCGTCAGTAGTCTCAACTTGCTCGAGATAGTTGATGGCGAGATCCTTCTCTTCGGTTCGGTTTGCCATGGTGGGCTAATGTGGTGAGCCAAGAGAACGATTGAGATGCTGATAAGGAGCTTCAGAATTGCATGCAGAAGAACGACCAGTGTTTATATATGGCCCTGGCCAAGCCAAACATCGTGTACCCCGCAAGGAGGCGGCCTGCAGGTAAACTTTCTCTCCCAAGATGGTTCGGGAGAGCGACAAGCGCCACGTGTGGCATATCGCCCACGCCGACGTTAGTCCAAGAGATTAGACTGCCCTAGACCATACTTTCGGACAGTACATCGACCACACCTTGACATCTCACACCTACAATTTCCAGCTCCTAGGCACGATCAACATTGAAGGGCGTATGTCTTCAGAGACGAGCATTGATGGCTCCTGCCGCAATGCTTCGAAATCAAAGGCACAAATCGTATAGGCCGTTTCTGGGACAAGTTCGCCAAGTAAGCTGGGGGCTGGGTTGAGTGCGGGGTACTCCGTGGGGAGGAGACCTTGGCTGTCTCATGGGCTGAAAAGGTGCGGCTGGAGTTGTCTTTTGCTTTAGGAACGGTCAAACCATTGATACCAAGAGCCTTGGCCGCGAGGTGGTGCACCTTGGCGAGTCGTTAACGTACAAAAACGAAGATAGTTGCCTCGGTCGCTGGAGGTCGCAGGCTTGTTGACTTTTGTGTCGAGATTGGAACTCAGGAGAAACATGGATAGGTATCGAATGGAATGATGTTGAATTCATTGGGCACTTTGAATTGAGCATAGACAATGTCGGAGAGTCAAAGACCTTGAACATCCCGTAGGTAGATCAAGCTAGCTGTAGCAGCTGCAGCACTTTCGGAAGACATCCTTATGATGAGTCAGATGATCCCCCTGTCTCGCGACAACAAGAAGGACATCCTGTGGGAAATCTTCCATAGTCTCACAAGCCGGTACTTGGCTTACTCTCGATCCAGTTCTTCGTGTGCTTGATCTCAGTAAATGTTGCTACCATGAATTCCTACCGAGGCTCGTTAACAGACTGGGGAGATTTGTTTTGCTCCCTGTTCGAACAGTCATGTAGTCGCGTGACAAGGATGTATGGTAAGCATGTCCGAAAAGCCACGGGTTGGCGTCGCCCAGCAATGAGGCAAGCTTCAGGTGCAGGAGAGGACGGACGCCTTCCAAAACCTAGTCCTACAGCCTCGGTTTATTGTTCAGATGCGAGGTGTAGTTATGTATCTTCCAAGAGTTCCATTATAAGTTTTCGTATACAGTATCGAGGTTGGTATGGGCTGGTCGTTTCGATCAGTTATAAGTCGCCAAGGGGTGCGGTGACATGTTAGTTTTTGGACCAGCCTAGCCAAGGGCGATCGCCAGGACGGTTTGCTGTCGCTGGAAGGAAGGTCGTGTCGATCAACCTTTAATGGTCGTGGTTTCGCGAGATCCTTCGACTCCGGACTTCCTGCCGTCACGACTCACGAGAGACGTGGGGGTTACGAGGGTCGGTATCGCAAGTCAATCCTGCCGGAGCATCCCTCTTCTGAGAGAGTAATGCGCGAGTGGAGGTTTACCAGAGAGCAAACAAAAGTCAAACAGAGATGATGGCAAGATGCTAAAGCATAACAATGTCTGGGTAATGTTCGCTTTACGATTAAGAAAGCAAGCCTGGCAGGCACTTGCAGGTTCAGCCGAGTTTCAACCGATACCTCTAGTTAGTCTCAAAAGCTGTCACAATCTCACCTGGGATTAAAGTGTGCTTTTCTGTGAGGACTGAAAGAGATCCCAGATATAACGGTCAGCCAGTCAGACTTCAGCTCTGTTTTGTACGCAAGTGGCATCGAATGTGGCTGTCACATCAATAGCCGTCGTGAAGATTTCAGTAGTAGAAGCAGGACCGCTTTGGCGAGGCTGAGCCTCAACTCTCATATCCACTGTGTATGAGCTGGAGTCCTCCAAGCAGTAATACATGCGAACGAGATGTTTGGAAGCGTATCAACATCTGAACGGTGCAGTGTTGAGCAAGATTCGAGAGCTAGCAAAACAAAGGCATAGTGAAAGGGGTTATCGAAGTTTTACCGTCAGAGTAGTCTTCCATTGTGCAGAACATACTTAAAGATAAAGAGTCTCATTACGCCCGATTTTATTGATAGTTACCCTCCAAGATTCCGCTCGATAACCTCCGAATGCTTTTATCCAATACATACAACCATACATGACATTCCCATGCTTCAATATCCTCGCGTAGCATATCAAATTGGCACCGACTCCAAGCGGCTCCGGAGCAGGCTCAAAAGTAGAACATTAACCAAGAACCAAACTTCAAACTCGGGACAGTTGCCTCATCTCGGCGAGGACTGGCTGTGTCTTTCGTCGTCATACTCCGGGGGGGGCTCGTATTCAGGCAGAACTTCGTCATCAGACTCACTGTCAACAATAGGACCTAGCTCGGGCATGGATTCAGCTGTAGTCCTTCTGAGGGGCTCTGGACGAGAGGCGCCTGATGAGGCTTCGTCTGGGCGAGCTGGAGGCAGTCGCTCACTTGCAGCCCACGAGAAGTCCGAGTCGACACGCTCACGACGACGGGTGGGAGGTGAAGTTATGGGAAGAGACTGCGTAGGAGGCGAAGGATCCATGGATGTGTAAGGATCGTATGGAGAAGGAAAGAGCGACTGAGGTATGGGTTCCGGTTCTGAAATGGGCGGGAGATACGGAGGCAATGAGTTTGTTATGTTCGCGTTCGAGGGCAAGTTGCCAGACGACGCCCGCCATGTATAAGGTCTGTGAGCAGCGAAGGTCGTGTCGATAGGGGCTGATTCATGCGCGTGGTATTGACGCACCCAGGTGTACGCAGGGCTCGAAGGGGATTGTGGGCTTGAAGGTGGGTCGTACCTAGGGCTTGTGGGACGGGGAGTTGTTCGACGAGGACGTTGGCCTGCAGAGCGCGGCTGACCATAGGTGATGTTCAGATCAAGTCGAATGCGTGCTGTGCCATCTCCGAAGCTGAGGTTGGAGAAAGACTCGGGCGAGACCGCCACAAGGACGAACATGACGAACAAGACAGGAATCGCGACGATAGCCGTGCAGATAGTGATGCAGGTCGCAACAAAGACAAGAGCACTACGGAAGAAAATCTTCCACCATACGAAGGATTGGCCAGGATTGTCTGCCATTGTTGTTGGTGTAATGGATGGACAGATGTAGATAGAGCGCTCGGTTTAGTAGTCGAATGCGCGCTGTCAGGCAAGCGCACGCCTCGAAACACATGTCGGCCGCGACAGGCTTCGACGTTGCTCATGGCAGGCTTCGGACGTGGCTCATGGCAGGCTTCGGCAAAATCATGATGTAAGCTCTGATAGAACTATAGAAGCACATGTCAGCCACGACAGACTTCGACAATATCCTGGCAGGCTCGACGAAGGCCATGTGACAGGGTGGCAATTTCATGTTGACAGCGTGTTCGACAAAAGTGTCATGACTTAGAAGACGTCCTCGGTGACACGTCTTCCGTACCAAGTAGAGAGTTGGTCTTCTCCTTGGGCATGTTCTTCGGCAGAGTAGGTAAANAAGTTTGTCAGCTTGGTAGAGTCTTCATCGTCTGCGACAGGCCAGTTGACCTTTGCAGCAGGCTTGACTTCGAGCAAGTCCTTGGCAGTCGACCAACTGAAACGGCACTCGTTTCCCCAACCGAAGAGAGGGTCCATGTTCTTCTTCAGCCAAGTAGAGCAGCGAGCATCACTGGGGTATCCGGATCCCCAGCCTTCGGCAGGTTGTTCGGGCACATTCTTGTCGTTCGAAACAGCGTCCTTGAAGACGTCGTAGCAGACTTCGAGAGCAGCATCTCTTGTGACCTTTGCACAGACACTAGCAGCGGAAACACAGGGGTAGAGTGAATCGGCCTTCTTGGCGACAGTGATGTTGACAGTAGGGAAGATGCGCTCCAGCTTCTTCTGGTATGCGGCAGGCTGGCCGATGGTGTCAATGTAGATCTCCTTCAGGTTGACGCCAAGGGCGAAGACGGCATGAATCAAGTCGATGGTGGCATTCATGGCTTGAGCGTTGAGGTTGTATGTAGCTGTGGGTCTCATTTGCGCGGAAGAAATGTCCTTGGCTGACATGACACGCGTGGCCCATCCAGAAGATTCGTACAAGTCGGTAGCAGGAGTGCAGATGGTCTGCATCAGAGAGGAACGGACAGCTGGCGACAAGACCTTGGAGTCGTCAAAGTGGTGCGTGTCGGCGAGTAGAGAGCGGTGCATGGACAGGGGTAGATAGTATAGGCCGTAGACCATGGGCCCAAGTACGGGGCCTCTGCCAGCTTCGTCGACTCCCAGGACACACTCTATCGACATGTCGTCTTGGAGCATTTTGGGTACAGGCGAGATGTAGGAATATGAGTCTCCTTTGGCGATGTTGACCTTGTCGATTGAAGGGGCCATAAAGACATCCTCAGGAGGGGTTTCAAGAGACATGTCCTGCTCCTGGGAGTCTGCGTTTTGCTCGATTTGATCATCCATGATATCGATGTTCTGATAGAATACCTTATGTGTGATGTTGGAAATACCTCAGCGTGTTGATGTGCTGGAAAAGAGTTGGCAGGAGACGCGAAGACACGCGACGCGCAATTGCGGGGAACGGAGCTAGCCCAGAGTAGAAGTCATGGGCTTGGCGTACTGTTTACAGCATGCGAAGCTTGTCGCGGCCCCAAAACAAAGCACCAACTCTCCCAGCGACCACCGCCCAATCTCATTGTTCCGTCCGGCGCATCTGTCGTACTTCCATAGAAACACACGCGACAAGATGCCTGCTCAGTCGGCCGCCTCACACACGCCGCAGCGCCAATCGCGACGACACAACAACTTCAAGGAAAACATCAACTTCTTCGAGCCCGGCAAGCAAGGCCGTCGCACCGGTCTGGTCCTGAAAGATAGCGGTGTGCGCGACGAACATGGCTTCGAGCCCGTCAGCGGCATCTTCTCCTCACCACAGCCTTCACCACAACAGCCCTCGCCGCAACCCTCACCCGTGCCCTCACCACAGCGCCTCGCAGCAAATGGTAACGACACGGCGCTAGCATCGTCGTCTATGGTTCTGCAAGACAGTACTTTGAGAACCATATCCTCACCCTCGGTCTGACCCGCGTGCTGATCTGTCCCTCAGGCTNCCATTCCAGAAATCTCAGAGACGCTCCACTTGCGCAAGACTCCTCACCTACCGCCAAAGGCTCAGACTCCGCGACGTTCAAACATCCAAGGCTCGCCTGTTCGTCACTCGGCCATCAAGCCCGTACACACCCAATCATCACCGCGAGCCGCTCCTTCAACAAGCCGCACGAGCAGGCGCCTCGACTTTGCAAACAAGGGCCAACCTGTCGTCGCTCCCAGCCCGAGTCCCTTCAAACCGCGATTCGGAAAGTCGCGTAAGAGCGTCTTTGACTTGCAACAATCTCCCGACAGGCCACAGTACAACCAGCAAGACGACGACGACCTCGACAACTCGGTTCAGCAAGTTCAAGATGCCGTCAACGAACTCTTCCGGGACGATGGGCCCGAAGACATCCTCTCGTCTGCGCGCAGCACCAGATCACAAAAGCGCAAACTCTCGAATCCTCCCTCGCCTGTCGCAATGCAGCCTCCTTCGGTCCNNCAAAAGTCCAACAAACGCCAGAGGCCGAGCCTCGAACATCGGGAAGACCAGACGACCATAGATCACACAATCGCAGATCAGACGAACGTGGACCAAACGATTGTTGATCAGACAATCATGGATCAGACAATCATGGATCAAACAGAAATGCCTGACCAGACCGACGCCGAGTACACGTACATTACGGTAGATCAGACAGAAATGCCAGATCAGACCGAGTTGCCCGACCAAACGGAGCTCCCAGACCCGACCGAGTTGCCTGACCAGACGGAACTGGTCGATCAGACTGAAGCGCCAGAAGAGACGGGAGTTGAATACACTTGGGTTGATCAGACTGTTCTCGATCCTACCACCTACGAGCAGACCTTGATGGACGATACGAGTGTCGAGCAGACAGTCGCAGATGAGACGGTCATGGGCAGAACAGACGCGACGCACCTTTACGACCACACAATGGCAGACGCGACCATCGCAGGAGAAGACATTGCCGAAACAACAGAGCTTCCCGACGAGCCTATCATCGAAGCATCCGCCCCTCTGTCGACCAAGAAGAAGCGGCCTTTTGAAGTACGAAAAGACGCCCGAGAGCCGCCTTACGAGGACGATGCGAAAGATCCCAATCAAGGACCTGATTTGTCTTCACCTTCACACGCCGCCCAAGACTTCATCCCACCGCCCGAGGACTATGTGCAAGATGAATCCGAACATGAGCCTCAACCAGAACCGACTAAGAAGCGAGGGCGCGGCAAGGGCGCTGCGAAGACCAAAGGAAAGAAGAAACAACAATCTGCAAGCGTCGAGCCTCGGCCGAGAGCATCAAGGGACAGTGAATCTGTTGGTCCTGATGGTCTCAAGAAACCCGGTCCTAAGTCTATCGTCAATTTGCGCGCGGGCACGCCTGCAGAAGACGAAGGTGCTAAGACGACGAGATCTGGCCGTACTTCGATCAAGCCTCTGAAATACTGGTGCAATGAGACATACATCTGGAACCAGGGCGAGGTCGAAGGCATTGTTCGCGCTGAACCTGTTGAGCAATCGAAACCAAAGCGAGCTGCTCCATCGAGAAAGAAGGGGACACGATTGGGTCCGATCAAAGAAGACGAAGAGGAGGATGAGGATCTATTGCCTGAAGCCTGGGAGCAGGAACTGGGTGTTATCAACAGCACAGTTCGAGTGTGGGATCCTAGAACTGGCACCGGCAGTACTGAAGTGGAAGGAGTAAACGATGGTAAGTTGTATTTCGGCGCTCCGTCAGAGCTGTGCTAACGAAGTTGTANNGATATCGCATTCGCTTCTACAGCCATCAAAACCCAAGATGTCCATGGCTCGTCGTTCCGCTACGCGAAGGTTATGACCCTTCCGTTTTTCGGATCTGGCATGGTCGAGATTCCTCCGGATGGCTACAAACGCATGAAAAACTCACGCAAGATGCAAATGGTGTTTTTCGTGCATGAAGGTAAAGTCACGGTTGATATTGAGGACGTCCAATTTGGTATGACCAAAGGTGGAGTCTGGCAGGTACCCAGGGGTGAGTTTCTTCCGTTTCCTTCTTTTCCTCCTGCTTCTCTTTGCTGTTTGCGTTATCTCTTTCCTTTTGTTTTGCGTTTGCGAAGGAACAGCGGTCAGAAGTCTCTCTTCACCGCAATATGCATCAACAAGCAGCTCGGCAAATTTCCCATGCACGCTCAACACACACCGACTATGTCGAGGTGACACCCGGGACCACTTGCCCTTATGACATACGGACAGACGTCAAAATAGAGCTCTGTTGTGGCACAGTTCATGGTTCACCCCTGAACCGTGCCACGTCAAAAGAACCTGGGGAATCGCACTATATGCGAGCCATGGTATTGGAACACCATGATCCTTGAAGATTGTTCCACGGGTTGCGGCTCGTTGCCAACATTCGTGTTACATTTGTTGACTCGAGGGATCTGCTGTTGTGTCACTTTCCCGTTTTGCTTGCTTACCGTTGCTCTTGCGTCAATCGTTTTGTTATTGAAGAATGAAAGCTAACAGTCATGTTTGATGCAGGAAATAACTACGCCATTATGAATGAGAGTTCCACCCACCCGGCCAAAATCTTCTTTGCCCAAGGGTGTGAGATTCAGGCCTCGGCGAACCAGTTTGAAGACATGGGGAGGGAGTCGCAATCTTGAGCTCCCTCGCTCCCAATTCTTGGCTGAAATCAGTCTTGCCTCTGCTTCGTACCTGGAATGTTCCTGTCTTTTTCGCACTTCGGTCAATCTTGCCCTTCTTGAACAAGCGCCAGCTCCTGCTTTCGGCGTTCTTTTTCGTATCACGACTTTCTGGTTTGGGGTATTGTTGGGGTTCTTACTTTGCAACTCTTTGCATCACTGTTGGAATGATGGTCTTTTGCCTTTCTTCCTTCTTCTTCTTCTCTTCTTGTTCGACATCCGCCAGTTCACTTCTAACGAGACCTTCATGACAAACTTCTATTCCCTCTCCGTTATTGGGAACATATCCTCCTCACGTGGTGTCATTTGTATTGCCTGTGCTGTCATATGCTTCTATGTACCTGATCTGATCGTTGGACTGTTTCGCCAACGCAACAACTACGTGTTTTACCAGATTCTAGAAAGACTTGCCGTGAGGACCGCTGTTGGTTGGGAGGGAACTACTCATGCTTGTCCAAGTGGTAGGAGCAACGTGGTTGGTTGCTTCCATATCATGATCGTCTGACATTGCTGCCAGAAGTCCAGCCACTCCTTCGCTTACATGCTGGTCTGGGAAGGCACAATTCACCAAGACACCTGATATTGATTGCTATTGAACAGCTTCTTGGCGACACGAAGACTTGTAATGAGAGTATTGAACTGAATGATAGTTGGCATATCTTGCGGTTGTCCTCTCAAGACCAATTGTATAATAATGCCTCGCTGGAGCTGGCCTATTCTTCCTTGATCTGGTATCGTTGTTCTTCTTCCAGAGGCCGAGACACTGCCACAAGGCATGATCTCACAGACATGACACACACAAACATCAGAATCATACTGCATTGAATTGAGACTGCATAACAAGAGACACGTTCACGTCTCTAACTTTCCAGTGTGTCGAAGTATGTAATGCGTGTCTTTCAAGAGATTGGGCAGTATTCACCAAGAGCTTGTTGTCTCGTTAGTTCCCTATGTTTGAATACTCCTCTGCCTCCGATCACAATTGTGTCTTTGTGTAGTGCACACTTTGCTCTATGTCATTGTGAAGAAGAACAGGAGCTCCGGACATTAGCGTACAGGAAAGGAGAAAGCGCAGCTCTATACATCACATCCTCACCTCAACGTCGTCTGAGAAGCACGAAAGGTCCAGAACACTACAGCATCCACCATCTAGACACGCATCCGAAAGGAGGAAATCCACTGAGCACTGACAACTGCACAACTGACAAAAAGAACACACCAACTCCAGTTCCAGACCTCTTCGTTGGCGAAGCAGTAGATGGTTGGAAAGAAGAATCCCGTTTGCCTCGCTTGCAGCTCCCTACTTCTTATTTTGGATGAAGCTGCATGTAATGCCAATGACTCTGCAGAAGCCCTATTCAAGATCACTGACTCAATGATTCTGGTTAGGGCTGCTCGCATGACCGCTTAACCGAGTGAGAGCACTATGGATATGTTCGTATGCTGTACGAGGAGGCCTCGGTCAGCATACTCCAAATCGCGAAGGGGAAAATGCTTTTGTGGAAGAAGCGGTTCTGAGAAGTGGGATTGGCGAAAGCCTTTTGTCGCCATTTCTGGTTGGAGCAGAGTATTAGGAAAAGCAGAAGCGATGGACATGTGACATGAGCGGAAACGATGACGGCAGGGAAGGAAGGATGGAGCTGATACACAACAGGGAGACGTGATTGAGGCAACACATACTGGGAAAGGACGATTCGGTCAAGACAGGGAAGGAAGGGGCTATGCAGCTGAGAGAGAAACAGAAGGAGCATTGCAGGCAAGGAATAAAAGGGAGGAACGATGCACTCAAGCTTCGGTAGGAACAGGAGGGTAGGTTGGTCTTGGTTCTCGTGGTTAAGTTGATGCTTTTTGCTTGGTAGACAATGTCTGAAAGTCCTCTGTGAATTATAGGCTAGTAAAAAGGATCAATAAAGATGGCCGAGGCGACATGGATATGTTTGGAAATGTGGCAGAACTGTCTATACTCTCGTGCCTTTGTGTGTACAATGTCTCCGAAGAAGGGCAGGAAGTAGTGGGTTGAAGAACATTGTTGTAGCATTGGGCACGAAAATGTTGACACTGGCTTGCAAGGAGTAATAAATATGAAAAATTGTGAATGACAGATTGTGAAGGAGTTGGTAGATATGATGCTTGGAAGGTTATAGCACCTACCTTGGGCGATGTGTATCTAGCTCGAGCTTCTTCTTGTAGATGTGAAGTGCTTATTTGCGATGTTCGTGATGATGGCAAATGGTAAGGATATGAGGCAGTAGAGTAGGTAATTTTGATGATAGCAGAGCATCACGACACTACGGTGGTCGTGTTCAGCTTTGGTCTGCTTCGCAGGATGATACAAAGGATCGAGTCCTGACTGAGCAGAGCATTGGTCCCGGCTCGCGGTCTGTCCAAAAGACCTCATCAGAAGCAACAGTCATCAAGGACTGTCGAACGCATGCAAGGGCTTCCTCGACCATCGAGCTCGAGTGGTGATTACGGTACTCGTGCTTGCCATCCAAGACATCATTGGATCTTGGTTTGTATTTGCTCTCTTCCGATGATGGCGAGATTGCCAATCTGCATACTCAATAGCCTGTCTCCACACATCTTGCTTTGCAATAGCTGGACAGTCCCCTTCGAGCGTATATCAATAGGCACGTCCTCGGAGCAAGGGACAGACATCGAATCCGCGACTCGAGTAGAAAGCTTCAGAGAGTCGTGCCTTCCTTCGCTCTTCTCACCGGGTGTATCGTACTGCCTGCTTGGTGCTGTTGCATACTTCCTTCAAACCTTGAGAAAGAACCAGAACCTATCGCAACCCTTCCAGACTCCGCCAACCCTATTGCATGGCCGAAAGGATACACCGCGAAAAGGCCGTTCCCCTGCTTCTGATTGGTAAACGCAATAGTGCTGTAGGTTGGTACCAAGCATGGATTGCTCTTACGGTTTTAGAGTTTTCGAGTCAGATATGTAGTTTCACAGCGATAGGCAGAGCCTGACGTCGAATTTTCGATGTCAGTCCCTTGTTCCGTTCGCTGCGTGAGCAAACCTTGTAGTTTGTCCACTGTCAAACGTTAGTTCGGCAACTTTGCGGACCGGCGTCGGGTGAACATGCTTCTCTTCTCCAAAAGTATGCTGTGGAGACTTCACTGCCGACGATTGCCGCGGTCGGCAATGATAGACGACGGTGATGACCACCGCCAACACAAAAAGCATCAAGAAGCCAATCTTCTGATCTTCGCAATGATAATGAGCAGAGGAAAAGTGGGAACTTGATGTCGCGCTCGTGAATTACGCTTTTCACATGACCCGTGTTATGCGAGTGACTCGAAGAGGACAGCAGCAGGAGCTTGACGAGTCAAACCTCGACCAAACCCTAGGGGCCAGACTTCAGGGCACATGACGATGCAGATCTACGGTCGCTCTCCGGAGAAGAGGATCGCTTTCCGCAAGGAGGAGGTACCAAGATGGCGCAGTCGATCCTTCCGTCTCCGCATGATGAGGCTCCGGTTTTGCCTATTTTTTTGGCGCTCAAGGCGATGGAAAACTCGATGTGATTGGCCGTAAGAGCAGGGTTGGAATCCGCGGGAACGAGCGGTTCACGCAGAGGAAACGATTTAAGGGTGCGAGTCCGAACTTTAACCCAAACACGACTACACGTCCGTAATTCTTGCAAGCAGATGTGTCATCTCGACTTGCGAGCGGGGTGAAATATGTAGTAACGCATCTGCGCTGTGTCGGACGATTAGAGGTGACCATAAGCGATGGGATCGTGGCGAGCTCGCAAAGGACGTTAGAGGAACAGCTGGGCTGTGTGCATCGAGACGGGGCCGTCAAGCGAAGTCCGCTCTGCCGTGTAAGAGGGCGTAGAAGTACTGCGCGTTGTGTCTTCCGACGTGATGGATACGTAGGTATGCAGCAACAGTTGGAAGTTTACAATGGTTTGTAGCGTGAACGATCGGTGGCACACATCGTCCATGATGAGCTTCTTGATTATCTCCCTAGGTAGTGCATCGCGATGCGTATATTCGTCGAGCGACCCGCCGAAGGCTATGGTGATTCCTTCTTGTATCAACGGTCTGCAAGTGCGACTCCCCAAGCTGAAACCATCTTGCCCGAAACTGATAATCCTAACATCTCTGATCCATGACCAGGTCTCTGGAGGAAGAGGCGCCTGTACGTACTGATGTATCTCCAACGTGGTTTGTAATTCGCTCGCTCAATGCATATACACGTACCTGGGATATGGTTTGATGCGGCTGAGACCTCGATACTACTCTTCTTAGCAGATAGTCAAATGTGGCCAGTATGAGCAGTTTCTATGTCAAGCTGCTCCAATAAATCCTGAAATCACGGACAAGTTCGCATGTCATAAGAAGCCATCCGTCACATTTATCTGTCGCGATGTTGTGATGTTGTGACTGACTGTGTCGTCGAGCCTTGACAGCAATCTTCCAAGGCACAACGTCCGAATATTTGTTCGAACAGGAGGCGCGACTCCTTCGAAGTACACTTGCCTGGTACGTGTACAATATCTTCGCAAAGCTATGACCCAGGGGTTTGCGGCTCAGGGCAGCTTCAGAGGCGGTTCATCTCGACCGAGGTCGACCGCTCCGCACGCTAGTTACTGTTTTTGGTTCATGGACATGGAATCATCGTAAGTACAACAGACAACTGGCTAGTCTTGTTGAAGCCACCATGAACGCGCTAATACGATACTTAATCAAACGATTATGGCTGCAGGAGTTTTTGAGGGTCAGATATGTGGCTGGTACAAAGGAGTATCTCACCCAGAAGTTTGCAAAGCCAAAGCTAATTGGCGGCTTAAGACGTATAGTTATCCTGGAGAATTCAGGAGCTGCACGAGAAACGATTCAAGCCATCGGCTCGAGATTGTCAAATCTCTGGTGATGATGACCACAAAGCATTGATGGCAGCATCCACAGGAACCAGGTCAGACAAGGTTTGATGCATCACCGCGGAAGAGTCCAGGTTGAGACTGCGCTATCTCTCGAAGTCGGAGCCGACAATAATGTTTGAAGCCGAGCCTATTTTTGACACACTGTGGACAATCAAAGCAGCTAGAAGCTGAAAGCCTGTATCGCATCAACCAGATATTGAGACACGTCCAATTGATCATCTGCGTATGGCGAATGCGATCTGACATTGTGAGCATCGACGAAGATCTATGAACAGGAGAGGAAAGATATGTGGAGCTGCCTCGCGGATGCCGTACGTGTGGCATCGAACTGGAACTCCGTCAACGGGGGTCGACTTGGCGTTATCGCAGGACCGCCGTACTCACCCGCTTGAGATCAGACACAGTACAACTCATGTCAAACACCAAACCATCCCGAGTGTCAACTTCATTTCCGAAATAATTACATTTGTGTTGAGCTGGACGGATTTTGAGTTGTGCTTCCACGATAAGGTTGACTCGAGAGGCTTCCACGAGGCCCGTAAGGCTACACGCCTCGTGGGTTGGACATATCTGATAAAGCCGAAGATTACACGGCCCCGTTGTTGCAAGAACCATTTGTAGAGTATTTGAGTTTCCACTGGCCCCAGGCGCCGCCAAACGTAACAAAATATGTCCTAAATGAACACAAGGTCTGAGTATTGATGCCAAGTAGAGAATTGTGAAAGCTTGAAACCGGCACGCGAACTTCGATGTGCCTGATGTTGTAGAGTCGTGTCAGGCACAATATGCTAGAGTTCGACACGCAAACTGTGAACGGACGCTGTATCATGTATGGCGACATTGCCAGCAAAGGTCTGGCTGGGTGCTTCACACTGGCTGAAAGCCGTGGGCCTTGGCGAAAAGCTACGCGCCCACCGGTACATGGTTAGTCAACGCCGTGAGATTGCGCAGAACGAGTTTGACGAACTGGGCCCTTTTAACCCGGCAGTTCAACGTTAGTAGGCCGCAGGCGGGTAGGGCTTTCACGACTGCACGTAACTTCGCTTTAGCAGATGTGCCTTCACTTGCATGATTTGTACATTCTAAAAGCAGGACCTGCAAGATTGACCGATGACCAGGACTTGGACATTGCTTTAAGGTGTGTGTGTACATCAGGAGATGTCGACAGGTCTAGGACGGGACATGAGTCGCTGAAGTCAGCCCAACTTCCTTCCATCCTCGGAGAGCATTTATTTACGGGAGACCGAGTTCGCGGCGAGTCAAGAGATGTTGCGAACAAATGATCCGCACATCCCACGTGCAGGCTCGAGATGAGGCGTAAACTTACGTCAGCCACATCCAAATCTCGCCGTGACTCGCAACGTAGGACTGAGACTTTGCGTCCAAAATGCGTGCAACATTTCATGATGACAGCGGCTGCCCTCTCCGAGTGCCTTTTTGTTCTAACTTTTCATACCAGATGCGCCATTGCACTTGCGTTTCAGCCCGTTGCCAATATCTAGGTCTCCCACGCGATTTCCCACGTGTGGCTACGGCCGAGTCTGCATTTGGAACCCAACTCTATCGCCGTCTATTGTTGAGAGACAATCTTGGTCTGCATGATACCATCTCGTAGGTCTTAATTTGAAGATGTGAAGTTGAAACACCCGCGTCATTGAAGGTCTGCGTCTTCGCCTGTGCTTGCGTTGTCAGCCTGTATGAGCATGTCTTCCCATGAGCGCCCCGAAACTGCCACCTGTAGCGCTCCAAGACGAACATTGGACCATCGCTCTTTGCGGTACTTTAAGAATGTGCTCTGACATGGAAGCTTTGTGGTCCATTGCAGAGGTGTCTATCTGGTTCCAGCCCAGAGTCTGAGCTGCAGGTAGTTGTACTTGGTTACTACTCTGTGTTATGATCTCTGTCCTGAAGATGATCGAGTGAAGGGTCAAAGGTAATCGGGTCTCAGTTCCTGCCAATTGCCGTCCCTCAGGGTTCTATACTTTCGGAGTCATGGCCCAAATTAGAGTTCAGAGTGTACACGACCTCTCATGGTGATCGTTGGCCTCCATCTTCAATGTCTGGCGCTACTTGAGACTTAGAACTCCTCGTCGCTACCGAACTCATCAATCACGTCGAAGTCACCAATTTCAACTCTCTCGGGTCGTACTACGACACCACAGTTGGCTCCACACTGAAAGTAGCGGGTGCCCTTTACAGTGCCATCGTTCTTGCCAGTGGGTTCGTCCAACGCGATGCCAACCCAAGCACCTATACCAGGGATTACAGGAACAGGGCCAATGTATTTGACGGTTCCGCGACGTTCGAGTGAGCTCTCGCTTTGATTGGCAGCCAATAGACGGCAGCGTGCGTCCAATTTGATCCCTAAGCTAGACGTCAGCAAATCCCGTTGAAGGCGCAAGATATGTAGTACCTCTCTCTTCAATTTCCCTTTCAATGCCAGTAACCTTTTGCTGTTCTATGGTGGGGGCATTGGGGTCGAATCGGCCCAACTGGTGAGTCTTCTTCCAGTGAAGCACACTGTCAGTGCGATTCTCATACTCGTCCGGCGGCATCTCGTATTTTTCGACTGCCGATACATCTGTGTAGTTGGCGCGTAGTCCTGCTGGACGGGTGTCTGCTACCTTGACAAATCATCAGCAAGGATCGACGTTGATACTGTTGTTGGCTAGTGTTGGGCATTGCGTATCTATTCGACCACTTCTCCACCAGGTTCGGCTCTCTCTGTCGATCACATCCGGTCGAGCAACATGCGGAGAAAGCCTGCAGTCGAGACCATCTCAGTACCGGTGCCAGCAGTGGGCAAACCACCAAACCGGTTCGGTATCGTATGAGAGTGTGGGTCCAAACAATTTCCTATGCAGAGCACATGACAATCTGCTTGTCTAGCTCCTCAATCCTGAGTGACGAGTACTTCGAACGTCCTAGCAGATAACGACATGGCGGTGCGAGACTAAGAGCGACGGAGGCCCACCGGACCACTTACGCTCGAGCGTCCGGATGAGAGGATGCCATGTACGTGCTGCGGCAGTGCCTCATCGGCACATATGGTGGAACGTCGGAATAATTACTTACATGGAGTTCTGCGTAGCTTTGCAAGGTGAATGCATCAAGCTGAGTGTTGTCTTCATCGACCGTCTGCAAGTTCTGATCGGGCCAGGAAGCGACCTTCAGGGTCAATTTCTGTGAGGAAGCCGGAATGCCCGTGATGGGTTCCAAGCGTCCTTTCAGTTGAGCTATGGTCCAAGCAGGCGAAATACGTCGTTCAGATCGGGCGTTCTCCGAAGTAATCAGAAGGGGTACATCAGCCATTGTCGCCATCTTCTCCAGGCTGAATTGGTGTCCTGGATGTGAATCGACGTGAATAGGTCCCGGGTGTTTTGCCGATGACGAACACTTGGAGCTGAGTTCGACAAAGATCTTGCTGCGGAAGAAGCTGCCGGGACGCAACAAGCGAGAGCGAGAGACAAGCGATGGGGAAGGGGCTGCGCACTATCTGATGGACGTTGGGAAACCCGGGTTGGTCAAACTCCACGACAAGAGTCTCGACTGATGGTATTGGCTGAAGCAGCAGTTCTTTTCACAGCTTTGACCGCTTACGCGCAGTTCAGCCTTGGCGGCCTCGAGACAGCACTAACTTCTGTCATGTCCGTTCAGGCGCACTCGTGGATGGTTCCGCGCGAGCAGAAGGCCACCTTGACCGGAAGCTCCTCGACTCTTTTGGCGGTGCTTTTTTCCTGAACAAGCCTAGTCTGAACAGTTCATGTTATCCGGAACAAGATCGGCTGTCACTGACAAGCATAACTAGGCAGATCATCAATCGCCCTTCATGACGAACATTGCGCGTGACCTGCCACCGTCTGATGGCCTCGCACTTGTCGACAGCATCAGTAATTACTGTAGGTATCCAGAAGACCCGAGCTGGCAGGTGACTGTGTTTGGTCACCATGTTAATGAGCGAGCGACGAGCCGAAACATCTCGGAAGTCTGTGCCAAGGCAGGTGCACAGAACAGCGGCTCCGTGCTCTCAGTCCAGATACAGCATGCCAGTCATGACTTGCATCGAACACATGCAGTTCTATATTAACCAGTCGGGGTCTACAGGGCTGGAAGCGCTAGAGTACACACCGCTAGAATACCTGCATATACAAACAGCTCTATTCAACACGCTCGCCTGCCACAGATACGCACTGCCAACTCTGTTGTACGTTCGCGTTGCTGTCGGCCTCTACGTCCGACGTCCGCGTCTGCAACAGAGACTGCTTCCCACCCGGATCATGCCATGATGGTTGGGTCAGGAAGCGTAAGAGTTCGCTGCTGAATGTTCCGATTACTTTTCCTCTTGCGCACCCGTCTACAGCTGCCATCGGCCGATACAAACGCTTAGAAGGTCTCTCGATACAAGCTCTTTTGTCCGGATCCGGTGAGACCCAAATGGGATATGGCTCGGCTATAATTGTCTCCGTCTGACATGCAGAATGACAAACCCCCGCAGATCATGGTTCGTCTCGAACCTCGACCCCTGCTTTCATTGTGGCTACATGCGGCTCCCATTACACTGCGCTCACCGCTCATGGGCAACTGCATGGCTCTCGACGACGTGTGGACAAAACAACACCAGTGAGTATCCAGATGAGCATGTCCGACTGGCTGTTAGGATTGCCGGCAACATGACAACGACTGTAGAAAAGACGTTGAGGCAGCTGCGCAGGATATCCACTGTAGAAACGTTTCGTCGCATTGCATGCACGATTCAGAAGAGCCTCAAGGGCCGCAGGAAGGGAAAAGCAAATCACCACTCGCCTCGGCGCATGAGCTAGAGTGTGTTCTCGGTCAGCCGTTCGCCAGTGGCTCCAGCGCTAAGCCCTGGCTCCCAATCTTACACTCGAGTGCATGTTGTGGCGCTTCTGTCCAGTCACGACTCGCGCACCCAATAGTGGCCAAGGGAGCGCCAGTCCGTACGCCCATACCAAGTAGGATCCGCATGTTCGCAACACTCACTGCCGTTGATGTTCTTTCCTTGCCTTAGTGCACCGGTTTCCACCATTGGTTAACATTTGTTTCATCCCTTGCTCTGGAAGTCTGCTGGTGCTCGACTCGCATGTACATCTTACAGCCGGGCGATTGGTCGCATCGTCATATAAACTTGTCATGCTGCACAATCTGTCGGGGTACCTTCATGTCTGGCGTCGAATTCTGCGCACGAAGCAAAACTCTATCCTCCTCCTCTGTTCTTTTTCAATCACACTAAAAACTCCTACTTAAAACTTCCCCACTCAAGGCAACGGACAGTTCTGATGTCAGCCGAGTCACGCCTCTAACTCTATCATAGCCCTCCAGGCGATCGCGTGGAGTCATTTCCAGACCATCCCGTCTCTCGCTCCTGATAAACTCCTCCGTGCCCCGACCTCTTCTTGTCTCGCACCACAAACGCCTCTACCTGCCGATCAAAACCGCGCCCAGCACCGATCTGCCGGACACGCGACTCGCAAGATTTGGTAGCACTGAACTCGTTTTTCGGAACCGTTCCTTAGTACCACCTCTGGCTAACAGGGTCGCACAACTCACCGCAAGCATTCACTTCATATAAACATCACACCCTTCCTCGCACAAGATCACACCTCATCCTCTCCACTCTCATTCGCCATCCTTATAACACTACGACCCCACAACAACACAACATCATCCCGGATTTTCTACATTACTCCATCCTTCATGCTCGCCCTGAAGCCTTCAAGTGCTTTCAAGATGGATATCTCTTCTCTGCTAGAGGGCTCCAGAGACNCCCCTGTACCTTCGCCTAGCTCGTCCTCGCGTTACCCCACCAGCAACTCTCTTCCCAGACTTGACATGGACTCGGGTTACACTCACAGCACACAACCTAATCTGATGCCTCTCCAACCAAGTATCCAGCAATCCTTGCCTACCCGCTTCCAACCACCTACTTTCTCATCACAAAGCTTCAACCCTCAATTACCGCCTTACCACCAACAGCAGAACTTTGGTCAGCTACCTCCCATCACAACCCAGGACCAAAGGCTACCACCGCCGCCTGTCAATGTTTACACAGCCAATGGCCCGGTTAACAAGCGATTGGCTCCTTCTGGACCTCATCCATCTGAATCTCCAGCCAAGAAGAAGCAGTCCAAGTGGAGCCCCGAGGAGGATGCTGCCATCATTGAGCTTCGTGGCAATGGCATGAAGTGGGAAGACATTTCCAAGCACTTGCCTGGCCGCAGTGCCATCAGCTGCAGACTTCGCTTTCAGAACTACCTCGAGCGTCGGTCTGAGTGGGACGACGAGAAGAAGAACAAGCTTGCCCGTCTCTACGAAAGGTGTGTTAACGATGCTGATTCCTCTTGGTTGACATGACATACTAACAGACATCTCANNAGGTTCAAGAAGGACATGTGGGAGAAGATTGCCAAAGAGATGGCCTTGCCGTGGCGAGCTGCCGAGGCAATGCACTGGCAAATCGGTGAAGTCGAGATGGCCAGCCGTGCCAACGTTCCCGTTTTCCATCTGGCTGGTTCCGCTTCGCAATCTCAGACGCAGTCACAAACAGCTGCTGCCAGAGCACAGCATTACTACTCTGCATCAAGCTCAACCTCAGCTTCGGCTGGCCATGGTGAGCCCCGTAGCAACAGCACCTCACCTACGACATCGACCCACGGTCACTACCAGCTTCCTTATACTTTCGCTCAACAAACCTACAACCACACTCTACCGCAGATGATCCAGTCGCAACCTCTCTCGCCTGGTAGCTCAAGGTCGCGCAGAAACAGTGCAACCTCGCTCAATGGTACAGACATCAGAACCCGTGCAGACAGTGCACGCGATTCTGTCATTCCCCAACCGCGAACAACTCTTGAACCAAATCGACAGCACATTCACAAGCGCTATGTTAGCCCCTTCGCCGACAAAGTCTCGGACAGCGAGACGAATTGAGCGATAATTGATCGTCTCTCCACTTTCTTCACAGGAGACAACAGTATTCTGTGGAGTCTTGCATCCTTTCGATACCACAGATGGGCACAATTGCTCAGCATACATGACAGGCGTTCTCTTTTTTCTCCTCTTCTTTCTTCTATTGTTCAAGCATATTTCCTTTCAGGCGTGGTATTCTCGAGGTGCATTGCATGGTCCCGTATAAACACCGGGACGGACTAGGAGTTATGAAAGCATTACGCGTAGCCAGAAACGGTTTCACTCCCACACGAACAAAGGTTCCCTTCAGTCTTGGCCAACAAGCATTCATATAATCACGAACTGTATAACATCCATCTCGATTGAACTACGATACTCTTGCACAACGATCTGAGACTGAATTGTCGTGCAGAGGTTCGACAAACCAATAACATCATCCGCTTTTGACATTTGCTACTTGGTATGACATTGCTGATTCTTAGAATACCAAGTATGCTTGGCTCGCTGATAGAATTTCTGCGCTTGGTATAGCCAAGCGCTCACAAGCATCGAGCGAAGCACGTGAAACACAACAAATGCCGCATCGTCTCTCGGCGACCCACAGCTGATCTATACATGATATCTGGTATACACGAGTGCAACCAGCCACTTAGTGTGCTGTCAGCTTGGTTGCATTGTTCGCTCTACAATACATATGTGAAATATGTAACTGCCTGTTGGTCCGAGTTCTGGCCGTCTGTCCGTCTTGGCGTAATGACGAGCACCTCAACCTTCCTCGACTTCTCCGACGCATGACATCCTTTTCACGAACACTTGCACATCTTCGTGCTCTTCTAATCTAAGTCTGATATCGCGTAGTCGCATATCGGAATTCGCAAGGCATGCCTACGCTCTCTGTCGTCAATTTCAACATTGTTTGCGCTACACTCGGAGGCTTCATTACGCTCTTTGGCCTGGTGTCGTACCTGCTCAAGGAAAAATACTACTTGTCTGAGGCTCGTGAGTGTTTCGCATCCGTCACTTCTGGCAACCTGATGTTGACCGCATTCCCAGTAATTTCTCTGATCGGAGGTCTTATTTTTTCGCCTCACGCGGCCAATCTTATCCGTCCACTTGATTATGCTCAAGGAAATGCGGAAGACCTCGAGACAATAACTCTCTATTTCACTAGGCTGGTGTTGGGTGTACAACTGGTCCTGGCCGGTGTTCAGCTACCTAGCAAATATCTCAAGCAAGAATGGAGACCTTTGTCATTGCTTTTAGTATGTTGCTAGTGCTCTGACCAAGTGACAGACTATGCGCTAAGTAAACAATAGGGCCCAGGCATGTGCGTCATGTGGATAGTGACCAGCCTGCTTGTTTGGGCCTTGGTTCCCAATATCAACATCTTGTTCGCACTTGCCATAGGAGCTTGCGTTACTCCTACTGATCCCGTGCTGAGCAACAGCATCGTCAAAGGCAAGTTCGCCGACAAGAATATTCCTAGAGAGCTCCAAAGAATCATCATTGCCGAGTCTGGAGCCAATGATGGTCTTGGCTACCCTTTCTTGTTCTTGCCATTGTATCTGATCAAATATCTCGATCATCCTGAACTGACAGGCAATGGTGCTTCAAAGGCGATGGGCCTGTGGTTTGGTGAGACATGGGGCTACACAATCATCTTGAGCGTCATCTATGGAGCTGTCGTTGGCTATCTCGCCAAAGAACTACTGCACTGGGCAGAAGAGAAGAAGTACGTGGATAGAGAAAGCTTCCTTGTCTTTGCCATCACACTTGCTGTAAGTCTACCTTGTCATAACTATCTGCTCATGGCTGACTTCTACAGCNTCTTCATTGTTGGAACTGTCGGCATGATCGGCTCTGATGATGTTCTCGCCTGCTTCATTGCTGGAAACGTCTTTACCTGGGAGTAAGTCTCCTGCTCGATGAAGAGATGCGTAGTTCTAATCAACAACAGTGACTGGTTCCGCTTAGAGACCCTCGATGACTCTTTACAGCCGACCATTGATATGCTGCTCAATGTCTCGATCTTCATATGGTTTGGCGCAGTCACACCTTGGTACAAGTTCGCACACAACGATGTGATCCCCATCTATCGGCTCATCCCACTAGGAATATTGGTCTTGCTTCTTCGTCGACTCCCTATCGTCTTTGCTATGCATAAGAAGATTCGCCAAATTGAAGAACCTCGCCAGGCTCTCGTGGTGGGCTTTTTTGGCCCGATTGGTGTTAGTGCAGTCTTCTATCTGTACATCAGCCGCGAGTTTCTCCGCGGCATCGAGGTGAACGGCGTGGTCAGAGAAGACGCAGAACGCCTGTCCGAAATCATGTTGGTAGTAATTTGGTTTTTGGCAATTTGCAGTATTGTAAGTATTCAGGGTTCCGCTGTCGAAGCTACATGATACTGATCTATCGTAGNNATCGTGCACGGCATCAGTATACCTCTTGGAAAACTCGGTTTCTACCTCCCAAGGACCATATCGGCCGCAGTCTCGACAGAGCGTCTCCCTCGTAGATCGTCTGAAGAGCCTAGGTCTATTGGTGAGGAAACTCTGTCTGGTGGATCCGCTCTGGCGAGTCGATTCCGTCGCTACAGAGAAGACACTTCCGGTAGCAGTTCCTCTCTACCCCGAACATTCTGGCGTCTGGGCAGGAGCATGGTATCGGACGTGCACAAAGGCCATCAGCAGGCCACTGGCTCGAAGGACGCCTCGGAATCCACAAACGACATGGCCAACAGGCACATTTCCGGACCATCGAACCCGCGCCCGCTTGGTAAAGCCATCGTGAAAGACATGAACCGCGATTCTCCACTTGGTGCTACCCCTACCGCAGGCCGTTCGGGCGCCGTCACTCCCTCCGAATCACCTGCACCTCTGAACAGGACCATTCGGTTCCCGGATGAGAACCCCAGTGTTGCCAACTCTTCTTGAGCTGAATTGAACAGGTCGATCTGGCCAGCCCTCGCCTGGACCGAGCATCACATCACCCCTTGAACTAACATCATAACACTAGGCTCCCTTTGTATGTATATATAAAAACCAGTCCGTATCTAGCCGCTCCTTTCCGAGTTTCTGCTACATACAACTATCGACAATAACTGCTCGCCCCGTGATCCGGCACGAGTCATGTATACATCGCCGCCGCTGTGTCTGTACCTCCAAGGGGCTGGCTAGCTAAGAGCAAGACAACAATGATCCCACAGTAGCTCGAAACACGTTTATGCAGATGCAATCTCGATGGCGTTCTTTTTCACGGACGTACTACCGAGACCGTTCGCGATTTGTGCTGATGTGTTCCGCTCTTTTATCTTCTCCGCGCGAATAAATGCTGGGTTCTTCAGCGGCCGTTGGACCATTTGAGTACTCGACCTCATACTCAATGTGGTTTGGCATGGTTGTCAATGGTGCATTTTTTCTTTGTTTTCGTTCTTGCTTTCCATGACTTGTGTCTAACGGCTGTTTTCTGCCCACATGGTATCCGTCTTGCATGCCTTGGGCTCCAAGGACCTGGCTTATTTGCGCCTTCCTGCCCCAGAATAGTCTGCGGACTCGGCGGCGGCGGAAACCCTACGGTCCGAATCACTGTGGACTCTTTTGTATGGTTCGCTTGCAACGTTTCCTTGGTGTTTGTTGGGGTCTTGTTTCCCTCGATCGTGCTGCAAAGAGTAAGAGGTCTAGGCTATCTGGACTTGTGCGCTCGATCATGGGTCCGCTGAGATGTTCTATCTTTGTCTTCTTTGCTAAATGGACTGGACAGATACACTACTGTGTTGGGGAAGCGCGAGACCTGGCGAGCGTTGCCAATTGTTCAGTTGATGTTATTGCCCAGTTGTTGCGAGTGTGGATCTGAGGTACATGTCTGTCAACCTGTCACGTAAGCCACGGCTGATCTTCGAGTGGTCTGGGCCCGTTGCTTTGCTCGTTTACCGCTGTCGTTCGCTGTCCCGAGTATGCTTTGTTGAGACAGTTCGCTCGTGCGGGAAGGTGCATGTAGGGCTTTCGGTATCGCTTCGTTGTCGTTCTCGGGAGGAGAGATGGTTCAAACATTCTAATCTAATCTAAATCTAATTGGTTTTGCAAAGGCAGTGGGGTATCAATGCAGTATGCTGAAAAAGACAGTAAAGATGCACTCGTTCAGAAACGCAAAGAGCAACAAAGATAGGCAAAGATGCTAAGCAAAGACATTATCGTCATCTGTTGCCCGAACCAAGTCCGAACATCGAAAAAAAAAAAAAAGTAGACAGTGGAGTAACGCAATCGTCATCATATTTACGCGACGAAGACGTTCTCGAGGTATCAGCTGTACCGAAAACAAAAGCAGGCACCACGCGCTTCGTAAATCGTAGAATCCTGCTAGTCGTTCGCGCAATGGTTGGATGCAATCCTGGGAAGGATGCGTTTGTTGCAGATTTAGATCCGGACCGGGATTAACTGGCATCTGTTAAGCGGCTGAGCGTCTGGAGCTGAATGTAGGTCAGTCGAAACGACGGACATGTCGCAATAAGCTTATATTGCGACTGCAGATAGAGGGCTCCGGATCAACCGGCCTGTCATCGGCTTGGTGTTCGTTCGATGTGCAGGAACGAATACCTTGAGGTGAGGGGAGATGTTGTGCTGCGGGTGTCGGATGTACGGGACGACTCCGCAATATCAAGAACATGATAACCGAGCGAGCCGCAACTAGCAAGGGTCTCATAAAGTAGTCAAATGTCTGCCTGAGCAGTCGAAGTGGCTCGAAGTCTGTGTCAGGTTTTGTTCATGTTCATTTGTGCAATGTCTCAAGGAGTCTGTTCGTGGAATATTAGTATTTCTTCTTCTTGTCCCAAGGCATCAGATGACGGCTAGTCTTACCTTTGCTCCTGAGTCTGGACGAAGTTCACAAACACCCGGCTTTGGGAAGAGCTCGCCGGAAAAGGCTCCTCTGACGGTTCTCACAAAGCAGATAATCCATACGAGTACGATGATGGCGGTAAGAACCTCTGCAATCACACCAAAGAACGCAGAGTCCAGCTCGGCACTCAGTGTAATGGTTGCTGAAGCGACACCACCTNNAAGAAACACCAAGTCAGCATATCGATCGCAAGTATAGATTGCAAGCAAGGGATACGTACCAACTGGATACAAAAAGGCCCACCAGCCGATGTTGAAAGGGAACCTCAATCTCAGACGCAGGACTGATCCCACTGCGAAACACATCCACGGGATGGCCATCGCCCAGATGACAAGACCCATGATGATTCCCATGACGTAAAGTATGGTGCCTGCCTCCGGTGGCAGTAGAGTAAGTTTTGGAAATATCATCCTTGCAGCCTTCCCGCATTGCAAGATTCTGGAAGGAGAGTCAGCGTCGAGTTCAGTGCAGAAATGGCAGGAACACTCACCCNNAAAGCTTCCTTGTCCAAGAGGCCCCAAAGACAAGAACACGCTAACAACAACTTCCTGAGAAGGAAGCTTGAACAACAACAGTCTGTAAAAGTATATGCATAGAATCATCAACCCAACAAAGAAGCCAATTGCCCAACAGCAATAACAGGTGAGTAGTGTCCAGAGTGCTTCATGGGCTTCAAGTGCCTCCATCTGCGCGACTTGGCCGCCAGTCGATGCAGCAACGATACAGCTGACGGCAGGCAACAAACATGCAGCAGTCAGTTTCTCAGGCGTCACATCATGGACCGAGATCCTAGAAATCACAATGTCAGTCTGGCAGCACTTTGCAATTTGGAAGCCATGCGTAGCAACGTACATCAGGAAGGCGACTGAACAGCAAATAGTCACAGCAAGAGCAGCATCAATCCACCACAGAGCCCACGCCATTGTCGCTGCCCAAGGACCCCACGCTGGAACGCAGACCAACACGATCAGGTTGACGATAGTCCCGAGACCCATTGGAAAACAACCCAAGAACAGAGAGTGAGTCGGATGGTGTATCATCGCTGGCCATAACTCAGGCCACAGAGTATACCGCAGGATGGAGACCAACAAAGCGCCAATGAATGTCAGGACGTTGAGTCCGAATATGATGTAGCAAGGGTAATTTGTCCAGCTGCTGTTGTACGGCATTTGATGCAGCAGGATCGCCACGACACCAGTGCCCATAGTTATGGAGAACATACTGNNGAGAAAATCAGTCAGCTATCGCCTGCAACACACTCTGGATCTCAAAACACACGAAGGAGTAAAACCACGGACAATTCGTCGCCAACCATGGTCATCTTGCTTAGGAAGGTCAATCTCGGTTTTGTCTGACAGCCCCTTCTCGAGATCTCCAAACTGTGCATCTGGAAACTCCGACGGGTTGACCGGGGTCATCACCCCAGAAGGGGGCTGCGTGACAGCAAGAGTGGTTTCGCTCAGGCTGTTGGGCATGCCTGATCGAAGTGTGCAAGAGGCGAAGCGGCCAGCGCGTCCGAACAAGTTCTCTACCAGCCAAAATGTGATACGCATTCACGCTTGCGACAGGTCGGGAGGAGCAAAGAGTCTCTGGGTTCAACGCAAACAACCGCCAGAGAGCAAGACAGGCAAGATATCGTGTGACAAGAGGTCAATGACTGCATGTATGAGTCTATACCGCAGCAGGCGCCCCTCCATTCGAGTTTTCTGCCCATTCTGCTGTCAAACTCCGGGTCTGGCTCGGATTTGTCTCGTCATTCTCCTGGTATCCATTGCCTGCTTCTTTGCTAATCTAAACAAACGGCGCCTCCCAGCTAGATATCGTTGCTCCGAGATAGCACCGTCTATCTTTGCAGTCGGATAGCTGGGGTATGTTGTCTCTTCTGGGCATTGTTTGCCTTATCATCGATTGCTACATTTGTCTCTATATCGACACTTTCTTTCACTTCATCACGGGGCTTCAAAGGTCTTCATGTTGCGTCGTAGACAGTTCAACAATGCAAATTCGGCAGATGAGCTCGCTTCTTGAGAACTCACTAACACCCACACCGGGCCGTTTCGGAGCAGCTTTCTCGGACCTGGAGGTCGACTTCGTCATTGTTTTCAGGAGTTTACTTGAGCCTCAATATCGATCGACAAGCTTCTGCTCTTGAACACCTGTTTGTCAGGAAGTCTGTCTTGCAGTCTGTCCTCTCCATATCGCTTCTTTGCATGTCTGCTTCATGGACAGTTCGACGGTGCTCGGGTTGGAACGATGAACAAATCTTGGAGATGCAAAAAACGACAGATCGCTAATTTGCGCCAAGCAAAGTGCCGACTGTGAGCGTCTTCACCTTGGGATTCCGAATTATATCCGCTGCATGGAAACATCAGAGGAAATGTGCTGTTGTGTAGTATAACTCACGTCTTTGCTGTGGTATGGAAGAGCGCTCTTGTATCTTGTATTGAAAATCTATCTCTTGTGTCGTGATATATGTTCTGGACCTCTGAAACATTATGGTATCAATCACCTGGTCAAATGTACAGAGATTTGGTCTCAGCATTGGTTGGAAATCTGCATATGTCAAGTAGCGACACCAATGGATTCTATACTTCAGCAACAAGTTTCAGTCGTCAATATATGACACAGAGAGTACTATTGTTAACAAACAAGTCCATAGACACCTTCAACCCAAGCACAATGGCTCGATACCGCTGGAATATCCTAGAGACAGGGTGATATACGCAACAATGCCGTCTTGGCGCGTTTGCCCAGAGTGTTATCTCAAAAGACAATCGTACACGAGGAACAAAGGCAAGCAAGAAGGAAAGCAAGAAGGGATGATGACTGACACTACAGCATACTGTCTTTAGTGGACAGAGATGGTATGGGATGTTAGTGATTATAAGAAACAAAAAGCAGATGGAACCCTCCCAGGACGCCTTTCCATTGTAAAAACAACGCCACGAGCCATAATCGTCCATTACTCTTTCTCGTATGATTGAAGTCCGGAAGCAATGAGAACCAGAAATGCAAAAGCTCATGGTAGAGCAAGTCGAATCTGATGAAGGTTGAAGAAAAGCAACAAAACAAGTTGCGCAAGTTGAGAGTGTAGCGGCCTGACAAAGTCAGATCGTGATGAGCACCCGGCTACCACTGTGCGGCACCTGGAGGACCGCCGGATGGAGCTTGAGGCATGAAAGGGTTGTTTTCAGGGGTGGCCGCGGCAAGAATATGGTAAGAGCGCGAGACATTGATCTCAGCAGGATGAGTGTCACCCTTGCGCGTCTTCTTCTGGCTCTTAGTAGGTTGTGATGGTATTTCCTCGACGGGTTGAGCCTGGTCGTTTGCTGCTGCTCGCCATGCTGCAACTCCTGGTGTGGTGTGTGATGCACACTAAGCATCATCGTCCCGGTTGCCAGCAGCGTTTGCGCGGTCTTCGTCCGAAGGTTCAAGCCCTGAGCGCTGGGCACACATCTTCCACGCGTCTAGGTCCTCGTAGACCTGGTTCAATTCGGCCTTCAGTCTATCGCAGGATTTGCTGAGTTCAGAAATGACCTGCTCGGCCAAAAGCTTCTCCAGTGTCCATTTCTCGATGTTCTGAGCTTCGTTCTCCTTGAGTTGTGTGATGAACTGAACTGCACGCTGAAGAATGCTTCCCTTGTTCTTTTCGCAACCAGGGACAATCTTAGCGAGCTCGTTGATACCCTCGTTGATGGTTTCACGGCGACGGCGTTCGACTGTGTTGACGATCAGTATACGGTCAAAAGGCGTGACGGCCAACATTTGTGGTGATATCTAACCCTCTTTGTGATTGTCGCGGCGCACCTTATGCCATTCGTCAGTACCCACTGCAGGTTTACTACCGGAAGGAGTTGCCGATGGCGAGCCTTCACTGGGACCCAGGACCGAACTCTGTGGAGGGGCTTGTTGCTGTTGCTGTTGAGGCTGTGCGTTCTCCTTTAACTGCTCGAGACCAGCGAACTCCCCATATGACTCTGGATTCGGCTGGCCAGCACCGGCGTCAAGGGAGAAGGTAGCGCTTGACTCGCGATGGCCATCGGTGTGAGTGAGGAAAGCTTCGTCGTGATTCTGCGGAACGCCCATGGAGTATTGTAAAGCAGCGTTGGCCGTCTCGCTAGCGCTTTGTCCATTGGTGGGATCTTGGGGGTGGACGTTGTGGTCGTGGATGGAGTGATCATGGACACCGTGGTCGCCAGCATTGTGTTGAACCAAAGCATCGGCGAAATGCGGCGGCATGTCGTTTTCGTGGTTTAGAAAGGGCGTTTCGTACTCGACCTGGCCACTCGGCGAGCCTCTGAACTCCTTGAACTCGCTAGGCACAGGTGCGTGGACGACGTCGTGATCGAGCGAGTCACGCTTGCGCTTGTGAGCCAGAGATGCCATGGTTGGCGTATGTATTTGCACTATATTTGACTGCAGATTGACCTGATGTAGAGTTCAACAGCGTCTACTCGGTCCCGATTTTGTGTTCGTTTGAGGATCACGTTCGAGTACGTGTATTGGCGAAAACTAAGCTGTCGAGTTTGGTCAGTCATGGGTAGGTCACAAAGTGGTCGCGGGTCATCACTGGCAGCCGGCAAGCTGTCAAGGTTCGCTACAGACGCAACTTCTAGCGTCGCATCGCGTCGAATGTGTATACGGCATGTCTTCAGATTTGACTAAGACCAGACGCGACCGGCATCAGCATGACTCTGCGACAAATGTCCGACCTTCAAGTCCNNTTGAGCGTCGCCGAGGCATGGCACGCTGGCGGTCAAGGTCGAGGTCGAGGGCGCGACGCGTGCGGAGGCAAGGAGTCGCGCGGGCACAGCGACGACGAGGAAGCGAGGCCGACCAAGAGTCATGCCTTGTTGGTTGCGAAGAGCGAACCTAGACGAATTGCCGGTTGCATGGATCACNAACATGGATGCACTCACCGAGTTCGAGAGTCGACGTCGTTTGGAGATCCCGTGACAAGTCACGAGTTCGCTGGAAGCCGGGCGCTTTAATCTGCTTCGAACGCGACAAGACGGCCAACTTCGGTATCAGAAAATCGACGGTCGAGAAGTGAATCCTTTAGCTCTGCGCGGCGCAGCTAGGCCTGGGCAATTTGTGATATTAATCGTCGAGACAGTCAACGAGCAGGAGAGGGAGTATTCGAGGTCACGTTGAAAGATCACATGGGATGGAGAGGAGGAAGGTGGTCCAAGAACCCCCGACTTTCAGTCGCGCCGGCAGACACGAACTCAACTTCCGTGCGCCGACGCGACCACCCGACTTCACCAAGGCCATCCTTCAGCCTTTCCCATCAACCTGCATAGCACCGGCTTCTGCTATCTTTTTCTTTCTTGTATCCCTCCAGCTTGGTTTTCTTCACGTTACTGTCTAATATTGAAAACAACTCGACTTTCTACAATCTGTTTCATCTCGAAAGCACCTGCAACAATGTCTTATCTATCATGTTGATGCCACACGCGCACCTCTGCTGCACTTCATTGGTCACGTCCACAACAGGCTAACGCGGTTGAAATGCTCGACTCTTCCGACTTCTTTTCATGCATCCACCCTGCTTATCTGCGACGCCCATTCAAGCATACCGGGTCATGTGCACTTGGTACAATGACCTGAACCATCTCTTTGTTCAAGCTCGGGACAGATGGGGCAGTGCCACTTTCACTCTTCTGTTATTCTCGAGGTCTGGAGCCATGAACCCGATTCTTTGCATTCTCATGACATGCATAATTCGGTCCCCGTCTCGTATATCACACATCACTATGTCTTGACCATTCTTCCCGCAGGCCTCTTGATGATCAGGAGATGTGAGGATGTGATCTACAACACTTCGTCCAAACAGCCGCAGCACTTGAGCCGGACGAGAGTAAAGATTCATCCTGACCCTGCCAGACACCGCTTTCACGGCAGCATTGATTTCATCAAACATGCCAGGCGTATTAGGAATGGTCGGTCAGATCGAGATCAGAGATTATCTTTACAAGTACTCAATGTTCCGCATACTTCGGACAGAGGACGACAACAACCATTTATCCTGCGTAACACAAGTCGGAACAGAAGCAAAGATGTCACTAGACAAGCGAGAAATTACAGAGTATCAACGGTCACTGTAAATCATCAAGTCGGGACACCACTCTAAGAGTTTTCATGTGAGATGCTTGTCGCAAGACTACGATCAGCGTGAGCGTTTCCCAAGTTTGTCTCGAAGAAATACCATAGCGACAGAATACCCTATGAATAGCTAGTCAAAGGACATACTTGTAGTTGCCCTGATTTGCATGTGCTGCATCAAGTTCGCCTCGTCAGCAGGAAATATTGGAGGACCGGATCGCCTGTCTCACTTGCTGGAAATGCGGCAGTATCAGGCCCCAGATCCAGATGCCTCCCTTATTGCAAGGATTCTCAACGATATAGTAGAGGTATGACTATACTCGAGTTGATCGATTCAACAATCGTGGCAGTCAAGGTCTAGACAAACCACTCAGTGATATGTAGTAGTCAGTGACAAGATGTCAGGTTCCATGCATCGCCCCCTTATGCACGCCTTGACCATCTCACTGCCACAAGTCGTACAGACCATGGCGCCATGGCCATGAAGAACGCGCCATCCACCAAGTGGATCCAAGCTCAATATAATCACATTGCTCCATGCTTCACCTCGACCCCACGGCCGCGACTTCCACATGCAACTGACGACGAAAGAGGTCGATTCAGCTCGTCGTAGGCGCCCAACTGCTTCTTTGTGCAGAAAGTTCGTGTCTTTTTAGAGTATCTGCAATAATCAGGAGCATCGGCTTGTGGGGCTCTGTGCCAACAACGACTGACTCCGCCGCGCCTCTGAAAGACGCGGCTCTCCTAAGTCGCGACGTGACAGACCAATAGAAACTCAGATGCATGGCCAGTATCAACGGGCCGAGTGAGCGGTGGAGAGAGAGAGAACGCTGGCAGTGTTCTTCAGGGAGAGGAGCACGGACGTTTCACCATCTTCCTGAAACTTCCCTTTCCTCTTTCCGCCGCCTGTCCAGCACAAAGACATGAAAAATGATCCACACACAACACCCTTCAAGGATGGTCGGGAAAAGCTTGATTGCAAGGCTCTGTCTTGCCGTGAGCTATACGGAGAATTTGACTGTGATCAGGACGTGCTGTCGCGGCTAACGGCATTCCTTACTGGTCAGCCAGGCGGCAACCACGGTTTCAAAACGTCCTGGTCCACAACATACTGAGTCGGTAGGTTCGTTCTATCAGGGGGAACACTTACACAGGGGGCTGCATGTACGGCCACGATAAGACAGCCCTGGCTCCCTGTGTCTCTCTATTCTTTATTTCAACATTCTGTTCGAGTTCTCTATCCCCCAGCCTAGTGCTGTCATTCTTTATCTGCGCTCTCTGTGAGAAGCCTTTACGCTGCTTACGTCCTTTCTTTTCGAGTCTATCACTCCTCACGATCACTACCGGCGAACTCAACGGTCTCTTCAACTCTGCTACGTCTCCCAGGATACAATCTGCCCAATAGATTTCCAATAGCCACAGCCGCAGCCACGTCAGACATTTGACGACATATATCAAAGCACACTTCTCACACTCATTCTGAAAAAGTAGTGCTGTAGCAGAAATGTTCAGCTCAACCTCTTTTGCGTTTGCTTATTTTGCGTTCTCTTCTCTCGTTGCGGAAGCTTTGCCTGCACCTGCCCCATCTGCACCATCGTTTTCGCTCCAATCTTATTACCACGGACCGCCAGCCTGGAGCCCCTCGGCCACGTACGAATCGACTTCGACCTTCCCGACCCTCTCTATCGGATCACAACACATCGCACCTTCTGGAATTGTCCCTCTGGATATCTCGCCTCTGGCTCTGGATTTTACCCAACCGCATCTGGATATGCTTGGCCTACTGGAACTGGATTCCCTTCTGGAGTAACTGGATACCCTCAACCTACTGGAACTGGACAACTCAATGCCACCGCCTTTGCTAAATGGTGGACATCATATCGTCAATCTTCTTCTCAATCTCTCTACTCTACCGCTTCATACAACAGCACCGCCTCGGCTTCTGCTAACAGCACCCTCGCCTCGTCAACATCAGTCGTTGCTTCTAGCTCTGCAACTACCTCCACCGCACCTGCCGTTCTCCCCGACGTTCTTCGCGGAGTGAACATTGGCGGCTGGCTTATTCTCGAGTCTTGGATGAACGGGGACGTCTTTGCCAACACTGACGCCAAGGACCAGTACTCTTTCGACAGCTGTGACGGCGCCAAAGACAAGTTGGAGCAACACTGGTCAACCTACTTCACCGAGTCCGACGTTGTGGGACTGGCTGCCGCAGGGATTAACGCTGTGCGTATCCCCATCGGTTTCTGGTCCTATGTTGAGTCTGCACCCTACCTCATGGGCGCCGATGCTTACCTGGAGAAGGCCATTGGCTGGTGTCGCAACCACGGCATCAAGGTTCTCGTCGACTGCCACGGCTCGCCTGGCTCGCAGAACGGATTCGACAACTCTGGCCGCTCAGGCAACGTTGCCTGGCAGCAAGAGGACAACATGGAGCAGAGCATCAGCATCCTCGAGACCATCGCCAAGAAGTACGGTGCTCAGGAGTACGCTGACGTGGTGTTCGGAATCCAGCTTGTCAACGAACCCATCTCGTGGGACCAGAACAACATCGACACGACCAAGGAATGGGCGAAGAAGGCTTATGCAGCTGTCAAGTCTGCATCGACCAACCAAGACCTTGCTGTTATCATGCACGATGGCTTCATGGGACCTTCTGACTGGGAAGAGGTCGGCTCTGCTGTCAACGGAGACGCTTCTCTTTCTGATGCCAAGTTCTGGATCGACACCCATCTCTACCAGAACCAGGTTTCAGCTGACTCTCTGCTCACCCAAGATCAACATGTCGCCAAGGCTTGCAACTGGCAGTCGACCGAATTACTACCTTCATCTTCGAAGCTGCCTGTGATTGTTGGCGAGTTCAGCGCCGCCACCAACATCTGCGCCAACCCTGATGGTTCCACTGTTGCTGGCAGCGTCTGCTGGACTGACGGCTGCCAATGCTCGGCCAACGTCCCCATCGAGAACTGGAACCAGCCTCTTATCCAAGCCACGCGCAAGTTCCTTGAAGCCGAGCTCGACACATTCGAGGCACATGCTCGCGGCTACTTCATGTGGAACTTCAAGGGTGCCGGTGCTTGGGGCTACCAGAACGCCGTCAAGTATGGCTTGATTGGAGACAAGATCACAGACAGAAAGTACCCTGGTCAGTGCAGCTCATAAGCAAGGAGGAAGAAGAGAGATTGAGAAGGCGCTGGACGCCGATGAAAAAGTTAGGACCGCGATATACCCCTTCCATGATTCAATGGACTTTAGACTTCGATTCGATTTTTGTGTAGATTTTGTAGATAGACCTTCACAGTGCCATGCACTAAAACGAACATTTCCACAACATCAAACCTCCTGCAATGTACCAGCTGTATCAATCTTCCTGTCTTGTGCTGTTGGAGTGGGAGTTAATCGAAGGCTCTAGAACGAAATGCGGAGTGAGTGTTGGCGAGAGCTTGTGCACGGACGTTTCCGGAGGTGTTTGGAGCTGGCGTGTGACAAGAAGTCGCATTTCTGTATCCACCAGCACGCGACTTTGATTCTTTCTTGTATCTTCAGCTCGGAAGCATCTATCTACCACACACAATGTCCGCCGACACAATCAGCAACCCCCTCAGCCCGCCGGCGAGTCCAAGAGCGCTCGCAAGAAGCGTGAGAAGGCCGAAGCCGCTGCTGCTGCTCAAGCCGCCAGCCAGCCTCAGCAGGACAGCGACGGCCAGAAGACGCCCGACCTCGCAGACACCAACGGCGATGCCTTTGAGAGCTCCTACGTCAAGGAGTTGCAGAAGTGTGTTGCGTGCTTTTCTATCTCATAGATCGTCAGTGCTGACCCTCTCACAGGAACATCCGCAATGTGAACAAGAAGCTTGTTGGTCACCCGCCTACTCATCGCTACCACACAACACTAACCGAACACAGAATGCCATGACCAGACTGGACTTTATCCTCGCCGAGAACCCTGGCAAGTCTCTTGACGAACTCCTCGCTGCCCGCAAGATCAACGCCGACCAGAAGGCCCAAGCATCCAAGAAGCCCGCTCTCCAGGCTTCGCTCGCTCAACTCGAGGAACAGATCGCTCAGTACAAGAAGGTCGATGCCGACTACCAGTCGCGCATGTCCGCTCAGCACTCGCACCTGACCTCAACCCACCAGGCCGAAATTGAGAAGCTAAAGGCCTCTCTGAAGGAGCAGCTCGAGGACCAACTCAACTCTGCTCTGCGCCAGAAGCTACTTACCTTCAGCCAGTTCCTCAGAGCTGCTGCCGCCAAGCGTGTCGTTGAAGAGGAGGCCGACACTGATGAGTCAAAGGCATTCGAGGGTGCCCTGCTGCTGGTCTACGGAGGTGACGACAAGGCCGTCGATGCTGTCATGAACTTGATTCAGGGTTCTGACGAGCAGGTGCCCTCGGTTGAGGGCGAGCTTCTGCCTGTCAAGTGTAAGATTGTGTAGATTCTGCTTGGCCATATCAGTACTGACTCTGTTCTAGATTCGCAAGTCAAGCAGGCTGCCGTTGGTTTCGGCGCATTCCCTGGCGAGGAGGCTGCTCAAGAGGAGGCCTCTACCGAGTCCACTGACGCTACCACTGTCCAGCCTGAGGACACCATCCCTTCGAGCGATCCCACCATTGCACACGCCGGCCTCACCGAGCTTGGTCTGAATCAGCCCGCAGAGGAGGAGAAGCCGATCGTCGTTGCAGACGATCAAATCGCTGAAGCCTCCATTGATGACGGCTCTGCCAACAAGTCCGCCGAGACACAGTGGGACAACGCTGCTGCCACCGCCGGCACCGAAGAGCAGCTTGACGACTCATACGAGATGGTTCCCCGTCCCGCCGACGAGACCGAGGCTGTCCACGAACCCGCCCAGCCCCAATCGACCAGCTCTTGGGCCGATCAGACATCTGCAAACGCCACCGCTACCGAGGCTGCTGCCGAGAACAACAACACCACCAACGGTCTTGCCTCGACCGATGCCGAGGGATACCAATCTGTCGAGAGACGCGGAGGAAGAGGAGGACAAGGCCGCGGAGGCCGTGGACGTGGCAGCCGTGGTGGCCCTAGAGGCGGACACCGCGGCAGCTTCAGAGGAGGCCGTGGTGACGGTCGCGGTCGTGGCCGTGGCGGAGCCCCTCAGCCTCAGGCATAGGAAGTCGCCTTGAGGTACAGCGTTAGGGATCTCGTAGCAGCGCAAACACTCAGCGTGCTGCAAAGAGGAACAGACGATTGAAACAAAGCAAAAACGGACAGGGAAAGGGGGCGCTATCAATGGAGAAATGACTGACATTTGATCACGACGGCGTTTTCTTGTTTCTGCATACCACGCACTTCTTTTTTACCCACCTCTTTTTTCTTTGAGAACCTGCTTCTTTCTGTCATGTACACCGGAGCGCTGGAGCGTCATGTTGTTCCCTTTCCTTCTTTGGCGTTCTGCTTCTTGTCTCCCTTGCTGCATAGCTATCGGAGCTCTGGGGTGTGCAGTCTATTCTGGATCTCTGAGTCTTGTCTCGTGTTTTCTGTTTTCTGATAGTTGGAAACGGGAAAGGAGAAAGAAAATGTTTTGTATAACATGCGTTTGAGCGTTACGACGACTGAAGCGACAGAAATATTGATGACCATCTCTTTTTTTCTTCTTGATCGACTGTACCACCGTCTCTCTAGGCTTGCTGGACCTATCGCAGTGCCGCACGAGGCATCGATGGGCGTGATCTGTCTTCCGGTGGCTGCACTTTATGCATGTCGACCGCAGCGATGCCTATTCAATAGCGCCAAACCATGGTTCGCCAAGGAGGTGTGGATCTCAAGGGCTACAGAAGTTTGGAGGACCGGTCTTGGTTCGCGATGCTGATGAGCCTCTGGCATCTTGGCTACGTAAAGTGTATACGAAGATCAACATGTCCGCGAAGCTTGGGCAATAATGTCAGCCCTGTCAGATCACCTGCTGGAGACTCGAGCAGAAGGGCTGGGGTCGATCAGGGGTGCACGACGGATCTAATCAAGGAGAGGACTCCGGTGAGGATGTGCAGAAGATTTGCGTGTTGGTCAGACCATGCAGCAACACATTGGATAGACCGCATGCATGCAATATGATATTGATTTTGCCTTCTCCTATGCCTCTTTGTTTTCTAAATACACAACAATGACTGACCAAATGTCATTCTGTCTGGCTTCACGGTTCGAGGTTGGCGAGTGAGGCTCTGGGCAAGAAATGTCCGTGCGGCACGGCGTGAAGCGTGTGCCAAGGCTTCTGAGTGAAAGCACCTGATCCATGGGGTGAGGGACGGCAGCGACGACTGTCGGTTTTGCGCAACTGCTCGCATTCCACACACAACGACGACGATAGCGAAACGTCCTGGACTACAACTGCCTTGCGCATGCGACAACTATCCTCCGCTCTGCCGCGACGCCCGTGAGCAGTCGACACAGACTGTCTCTCCTTCCCTTTGCCGCCATCTGCTGTCGCTTGCCGTATAGCCCACCCGGGTCCCAGCAAGCCACCGGCACAAGCAACCACCTTGCTGCTTCCCCTTGGAGTTTTGTCGCCTTCGAAGATTAGTTAAGCCCTTTGTGGCAGTATTCGATCATCTCAACCACCATCATGGATGCATCCATGCCTTCGCTTGCCGTTGCGACCGAGCCCTCGAACGTCTCCTCCGACGCTGCCTTGCCCGAAGCTTCCAACTTGTCCAAGCACCCCGAACCCGCTCACGCATTGACGCCACCCACGTCCGAGGACAACAACATTAGAGTCGACGATGACGCTTCTTCTGACTTGTCTGAATTGGACCTCGACATGGAAGATGAGGAAGAAGTCGAACCAGACCATTACTGGGACGACGGCAAAGTGCCCGTCTTCAAGCCAGTACGTCACATCACCACTGACAGAAACTACATGTACTCACATTTTCGCTACAGANCAATGGCTCAGTTCCGCGACTTCAAAAAGTACATTGACAAGATCGACAAGTACGGCATGAAATCTGGTATTGTAAAAGTCATTCCACCTCCAGAATGGAAAGCCGAGCAACCTCCTCTCGATGAACTCGTCAAGACCATTAAAATCAAGAACCCAATCTCGCAAGAATTCATGGGCACCCACGGAATCTACACCCAGGCCAACATCGAGAAGCAACGCTCTTACAACCTCCCCGAATGGAAGGCGCTTACAGAAGAAACCCAATACCAGCCCCCTGCCAGAAGAGGAGAACGCCGTAGAAATCAAGGACAAGTCTCCAGGAGTGCTGCGGCTAAGACCCGTACCTCAGCTAGGACTTCAGCTCCCAAAGATGCTACCAACAAGAGGAAGCCTGGTAGGCCTCGCAAGAACCCTCTGAAGAACGAGGCCGATGATGATGAGGACTCATCGTCAAGAGCCAGCCAAGTACCACCAACGCCTACCTCTCCTGTACTCAAGTCCACCGAGCCTCTTGAACACACAACCCCAAGCAAGCCGAAGCCGAAACCGAGAGGTCGTCAACCCAAAGCAGGCCAGCAGAAGTCTGTATCCTCTCGCAGAATGAACAACACTACCGAAACCAACGACGTCTACGACGAGGCCGCCTTTAAAGATTTCGACTATCACATGGACGACCTGGAAGAATTCACTCCTGAGCGATGCGCTGAATTGGAAACTGCTTACTGGAAGAGTTTGACCTTTGCTCAGCCCATGTATGCTGCTGACATGCCCGGTTCGTTGTTCAAGGACGAGTGTGATATCTGGAATGTCGCAAAACTGCCCAATTTGCTGGATGTTCTTGGAACAAAGGTGCCTGGTGTCAATACTGCTTATCTGTACATGGGAATGTGGAAAGCTACTTTCGCATGGCATCTGGAGGATGTTGATCTCTACAGCATCAACTACATCCATTTCGGAGCGCCCAAGCAGTGGTACAGTATCTCCCAGGAAGACGCCAGAAAGTTCGAAAAGGCCATGAAGAGCATCTGGCCCAACGACTCGAAAGCTTGTGATCAGTTCTTGCGCCACAAGACATACCTCATCTCTCCGGAAATTTTGCAGAAGCAATTCGGTATCAAAGTCAACAAGCTTGTTCATTACGAAGGTGAATTCGTCATCACTTACCCTTACGGTTATCACTCTGGATACAACATCGGCTACAACTGTGCAGAATCTGTCAACTTTGCCACAGAGTCCTGGCTGGATTACGGACGTATCGCAAAGAAGTGCGAGTGCGAGGCCGACAGTGTCTGGGTCGATGTTGGTGAGATTGAGCGTAAACTCAGAGGCGAACCCACTCCTGAGTTCTACGAAGAGACTGATGATGATGACGATGACATGGATCTGGATGCTGCAACCGATCTCCCTAGTCCTCCTGCAAGTGTCGCAGGTAAGCCGCAGTCGCAAGCCCGTAAGCGTAAGCGGGATCCCAAGGACAAGGATGCAGGCAAGAAGAAGAAGAAGCGTATCAGAATCCTTATCAAGGGTCCTCACAGGGAGCCTTGTGTCCTCTGTCCAAACGACCCTCCTAACGAGCCTCTGCTACCTACAGACAACGGCCAGCAAGCGCATCGCTGCTGCGCACTTTACACTCCCGAAACATGGATTAACAGCGAGGATGGCATCGACAAGGTCATTGGCGTTGCTGGTATCGACAAGGCACGCCTCGATCTCAAGTGCAACTTCTGTCGCTCCAAGCGTGGTGCTTGCTTTCAATGTCAAGCCAAGAAGTGCACCAGAGCGTACCATGCAACCTGCGCTCTCGCTGCTGGTGTACAAATCGATGTCGGCCCCGTGCCAACCTTTGGCGAGGATGGAACGGAGTACTTCGAAGAGGGCATTGACTTGAGATGCCGTTTCCATCGAGCCAAGCGTGCAAAGAACGTGGATGCTAATGCTTTGGAAACCAGCAAACTCATCACCACCTTTGCCAAGTCTCTCAAGCAAGGCGATGCTATCCAGGCTCAGTTCCTTAGTGGCGACATCTTCGCAGGCATTGTCGAGGAGAACCGCCCAGGTGAAAATACTGTTCTTATCAGCGTGCTTCCCAGTGGTGATCAAGTCGAAGTCGAATGGAAATGGATCTTGGTGCTGGACCCGATTGACTCTGAACGTCCTAAGCCCTCTTCAACTGCTATTCCCATGCCAGAGGGTATGAGCAAGCTGTCTGTGTCGATTGGAAACCGCCAAGATGGTGTTCCCCTTGTTGATACACCTTTCCACGAGGACCCAACTTGGAAATGGGCCGATTTCCGTAATCTGCAGGACCCTCCTCAAGGCTATAGCACAGCCGTCATCAAGAATCCTGATCAGGTCAAGATCGATCTGAACAAGCCAGATCAGCTGTATTACTATTTGCCGAAGAAGTCGACAGAGGCTAAAGGCAGGTTTACTGACGACCCCAAGGGTCAGAACCACGTCTTCATGGGCGACTTTATGGAGCGCGTCAAGCCTGCTAAACCTTTTAGACCTGTGGCACCATCATACACTGGTGGCTACACTGGTGGTTACACCATGCCCCAAGTCTCGCGACCTGTACAAGTACAAAACAGTGAGCGGCCATACATGTACAAACCCAAAACTCCCGCTTATCCTACAGGGAGCTATGGCCTGGACCAACGAGCGCTGGCCTCGCAGAAACAGTTCATTCAGCAAGCTGATCCTAGAAGAGCCTCGTACGCTACAGGGCTCTACTCTTCTCAGCCGCCCATTCCTTCGCTTCGTCAGCAGCATAGTGAACCAACAAGGCCACCTGCGGCTCCTCTTCGTCCTTTCTCAGAGGGCTATTACTCGTCAAGAACTCTTCCTGCTGCTATTCCCGGTGAATACTCGCAGTTCCATCAACAGGTGCGCCGTACATCGGGCAGTCCTCTTACAACGCAACCTTACCAGACACAGCCTTACGGAACCCCTTCCCAGATGCCCCAGTCAAGTGCGGGCAGTCCCCAGACCGGCTCTGGGTATGCTCAGCAGCAAGGTGCCAGTCGCGCTTCTCTACAGCCCTACAGCAATATAATCAGCGACTTGGTCAACAAGAGTGGACCTGCTGCTCAGCTTCCCATGCAGAACATGCAGAATCCTCCTGGTAGTAGACCCACGGCTCAGTCACCAACGACAGCCAGCGTTCGCCCTGCCAACGGACAATGGACTCCACCTTCGCAGATCTACCATGCATACGATCGCGCTCATTCACAGTTTCCTCCCAACAACACTTATCGCCCGCAGCCCACATACCAGACGCCACAAGAGTTCCAGCAGCAGATTGGCATACAAGCTCGTCAGCCAAGTGTCTCGAATCGCTGGGGAGCATACGATCGCATGCTGAGAGACGCTGCTAGCGCACAATCAACATTGCCGCATCCATCCAACCCTTACGCCATGTCAACGACAACAGCTGGTGGCGCACCTAACGGCTTCTCCATCCCTACAACATATCCCAGCCCCAAAGCTCCTACAGCCAGTCCGTTGAGCGACACACAGACACCTCGCGCACCTAGTCCTGGCATGAACTCTCGCAGTCAGGGAATGACATGGGGCGGTCCACCACAGCATCCATCTTTGCACAACCCAATGTCTGCTTTGAACAACACTTTGCCGTCGCTGCAATCCATGACTCAAGAAGGGCCGTTTGCTTCAGCCACTCATCCTCCAGCCTCTCAACAGTAGCACTGGCCAGGGCTGTGAGAGGGTGATTGGTAACGCAAGGCATGATCATGACGGAAAGAGGAGACGAAGACATGACAATATTCTTTTCCTTTTTCTCTACTACTATGAATGTGTCTACACAGGGTGTGCATTAGCACTGATCAAAATCAGGAGGGGAAATGGGGGCTTGAGGGCCTTTGGACGGCGTTTTTGTCTTTTTTCGTTCTCTTCAGTTTGCGTCCTTCGTGGACGTTTTTTTCCCTGTTGTATTACCATGGCTTCGTATGCTTGGCCTTCTACCTATTACTTTTTATTACTGCTTCTTGCCTCGAAGATTACAATGGGTGCTGTCCGCTCGACTTCACGTCCATATTGAGTTATGATTTTCGAGCATCCCGAAGTCGAGACAGACCACCAAAGCTCTTTTCTCCTGCTGTGTCTGTGGCAATGAGGCGGAAGAACCGTAGTAACAGTCTCCTGCTCATACTTCCCTTATACCTCGTGTACATGTGTTTTCTCGTCTTAGACTATTTATTGACTGCATAGTTTTATGGCATTGGAATTGAAATGGTATAGAATTAGAATAGCATTAACTCGAAATGGTACAAAAGTAAAAACAATATGGAATTTTGGAATGGCATGACATGGAATTGGAATGGCATGAAATTAGTACGGCACGAGAAGGGAGTTGACTGTCCTTGAGCTCTTCTTTTCTGCCATGTTTATTATAACGAGGTATGAGAGTAGTAGTAAAATTGTCTTTTACCTGTTCCTCTCAAACTTATGCCTTGTTTAAGAATCTTTTGTTGATTCTTGTTACTACATCACTAACTGCAGGATTAGCAGTATATAGTTAGCATGGCATCGTTCTGTCAGACTGACTTGTGATAAACAAATGAAATATAGCAAGTTATATATTGGATCGGGAAACAAAAGTGCATTAGAAAGATAGGCTGTGGAAACATGTGAACAGCAAAGTTTGACGGTTTAGTGCATCTCTGCCACAGATGAAAAAAGCTGTGAATTTTAGAAACGCTGTCAGTTACTCTTATAGCTATGGTGATGCTATCTTACAATCTGCAAAGCCTACTTATGTATGAGCCCTTTAATACAAGCGATGATCCTCTCTCGCATTATCCTAATCACATCGTCTCTCATCTCATATCTCTAAGTCTGACGAGTCTAGCAAGCCTCTCCACCATGGCAGCGAATCTCTCTTCTCTAGCCGTTTGAGCAGAGGTAATGAAGGCTAGGTCTTCTTCGTCGAGGTAGAGTTCTGCGTGTTTGAAGCGTTTCGTGTTGCCTTGTTGTGGCGTGGAAGTGCTATCGAGGTCAGTTGGTAGTGGTCTCTTCCTCGAGTTTTCCATGGACGCGGGAGGGAGTGGTGTGTGCGAGTTCCTTGTTGCCGATTCTAGTAGTGCAGCCATGGTTTGATGTGTGTTGTTAACGGTGGTAGTAGGGGTTTCGAAGTCCGGAGTGCCGAAAGCGTCCAAGCCATCATCGTTGTTGTTATTGTTGCCTTCGTTGTCGTAGTTTGATGGTTGCCACGTTGGTGCCCTTCTTTGCTCACCAGCGTTTCCGATACTTCGTGGCCCAAGCATCGAACTCTCCCCTCTGAGGATACGTTCAACACGCTCTTGAATCCCTTCCTGCAGCTCACTTCCGACATTTCCATAAGCGAGCACAGCACCCAATCTCCTAAGCCTGAGCACCTCCCTTTCTTCCTCTGTTTTGTTCGAGTTTCCTGGTTTCGTTCTTCCGGCCCTTCTAGCGATGGAGTCCTCCAGCATAGTTCTGCCATTGATGTCCCGTTGGGTAGCCAATGGAGAGAGAGCAAAAGAGGCACAGGTACGGAGGTGTTCTTCCTTTCTACGTAGCGAGTTTCGAGGCAGCTGGAAGGTTTGACAGTGCGAGCAGATGACCATAGGAGTGTTGCCGCTGGCGGGGATGGACGTGTATTGCGCAGAGACGAGAGAGGGAATAGGAGGCATTTTTGTTGATTCTCGGCGTATTCTCTTTGTCTTTGCGTATCGAAGTGAGGCTTTGGACTTGGAAGAGGGCTTGGGGTTACAAATGTATCAAGCTGTACAAGAAGGTTCTTGATCGGATTGGATCGTTCTATTGAGATCTTGTTCAGAGATGACAAGTCTCGATGGCTCCTTCGTAAATCTGCCCAAACGCTCAGCAGTCCCAAAAGCCCTGTCCAGAAGGCAGTCTTGAATTGATTCTGATGTCTTCTTCCTTGGATGATGATAACAGTTTGAAGTTCTCAAAGCTTATACACAATCGGGCAAAATATGTCTGGAACCCAGTACGACGCGTCCTTGAACCTCTCTCTGGACGACTGATGAGAAGCTATCGTTATCAACCTTTGATCTGCGCGTGAAGAAAAGGCGACTGATGTCCAGTCGATGGTATCGAGAGTGTTGCTATCGTGTTGGTGATGGTGTTAGTGTCAGTTGTTGCTGATGGAGTGGAGGTCGAACGCGTTACTTCCACGTGCAAACAGAGAACAAACTGGCCAAGACCAATGCTTGCAGTATCACCCTGGCTACACATGTGTATACATATAAAGCTGACAAGCAAGCATGATAGATCAGAGTTTTTGTGCATGTCTGTTGGCAAAACTGGCACTACGCTAAACACATATCTGATGATAGTTACCGTGAAGAATATATCGCAGATGTTGGTACATTTTCGAAACTTGGATTTTCGATTCTGAAAGCCTCCGCAAGAGCCAGCGAACGCTCACTGGTACTGACCGATAACAAGAGAGAAAGCTCCATGGAATCTTTGTGTCGGCTCGATCTTTCTATATACTATGAGTCGGCTGTCTAGAGAAGCTCTGGAAAACGCAAAATTGTGCTGATTCACATCTACTTCTTCTTTCCCTTGGTCTTGTCTAGATATTCTACCCATGCAGGTCTCACACCCCTCTTCTCCAGTGCCTTCATGACAGCATCCTTCTGTGGCCCTTGAATCATGATCTCCATGACAGGGGCTTTGGGGCTACTTCCGTGCAATTGCTCGACGCTACTGCTACCCGCACACATTTTCCTTAATTCGTCGGCCAGCGGCTGGGGAGGTATAAAGTAAGCTTCCACTCCCGAGACTTTGGTCACAGTCTTGTTGCCTGAGCGTGTCTCGAGTGTGACTTTGATCTTTGGTGCTGCGCCGGATTTGGGCTTCGGTGTTGGTGTGGAGGAAGAGGAAGTGCGGGCGATGGCGTAGTGAGGTGTGCAGGCTTGGAGGATGCGTTCGGTGAGGGCATCTCTGGGAACAGAACCCTTGGCAAGAACTTCCTTATCCAGAGGAGTTGAGCCGTCGAAGACTGCATTTGCGAGTGTTGGGTTGAGGGTGACGAGGCGTTTGTTCTTTGGGTTGACGAGGTTCTCAGATTCGATGTAGGCGGTTATAATAGGTTTGATCTCTGAAGCAGTGAAGAGTGATTGGGAGGACGCATCTGCTGACTCGAAGAGGGGCAGTAGTCTATCTTTTAGCTTGTAGTATTGTTGCTTTTCGAGTTTCTGGCCGATTGAACTATCGGCTGTGTCGATTTCAACTGTCGCTTTGGCACCGCGGCCGAGACTTGTGCCGGCTGCTGTTTCCTTNTTAGGTAGACGGTAGGGCTTGAAGTCGGCAATGGCAGCGTCGTTGAAGTCAATGTCGAGGATGACAGTCTCGTGTTGGTCCCTCTCTTTCGTCTTGACAATCTTTGCCTTGTCTAGCGACTTGATGAACTTTTTGATATTCTTGTAACTCGACTTTTTGATTTGTAGCGAGTTTGCTTGTTCTGGAGTGTGGGCGGGAAGGAAGGGCTGGACGAGATTGGACATGACGAATGATTGAGTCAAAGGATACTCGAGACCGAAGTTTGGTTGGCCGGAGTTGGTCTCTTTGTAGTGATATACGCCGTAGATGAAGGCTTTGCGGAAGGCGTCATCAATTTCTGGTTATCGTTAGTCCATGCTTGACAAGAAGGCCATGGAGGAAGTGACGTACCCNTTGGTGGTCATTTCTTGGACATCCACCTTCTCGACAAGACCGCCATCTGCGGGAGCATCCTCTCCCAGGCCTTCTGATGGGTCAGGCTGGTCAGAAGGAGACTTGTCCAGGTTGACCCCTCCTTGCTCTTCCTCATCTTCATCGATGTTTAGGTCGGCAGCCTGCTCGGCCAGCTTTCCCTCGTCGTCTTTGGTTGCGAGCCAGCCTTCAATAGACTCTGGAGCATTGAGACCAGGCTTGTTGGAATTACTGTAGGACCAGATTTCATCACCAGACCAATGCATCGTCTGCACGGCATGACCACGAGAACCTTGGACGGCCCCAAGTGAGCTGACGTCGATCAGACAAGCACCAACCGCGACAGGTACCGAAGGCTGTTCGAGGCTTGCAATGGCGACAACAGCACCTTTGGTGGCCTTGGGGTGGAAAGGAGGACCATTGGCCAGACCTGGAGTCATGAGGTCTGCACCACCTTGTAGCTTCTGGACGACAAAGCCGGGTGTGTGTAGAAGAGGCACAATGCCGGGTTGTTTCCAGAGCGTGTATACTGTGGGATACATGCGATCCTCAATCTTGAACCAGAGCACTCGGGCATCGTCTCCAGGGTATGCTCCAACATAGACGGTGCCAGAGACTTGTTTGAGGTCAGGACCGTGAGTGGTTGTGAATCGAGCGGTCTGGACGCCATCGGGCAGTAGAGCGTTTCTCAGCGCTGTTGTTTCTTGCGTGGCGGCTGCTTTGTCCTCGACTTTGGTGTCGTCCTGGGCTTTTGGTTGCAGGCCATACTCGGCGATGATGCTGTCGGCTGTCTTGCGGCGGTCCGACGAACGCAGAGGCGCCAGAGGCTTGACTGTCGGCTTTTTCTTGAACATGGTTGAACGTGTGTTGATTTCTAGCTTGTTAACCTTGTCACGCCGACTTGGTTTTCGTCATAGCATCTTATCGATAAGCCGCACCCTCCCTCCACCTTTTGACCCACCTGCATCTGCGTCAACCCTTCAACGTCTATCACATCACATCAAACAAGTGAGCTGCCATCTCTGACAGCTTGTGACATGATCTTGTGCACTCCTGGAAGGAGGTTGAACTGAGACCGCCGCTTGACAGAATGTTACAAAGCAAGACAAACGAGCCTGAATTCTATACCGAGGCAGCCGATTTGTCTTTCGACCGACCAAAGAATTGTCAGGTCAACATAAACCACACCCTTAAAACAGCTTCTTGACACTGCGAGCCTATTCTGACTCTGCTGGCATAAGCAACGCTTGTGCATCCCGAAGTATATCAATGACGTTTGCAATGCGGGGAAACTACCAGATGCGACCGAGGAGGGGCAGAGACCGAGGGACATCTTCCATCGACCAACTCACTATAAGTCATGCCGTATCTGTTCTCACAAGGTAGGTCTGCCCCTCACTCTCAAACTTGACACACACACCATCATGGCCACCCCAAAAGTACAACAAGCACGCGCTTGACTCNNCAGATCAAGGACTTTCTGACCATGAACAAGACTGCAAGTCTGTCCATGCCTNTTGATCCTGACTCGACCATCTTTCCCACTCGCAAAGAGTTGCCCACCATTCCAGGTGCTCCCGAAGGTGCTGCATGGGTCTGGGGAGACAACGACAATATCGGCCGTCTCAACCTCTTGACACCAACCCGAGTTGCTGCCGCCGGAAAGGAGATCAGAAGTGGAGAGATTGTTCCCGTCAATCTCCCTCTCAACACTCCCGAAGTTCCTGCATTCAACCGTGAGGTATTCAAGCACGAGATCAAGACACTCGCAGAAGATCTTGCCTATGATGATGTCTACCATCTAAACACTCAATCGGGCACTCAGTTCGATGGCTTCCGTCATTTTGCTCACATGCCCTCTGGCACATTTTATAACAACACCAAAGGCTCGGATATTGTGGGTCCCAACGCAAATCATAAATGCTCGATCCATCATTGGGCTGTGCATGGTATTGCTGGCCGTGGCATCCTCCTCGACTACCGCGGCTACGCCCACAAGAAGGGCATCAACTACGATCCTTACGAGTACTATCCCATCTCCTTCGAGGAGCTCAAGCACTGCGCTGCAGACCAGGGTATCGACATTCGTCCAGCTGCTCAGGGCGGTGATATCAAGATCGGTGACATTCTCTTTGTAAGGACTGGTTGGGTAGAGGCTTATCACAGCAAGTCACCTTCTGAACGAAACGAGTTGGCCGTCAGACCACATGCATTGGGCAAGGACGATGGACAAAGATTTGCAGGATTGAGTCAAGAAGAGCGAATGCTGGACTGGCTCCACGACTCTTACTTTTCTGCTGTAGCTGGTGATGCCCCTGCGTTCGAAGCCTGGCCAACACATGAAGGTGCGTTTTCTGTCTTCACTCCACCCTAACCTCAAGCAGATACTTATGGTCATACAGAGTACCATCTACACGAATACATCCTTGCGCTTTGGGGTATGCCTTTGGGAGAAATGCTGGACCTCGAGAAACTATCGCAGACGTGCCGCGAGAAGAATAGGTGGACGTTCTTCTTTACTGCTGCGCCTGCGAATGTGCAAGGTATGAGTCACACACGAGTCTGTCTATGGATCCTGTTGCTAACATTGAACCTAGGTGGTGTAAGCACCCATGTGAACGGTACCGCCATCTTCTGATCTCCAAGGCACACTGGAAAAGGTAAGAGAATTGGGAAAGGTAATAAGAGAATTGGTCAAGCTCAATACAAGAGTATCACAAATGTTTATTCCTCTCGCATTCCTTGAAACATCATAACATCACAACCAACTCCTCTCTCATGTCGATGCTTAGCAATAAGGTAAGCTACATAAATGCACAAGCTTTAACAGGAAGGAGTAGTGTGCGCTGAGATTCGTGGTTCTATCGGCTCTTTCTGGAATCCGTCTCTCTTATGGGACAACTGTGTATCTAGATAGCTACACTACCACAGTCCATGACAATTGGAGAGGCTATTCAAGAGGATTGCTCGATGGCCGTTGGCATTCACTAGTTTGTGGTAAATGATACTCACAAAGATAGAGACATATATCATCAAGCCCCTTTAGCTCAGTTGGTAGAGCGCGGCACTAGTATCGCTCTAGATCATGCCGAGGTCGCCGGTTCGACTCCGTCAGGGGCAGTTATTTGGCTGATCATATCTAGAAGTATCTCTTTTGTTCGTGGTTGTTCTGGCGAGATTCGATTTTTGGTATTGAATTTTTTCGCCGCTGGTGAAGCCTGCATAAAAGCTTGGCATGAATTTTGTGCAAGTGCTTCCGGGGTAGCTCCAAACAAGCTCGGCCTCTTTCCAACCCGCAACTCCGTCGTTTCGCGACAGCATCATTCGAACTGACTGACCGTCGCAACATCTCCAACAACCTCCTCGCTCGGACGCAACAGACTCAGGGCACTTCGCACAACCATGAAACTCCTCCCAACGCTATCAGCGCTGCTCGGCACCTGCGCAGCAACATCCCTCCACCTCAGCATCTCTCCCTCCTCCTCGCTGCTGGACCTCAGCAATCTCCCCTCCTCAACCCACGCAACCCTCTACGGACCCTCCGGCAAACGCGCCACTGCACCCCTACGCACCGACAACTCGTTCATCTTCGCCAACCTCGAAGAAGGAGAATGGCTACTCGACATACACTCCAGAGACTACGTGTTCCCCAGCTTGAGAGTCGATGTCGTAGACCCAGTCTCTATACTCCCCATCAAGCAAGAGGGCGATGGAGAAGCTGCACCCGTGGCTTCGACTCCGGAAACAGTAGTCGTCTATCTCACGCATCCGTCCAATAAATGGGGCCATCTGGGTGCCAAGATTGCCGCTTCTACTGCATCCTTGTCGTCGGCCGAACAAGTCAAACTCTCCGTTTCTGCATTGGCAAGAAGAACATTCTATGAACAGAGACAAGGGTTTGATCTCTTGTCCTTTTTCAAGAATCCCATGATTTTGATGGGTGTGCTGTCCATGGGCTTGGTGTTTGGAATGCCGTATTTGATGGAAAACAGTAAGTTGTTCAAACTCTCCATTTCTTCTTCTGACTACATCTATGGCGTGTTTGCTGATTTGCTATACACAGTGGACGAAGAGACAAAGGCCGAGTTTGCGGAAATTCAGAAACAGGGTCCCCTGGGTATGGCCACTGGTGCAGCTGGAGGACCGGGCCAAAACACAGCACAGCAGATCCAGAATTTCGATCTTGCTGGTTGGATGGCAGGGAAAAAGTAAGCAAGTGTGCTTGTCCCTTCCTCTAGGGTTCAAAAGTGCCGTCTGTACATGTGTAGAATGCAAGATTATGGCCAAAGGCAGATGAATTAACTCCTCGAGCTGTCTGACTATGACACTGTTCACTTAGTGTCTGTCTATGCAATGTCATTCATGGATGTTGAAAAGTGGTTTATTTGATACACATCATGTCAGGACGTCAATTGTAATGGTCTCTCGGAATCTGCTTCTGCTTTCTCTGCTGCTTGCTTCTCTTGCGAATCATGATCATGAGTCAACCTCCATCGACTCTCCGGCACCCTCTTGTTGTGCTGGCGCATCGGTGGCAGGAGCAGCAGCAGCATCACCAGCATCGTCGTTTCTGTTCTCAAACGTCGTGTCCAACCACTGAGCAACCTGCTGACCCTCGTACATGGTGAAGTTCTCCTCCAATCCACTGACACCCAGCGAAGTGTTGTCGACAGTAAGCTCCTTGTCCTGGGGAAGGGACTCGTTCAGAGCGCGCAGAGCATGCTTGATCAGCTCCTCACGGCTGCTGCCCTCGAACTGGTCGAGGTTGCGCTCGAGATAGGTTCTTGCCATCTGTGATCTGGCGCCGATACCACAAGCGACCATTTCCTGGGTGATGCCCGAAGGCTGGAATTCAAAGAGATGAGGGCCCTTTGCGTCCACACCGGCGACCAGCAAGCCGACACCGTAGGGGCGGCGACCGTATTGCTGAGTGTTTGTCTGGGCGCGGTCGGCGACGCGCGAGGTGATTTCTGAAAGCAGGATGGGGCGACCGTAGGTCAGGCGCGACGAGAGGGATTGCTGTTTCATGAAGTTGCTGAGTACGCGGGCGTCGGAGGCGAGACCGGCCAGGGCAAGGCCGTAGTGTGAGTCTACAGGGATGATCTTCTTTTGGTAGGATGAAAGCTCCTCGGCGTTTCTCNNTGTTGGCGGTAGTGTCAGTGATAGTCGTGGCGCAGGAGGGAGTGGACTTGGGCGGACCTTCACTGCAGCGAGGACGGCGTGGGTCTTGCTGACGATGCCAACGACGACGGAACCTTGCTTGACGGCTTCTTGGGCATATTCGACCTGGAAGATGCGGCCCTGCGGCGAGCTGGAGAGGCACGAGTTTAGCGGTGGATGGCAGAGGGCGGTTTAGGTTGGCACATACAAGGTGACCGAGTCGTTGTCGTAGTTATTGCGGAACATGGCGGTGGTGTGATGTGGAGGATGCGAGGATGAGAGGAGATGGGCGTAGAAAAGAAGACGGTCAGCGAGAGATGGGTGTGCAGTACAAACAAGACAAGGCGAGTGAATATGTCTGGCTGGTGTTGCTGCACTTGCAGCGATGATGGAATGAGATGGCGCCTGTAAGGGCCAAAGCTCCCCAGACTTTGGCTTGGCGATCCGCGACCGCGACCGCGCCGCCGACCCGCCTGCACCTGCGACCTCCGGCCCGCGACTTGGATGCACCGCCGACGACGACTTGCGACAGACCAACGACGACCATCACATCCCACACTCGACCTCTCCTTCCTCGCGCAGTCTCGACATGGCCGGCCTCAAAACCATCATCGCTCTTTCCTTTGTACGCTTCCCCACCTTCCCCTCCTGCCTAATCACCACCTTGATGCACACGAGCTAACACGCCCGACAAGNNGTGCTCGCCATTGGCTTCCTGCTCGTCATTCTCTCGTCGGCATTATGGCACAACTACCTGCCCCTGCTAGTCGTCGCGACCTACGTTATTGCGCCCGTGCCTAACTGGCTCTGCTCACGCGCCCAATCCTCGGACGACTTTATGGACGGAGGCAGCAGTGCCGTCGTCGAGCTTGGCCGCTTCATCACCGGGTTCCTGGTCGTCATGGGTGTTGGTATGTCCTTCTGTCCCAACATCAAGCGTCCACCTTCGACATGCTTACACAAGTCCGTCANNGCCCTCCCCGTCGTCCTTGCCCATACCGGCCACATCAACGTCCCTGCTGCCGCCATGTCGATAGCAGGCGGTCTCCTTATCTACTCGACCATCATCAGCTTCTCGCTTTCCTTCCGCGAAGACGAAGAATTCTAGTTTGTCCCTCACGTTACCTATATCTAGTCTATCATATCCATACCGATACCTGCTCATCCGTGAGCCAAGTATTCTTCTCGAGCATTTATCGTCATGTATCAACCGTCTCTTTATTGCTACAATATTATGAGCCCCGTCATCTCGGAGCTTCTGATGACAGCTAAATATGTCCTTCTTTGAGATACAGAAGCAGAATCCCCTTGTCGCAGAGCAATGTTGCGATGCAGCCAAATCCCTCGCCCAGCCAGCACACTGCGCTCTGATCATTCCCTCAGTTCCTTACAAGCAACGCCGTCTTTGTCGTATCGTTAAGCCGCAATCATGCTCTCCTTCTACCTCTTCACCTCGAACTTCTGTTTTATACTTTCGGGCGCCATCTGCATCCATCTCTCTGCTTCGACACGTGCTGCGCTACCCTCTGCGCTCTTGCCACTGAAATGGAAGGTATTGCCCAACAGCTGGGTAGCAACAGCCTGCCACAGTGGAACTTGTGTTCTATCGGCCAGCCTCTTTCCTGATCCTGCCGACAACTCTGCCTTCTCTCCCATGATGCTCGTGAAGAAGTTCGACGTCATCAGGTTGATTGCTGCACAGAGTAGCAGTGCGTTTCCCTGGGTTTTGGCAATGTTGGCCGACGTTGATAGGTAGTGCTTCATCTTGAGGATGGGCAGGGTGTTTGTCGACGACGCTCTGACAATGTACATTGCAGACTTGAAATTGACGTTCGCGTGGTTTTCGCATAGCGGTTCCGCAAGGTCCATGAGATGCTTGATGTGGTCCTGCGATCCCGAGCGAGGCCTTAGAATCAGGACCATGTTGAGCGTGGCCAAGATGCGAAGATCTTGGTTTATCGTTGCTTTCTGCCCAGCTTGTAACGTCAAAGCTGGGCTTCTGTAGCATTCCAAGGCACCTTCCAGATCTCCTGTCGCCTGCTTGACTGTGCCTGTCAGGTAGAGCGCTGACACTCGGACAAAGTCTTGTTCGTCAACGTCTTCCACTGTCAGTCCCTCGGTCAGCCGTTCCAGCACTTCTTGTGCTCCTTTCCAGTCAGCGCGCTCACACCTGAGCGAAGCGAGCAGGTGCAGGCACAGTTTATGATAAAACATGCGTCGATCCAAGTGAGCCGACGAGGACTGGAGTGATTGGATTTTACGCTCGTTTTCGGGATTGTAGTCGTCTAAGTGTGGTTAGCATGTTTCACTCAATGGCACAGAGTGAAGATAAGGCTTACTTTGTGTGAGTTTGTCGCCCTCGACCACATACTTCTCAGACTTGTGATCAACGGCATTCCTAGTGGAGCTGGCCAGACCGCTGAGGATGTATCCTAGAGCAAACAACTCACTCCTGCGCAACCACTGGAAGACAATAGCGCGTTTCCCATCCGCCGTTTTCTCCATGATACCACATGTATCCAGGGAAACATCGTCGGGTGCCGTGTCTGCAGTCGGTACGTAGAAACTCCCGTCCGGGGAAGTCTTCCTCTTACCGCCATCCAGTGCTCTTTGCATGACAGTCATCTTGTCAAGAAGCTGGTCCGGCTTAGCATTGATGAGATCACTACACAGATCCAGGCAGTCTAACAAGGTCGCGATTTGAGAAATGTCAGTGACCTCGCGATTCAACTGGTGAGTACGCGCTGCTGCTAACGATCTTTGGAAGTTATCCACTGAATCGGCTTGGCCACTTCTCAGATGGACTAGTGCTTCAAGAGCCGAGCACGTAGTGAGTATGGGATATTGTCTTTGCTTCTCCGCGTGTTGAGAGATCCGGCGTAGCTGTTGCAAAGCTGCTAATAAATCCGGATGCGACATCTGGAAGGAGAAGGATACGCGCAAGAATCGAAAGACATACATCCAGGAATAATGCGCATACGTCTCGGTGAGCTCAATCATCTGATCCACCATCTTGAAAGCAGACCGAGGATGTGTGCGAAACAAGGACCGACTTTGAACATGCTTCATGCTGTACTTCAAATCGACAAGGCGGTTCCGCTCGCATAATGCGATACCCCTAGTAAGCAGATCCTGAAGCTCTCCATCGTTTTCAGTCTCTTCGAATAGGAGATTCGCATATCGTAGCTGTAATCGCGCCTCAGACTTTGGGTCCGAAAACTTCCAGTTTTTCAATACAGACTCCATGCAGCCGAGACCGGCAGATATGAGGCTATAGTATTGATCAACGTCCGCTTCTTGGGGAGCACGCGCTAGGTATGAGGAAATTCCGTGAGCTTTGCTGATATACTGGTCAGCTAGTCCTAGAAGCACTGGCTGCAAATCTATAGGCGATTCCCGAGGCAGAGGAGCAGACATCCGTGAAGGCGCTGGAACTGTTGCGTTTTGCGAAGACGGTCGTCTCGTTTCGATGATTACCTGCGGAGATCGCATTTGCGATGTTGGTCGTTGCTGTGATGTTGGGTGGGGTTGAGAATTGGACAACGGCTTAGGTCGTGATTGCGGTTGGGGTGGAGACATGGCATGCTTATGCGTTTGAGGAGCTGCTCGAGGCTGAGGCTGGCTGGGCGTCCTATGATGCGACTGCGATGGCGATGCGATAGGTTGAGGGTGTGACTGTGAGGGTAAGGGACCATGACTTTCTCGAGGCTTCGGTTGTGACTGTTGATGCGGCCTTGAAGGAGTGTTTGATGTAGGTCGCGCTTCTGAAGCAACTCCAGTAGTAGCAGTCTCGTTAGGGTTTGGTCGGTGACGCGGTCGCTGCTGGCTTGATGGCGCATGTTGGTTTTGGTTTCCTTGTGGTTGGCGCATTCCCGGAGGAGAGTAAGCACCATCCATCTGGTAGGCTTGCATAGCTTGCGGACGCATGTATTGTTGTGGTTGATGTTGTTGGGCTTGATACTGTGGGTGTACCAGAAGCTGTGGTAGTGACTGTGAGTTTTGCGCAAGACTCTGATAGGAAAGTGTCTGCGGCTGATATTGTGCTTGAGACATGGGATAATGTGATTGCTGCATTACCTGGCCCATGGTTGATACGCCAGGAGATGCCATGTAAGTCTGCGGTTGTGCTCGCCCGGAAATTCCATTCATAGGGTACTGTGCTTGCATGTTATAGCCTTGTCCCGGTGTTGATGTTGCGGGCATCACATTTATGGGATGCTGTTGATATCCACTTCCTGCAGGCGACGGTTGATAGCCGTACATGGCCTGTTGCTGCTGTGGAGGCACTCCATACCCTCGCCGGGCATCGAAGCCACTATTGTTGTTATTCGTATTGTCCATGCCCGCCCTTTCTCGACGATGCCTATTCGCTCTCGAACAATCACATGAAGACGGTCAAAAATCAATTAAAGAACGCGCTATCTGGAGAAGTACGCGTGGTAAGAAAATCAGTCTTGGCAGCCGAGGCAGCAATCTCCTAACTGTCAACACGAACATAAGAAGAAATTGTGCACGGATTTCTGACTCTGTCCCTCGAACCTCAAAAGTGACAAACAGCCCTATACACTTGGCCGTGAATTCACATGCTTCGCGAAGATTCCTCAATGCAGTCGAGATAGCCGAGATTGATCGGGAGTGCCGGGCCCGCCAGAACTTCACGGTGCGGTATGACGCCGGGCCGTGAGCGTTCTATCGGATCGTAAAACTGTATAAATATATCAAACGTCCCCTAGACTTGGAACTGCTCCTTGTTCGTCTTGCAACACTCGCTGCCAGCCCTATCAGGACACTCGTAACCCAAAAAGCACTTGGTCGACTTGCTGTCCCCCGGATCAAGGTGCAAGTATTTCATTCCTTCCGGACGCAGGAAAGTCATGGACCTTTCGTGGATACTCGGGCACGCCCGTGTTTCGTTTCATCACTCCAAGAACACTATATCCCTCGCCTCAAAATCTGGAAAGACGACCTTGTCCGACATATGCAAAGCCTCCACGCCCCCCTGCAAGCTGAATCCTCTACTCTTCAATGGCCATCTTCATACTGCCTGGACAGCCGTAAAGGCCGCTGGACCTCCCATCATGTACAAGCGTCAGATCTTTGAGTCTGATGACCCTCGATTCGCAGGCACTTTTGCTGTAGACTTTGTAACCCACAAGCCGGCACCTACAGAAGACTCTAGCCTTCCTCCTCGTACAAACTACTTCACTGAGGATGAGTTTTCGAACATTGGCAGTGATGACACCAAGCCTATGTTGATCACGCTGCATGGATTGAGTGGTGGATCGCACGAGATCTATCTCCGGCATGTGTTGGAGCCATTGGTGGACCAGAGTGAGCAAGGCGACTGGGAGGCCATTGTTGTCAATAGCCGCGGCTGCGCTATGAGCAAGATCACTACCGGTATCTTGTATAATGCAAGAGCCACTTGGGACTTGCGACAGACGGTCAAATGGTGCAGAGAGATGTACCCGAACCGTCCTCTGTACGCTATTGGATACTCCTTGGGTGCCAATATTCTCACAAACGTACGTAGATTCAGTCAGTCTCTCAATTTGAAGATGTCCATTCTAATGTTTTTATGTTCTCTAGNNTATCTTGGTGAAGAAGGAGATGCGTGCGAGCTGCAGGCGGCTGTAGTCTGTTCCAACCCCTGGAAACTTGAGGTTGCCAGTCTTGCCCTGCAGCGCACTTGGCTCGGTCTCAACGTCTATTCCAAGACAATGGGAACCAGCATGAAGAAGCTTTTCGCACAGTAAGTTGCTACGAAGCCACGGGAGTGATACAAGGCTAAGAAATCATACAGACACGCGGATCAAGTGGTCAAGAACGGTAATATTGACCCCGAGAGGGTTGCGAGGGTAACATATCTACACGAGTTCGACCGCGAGATTCAGTGCCCGACTTGGGGATATCCGACAGAATACGCATATTATCGCGACGCATCTTCGGCAGATTCAGTGACTGCCATTCGCATTCCCACATTCGCCATCCATGCTGAAGACGATCCTGTAAGTTACCACCTTCTTGTTGGTTGATACCGATTGATGGCTCATGTTTCTCAGATCGCTGTGGACGAAGCTGTTCCTTATGAGGAAATCAAGCAAAATCCGTATGTTGTCATGTGCTCAACCTCGACTGGTGGCCACTTGAGTTGGTTCGAGGTTGGTGGAACGAGATGGTTCTCCAAGCCGGTATGTTTTTTACTCCGTCACTCGATTGAGTGCTGACACTTTGACAGGNCAGTAAACTTCCTCCAGAAGATGGCGCGCGAGTATGAAACGGGTAGAAAAGACGGCCCCACAGGCACTTTGTCGGAGATGACCAGAACCGCCACGTCCAACACTGGATTCAAGAGTCCGTTTGCATTTGAGCCGATGCGTAGAAAGATGTACCTTCCGGAGTAGAAGATGGAGATAGATGCATAGACGTGGGTATCGTGCGCGAAATAAGACAAAATGCAGGCAAGGGCGCAATCAAAAATCAACCGAAAGAGACTCTCTTCTTCTTGGGCTTCTCGGCAGCAGGCTCGACGTCCATGTCGGCATCGGACTTGGAACCCTTCTTGTTCTTCTTCTTACGGAGCTCATCCTTGACTCCCTCCTGTAATGGTGTGAGCGGTGTGTCTTGTTGTGTGGATGCATGCGTCTGAAGTTCTTACCAGCTTCTCCTTGCGACCAGCCTCTCTCTTCTCAGCCTCGGCCTTTCTGGCCTCGCGGATCTCCTCCATCTGGCGAGCGCGGATCATCTTGCTCTCAATGTTTCCCTCCTTCTCGGCCTGGACCATGGCGAGGATGGTCATCAAGGACTCCTTGTCGTCGACAAAGGTCTTTCCCTTCTTGACACCATTGGGCTTCTGGATTCCAGCAGGGCGGATGCCGTTGAGCGTGGGGATGTTAAGCTCCTTTTCGGTGTAGACGCGCTTCTTCTTCTTTGCAGGGCCGTGGGAGGTCGACTTTGACTTTTGCTCGACAGTCTTCGGCTTGGGACCAGCAGGCTTCTTCGGTCTAGGGCGATCGCCCGACTTGGACGCGGACTTGGCGCCCTTTGCAGGAGCTCCCTTTGTCGATTTCGTAGGTGCCATTGTGTACGTGGAGTGTGCCGGGTATGCTGACAAAACTTACAAGTATCGGCGAGTCGAGAATTTCCAGACTTGGGTTGGCAGAACAAAAGGTTGCCAAGATATCGGGGAGCGGGCGGTGAGCGGCGCGATCCGACGCCGAGGCTCGAGCAGCAAGCAAGCGCCGACTCCCGCCGTGTCTTGCGAGTTGCGACGCCGTCACTCGCACGACCGACTGCTATACCACCTCACCGTCGCTCTCTGCATCTACCTATCGCCATGTCCAGTGAACGTGTTTTCCGCCTGCCATTCCGCAAGCCGCAATGGATGAATAGCGCCACCACCCGCATAGCCGGCGTCTACTTTGCTGGAGCCNTTGGTACGCCGACCTCGACGCTGCTGCGAGAGTCATAGCTAACACACTCGGTGCAGTTTGCCATCGCCCTGTTCGTCTTCCTTGATGCCGCCATCTACTCCAAGTCCGCTCTCAATGGCTCCGACGTCCACATGACCTTCATCGATTGGATCCCCGTCATCTTCAGCGCCCTCGGCATGCTCATCGTCAACTCGATCGACAAGACGCGCCTCTCTGCCGATAACTTCAGCTACAGCGGTGATGGCATCGCCTGGAAGGCTCGTGTCGTCTTGTTCATGGGCTTTGCTGCTATGGCTGGTGGTCTCGCTGGCGGCGTTACCGTCATGGTGCTGAAGTACATTGTTCCGCAATACACCTTCCCTACCCTTTGGTTCGGTGTCGCCAACGTCATCGCCAACTTCCTGGTTTCTCTTAGGTATGCCACTCGTTGCTCTTTGCCGTAGAACGCTGCTGACCATGCCTCTAGTTCTGTTGTCCTTTGGGTCTCGCAGAACATGGAGGACGACTACACCTACAATCTGCAGCTGTAGTAGGCTGTATGCATCTGGATAGCTATTGTTGTACTACTTGGATACTACTGGATAGCATCGTTTCTGTAATTCTTGACACAATCCCGCAGAGTTTCGTGTGAAGTTCCATACCATCTGACCCTCGTCTATCTTGTCGCAGGTCAACTGCATTGTGCTGACTTGATGAATTCAAGTAAACTCGTCTCATCGCCTGTTCACTTGGATGTGGAACCTGCAGATGGTCAGAGATTACTGTGTATGATTCTTCGCGGTCTGCGACCACCCTCCATGACGATGTACGGGTGAGTTGTTGAACAAGGTCACAAGTGTAGAATAAATGGACATCACCAACATCACACATATTCCAGCGCCGTAGAGTATGGCGAATTGATACGCGGTATCTCTCACGACTCAACTGGCAACACTATATCGTCAAGGCTATGATTAGGCCTAAGCATTATTGGTGTAGTATTGCAGACAGGGTCACACCACATACAAAGCGCATGACGCAAAAGGCGGTGAGGAGCTGCCATCAATGAATTCCGCGTTTGGCAATCCATCAACACTGCAAACACCATCATCAGACCGAACTTTGCGTTATCGCGTCCACCTTAATTTATAACTCGAACCGAAGCACACAAGTCGCCATTCACCGAACACGAGCATTCGACTTTGTCGTGACGCTGCGCTCACCAAGGGTGCAACAAGCGGTTCAAACCAGATATTTATCCTTCCGATCCTTATTCGACATCTTTAATCGCAACATGCCCGCCAAATTCTACGTCGTCAAAGCCGGCCGAAAGCCTGGCATCTATCACAGCTGGGATGAGTGTCTGGCACAGGTCAGAGGTTACAAGGGCGCCGCTTGTGAGTAACCACCAGTGTGACGGGTCAAACACGACTGACTCAACCCAGTCAAGTCATTCCCCCTACTCAATGAGGCCAAAGCCTGGCTGAACGGCGCCGACACGACCAATTCCTCAACATCGACAGTATCTACCAAACCCACCAAGTTCTATGGTGTACACAAGGGCCACAAGCCGGGCGTCTATACTTCGTGGGCAGAAGCTCAGAACACAACAACGGACTTCAAGGGCGCTGTCTACAAATCGTTCAAGACCCGTGAAGAGGCACAAACCTTCTTCAAGAACGGTCATCCGCCAAAGAGACCATCCGAGGAGCCTTCGCAAGCAAGCCCACCCGCCANNAAAAAGCAGAAGACGGACACAGAAGAAACCGAGGACTTGGTCGAACACAGTGCTGGAGAAGGCCCCTTGCCCGAAGGCACCGAAGACGGCTTTGATCCGCGCATCAAACTGAATCCCCTGACCGGCAAGATCGAGTACAAAGAGCCCACTACCAAGTGGCAGGCTGTCAACCTGCAAGAAAGCAAACCAGTAATCATCTACACAGACGGCAGTTCGCTTGGTAATGGAGCTCACGGAGCCGTCGCAGGAGTTGGCGTCTACTTTGGTCCCAAGGACAAGCGGTATGGCATGCATTCCTAGCTCTACTACTATCCACCACTAACACAGTCTGCAGCANATCTGTCCGAGCCACTATCCGGTACTCGTCAAACGAATCAACGCGCCGAACTCACCGCCATCCAACGTGCTCTTGAGATTGCCCCACGCAATCGCCCTGTTACCATCTACACTGACAGCAACTACTCGATCAAGTGCGTGACCGAGTGGTTTGTCAAATGGCGGGCCAATGGCTGGCTCAATGCGTCTAAGAAGCCCGTGGAGAACAAGGATCTGATTGAGAAGATTCTGACTCTAATCGAGCAGCGAAGAAACATGTCTCAAGAAATCAGCAGCGTCAACAAGGTCGAGTTCGTATGGGTCAAGGGACATGCCACCAACGAGGGTAACATTGCGGCCGACGAGCTTGCTGTTGCTGGTGCGCGTGAGGCTAGGGAGATCATCGCCAACCCTGACTTCGAAGAGTCGTAGACCCCTTTTCGCGTATTGGGTTTGACTGCTTTGCGCTGTGGAGTTTGATCTGCATGGATGAGGGGAAGGGAGAAATTCACGACATTATGACTGGGTGTTTTACAAGGTCCTCGCGACGTCTGAGAAAAGACTTTGGAAGAAAGTTTCTCACGGTGTCCAAATGTACAACAGCGGATTACAAAGCCTACACGTTCTCCACCAGAGATTTCAAAGAGTCAGTCGCTGTTATAGAGCGGATGTCGACACTTCCGAGAAGAAGTTGAAGTAGCAATGGGGGCGGGCAAGTGGGATTGACATGTGCCTTTCAGTCCGTGCGCTGCAGCAATGACGTTTCGGCCATCTCGTTTCAAGTTAAAGCCTCAATTCTCGGTCCTTGTTCCGTTCGCCGAAGGAGCCACGATTGTTCATCACCGACCCACGCGCACATTGAATGAGAATCTGAAGGGGCTCTTGTTTCGTCGCCGTGACTCGCCAGTCGATCGATTTGCCCGTGATCACGACTCCTCGCGCTTTGTTGGAGAATAGCCACCTCGCGACTGCTGAACAAGTGACGCATCGGCCTGCTGCTCAACCACCTGACACGATCGAGTCAATCACCATTTCGCTGTGTTTAGGGTTTGGGATGGCGATGCTATCACCGTAAGTCCGTACAAGGTATATATATCCCTGTCCTGCCGTGGAGCGATTAGAGCTCTTCCTGTACCTTTTCTAGCTTTTGCACAACATATACAACACCGCTTTCTTCCATCTACTCGCTGCAACAATGTCGTCGACCCTTGTTGTCCACCACCTGCGTGTCAGTCAATCTGAATCAATCGTCTGGCTTTGCGAAGAGCTTGGTATCGATTACAAGCTAGTATGCCACGACCGCGACCAGCAGACGCTCCTAGCTCCCGATGCCTACAAGGGACTCAGTCCTCTCAAAACTGCCCCCGTAATTGAAGATGTCGACACTTATACACCAAACCATGATCACATCCGTCTAGCAGAGTCTCAAGCGTGCATCGAATGGATCTGCAGAAAACATGGCCAAGGACGCTTATTGAACAAGCCTTGGGACCCCAACTGGAAGGAGTGGCTGTTCTGGTAAGCAGAATATCCTGTCGGTTCCCTAAGGGACAACTCCTAACTCTGCTCCCAGGNNTGGCACTTTACACACGGCTCGTTCCAACCCGCATGTCAAATGAAGTTACTTACTGGAGCGCTTCCAGAGGACCACCCTGGCCTCAAGGTCACCAACTCAAGAATTGCCCACTATCTTGATTTGATTGAGCAACGCTTAAGCCAATCGAAATTCCTCGTTGGCGATGAGCTCACGGCCGCCGATATTCAGATGGTCTTTCCACTTACAACACAGAGGTCCTTCTTACCAATGGACCTCAGCGCCTACCCCAACATTTTAAGGTACTTGAAAGAGATTGGAGAGAGACCTGCATACCAAAAAGCCTTCGAAAAGGGCGAGACGACGCTCAAACCGATGCTTGATGCCAACCCCAAGTCTATCTACAATTTTTGAGGAGGTATACAATATTTGAACGAAATGAGGCTCTCTCTACTCTTGGAAGCGACGATGGCCTGCGCGAGGAACTATTATCGTTTGGCGTTTAGGTGGGACTTTGGGATAGATACTAGACAAGGCTTAGCTACGGCTGCCCTTATAGACATGATATTCTGTTTGATCAAAAACTGCTATCTAGTGCTTTGATCTCTTTCTTGAGATTCGTCCAAGACCATGTTCTACTCACAAAAGGCCATGAGCCCTAGAACAATGACATCGAGTCAGTTTGTGGCTTACACAACAACCGAACTTACCAGTCGGTCTCACTTGAGTCGTGAAGTGTACAAATTTGGATGCTGTGGCTCCCAAAACGTTGGTCGGAGGCCGGGCTTTGCGTTGAATCGGCACTTCTCGTCTGTGAATGCGAACTTGCTTCGCCGTTGCTACTGTACACAACGCTCAATAGGCAGGTAATAGAACTTGCCGACTATACAGTGATGCCGTGGTCCCTCAGATCTGTCTCGGATATTCTACGACCATAGCAACACAAAAGAGGTTTGCCGATCACGTCTCACCCATCGTTCCGGAAACTCACCCTAAGCCCTACAACCTGTTTCGGCAGGCCACGCCGCAAACCTTTTCGCATCGTGAACAGTAGCATCTCTGTACTTGATCTGCAGGCCCGAGAATCCTGCTCAATGATATCGAATGGAAGAGCACTCTAAGTACTGCAACCCTTGTGCCGTGAGTGCACCGAACCGTCGTTACAAAGTGGCAGCGGCTTACTTGCCTATGAATCGTGAACCCACGGCTTCTTCTCATCAAGGTCTCGCCAAGTGCCGACGGTTGCCTTTTCAGTTATACCGTTGCGATGTCTGAGTAGCCCTAACCAAAGCTCTGTGTATTGATACTCCTCATATGAGTCGTCTAAGGATTTTGAAGAGTGCTCATAAGTATGTAAGTTGAGAAGGTCTCCTCTGTGGTTCAATTCTGCTTTTGCCTCTCTATACCTTATTCAATTCACACACTCCTTTCATACTGCCCAAGGGCTCAACACTCCTTCAAATTCTCTGAATACTATACACTCTTTTTATAGCATGGCTCCGGCGGGCTGCTTTTTCGGCCTCTTCTGCGCAAGCACTAGCACAGTCACATCAACCTCTACGACTGCAACTTCAACTTCATCCGTCATCCCTTACTCGACGAGTTCGATTATTCTTTCATCATCATCATCATCACCATCAAAATCATCTGCGGTGGTCTCATCATCTACTGCCCCCGCAGCAGCAAGTTCCACGCTCAAATCATCGAAGGCTGGTGTTTACTCAAACTGCTACTACAATGTTGATGGAGTGGGAGAGTTCAACACCAGATGGGTTGCAGATTGGACAACTGGAGCCACTCAAGATCTGACTGGCATCGTGTCCTCTGCTTATACTGTCGGAACTGCTAGCATATCCACTACCACAACAAGCAGCAAAGTCAAGAGAGGTCTGGACAACTTCTTCTCTCTGTTTTCCAATTCTCTCTTCTTCAGGATTGTGCCCTCCTCAATGGGAAAGTCGGTGGTATCACAAGCAAGTAATGCTATGAGCGCGGCCGCAGCGATCGTCTCCGGAACTGGCGCAGCAGTGTCGTCCGTACAAGCGACAGTTAGTTCTAGCACCCAGCTCTACACCTCCTACAACGATATATTGTACGGCAGTGTCAGAGCTGTAGTTTTGTTGAGTAACGCTACTGGCTTCACATCGTACAGAAGCGACACCATGGAGATCGACCTCAACTGGTTGGACTATCACTCTAGCTACGATACCTCTGTAGTCCCTGATGCATCTACAGCATGGCACGAGTATCGCGTCGACTGGCTCCCGGGGGCCACCAGCTATTACATTGACGGTCAGCTTGTTGATAGTACAGCTAGTGAGGCGAGCCCTGGTCTTTGGCTGTGGAATGCTTGGTCAGATGGCAATGACGACTCTGTCTTTCAGATACGCAGTATCGATGCTTACTTCAATCGAACATCAGTCAACACAGATATCGCTAGTGGGAATGCTATCTGCAAGGAAGTCAGTGTTGCTACTGGTGCTGCGTCTGCTGTCGGTGCTGCCACCAGTGCTGTTGGAGCCGTGACGGGTACAAGTCCTGCTGTTCTGGGTGGTCTTGTCAGCTCAAGCTCGAGTTCATCAATCATCCCAACGCCCACTCCTACAACCCTTACTACCTCCACTCAGGCTCCTTCACTTTCTGCTCAGGCCACTGTCTCTTTCACGACCATCAACTCAGCTTGGACAGGCAAGACTACATCAACAACAACTCAACTCAATGGCTTATCTGCTACCGTCATCATCCTCACTCCTGGCGTGGTCCAAACCACTGCTGCTCCTACGTCCAGCTCAGGCGGATACGTCTACATGACTTCGACCACTGATTCGGGAACCTTTACTGCGGTTCAGACCAAGACTTTCCTTCCTACCATAGGCACAGTAGCCACTGTCCAAATCGTCTATCCTACGCCCGTCACCACTTGTGGTAATGTCGGAATTGCCTACGCCGGCTACACAAATTCCTTCGCTGGCGGCCAAGCCACCTCGGGCTATCCTAAATTCAACCCCACCGTCTACAAATCCGCCAAACCCTCGCAAACCGGCGTGACAAACTACATTGCCGAAGTCAACAGCGGCAGCAACAATGTGGCATACTACGGCCAACAAACCTCTACCCAAAACTGGGTCATCGATCACACTTTTTACGTGTTTGCTCGTCAAGATGGATACTACAGTTTCAACATTCCTTACACGGATGATATCCAAATGGTGTGGTATGGCGACAAGGCAGTATCCGGGTGGACCAGAGGCAATGCCGATATTGTTCAATTCTGGAGCAGCCAGATTGCCACGCAGACGCCTCAGACCATTGCCGTCTACCTTACCACTGGAAGCTATCTACCCATCAGAGTCATGTTCGCAAACGGAGGAGGTGCTGGAGAGCTGGACTTCAATATCTATGCTCCAGATGGCAGTGTTGTATTAGCATCCAACAGAGGGTTGGGTACGGGAACCTCGTCGATCGATATTGTACAGTTTCCTTGCAACAGTGCTTTGGGAGCCAGATTCCCTGCTTGGGGCTCGGAGACTTGATCTTTTGCGTTTGCTTCTACTTTTTGATTTCGTCGACGGATGGGACGGTGATTTCTCATCTCCTTGATAGTCATACCCGTAGCTACTTCCGATGTTCCAGGCCTTGCTTTATGAACAATACACATAAACTCATACCCGAATGACCAATTATCTCTTGCACAATACCATCAGAGAGCTGCCATCGAGTAGAACTTTTCACTGCCATCTTACAGTCTTGTAAGATGATAGATTGCTTAGTTGTGATTGGAGTATGATCGAGTCGTAGCTCAAGGCTTGTTTGCATTTTGATGAGATCGCAAAAAAGGTCTCAGGGGCACAGACACAGGGTGTGGTGCACCAAGAGTTGCAGGTCAGACTCGTGGGTTGCAGACGTAAAGGCTCTCTCAATTTGCGTGAATCTTCCATTAGTGCTGTTGAGTTACAGAGTGGTATAGATATCATGATATGTGTCCAGAGAGAGTCATGTTTATATCTATATTCGAAATGTGCTTGACTTACCCGAGCCAGACCAATTACTATCAGCAGACATTCGACCATGAGTGACGATTCTTCACCACTCTCATCTTCTAGGCATCCTCTCGTAAGCAGCTATAGAAATGCACAATACCTTTCAAGAACAAGTGAGTACCAGTGAGAGCCATAAAATTCAAGCACAGCCTTGATCCAAAAATTGCCTTTTCAGCCTTTACATATACTGAGTCTGATTGAGGCCAACTATAGGGGTGGTCATTCTTCAGCTTTCCCATGTGCTAGGATCCTGTCGTAAGTAGTTATAAAAATGCACAGTGGTCTTCAAGAACAAGTCAATGTCCATTGAGAGCCGTGATACCCACAAGCACACCATCAATATAAAGAGGTCAATGGTTCTCTATATGAATCCCAATGGCCTTGGTTCCATCAACAGGTCGGTTAGCTCAGTTGGTTAGAGCGTGGTGCTAATATCTGACGATAAATGGCGCGGCTAGGTCGCACTATTTTGCTTTTGGCTTGTTCAGATGTTGTCCACTTGACAAAAAGACACTCCAAGCATTTCGAGATAGACAGATATCGGGAAAAAAATTTATTTGGTCAGTACGGGGGTCGAACCCGCGACCTTGGCGTGCCATGTATCGTCAGATATTAGCACCACGCTCTAACCAACTGAGCTAACCGACCTGTTGATGGAACCAAGGCCAAGCGACAAATATATCAATAGCAAATCTTTGTTGGCATGTCGAGTTACGTGGCGATTGTGGACCCTAGAACAGCTAGATTAGTCCAATCAATACGGCCGATCCACAGTGCCGGATCACTCCAACTCGCATATCGTATTAGAAGGGGCCGACAGACGAATCATTCATTCCTTTTTTAATCTTCAATGGACTTGTTATAATGGCGCCACGGTCGACCGGCTGTGCCAATTGTCGTAAACGAAAGATCAAGTGCGACGAAGGCCGTCCAGGCTGCAAGAAGTGTCAGATTCACAACACACCATGCCCAGGATACCGAGGCATTAAACCTGACGGACTGGAATGGCGCGACGAAACTCAGGCTGTGGCGAGACGTGTAGGCATGGGATTGAAGACCGGTTCGGGCAGCAGCAGTCCTGAACGCAATAGCGAGTCCGACGACGGTGCTCCGCCTACCAAAAGAGTCGAGGAGTTGAGTCTGGTCGAGAAGCCTGTTGCAACCGAATATACGGTTATACCACAGGCTGTCTTCAGTGCTGCAACCAATCGCTCGCAAATGTTTGATGTCAGTATGAGGTTGTACCGACCTACGACACTGGTCGATCAGCCACTGCGTGCTCACATATCCGACTTTTCATGTTTGCAGAAGACCATCACTTCCAAGTCTTCACCGGCATTGCTTGCAGCTGTTGATACGATCAGTTTGTTGCAACTTGGTGTGTCTTATCAGGACAAGGCTTTCTTCGAACACGCTCGTCGGAGGTATGGGCAGGCGCTGACAGCATTGGTGGTTGCACTCAACAAGCCAAATGTGCTTGGCAACAACGATGTTTTGGGTGCCATGAAGCTACTCGAATTTTGCGAGGTAAATCATCTCATCTCGGTCCGCAATGATGGGGATTTCGCTGACACAAATGTTAAGCTGTTCCATCCTGTAGCACAGCAAGGAAGCTGGATCAGCCATGTGAACGGAGTGGAGAACTTCTTATTGCAGCGAGGACCTGTTCCACTGGTAACAGAACTTGACAACATGCTGTTCTTCCACGCTAGACACTCTTCCGTAAGCGTCCTCGACGATACCTCTATTGCTGTTACTGACGGGTGCAAGATTCTCCAAGGTGTTCTCAAACGCAAGGCTATCATCTTTGCGGAGCCAAGGTGGATGGAGGTCACTCGGAATACGCCTTACACAGATTCGTCCCCTCGTCTATTCGACGTTTTAATACACATACCAGGGCTTTTCGAGCGGGCTGACAACTTGATTGCAAGTGGTAAACCTACCTATCTCAACGGTGTGGTTGCAGATTTGGTCACTGCCATCGAGCAACTCCAAGAGTGGGAAATCGAGTCGCACGCCGAGCTAAAGCATCCTGCCTTTACGAACGTTGACATATCGAGGTTCAAAAGGTTCACACGATTATGCCACAACAAGACCTTCCCACTGGCCATCGACTTCCCTGATTTCCTTACCGGATATCTACAGTCGATATATTGGCTCTATCTCTTTACCATTGAGCGCACGCTTCAGGACATCTTGATAAAGTACCCTGGTAGCAAATGCACCTTCTCGCTGGACGAATTGAATAAGCGAATCCTTCAAATCGCCATCTACATGTGTCAGATGATGCCATATTTCTGCGATCCGGATGCTTCGTCAATGGGCCGCTTTGCCACCTTTATGCCGTTGGTGTTTGCTCTCAAATACTTCGAAGCGCGTGGAATGAAGGCGCAACAGGGTTGGTGCCAGGACGTTACCGATGCCATGTTCAACGATGGTATCAATCCGCCATGGAAGTTGGATCTGGCCAAGGGATTGAAGCCAGGCGAGAAGAAGCAGATCACTCAGTCATAATATCAACAGACAGGCGCAAACACACGTACAGAGCATTTAGGTTGTACGAGGAATCGAGAATGTCGATCGGAGTCAATCATACGATGGCCGATCTTGCAAACTGTGCTGTCTCTGCTTAGCGTATCAAGTGTTGCTCACCTAAGGGTCTCCGTACCAAGAAAAAGGTACGAAAGTTGCACTTCACCTCATGGCAAGTCAAGCGCTGGTCCACGTCATGGATCGCGCCGTACCTAGATGTGTTGTAGATGCCAACGTTACCCAGTTAGGTGGATCAGTATTGGTCAAACTGATTGTCAACACAATCGGCATCAATGCTTCTCGAATGCGACCGAGTACCCAACTCCTTTTGTTGCCATCGCCCCTCACAACGTAAAGATGCTTCATGAATATGCCGCCTCTTGTTAAACAAAAGTGCTGAACGTTCCCTTGCACAAGGTCAAGGAGTCTGAGTTGCTTACGCGAATCGAGCTGGAGGTTTGGAAGCGCGTGGAGAGCGGGTCGATGCAGCGGTGACGGGTGCCAGAGGTCGTCTTGACTTGGTCTTGACTGGTGCTCTACTGATTTCAAGAATATCATCGAGAGAGTCTGCACGCTCGTCGAGATGGCGAGAGCGAGTACGAGCGCGAGCAAGAGCGTGAGCAGGAGCATCGTACTCTGCATCAGCGGCTGCAATCGCGGCAGCCTGTGTTTTAGGAGACAGGTCGGCTCATTCTTCTAGCTCAGCTTCAGCATGTTCGGCGTCCTGCTCTTCCTGTCCCTCGATCTGGGTGACAAGCTGCTCGGCCTCAGCTTCAGCACATTCGGCTCCCTCTTCCTCTTCTCCTTCAGCGAACTCCGCGGCATACTCTGCCTTAGCCTCAGCAGTCTCGGCATTGGTCCAAAACCGTTGAGCATCCTTCCAGTCGTCAGGTCTGAAAGTCTTCAAGTATTTGGCAACCTTGTCAAGCTCAGTGCGCAAATGTCCTCGAACTCTGCCTGCGTCGGGAAAGCTGCCATCCGGATTGAAGAGACACCAATGTGCATATGTGTTCTCGGCGTAAAAGCGCATGTTCTGAGCCTGTCATTAGTACAGGAATAGACCTCTGACCCAGTGTTGCGTACCAGTCAAACAGTATGCGAGAAGCATGTAGTAGCGTGTGCGAGCATAGTTCAGGCTGTTGTCTCGAAGCACGGTTCTGATGTGTGTAACACATTCTTCAAACCGGTCTTCATTGTACAAGTTGATAGCTGTGGTAAGCTCGCGGACCACGCCATGCTGGGGAGTCGTAAACTGCAGGACAATCGCGCAGAGGTGATGGAAAACAAGCAACTTCTGAATGGTAACAGATGGACAAGCAAGAAGAGTGAAGCTCTACTAAGGTACCAACAGGATAGCGAATGCATCATACAGTTATGTTACTGCAACTACGATTAACAAGTAATAAGCATAGACAATCAATCTCCCGTGCAGTCTAAACAGAAAGAAGCATCTCAACCTTGGAATTTCTTTCCTTCCCGAACTACCATTATTACTGTAGAGCACAGTCTATGGACCCTCTACCAGCTAGAAGGACCAAAGGTAGCACCTTCGGGCAAGACTTTGGCTACCGCCGTGCCCAGATAGTCCATAGTGTTGTAGATGCCAACGTTACCCCACCAGTTAGGTGCATCGGTGTTGGTCAAACTGATGGTCAATACAAGCAGGATGGTCGAGATGGCCAGACCAGAATCGAGGGCAGCTGACGTGATGTAGTTGAAACGCATCCACCAGCCTCTGTAGCTGTTGCGAATCCACTTGTTGAAGATGAAGCCAACAACACCCCACGACAAGTAGTTCAACGGGGTAGCAGGAGGAATCTGTCCAGTACCGCCGAAGATCAGGGGAGCGCTGAGGAAGCGAATGGGTGACTTCGGCCACTGCTTCGCGGCGAAGTAAATGAGGACGGGAGCAGCAGCACCAGCTAGCCAGAACCACTGAAGGTTCTTATAGGTAGAATCGCCACTGAACATGCGTGCAGGACCAATGACTCCCCAGATTACACTAGCATTGTAAAAGACTCTTCCTCCAGGGCAGGTGAAATGGTTGGCCTGATGCAAAGCGCACAGGTTCTCGATACCACCACCGAAAGCCCATTCAAAGACTGCGAGCTGAACAATGCAAGACCAGACGGTAGCAATCAACTGGCCAAGGAACATCGTTCTGGGAGGGACCTTAAGATAATGACCNTGAAAACGTATCATCAGTATTGCGTTCATAATGTGGTAATGATGAACATGCTTACCAAGCTTCATGTCTTGAGTAAAGGCAAGACCCTGTGTCATGGTGATGTAGCCATAAGTCTTGAACAACATCATGGCATTAGGTCTGCCGGGCTGCATGTATCCGATGAGGAACTCGGTAAAAACATTGAGACCAAGCTGTACATTGGTGATTGCTTGGATGAATCCAATGGGCAAGAACCAACTATTTATCGATATGTCAGCATGCTTCTTAGACAGGCATTACTGAAAAGTGATCAAGACACAGATGACTTACACAAACGAAATGATGAAGGCCAAAATCAGAGCCCACCAACTCATCTCTGTAGGGTATGCGTAGATGGTGGCGAACGAAAGCCCAATACAGATAACAAGTAAGCTTATGTACCACCAAGCAGGTACTTTGGGGTATTTGTCCATCATCTCTTGATGCACATCGCGCATGTCATCACGCGAACGTCGCCATCTATCAAGAATGAATTTCCCATGGAAGAGGATAGTGTGAGTGACGACGGCAGAGATGGCGGCGAACGAAAGACCATAGCAGAGTGCAAAAGTAGTAGACAGGAAGAGAGGCGAGTACTCTTTGTATTTCTTAAGGTCCAAAGTGATCTCCGGGGTGAGTATACGAGAGACATTATAAACGCTAGCAGAATTATCGTAGGAGCTGGAATCGCTGAAAGGGAGGTAGTCGGCGTACCAGGTTCCACTAAAGTGAATAGCCGATGCGGTGATCCAATAAAAGAGAACAAGACCGATCATGGTGTTTCCAATGGCATGCCAAGGAGGAATCAGAGGACTGAAAACGTATCCGGTGATCTGAGTCCAGTCAAAGGTGAGAGGCAANAGTGCCATACCACTGTAGCCTCCAAAAACTTTGTTGACAGTGATATTGTTAGGCGCGATCCAGGTAGGGAATGCGAAGACACTCAAGAACTGAGCAATGTAGCCGGGAAACCAGTAGTAGACAAATGAGCCCACAAAGACATAGAAGAACCAGCGGTATCTGCTAATACGCCAGCCGTTTGTCTTGGCGGGGTCCGTTTTTGAATTGTCGTGGAGAGTGTACATGAAAGCGCAGTTGACGAGGTCCTGGGGCCAAATCATGGGAGCTGGCTCTACCAGCCAGCGAGAGAAGAGGCCTGCGAGGCCAAAGCCAACACATTGAGTACTCAAAGCAACGAGTACGCCGAAACCCCATCCCCAGTTAAACTTGTAGAATCCACGCTGAGCCTGGAGGATGTCGGTGAAGTATCCAACACCGGTTCCGAATGAGGCATTGGCCATGATCACGATCATGGCGTGTTCNCTGAAGTTGAAAGGGCCAGGGTTCAGATTCCATTTGACACCAAAGGTCGTGTGCTCACGATTCGGCATGACTTTGTCCCAGCCAAGACCTACCGGATAGACGATGAGTTGCGCAACGTAGGAGGTTATCGTGATCGAAGGCGAACGTAGAGAGAAAAGCATATTGAGACCCGAACCGATGGTTGTCATCAGAAGTGAGATGACCCACATACGGATAGTGTTGCAAGGGNNCTATCATCTGGTCAGCTAGAGGGAAAAGACCGAGAGCAGGGTCAGACGGGCTCACAGATCAACGTCGTAGTTCCTAACAGCAGCCCTAACTTCTGGGTAAGGGCTATTGTCGAAGAGTTCGTTCACAAGATGGTTCTCGCCATCCTTGTCGTGATGCTCAACAGCTTCGTCAACTGCCTGAAGATCATCCCTTTCAAGGTTAGGATCCCAAAGGGCGTCTGCATTGTGCTTGAAGACTTGCGAAAACAGTCAATATCAAGGTTGTCAAAGTGCATTCGAGAGACACTCACCTTTGAGACGTCTAGCAGCCTCTGCTTCAGACAGTTCATGTGCTGACGAGACACCGATGTCCTTCTCATTTTTCCCGTCCTTGGGGCTGGAAGTGCCTGGGCTCTCTATTTCATCGAGAGCGACACCTTCGCTGATCTCTGGTGAGCCGAGTCCCAGCTTTTTGAGGAAGCTAGGCATGTTGGCGAGAAGGATGGAGGACAAGAAGACTGTCGGAGGTGTATGGTCGTCCAGTGCAAGTCAGACAAAGGTCATACTTATATATGCCTTGACGGACCACACCCCCTAGAAGATAGCCAGAAGCCAGACGGCCTTAATTAGAAGGTCAATTGATTGACGTATTCTGGATTCATCAAGGGAATCGACTTGTGATTGGCTTTCGTAGCCATACTGATAAGCCAACAAGCGAGGTGAGAAGAAGCATCGAGAGCCGCGACAGAAAGATTGTGGAGGCAAAAACAACTTAACGTATATGGCAGGTAACATTCGTATGGCATGTCGCATCCGTGAACTGCTCGTAAAGGCGTGCAGGAATGGCAATGTACCCTATCTTGGTATACCCACAAGCAGGTCAACGTCGTACATTGATAGCGGGTCTGCTTGCGATTCGCTACCGGGGCCATTTCCACTGCTTGACACCAAAGATCTGCCGAGTGAGACTGGCCGATGGAGCGCGATAGTTTGCCGTTGGATTTCTACGATCATCACATATGACCTACATGTATGCATACATCAAGACATCTGTGCCGAACGTCCACTGACGATTTGGGGGGAACTGTCGCGTGTAGAAGAGAGTTAGCTCCGACTTCTCACACTTGAGCCTCTGGGGCACGCAAATGCACTAGAGATCGAGTCTCGATATGAGCCATCTTGACTGATGATTATTGAGAAACCGACATCCAATCGATGATAACAAAGAATGTCTTGTTACGTCTAGGATTGCCGACCTTCCAGAGATAGGCCAAATAGCCTGAATATACAGGTAGTGCTCCAGTACATTCGAACGAAGGAGCCGCCAAGTCATATTAAGGGTTGCCGGCTCAATTCGCCTCCAATGACAGATAATGCATGAGCTCGCCAAGAGATAGTGGTGGTGGAAGAGACTCCTCACGGTTCTTGTTTGACAGTGGCGCATGTCTTGTTGTGTAGACAAGCAAGGCTAAGTGTAACCACGCTTCTCGTTCCTGACTTGGCTTGAACATCAGAACTCATGTAGTGTTCGATGGGCGCAAATATTCATGCAATGATAGATGGAAAGACGCGGGTTGAGCGGCGCGCGCCTCAGGTTCTCAGTATATGCATGCGTACTCCAGTAGATAGGGTTGATAGGGTAGATTGTTCAGGGTCCAAGCGTACGAAGGAAAGTGTCTATTCTCTGCGGAGCTTGCCGGCCAAACGTCAAAGAGGTTGTGTTGTGTAAGGGTTGGCAACTTGCACAACCCAATCTTCAAGTTGTGCTGTCAAGGGAAAAAGTTGTGAATGGAACGAGTATCTTTTAGCTGTACTCCTCTCTCTTCTCTTTCCTATGGAGGAGTGGTGAGTTCGTGCGAGAGCGATCACCGATAATTCGACAACTCGTAAACCAATATCCTGGACGACCAAGCATACTCATGGACACGCCACTTTTCTCAGGTGAGTGTACCTCCACCGAATGGCACGCATGGGTGCGTACCTAGTGCTTGACTTTTCTTCTCGTGAATAGAGATAGAGATTGCTTGGTTGCTTCGGACTAACAGTACCCGTCTGTCGGACCAGTTGTTCAGTTCGCCAACCACAGCTCTATCCTCTTAGCAGCTTGAACGATGCAGAGGTGCTCAGGTATTCAAAGTCACACACCGACTGAAAGGTAACATGAAACTGAGAGCGCAGATGTGCATGATATAGATACTCAAGGCTTGGCGTCTGCCTACTGAGAGGGAAGTTCATCGGCCGACGATGTCGCTGATGTTCTCAGTCGACCCCATAAATGTTCGTCATGCAATCACTATGACTCCAATAACCTCATTGATCACCACTAAACATTTCGGATCCTCTTGAAGGATCTCATCAATCTTGATTTCGAGATTGGCATTTGCGTGAGTGTAATGAGTGATACACGCCTCGGACTTTGTACCAATACTATCGTGACACGCCGGAGAAGCCACGAAGATGAGGCGCACCTTCGATCATGTCTTCTGACACACTATCGTTTTGCCCAAGGTTGCAAATGTGTCTGTGAGCAACAACAAGTGTCTTCAGTCTCCAACGTGCTCTGTAGTAGACGTCTCGTATCTCTTCTAGAGTGGATCAATAACGTCCCCACAATATACAAGCAGCCACACGATACTGAAACGATTACGGCCTGTCGTCGATCACACCAACATTCATATTGAGCCGCAAAACTGTCGGCAAACCGGATCAACAACACACACTGCGGGTGACGCGACGACCAGGACGGTGAAGATTGCCGCAAGCGATATGTAGAAAATACGTGTGCGCAACAAGCGTCAGGCGCCGCCAAGGTAGGGTACAGTGTGAGTAGATTGGATGAGCAAGTATTGCTTATGATGTGTTAGTCGGTGGACCCAAAGGAGAGGAGACGCGCGGGAATCACAATATCAACTCATCAACTCGTGCTGCATTTGGTGAAGGATTTTTGTTGGATCAGATGCAGTTGTCTGCCCATCACCTGCTGAATGCGGACTCTTGGCCGGAGCGAGTAGGATGCGCTACCAATGGAGGCCAGACAGCTGCAATTATCGAGTAGATGAACGATCTTGCAAAATAGTGGTGGGGACTGCAACTTCTGACAGCGCACCTCGGCAGATGGCACACCCACGCCAGCTACGCGTGTGGTTGAGTGAGCTTCAATTACGAGGGGTAACGCAGACGCAATCGAGCCCTAAAGCCACGACTCAACCTGAGTATAAAGTCTTGAATACAGGCCCACCCATACAATGCTTGCTAGGACATGCAGAGAAGGCATATGGCTGTCAGTGAGACGCGCGGCGTTCAGGCGTGTCTAGACGGTGAAGGCTGCAGGTGGTGGAAACCGGTTTGGGCGCGTCGATGTCCAGCGAAGAACGTTTGAGGAACGTTTGGGAGGTTGGATTGTGCATCACGTCCAAGACAAGTCATGCCGACGAAGAGAACAACACTTGAACCATCACCTCTTAGACAGGGCTGGCGGCCCGAATTTCAAGGAGGTGCCCATACAGCCTGAAAAGCAAACACGAAATCGATGATTGATATTGTGTTGATTGGAGAAAGCGAAACATGATGTATGATACAGTAAGTACCTTGGCTGCAATAAAAACCCACGGACGGATTCGTGACGTTTCGACAAATACGTTCGAGAAATCAGGGTGCAGGCCGCCCGAATTGCATCGTTGTCATCTTGGATCAGAGTACTTGCACGTAAGTCGAACAAAATACAGCCCTCTTTTGGTGAGGACAAAGAGCTTGCCATGGCCCATATGGAATCAATTCTATGGTAGAGTCATCAGGGACGCGACTGCTCAAGGAGAAAAAGGAGAGTCAACGACAGTGTTCAACAGAGTTAGCTTAGATCCAGGCTTCCGGGCACACAAACGATGGGATCTCCCGCTAGCCGGATTGTTTCACTTCACCTTTGCAGGGGGCGTGCGCCTGCAGCAGCGCATGTTGCAAGATTGCCATTGGTCGAAACACGCTTTGCACCGTGTTGCGCGGACGTGAGACGACGAGGCCCTGTTGGCTGGTCTGTTGGCACTCGTCGATTGGCGAAGCGGTACATGTTCAGAGACGAATGTCAAGGTCGACAAGAGATGGACGTTGTTTTGCTCGCTGGCAGACGGTCCGCGGACAAGAGTGAAACGGCGCCAAGCTCCCACTGACATGGCCATCATGATGCTCTTTTGGTTCACAGGGGGTTCCGTTTAGGGTAAGGGATATGGGGAACAGCTGGGTTTGGGGGAGCTAAGTCTGCTTTTGTCACAGGTTAAAGCACTGGTTGTCACAGGTTAAATCGTACAGCGGCCGTCTCGCTTGCCTTCTTCAACGTAGATTTAGCAGACGTCGTCCGCCGTGCCCCTCGCGCGTGGCTGTCAACCCTTTTGTATTGGTTTGACCCAGACCGACCGACTTTTTCCGGCGTCTTTCTGTCTCTTGCTGCAACTGCCTGTCCATTGCGCCCACCCCATTACCGCAGGGCTCTCGTTCGCTCAAAGCCTTCCCAGCAATCGTGCCAATACTCGTATCCTAGCCGCCTGTCCGATAACCAGCGCTTGCAGAGGAAACGCTGACTGCCGATCGCCGCATCTCTTCCGTCAATAGTGTGTGCTCTCGAGTCCACTGCTCGTGATCCTCTTCTGACCCTGCAGCTGCCCGTCAATTGACATTATCAACATCATCGTCGCCGCCGCCGCTCCCTCTCTCCGGCGCCATGACGACCATTGTTGCCGCTCCTGCTGCTCACGCCGTTCCCCGAGACCAAGGTCTTTCCAGCCTTGCCCACCTCGCTGCCTCTGCTCCTCCCATGGCCACCAGAACCACTCCTCCCGGTACTAACGCGCCTGTCTCGACCGACCACTCTCCCAGATCTGCCCCGAGGCACAGCGCCGAAGACAACGTCTCTCCCAAAAGGTATGTGTCCTGCTCCCCCATGCCTCCGACATCTGTATACTCATCATGCCCGACANGTGCTCGCGCTGCTGGTTTGCGATCCGTCACAAAGATCAAGAAGGAGCCGCCAGCGTCTCCCAACCCCTCGGCAAAACCCCGACCGAGACGACTCGACCTGTCAGTCCACGGAGCCACTGGTCGTGGTCCTCAGACTGCCCGTCCGGCTCCTTTGACAGCCAGAGACTCGGCGGGGCTTGCTATCCATGACCTTGGGGTTGCATGCCTCTCGCCAGGCTTCCAGACCCAAGATCCAACCATGCGCTCGCAGCTCCAGCGCAGTCTGGATGTGAGAGAGCAGCAGCGTCAGATCATTGAAGCGCGCCAAAAGGGCGTGAAGCCTCCAGTCGATATCCTTGGCGCTGGACCTGGCGCTGAATCATCACAATTCGGCATGCCTCAAAGGACACCCTCAACGTCGCGTAGAAAGGGCCCTCCCNCCGGCTTGTCAATCACAGCTCCCTCGGCAGCTACCTTTTCGAACGAGCGCGTCATCCAGTCCGCTCCACTGCACCACTCTTTCACAGGCTTGCGCCCACATGCTCACCAGCCTAGCGGTCTCAGTCAAACGAGCCACATCCACCATGTCCCTGCCACACAAACAGCCAACCGCCTTCCTCCAATCTCGGACGTCTTTGCCCACGACAGTCTTCAAGCCCCTCCGTCCGCCCGCCCGCCAACCGCTATGTTCGCAACTGGTCACTCACCTAGCATTGGCCCTCCTCCCCTCCAGAGTCCCGGCATGATGCAGCAGCAGCAGCAGCAACATCGAGAGCAGCACCAACACAGTCAGGGACCGCTCACGGGGCGCAGCAGAGAGTTCAAAAGCGCAGAAGAAGCTGTACAAGAGATGTCCCGTGGACGTGAAGATCTACTACCCAAGATTGTCCACTATGGCGGTGCGCAACCACCCACACCTCCATCGCCTATGCCTCCAAGTCAGCAAGCTCAACATCCCGGCCACCCTCAGTCATATCCTCACCCTCCCCAGCGTCAATCGCCCCACGCGTCTGGAGCCGCACGAGTAGACGCCCTCAGGTCGGAGCATAGCCAATCTCAAATGGCCGGTAGAAGACGCCCCCGCGACGAATACGAGCGCGAACACGGCAGTCCCCTAGGACAGCAGGAAGCCAAACGGGCCACATATCATCCCGATGCTAGCGCCGACTGGCGTTCGGGCATGAGCAACCAAGAGAAGAGAGACGAATTCTTGCGCCTGTGTTCGCGCGCGTGGGATCTGTTCCATTCATGATTACGGCCGGTGGATTACCGCGGTGGCGGTGGGCAAAGGCATTTCGACGTTTCCATTTGCATATCATCAACATTTGTGCACGCCATTTACATCATCAACTTTGACGGCTGGATCATTTATTTCTAACATGCCTGTGGAGTTTTTCTTTTTGGGAAGGGGAGTTGAAGGCGGAAAAAGATGGAAGTATACACGTCTTTTCTGTACTGTCATTAAGGAAAGGTTTTTGGAGTGGTTGTGTCTTTCTGTTTGCTGTTCCATATGTTTGCGAGGGTCCGATTTGACGACCTTGATTTGATGGTTTTGTCTGTTCTCTCACTATATCCCCTTCTCTTCTTTCTTGCATTTCACATTCTGGAATGTCTTTTTGCTCTCTCGCTTTCTTTATTTCTCTTTCATGAGCCGAAGCCAGACGGCAAGAAGTCAGTTTTTCGACATCCTTACCGTCTAATCGTAATGCTCTATCTTTATCAACCAATATTCTCTCAATCCTTTTCTGGTTTCTCGTTCTACTTTGCTCCGGTGGTACAGATGTATAGAAAATCTATAAATGGCAAGTCCAGACTCTCAAGTGTCACGGAATATGCCAAGTATGGGACAAGCGTCATGGTCTACATGAGCCCGAGACCGTGTTTCGGAAGTGCATGCAAGGCAACATATCACAGAATGCATGTCAGCAATTCGGGCAACGAGAAAACGCCATTGCATGGAGGAAGAGGTGGGGAGGCTTGTTCCATGTGGCTTCCAAGTCATGCAACGTGCAGGGGCAATGCTTGATCGTTGTGGGCTGCAGGCAGGAAGCACTAGTTTTGGACATTGCTCTGGAGGAAGGCCATGCTTTGCTAGGCAGTCTAGGAGAGAACGCGAATGCGAGTATAAACTGGCAGGATTGGACCATGCAGTCAAGGTTTGAAGTTGGTGCAAGACTGGGCATGTGTTTTCCTCAGGGCTTGTGGTGCGACTGAGCTGCATGTGGAGTGGGTGCAGCTGACTCTTCGACGCTGTCCGGTTGCACTTTCATGTCGCGTGTCTCATGNCTCCTCCTGATGCTGGCCCTCATCGGTCTCGGTCTCGTTCTCGTTGGCTTCGTCGTCGTCAATCTCGACCTCCTTACCATCTTCGAGTCTGCGATACTTTCTCCTGGCCTTTTTGTTCTTACTAGCCTTTTTCTTCTTTTCTCGCTCNNGGCTTTCAAGGCGGCGCGACTGTCATCTCCCATAAGCAGCAGCTCGATCCTCTCTGCCAATATCCGTCGAGCGATCTTGCGATTCTGACTCCTCGAACGGGTCTCCTGGCATTTGATGACGAGACCGGTGGGCAGGTGTTTCAGCTGCACTGCAGACGAGGTTTTGTTGATCTTTTGGCCACCGGGGCCGGTGCCTTTGAGGAAGGCTTCTGTGATGTCGCTTTCGAGGATGGTGGGTCGTGGTGGAAGTGGTTTCTGAAGTAGCGTGGTTGTTGTGGTGAAGAGGACACGGAGTGTGGGGGCACGAGAGGCTTTAGCCGGCCTTGTCGAGAGGAAGAGGCAGCGTAGCGGTAGCATTGAATCTTTTCAAGGTCCCGTGTCTTGGTGAAGATAATTGAGGAAAGCACGACTGAGATAGACGTCATTTCGTGAAGCAGCCGGCCCGGAGTCGCATCGCGGGCCGGCGCTTCTCCCCGAAAGCGAAGGCCTTCCATCCATGTACCTATCGACGCTGTCGGGAAATCAATCGCACCTTCCACGCTTGTTCCGACCTCTTTCGCCCTTGCTGTCTGCCAGTCGCGGCGTCTGTTCCTTCACACCGATACCACTTCCGCCTACATCCGCTGCCCTTGTCCCCAAGTCGGTCCATCGCCAATCTCCCGAAAACACAAGACAAACACGGCAGAAACGCATACCACAATTGAATGTCCACTTCCGTCCACCAACTTTTGAACCCCGCGACAACCACCGTCATGTTGTCCGCACCCATCAGTCTCCCTACCGTCTTCGCAGGCGCTGCCGTCATCTTCCTCTTCGCTCTCGCTCTGTACCCTTCCTCACTGTTGCGCTGGTTCCAGCGCAAGCGCTATCAATATGAAGTTACCTTTTCGCTGTACATGCTGACCCCCACCGAGAAGTTCATCTTCAGTGAGTCCACCTGCTGCTCCATGCGACTCTGGAGTCGTTGCTAATCAATGTCCGGCTTTANNGACTCAATCCTCTTCCTCTTCCTAGCCATGGTCTCGATCGCCGTCGCATTATATCTGCCCCGTCATGTCAGAATCATTGCACACCGTGCCTATTACTACGTCTCGGGAGATCTGGTAAAGAATGGCACAACCAGTGGCGTCCTGGGCACGACAGCCGACATCTTGACACCCACTACGGTTGCTGAGGCTGCTGGCAGTGCTTGACCGTCGACGTTCATTCAATCTGTGCCAACCGCTTCTCGCTAGCCTCTTTGGACAGGAGTTGGAAGAACACAGCATGTTGACCGGGAGGAAGGAAAGACACTCGAACGATATCTGGACACGCATATTGAAGTGCTGCGGCCACTTTTCCCTTCTACTTCTTTTCATACGCCTTTTTAATCAACGACACTACTATATGAGCGTTTTGGCAAAAGCATGCCTCCTCGTCCTTGATCTCACCCTATGGCAAGATTGCCTTGTCAACACCCACGGCTCACGCCACTCCTTGCTCCTCTTAGCATACATGCTGGTCTTCTCGCGGATTCTTCTGAATCCTTTCGTGCAGAATTGAAAGACGGTTCGCTCTAGAATGTAGGATGAAGGAAAAGAGCGTCTGATGGCGCCAACTCGGAAGGCGACGATGAACTAAACCACAGACAAAAGAAGTATCTGATAATAGGGACACGAGGAGTGATGTAAAGGCACATATGGTAGAAGTGAACTCGAACAAGAAGATCATCCACAGCACGACGAGAACAAAATAATATAATCAACAGGGGTGGGGTGAAACCAAAATCTATGTCGACTCGAATACAAATACAGACAAAAGTTGCTTATTTCGTGATGTCGTGATCTGATGTCCCGACGTTCTGGCTGGAGCGGCACATTGTGAGACGAACGTGCTTTTCAAGCTTGTCTTTTGACAAGAGAGCAGGCTTCTAGGAAACTTGTGGTCTAACCCTTTAGATGGCCATCAAACTCAAGTCGAGTTGATCTCTGCTCGGCTTGCCAATCTCATAGGCTAGAATGGAGAGGTCTTGATAATGGACCAGTAGACGCCACCTTTTAAGATCATCTTCGAGGTGCTCGGTTCCCTGAATAGGTCCCACGGCAATACCATGAATGCCGGCTTTAGGTCGGTGGCCGGCTTCCTCCTGACTGGCCAACGGTAGGATATGGTCTACCCTGTATCCATAAACGCGTTTTTCCATTCGCGGTCTTTCCAGCGGTGTTTGGTTGACTTCGACCTTTTCGTAATCAAGCATACGAGTGACCGTCTGTGTGAGTGATAAGATGGCAACACGACCTTGTTGCGTCGCGATGATGACAACCCCTAAACTCGGTATTTGTGCATACATATTAATGCGGCCAAATTTTGTGGATCCAGAATCGAAGGGGATAGGTACTTCTTGCTGGAACAGACGTCGTGTAGACGGTATGGGTAAGTGGTCCCAAGCCTTGCTGCTTGTTGCTGGCTGATAAAGGTAGATGTCCTTGAAAGAGAGCTGTAATATAGGGCAGGGGAGATCGCCACACATGCTCTCACCACGTTTGAACCGAGCTCCAGGTCTAAGTGATCGTATCAGCAAAGTTGCCGTACAAGATGAACGTAAACTTACTTTNGGCTTTGCAATCTGCCACATGGTCCCATCTGGTCTCGGAAAGGCAACATGCGTGTCCTCGGCGGAATCGTACCCAGTTCCGTCGTAACTATCATCGCTGTCCCAGGCGTGGTCTTCATCGTTACTCTCTTCTGATTCCTCTTCCACCTCCTCTTCGCTGCTTCTGTCGGCGTCGACATTGGCCCGTCGAAGAGGAGTCGGGGTCGAAGGCCCGGGAGTTCCATGCCGAGATAGCTCCAAGGGATGGGCGTAGTTGCCATTCCTTACCACGACCGGATTCCCCACATCTCTGAAAGGACGACGGACATGACTGATACAGTCCACCGTCTTTCCTAGATCCCAAATGGCATTGTCCTTCTCTCTTTGCAAGTCCACGCCAATTTGGCTTGAAGAAACACCCAAAGCTTCCTCTATCGTAGTCGTGGTACGAAAGGAAAGTGGATCGAGAAACAATAGACCCCATACACCATTGCGACTATCGATATGGTCTTTGGGTATTCGAAAAATAGGGGGGCTGAGAGCGGTATTGACGAGCTGGTTCAACTGTAGGCTGTGTACGTCCCACGCGGCGACTTGTCCCAGAAGATCCGCAGTCAACAGCCATCTACCGGCAGGATCATGCCCAGTATTGCAAAAAGCAATATCCGGCAAGTTTTCTATTCCTCCCGAATGGGCCAAGATACGTACATCGTTCTTGCGCCTGTCGTTTGGCGGCACCACTCCGCTCATTCCGTAATAGTACACCTCGTCTTCGTCAGGAAAGTCATTCTCGTCATCTGACACACCGTCGGTGAGAGCAAAGGTAAAAACTGTGGTAGTATGTGTGTTGGCGCTCACGGCGATCATGCGAGCAGTGCTGTGTATAGCCAATCCCCAAGCACTAAGTCCAACGCTTCTTTGGAAGAATGGCCTGATGTCGGTAGATAGGATACCCAGGGTGCTATCATGATAAGTTCGCTTCTCGATGGCGTTGTAGATGTGCCGCGTGTAGTACGCCTCGACATCGCCATCATCTCTAACGACCGCAAGCACTTCTTCATTGCCTAGCGACTGTACCAGCAACTTGTTGATGGCGCGGGTGCCGTGACCTGCGTAGTGTCCATAAAGCCTTTGTTCTTCAGGAGTTTTTGATTTTTGCTCTGTATGTACAACCATAGCCGGTTCCTGTTCAATACTCTGAGAGGGAAATTGTGGCTCATAAACGTAAATCTTGTCAACATAGGCAACGAAGTAGAGGTCGTATACATGAGAAAGACCGGTCTGGCCAATTCATGAGCGAAGAGTCTTGTCGTGTCCTGGCCGTGTTACGCACCGCGTTGCATGGTATCTTGAAAGCCGACGATGCCTCGAANNGCATGCTGGCACGTTCTCGTCACGCCGTCTGCTGTTCGAAAAGCGATCTTTGAAGAATTGTGCGCCTGTAACGGTGAGGCTGACCTCCCTGAACGGCCGATTACCTTGCGACATGTTGGTTCAGTTAATCAACATGCTGCGCCTTGAACCAAGAAACGAGAGGCGAGTTAAGCGCCGAGCTGGCAAATCGAAACGGATAAGGTGATGGGTGCTTAGCTGCAATGTGCTGATGCCGACCTACAAGACCGCGACGAAAAGGTCTATTGACCTGGGAATCTTTCGAGCAAATTCCCTTGCCCTATCCTCGCTGGAGACCTTGTCGTACGCACAGATCGCTGCCACTCTCTGCTGAGTGAACGGGGTTGGGTCGACGGATGCTCGAAGTTTCGCAGACTGCTGTTGCTGACACATGCTCGTGGCGTTGTCAACGCGGAAGGCGCGCTGCCGACGCCCAGCGCGTTAAAGCACCATCAAAGACAGCATTTATTACCGTATTGCTCTTGCCGTCCATGTTCACCAACCTTGTCACACGGGTGCTCCACCACGCCCGAGCGGTCTATATTCGGGCTCTTACTACTGCACGCACTATCCGTTATTCGCTACAGGACTATATCATCTCAGTCCAGCCAATAGGCCTCAGTTCGGACTGCCAGCGCGGTCTCTAAGCCACAAAGCTCCAACCCCATGCAAGTCATCAACATGGCTGCTTGCAGATGCGTATGTAGACCGACTGATTTGCTGTACACGCTCAGGCACATGCAATGCTTCACCCTGTTGCGCATGGCGCTGTACTGTAGTTAGCTGCTTGACGCTGCAGCAAAGCCACCGTCAAAGACTTGTCTTCTCGAAGCGACGCAAATGGTTTAATGCATCGGCGATATCGCACAACATGAGGTGTACTAGCCACAGCGTCCTTGCCGGCCTTGAACTCCGACAATGCTCGGTGCGCCGTCTCTCTGTCGGAGTCAAAACCCGACTACCTTCGTGCATAAAGCGTGTGGAATGTCGCAGCCCATGCCTAAAGGCCAACAACGGGAAATACTGTCAAAGGCACAGAACTCGTCATCATACATCAAATGCCATTGCTTTTAGTGTCATGGGTTGCTTGTCTGCCCGTCGGCGGATCGGTTCAAGTCTGATGATTACGTTCTCACTTTGTGACATGTTGAAAAATACACTCGCGAGATGTACTTGTGCGCCTCTTCAGTCTGTTCAGTAAGACCAGGCAATCCGTTCCGAGCGCCTAGAGGATCAGGATCAGGTATGTCACCCCCAAAGGTGACTCCTTAACCTGAAGATGATAGACATGATCGTAATGCTGCATATTATTCGCGAGACCGAAAACCCCTAGTTCTGCTCGCTTTCTAGTCTGCAGGGCAGCACACAGTCGTCAGGCCGTCATCTCGATCTCAGCCACATTATCTGAAATTCCATATATCGATACGACAAAGGGTATGTGGGTTGTCCATCGACTATGCATTCGATGCATGAATGATTGCCCGAGCAGAGTTTTCCCAGCGGCCTATCATTACAACAGGCCGTTATGATACTTGGCGAGTATCTGGGTGAGAATGTGAGGCTCTATTCGAGCTTCGAGTTATAAGTCCTTGAACACTTCCCCTTGTCAGACCCTTTGTTTTCTCCGCAACACCATCGTACAGTCCAAGATCTAAACTCTATCTTGCTCTAATGAAGTAACATTGGACCTCAATGTCCCTGACTTGTCACCATCGCCCTGTCGATCTCCCAATCGCAATCATGGCTGATATTAAACCATCACCAACATATACAAATACCGAGGTCAATTCCTCCAACGTCCGCTTTATGCGGTCTTCTTCCTCCAGCCTGGAGACGCTCAACCTCCTCCCAACGGACCAACTCATTGTTCTGTTCACGCCAGCAATCCCCTCGGCTGATGGTCACGAAGATCCTTTCGAGTGTTTGGGCCGCTCTCTCAGCAAGTGGCACGCTCGGATCCGACATGTGCCATTCGTTGCAAAAGTCGGTCTGACAGACCTCCATGCCGCGTGGATACGAAAAGCAGGAGCTATCGTCGTCGTCAATTGCGACCCAACCCTGCTGATCGACACAAAGGCGAACAGCAACATGCCTTGCCAAACCAAGTTTGCCTCGCAAGTAGTGGAGATACTGCACAACACTCGTGGCGGGTCGCAGGTGCCGCTGTCCGGTGTTTATATTAGCACTTCGGTTGCGTCGCCATCAGATACAAGTAGCTACGACAACGTGGTCGTGTGCTCTTCTTACTCGGCGGCCACCATGGAGAAGGCCGCATCAATGTTGATGTGCCAATGAATGCTCATGGCCCGAAAGCATGGTTAAGGCCTGCTTGCAAGCTGCAACTTCGTCTTGACAAGATCATTGCAAACGGCTGATTGGTGGTGCGACATGTTGCATTCCCATCAAGCTTGGGCACACCATCTCGTAATGGTGGCAGATGCGCGAGTTTCGGGAAGAGTGATGAACGGCTAACAGGCCGTGATTTTTGAGCTGGGAAATCATGCAGTCTGTTTTTGTGTTTCAACATTCAGTCCTTGTCTGTAAATCGATCAATGTCCAAGAAGAAATCATTTATATCTCACCCACCATCGTGACAGCACCAGCATCTCGTGTAGCGGAGTGTTCTCCTTGTAAAGTTTTGGTCGTCGCAAATAGTGACTACGCTGCTGCTTTCTACCATGCATTGAGGTGACCTGCATAGATTGCGATATCTAGGCTCGTCCATGCATTCTTCCATGCGAACCCCTCTTTGACCTTGACAAATCCCATGCCATTTCAAAAGTTGGTAGGGAGCAAGGAGACGTTCCGGAGGGGCATGCACATATGTATGTGGGCCTTTCGAAGTGCATGTTCGACGCAAATTAGCAAGCACAGACGAGCGAGGAAAGCAGACACCCACGGCACCCTCCCCGCCGGCCGAGGAAAAGGTATATCAGAGATCACCGTTCATGTTTCTTTCATTCGAGAGATTGAATCACGCATGAAGTTGTGTGGCCATTCATGAGTGTTTCTCTGTTCGGATCCGATTGACCGCAGGTATCCATATGCACAGTGGGCTTGATCGTTGCGAGCTCGTTTGCGAGCTCGTTGTGCCGAGGAGGAAGGTGTAGACGGAATGTTGACATATACGTACATCGTACGCCCATGATTACCTATCTCGTAAATAGAGGATAAGTCGAAACGTGAGATATTGGCCGCAGTAACGATTGTCTTCACGCTCACAGCGAGGACGCAGTACAATGCGACCAGACCGCTCCCGCAACATAGTCATTGCGCTTCACCGGTTGACTGCAATTGTCAGTCAGTATGCAAGATGATTATGCAAGATGGTAATTACTCTATCGCGATGCGGAAATCGACGGGATCTCGTTGCGGGCGTATGCATGAGGCGATGTCGTTGTGTATCCACATGTGTAATACCTGCATCGAATACGTGTCTTGGACTAATCGCTTCAATTAAGACCTTATGCTTGTTCAAGCTATTTTACGTTATGGCTCAGTATATCAGGATGTTGTATATTTCGTGGCGTCTATGTGTGGCTTCTAAATGCGTCTCGATATCTATCCATGACGTTGACTTCCAGGATCTCTCGAGTCTAGTCGAGTCTAGACATGATTTGACACCGTGGCCTTCGGATGGTGTTTGGACTGGCTGCATGGCATTGATGCCACCTTGACGGGGACGCGAAGATGGCGGCATGGTCTTCGGTGATGAGAACAAACTCAACGGGCTACATGTGACAGCCCATCCTAGGCTGATATGGTTGGCCGACAGTAGCGAAATGTCAGTAACTGGAGACTCATTTCTGGTCCCAGTCCAGCTTCATTCTACCCTCTGTGTTCTGGTAATTCTTCAATTCTTGCACACATTGCTCGCCAGTCTTGGCTTCGATCATGATGTTGGCGTTGTTGTTGGCGATGAAGCCGCTCTTGACGGCGGTGCGTACCCACTGCAGCAGGCCGTCGTAGTAACCTTCGACATTGAAGATGACAACACCACGCGCGTGGATGCCCAGCTGGTTCCAGGTTGTGACCTCCATAAGCTCTTCCATGGTCCCGTAGCCGCCCGACAAGGCGACAAAGCCGCCGCCTTCACCGCCATCGATAACCTCACGGGCCATTGCTTGCTTCCGCGTGTGCATGTCTGCGACTATAGTGGTACGGCCAAAAGTGGATTCGTCGATGACAGAGTCTAGAGGAGCGCCTTCCTTATAGTCGCGTTCGTATTTCACGAGGGCTTCAGGAATAATGCCGTGAACAGCGTCCGGACCGGCCAAGGAGACCAGTGTCTTTGCGACCTCGCCCATGATGCCCACGGTGCCACCGCCGTACACCAGCTTCATGTTGTTTTCGTGGAGAGCGTTGGCCAGTTCGCGGGCGGCAGCGAGGTGAGCGGGCGAGTTGCCTCCAGAGGCACCACAGCTGTTCGGAGAGTGTCAAACATGGCTCTGGGCTCCAAAGGGGGGCATGACCTACAAGACACAGACAACTGGCTTGTTTGAGGTGGCGGACGACGGGGCTATCGCCTGTCCTGCCTTGGGTTCCATCTTGCCGTTGATTGCCATGTTGAAAGTGTAGGTATGGGTGTGAGTGTGTGGTCTATGAGGGTCTATGAGAGTCTACGAGAGCAAGGGGAGAGGCGAGGCGAGAGTCAAGGAGAGAAGAGTGGATGACAGGTCTACAGTATTGATCATGTATTAGCACATGTTTGCGATCATTGGCGCATGGTCATTCGGCCCCGGCTTCTCAACGGTCGTCCGCGGACGGACATGATGGCCATGCTAATAAGCGCTTGAGATGCTGCAGTTCGGTGGTCGAGACGGCCTGACTACGAGTAGACAGATGTGATGCACCAAGCCAGAGGGTTTCACGACCGACACAGCAAGGTAGGTATGCGCTGTGCAAGAGGGCCAGAGTAACGAAGAGCACCTGGCCGGTCATGACGAGTGGGCTGACGCACAGGCCAATCCTTCTCCAGATCTGCGGAGTCGGCGGCCGCAGGAACGACCGAGGCGGATCCAGACGATTGATTGTTGCTCCTTCTTGATTCGTTCGCTCTGGTCTTCTCTTCCAACATATTACACCATCTCAAAGTATGGCGCAAAGTTGGGACTACATTGCCAAAATCGTCTCGCTTGGTGACTCTGGCTGCGGAAAGTCCAGTGTACGTTGTCGATTGTCCAGAGCCCACGTCCACCACTAACTCGGCCTCGCTGGTTGCAGCNTCACGATAAGACTGTGTGAAGGACGCTTTTCTCCTCATCATGATGTGACCATCGGAGTCGAGTTCGGCAGCCGCATAGTGCCTGTTGGTCCACCTGCCTCATTAACCCTCAAAGTCAACAACCCTTCCGCCAACCCGACCCCCATCGAGACATCATCCAACGCCGACTTGCAGAACCAAAGGCACATGAAACTTTCGTTATGGGATACGGCCGGCCAAGAGACATACAAGTCAATCACCCGATCCTACTTTAGAGGTGCTAGCGGTGCTTTACTGGTTTTCGACATCACCCGCCGCGCAACCTTTGACGCTGTGACTGCATGGTTGAACGACCTTCGCCAGATAGCAGAGGAGAACATCATTGTTGTGCTCGTCGGCAACAAGAGTGATCTCGCTCCTGCAACAACTATTTCCGAAGGTAGCGCCTCCGAGAACAAACGACAAGTCACACAGGAAGAGGCCGAAGCATGGTGCAAAGAGAACAAGGTCATGGAATATGTCGAGACCTCGGCCAAAAGTGGCGACAACGTCGAACGAGCCTTCCGCGAGGTCGCTGAGAGAATATACCAGAACATCGAAGCCGGCAAGTACGATTTGAATGACCGACGGTCCGGAGTCAAGGGCCCTGGCGCATCTGCTGGCGGGAACACTGCGAGAACCATCAATCTGGGCATGAACGATGCTGCCTCTGTACAAAAACGCGCCAAGCAGGGTGGATGTTGTTGATCCTGTTGTGAATTTGGCGCTTGGAGCTACTAATCATGGAGCATAGCGGGCGTTAAAGGGCATGGCCAAAAAGGCTTCTGGATATTCTTGCACGCACGGTCAATGTGCTAATGTCACTTCTATTCACTCATTGACAACTACCTCTGTCATCTAGGAGCACTACTGCCGTCTATCTCGACACCCTAGAGACTAGAAGGGGATGATGCCCATGATAACTAGATTCTTTCAGAGTGTTATCTGGCCACGCTTCTTGCGTCGAGGGTATTGTGCATTTCTGTACCTATCGTATAACGATTTCTAGCCGTTCCAGGATCACGGCGTAGCCTAGCAAAATAACAACGAGACACAAAAACAGTCTCTCCATCAGGGAATCGAACCCTGGTCTCCCGCGCTTGACGAGATGTTACTCTTGACAAGCGGAAATCATGACCACTAGACCAATGAAGATGAGGCCAGCTGAGCTGAAATTGGTTTCTCGTGTGCAAGTTTGGCCGTGGTGTGTCGTATATGATTCATCCAATCCCAATCGCCTAGGTCACCATTAACCAGATGATGAGGCGAAACGTGTCTGAGGCCAGCAGAGACCTGGAGTAGAGCGGCAAGGCATGAGATGGTTGGATGGGTCGGATGACAGTTTTGCTCCAAGTCGAAGATTGTAAGAAAGCCGAGAGATGTTGTGAGCTGGATCTGACAAAGGACATGGAGGACACGGAAGAGGCAGAAGATGATGCCAAGTAGATCGGGGTTGGCAGTCAGTCACGACGGCAGTGGACGGAAGCCCAGTGACGGCGCCGGCGAGACTTGGCATATTACGTGGGGAAGGTGCGCGAGGCAGCACGCATGCGCCAAACAACCTAGACACTCATAGGCAGCAGACAGACAAAGCAATCATGGAAGAAGATTCGCCCTGGGGTGGTGAGTGAGGTCGCAGTCCATCGTCTCGAAAGTTGCTCATCCAGACACTACAGACGTCCCGTCACGATCGCATTCCAACAGCAACCTGGCCGCCCAAGCTACAGAAGACGAGCCGACGGCATCGACGACCAAGGCGACGCCATCGACGGCAGAAACAGACACTCCTGCCGCCTCGGACACCACTCGATCCAAAGTCAAGAGCCCGCCATCCAAGACACGTCCATCGCGCCGCTTCGGCACACAATCCACCACTCTCGAAGCACTCGACGACTCGCTGGGCCCGCTCGGCCCCCTGGGCGATGTACCTGCAGAAGCTGCTCCTGTCGAGGAACGCCCTGCACCACCGCAAAAGGAGCAGAATGTCCGCAATGCTCCTCCGACCGCCCTAATGGAGAGCACTACCCTAGACGATGACGGCACTTCGACCATCTCGGGACGCGCTCCTCCGCCTGTCCAGCCTGCGCCGGTAGCCGACGCTCCTAAGCGCCAGGTGCAGCCCAGCGTCAGCATCGAACAAGCTGCCAAACCTTCTTTCGACATCAGCGTTGGCGATCCACACAAGGTCGGAGACTTGACCAGCTCGCACACCGTCTATCAAGTCCGCACAAAGACGACCAGCAAGGCTTACCGAACCCCCGAATTCACCGTCTCACGTCGCTACCGTGACTTCTTATGGCTGTACAACCAACTGCACAACAACAATCCAGGAGTCGTGGTGCCGCCGCCGCCAGAGAAGCAGGCCATGAATCGCTTCGACCAGAACTTTGTCGAGAGCCGCCGCGCCGCTCTGGAACGCATGCTCAACAAGTCGGCTGCTCATCCCGTCCTGCAGCACGATGGCGATCTCAAGTTGTTCCTCGAAAGTGAGGCCTTCAATGTCGACATCAAGCACAAAGAGCGCAAGGACGTCGGCTTGCCCGAGACAAAGTCGGGCGGCGGCATGCTGGGCGCCATTGGCCTGTCGGTCGGGTCCAGCACTAAGTTTGTCGAACACGACGACGTAAGTGCCGCCTATTCTTCCTATATCGATGCTCTCCCTCCATCTCCCGCGCTTCCCGAACCCGTCGTCCCTAGTTACCACACTTACACTATTATGTCGCAGTGGTTCCATGACCGTAGGATCTACCTTGATGCCCTCGAAACTCAACTCAAGGCTCTCCTCAAATCTACCGACACGGTTGTTGCTCAGCGTAAATCATTGGCCGAGAGCTGCCAGGACTTCTCTGCTTCGTTGCACCAGCTTGCCTCGGTCGAGCTGTCGCCCGAACTCTCTGCTCCTCTTGATGCCCTGTCCGACATTCAAATGCGTATCCGTGACCTCAACGATCGCCAGGCTCAGCAGGACGTCTTGACACTGGGTATTGTTATTGACGAGTACATTCGCTTGATTGGCAGTATCAAGACAGCCTTTCAGCAACGCCAGAAGGCTTATCACAACTGGCACACGGCCGAAGCTGCCTTGCAGAAGCTCAAGAATACTCACGACAAGCTCTTGCGAGCCGGCCGTACTCAGCAAGATCGTCTTTCTCAGATGCAGGCAGATGTTGCAGATGCCGAGCGACGTGTACACCAAGCACGTCTGCTGTTCGAAGACATGGGTCGTCTGATGCGCAGCGAGCTGGACCGCTTCGAGCGCGAGAAAGTCGACGACTTTAAGAGTGGTGTCGAAACCTTCCTCGAGTCGGCAGTCGAGGCGCAAAAGGAACTCATCGAGCTTTGGGAGACATACTTGCTACAACTTGACGCCGACGACGACGAGTCGACACCGTACTTTGCCGCCGGTGTCAATGCCAGCGATCGCAATGCAGACCAGGATGCTTCGCATAGAGATGTGACGGAAGGCGGAGAGGCACCTGCAGCGGGTGCTGTTGGTGAAACAAGTGATACCGAGGAACAACACTCTGAGCTTGCCCCTGCAGCTACAGAGGTTGAGAGCGAAGCATAGACATGGTTTAGGATATCGTGTAGCAAAAGAAGTATGTATAATGCACTGATGTCTTTTTTTATATCATACGGCTGTCAGGAACAAGCTTCACAGGAGTGTAACGAGAAGATGTTTGTGAACAGTCAACGCTTTCGTATGACCGACCAAAATCGCTGGCTAAGCGGGACACCCTGGCATTTTCAGCACACATCTACCCAACGACGATGTGGTGCCATAAATGTCTACATCCAGTAAACCAGGCCTTATCATGGACTTAGTCGTATTGCCGGACTTATATATAGCTGTATGATGGCCTCAGGGTCGTTGTAGTATCGTTGTCATCGAATCCTTTCTCGCTTCGCACAAGACCACTAAGATTATTACCCCTCCAGCACTGGAATCTCACTTGAGACACAGTTGCATCAAAGTGACTATGACCCATAGACAGAAGTTCAGCAGTATTCGTTCCAGGCAAGTGGTCGACAACTCTGGCCGCGATATCGAAGCATCTCTATCCCTATGCAAAGGGCATTCAGAAGTCTGTACAGCAAGTAAGAAAGCAAAAGACCGTCTGACCGAAGCAAGAAGACTGCCCCCAACACTCGACTGGCAGAACATATGCCATGTTCACCCGGATGAGAATGTGGGTATGAGAAAGGTGGAAATTGGAAAATAGAACCGTGCTGTTTGAGACAGGACAGCCGTTGACCGATGTCCGCAAAACTCATATTAGACCATCTGATATAAGTCCCATGCCGTCCTTGGAAACAGAATCGCATCAAAGCACTCCGCCCTGCCTGTTTGATGAAGAAGAACACTAAACGCCTATGCTCTCCATGAACCCAGTCCCATGCCATGCCATGCCTGCCAATTTCCTGCATAAGATGAGTCGTCCTGTTATTGCCCATGTGTGGATTTCCGCCCTTTCCCCGTTCATCCCAAGTTCGTTCAGATCGTTAATGTGGGTAGACTGTTAAAGAAAGAAGAAAAAAAAGAAAATGGGGGAAAAAGCCGAGACCTTGAGATGAAAGAAAATGCAAAGCTCGCCAGACAGAGCCCAGTTCGTTACCGAATCACGTTCCACTCCTTGACAAGACTTCCCTTGCCTGTCACGCTGTTATCGTTCCTGTTGGCTTTGCCAACGCCGCCAAAAGCGTCCCAGAAGCGTAGTGTTTCGTCTCCAGCTCCAGTAACAATCACACTGCCATCGGGGCTCATGCTGAGGTAGAGTACACGATATGTGTGACCGGTCAAGCTGACCACTTGTGACATGGATGGATATTTCCAGATGTTGATGGCATGCTGGGAGAAACCGTGGGTCGAGACGAGCTCCGAAGTCAGAGTCGAGAAGAGGAGATTACAGACCTGCGAGCCGGTGTCATGAGTGCGCAAAAGATGGGGATTTTGAGGTGTTGAGGCCATTGGGTCAGGAGAGGCGTGATGCGGCAATGCCGACAAAGAGGCGGATGTAAGGTCCAAATGCGCATGTGTCGAATTTGCGCTCGTCAGAGCGGCGTTTGCAGAATGCTGAGCTGTGGAAATTGTGTTCCAGAACTTGATACAGCGATCTGCCGTACCGCCTCCACTCGCGAGCAAGCCACGTTGATGTGGAGACCATGCAATGGCCTTTACTGCAGCCTTGTGACCCCCTTCTTGTTCGCCCCAGCGATGCAACCAGCGATCGCCTAGACCATCCCAGATGAAGATTTTGTTGTCGTTACCACCAGATGCCAACTGGTTTGTGTCACTGTTCCAACGCAGGCCACAAACTTCTTGCTTGTGACCCACAAGCTTCGTAAGGTATTGTTGCGGTGAACGCACATCGCGATGGAGGATGGTACGGTCGCGACTGCCTGTGGAGAGGATGTGAGCGTTCCAGGCAAGCGAAGAGACACGAGCCGAATGGCCTATCATGGTTCTCAACCTCCGTTGCGTGACTGTATCGAAGATGAGGACATGTCCCCTACCCGTGCCAATCGCTAAATGTGAGCCNCTATTAACGTCAGCATCAATTGTACGAGACAGTACCGCGGTGAGACGCACCCTTTGTATCCAACCAACGCTAGTAACGGTATCGGCCGTCAACTTGCACAGCTGTTCGACTTTTCCGGACTCGCTGTTCCATAGGTAAACACTGTCACCCAGACCAACGGCCAGCACACCGCTTGAACCCCAATCGACAAGATTGAGATAGAAGTCATCGGCCAGTTCGGGGGCATCAAGGACTTTGTAGGGAACCTTGCTGACAGCTCTAGGCGTCTTGCGCGGCGAGAGTAGCATGGATTGTGACGAGTATTTGACGGGTGACAAGCTGTAGATGTCGGAGCGAGCATTGATGTTGGGCCCNCGTTCGGTACGTGAATGCGAGCGTGGTGTCAACGAAGGTGTAGGATGTGTAGACTTGTACGAGAAGAGGTTCTTGTGCGGCGTGGAAGGGGTAAGATTGGAGTTGGCGGGAGGTGTCAGTGACTTGTCGTGCTGCGGGATGGATTGGGGTATCTCGTCGTTGAACATCTCGGAGCGGAGTATGGATGAATAGGTTCGATTGGCCTCGTCGGTCTTTNNTTGGACGTGGAGCTCGTTGGCAGGCGGCTTCTTGATAGCTCGATGTGGTGTGGCCGGAGAGCCTTGGTCGTGCAGCAGGTTGTAGCTGGCGTGGAGGTCCTGGCCAGCTCTGTTGGGTATAAAGCGGTCTGTGTAGACGCGCTGCCTTTTGCGCTTGGGACTTTCTCCAGGAGTATGTTCCCTATTGCGGCCGGCCTCCTCGAATTGCTGAAGTGCTTTGCTCAAGGCATCCGGGTCGACGGCTTCGGATGTTTTGCGCGAAGTTGATGTTGCATTCTTTTGGTTGGCAATGTTGTCGTTGTCGATGTCATTGTTGACGTTTGCACGAGTATGCGACACTGTCGGAGGGGTCTTTGTGCCGGGAGGAGACGGGAGCTTCGGTGTATGTACATGGTCGGGTTCGGAGTTTGCGCCAAACTTGGCCTCCAAACGAGCGGAGCGCATCGTCGTCGTGATATGGAGAGATTGTCGTGGTGGAGGCGGCGCCTCGGACGGAGATGACGGAAGAAGCCCACTGGCGACACTAGAAGGGCGGCGAGGCGGGCACAGCGATGGTCGGTGGAGCGATAGTGGCGGCGACGCAATGCGACAGAGGGGTAGGGATAGTGCGTCTAGCGACTAGCGATGGCGGTATGTGTTTGGATTGACGGTTGAAACGTTGGTCAAGGCCAGGGTGCCAGGGTGCTCTGCACTCGCAACTTGCCAGCCTCCGCGCGCCTGCTTCCTTGGTCCGTGCAGTCTCTATTGTTGTGCCTGGACAATCGCACGTGAACGAACCACCAGAGGGGGGAGGCGTAGGGAGAGGGCAGGGAGAGCGCAGCCAAAGTGAAGAATACCTAGTCAATCAAGTGATCAGATGCCGCTTCGTGAACAATGTCTTGTGAGAGTCAATGACTTCTGCTCCACGAGCAAAGACAGGAAAGCCCTACCGACTCTAGCACCGTGGTTGCCAGGTCAAGGGTCTCCGAGAGCACGCGCCTTCCCCATTCTCCTCTCTCCACAACCTTGAATCAAGCGTTAGGTATGCTGAGCCTCCTTCTGACACCGACGATTATCCATATCAATCGCAAGTCTTGAATTTATGCGGTATTGTAGCCCAATCAGCCTATCTATCCAACACTCTGCAATTCTCTAAACCAATGATACTTTCCAATATCTGATCGACACACTCGTCATCACCTAATCAACAAAGATCTTACTTTCCAACTCGCCGTAATGCTCAAAGAAACTCTCAAACAAGTTGATCGAATACTCGACATCATAAGCTCCACCAGTCTCCNNCCGAATGCTGTGCATCGAGAGCTGCGCGTTCCCAAGATCCAAGGTTCGGACGCCAGTGTTGGCTGAAAGCATGGGTCCAATTGTGCTTCCACAGGGCATGTCGTTGCGAACAACAAACATTTGCAGCGGTACTCCTTGGCCGCTGCTGCGGACATCGCCACTGCTCTTCTTTGCCCTCTTCGCAAGCTCCTGCAGGAGGACGATACCGGGAGAGTTGGTTGCATAACGAACGTTAGCATTAATTTTGATGACTGTACCCTTGTTCATCTGCGGCTTGTGTTCACTTTCGTACTTGGCTCCGTAATTTGGGTTGACACTGTGAGCCATGTCTGCACTGATCAGGAAACTGCTTGACAGCGACTGCTCAAAAGCGGTGCTCAGATCAGCGTCCTTATGGGTGGGCTGATCGGCTCGGTCGTAGGAACTGTCGCTCTCGGTTTCCTGCGAAGAAGGGAGCACTGACAGACGACGAAGTACTGATGGCAGAATGTTGGAGTCGGCGCCTTGAGCCGAGGTACTGCCAATCTCTTCGTGGTCGAAGCATGCAATGAGACGGATTGTGTTCTCATCAGTCAGAGGCTTGCCGTGGGACGATGTGGAGTTGATCAAGCCCTGTACAGCACAATATGTCATCATGAGGTTGTCCAGACGGGCAGAGAAGATGAGCTCGTTGTTGAGACCTCCAAGGCATGACTTCTGCGTATCGTATAGGACGATTTCGAAGTCGAGAATGTCCTCAGGCTTGACGCCAGCTTCTTTAGCGAGGATTTCAACGACATAGGGATGATGGCGTTCAGTTGGGTTCTTCAAAGGGCTGAAGTCGGCGCTCTCTGACTCCTGGTCCTTCTCTTTCTGAGCATCCTCCGTTGTCTTGCCTTGTCTGTTCAGCTCGGCCTCAACCAAGCCTGCGATAGGGAAGAGCTGGTTTTCCTTGTTGAACTCGAAGGGGACAGAACCGCCAAAGTGTACAGCCAAGTTGGGGATACGGCAAATGGGTCGGTCGACCTTGACCAGCTTTTGTTCCATGCCGCCGTCAGCACGCTTGCACATGACACGCCCAGCAAAACTAAGGTCGCGGTCGAACCAAGTTGCCCAATGGCCGCCTCCATACGCCTCTACACCAATCTGGATAAAGCCTTCAGACTGACGCTTCGACACGGGCTTGAGTCGAAGGCAGCACGAGTCGGTGTGGGCACCGACCATGGCAATGGGATTACCAGACTTCCATTTGTTACCGATGGCGAAGGCGATGATGGTAGACGAGTTGCGGGTGAGGTAGTACTTTCCGCCGGGAACGAGAGAATGGGCCCAGGCGTCACGCTCCTTGATCTTGGTATAGCCAGCAGCTTCAAGCCGTTGCGTGGCCGTGTGTACGGCGTGGAAGGCTGTTNNCAGATCGCATCAGTATCTGCTTCATGGCTTGCCATGCAGGAGTGGCATACGTGTTGGAGAGGCATTGACGAACTCGATGAAGTCCTCAGCCGGCTTGAGCGATGCTTGTTTGGCCATGGTTGCTATGCTTCTGCTGTAGTACTCGGTCACACGAGAAGGCAGGGAGTATTCGATGTTTGAACGTATCACAGCTGCAAAGAGTCGGCGTTTTGCAAAGGACATGGATAGTGCCTTTGGTAAGAATCGATTGTGACCGTGAGCTCCATCCTCGAATGGAAGCTCGGACCCTTTCAAGGAACCTCGGGTCTTTGGATGACGGGGTCCCGTCTCTAAAGTTGATTATGAACAGCATCCGCTAATCATGAGCCTACGTTCCTGCCGTCATTCTTTGTGTATGTGCCATGAAATTCTTCCTCCAGATGCCTGCCCGTGGTATATGCTCCAGAATGCTTCATCAACAAAATGCCAGAAATCCAAAGACTCCTCATTCGATGCTTCACCTCATTAATGTTACATGACAAGACACTCCTTTTCTTTGCTACCGCCGAGTTCTTTCGTCTTTGCCTTGCCCTTGGCCATAGGTACACCTGATTCGCCAGAGGCTGCTGCTCTAATAATGTCGAGTCTTTGTTTGGCAGTCTCGTTGCCCTTGTCGGCAGCCCTAACATACCACACGTTGGCTTCCAAGGGGTCGCGACGACAACCGATGCCCATCTCCGTGAAGTAACCCACGGCGTATTCAGCCTTTGCAAGTCCTGCGCATGTTAGCATTGCTTCCCTAAGAATCTCAGAAACAAATCTCTTACCCATTTCAGCAGCTCTCTTTGACCATTCGTAAGCTTCAACTTCATCCTTCTCGAGCACAGGCTCAGCTCCAACCATGTACCAAGCACACAATGCCATCATAGCTTCGGGCAACCCTTTTGACGCCGCGCCGTTGTAGAAATGAACACTCAGTGCAGCATCCTTGGGACATCCAAATGTTCCATTCTCGTATGCTTGGCCCATCCGGTAATTCGCCTCTGGATGACCCAGCTCGGCCGATTTGGTCATGAGCTGAGCGGCGTATGCTTCGTCCTTGAATATATCCTCGCCGAAACCAGTGAGGTGTAACAATCCAAGCTCATAAGGACCGCTGTTATATTGGTAGTCGGCAGAGTCCGTAGCACGCTTCAGCCATTTGACACCCTCCCGATATCGATTCACGAGCCCCATGTCACCAGTAAGACATGCTTTGCCAAGTCTTATTGCTGCTCCTGGATGACCCTTTGACGCAGCAGCGCGGAAGAACTGCACAGCCTTCGGGTAGTTTTTAGCGCAGCCCCATCCAAACTCGTAGCACAGTGCGGCACGATATCCTGATTCTGCATGACCATGCTTACTTGCCGCAACAAAAAGCGGCAGAGCCTTGTCGTAATCCGGCTTGTCCTTGTTGAACAATCCAGAGAAATAACCATCGGCAAGATAATATTGCGCAAAAGGGTAGGCGCGATCCGAGAGACGTTGGAGGATGCCGCGGGCTTCCTTGATCAGATCTGCAGCAGATTCCGTATCCTCAGCGTGATCTCTGGCTGCATTAATCATGAAGATGGCGAATTCGTACTGAATGCTGGGATCGTTGGTCTTCTTGACGTTTGCACGGTACATGTCGAGAGTCTTCTTGTTATCAAGCAATGACGCATTATTGCCAACGACAGACTGAAGACTAGTGTTGTTCATAGTTGGAGCCGGCGCCACTTGTTGCGAGTATGGCACTTCGTTCAGCAGGTCAATATACGACATCGGTCTGGTGTCAGGCGAACGTCGGTTGCCAGCCTGATTGCGAGCATAGATTCTAGGCGAACCGCTCACCGACAAGCTGTCGTCTGCAGACAATGGCGAATATGTGCTCGCCCGGAGGTCAGCGCCCAATGAGGTTTGCGAGGCGACACGAGGACCTGACGTCCTCGGCGGCTTTAGTGCGCCACCACTTGAAGAAGAGCCAACACTGTTCAGAGTTGCTTGAGACATGCGATTGGGATTGTTTCTCTTGACCGGGGATTCGTCAGGACCCTTGTGGTGGTATTGCAGCATGGGCAGTGGTTCTGGGTCTACTTCCTCAGCACCGGTAGTCGGAAGATCGCTCAAAGAAAGTTGTCCTATAGAATCAAGGTGCTTGATAGAATTGAGATGTTTGATGGATGATTGTTGGGAAGCAGATCTGGAATGAGAGCTCGAAGGGTGATCCGCCTGACCAGATGAAGGTCTGGACATGCCTGGTCGTGGCGACTCTGACGTGTCCGGGCTCGAAGGTGCTTCTTGCATGCGAATGGTCGGTCGTGCCATGCTACTCTTTCTAGGCGAGAAAGAAGCTCGTCTCTGATCTTGCGCGCTACCAAAGGCCAGTGTCTGGTTCCTTTGTACCTCGGCCATGTTTTTGAAGTAATGTGTGTATATATGCGCTTGGGAACGCAATTCTCTCTGTTCGTCCAAGGTCGAAGAAGACGAAGGATGTGACCTGGAACAACGAGGGAAGCGCGAGAGGTTGACAGTCGCGCAAGAATAACGGGATCGACTGGTGACGCGGATATATTCGTAATGAAGGTGGATTTTTGTCTATGTAGGTGTAAGCAACAGCGATCTTTTCACGAGGGCAAATTGCACGGTTTCGTACCGGATTAATAGATATACAAGTGAAACGAAGACAAGTCAGCTCTTGCTAATAGAATGGAATGGGGTGGATGGATGGATGAATGAGAAAGCAGAATCGAAACAGCAGAGGGGCTGACGAGGGTGTAATCTGCAACTTCCCGGTCCGCGCTCCTTCCTTTCCGCTGCGCGTGCGCGTGCCTAAATTTATTGGGTAGCGGCAACGCCGTTGATCGATGCAAAGAGTTTTGTGGAGGTCACCTGAAGTGCGTCCACGGAGCAGTAGTAGTCATGACTCCTGAGAGTCTATATGGTCATCTGTACATCTTTTACATCCCACGTGTTTTGCACCAAAAATCCTCATCTCGTGCGCCAGCAGAGCCTCCGACAAGGGTCCAAGAGAAAGCAAAGTTATGCTGGAAGAGTCTTTCACATGCGGCCCCGAACCTTAACTCTGCAGCTACCAAAGATGGAGGCAGCTCACCATCATCGGCATCCACGATGAACACCTACCCACCCCATCAGCACACTCCAGCATCTAGCTTGGGCTCCGTGCAGAATTGCGAGTCGCATTATTGAACCAGATACTCTACCGCATGATCAAGGGTACGCCATCGACCCGACTAACGATGTTTAGCATATACCCATTATTATTCCTTACCATCTTGAGCCTATTTAAAGAACGGAAAGACAGGGAGGCGAATATACCTGAGTACGAACCCTCTTGTTGTTGTCGGCCGCTCAACGGTCGCTGCTCCGGCTACCATACTCTATGTCGAAGTGTGAGTGCGAGAGGTAGTTGGAGTGTCCAAAGACCAACGTTTGATCGGACCCAAGATGATGCACACAGGACGAGGCGTGCTGCTTGGTTCTCTCCATCTCTGCAATTCGTGGGGATGGATGTGGCTTTGAGATGAGACAAGGCTTGAACAAGGGGAAACACCCGACAGTTTGCATTAGCCCTCTCTATGGATGTCGAGTGAAGATGGGCTATTGACAAATACTCTGCATGGCCATAGATGTTTACTGCAGTATAACAAAAAACCTCAACATCCTTGAGAAGGCAGACAAGAAGCATCGTATAGACACTAGGCAGATTTTATTTTGGGAAGGGAGCGAACTGTAGATCCATCGCGGCGATGCAGGTCCGAGCCGCCGAGGAAGACTAAAATTGACGCTTTGACGCTGGTGGAGGTGTGGCTCTAGGGGCATGACAACAACTCTCAAACTTCTTATGTACTCGTAGGTATCGTGAGACTTGACTTTTGCCTCAACCAGAGTGCACTCGATATCTCCGTCGCTCACTTCTGCCTCTCTCTCAGGCTGTCTACTAGACAGCAGGCACTCATTTCCACGACATTTTGTTTGCCCACAACAGTCGCTACGCCGCCACACTTCTCCCCTTGTTTTTCTTTGCTTGAACGCGCTTGAGGCCTCTCGGACGCCGTGCCCGTGAGCAGTGGCACAAACTCATCACCTTCGCACGCTCTACATCTGACGATCGACATCATGTCATCCAATTACCCTACATCGCCCAGGCGTCGGGATTCCCGATCGCGAATGCATCGCGAATCAGACTCGCGTAGGCGGCGACCCTCTGATCTCGAGTCGCCTCGACCCATGCACCACCGGAGAACCAGCAGCCATACTAAGCCTGAGCCGGATCCCTATGTGTCTCGCATCGCATCCCCCATTCCTCGAATCACATCGCCTGACGACTATGAGCCTATGATGGGCGCCTCCGACCTGGGCCGCAAGAAGAGTCTGATCCGTCCCGAGCGCACCAAGGTTGACAGAGACCATCCGCAATACCATTACCGCAAGCACGCCCAGAACATGTCAGTCATGCCCTCGACTACTGGTCACGACCCAATGCTGGAAGAGGCAGAGGCAGAGGCCGCTACTCTCAGTTCCGATGATATCGAATTGAAGCAGCTCAGTCAGAAGGGTCGTTCCGCCGATATGGCCGTAGCAAGAAGCGGAAGCCGCAAGTTGCACCGCAAGGCTACTCTCGAAACTGCTGAAGAGAAGAAAAAGAGACAAAAGCAAGCCGGTGCCAGCCCGCCCACGCTCTGGGGCACTTACTGTCATCTAGTCACTTTCTGGTGTCCGAATCCTGTTCTCAAATGCTTCGGCATGCCCGAAAAGGCCCAGCAGCAGGCCTGGAGGGAGAAAATGGGCTTGATCAGCATCATTCTTATGATCGCTGCATTTGTTGGCTTTATTACCTTTGGTTTCACTGCCACTGTTTGCCCTTCCGGCTCGTCTTCACGCTTCCGTGTCAACAAGGTCGATTCCGGCTATATGATCTTTCACGGTAAGGCTTACGACCTGACAAGATCGCAACACCCACAGGCTAGAGGTATACTGCGAAACCAGAATGTTCTTTGGGATCTCGATGTACCATATGGAGGCAAGGACGGCAGCTTCATGTTCCAGAATGTCAACGGAGCTTGCAAGGGACTCATCACCGCTTCCAAGGGCTCCGACGTCAAAACTGACAGCGAAGGCAACCTGGCATGGTATTTCCCGTGCAACGCCTTCAACCAGGACGGATCTAGTGAACCAAACTTGACCATTCCCTACTATCTCGGCTATGCTTGCCACACTTCGAAGCTTGCCCGCACGAACTTCTACGACCTCAAGTCTGGAGGAGACGTATACTTTACTTGGGACGATATCAAGAACTCAAGCCGCAATCTCATGGTCTACGGTGGCGACGTTCTTGATCTCAACCTCCTTAGATGGTTCAACACTTCCCAAGTCTCATACCCCTCTCGATTCGATGACATTCGTGAAAATGCCAATGTCCGAGGCACTGATATGAGTCTAGCCTTTTCTTCAGGCCAAGACAAGAAGATCGCAAAGTGTTTCCAGGAAATCATCAAGGTCGGATCAATCGACACGGAAACCGTTGGCTGCATCGCCTCCAAGATTGTCCTCTACGTTGCACTTGTCTTCATCCTGTCGATTGTTGCAGCCAAGTTCGTGCTTGCTCTCGCTTTCCAATGGTTCCTTTGCCGCAAGTATGCCGCCGACAAGACTGCCTTCAGCGGCGATGAGAAGAAGAGGAAACAGCAGATTGAGGAATGGGCTGACGATATCTATCGTCCAGCTCCCAAGATCGCCGACTCTGTCGCTAACAGCAGTGACCGTGCCAACAGGAGAGGTAGTTTCCTTCCCACCACTTCCAGATTCACCAGTCCTTATGCCATTGAACGCTCCATGGCGCGATCACGCCCAGCATATACCACGATGGCCAGCCAAAGCTCAACAGCACGTTTGATTCCTGGTGCAAGTGTGTATGGTCAAGGCAACCGTAGCGAGAACACGTTGCAAGAGAGCCGCGCAAGCCTCATGGTTCCCAACAGCAGTGAGAAGAGGTACTCCAGCGTTATGGAATCGGATGGACCTGGTCCTCACGGCTTCATTCACGAAGCCGTTGTGCCCCAGCCTCCTCCTGAGTGGCAGCCGTTTGGATTCCCTCTCGCACATGCTATTTGCTTGGTCACTGCTTACTCCGAAGGGCCCGAAGGAATGCGTACCACTCTTGATTCCGTCGCCACAACCGAATACCCCAACAGCCACAAGCTAATCCTTGTCATTTGCGACGGTATCATCAAGGGTCATGGTGAGACCATGACTACCCCCGAAGTCGCGCTGAGCATGATGAAGGAACACACCATCCTTCCTGATGAAGTCAAGCCTTATTCGTACGTCGCCGTGGCTAGTGGATCCAAACGACACAACATGGCCAAGATCTACTCTGGATTCTACGACTATGGCGAGGATTCCATCATCCCTGCCGAAAAGCAGGAACGCGTGCCCATGGTAATCATCGTCAAGTGCGGCACTCCCGAGGAAGCGACACAATCGAAGCCTGGTAACCGTGGTAAACGCGACAGTCAAATCATCCTCATGTCTTTCTTGCAGAAGGTCATGTTTGACGAGCGTATGACTGAGCTCGAATATGAGTTTTTCAACGGTGTCTGGAAGATCACTGGCATTTCTCCCGACTTTTATGAGATTGTACTCATGGTTGATGCCGATACCAAGGTCTTCCCTGACAGTCTGACCCATATGATCAGCGCCATGGTTAAGGATCCTGAAATCATGGGTCTGTGTGGTGAAACAAAGATCGCCAACAAGAGGGCCAGTTGGGTGTCGATGATTCAAGTTTTCGAGTAAGTCGACCCATTTATCAAAAATCTCGAGTCTTACTGACAAAAAATCCCAGATNATTTCATCTCACATCATATGTCCAAATCCTTCGAGTCTGTTTTCGGTGGTGTCACCTGTCTTCCCGGATGTTTCTGCATGTACAGAATCAAGGCACCAAAGGGTGATCAAAACTATTGGGTGCCAATCTTGGCCAATCCCGACATCGTGGAGCATTATTCCGAAAACGTTGTCGACACCTTGCACAAGAAAAACTTGCTCCTTCTTGGTGAAGATCGTTACCTCTCGACTTTGATGCTGAGGACTTTCCCCAAGCGAAAGCAGGTCTTCATCCCACAAGCTGTGTGCAAGACCACTGTACCCGACGAGTTCAAGGTTCTTCTCTCCCAAAGAAGAAGATGGATCAACAGTACGGTCCACAATCTCATGGAGTTGGTCCTGGTTCGTGATCTTTGCGGAACCTTCTGCTTCAGTATGCAGTTCGTTGTCTTTGTCGAATTGGTCGGTACACTCGTGCTTCCGGCTGCCATCGCTTTCACCTTTTATGTTGGTAAGTATTATTCTACGGCTTTCTCACGAACTTCAAGCTGACCAAACCGCANNGTCGCTATTGCTATCAAGGCCGCCATTCTACATACGACTATCCCGGTCATGTCGCTGGTGCTCTTGGCGCTCATCCTTGGTCTCCCTGGTGTTCTTATCGTTCTGACCGCCCATCGCGTCTCGTATGTTGCGTGGATGCTCATTTACCTCCTCTCCCTCCCAATCTGGAACTTCGTTCTTCCAACTTACGCTTATTGGAAGTTCGACGACTTCTCTTGGGGTGACACTCGCAAGACGGCTGGTGAGCAGACCAAGGGAGGTCACGACGATGTCGAGGGCGAATTTGATAGCAGCAAGATTACCATGAAGAGATGGGCTGATTTCGAGCATGAGCGGCGCATGAAGTCTGGTGGAACCAACTACAACTCGTCAGCACAGGGATCGTATCCCTATGAGTCTGGTTACGAATATTGAACTAGAAAAAGCGGTCAATATTCTTTTTGAGGAAGAGGAGGCGAAGTTTGTCTGATCTCGGCGTTCGCTTCTTCACAGAGGAGGAAAAGGGAAAGATGGTCGAGCCGGACTGCATGAATTGTATGATAATTAAATATTGGCGCCGGAACGTGATAACAAGAAGTATGGATCCCTGAGCTATCTAATGAATATATGCAGTATCACGGCACAGGTGTTTTGTGATTGGCTTGCTTCGGTCAGGGGGCGCAGGTGACAGATGAAGCCCATGCAATGCTTTACGGAAAAGGGAAGATTCGGGATATACATCTTCAAGGCGTAACCGATGTTGCACTGCAGCAGACGATGAGACGACGTGACAACCACGCGAACGAGGCCTTGACCTCCTGTCAATTCGTCCTTAAGCCGTTGCACGAGACTCGCTCGCTTCCGGAGCTGTCACTTTACAATTAGCAACGGCCCGAAGTGCGCCTGTCTCTCTTCCGCCAGAGCGCTTCCTTCTACTTTTCGATAACCAATACGATTCATCTTTTTGGAGTGGGTGCTGTCGTGGGATTGCGGCGACTGCGGTTGGCAGATCAGCCTGTTGCCACTATATCCTTTTCCTCATTTGATCATATTGTTAGCATTGCGCTACGTACTTGACTGGTCTCCTGCGACACGCGTAAGAGTGCCAATAGCGCAGTTACCGACTGCCTTCTTGATCACCCGCCGTCACGTCGAAACGAGAACAAGGTCACTGGCTAATTCTTCACTGCCGAGCTTGGCGCCCGTGATTCCTGTCTAAAATACCGATTGGCCTCTTGCGCCATGTCGGATCCTGACCTTCGCGACCATCTCTCTTCATACCCAGGGCACTCGCTGCGGCGTGGCTCGACGCTACAGGGTCTTCGATTCGACAGCAGAATGATTCGGTCGAGACGAGGATCTGCTATATCATCCCTGAGCCAGACACCACATCCATGTGACGACTCTGCTTATCACCTACCCGGCCACCTTGAAGACCCTGACCATGGTGGAGCGTCCTTGACGTGGGCCAACATCGACTCTTTCCCAGGTTCTGGCCGTTATAGTCGCCAGTATATGCCATTGCAAGAGACGACAGAGTCTTCATGGAACCTCACCGAGGGCGGCGTCGGTATCGCAACCCAGGCCGACTTTCATGAGAACCGCCCGGACCAACATTTCAGTACCTACGACAGACCACCAGGACATTTCGTCAACAACGAGTTCATGACAACACGGTATCAACATGCAACTGTCACCTCCAGAGCACCATATACATCGGCGCCAAGCGGATTGTCAGGAAATATAGCTATCGATGTACACCTCACCCCTCACTCGACAACACCGAGCGTCTTTCCATCTTCGCCCACAGAGACTTCAAGTACTCGTTGGCCAACCACTGATGCGACACTGACCAACCCTTCAATCCAGCCTACCCAGGAGCTCCACTATGACGCCTCTACCTGGGTTGATTTTAATGTTGCCGAGTTTCTCGATCACTGGGACATCCAATACCATATGGGAGAGGCGGGGCTTATGCATGTGGATGATGAACGTAAGAGGCGATGGCGACCGGCCAACAGAATGCCCTTTGGGGCATATGACTTGCAAGGATTGAATTGGACAGCATTAAACACGAGCAGAAGCCAAGCCCGACTGGCGCGAAAAATGCTCTATCCCCTTCGCTATTCTTGGACCCCGCAGGCCACCTATGATGAAGACTCGATATGCCGGCAACAGCGCATGTATGCCTCGAAGGATTTCTACCCTCATCACAAGGCCAGCCATTCGCACGGTCAACTTCGAAATGTGCTCGCAGCGCGAAGTAGGAATGACGTCTTTTATGCCTCCAAGAGTAAAGTCATGCACACTTCACTGAGTTGTCCTGCGTACACCGAGGTAGTCATGAACTTCAGTGGCGCGTCGACAAACCCGAATCAAGCCGGAGACACCCATATCACTACCATTGCTGTTTCACCTGCCACGGACTTTGACGGATATTGCTCGGACGCTGTGTTGGTCACTGGCGGACTGGAGGGTGAGTATGCTCTGCTTAACCTCAACTCTACGCTGGGCGATCGTCCGACCGAAGGCTTTGTCACCGTCGCAGAGCAGAAAGAAACCACACACGTACACATACTCAGTCATCGCCGCACAGGTGCTCTGGGGGCCGCCTTTTGCTCCAACGACAGCAAAGTCCGAATACTCGATATTGGTACCAACTCCTGGTCCGCCGAGTTCGAATATGGGCACCAAATCAATTGCGCCGCCACATCACCAGACGGCCGTCTCAGGATGATTGTTGGCGACACTTGCGAGTCGCTCATCACTGACGCTGAAAGAGGGAACGTGCTGTTCCGCATGCGACAACATACAGGCTATGGATTTGCATGTGCATGGGCTGCCGACGGGTGGCACGTGGCAACGGGCAGTGAGGACGGTAAGGTGGTGGTATACGATGCTCGGAGGTGGGACATGCCATTGGCGGCCCTCGCATGCGAGATGAGCTGTGCCAGATCACTGCACTTTACCACCTCGAATCGTGGAGGAGCATCGCTGGTGGTGGCCGAGTCAGACGATATTGTCAGCGTGTATGATGCCACGGATTGGAACGACAAGCAGACAATCGATTTCTTTGGGTCGGTGGTTGGAGCAGTGTCGGTGGAGGACGGCGAAGAGTTGATCGTGGCCAATGGTGACGAGACGGTCGGCGGGTTGATGGTGTTCGAGAGGAGACCACACATACCCGAGGAGCCGGATGAGTTCGACGAGTCTGATGATGACGACGACCGTCCTCCAAGAGTGCAATACTCGAGTGGACAAGTACCGAGCTTTGACGATTTGATGTTGTAAGGTATAAGACACGGGAAACGACAGTTACGAAGAAATGTATTATGCAGAACGATCTATTTGGGAATTCAACGAGACCATACCAATGTCTATCTCTTCTCCATGCTCCTCCTTCCTTCCTCTTTTTTTCCAAATCCTCCAAAGCTGCTAACATCACGACGGAAGAACTTGCCGATATTCTTGAGATTTTCGTTGATACTAGCATGGGCGCTCTCGGCATTTAGTCCCAGAGCGCCCACCGGTGGCGGACTGGTTGCTCTACTGGCGTTTGTGGCCGACGCTGTACCACCTAGGGCTGGTGAACCAAACCGGTCAACGCCATCACGAGCGGCGTTCATGAGGGCAGAACCGAACGTGGAAGGGTCAAAACGGGCGGTTGTTCCTGCCAAAGCCGGTGCAGAGTGTGACGCGGCGCTATCCTTGAGAGCGGCGATACCTGGCACGGTCGCACCTGCCGCTTGCAGCGAGATGTTGGCGATCAAAGGGTTGGACAGCTGCAAGGTTTCATTCGCCGGTGACGCCTTGTGTGCATTGAACAGCTCTGTCAGATGAGCTTGTTCTTGTTTACGGGTAATGCCCTTGAGTTCGAGTATTTTGCGGAAGTTTGGCTCGGAGCGATCTTGCATGTGTATCAGGTATGCCTGGACCAATCCTTCGGGCGGCGAGGCGCGTACTTGTAACGTTTTCAACAGGGGGTCTAGCTTGGCCATACTCTGGTTAACTCGCCTGACGAAGTTGGGATTCGGTGTAGTGCCCGCTTCGGCGTTGACTGTAGACAGCTCGGTGAACGCCTTCTTCAAAACGTAAGAGTCGAGCAACATCTGTTCGGCACCAGTCTCTGATATGGGCCGACAGACTACCAAGTTAGTCAGAATTGAACTGGCAAGGGCGTCGACTAGGTTATCACAGAATGCGCGAGCGTAGTGCTGCTTTTGCAGGTAATTGAGTACTTCGGATGTTTTCTCCTTGACACGCTGCACCAATGGAGCAACATATGGACTCTGGTCACCGACATTGTCCATCTTGCTCCAAGGGACATTGCGCATCTCTCTCCACGGCGCATCGCAGTCTAGTTCAACCCTCCTCACCAGGGCTTTTACAGAGGCTGAGGCGATACCCATAAAAGAGTCGGCTTGAGACTGCAAATCGATTTGAGCACGCAGCTCAGAGTCTACACGCGATTTTATGCGCTCCTCTAGCTGATTGGTAGTCTGATAGCAATAGTCTGCGGTGTTCAAAACAGTGACTATATCCTCGATGGATGCCGATCGCTCGGACAAAGCGTGGAACAAGACTTGCTGACAGTAGACGTCGAGATATTTGGCAAAGGTTTTTGACAGATCCAGGAGTCGGGAGCCGGTCGAGAGTTTTGCGCATTGGGCAAACGTGATGCGATAAGAGTGGAAGAGCTCAGTGGAAGAGGGCATAACAGTATGGGCATGGAACTCGTCTTCCTCGTTTCGGATGGGTTGCTGGCGGTACTTTGGGATGAGCAGAGCCAGCTGCTTGTCCTGTGACTCGACCCATATACTAAGATATGGTTCGAAGGCTTCAGAGATGGCCTGACTGAAAGCACGAGGCTTGTCGTCAAGTGTGTCTAGCGAAGAACGAGACTCGGCAGAAGAGAAACGACGCTCGAGGGAGTGCTCAAAGTCGAGTGTCTCTTGCAAGCATGAGAGTAGTAGGTTGACATCGGGTGGCTGGCCGTCTGCACGGCGCATGGATCGTTGTAAGATTTGCTTGTAGTCCTCACGAGTGGTTTCGCAGAAGGCGTTTGCCAGCATGTCACCAACGCGCCAGGAGGAAGGGAACAGGGAAGCATGGTCGGAGTCATGTGTTTTGATCATACGGTTGAACCACGAATAGCGACGGGATATGTTATCGAGCGAGGCAGCCTCGTCGGAAGAACGGAAGACTTGACGATACTCACGCAACATGGTGTTGCAGTACCAAGTGGTCAAACGAGCGCGGGCATGGTCGCCCAGAGCATCCATGACATGACAGGCATCGGCCAGCATGTTGCGGCTGGAAGCAACGGATTCTCTAGCAAAGGCGAGCTCAAAGTCTTCCGAGATCTGGTCCAGCAACTGACGCTGCAGGTCGGCGACGTTTTGGCTGAGTTGAGCAATCTGGTGGATGCTGCGGTATGTCTTGAAGTGGGCCATGAGTTGGACGACGGCCGAGACTAGGTGGGCACAGTCGCGGTATTGGCGGGTCGAGGCAAGCAGACGCAGCTGCTCGTATGCCGTTGTCAGCATCTGCAAGCGCTTGAGAGCGGTCATGGACAGAGTCAGGTTCCTTTTGGTCTGGTCGAGACGCTTGATGTCGGCCGTCATGTCGGTGATGGCTCTCTCGGTGTGCAGCGCTCTTGCGCGCACTCGCTCAATGCGACCAAAGACATGGCCCAGCTCTTCTTTTGCTTGCGTGATTCGCCGCACGCTGTCGGCATCGCTCTCTGCTTGTCGCGCGACCATGCGGCGCACGTGTTGATGAAGGTCATTCTGCTGTTTGTGTAGCTGCTGTGACACGGCAGCAGCTTGGTCCAGGGTCGACGGATGGCCAAAGAGGGCGTTCAGATGTGTGATCGGATCGTACTCGACTGCATGTTTCGTCAGTGTTTGCCACGGCAATGGGCAGCAGCAGGAACGTACTGGCGTCCATGTCGATGGATTGCTGTTCGTGGAGCTCCGTACCAAGTCACGGCCACGTCTTGCCCTAGCGCCGGTGTCGCACCCTGACCTCCCGACTACACCACACCACAGCTGCTCTGTTTCTCTCCTTGCCTTGCTGTCACTCTGCACACTCTCCCACCATGGCTTCTCCTGCTCTTCGTAATGTTGCCTCGCAATGCCGCAAAGTAAGTCTCACGTGGTCAATCAACTGCACTCTATATACTCCTTATCATAACCATCGTAACAATATAACTAAACATGCTGACATTATATCCAAGATCATGTGCATTGGCCGAAACTACATGGTATGAAATCTTCAAACATCGTCCTTGTCGACCTGGACTGGCAAAGTTGACATCAAAACCTGGCTGACTGTCCAAAGGNACCACGTTACCGAGTTGGGTAACAAGAAGCCAGCAAACCCTTTCTTCTTCCTGAAGCCGCCATCATCCATTCTTCTCAAGGGCGATGGTCCTGTCCTGCGTCCTAGAGGTGTCAATGTTCATTACGAGGTCGAGCTGGGCCTTGTCATGGGCCGCAAAGTCAGAGACCTCGACCCCAACGACACCCAGGCTGCTTACGACTCCATTGAGAGTTACCTTCTCACCATTGACATGACTGGCCGCAACGTCCAAGACGAAGCAAAGAAGAAGGGTCTCCCTTGGAGCATTGCAAAGGGTTTCGACACCTTCCTTCCTATCGCCGGTCCCATTGCCAAGTCAAAGATCCCTGACCCTCACAACATCGAGTTGTTCTTGAGTGTCAATGGCGAGATGAAGCAAAACGACAACACCAACCTTATGCTCTTCCAAATTCCCAGACAATTGGCCGACATCAGCAGAGTCATGACTCTCGAGAAGGGCGATATCATCTTGACTGGTACCCCCAAGGGTGTTGGTTCTGTAAAGACGGGTGATGTTATCAGAGCTGGCATGCGCATCGACGGCAAGGAGGTTGAAGAAGCTAGCATTGAAGTCGAGGTCAAGGATCGCGAAGGTCCCTACGAGTTCAGCGAGACATAAGAGCTAGACCCTTGTACATAATCCTCCTGTTCATAAACCCACGAAAGCCGCATCACCGTACTGCAACGTCTCTTGTTGCCCCTTCCTTGCTCATTTACCAACCCAGGTCTGCAGGAGTTGGCCTGAACGGGATACGTCTGTCTCCAGGACGCCTCTTCTTCTGAACAAAGTCTGACCGTCTCTCTCTTGACGTCTCTCGTTCAGCTTGCATCTTCTCTTTGCCCTTTCCCTCCCTAACTTGCTCTGCTGCAGATACCTGTCTAACGTCTGTGCCGCCTTCTGTTACTCGGTTTCCGTTGTTTCCGTGATTGACATGCGGGCTGACAATGGTAATAGGATCCTTGATGGGGGTGTTTATCGCTCTTGACAAAGTACCGGGTCTCAAGTTGAGTTGTTGCATGTCCTGCCCGGAGACCGTGGTCTGGCGTTGTTCAAGCATGTCAAGTCTCTGCTCAAGCACCTGCCACTGACTGCCAGCTCCTGTGACCATCGGTTGACTATCGTGCGCTCTTCGAAGCATCTCGACAGACTCTTCGAGTCTGCCAATCCGTTTCAATATCTCCTTCTCTCGCTCGAAATCTTCCCTTCTGCGCTCGGTGGCTGTGGCTTGCTTTGTTTCGAGGTCCAAGAGAAGCTGCTGGACCTGTTCTCTTTGTTTCTGGTCGGCAGATGACTGGCTTCTGACCTTGTCCAGGTCAACCTGTTGTTTGTTGATTTGCTCGAGAAGATGGCGATTTTCTCTCCGGATCTGATGATACCAGAGCAGCTCGCGTGGCGATCCAGAAGCAGGCGGCATGTTGTGTAGTCGAAAGGCAAGTGAGTGATAGTGAACCTTCAATGGGTGGTAAAGTATACGTTATTGTCTTTGTGTGTCGGGACTATTGGCCGATGGGTATGGTGACGGTGTTTGATTGCAAGGCTCAGAAGATCGTATGGCGGATAGGTTGCGAGATGAGAAGGACGAGGGACGCGCCATTTGCGAGGGAAGGTGCAACTTGACAGGAACGCACCTTCTTCGCCCGGATTGTCCATCGAGGCAGCCGCGACAGCGAGCTCAATCACATGCAAAAGAAAAAAGCCAAGACGGGTTGAGTTGAAAAGGATAACATTCTTTTGAAAAAGAGACAAGAAACTCGCCCCAACCTAGCATCTAGAACAGGGCATGTATTCGCATTTTGAAAAACTTCAACCATAAAGACAAACGCCCAAATGCATGAGAAGTGGGATCCGTCCCAGCCATGGTATCACATTCTAGGTAAGACCAGCCGTAGATCCCTCGTTAAACATTGGCCTGCCGCAGACATGCACTGCTGCAGTCCCTTTCTTGTTTTTGGCTTGAAATTCGTTTAGATAAGGTCTGCGCGCGTGTTAGCTCATTGCTTGTCAAGTAGGGTCAGTCGCAATCCACATACCAGCAACGTTCATGGGCATCTCCTCAATTTGAGTCGAGTAGAACTGCTCAATCTCTCTCATCATGCGCACATCATCAGCGGTGACGAAGTTGATGGCAACACCCTTACGACCGAAACGACCACCACGACCGATGCGGTGGATGTAGTTCTCGCGGTTGGCGGGAAGGTCGTAGTTGATGACCAGCGAGACCTGCTGGACGTCGATACCACGGGCCAAAAGGTCAGTGGCGATCAGGACACGAGAAGAACCGGAACGGAACTCCTTCATGATAACATCACGCTGGGCCTGGTCCATGTCACCGTGCATGGCAGAAACGGTGAAGTCACGGGCAGTCAACTTGTCGGTGAGCCAGTCGACCTTTCTGCGGGTGTTGCAGAAGATGACAGCTTGGGTGATGGTAACGGTCTCGTACAAGTCGGAGAGGGTGTCGAGCTTCCACTCCTCCTTCTCGACGGCAATGTAGAACTGCTTGATACCTTCGAGGGTAAGCTCGTCCTTCTTGACGAGAATACGGACGGGGTCGCGCATGAACTTGGTGGTGACCTCGAGGACGTCCTGGGGCATGGTGGCGGAAAGGAGGACAACCTGGGTGGACTGGGGAAGGAGCTGGAAGATGTCGTAGATCTGCTCGGTGAAACCGCGAGACAGCATCTCATCGGCCTCGTCGAGGACGAACATCTTCATGGAGTCGGTCTTGAGGACGCGACGCTGGATCATGTCGTGGACACGGCCGGGNGTACCGACGACGACCTGGGGGCCGTCCTGGAGGGCCTTCATGTCGTCACGGACGCTGGTACCACCGATACAGGCGTGGCACTCGACGTTCATGAAGTCACCGATGGCGACAACGACCTTCTGGATCTGCTGGGCGAGCTCGCGAGTGGGGGCGAGGATCAGGGCCTGGCAAGCCTTGACGTTGGGGTCAAGCTTCTGGAGGACCGAGATGGAGAAAGTAGCGGTCTTGCCAGTACCGGACTGGGCCTGGGCAATGACATCGTGACCTNNGGAGGACAAAGAGTGAGCTGGGAGAAGGAGCAAACGGGATGCTCGGACAAGCTTACCCTTGATGACGGGCATGATGGCGCGCTGCTGGATAGCAGAGGGGCGCTCGAAACCGTAGGCGTAGACACCACGGAGGAGCTCGGCCTTGAGGTTCATGGCGTCGAAGGAGTCGGTGGTCTCATCGTAGTTGGACTCGATCTGTCCTGCAGCGCGGATTTTGGTCAGCGCGGCTCATTCCAGAAAGACACAGCAAGCGGCGGCAGAGTCTGTCGTCGCAGGGATCGCAATTTTGCAGGGCGAAAGCATGCGCGACGGCGAACAAGATAGACCTACCCTCGGGGACCTCTTCAAGACCGGAAGCCATGATTGCGGTTTGGGCTGGTTTGTGGGTGGGTTGTGGGTGAAAGCTGGATCGGTGGGCGAAAGGGCGCCGCTGGGTATTTCAAGAAAGACTAGAAACCGAACTCTCAGAGGTGAGAGTGTGCAAGGATATCTAGTTTGTTGGGAGTGATGAAAATGGCTGGAGGAAAAGAGGGGCGCGGACGAATATAATGAACACCAGATTTTTTCGTCGTGCTGCACAAATCGTCCGTGCGCACCCGCACCCGCCTCTCGCCTGCGACCAACCACCAACATCATCCGTTGTGCTCACTGAAAGTCAGTCATTTTTTTTATGACTGTCTTTCTCTGGCCACTGACAGCTCGTCGGTTTTCAACAGTCACCTGAAGGATTTTACCTGTTTCCTCGGACGACAAATCTCATTGGATATCACATTTTTCCCACCTCTCGATATGACTCCTCCAGCGGCTCTGATAGACCAGGATTTCGAACATAGACCACTTAAANAACAGAGACTCAATCCCGAGGCCGACAAAGCAGCCAATACCGACGAAGCTGCCGCCATCTGGCGACATCCTCTTGGAATTCGTCCTTCTGGGAATGTATTTACAGCTACTACCAATTTGAAAGCAGCCATTGGAACGTTTGCTTTGCTGCCTGATGAGCTTCTGACTCAGTTTCTGGAATACCTCGACGTGCAGGATTTGCTCCGATTGGGTGCCACTTGCCGTGCTCTACATGCCTTTACTAGGTCCGAGGAGCTCTGGAAAGCTCTTTTCATAGAGTAGGTTTTCATATTTCCTTCTTGCTACAGTATATGCCAGTCTAACATTTCCAAGANNTCGCAACCAGAAAACTTCAACTGGCGCGGCACATGGAGATCAACTGTCCTATCCCAGCCGCGTTCTCAAGAACCTGAGGTGGATTGCAGCAACCTCTTTTCTGATGCCCTTCATCGACCATATTTCTGTGCTCACGTGCCCCTGGAGCCTTTTGTAACCAACATTCCTGCCCGCAATCAGATTCACCGCCTCACATCATTGACATTTGACGAGTTTACTGAATCTTTTACCAATAAACCTTTCATCATCTCTGAGCCTACGCAACGCTGGCCTGTATTCGGATCTTGGTCTGCTAAGTCGTTGCTCAAGCAATATTCCAAGGTCAAGTTCAGAGCAGAAGCCGTGGATTGGCCTTTCGATGTATATGTTGACTACATGAAGGATAACCATGACGAGAGTCCTTTATATCTCTTCGACCGTTCTTTCGCAGAGAAGATGAACATTCAAGTAGCCGACAGCTCTGCTGCTCACTTGTATGACGGCACTTCCCCAGACACGCTCGGCGTCGAAGACGAGCGTAAAGTCGCATACTGGGCACCTTCCTTCTTCGGTCCTGATCTGTTCAGCGTCCTCGGGACTCAACGACCCGATCACCGCTGGTTGATCATCGGCCCATCTCGCAGTGGCTCGACTTTCCACAAGGACCCAAATGCGACCTGCGCGTGGAATGCCGTCTTGACTGGGCGCAAGTACTGGATCATGTTTCCTTCCTCATCATCCCTTCCACCACCACCTGGTGTCTTCGTATCAGCTGATCAAAGCGAGGTGACATCTCCTCTGAGTATTGCTGAATGGTTTCTTGGCTTTCACGCCGAAGCACGCCGCACAGAAGGTTGTGTTGAAGGTATCTGCGAGGCTGGTGAACTTCTATATGTTCCCGCTGGCTGGTATCACTTGGTCGTCAACCTCGAAGACTCGATTGCGTTGACACAAAACTTCGTTCCACGCCAAAGACTTGCTTCAGTACTGCACTTCCTCAGAGACAAGTCTGATCAAGTCAGTGGATTTGCAAAAGACGTGCAAGATCCATACAAACTGTTCGTTGCAAAACTCGAGGAACAGGAACCAGAAGCTCTGCAAGAGGCACTGCCGAGACTAGAAAAGATGAGCAAGGGTCCCAAAGGCAAGTGGGCAGAGCTAACAAAGACGACCGAAGATGTCAGTAACGAAGGTGGTTTCTCGTTCGGGTTCGGCGGAGACGACGATGAAGAGGTGCCGTAGATACGCTCGCCACGCGCTTTTTTGAACGTAAGACCCCGGAAAGTAATTCGTATATCTGCCACTTCAGTCAGTCCTCTGGGGAAATTAAAATCCTCAAGACATCCACTTTGGTGCAGCCAGACTCAAAGGATCTATGTCTCGGCACGACATTAAGTGGGATTTCTAGTAAGCGGCATCATGAACGCACAAACAAGTGATATGGAAGGCATGAACGACACATAGTCATGAGGCCTATATCCAATATATTCTTATCAATACACGATATTGTTATTCATTCAACCCTACTCTCTAATACTGCTCATCGGGACAGTCGAATGCTAGATGGCCATCCTTTTCGCATAGTGCGCACCATTTGTCAGCGTCCGTCTCAGCTGCAGGTGCATTATGAGTTTCCTTGCTCTTTTCTGCATTGTTACTGTTGTTACTCAAAGTTTTTCTCAACGAGAGCGGTGCAGGAGCATCGAGCTTGTCGTTATATCTGTCCTTGGTAGATGCAGAAACGTTCAAGTTCCGCACATGGCTGGATAGTTCGTCTTCTGACTCGTTATGCTCCGCTTGATGTTCATGACCATTGTTCATTTCGTGATCATTGGCACCTTCAACGTTGGGACAGGTCAAGATGTCGTGTCCAGGTGTATCGCATACTTCGCACCACGTTCTCTGTTCGTCCTTTCGTGGTGATCTGTATCGTGTAGGGGACCTGACGGCCTCGGGCGATTTCGACAGATGTTGGCGTGGCATCTCCTCTGCAGCTGCTTCAGTGTTCATAATGCTGTCCCTCTCCTGCTCTGCTGCTCGTCTCAATTGCTCGACTGCGCGCTCCAGTTCCTCTTCCCTGAACGCCTTTCGATCGATTAATCCTTGAAGTTCCGACTTCTCACGCTCGAGTTGTTGTACAGTTGCCTGGGTCTTCTTCAGCTCCTCTGGATCTGCAAACCGTCCAGATGCAGGGCTTTGTCGTGCCATCGGACTCGCTTCGGGTCCAGAACTGAGAGAGTGTATGATGGCTTTGAGACCCCTAATCTCATCATCCTTCAACTCGACATCCTTGTCTCTAGAAGTTTGACCTTCTGCCTCCTTAGCTCCCTGCAATGCTTTAGCGGCCTTCTCTCTTTCACGTCTCAGCTCGCTACGTCCTCTTTCGACTTCTCCTCGCAAGAACTCAACCTCTCCTCGAGCCTCTGCTTCACCGCGACGTGCGTCTTCTAGACCTTCTTCGAGCTCAGCAACAAGCTCTTCCAACCCCTTAAGCTGGCGAGCGACATTCTCGACATCTTCACGACTGTGACCGAGCTCGCGCAATTCTTGTATCTCAGCAAGTAGGTCGGCAATCTTAGCCTCGTAGACACGTTCAGTTTCGGCTGATGCAAGCTCCAGAGTGTCAATCGTACTGCGGAAATCTGCACGGTGAGCATCGAACTCGTCGATGAGGGACTGAATCTTGTCTTCTCTATCGTGTACGGCTTGACGCAGTTCAAAAACGTCAGCGCTGTCTTCGTCGTTGCCATCGGCAGGTATGAGGTCTTGGATTTCCTTCAGACTGGTCTCCATCTCGGCAAGTGATCCAGCCTGTTCTTGCAATTGTCTGTCTTTTTCTTCCAGCTGGGCCAATAGTCTCTGCACCTCGCCATCCTGATCCACGGTGACCTGTCGGGACGGAGAACGCCTAGCAATCGAGGCGGCAGAGCTAGTGGATGGACGCTGTGTGTCGGAGCGATTTCCTACACGAGAGCCGGTGCGTGAATACGGACGCGAAGGAACAGCAGATCGACTGGCAGCGCGGGGAGTCGTAGACAGGGGCGGTGCAGGACTTGAAGTGAAGCGTGGAGGAACGGCAGATCTCTGGCTCATGGAAAAGTTGCGTGCCGGAGTAGGAACTAGATTGGGCTGTTTGCGGAAGGGAGATTCAGGACGTGGCAGCGATGGCCGGCGGGATTTGAGTTTGGAGAGTGGACTGGGAGGACGGGCACCAGGACCCATGGATTGGGAGAACTTGGGCATGGCGGCTGCCGGAGGAGTGTATGTGTCCAGGCGGTAGTGTGAGGGCGTAGTAGGGGTGCCAGGATGTGCTGGGCGAGGGCGCGCGGGCGATTGGCGCTTCTCTGCACGATGGACAGGCAGAAAGATGCCTGCGCCAGGGATATCGGTATCGAAGTAGCGAATGCCATCAACATCGCCGTCGTTTTTCCCTCTGGCAGCAAATTCACTGGCCAGTTCGACACCGATGAATTTGCCCTGCTTGCCCCTGACTGGGCCGACGAACTTGACAGTGCCGTACATGTCGCCAGGTACGTTGACCATGTCGCCCAGGGCGATGGACGAGTCGGCCATTGTTGGTGTGTGTGCAGGGGATCCAGGAGTGTTTCCAGTCAAGGCGGCAAGAGAAGCTTTGCGATGAGCTTCGTTGGTGTGCATGGGCGAATTGGACGGCCGCACTCGCTGTCGTGGTGTTGACATGATTTCGATAATCTCAAGGACAAGGCGAGAGAATATAAACAACTTCTCTACCGCCACCAGTCCAGCTCCAAGACAAGACGCAAGACAAAAACAAAGACACGTCAGGCCCCAACAGTGCTCGACTACCCATGCAACCACATGGCACTTGCGAGTCGCGACCTAAGAAGCTGCCCAATCATTGGACCTCCTCTCATTTCATTAGGCACGAAAGGGGCAATCAACCACCAAGCCAGAATGTCTTGCCTATACACTCGACAAGACCTTGTAGCCACCGACAATCACAAGAAGAAACTGTTGCTGTCCGCTTCTCATTCTCACTGTTTACTTCCAAACAGTTAACCGTATTCTGACATGACTCGGCAACATGATGGCATAAATTGCTACTTTGAATCGTGCCGAGGTTGTTCGGTCCCCATCGTAGGATACCCCACGCCGCATCGAGGGTTCTTCTGGGGATACTCTACATTCACCTAGCTATCATTACTTTCTTGCAGGTCTCTTACTGTACCAGTGTCTCGTGTCTCTCCACCCAGTCTATCAAGTCGTGCAATGGCAGGCCCGATCCGACAACCCATAGACATCAAGTCACTCGAAAGTTACCTGGAGAAACAGGTCCCAGAAATCAAGACACCACTCGATGTCAAACAGGTAAATCAATACATCTTACTATGTGCCCTTCCGTGTTGTTGACCTCAATGAANNCAGTTTGGGTATGGACAATCCAACCCTACCTATCTCTTGACGTCCTTGGACAAACAGCAATATGTTCTACGCAAGAAGCCTCCAGGAAAGCTGCTATCAAAAACTGCACATAAAGTCGAACGAGAATACAGGATTCTGCATGCCCTCGAGACAACAGACGTCCCGGTACCCAAGACATATTGCTTGTGCGAGGATGATGCGGTAATCGGCACTGCTTTCTACATTATGGAGTTTCTGGACGGCAGGATCATTGAAGATCCATGTCTGCCGGATGTCAGTCCTGAGGACAGGAAGGAGATGTGGCGGTCTGCAGTAACAACTCTGGCCAAGTTCCATCGCGTGGCTCCAGCTTCAGTGAATCTCACATCTTATGGAAAAGCGAACGGCTTCTACGATCGTCAACTTGCAACTTTCAACACCATTCAGGATGCCCAAGCCAAAGCTGTTGATGTCGAATCAAACGAGCCAGTGGGCAAAATTCCACATTTCGATGAGATGGTTGCTTTCTTTGGCAACAAAGACAGCCAGCCTCAGGATCGCAGCACCTTCGTCCATGGTGACTACAAGATCGACAATGTGGTCTTCCACAAGACAGAGCCAAAAGTCATAGGAATCCTGGAGTAAGTCGACAAGGCAATGTGATAATGAATGGCGACTGACAGATTTAGCTGGGAGATGTCAACAATAGGACATCCACTTTCCGACCTGAGCAATTTGCTCACCCCATTTACTACTGCCGATTCACCAGTTGCTCGGTCAATCGGAAGGGGCAGTGAAACATTTCTCCCTGGCAATACACCTGGTCTGCCGACGAAGCAGCAGTGTATTGAATGGTACAGAANNAAAGTAGCCGGGTGGGATCCGCGACCAGATATGACATGGGGTGAAGCATTTGGCATCTATCGTGGTAGTATCATCATGCAAGGCATTGCAGCTAGATATGCACTCCGGCAGGCAAGTAGTGCTCGGGCACAGGAGTACGCAGTACAGATGAGGCCCTTTGCCACAGTTGGTTGGGATTTGGTTCAGCAATGCCAGAGGGAACGAGTCAAACAGGGTAGCAAGGCTAAGCTGTAACAAATAGTCAAGAAGTATGCCACGGCCGGAGTTCCATTTTACTTGATCATATCCGACGGGCAATCTGTAGAACGTCAGCGGTAGGATTTGGCAAGGCCAAACGACTTTGTGGTGCTGTCAGATCTGTCGTTTACTCATAAAACGAGGGCGAGTGTGTTTGAGAAATGTGCTACGCGGTGCAGAACTTCTCCAGGGACTAGTAGCACTCTGCGCGGAGACAGATTGGCCGTTACGAGCGCGTCTCACGAAGGGCAGAAGTTCAGTGCACATACAATGCTGGAGAGAGGAAGGTAAAGAGTATTTTGATTCATTGAACCAAGGCGTCGCTGGTTGGTACGCTCTTGAGGAAGGCCATGATAATTCTGTGACACGGATGTGACGTGCCTTCTCGGACAAGACAAGGACTCGAGATGATGGACCTGTGATTTCGAGTGGGTTGGATGTCGGCTAGCGCGACGGAAGGCTACGACGTGATGGCGGACGCTGGTGGTGGTCGAATCACTGTCGGTGGCTGCAAATGGGTGGGTAGGAGTATGTGCTCATCGTCGGTCGTGTTCGTCCATGCGTTCGAGTGCTTCCAGCATGACAACCGAGTTGCCGCGGATGACNCTAGACGGGGTCAGTACGGTGCGAGAGTGTGCAGAGGGTGTGGATGAACGTACGACCTGGCCGATTCTGACCTTCTCGCCGCCAGCCTTTTCCTCGACAGCATCATCCAGGACGATGTTCAGGAAGACCNNTGAGATTGGTCAGTATGTAAGCGCAATGAATGCAAGCAACAGATAACGCACATCGTAGCCACGAAGGACGCCAATGACCTTGCGACTGCCGTTAAGCTGGACGAACAGGCGACGGTCGAGGTACNNTGCAGAATGGTCAGCTCGGGCGCAAGGAAAAGAAAAAGACTACGAAGTGCTTGCCTTCTTCAACTCTGGCTGTGCTTGAGGCATGATTGCGCTTGGGTTTGTGAGCAGGAGATGGTTGTGGTGCTGGACAAGGAAAGTCCTCGGTCGAGAGCGCAGCCGCTTTGCGACAGCAGTCCCCCGCGCGTCATTCTGAAAATCACCATTGGATCCCTCATCAAAGCTCCAGTCCCTCGACAACCGCTACCACTCACCTATCGACACATTCACATGCATCATGAAGAAGTCGTTCGCCGCTCGTCGCGTACCACGCAAGATTGGCCACGATGACCAAGATGCGCCGACGGATGCCTCCAGCAACAATGGTACGTCTACACTCCCTCGATGTGATGATTGCCAGCTCTGACAAAGCTCGTCGTGGCAGTTGGTTGACGCCTTCCGCAGACNNTCCACCTCCACTACCTCTTCCATAGTCAAGCGACCTGCTGCAAAGCACCGTAAATCTTCCGCGCTCCGGCCCTCGTTCGCTTCAGATGACGACAACGACCACTCTTCTACTCTGGTCACTCCCAAACGCGCAAACCTCTCCCGCCTTGCCATTCAACGGAATGCCGAAAAGCGTTCAGACGTCGCCTTCCGCCCAGGTCTCGACTCGACCTCGGACCGTCCAACTTACAACAAAAACTACCTTGACGAGCTGAAACAGAGCACACCAGCCACACCCAAGGACATCGCATCCACCTCGACAACCGACAACGAGGATGTTGCTCCTGCCCCTGGTGCTGTTATCGACGTCAAATCAAAGTTCGGATCAGACCTTTCCAGTTACCAACCTCCCACAGCTATACCCACCGCCGCCGAGATTCAGGAAAAGAAAGCACGTCGCGCACGCTTAGCCAAGGAGAACGACTTCATATCGCTAGAAGACGATGGTGACGACGAGGAAGAAGACGACGCAGTCACACGGGATGATCGGGGTCGCTTGATCCTCAAGCCCAAGGAAAAATATCCAGAGACCCGCCTGGTACACGACGATGAGGACGTGCTCGAAGGTTTCGACGATTTCACGACAGATGGCAAGATTACGTTTGGACGCAAGGCACAGAGAGAGGAGGATCAGAAGCGCAGAGCCGACATGGCCTCTATGATCGCTGATGCCGAGGGTCAAAGTGCAGATGACGACAACGAAGACGATGAGAGCGAGGCCGAACGAAATGCTGCTTTTGAAGTCGCGCAAACACGCCACGGTACCTATGCTGCACGCGAACAGGACGCCGACTCGACAAGACCCCAAACACCGCCCAGGGTTGTACCTCTACCAACAATGGATAACGTGGTTGAAAGACTTCGCAAGCGACTGGAGGAAATGGAAGTAGTTCGCGCCAACAAAGCGAACGAAATGCAAAGCCTAGTGGACGAAAAGTCGAGAATCGGCGAAGAAGAAGTGAGAGTTCAAGCAGCTCTGAGAGAGACGGGCGAGAAGTATCAGAAGTTGAGAGAGGACATGGGCTTGCAGGCCAAGGATGATAAACAAATGACCACGGAAGATGCAACAGAACAGAGGCCTACAATCAACCGAACGGAAGACAGTGAGGACAGCGACGAGGATGAAGAGGATGGAAGACCAGGCCTCGGAACATCCGGTCTAGGCAGTGGAATGCGTCGAGACCTGTCAGAATGGGGTATGTAGTTGTATCATAGGTGCTCCTTGCATGCGACAATTCGAAGAAGATGGTACCTTTCGAAGAGTGGAGATGTCCGTTTGTTGTAATGAATCGTCCGTAACGCCTAGCGCCTCGCTGTGTAATTGCTCAATTGAACAAAAGAAGTCCAAATGGTTGTGTCGTGTCTCATGAGTTGGCGTCGATTTCAGCCCATACAGATTCGACCTTTGCTCGCTTCTCCTTGGCCACTTCTCGATTCTGGCGAGTGCGTTCGAGGCGCTCGGCGCGCAGACACATGTTGACTTGATGCTTTGCCTTGGTACACATGCCCATCGACTTCCAGAGAAAGCCGCGCGCATGGCATTCTTCGAGCGCATTCATGACCTCTTCGCAGTCTGACCGTGGTTAGAAGGTTGAGACCAGGTAATAGACGTAGCCGTGCGACATACTCTTGTTGTCTTTGGTGTGAAGATGGGGATGCATGGTCGCTGTTGTTGCACTCGCTAGTGTCTTGAGACAGATCTACGTGTTTCTTCGAGATGGCCGACCTCAGTTCTTAAGTTCCTGATCTTGATTCCATGTCTCGAGACTGGAGGCAAATCATCAGTCGAACGACGCTAGCGTGTCTTGGCTTTCCCGAACGCCGCTCCATCAAGCAGATGCCTGCCTTGTGTTTTGGTCATCACCACCTTCTCGAATCACACAACTCAAATGTCGCAACAGGTTTCTGCGAAGAAGCAGCAGGGTATGTGTTGATCCTCGGCTCTCTTTTTCCTCTGTTAATCCGGAGATCAGNAGCTGCAGACGCAATATTCAAGTTACAAAGAAACCCTTCAGGCCATCGCACAAAAGATTGGTGATGTTGAGACTGAAGCTGAGGAGCACAAGTAAGTCTGACTTTCTCTTCCCGTTCTGTTGTTTCTTTACCTGGAAAAAGATTTCAACGAACATTGGAGCGTCTACAGCGTGGCCAGCATCACTAACACAGAAAAAGGCNTTGTGTTAGAAACACTCGAACCACTGCCAGGCGATCGCAAGTGTTTCCGTATGATCAACGGTGTTCTTGTGGAACGAACTGTACAAGATGTCTTGCCACAGCTCAAGACCAATGCAGACGGCCTTAAAAAGGTGCTCGAAGATCTGCTGAAACAATACACTACCAAGCAAGAGGAACTCGAGAAGTGGAAGGTATGTGAATCTGCATGTACGAAATTTATATTGGCCCGGTCCGCTAACACAATTACAGNNCGCCAAAACAAGATTCAGGTTGTCACACAATGAGCTCGCCGTCACAGTCACCTTTACGGCTGCTCACGCTGCACGTCGAGGCTGTCCTGCCGCTCCGTCCTTATTCCCACCAAAGCAGCGAACAACGCTCAAAAACAAGATCGTTCGCGTCAATTCGAGCATGGACATGTCAGATACCAACGCGCTGGCACGGCATCTGATCTCACAGATTCGCCCACTAACAGTAAGACTTGGCGCGAAGGCAGAACCAGATACCACGAACTCGCCACTGCCTGGCTCGAAATCGTTGCTTCGAGTCAAGACGCCGTATCGTCGATTTGGTAGAGTGGTCTGCAGAGGCTTGTATTCAGCAGCGAACCAGCAGTCGATATGTTGCGTGGTGGACGAGATCTATATAGCTAAGCAGGGGTAGCCACGCTGAGTGTGGATAAATCATCAATACAAGTCTTGTAATGTCAGTCTCGGTTGTAGAGTGACTCGTCACCATGTCGCTGTCTGGAGCTTGTAAGTGATGCTATGTGTTCTACAGATTGGTATATGCCTGCGAACTCACGGCCTGAGGAAGCCGAAAAGGGAAAGTGAACCAAAGCTTGGCACTTTGTCCAGCAAGTCCAGTGCCCCCACCACTGCCCGTCACAGAACGCGCGCACCAGGTTCGTTCCTCCTCCGTACCGTATCACACTCTCAGCTTTAAGAATAAACATCAGATTTACGCGCCGAACCTCGAGCGCTTTCGTCAAATTTGGTATTCTCACCTTCTTGCTGGTCCCGCTTTATCGTCCAACTTCAACCTCGAAGCAACGACGCTACGTTGCGATCCCGCGTGCATCCAACCGTCATCTTCAGACTTTCCTCGGTTCATTGGGCTCCAAAGCAGTCCGCCCTGACAGCATCTACATCCACGTAATACCCGCAGGATCATCACAGCGGCTGCTTCGTTAGTGAGTTTACCCATCAGGTCCCGCGACTGTCGCCCGTATTCTGGATCGTGAACACCCGAACTCGAAGCCCCTGTCATCAGAACTGTCCACTAACGCTCGTTCAGGTTCTGTTGTGTTGAAATTTGACTGGCCACGGAAGTTTCTTCTGAGGGCTCCCTTTTGATTTGTTACACCGTCGTTGTTGTTCAGTGCCTTGCATCAATCCCCAGCTTCCGGTCATCGTAACACAACGCAAAGCATAGTGTCTTGGGCCGCAGACTATCTGGATCCAACACGATCGTGACGTATCGCGACAGCGAATCAGTTTGCCAGCGCAACAAACGTCAGAGTGAAAGGGTGTGGGGCCTTTTCTGCAAGTCGCCGAATACAATATGTCACAAAGCCCACGAACAACGGATGTCGAGGGACAGCAGGTGTCAAGCTCAGCAGCATTGCAAGCAGACGCAAACCAGCCGTCACCTGACGAGCATGAGCAGCAAGAAATGAGCAGAGGCCCTGACGATCCCGGTGATCATGGTATGGGTGTTTATGACTTTGAGGTCAAGGAGCAAGACCGATGGTTACCCATCGCTAACGGTATGTCCTTTCGGTTCTTCTTCCATCTCTGGGTCGGACACAGTGCGACCGACAAGGGAGCTTGCTGAGTCTGTACCACCTTTGCACCACCACCTGCCTATCGACCAATGCCATCAATGGCCCTACCCTTCACATCCCCCATATACAGCCCAATCGCGCGTCTCGACATCCTGACTGTCGAATCAGAGCTGCTCCTGCCAGCCCAGATCTGCAGCTTTGACTTTTGACAGCGCGCGGATTGCCGAACAGTCATGTCTTCTGCATCCCGAGTGCCATCTCGATCACAGCCACTGCGTCCCCGGAACACTAAGAACGATGTCGCTTCCGATGCTAACATACGCAATTTTGCACCAGTCGCTCGAATCATGAAAGGAGCACTTCCAGACAACGCCAAAATCGCCAAAGAAGCCAAGGAATGCATGCAGGAATGCGTCAGCGAATTCATCTCCTTCATCACTAGCGAAGGTACGTCTGCTGCTATCAAAGTACCTCGCCATGCTTCTAGGCTGCGAGCTGACGTCTTGTAGCTTCGGAGAAATGTCAACAGGAGAAGCGCAAGACCGTCAATGGTGAAGACATTCTCTTCGCCATGACCTCTCTAGGTTTCGAGAACTATGCTGAAGCACTCAAGATCTATCTTGCCAGATACCGCGAGGTAAGTGCTTGCGTCTACAGCAAGATAGACACCTGTGCTAACTCATGTTCGTAGACACTCGTCGCTCGAGGCGAACACCAGAGACCGATGACTGGCGGAAGCACCACTCTCAACTCTGCTGGCGGTGCCCAAGAGACGTCGCCTTTCGAAGGAAGCAACAATGGCGGAGCTGTTCTGAGCAGTGCGATGGAGCCAAACGAGAGTTCCAGCAACGAGTTCGCTTATGGCGTCGGTCAGGGAGCAACGGGAGAGTATTAGGACGCGGATTCCGTCGCTACCACTGATACCCTATGTGAGAGTGTTGAGGATGAATCAGTGTCCGACGCGTCTCCTGAAACGTCTCCTGACACATCCCCTTCCTGATACCCAGGTGTTCAGAGGCGATCACTACTAAGAGTTTGGCGTTCTACGGCGATTTCGAGGTGGGCATTATGGTTTTTCAAGCGCATTCAACAACTTGGTTGATATGGCCCATTCTTTTCTAGACAGAACGAATATCACATTCTCCTCCGAGTACACATAATACAAAGCAGAATTCAAATTGGACCACACGAGGCATGCACGTACGGCTAGAGGGAGTGGTCGCCACTAGTATTGAACGAACATATCCCAACGTCTTATCGTGAAACTGTAGGCATGCATGTCTCACTCATCTGCGCAGATCCATGGACAGTCACGAATCCACCATCAATCCTCTTCTCAAGGTCAGGCACATCATTGTCGAGAGCCACAGAAATACTCGATATGCTTTGAGAAAACAGTACTTCCCACTGAGAATTTTGATTACCAGAGCTCTCTTTGTGTTCCGTGTCCTGTCTGAGGAACAATTGCGTATCTGCATAGCTACAACGTGGCTGTCTATGGCTCGCGAATCTCAGCGCTCTGTCCATAACAAGATCCTCCAGCACACCACAGACCAGATTGATCGATCGAGATTACTTACGCGGCGGGCAGACTCGCGTCACATGACGTCAAGGGGCTAGCCTAATTAGTCTGTAAGACTCGAGAACGAGAAGCTACAAGAGAAACCAGGAGCTCAAGAAGCCAGTCGGTGGGACAACGCATGATACTACTGTTTTTTTCGATTGTTGCGACATCAAACGAATACGTGATTAGGCTTGCGAGAACACTCGAGTTCTTAAAATCCATTCACGCATTGACATGTGCGAGCGACACCTTGCATGATTGCAACAGCGCGATGGTCATAAGAGAGCATGGCAGCACGAGGTATGAGTTCATAGAATCATCTAGGTCGTGGCTCGAGATGGCATTCAAGTTCAGTTGTGGCTGGAAACTCGATTCTTGAGAGCAGGAAGCTGGCGGAGGTCAGATAGAACGCTACGGAGATGAGCGTGGTAGAAACAATGTTCGTGGAGAGGTCTGCTGTGACACCCGCACCTCCTGTGTGCTACAGTATCAAGAATCAAGGCGGATATTCTATACGATCACTTGCAGAAGAAGTCTGTGCTCATCATATCAACAAGAGATAATAAAGATGCACAGATTCAATGAGATAAGAGGTGTGGCCATAGAGATCCCAAAAACTACCTGTCTCTCATGGACGTCGCTTACGAGTTTCGATGTATACGGTGAGACCTCTTGTATCGAGCATAATTCATCATTTCATTTCGTTCGGAGAATTCATACTACCATTATTACTATTCCTCCCTTCTTAGGATACGAACTTTGGTGTCTTCGGCACTGCTACTTAGAAATCCGATTCCACTGTCGGCCTCGGATATGGGCCCTCCTTCTTGCATCTTCTTTGCACACTCTTTGTCGTAGCTACTGGGGTCGATACCGAGGATACCGCCAACGTTGTTGCGGTCGCCGGGCACGCTGAACTCGCGGAATGCATAACGCCACTCATTCAAGAACTGGCGGACGGCCTTACCGACCTTGTCTTTGCCGTTCTTCGAGTGATGTCCAGTGCCGCAGATGGCGTAGACGGGTTTGCTGGACGAGCTGTGGTCGAGCAGGCACGATGTCAAGTATTGAACTGCCTCTTCGGGATGTAGACCTGCCAATGTGATTAACATNAAGATCAACGATATTAAACCACTCACAAACTCACCATGCAAGTCGACGAAGAGCTCGCCAACCCCAGTGCCCTTGTTGCGTTCCTCGTACAAGCATCGAGCAGCCTCACGGTGGGCCTCCTTCATTGCCAGATTTTCGTTATGACCTCTGAGACTGAGAGTTTTGGCACCACGGGCATCATTCCTGTTCCAGCTGTTGGCAGCAGCCTGAAGCAATTTGTTCCTCAATCCACCGTGTCTGAAGGCTTCAGCTCTAGCCTTAAGGTAAGCTTTGTTGGCAGAGTCTCCAGTCTCTAGCCAAGGGATATGTTCAGGCGCGGCTATCGCCATGGCAGCTGCACTGTTCTCACGAGACCCAATGCTCGACTTGGTAGGTCTCAGTCCTCTTCGAGACTGGATTTGAGGAGAAGGTGAAGGCGTCATGCGAACAACATCAGCCAGCGACGAAGGTGTAGGCACCGGGCTTTCCTTGTTAGCAGCGTTGCCATGGCCTCTCTTGCCATGGCGTCGAGAAGATCGTGAGGCCGCAGCGGAACCCAGGGTAGGAAATGCTTCATCATCATTGACGGCCAAGGTTGACGGAGTCGCAGTACGAGATTGATGACGACTGTTGGGTCGCGACGAAGACTGAACGCTTGCATTGCTTGAGGGGACAAACATGGCAAAGGGGTTCAAGGTGGACACAGTAGGTGGCTGTGATTGGAAGGAGTTGAGAAGAGAAGGGTCATAAGATTGGTCATACGGGTTAGAATTAGTGGGTTGCAGAGCAGGGAAAGAGTCGTAGTCTTGCAGCTGGAAATTTGGCTGGAGAGATTGAGTAGGCGGTGTAGCATTCTCATCCATGGTCAATCTGGTCATGAGGGCGGAGGGGTCGTGTGAGAAGATGCAAGATTCGCCAGCGAGGCAGGTGCCAGCCAGCCAGTACCTAAAGAGAACATGTTAGAATACGAACCAAGCAAGCAGCATACACAAGACGCAATCAACATACTTGCACAGATGATTACTCAGATCATGGCTGAAGCGGCAATCGGCCCTGGCGCAATGACCCGAAGAGAGCCAATATTTGCACACGATGCCACTTTTCGACTGGGCAGAAGGAGTGAGAGGTCTGGATGTAGGACTCATGGACTTTCCCACGAGATATGTCCGGTTCTGAGCCTCTGTTGCGCTCAAGGCCTGGGGATCGGCCAAGGCCATGATGGTCTGGCTGAAGTCGTAGCCATTCAACTGGAGGACGTGCTCGAGCTCTTCGTCAGATTTCTCGTCACGCAAAACAGAACGCAGCATGTCATAGGTCGACATTTCTACCATGGAAGGTTGAATCCAGTCTGACGGATGGGAACCAAAAGAAGCATTGCTACTGGCATCGTCGTTGACGATCCAGTCGACGTTGTCGCTTCCATAGTCGCCATATTGTTCGGTCGAGGAGGTNGGGTTCACTGAACTGATAGGCGCTCAGGCTAGGGCTGTGGGGGATCTGGGGAGTCGCAAAGGCAAGGCGCGGTGAAGGACGCGGCGAGGAAAAGGGAGAGGCAGTCGAGGACTTTGTGCGGGTGAAGTGAGGCGGGGTAGGACCAAAGCCAGGAGGAGGGTGGATGGTTGCGCTCTGAGAACGCGGCGAGTTNNTGTGGCAGAGACGGAGCGCGGCTGCCACGGGGCGGGCGATGGACGGCGGATGACAGTGGCGCGTAAGGGCGGCGGAGAGGTCGGGTCCTGGGTCGAGTCGCGATGGCGCCACAGCACACCCAGGACGGCATCCTCGAGAGCCTTGCCCGTCAGACGAGCCTCTTGGCGGAGGACGTCCTCGACGCGATCGGCCTTCTCATCTTCGGGCAGGGCGGGGTCCTGCAGTACGGGCAGGCATATCTCGTAGACCGTGTCCGGCACCATGGTCGTGTTATGCCTGTTGCATCGAGATGGTGCAAGAACTAGAGGAGGGTCACTACGACGAGTGAAGGCAGGCGCAGGCGAGGAGAGTCGAGGACGGAGACGCGAGCGAGTGGACGGACGAGATGCAGCGTGCAAGTTGCGGTTGGCACAACGTCTATTGCGACAAGCTCGGCCGCTCTCCACAATTGACGTCGGTTGGGCGCGTTCGTCGAGCGTCGAGCTACCGTAGCTCCATGACCTGACCGGCTAATAAAGCTTCGTCGACGCCCATCGTTCATGTGCAAACAAGAGCCATCTCTGCTCTACTCATCCTCGCCCGACATGGCCGCCGCCATCGCTGACCGCATCCTCAACCCCGCCAGCGCCCCACTCCCCGATCTCTCCTTCCTGCCCTATCTCAAGACTGCTTTTCCTCCCTTCGGCTTCCCCAACAAGCACAACCGTCCGACATGCGCCGCCTACAAGAACGGGCACTGTCCTCTTGGTCCTGCCTGTCCTGATCGACACTACACTCCGCCAAACGAACGCTCGGGAATCGGCCATCTTATTTGCAAGCATTACCAGCGCGGTCTCTGCAAGAAAGGCGACCAATGCGAGTTTGCCCACACCTTCGACCTGCGTGGGGAAAGAGAGTGTAAGGAGTTCAGCCGCTTCGGACTCTGCCCTCAGGGCGACGAGTGTGCGTATATCGTCTTCTCACCATNNATCTTGCACTTTGCTGACCATCCACAAGGCACCTATCTCCACATCGCTCCCACCTCATCGTTGCGCAATGCTCCCTGCCCTCATTTCGCCCGGGGCTTCTGTCCCCTTGGCCCATACTGCAGCCTACGACACATCAAACATACCACCCTCTGTCCTTTCTACCTTGCTGGCTTCTGTCCAAACGGCCGTTCTGGCCCTCCCGACAGGGATAATGTCGTCTCTTGCGAACACGGCGCTCACCCCAAATGGATCGACGGGAAAGATCTAAAGAAGCCGGAGCCTCGTCGTGTCAAGCCGGAGGAAGAGCTCCGAAGGGAGCAAGAGGAGCGTGAAGAAGAATTCTTTGCCGAGGAAGAGAAGCGCCGCGAAAGATTCGAACGAGGTGAAAGCGGTGGTGGTCGTGGCTGGGGCAAGCGTAGAGGCAGAGGAAGAGGCGGCTGGAGAGGCCGCGGAGGCTGATCGATCCTCTCAAAACACACGCACCATAAACCACTGGCCCTCGTGCTTGCCTGAACCCTCAAGCAGAGTTCGCCGTCTCTCTCTCTCTCTCTCTCTCTCTCTCTCTCTCGCTGCAAGGAAATACGTCCGACAAGCAGATGGAAGATCAAGTCGCACAATCCTGCCTGCCAATGTGCGGCGCTCGGAGAGTCTTGAGACAGAGTACTGTCTACATATAGGAGCAACAGCCTGCCAATTCGGCATCGCATGCTTTCCCTTGGACCTCCAACTGAGAGATTGTACATAGAAGCTGCGCGCGAGTGGAGAGTTCGCAATACGGCGACAAGGTCCATGAGAGGACTTGCTTGACAACTACATGGAGCGACGTTCATCATCGACGTATCTATAAATCGGGTGTCTATTAGTAGCAAAGTAGATTAAGCCCTTCCTTCAAGATGTTTTGTTGTATCACAATGTAATCTCCATATCTTCAGAACACTTCCAGAGACAGGACCCTTGATCAAGAACTACGCACAACCCAAACCTCTCCACCTCCATACACATTCCACGCACCAGACAAATGAATCATGCTCAAAATCGCCGACATCCTGTCCGACCTGACTTCTCTTCGCGTTGGTGTATGTTGTAAAGGACAAGTTTGGCTCAGACCAGAAACGACTGACCTTGACTAAGNNGATCCGGCTGCTGCCTTGGATCTCGTCCTCGCTCGCCCACCAAGCAGTGTTACTTCTCTGTCGACTCAACTGCAGAGAGCGCAAAATGCCACCAACTCAGACGTTGACCTCGCGCGCGCTCAAGATTTGCTTGACCTCCATGCCAACGTCAAGCTGGCTCATCGCGACGGTCTCGACCACGCCTTGTTGGAAGCTCGTCAGCAAGTCGACATGGTTCTGAGGACCGTCTGACATCTCTTCTTTCTCGCCTACGACAAACCTCCATGGCAGGAGATTGTGATATTGCCTAGCCCTACGAAGTGATTGGCTGAAGCTTCCATGGTCAGGCTGCTTCCACTATCACTCAACCATGCAACACAAGATCTGTCAAGAGGCTTCGAACAAGAAGTTTGTGCACACAGTCACGACGGTTCTGTTCAAGCATAGGGAATTGCATCACTTAGGATTAGGAACGGTTATGGCAGGCGGTATATCAATATCTTGAAACCACAGCAGTTGCAACGTTGCTTCCCTGTTCGCCCAATAGCAAACGCAAAAAGAATCGGCCACCAAGCTTGGAGACCCAAAACTTTCTGACCTTGTCTCTCCAGTGTCTCTTCGGCTGTTCGTTGACAGCGGGATCAATGACCACAACGTGTGTATCACGTCTGACGAAGGTGTCAGGAGGCGCCGAACGGAAGCTCAATACCGATGGTCTGGCCTGTAATTCGTGTGAATCTTGTTGTAGTTCAGGGGCTGATCTTGTTGCAATGAGGACAGGAACCTTGTCGGACTTCTTCTGTGGCTCATGAGTGGCTGTGTCGCTTCTCCCGATGGCCGCNATCTGCAGTGACGACGACGGGCGATGAAGCAGCTGCTGACTCCACGACCACTACTGCAGGTGCAGTTGGTGGAGGAGGGGTGGCGTCTTGACCTTTTCGACGACAATCGTAGTAGGTGAAGCAGGTGCTGAAGCAGGAGCAGGCGATGGCGCCGGAGCTGGTACTGGAGTTGGAACAGAAACAGCTGATGGGCTCTCCTTGACCTTCTCAACGATGACTGGAGCTGGTGAAACGACAGGAGAAGCTGGTGGTGGAACAGGTTCAGTGATGGCAACGACAACTGGAGGTGCTGGAGGCGGCGATGGGGGTTTGGGGTCAGATGGTGGTGGCAGTACAGCCTTCTGGAGTGTTGGGTCTGCTGCTGGAACCGCAACGACCGAGCCTTCATGACTGGTTACGACGATATCTGTTTGGTGGGTCAGCGATGTAGAACACAGAATATCAAAAAGTACCCACTTACGCTCTTGCGGTGGTGGAGAAAGAGGTGGAGATGGTGGTGAAGAAGGCGATGGGGATGCTGCTGGAGGAAGAGGGTCGACCGAGACCTTGGGCATAGGCTCAGGAGGGTTGTCCATTGCGATGATGATGAGACCAATAACGTCGTGACAGCAGAGAACAAATAAGAGACTGGAAGAAGAAGAGCAAGATGGCTGCGTAAAGAAACTGGACTGATGATGAAGCGTGGTTGTAAAGAAGAGAATGAGAAAGAGATGGAGGAGTGAATTGGTCCAGCGAAGTTTAGCAGTTACTGCCTATCGGCGCTTTCCTTTCTCCTGAGTCTCCCTCTTTCGCAGAATGCTGGCCCTGGAAAGGGAAGTTGCTTAGCATGACGAGGCTTTCGTTCTTGCCCAAATCTTGCAACTTGCTCGATGTAAGAAGAGCTGTATTGTCAGGTCTTTGAACAGGATGGCATAGATCCCACCTGAGCCGACTGGTGCTATTGGCATCGTCTACTCTTGATCTCTTGCACATGAAATAATCAATCAAGAACAGAATACTAGAGGTTCAAGCCTATGGTGTGGCTTTGATGTTGACCTACATAGAGTTCCACATCACATCGAGATCGCATAGATAAGGTGTAAGCGACCCGATAGCTATGTATCAAGAAAGGGATCACGCAGTCTCGATCAGCCAACAATATGGTTCTTGTTCAAGAGATGTAGCGTGTAAACGGACTGAGTGAGGCAGACCAAATCCAAGAAGTGTCCGTGCGCCGCCGCGCAGATCAAACAAACTTGCGGTTGTCACCATCATCCAAACCATCTCTGTACCATCCATTGTCAACTCCACAAATCATTTCCACCTGAACAGAGCCAGATACGACACTGGCCACAACATCATGAATCGTATCACCACAAACGTGGACCAGAAACTATTGCGTACCACGAAGTTTCCGCCCGAATTCAATCAGAAAGTCGACACAACCAAGATCAATATCCCGGTCATCAAAAAGTAAGTCATACCTAGTTGTCTCAAATACTTTGAGCATATGCCTGTCTTGTTGTTATCCCAGACTGATGGTGTTGAANGCTGGGCTGCTAGCGAACTGTCAAGAATTCTGGGATACGAAGATGATGTTGTTATTAATCTTCTCTTCGATCTTCTAGAGGGTTCCAAGAACGTAAGCTGAGTCTTATATGTACCGCCAAACAATGAGCTAATTCATTCAGNNCCCGACGTCAAATCACTGCAGATCCAACTTACTGGCTTTCTCGAGAAAGATGCGGCTCTCTTCTGCAAGGAACTCTGGAATCTTTGTTTGAGCGCACAAAAGAGCGACACCGGAATCCCGCAGCAGCTTGTTGAGGCAAAGAAGTTGGAGCTCATTCAAGAAAAGGTAGACCCATCATGCTCTAACAGTAAAGTGTTGGTTCTAACCATTTTATCAGNNGTCGAGCAGGAAAGAGCCATTGAAGCAGCCCGTCAGCGCAGGGACGACGAAAGGATCCGTGAGAGAGATTTAGACAACATTCGCAACCGAGACCGTGATCGCAGAGATCGAGGTGGACGAGGACGCGGCCGTGGTGGAGGTCGCGAATTCGACAGTCGGGTTCTCAGAGACCACTCCAGGTCGCAATCACCACCATCCAGACAGGGTTATGGCTCAGGTGACTTCCATCGCAACAGAGCTTTACCTAGGGAGACGGATTCGTATGTTCCCATAGGAGAGAACAGTGGCCGAAGAGGTGGAAGACGCCAGCGGTCCCCCTCTATCACTCGCGGTAGTCCTGTCTCCGCATCACCTCGCCGTACATCACCCGTTCGCTCGCGAAGGACTGCACGGCGCAACACCTCGAGTGAGCGCAGCCGCAGCCGTTCTGCAGAGCATCGGTATTCCAAGCGACCCGCCGATCTAGCACGAGGAGAACGCCGGCACCGAGATCCGTCACCTTATACGCGAAGACGCTCACCCCCTCCAAAGCGTAGAAGAGACTCAAGCTCTTCCCCCAAACCAAGACGCTTTCGCTCACGTACACCTTCTAGAACTCGACTTAGACACAACGACCGAGATGGCAAGAGTAGCGTGTCTCCGCCCCTCCGCCGACGTTCCCGTTCAATCTCTGAAGATAGGCAGACAAAGCGTGCTAATGTTGTCAAGGATCGTCACACCGCTAAAACACACGGATCCCGTCGCAGTCGCAGTGGACAACGTTCTCGAAGCCGCTCTCGGGATGATCGAAAGCGTGCGACATCTCCGAACAAAGCACGTCAGAGCGACCGATACGCATTCGAGACTCACGAGGTCGCGCAGAACAAGAAGCACGACCAACAAGGGGAGAGTAGCGCTGGCGCAGCAGAGGAGGTGGGTATCGATTCTTAATGTCCCAGACACTTTATTCGAACACATCCTTCTCTTGCGTCGATACTACTACTCACAGGGTATAAGCAAAGATGAACTTAACAGTAGTCGGTATACTATATATTTATGAGCTTCGACCTATCCTCACAAAGGCTCTCTGCACGTTTTGACATCAAGGTGGATGCTAATGACGGTAGATCCATCATAGGTTAGAAAGGCCCTCGGCAGCCCTCGCAAAGCATAGCGGTAAGAGGCCCACCGCAAGTGAATTGAGAGAAAGACTACTCAAAAGCAAGATCATGGCTATGCGTAGGGCAGGTGGAGGGGTTCGAAGTGATAATGAAGCCATCATGTTATGTTCCTTTCGGCGAGGAAGTGTGGAGAAGATCAGCTCTCAATCGCGTGGGGAAGTGAATGCGTGACGCGAACACGAAATATAGATTTCCTTGGAGCGCTCTTTCATTCTACGGTGCTACAATCGACTGCATCATCTCGCGATTCTTCTCATCTGCACTCCAGTATGGTTGATAATGCGCCGGCGAGCGCAGCCAACACGGACCAGCCAGGTCGCCCCTACTACGAGAGTCTGCGAAACACGCTCAAAAACACATTAACCAAGAAGCGACAGCTCGACGAGCAAATGCAAGCGCTTGAGGACAACATTTACAAAATGGAGAGCAGCTATCTCGAGGAAACCAATGGTGCTGGCAATATCGTGCGCGGCTTTGACGGATGGGTCAAGGGCGTCGTGGTAGGAGGAGACAAANAAGCCGTCGAGGACCGCAAGGCCAGAGTCAGAGTTCGTGACGAAGACCGCGTCTTTTCACGGAGCTCCATGTCCTGGATCAGGGTATGTCTAGCCCTCGCTACGTGTCTTTATTGCTGTCCAAACCACTGACATATGGTTTGCAGGNCCCAAGACTCGGACATGCCCACCTCGGCTACCAATACTCCCTCCCATGCACCCACACCAGCCTCGTCGGTGCCTCCTCAATTGACCTCGAGGGACAGCAACCATGCCACTCCTAGCAGTACCGTCTCAAAGGCCAACAGCAAGAAAAAGAAAGCCGCCGACAAGGAGGATGACGAAGACAATAAGCCGGCCAAAAGACTGAAGATTACCTACGGCCGCGAATAACATCCTAAACATCATAATTTGCTGCGTTCAAGCGGGAGTTGGGGCATGGGACATGCATCGGTCAAGGGTCAAGATCAGGCGTTCGGACTGAGGTCGTTCTGGGGAAGTTATGTAAGAATATGCACATGGGACCACGATTGAAGCTATCGCCGAGATAGAATACAGAACTCTCGTGTCTTTTCGAGAGAGAGTACATCCTGAAGTACTTTATCTTCGATGCCTGTGAACGTGCTTTGCAAGAGTTGACTTTATGTGTATGAGCCTGGTGTTTGCTTGTGTTTGCTCATCTGGATGGCGATCCATCTTCGAACCAAGCCCAGTCTCCATCTTGTACCACTAAGTTGTATCTTTGATAGTAGCTCATTACCGGTCGCATAGCTATGACTTCGGAAGTCATAGAAGATTTGTGGCTTTTTGGTTATGGCAGTCTGATTTGGAAACCACCACCACATNTTCGGTGAGTACCTCGGTGACCTCTGCACGCTTGATATATACATTGACCACCACCAGACTTGAGAGTACCGGGCTACGTCGACGGATACGTACGACGCTTCTGGCAGGCAAGGTGAGTAACTTGACCCGATCAAGCCGGGACAATCCAGTAATAGGAGGACAACAGTGAAGATCATCGTGGAACTCCCGAAGCACCTGGCCGGGTTGTCACCCTGATTGACAGATCGCATTGGGATACTTTGACCGATCAACATTCGGATGCTCCTCCAACGACATGGGGTGCCGCTTATAGGGTACGTCGTCCGAGCGAACTGTGTCGTCGATGGTCCTTGGGATGAGTGCATCAGGATCAAGTGCTTTGCCGAGCAGTGTTCATGCATCAAGCAAGATGTTAGCTCAAATGAGCGGCCATCACGATGGGCCAATGCCAACGCTTCGAGGTCAATGCTAACCACGACTCACGTTGGTGTTAGATACCAGGACCGCATGTGGCAGAAGTGCGAGAATATCTCGACATTCGTGAGATTAATGGATACAGTATCCAGTACACACCATTTCACGTGTCATCGGCTTTTGCGGCTTCACACAATCTACCAGCACCTATCAACTGCTTGGTCTACGTAGGACTTCCTGACAATCCGCAATTCATGGGTCCACAGGATCTTGAATCGCTTGCAGAACACATTGTCAGGAGCAGAGGGCCTAGTGGAGAAAACAAAGACTATCTTTATGGGCTCGACCAAGCTCTGATGGAACTTGGAGACGGCAGCGAAGACGAGCATGTCCATGACCTGGCCAGGCGCTGCCGGGAGATTGAGTGCAGAGCGTCAAAGGATGTTAGCAAGCAAGCAGACAGCAGCGTCATTGGATCCGAGCTGAAGAGAGTGGGAAGCACGGCTGAACAAGAGGAGATTGAGAAGTGAGACCTGTGAGCGATAAGGTCGTGGTAGATGTAGAGAGTAGATGGCGTGTAGTTGAATGCATGGTCAGCAATTACCCGATGTCAACTGGAAGGTGTCAGAACATCCAGGCAGGATGCAGGAACCAGTGCCAGCTGCGTGGAAGGTTCGTCGATCGGCACAGGGTGGCTGCGGGACGAACCGGAGCTTCGTGTACAAGTTCCGTACAGTGCAACGGTGCGGAGGTGGACGAGACGATTCTTGTAACTGTTCGAGTGCAGGAGTAAGGGGAAGCCCTCTCTTCCATCCAATGTCGAGGTCCTGATTGTCTAGACGCGCTCATCTGTCGACATGCGACAAGAGAAGGCGGCCTCATGGAGCGACATCCCGACTTCTGTGCTGCGAGCCGAACTGCTACGCCGTCAAACAACAAACCATGACGGCCGCCCTGCCTGTGGCACCGCCCGTACCACCAAGGACTACAACATGCCTCTGCATGTCTTTGCTCTGGTCCTGATTCTCGTCCTCAGCACACTGGGTTGGTCTTGCCATCACACTGCACACTGCTTCTTCTCGCTGACCATGCCGCGCANNGCATGCTCGTTCCCAATTCTTGTTCGACGCCTTCCTCGAATGCCCGTACCCCGTCAATTCCTGTTCCTCTCGAGGCACTTTGGCACTGGTGTATTGATTGCAACCGCCTTTGTACATCTCCTGCCCACCGCATTCAACTCGCTCACCGATCCGTGTCTCCCGCCTTTCTGGAATCAAGGATACCCCGCCATGGCTGGCCTCATCGCCATGATTTCAGTCATGGTGGTTGTGGGCGTAGAGATGTTCTTTGCTACCAAAGGAGCTGGACATTCTCACTCGAGCGACTACGTGACCCCCAGAGAGCAATACGAAGACATGGCCCCTTTGAGAAGCAGTAATCGCGAGGGCTTCTCAAGACCTCTGCACCGACGGAGTGATAGTTACCGGCCATTCAGTCAGGGGAAGATAGGAGCCGAGGAAGATAGTACTGAGGACATGGCCTTGCAAAACACTTCGCCGTGGCAAGAGAACGGGAATTACGAAGATACGGAACCCCTGGCTCACAAGGGTCGTGCCAGTCTAGATGACACAGGCAGCAACTCGGATCTTGATTTGGATGAATTGGATCCTCACATCAATGGCAATGGCATTGGTAATGGACATAGCCACGGGCATGTCGCCGAGCCGAGTCTGGAGCGCGCTGACTCGCCGTCCGAACAACAGCAGCAACAAAAGATGCTGCTACAATGCNTACTCCTGGAAGCTGGTATCCTCTTTCACAGTGTCTTCATAGGCATGGCTGTATCTGTGGCGACAGGCACATCATTCATCGTCTTGCTCGTAGCCATCTCATTCCATCAAACCTTTGAAGGGCTGGCTCTGGGTTCCCGCATTGCCGCTATCACAATATTTCCGAAGCGATCACCACGGCCGTGGCTGATGGCACTGGCCTATGGAGCGACTACACCCATAGGACAGGCCATCGGACTTATGGTACACAATCTCTACGACCCATTCAGCCAAACAGGTCTACTCATGGTAGGAATCATGAATGCGATCAGCAGTGGGTTGTTGTTGTTCGCTGGATTGGTTGAATTGTTGGCAGAGGACTTTTTGAGCGACGAGAGTTACGTGATGCTCAAAGGGCGAAAACGACTTGAGGCTTGCGGTGCTGTGGTTGCTGGAAGTCTACTAATGGCGTTGGTTGGTGCATGGGCTTAGAATTCAAAAGCATGAGAGACACATGGTTTTAAACATGTCTCAGACCGGATAACGTGTGCAAAGTACGTCTGTAAGAACATCAGGTCGGAAGACGACTCATCTTCGTCCTCGTTGCGCAGTGAAGCAGGCAGTTGATGTTCGTGTGAAGAAACATCGATGGAAGACAGTGAGAGCAAAGCAAAGACCAGGGATCGCTCGGCCAGAACGACTAATTAGGTAGGATCGGAGAATCGGGGGATGTATGATGGTGACAAATGAGTGATCTACTAGGTACCTCTAAAGATGAGGAGTCCGTGTCGCAAACCGAAGTCGACAAGAACAAGATATTGCTCTTCACCAGGCGTTCCAACTCGTCGTCTCACAAGCAGATTCTCGCGGCTGCGTGTTGTTTTTGTCGTCGTTCGAAGCCATTGCTCTCTGGAACAAGCGCAACACACGAGCCGTTTCTTTCCGCCTGCCGTCGACGCCCTCTTATCGCTCTCACGACTACGCCACTCATCCTTCTGCTAAACAACCACGGTCGTCACCTGGTCAGGCTTGTCAGTGAGCAGTGGTATGCCGGTTTAGCGACAAGATTCCAATGTCTGCCACGACGTCTACTGCGCCGAGCGCCGTCTCTCCCTCGGCGACCAGCACCGGCTCTTCGAATGGAGGCAGCGGTCCAACCAGCTCACCGCTTCTGTTCTTTGTCGCCCTTGGGTTCGGTGTCGTCTTCACCAACTTATGGTATATATGTACTCTCGTNNCTTTCATGCCTAGCCCCCGTTCCTGACCCCTGCCTCCNNAGGATTATTGTCGGTGTGAAGTACTGCTTCCGCTACAACCAGCGCAACCGCCAGCGCGCTCTCGGCGAAGATGGCAACCCCATTGACCTCATGGCCATGCCTCGCCCTCACAGGCGTCGCAAGGAAAAGAAGCTCATGACCATGGACGATGTGAACGAGCGCTTCCCTCTTGCAAAGTACAAGGTCTGGAGAGCCTCACGCGAGGCCCATGGACTGCCTGCCGCCGGCGGTGTCAGCGCTGCCCCGAGTCGCGCTCCAAGCATTCGACACTCCGATCCGCCAACCCTGCAAGACCCACCTCAATCTCCTCGTACCACTCTAGAAATTGCCCAACAATACCATGCCACCACCATTACCGCTGCCTCGTCGACTGCCCCCATCACTACTTATGACAAAGTGCCATTGGAAAAGACAGAGACCGTTGCGTCCTCTATACACGAACATGACCACGAGTCTGACGACGAAGACGACCCCATCCGTACTGCCGCGCCACCTGAAATGGTTGCGCCCCCTGNNGGAGACACTTGCGCCATCTGTCTGGATAACCTCGAAGATGATGACGACGTTCGCGGTCTCACTTGTGGTCACGCTTTCCATGCAGCCTGTCTCGACCCATGGCTCACCTCTCGTCGTGCATGCTGCCCCCTGTGCAAGGCCGACTACTATGTTCCAAAGCCTCGTGGTGCAGATGATGTCGACGAAACTGGTCGTAGGGAGCGCGGCATGCGTTTACCCTCAAGCCCTGCCGCTGCTTGGATTGGTGCTCGTAGATCAGGTACCACGGGCAGGAGGCGCATGATGCTGGGTGGTCCGAGATTCCTGGTAGCCGAATCTCACACCGACCAGCATGGCTTCCCACAAGTCGTGCAAAGAGGTCCGGACCCCGGCAACGCACGTGAGACTCAAGGTGGTTGGTTCAGTGGATTGACCCGTTTTTCGAACCCTCTTCGACGCGGAAATGGTTCGACGCAGGGCAACAATACAACTACTACACCAAGCGATCTTGAAGCTGGAACTTCAAGATAGTTTTGCGGAAAGGTGAAACATCCTATTGGTCTTTGTCTTTTTGGAGCGGGATGTATCTGGATCCCTCCGGTATAACAGCGACGGTTCGGGTCTAGGGATTGGTGTTTATTCTTGGCCAGAGATCCGGGTAAGCGATAGGGTTACGGCGATGGTTGGTTGGGACTTATGGGGTTTTCAGGCGCCTCGGTTTGGGCGTTTTCTCATTTGCCTCGAAATTTTATGGTTGCATTATCCAAGCTATTTGCATCTCTGATCTCAATCTTGTCTTGGTTTTACAGACCTATTGTGACCCCTGCGCCTATCTAACTTATAGACTTGTGACAACTCTTCGGCCTACATCTCTCCGCATTGAGCGATAGCGACGTCTTGAATGGGCTTGTCTGTCACGTTGGTCCTGACGTTCTCGATCTTTCGTACGACATCCATGCCGTCAACAATCTTTCCAAAGACTACATGCTTGTTGTTTAGATGGGGCAGCGGTACAGTGGTAATGAAGAACTGGCAGCCATTTGTGTTTGGACCAGAGTTCTAGTAGCGATTCACGTTAGTCTTTTGTATGTATGTATGTATGTATTGGCAACACGCAAGACTCACGGCCATGGAGAGCAAGCCAGCAACGTCGTGTCTCAGGTTGAAGTTCTCGTCAGCAAAGGCCTTGGTACCGTAGATCGAAGCAGAGCCAGTGCCATCGCCATTGAGGAAGTCGCCTCCTTGGATCATGAAATTCGGGATNCTTTTCGTCTGTCAGTCTTTTGCATGCTCATGTCGGAGTATCGCGATACTCACCACGCGGTGGAACTTGCATCCCTTGTAGCCTTGGGGATGTCCTAGGTGGTTCTTTGTCTCACCCGTGCAGTATTGGCGGAAGTTCTCGGCAGTCTTTGGCACGACATCTTGGAAGAGCTCCATCTTGACTCGACCCAAGGGCTCGCCGCCAAGGGTGATGTCGAAGAATACTACAGGGTTGGGCGATGCCGGTGTTGCCATCTTTTTGGGGCAGATTAATTGTGGTTGGGTCGCTGGTCGTGGAACTAAGAACAAACCGGTGAAGAGCGAGCTGTTGTGCAAAGTGTTGTATAAGTTTTGAGTCCAAAAGTGCTGAGCTGATAGGTTGACGTGGTGTAGAAGTTTCGGTCTCTGCGAAATGTGAAACGCCTGTGCTAAGTAATATCAAATTTCGCGAAGACATGGAGAGCTGGCTCTGGCAAACGACTCGGCTAATCTATCAGGTCAAGTCACCCATCACGCATAAGTGAATGACCATGAGTGATGTAAAGAGAAAATCGAGGTGCTGGTATAGTTGGGGACAGGGTCGTACCACTAGCATGACGGTGTTGGCCTGAGCTGGAGCCCCGCTCTTGACATCATAGAACGTGAAGCAAGCTCGTAGGATCCAAGCACTCCAAGGTTCCCTCTTTCCATCCCTACAAACTCAAACCTTTGATCGAACCTGCAGTAAGGAAAAACCAGTACATACACAAGGTATGTATACAAACTGAGCTCTAGATTGAGGAGAGTCGAGCTGACCACACGTCTTGCAGCACCTCAATCATGTCATACGGAAACGATCGCTACGGTGGTGACGACGGCAACTACTCCGGCCGTAACGAAGGCAACTACGGTGGCCGTGATGAGTATGGCGGCAACAACAACAACAACAACAACAACAACAACAACAACAACAGAGGTGGGTACGGCGGTGGCGGTCGTCAGGAGTATGGCAACTCTCAAGGAGAATTCGGTGGACAAAGACACGGCGGTCAGAACGATGGCTACGGTCAAGGAAACTCCGAATATGGCGGCCAGAACCGTCGCGACGAGGACTCTGGCTATGATCAGCGCAGAGACGAGCTGAGAAACCACGCACAATCAGGCTACGGGTTCGTATCCATCACTTCCTCGAATGACTAGACCACGACTGACTTTACCACTTAGCTCGGTCGCCGGACCTGGAGGCTACGGAAGAGGACAGGAAGGATATGGCGGCCCCGGCGACAGAGTCCACTCCAACAACCCCGAAAGCAGATATGGCTCGGGTAACGACGACGGCGATCGCTACAACGGCCGCAACGATGGAGGTTACGGCGGCGGCACCGGTGGCCAGGTACACTCGAGTGGTACCTCCTATGGCGGCGTGCCTGGTGGATCCGACGACTACTCGTCTGCAGCTCACACCGCAGCCCAGCATGCTGGCAACTCCGGCGATTCGAACCTGTTCAGCGCTGCCCTTGGCATGCTCTCAGGTCACAAGGCACAGCAGGAAGACGTTGATGAAGATGATGCCATCAGACAGCACCAGCAATTCTACGGTGGAGCTGGTCAGCCTCACCCAGCCAGCTCTGGCAGCATGGGCTCGGCCGCCGCTATGCAGGCTCTCAAGATGTTCAACCAGGGAGGCAGCTCGTCTGGAAACGGACCCAAGAGCCAGAACGACTTTATCGGTCTTGCCATGTCCCAAGCTGCTAAGCTTTTCGGTATGTATACTAAACGTGGCTTGGAAGAGATCCTGCTAACTCTTCTTCAGACCAGCAAAGCTCCCAAGGCAACGTGCACCAGCAAGCTTCAAAGCAGGATGCTGTCTCATCTGCTGCTCAGATGGCCCTCAAGATGTACATGAAGAGCCAGGGCGGTGGCGGTAACAGCAGCGGCGGTGGTCTTATGGGCCTCATGAGCAAATTCATGTAAACAGATGAAACACGACGAAACGAACCACAGTTCAAGATAGCTACAACAACAAAGAAATTGCTATATTTATATTCATACAAATCCTTTCCTGATCCTGCTCAACGCACTCTCAATATCAATCCGCTGTGGATATATCCGGATTGGATCGAGCAAGTTACATGCTGCAGATGGATAATGGGTTCTGAGGCTCGTGATCGAAACTGTCTTGTGGCCAATCCATGCGATCCTGTGAAATTCGCTTTCGTGTGAGTGGTCATCTTATAATCGGCCACCATCTCCTGTGCGGCTCTTCAACTTCAGGTACCCTTTATTGCCATCTTCTCCAAGCACGTCCTCAGACTCAACGACTCGCTTTGTCGAAGATGAGCCGACCGAAGCAGCTGCACGAGAACCTCTGGACCCACCCACGAGCACCGCCTCCTCTTGTTCGAAGTCGTCTCCAGATATTACTTCCCACTCTGCGCCCGACATGTCTTGTAGAAGAATCTGCTTAATCTTGTCAAGGAATCGAGCAAANGACGCAGCTCGCCAACTTCGCATTGCATCCAGACCTTCGGCCGAAACAGGAACTTGACGTGCGCTAGCATGAGAGAATTGACCAAACGGCTGGTTGTTGTGCGTGGCTTGATCTGGGTTGGTTGATTGAGGAGTCGAGTCTCTACTGGTATGTTCGCGGAACAGTGTGAAGAGGTTCATGCCCATGGGACAAACAGCTTGATGTGCGCTAGAGAGATTGAGACCCTGAGAAGTGCAGAGCCATGCGACGTTCCAGGCCAGTAATGAGATACCTTCAATGAAAAGGTTGTATCTAGCGGCATCCTCCTTGGCAAGAACGACTAATGGACGGTCCAGATGGAGGAGACGTGGTTTGGGCAATGTGCGGTGGTCCAAGGTACGCGATGATGATGAAGTCGATGAAGAGCCCGGGAAAGGAAGCTGAAAGCCTTGATACGAAGACTGCAAAGAGAAGATAGTGGGATGAGGATAGCTTGCATGAGGAGGAGTGATCTCAGCCGGAAGGCGGACAGAAAGATAGTGACAACATGTAACCAACAGGCGGCATATGTTGGCGAGCGAGGCATTGATAAGTTGAGGTTGTGCAGAATTGAGATGGCGCAGGTCAACGATGGAGATGCTCCCGATGGTATAGTCGTGCACGATGCTACCATCTGGCATACGTCGTCGTTTCTGCTGCAATCCCGCCAGCCTTGCCGTCTCTTGACATAGTTTGGTTCTACCCTCGAGCGTGCGTGCTTGTACCTTGTCGAGTCGTCGCTGACTCCGGCGAATAGTTGCATGCAGTGGTTCGAGCAACTGAGGCACACGGCTGGTCATCTCGGCCCTCTCGCGTATTATCTCGGCATGTCGCCGTTTGATATCGAGGTGGCGTGAGCTCTTTTCTCTACGAGCTTGTTCTACCTGCTGTCTGAGTAGGTCGGCCTGCTCATTGATAATGGTGCAGCGCGAGCGGATAACCTGGATTTCTTGCAGAACCTGGATATGAGCATGCTTTTTGGCACTCTCCGTGATCTCTACCACCTCCGGGCCGGAAGATGATAGAGACACCGTGAGATCTGAGCGTGGCGAGATGACAGAGTTTACTTGTTTGCGAAAGGCCTCGATGTTCAGCAGATCTGCCAATCTGTCCAGGCGAGCCTTGTACACAAGCGCTCGGGCACACGAGACGCATGTCGGTTGTCCACGAGAAGGGAACACTGTAGAGCATACAGGGCATTCCATCGCTTGGCCGATGGTTGTGTAGTTACCACTCGTGCATCGGTTGATCCCTTTGTTTTCTCGGATGGTATTGTAGACAAGGTTGTGAGAGTCTCTGGCGGCTACTGTTATCAAAACTTTATGGCTTCACACAGACATGAAGCGTTCTGAAGCGTGCTCGTTCGCATAGCACCCAGATCCCAAGTCACAAGTGCAGGTGGAAATATTGGAGTGGTTCATGGATGGCAGTGACGCCTCCACGCGCACGTCAGAGCCTGGTAATGAAGCCCCCTAACAATTTAGCAGAGCACTCAATCGATATTTTGGAAACGTACAAGTTTGTGGATCCCAGGCAGCTCTAGAACTTGAGTCTGCAAGTGATCATCAAAGCTCTAAAAATTGGTCTGTTGGTTGTGTTCTGGAGGAGACCAACCCTTGTTGACTGCTGACCCATTTACAACAGTCACGCGTCGCGTCATCTGTGCTTGCCTATCACCAAAGTTTCCAACACCTTGATATATGCTCGTGAAAACACACAGCTTTTTACACATTACAACATGGAATCTGGCAACACCACTCCCCACGACCAGAACAATCCTGCACCAGACGAGCACGATGAGGAGGATGTCATTGATCCTAAGGATCACATGGAACCATTCGATTGGCAAGCACTAGAGATGGACTACCTCGCCGCAATGGCCGACTGCAAGGCAGAAGAAGACGCCCACCTTCAAGATTTCGCTTCTTTGTCGCAGTTCTTTGCCGTCTGGGCAGAAACCATTTCCGGTCACGAACAGAAAAGAAGCCACCAACGGTATATTTTTCTACGAGCGAGACATGACATCGGCCTAATCCTTCACCTTCTAGTCNTGAGAACACAAAGCACCCTTGTCAAGAAGAAGGAAAATGAGCTCGAAGAGCGCAGAACACACNTGTAAGATCTAGCCAGGGAATTGTTTTTGGGAGTATTCCTAACGACTTGGATTGCAGATGTGCAAGTCGTCGAGGCATTTCGTAAGGCCCTTTCTATGCTCAATGGTTGAGCTCCTCCGACACGCTACTGTCAGCTCAGGAAGTATGCATGTACCCTTCTTTGTTCCGGAGTTCGCTGTGCGTGTGATGATGAGTCCCCTGGCTCGGATCTGCTTTTTGCGTCATATTGAAGGGAAGAGCATGAGGTTGTTCTCGCGTTGTTGCTTTCTTGCTTTGTCGAATCGCGCTATACCCTCTCGCCCGAGTATGCAAACTGAGGGATGTTACGGAGTTCAAATGGTGAGCTCATAAGCCTAGGTTCTATACAAATCGTACTAGGTCTTCGAAAAATTGAAATCTATCTTTTTACAAACACCACATCGGACTTGAGGCATGCCCAGCTTAAAGCAGAGGGTTTTGTTTGTATTCGGGAACATCGCTGTCGGTCTGACTTTTCTTGACCTCCTGGTTCTCGATCGACTTCTCGACGTCGGCATCGGTCTCGGCGAGGAACTTCTCGGCCTCGAGAGCTGCGATGCAGCCAGAACCTGATGCAGTCGTTAGCGACGGCGCTGCACTAGTTGTTTCACGATACATACCTGCACTGGTGATTGCTTGGCGATACTTCTTGTCCTGAACATCTCCTGCGGCAAAGATGCCCTCGACGTTGGTGTGTGTGGTTCCGGGCTCGGTGATTAGGTAACCGTCCTCGTCCATCTTCAATTGACCCTTGAAGAGGGTAGTGGCAGGCTCGTGACCAACAGCGTAGAAGAGACCGTTGGCCTCAATGCTCTCTTCCTCTCCGGACTTGATGTTCTTGATGGTAAGGCCCGTCATGAGACCACGGGGCTTGTCCTCGCCAGTGATCTGGGTAGCAACGGTGTTGTACTTGATCTCGACCTTGGGGTTGGTGCTCAGTCTACGGGCGTTGGCCTTGCTAGCACGGAGCTGGTCCTTGCGGACGAGCACGGTGACCTTGGAAGCCTTCTTGGTGAGGTAGATGGCCTCCTCAACCGCCGAATCACCACCTCCGATGACAACCAAAGGCTTTTGTCTGAAGATGGGAAGCGAACCGTCGCACACAGCGCATGCACTGACGCCGTTACCCCAGTATTGCTCCTCTCCAGGAAGGTCCAATCTTCTTGCCTTAGCACCGGTTGCAATGATAATACTGTCGGCAGTGTGTGTCTCTTCCTCGAGGTTCTCGTCGTCGCCCAGGGGGTGGAGCCAGAACTTGAAGGGTCTCTGGGAGAAGTCGACCTTTCCAACAGTCTGGGTAACGATTTGAGTACCGCAAGCCTCGGATTGTGCGCGCATGTTGTCCNNTGAGTACTGGTTAGAAGGCTGTCCACAGTGAGCAGAGATTCGAGTGCGACTCACCATCAAGGTGGCACCCTGGATGTTCATGAAGCCAGGGAAGTTCTCGACCTCGTCAGTGGTGGTCAACTGGCCACCAGCTGCAATTCCGAGAGCGAGGAAACCCTCGTACAAGACAGGCTGCAGGTCTGCACGAGCGGCATAGATGGCGGCGGTGTGGCCGGCGGGGCCTGAGCCGATGATGACAACTTTGGAGTGCATGTTGCGGGCTGGAGGGGGGAGCGAGTGCGCTGGCTTCGCGTGCTACGAAGGGGAGAGATGCAAAGGGGAGAGCGAGAGAGGCGCGGAAAGGAGTAATGCCTACACGGCGGAGAGTCGAGGCGAACACTTTGACGGTGATTTGTGATTGCTTTGCGGAAGAGGTTCGATTGTATATAAGATGGCTAGACTTGCTTAGCAATGCTCTACTCAGACCATCCGGGTACGGCTGGTTCCGTGGATATGATTTTATCTTCTAGAGGCCGGGCGCTTTGAACATTCGTAATCTCAGAAAATCGTTCTTCGGCAGACACTCGGTCGGCCCGCTTCCCACGTGCCTCGGCGGGCTTGATGTGCCACCATAAATCTTATCTGATATAAACAACAGCTACTCCCACATGACGTCTATTCCTCCATCGGAGCGTCCTCTGGTAACTCGCTAGTGGCGCCATCGGTTGCCTGTTCTGCTGCAGTGTCTTGTGCTTCCTCTGGAGCGCCCCTCTTTCTCAGGTTCTCAATTCCATACAGCAAGTTGTCAAGTTGCTTCCGCTCTGGCGCAGGAAGCATGAGGTGGTTAGCAGCATGCAGTTTTGCACTGAATCCCTCGTCGAGCTCTAAGTTTGTCTCGGATCCGGTGTTGCGTACTCGGTAAGCCTGGAGTCGCGGAGTCGATGCCTTTGCCTGATTAGATCGCGAAGTCAATCGACTACTGGGAAATTGACGTACCTCTGTGGCATCCAAAGAGACAAGGACAGTGCCGCCAACCACGGTAACATCCAAGGGCACTCCTGGTAGAGAAATAGCAACCATGCGGGAGGCTGAGCCCTGTTGTGACACCAAAAGACATGGCAGCTTCTCACAAGCGACCAAAATTGCAGTTTCCCTGTTGTCCGTACCAGCAGGTACAGTCCAAAGTCCGGACACTGCGATTGAGCTTTCAGGTCCGAATGTGATGGCGGAGGATTGAGAAGAGAAGAGAGCAGAAAGAGCAGATCTCATGTCACACTTTTCTCTGAGGTTGCCGGTTCGCCAGTCCCACATTCCCAGCCAATCGTCCCCACCGCCACTTACCAGGAGATCCGTACCAGGCATTAGGCAGATCTTACTGATGAAGTCCCTGTGTCCGAGGCAGAAGCCCTCAATAATATGTGCTTGAGGAGGACCCCGAGAGATTCGGATGTGTTCGTCTCTGTCGGCTGTGATGATGTAGCCACGAGTTTTGCCATCGACCTCCTCAGTCGCAAATTGGACATCTGTCAGCATGGAGACATGTCCCAGAAGGAGTTGATACTCGAATTTAGGTCCCTCTCTGGCTTTGGCCTGCAGATCCTTCTGCTTCATCTGATTCTCCAGGGCCCTTCGGTTGCGGCCAGAATGAACAGTCAAAGTAGTAGCCGCAGGGACGTACTTCTTGGGACCCGCATCGTCCTTGGTCTCTACCTTGGAGCTCTCTTCGACCTTGTCTACCATGGCAGATGGGAACAAAGGTAGGGAGTACACATCTCCAAACTTGTCACCGCACAGGATGGTTTGATTGTCTGGAGTTACCAAAACCGCACAAGGACGTTTGGGCATGTTTCTTNNCTTCAAAGTCAATTGGAGACTCGAGAAAAAGGAACTTTCGTTTCCCTACCTTTCGCTCAATTCATTCAGCTTACCACTCTCAGTCACCTCGAGGACTCTGACAGACTTGTCGTCGGTCACAGCAACAATGTGTTGATTATCGGCAGCGACTGCTAGTTTGATGACATTCGGAGCAGCTGCCGCCTCGGACTCAAGTTTGCGCTTCTTGCCCGGAGGACCACCATCCGAAGCGGCTTCGACCTAAAAGTTGATTCAGCAGGCGTTCAGCGGGCTGGAGCTGACTATGGTCTCCAATCAGTCATGCCACTGCGGGGGTGCCCATGATGGAATACTCACCGAGCTGCTGTCCTTTTGCTCTGGCCACTGAGAGACAACTGAACCATCTGCAAGTTTTACAGAGACGATTTTGGCACCATAGGCGGCCAACAACAGACCCTCAGGCGCAAAAGTCTGAGAATTGCACAGAGCTGTGATCTGGTAAGGGTGATTCATGATTGAGATCGGCGACCAGACAAAAGTGAATGGGAGCAGATGACATTCGCTCGAGCATGCAGAATGCTGGCCCAGAAAAAGCCATGGTCGATGCTTCCGGATCGGACAGGGCGGAAGTTGGCGACGCCAAGGCCGACACCCACAAGCGCAAATTCGCTCGCGGTCTGGCAAAAGCTCAATATTCGAAGAGCCTTTGAACCTCTACAACAACCATCTAAGGGACATTTTCCAGACTTCGCCTGAAACATCCCTAACTCATCGCAAGATAGCAGAAATGGGGGCAAGTCAGCAACCAAGGCCGTCTACTTCGACAAGCTGAAGTCTCTTCTTGAGACTTACAAGTCCATCTTCATCGTCACCGTCGACAATGTCTCGTCCCAGCAGATGCACGAGATCCGTCACGCTCTCCGTGGCGACTCGGTCGTCCTGATGGGCAAGAACACCATGGTTCGCCGTGCTCTCAAGGGCTTCATCACCGAGGCTCCCGAGTACGAGCGTCTCCTTCCTCACGTCAAGGGTGAGTTTGTGCGCCTGGCGCAATTGCGCACTCGCAGAGATGCGCCCGGCTAACCCGCTGCGCTCACAGGTAACGTTGGTTTCATCTTCACCAACTCCGACCTCAAGGACACCCGTGAGAAGATTCTCTCCAACCGCGTCGCCGCCCCTGCTCGTGCCGGTGCCGTCGCCCCCGCCGACGTTTTCGTCCCCGCTGGTAACACTGGTATGGAGCCCGGAAAGACCTCGTTCTTCCAGGCTCTCGGTGTCCCCACCAAGATTGCCCGTGGTACCATTGAAATTACCACTGACTTGAAGCTCGTCGAGGCCGGCTCCAAGGTCGGTGCCTCCGAGGCCACCCTGCTCAACATGCTGAACATCTCGCCCTTCACCTACGGTATGGGCATTGCTCAGATCTACGACCAGGGCCAGACCTTCGATGCCAGCGTCCTCGACATTGAGGAGAGCCAGCTCCTCAAGGCCTTCACCAGCGCCATCACCACCATTGCCACCATCTCCCTGGCTGTCAACTACCCCACCCTTCCTTCGGTCATGCACTCGCTGGTCAACTCCTACAAGAACGCCATCTCGGTCGCCATCGAGATTGACTACGAGTGGGACGCCATCCACGAGCTCAAGGACCGCATCGCCAACCCCGACGCTTACGCCGCTGCCGCCCCCGCTGCCGGCTCTGCTCCCGCTGCTGGTGACGCCCCTGCCGCCGAGAAGGAGGCTGAGAAGGAGNGGTAAGAACAATCTGCTTCGGTCATGCCCAAGATTCAGTATGCTAACACATTTGTTACAGAGTCCGAGGAGGACGACGACATGGGCTTCGGTCTCTTCGACTAAGCGTGTCGCTTGCCATAGATTTTCTAGAAACAGAAATCTTACCTCGTCCCCAAATCGTTGTGGTACCTTCAGACTGTTAGTGAAAGTTGTTCACTGTCAACATCTTCTGTCGAAAGGTTAGTGCCATTTCTTTCACCTCCTTCATGCACCTTCGCGGATGATTATACATTTTTAACCCCGAGATCTTCAATGAAGATTAAAACGCAACAACAACACTCTAATTTTTTCATGACGCACATTATCATCTCTCACTTCTTTACCACAATACTTTTGTTGAACAAGGCTGACTGAGATGACAGATTCGAGATCTGGCGTGAAAAGCTTTATCGATGTGCCAGTCTATCGTGACACAGTCTATACCAAAACAACTCGTATCCAAAACACTTCAAAATACCATCTTCCTCCCAAACTTTCGCACACCCCTTGACTTGCTTTGTTATCTATTGCCACATCTGCGTGAGCGTATCTTTCTTGAACACTGTTATAGTCCGTCGAAGCCGGGTTATGTTGGCAATATGTCTCCATTTCTTCGGAGAACAACTTGAGACTAAGGCTTTTGGCCAGTCCAAAACCTCTGCATGCTGTTTCGACATGTAAGGTTGTGAGTGAAGCGTCCAGTCCGAGGAAAGCCCAGGCGATTGGCGATGGCGTAGTGGACGAGGAGTCTGTAGGATATATCGCAACACTGGGGAGCTTGACTAGAGTTCTGTCTTGTCGAGGAATCTGCGTGCGTGACTTGACCAGCGGATAGTCTTTAGGGTTGACCCTGCCGTATACGAAGCCAGCAGGCAGGCTTCGACACTCGACACTGNNTGTTCTTGTGAGCAAGGACATCACTGGAGTGTGAATTCAAAACACTCACTTGTCCCTGAGATCAAAGAGGTACTTCCTATATGGTATATTTGATACTTCGGCGGAAGTTGGGTCGACAAAGCCCAGCCTGTTTAGTATCTTGAGTGTGGAGCTGTGTACAGAACCAAACAGGACAACTTGTTCGTTCTGCATGTGCTGTAGATAGTGATCTCTGTCAACACTCGCACTGCCGTTGATAGTCGAGGAGAGACCTGTAGATTTTTCCGAACTGACGATAGATTCAGCTTCCGAGGGATCGACTCCGACTTCTTTGATCTTCTTGATCATGGATTTGACAAGCTCATCAGCATACGGGAGCCATGTGTCGTCCGCTGGCGTGTCGTGTTCCCAACTGGCGGCCAGCCAGACCTCGGTCTCGGGTCTACATGAGCGGTCGACAAATGCGGCTATCCACGGACGGCTGACGCTCGTTCCACGAGCAGGACTATCAAAGTTGATAGAGCTGAACAGGTGGGAGCCGGGTTTGAAGTGTCCGAATTGTATGCGCCGATAAAGGGCGATACATGTAGGCATATATGGAGCCAGCCATCTAATTAGGTCCGGTCGTGAATCACTGGACACGTCGAACATCTCGGTGTCGGTTGCCATGCTTCATGCAAGTTCAGTTGTAGGTATTGGCATTAGTCACAGTGCAGAAGAAAGGAAGAGAAGTGGAGGAAGCAATAAATTATCAATCTCGTGCTTTGATCAATTAAAAATCTAGCCTGCCCGTGTCTTCCGCTTGCTCAGCGCCCAACGCCTCCTTTTTGGACTGGAACAAGAGCCCGCCGTAGCATACAGGAAAAAACGAAATCGTGGACTTGAAGACGAGGAAATCTCGTGCAGTTCTATAGAATGCCGCAAACGCTACCCACAAGCATAAAGAGAAAAAGGAAAATCGCAAGGGCGGAGCTCCCCAGGAGCCGTGGTATAGACACCTTTGCCTGGGCCTTCATTGTTTCATGTCATAACCGTCGTTTACTGAGAGGCACACTGGACTCTCTCACCACCTGCACCGTGCATCTCATCGTCGTCGTCTTCGCCCATGGCGGCGCGTTGTGCGCGGGCGCCCTCGCGGTTCGAATCGACCTTGTCGAGCGAGAAGTCTTCGGTCATGGCATCCGGAGGAGGAACGTTTTGGGGCGAGCGAGGAGGCAAGACACTCTCGAGAGCGGCCTTTTGCTCATCGGTCATGGCACCTCCGTCAGGGCCGGGCAAGACATCGGGGAACTTGACGTCGAACTGAATGTACAGGTTGCCGAAGTCGTGGTGTCTGTAGGAAGGCATACCCTGGCCTCTGATGACCTTGATCTCTCCTNNGTTCGGATTGTTAGCGTGCTGATGAGCAAATCGTAATCATGACAACATACCTGGAGAGATAACCTCGCCGGGCTTGATCTCAACAGTGAGCCATCTCTCGTCGAGGTGCTCAACGTAGATGGCACCGCCAGCAAGAGCGGTCAAAAGATCAATCTCAGCCTGGAAGAAGAGGTCGTCACCCTTGCGCTGGAAGCGAGGGTGAGGCTTCTGCTCAATCTCGAACTGAACGTCACCGGGCTCGACGCCAGGCATCTGGTCACCCTCGCCGCGGAAGTCGATCTTGGTACCGCTCTGAACACCCTTGTCGACGTGGACGTGCAGGACCTTGCGCTCGACTGTGGTCTTCTTTCCGTGGCACTGCTTGCAGCGGTCCTTCTCGCGGACAATCTCGCCCTCTCCGTTGCAGTCGGGGCAAACAGTCTGGAAGCGCTGGATCATAGGACCCATCTGGCGCATCATCATCTTCATACCCTGACCGTTGCAGCCTGCGCACTGCTTGACAGCACCCTCCTTGCCGCCACGACCGTCGCACTTGGGACACAAGACGGACTTTTGCAGGGCGAGCTTGGAGATCTTGCCCTTGTACATGTCCTCGAGCGAAACCTTGTGGACGTGGTGAATGGTGCGAGCCTTCTTGGGGCCGGTCTCACGACCCATGCCACCACCGAACATGCCGCCGAAGCCACCACCACCGCCGCCGAAGAACTGCGAGAAGAGATCCTCAGCGTTCATGCCGCCGCCCATACCGCCTTGCTCGAGACCTTCTTCACCATATTGATCGTAAAGTTGGCGCTTTTCTGAGTCGGACAGGACTTCGTATGCGTGTGACAGTTCCTTAAACTTTTCGGCGGCTTCTGGCGAGGGGTTCTTGTCTAGTGAGCAGGTCAGCCGGGTGTTGTCCAGCTTGAACAAGACAGCTACATACCAGGGNTGGAACTTGAGCGCGCCCTTGCGGTATGCCGACTTGAGTTGAGCCTCAGATGCGTCAGGAGCGACGCCCAGAGTCTCGTAGAATTTCGTGTCCTTGACCATGTTGGCGATAGGGTGAGGTCGCTGTGATAGTCTGAAAGGCGCGGGGACGAGAGCGAGTGTAGGAAAAAACCGAAAGGGGTATCAAATCAACAGATAAGAAGCCAAGGACTATAGTTGAAGCGTAGTAAGCGCAGGCTCTGAGAGGGACAGGAAGGCTTGGGAAGGCGATTGATTTGGCTCGGATAGTCTTTCTAGAGCCTTCGATGATTTTCTGCCGAACGCCGCGAGCATGCCAAGCCGTCTCAACCCTCTCACTCGCCTACACTAACTCTCTCACTTGGCCTCAGACAGCAATTACAAGACAAACAAGCATGAGATACATCATATCAGTAGTACGCAGTGACTGTCTTCTAACCTGGGGCAATTCTGACTTCCGCCATCTGCCTTGACTGTGTCGTATTGCTAGACAAGACTACAGCTTTGCAACGACATGTAGCTGTGACACTTCATACCCAAACAAATCAATAAATTCAATGACCAGTGAATTTATTTTGGAACGTCGACTGGCCATCGAAAAGCCCAGTCCATCGATAGATTTCTGATCGGCTTAAAGAGACGGCTTGTGAGCCGCGACTAGTCAAACCAAAAATCTGTCTCGTCTGGGGTTCTGCTCTTTCTTGCAAGTTGCAACATCTCCAACAACTACTTGAGTGCCAACACGTAATATCAACATGGAGAGCGACATTGGATTCCAGGCTGCTCTTGAGGAAGCCAGAAAGGGCGCCTCTGAAGGTGGTGTGCCCATTGGTGCTTGTCTCGTTTCTGTATGTCCAAATTGAAGGTACAGCTCAAGAGTCATCCAGCTTTGCAGTCTGCTGTCTGAGATAGCAATATGGCAGTCTCAACCCATTCTCCGGCAACTCGAGCTGTACCTATTCTTGACACTTTTATAGCCGTGCTGATTGTACCTTCTTTGTAGGNCAGATGGCAAGATCNTTGGTAGGTCTTCAATATGTCGCATTGCAGCGGCTCCATTGACCTTGACTACCCAGGGCCGTGGACACAACCTGAGAATGCAAAAGGGATCTCCCACGATTCACGTCGGTACTCGAGTCTCACAGGAGACGTTGCATGATGCTGAGAAACACAATAGGNCAGAAATCGGTGCTCTTGAGAACGCTGGTCGGCTTCCAGCTTCTGCCTACCAAGGCGCTACTATGTACACTACTCTCTCACCCTGCGACATGTGCACCGGTGCTTGTATCCTCTACAAGGTCAAGCGTGTTGTGCTCGGCGAGAACAAGACTTTTGTTGGTGGCGAAGATTACCTCAAGCAGAGAGGCATTGAGGTTGTCAATGTCAATTCCGCCGAATGTGAAGATTTGATGAAGAAGTTTATCAAAGAGCACCCTGAGGAGTGGTAAGTGTCTTAACCAGCCAATATCCATATCCCCATGCCTGACACGCGTCGATGTAGGAATGAGGACATTGGTGAGCAGTAGGCTTCACAGCCCTGATTCACCAGTCACTTGTCATCATGTTCCTGTCGTGCATCTTTTGTTCGGCGGCCTCTAGGGCAGAAGATTTTGTTGTATCTTGGATTCCNTAGAGCATCATTCGCAACGGTAAAGAATTGGAATGGCCGAATCTTCATCTACCTGAAAGCCTGTGGATTTCTTCAAAGAAGAATTTGAGGTCATCGGGGTTGACGAACGGCGTGATTCCTNNGGGATTATTAGCATGTAAATTGAGACAAATGATACTGTACATACCATGACCAAGGTTGGCGATCCATCCTTGCTTGCCACCACCGAAGCCCTCAACCATCTCTTTGACGACTGCGGTAATGGCCTCTTTACCACCGTATAGAACACCAGGGTCGGCATTTCCTTGAAGAACCTTGCCCTTCTTCTGAGCAATAGCATAAGCCTCCTTGGGCGAGTGCAGCCAGTCCAAACCGATGACGTTGTAGGCAGTATCACAGAGGTCGTCGAGAGCATACCACGCACCCTTGGCGAAGACTGTCATGGGGACAACTTCTTGATCGAGCTCTCTGAGACGGTTGGGCAAGTGGTCTGCGATGTAGGTCAAGTAGGGCAAGGAGAACTCCTTGAAGGAGGTAGGGGACAGTTCGCCAGCCCATGAGTCGAAGACCTGGACAATCTGCGAAACCAGTTAGCTCAGGAAAAGATTATATGAATGGGTGAGGTGTACCTGGGCACCAGCGACGACTTGCAGAGCGAGGTATTCAACACAAAGCTCGGCAATCTTTTGCAGCAACTTCTTGCTCTCTTCGGGGTACTTGAAGATCCAGGTCTTGACCTGCTTGAACATCTTGGTACCACCTCCCTCAACCATGTAGCTGAGCAGTGTCCATGGAGCGCCACAGAAGCCGTACAGAGGCACGCGGCCATCGAGCTTCTGTCTGGTCAGAGTAATGGCCTTGTAGACGTAGTCCAGACTCTCCTTGACATCAACGTCTCTTTCCATGATTTCCTGGTACTGCTTGTCGTCGGGCGACATGAGCGGATCGGGGAAATGGGGACCCTTCTTGTCGACCATGATGACCTCCATGCCCATGGCCTGAGGGATGACGAGGATGTCGGAGAAGATGATGGAGCCATCGATGAGGCCAGCGTAGCGATCAATGGGTTGCAGGGTCAGGGTCGAGGCGATCTCGGGCGAACGACAGCACTCGAAGAAGTCGTGCGAGCCTTTGGCCTCGTGGTACTCGGGCAGGTAACGACCGGCCTGGCGCATGACCCACATGGGCGGGCGCTCGACCTTCTCACCACGCGCAGCGCGCAGCAGAAGGTCGTTCTTCATGGGTGGGAATTGAGCCATGTCGATGTTGCAATATGTGTGTTGGTGTCAGGCAGAGTCGAAGAGTGGACTGCTGCTCAAACACTCGTCCGCCCCGCATCATCGCGACGACCTTCTCCGCCGACATCATGCAAGCGACCCTTTTTTTCTGACTCGCTCGACAAACATTGCACATGATTGTTCTTCGACTCTGAGAATGTTCTGCCGGGCTCGTCTGCCCTTGACTCGTCTGGCATACTCTCTTGCAGCCCGGAGGCCGAACCCTCCTTACTATGCTACTCGTGGGGCCAAAACCGAGAGTACTATCAAAGTTCAGGAACTACCACAAGGTCCCCTCGCTCCTGCCCCGCTGCCTGCCATCGAAGAACATCCGGACGATCAAGTTCAAGCCTATCCGCGTGTCATACAACAACACCTGAACAATGTCAGCAAATTCAGCGATTGTGTTGTACTTACTCGTATAGGCAATTTTTACGAGCTGTATGGCGAGCAGGCCGATCAATATGGCCCTCTCCTCAATCTCAAGGTAGCACAGAGGAAGACTGCCCTTGGTCCAATAGCCATGGCAGGTTTCCAATACACTCAATTGGATCGCTTCCTCAAATCTCTTGTCCAAGGACTAAACAAACACGTCGCCATCAGCGAGGAGCTTCGAAATTCTGCTGCTGACCAGGTCAAAAATGGCGGTCTCCTCTATAATCGAAAAGTCTCCCGTATTGTTACCGCCGGCACCTTGGTCGATGAAACCTTCATGGACCCTTTCGAAAACAACTTCTTACTAAGCATACATGCCAATCTTGACACAACAGACACTGTCTCTATATCGCACGAGACAGACGTGGGCCTGACATGGGTAGACCTCTCAAGTGGTGACTTCTTCACTCAGCGCACCGAGATAGCCTCTCTCGGCTCCGTCATTGCTCGCATAGGAGCCCGCGAGATTGTCCTCGATTCTAGCTTTGAACGAATTGACCGAACTCAGCTAGATCGACTTTTGGGCGATGGGGGACATGCTGTGACATACCACAGTCCAGACCCGAATTTTGCCTCCACCGAACATTGGGCTCCTATGCTAGAAAAGCCTGTCTCAAGAAAAGAATCGCGTTCCTTCTCCACCCAAGAGGTACTTGCGGGCTCATTGCTATTAGATTATGTCAAAGGCAGGTTGCTCGAGCTGAATGTTTCTTTGAGATCTCCTATCCGTCGCAATCAGGGCGATTATATGAGCATCGACAAGCAGACCTTGAAAGCTCTGGAGATCAGATCCACTCTCCGTGACGGACTCTTTCAAGGCAGTCTGCTGCATGCAATCCGAAGAACAACGACCAAGAGCGGTGCTAGATTGTTAAGTCAGAGACTAGGTACAACATATCTTTTGTTCGTGTAATCTGCGAGTACTAACCATGTTATCCCCAAACAGNTATCGCCATCCATGTCACTTACAGAGATCAACAGCCGCTTGAACTTGATTTCAGAGCTGCTTGAGCACGATCAGTTGCGTGAAGAGACCATGTCTGCGCTACAAAGAACAACGGATGTTCTGCGCTTGCTGCAAAGATTCTCAATCGGTAAAGGAGATGCCGATGATCTCCTTGCTCTTGCCAAAACAATACGGATCGTCAACCATATTGTCAACATGATGAATACACATCTACCCTCTCAANAAAGTGCTATCGACCCGCCTCCTTCGTCTTTGCCATTGAGAGCATTGGTAGGTCGTCTTGATCTGGATGGTCCCTCGAAACTTGCAACTCGCATCTTGGAGGCAATCGATGAGGAAGGCCTCTCTCAACAGCATCTCGCCGAAGAGGCAGAAGCGGTGGGTGTTGCAGAACTTGCAGAACAGATCGTTGAAGCAGAGGAACCGTCGACCAAATCAACGAAACGTGGCAAGGCCAGTGCTAAGAAGGCTGCAGTAATTACAGACCTCAATGCCGGAGAGTTTTGGATCATGCGCAGGAGGTAAGTCCATGTTACTGGTCTCTAGCGAATGAATATCTTTTTGACAACGACCAGTGCCAGCACAACCTTGAAACAAGGGCATCAGAATCTAGACAACATTATGCAGGAAAAGGCGCAACTCTTTGAACGTTTGCGAGCAGAAATAGGTATGGCCTGACATCTAAAACGTGACGTGTATAGACTGACACAGCAGNGTAACACATTAACACTTAAGTGGACTCCACAGCTAGGACATTTTTGTCATGTCAAAGGCAAAGATGTTCGAGCAGAGATTCCGGATGCAAGAAATGTCAGCTCTACCAAAAATACTAGAGCCTTTTACCTTCCAGATTGGTCACACTTGGGATCACGATTGGAAGACGCAAAGCTACGTATCCGCACCGAGGAGCAAAGGGTCCTCAACGATCTTCGCAAGCGGGTAAGTCTCGAGAGAAGCGCGTTGACTTAATAGTGCTGATAAGAAGCCAGGNTGATCGAAAACCTGGTCAAGCTGAGGCGTAATGCTAATATCCTTGACGAGTTGGACGTTGGGTGTTCATCTGCGGTTCTGGCAAGAGAAAGAAACTTAGTCAGGCCGGTGCTGCACTCTGNNGGTAAGTTCACTCTGCTTCATAACACGTCTCTCTGCTAAATCGGGTGTAGCACAACACACAAGATTGTTGGCGGTCGCCATCCTATGGTAGACATAGGTCTTCAAGAGCAAGGTCGGCTATTTACTGCCAACAATTGTAATGTGGGCGGAGACGAGAGCATCTTGTTAATCACAGGGTATGTTTCGCTCGTAAGCATTGACCAGTATACTGACTTGCTTCACAGGCCTAATATGGCAGGAAAGAGTACCTATCTCAGGCAGAACGCCCTGATCACCATTCTAGCACAGACTGGTTGCTTCGTTCCTGCAGATTATGCAGAAATAGGGCTTGTGGATAAGATATTCAGCAGAGTGAGCCGGCAGGAAAGATGTATGATATCAGAGACGATGCTGACATTTTTTTTACAGATAGGCTCTGCGGACAACCTGTACAACCATCAGTCGACCTTCATGGTGGAGATGCTCGAGGTGGCCGACATACTCAATCAAGCCACTTCGCACTCGTTTGTAAGTGGGGAATCGATCCAGACTAATGTAGCCACTGACTCACACGTAAACCAGATCATCATGGACGAAGTCGGTAGAGGAACAACTCCAGAAGACGGCGTAGCTGTGGGATATGCCTGTCTGCATCATCTGCACAACACAGCCCAATGCCGCACACTGTTCGCAACACACTTCCACTCTCTAGTCGACATGACGACAAGTTTCGATCGCCTGGCTTGTTACTGTACAGATGTTGCAGAAGAAGAGGATGGCTCATGGGTCTATGTACACAAACTTCGAGAAGGTATGAACAGAAGCTCGCATGCGCTTAAAGTTGCAAAACTTGCTGGTGAGTCTAGAGTGATAATTGCAACTTCTGTCGTGATGCTAATGTTACCAGGTTTGCCGGATACGGCAATCGCTGTGGCCAAGAGTGTTTTGGACGACTTTGAGCGGGAAAGGCAAAGTGTATCGTAACGATTCGATACTGGCACGGCTCACTGGTGCATGTCATCCTGATCACATCTGAAAGAAGGAAAAGTGCGCTGACTGACGGGTGATCGTTCTGATTGCTGCTATTGTGCGACCTAGACATGGGGTATCTCTATTATTTCATGCCTTGTTGCCACTGCGCAATCCATCACTCATTACCGCGACTGAATGTGCAACCTAGTCCTTCTTGCCGAAAAGGTGCTTGACCTTGTCGCCCAAGCTTTCCTTTTCGTGCGGCTTCTCTTCCTTTTCCGGGACGGGTGCGCTGCTGTGGCCTCCGTATTTTTCCTTGTAGATGTTTCCTTCACCACCACGCNNTAGATGTTACAATCAGACACGGGTGCTGCAGATGATTTCTGGAAAATCACTTACGCCAGTGTGGAAGTTGTCGTAGCCAGCAGAGTTGCGCATGGCTGGTTCGGGAATCACGTCTTCGGAGGCAGAGCTCTTGTCGCCAACTGGTCTGACTTTTGGCGAATCGACAATGTTGCCGGCACCTNNTGGTTTTCGGTCAGTCTTTGCGTTTTGTTGTATTTCCTGTTGTATAATCCACATGCCTCCACGTCCGGAGGAGTACTCGGGCTTCGAGGACTCGCCAACGTAGCCTTCACGCACGATGTTGCCGTCGGTGTAGNNCTGTGGTGTCTTGGTCAGAGTCGGATCGACCTGCATTGTCGAGATATCTGCTCACATCGTGTCATCACGACCGATGTTGCCAGCGCCTNNTTGGACATGTGGTTAGCCACGCCGACACTTTACCATGGTGCAGTTGACGAGCATACCTCCACGGCCTGTAGAATGAATCCCGTCTGCCATACTGTTCTTGACGTTTTGTGAAATCGTTAAAGGCGATGTCCGTAGAATCAGAAATGTAAAATCGCAACTCTCGGCTCGAGATTAGAGGTTTGATATCAAAGAGAGGAATGCGCGACTATTTGTTGACCTCTGCTCATGTGAAAGCGATGACGTGAGGGACGGTAGTGCCAAGATCTATCGCGATTTACCGTGATGGCTTCACTTTGCAGCCCCTGTTAGGAAGACGGAGCGAAATTGGCCACGATATCGGAGTAGTTCGAATCCAGTCTTGCTTGGGAGGAAGGTGCTGTGGTGCGTAAATCAAGGTTCGGTGCTTATCGTAAGAGGGCATCATGATGGTTCTCCGTGCTGATAAGGATTTTGGGGTCGATTAGTGACGGCATTTACGTATTGAACAGGGAATGTCAAAATCACGTTGAAGATCAGGCAACACTTTGTCGCGAAACCAAAGAAGATCTCACATCAGGAACTCAAGTGACCATGACCAGACAGGGTCAATACAGGAAATTCTGATGGATGGAAGGCGCGAAGAAAAGAGAGACTTGAGAATCGATACTTCTCAAGACGGGACACCGTCTACTATCCTATTCCTTCCTCTGCTTTCTAGATGCAACATGCCCTCAAAAACGCCTACTATGCTGAAGACTGAAAGGATGGTGCAAAAACAAAAAGCGCTTAGGTATTGGTGCGATAATAAAACAAGAACGACAAACACAAATTACAATAGGAGGCCTTGCTGTATGCAAAAGAGACAATCCAAACACCTAGAGACCCAAGCACAATCCCTTCCTAGCTTTTCTAGTTGCGATCATGATAATCTGGGACTACCATTCGGCGCGCTGAAATCTCGTTTCTCTGCTGTGGCGGTGGGTGAAGGCGGGCTAACAATAGTGATGGGTGGAGAAGCCAACACCGGACTCATTAACGGTGTCATGAGTTGAAGATCGATCTTCAATCCATCTCCAACATCACCGTTTCCGGCATCTGATCTGGTGTCGCCAATTTCGGACTTGGTATCGTCGTCATGATGGTCGGCACTGGCGTCGCTGATGCCTGTTTGGGGGCGCCCGTCAGTAGAGGCGGTGCTGGTGCCCGGTGCGCGTCTCCGGCGGCGGCGCTCACGTTCGCTATCTGCGTGATCACGACGTCGACGGACGCGGAGGTTCTCACTATCGCGGGAAAGAGGCGGTTCGTCGTTATCGCCAGTACTACCACGAAGGCCGAGTAGAAGACTAGCTGCTCGATCTGCCACATCTTCTCCTTCGCTGATGGCACCTTTGTCATGCTCTTCGACATGAGGAGACAGTGTTGTGCTGTCGGATGTTGATGGGCGCTCAGGCGCAATATCAGAAGTTGGAGAGAGGAAAGCCGAATCGTCTGTAGGTGATGTTACACCAACAATCTCCGGCATCTGCTGACCAGAAGCCACACGGCGTTGGTGACGTTCATTGAGGCGGGCTCGTCGTCGGCGATCTCTAGTGTCTCTAGTAGCAGGAGCGGCGGCGCGAAGCTTCTCTAATAATGTATCCATGGCGCCCTGTGAAGCAGGTGAAGGAGGACCGGCAGGATCTGAAGTGGCCTTCTCAAGGGCAGATTGACTCGCTTGTGCCTTGCGACGCATTGAAACTTCGTTGCGACGCTGTGTTTCTTCTTGAGATGTGTTCTTCTCGTGCGATTTNCTGGTGTAGACATTAGTAAAAACTTCAGCAGTCATGACATATTCGATCAAGCTCACCTTATACTCGTTGACGAAATTGGCCAGCTTGGAAAAGAATTCTCTCCTCGCCGATTCGTCTTGGTTGTCATCGCCAAAGAAGGTCATAATGTCGTTGTACGTTCTCTTCATCTCCTCGAGGTACAGCTCCATCTGTTCTGCCTTTCTTCTTGCCTCCTTCATTGATCTCTGAACCACTTGACTGACCCTGTCCTCAGGGTGGAACTTGCGTGGGTCGCTGAGATTACCAGCATCCAAGGACATTTGCACATTCTTGATGTTGTCAACATACTTCTTAGCATCGACCATCAGCTGATCAACATTCAACTTGGCAGCCACAACAACGCCACCAATGTCTTCAGTGAAGCCTTCCCATTGGGGATACTGTCTGCGTACGACACGCTCAACATAATCCATCAGGGTAGATTCGTTCTTATCATCCTTGACCATACCAAGACGGGCGAGCGAACTAAGCTTGAAACCAATGGCTTGTTTGTTGGAGTCGTTCATGTAATTACCAATGTCGAGAATGAGACCAAAGACTGGCATCAAGCGGACAGAGTCGCGAAGTGATTCTGAAACGTTGCAAACCATCTTCAGCTTGTCCGAGACCTCGTCGTATTCTTGCTCGAAGCTCTTGGTCAAAGCCAATGCCCTCATTCTGGCCTTCCAGTAGTGGTGCAATTCGAAGGCTGTGTAAAGGTAGATCTGATCCTCGCGAGTCAACTCAGAAGGATCCTGCTCTCTAGCTGATTTCAGTGCATCCGGGCCAGTCCAGTCTCTACTGTAAGGTGCCATAAGCTTGGAGGTGTTGTCGGGGATGGTACACATGTCCTCTCTTTGCAAGAAGTCCATGACGACAGGACTGTCTAACACTTCCTTGTCGCAGTGTATAACCATGCGGACAACATCCTCCAACGGCCGTTGCGAGAATACTGCCAAAGAGATTTGGAAGGTCTGCATCAAGTTACTAGGCATGATCTGTTTCTTGTCGCTCTTCTTCTCCTTCTTGCCAATTGCCTTGATCTCCTTGGCCATGAAGAGACGCTCGATTTCATCAAGAATACCCTTCTTGCTAAGTTCGGCGTACTTCTCCTCCTTCGCTTCATGTGTAGGTGCATGCGAAGCCCACATGGTAAACTCGGAGGAATCGACCTTCTCCCAATGCAAAGCCTTGAGCTTCTTCTTGGGCCTCGCCACACCCATTGCACCAGTGGAAGTAGCTGCATACTGAGCTTGGGGCAAGAATCCACCCCTTCTGGCTCCAGGCATAGGAGGTGCTCCTGGTGGGGGGAGGCGGAGGGGTGGTCCTCCTGCCTTCATACCTGGCATGCCTGGTGGAGGGGGAGGTGGTGGACCACCAAATCCAGGCATAGGAGAGCCGGGCATAGGTGGAGGCGGAGGAGGGGCCCCAGTAGAGAAACCGGGCATTCCTGGCGGGGGCGGAGGTGGCGGGCCGGAGAATCCAGGCATAGGTGGTGGTGGCGGGCCACCGGAAGAGAAACCAGCCATACCTGGTGGTGGAGGCGGCGGAGGAGGCGCGGCTCCGTTGAAGCCTGGCATCATCGGAGGCGGAGGAGGAGGAGCTCCACCATTGAAACCGGGCATAGACGGTGGCGGCGGCGGCGGAGCAGAAGCTCCATTAAAGCCAGGCATGGGTGGAGGAGGGGTNGGCATCGCGCCATCAAATTTGGGCTCGCCATCTGCCTTGAGCTGAGCAGAAGGATTCCTGACGTGTTGAGCAGAAGGGTTTCTGGCATGCTGAGCGGAACCGTTCCTCGAGTGTGAGGAAACATGCCTGGAGTGCGACGACACATGTCTAGACTGGGAGGAAACATTCCTAGAGTGTGTAGATCCAGTAACGGTGCCGTTTTCTTCGTCGTCGCTCGCGTCGATACGGCGGACCTTGTTGACAATGTCATTGAGATAACCAGCTTGAGCATGAGCAGAGCTGATCTTGGGTCGCTTCATCTCGACAATACGAGGCTTCTCATAAACGGTAGCCTCTTCGTCGTCTTCGTCCTGAGACTCGTCACTGTCTTTCTGAGATTGACTAGGAAGTGGTTTGCGAGTGATCCCGCCTCTTTGTGTCCTCGAAACACTTCCAATATAGCCGTCGGGCAAGCTGTCAGGAATTGCACCAGTCGTTCCACCGGGGCCATCCATCTTCTCACGCAACTCACGAAGCTTATCCGAGGGGTCGACTTGCTGCCAAACTCTACCTTCGAGTTTCGCCTGCGTCTTTGCTCTTTCAAGCTGCATTTCCAGACGGTCCATGAGCCTTTCACGATCCAGGATACCTTGCATCTGAGTCGGATCAACAGCAGCGCCACTCTTGTTACCATTCTTTGCCGAAGAAGCTGCAATGTCCTGAGCATCACGCAGCATAAGGTATAGCTCTCTGGTTTCGAGTTCGTTGCGTTGCAGCTCCAAAGCTCTCACACGTTGAACTTCTGCAAGTTCTGCTTTGAGGCCCTCGATCTGGCGTTGTTGGATCTGGACAACCGAATCGCGCTCTTCAAGCTGACGTGTAAGCTTCTTGACTAGTCCATCGGCACCAAGCTCGAGTTGAGCTCTTAATTCATCACGCTCTGCCAGTGCTGATTCGGCAATTTGGCGAGCTTCCAAGGCTTCGTCTCTCGCTTGTCGCGCTTCGGAGTCTGTATAAAGCTTGTCCATCAAACTCTGGACAGTAAAGTTGAGACTCTGCTTGAGGTCCATGTCGGGCAATCGTCTGTCCATGGCCACATAACTCAACATGGCGTCCACAAGCTGGAACATGCGAAGCCTGTCCTCGGCCTCATTGTCTCTAATGAGCAACAGATGCTGCAGAGAAGATACGAAGTAATCTGCCGAATGACTTCCGTTCACCTTGGACATAATTGCTTGGACAATCTGCACAGGGTCGCTCAGATCCTGGGGCTCTGGCTCTTGACCATCGACCTGGTTCTCTTTCTCAAGCAGATCTTCATAGTCGATAATCTCGTTCGCTCGATATCTCTCAACTTGCTTGTCGATGATATCGTACTGGAATTGCTCCATCTTGTTGAGAATACGCTTGATACCGCATGCTGTGAACTGGGCACGGATATGGCATCGTAAGTGCAGGTCTCGTTCCGGCGCATCGACAATCATGTTGACGAGGAAAAGAGAAGCAACAGCATATTCCATGAGCAGGTTCTCCATACCAATGCCACCACTGCGGACCTCATCACTAGCTCCAACCAAGCTACCCATCTTGCCTCTACCGTCAACAGTGACCTCGACAATGCGCATCCAAGCATCGAAGCGGCCATTTTCTCCTTGCGAAGATTTGAGAGAGTCCAGAGCTTGAAGAACCTTTTGATGGCCTCGTCCTTCTGCCCAGTGACACAAAAAAGTGAGTACTTCGCTGACGAGTTTCCTGGTGTTGAGGCGAGGTGAAATAAGAGATGCCCCGAGAGCGTTAACGATAGGGGCGTGTTCAAGAGCATCATCCGCACCGTACTTGTTGTTCATCAACGCCTTCAGACATTTGACGATATCGTACTCGCGGTCCAAGTCTCTTTCGTTAACAGAAGGGTTTTGCGGACCTGTGGTCTGCTTGCGATTATACTTGCCGAGCACATTCGCCAAAGCGACCTGACCTTGTGCTTCCACGAATGCCTTTACCCATCCGATAGGCTGAGTACGCAGACTGACGGCCAAACTTTGCAACTGCTTTGCGCTGATCGAATTGTCGAGGACTTTGCGAACATACCATTCGGGACTCCCTTCTTCATCGGCACGGCCCAGTAAGCCCAGACCCGTGTCCGCATTTATTGTTGTCCTCGCATGCGCACGTCTCTTTTGTTCGCCCTGCCATTCGGCCAATCTGTCCTGATGTACCAGAGTCCATTTCTTGTTTATGGGATATGCTTCCATCTGCCTCCGGGCCTGTTCAGGCAAACTCTTCCACCCACGCTTGTGCATGAGTTCCAAAAATTCCTTCTCGATAACGCGGTCGTCGGACGGTCGTTGTAGATTGAATCCGTCAGGAGTAAAAGATGCTGTAGAACTGAAGGCTGAAGGCTGGTTGGCGCTAAGGAAGCCATTCTGTTGAGATCCACGAGTGGACGAGGGAGCTAGTTGGGGGAGGAGGGTGGTTGAATCGAGCGACATATTGGGGAACGAAGACGGCGAATGTTGCGGGTGCATGGATATCGACGTGCGATGGCTGTGACTAGAGCGTACGCTGGCCCTATCCGAGGCAGGATATTGGTCATATTGCGAGTGTATTGAGTTCTCATAGGAGCTTGTTCGGCCCGTGCTGGCCAGCGAGTATTGCGATGCATGCTGCGGCGGCCGCGGCGGAGCAGGCAGCTGCGAACTGTTCTCTGGTAGATAATCGACACGTACTGGCGACCTGGTATCTCGCGGTACGCTGTCGTAGGGGATGGCTGTCATGAGGCCGCCGCCATGGTCGACAGAACGGCGCGAAGAGTGCGAGTGCGAGTGCGACGATGAAGGAGGCTGCTGGTGGTATTGGTGTTGTTGGTGCGGAGGAGGCACAGGTGGTAGAGGGTTTTGCGACCATTCCGAAGGCAGCGAGGGACTGTCGGGCACGTGTTCATTGTGCTTGTCCTTGTGGTGACGGCGCGAGAAGAACGACGACTTGCCGCCCGACGTCTGCCGCCCTTTGGCATCACCCGAGCCCGAAGAAAACATGACCGCTCTAGTATGAGATGTTCATGTCAGGTGCACCGTCCGTGTCGTGTGGCTGTCCAAAAGAGCTTCGTCCTCGACAAGCTTCTCCAACAAACGGATGCCGTAGCGAACAGAGAGGCCGTGTAGGTGAGTTTGGCGGTATCAATGAGGTATGGAATCTTTCGAGGAAGGAACAAAAAGATTGGCGGCGTCGTATGCCTCTGAATCCAATCTCGGGTCGAAAGGGAAAGAAGCACAAAGGCGGCTGACTGCGACTGCCCGGATTGTCACTGAGAACGAGACGGTCTCTTATTTCTTGATTTCCCACGCTCTTGCCACGTCAAGTCGGTCGGCCTGTCCAGATGCCTATCGCTCGCTGTCTCTGCTACTGTCACGGGCTCTCTTTACAGCATCCAGCTCACAAGGGTCGAGGGCGACGGGGTCGACATTCATCAAACTTGCCGACCTCCCTTCCCCACATTTTTGGCCGCAACCGTTTCGTCCGTGCTTTCCGTTTGTGTTTCAACGAGTATCCTGCACCATCTGCTCGCCGTCTTTGTCTCAGACAATCACGTCCCTCGAGAATTCATGTAGAAGCTTGTACAGTATTTCCCTTCATCACGCGACACTCTTGTATAGCTACAGGACCGCCAGGTTGGAAACATCATAGAGACATGAAGTTGCAAGGAGGTCAGCCCATCCATATTTGGGCAATGCAGCAAATAGGCTTTTAATGCTACGCGGACAAGACCCGCGGATAGTCGGTATTCTGTATGTCGAGGGCAAGATGCTGGACACTTGAGCTATTCAGAACACCACGAGATATATCTCATACGTCACGCTTTACACTTCGGTTTCGACGAGGAGGGGAGTGTTAAGGAGCAAAAAAGGAAAAGATATTCTGTTTGACTTGTAAAAGGAAAATTATACTAAGGAAAATGTTCCATCTTGCCTATTGCGTAGCACACGACCTTGAAAACTCCACACTTGGCTTGTGTCGAGACTGATGTGTTTTCCGTACTCCTTTTCTTTTTCCCCTGATACACAGGCTTCATCTTTAAGCCACTCTTCTCATCGAGCCGTCCTCTAATCGGTCATGCGCCATGAGTCGAGCCACTTGAGGTGAGCCCATTGGGTGTGGCTTCCCTCCATACCGAACGTGATGGCTCTGAACATCCAGAACAGAGCAATGACAACAGTGTAGAGAACAGCGTAGACGCCATATTGAACAGCGCGAGGAAGACGGCTTGTGACCCAGTCGGTGCAGAAAGCAAGGCAGAGGATGGCAAAGTAAAGAGCAGGGTAGTAGTGATGAACGTAAGTGACACGTCCCATGGCCATGAAAGGTCCGTAGTGCAGAACCCAACCAATGACGGGGTAGATACCGGCATAGTGGATCTGATCGATGTCCTTNTGCGACAGCTCGTTGTAGCCGCGCTGCCAGCGAATTAGGTAGTAGGCGACGAGAAGACCGAAAGCGGGGAGAGAAGCAGTACTGGCCCAGTACACGAAGGGGTTGCCGAGGAGGAAGTACTTGACAATGTGGTCATCCCAGCCGCACATGCGGAGACCAACATTGAGAAGGGGCCACTGCCAGGGAGAGGAGGCCAGATCGTCCTGCTTGTCGGGGTCAGGGACAAGGGCGTTGTTTGAGGTCATCATGGCAACGTTCAGGTGGATGAAGTCACGAAGGAAAGGAGACTTGTATGCTCCGGTGTCAGCGGCAGGAAGCTTGTCGTTCCAATGGGACTCGACGTTCCAGTGAGTGTAGACATCGCGAGGGTGGTTCTCCTTGACACAAGTGGTCTCGATCTGCTTGAAACCCCACTGAGGCAGGTTGACGTTGCCAGCACGGAGGTAGCAGTTGAGATCGACGTGTCTGAGACGGAAAGCGGTGGTCAGGGTACGGATCTTGGAGAAGTCGCGCGAAGAAGCGTCGTTGACAACCTCAACAACCCAGTGATCCTTGGTGTCACCAACGGTAGTGTTGCCGTAGCATGAAACTTCGTAGTCGGCCTTGGTAACAGGAGCGGCGATTGAGTGAGAGTGCAGGTTGCGACCAGTCTGAGCATGGATCAGACGAATGACATCGCCATTTCCGACATACTTGAGAGGAGCCTCGGCATCCAACTCGGGCTCGTGACGGTTGGGGTAGAAGAACCAGTCGTTGTTGGCATCCTTGTGGTGGTAGCAAGTGATCTGCTGTTGCTGCGAGCCTTCAGGGAAGGTCTGAACGTGCGAGTGCAGGAGACCACCACCATAGCCCATGTTCTTGAGGGTGGCACGGGAGCCGAGAGCGATTTCGAGAGGGCTGTCGACTCCGACTTCGGTGCCCTTGAGGTTGGCCTGGAAAAGAGAGCTCATCTGGGCATCGCCGGGACCGCTGTTTTCAAGAATCAGGAAGTGCAGGTAGAACGAGAACATGTAGACGATCATGGGGATGACGATCAGGCCGACGACACGGAAGCCGAGGTGAGCTGCGAGCTCAGTCTGAAAAGTCATGTCAGCGGGATTGCCTTGTTTCAACCAGATGTTATAGCATACCTTGGGCATCTTGAGGTCGCCGAACTTGTTCCAGAGATCCTCAATGGTGTACAGACCAACCAAAGCAGTTCCGAACATACCGACCCACTTGACACTGCAGACGCAGCCGATCGAGAGACCGCTCAGCAAGAGCCACAGAAGCCACTGAGCAGAGAAAGACTGGTTTTGCAGTCTGTGGAACCGAGCCCAGCAGAGAACAGTGGTAAAGGTGAAGAAGAGAAGCATGGAGTCGAGCAGAATGAAGCGACTGATGGTGGCGTACGAATTCTCGAACAGAACCATGAGCGTGACGAACCAGGTCGTGGTCTTGCGGAAGTTGAGCTCCTTTGCCGTGTAGTAGGCCAGGGGAATGCACAAGGCGCCAAAGGCTGCGTTGAACTGGCGCATAAAGACGTAGTTGATCTCCTCGGGGTAGGTCTCACCAGACTTGAACTCGAAGGTACCGTTGTATCCAGCCAGATAACCCGAAAGGCCAACCAGCATCTTTCCCAGCGGAGGGTGAACATCGAAGTAGAACTCGCGTTGCAGGTAGTGCGATCCGAACTTGCCGAAATGCGCCTCGTCCCAGGTGACAATGGGCGAGAGACCGATCTTCCATAGACGGGTAAAGAAGGCGAGTGCAGTGAAGAGGATGGGTGCGAAGATGGGTTCCAAGTCGTCGATGACATTAACGATGCTCTTAGCCTGGCGTTACAGGTCAGTCTGGATGCGCACTGAGCTACAAAGAGCTTTATTCACCTGCTGCTTCTTCTTGTCATCAACGATGGGCTGCTGTTGGACAGCGCCATTCTGTGCCGGAGCACCGGCTCTTCTCCTCAACTCTGCGGCATCGCGGTCTGCGCCTGTTGCGAATCCTTGATTTGTCGCTGCCATGTTGGATGAAGAAACGTGGCCGTTACGGTTTGGTGGAAGTCGGACTGTTTGGACAGTTGTGCTTGACCCTGCTTTTTCAGAAGCGCCTACTCCAGCTAGCTGAGCTCGAGTCGGCACAAGCAACGAGAAGGAAGCAACAACAACTAGGAAAGAATCAAAGTCGTCGGATGCACGAAAAGAAAGAAGGAATTACAACGAGTGGGAGAAAGAAGAGAAGGAGGAGGAACGTCTCTGAAGGATGAGATAGAGCGAGAATGCACCCCTTTCAAGATGCCAGCGTGGAGCTGATGGAACGGCCACTACTTTCTCCCTCCTTGCCCTCCAGAGACAGCTCGCAGGTCCCAGCTTCGGAAATGTACGCGTTCCCGCTGCCAAGCCCCCTGGGTTCCGCTCCCGCACAACCTCGACCACTGACCTTCGAGGCCAACTGGCAGCTATTTTTAACCATCCTTCTTCTCTATCAGATCATCGACATTGCACTTGTATGGCTGCATGTCTCCCAATCTTCCCTTTCGTCCTGCATGCCATACATATCAAGTCACCAACACTCTTGAGACACGTTGCTCTGCTCTCCACATATCACAGTGATGATCATGATGCCAGGGTCACCCACTCTACAATGCTTCCAACAGTCTTCCATAGCATAACTCTTCAACAACGTAGTGTTTTTCTCGTTATGTACCCATGACATGCCTCTCATGTATGTAGGTACCGGGAGTATACGCTTCAGGGTGGTATCAGTTGTCGTTGCTAAATCATCGCGGATAATGTTGTTCCGTGTATACTTTCCCAAAAGCTCGCCTTTACACTCGAGGGTTCGGGTGGTTAAAGTTCTCAAACACACGTGGTGAACAATTCTGAGCCAAAACAGAACAGCGAAGCAGTGGGATACCACCTAGACCATCCGAAGGACATGTTCGGTCTTGCAAGGTACTTGTGAGACCAACGGAAATCAGACGATCTGTGACTGAGAAGATACAGCACGGGCGACCTCGACAGCAATTGTCGAGCATATGACCCTGATATCGCCTTAAAGTGTACCATCATCAACGGGACGATCTGTCTGTATGCACGAAATCGTAAACGATGATGAGAGCACAAGAAGACTAAAAGCGAAAATATTCATTTGGCTAATGTCGTCATTTACTGCTAAAATTAAAGCAAACTCTCCACCGTCCAATATCTTTCATGCTTGACATGGTCTACTTGCGTTCATTCGACGACTCCGAGTCTCTGGCTTCCTCAGATGTAATTTCATCATCCTGACACGTGAGATGAAGCAGAGATTCTGTACCACAGATGCTCACAGCCTCCGTCGTAATGTCGACCTCCATCTGCTTGTGAATGCCAGCTGATGCGGTCTGTCCGTCACCTTGACCTATGACAGTCTCGATACCGACCCAAGAACGAGAGCGCATTCTTTCAGGCACATGGCTGCTTCGAGGCTTGCTCCTGGGCGATTCATCTGAAGTGGTAGGCTGAACCATCGGATAGCTGTTGCTGCTGCGCAAGCCAGAGCGGCCGCAGAACCCAGGAATCATACGGGCGATGAACGGTCGGAGCAATGGCAGACAGGCACAAATGATTGCAACATTGGTTTCGACTATGGTCCAACAGAGCGTAACGGCACCGTCGTCTGTTTGGTGATCAGCTCTAATGCAAACAGTGCAAGTCATGCTTGCGCATCTCAGATACGTGTCACTTACANNAGTGGTATCGTCACCAAGACCTCCTGTCTTGAAGGTTGTAATGCGCATGATAGTCACAATGACCACACTTGAAAAGCATGTCAGCAGAGCCAAGTATCGGCATTTGAAAGAGTCTTACAAGCCACCAAGTGAGAAGACCAAGCAAAGACCCATCTTCTGACGTGCAGGAATTTGAAGCAAATTCTTGACCAAAGGCATCGGCATGACAAGGATTATCAGGTCGGAGATGGTGTTGAGCAGCGACTGTGCCAACCACCAGCTGAAGGGATCCACACCACAGTGACCAGGAGAGTTCTTGTCCCAGTAGTGGCTGACGGGAATGCAAGAGAGGACATTCACGATGAGCGTGACGACACAGAAGACCGCAGAGAAGACCATTAGTGCGTATACAGACTTGCGAAAGTTGACCCCGAAAGCCGTGACGGTGGGTGTGTCACCGAAGACGCGGAGGTAGAGAAAGAGGATTGACAGCTTAGTAGGCCAGATTGTGAGCTTGTACAACACTTGAGCCCACCAGAACCACTGCCAACGTCAGTATGATGATCGAACCAGTCAGATGAGGATTGTTACCATAAGAGCTCTGGCAAGCTGTTCATCAGTAAGAGTGGACATAAGAGCTCCATAGCCATTGGCAGCCGCTTTTNNAAAAATTAGAAAAGATACTTGTGTCAGATTGAACGTTAGCGTACCCAAGCAGGCGACAGCGCTCTCCAGAATCGCAAACAACNNTTCGAAGAAGAACGTCAGTGGAGGACTCGGATCCAAGCGCACATAAAGACTCACCATGGCGACTGCAATGAAGCCATCTTCATAACTCGTAGAGCGTCTCTTCAGGCGAATGGCGAGGCGCAGTGTACAGATGATGAATCCCAGAATGACGAGGCCAATGGCGACGCCCTGAATCAGAGGGACCCTGGTGTGAGGTTCCTCGGGAGCGCGGATGGCAAGATTTGACCACAGAGCTGGATGTTGAGTCGGGGCCATAGCGGCGGATGCAAACCACTTACTGCGAAGTGTCGAAGGATGAAAGCGCAAGTGGGAGGTTGTCGAATTATTTGAGTGTTTCCAGAGGAACAACAGGGTCATGTCGAGTCGAGAAGGCACTGCAAACAATGCGTTGCAGCGATTGACATTATAGATCTTCACAAACGATGATGGGTCTTCAAACCAAAGTGAGTCCTCGACGCAAGTAGGCACTCGAGGACAACCAGCAGTTCTCTCTTGAAGGATTCACTTTCGCAAACGCTTATCCCGTCGGCACCAACAACTGAGTGTTACACACTTGATGGCACTCGGGAAGCTGCGTCTGTCGGCAATCAGAACGAGGGGCGTGACCTTATGAGGCAGGCAGGAGCGACAGACCGAAGCGCATTCCCTCGAGAACCGACATACAAGGTCGAAGCATTGACATTTTAGATCAATCGTGCTTGCCAGACAGAGTCTTGAAGCAGCCGAAGTAACCAGCGGTACATGGTCAATCTCAAGGCTTCTGTTTCGTCCACCACCATCATGAATCTGCTATCAGTTGACGCTCCTTCATATTCACGATGATGTCAACTCAGATTTCTTCACGTCTGGAATCAGTGATTGCGTGTTGAGGTGAAAGAAGAGAGCTTGAGGAGCGCGTGGGACGCGCAGAGAGGTCGATGAGCTTCTGCACAGACCCTGCCAGTGGTGATGTCAATCTCCCAGCCTCTTCTTCCATTGTGCCATTCTGTCCCAGTGTCAAAACTGCCATTGGAAAGCATGCGGTGAATTGGAACAAATATCTATACCTATCCTCTGGCGCCCAGGAAATCTCATCCAAAAACGCCGATCGTGTCTCGTAATCAACGCCTTGCGACAGACTTTTCTCTAGAAGAAGTCACAAAGTTCATACCTCCAAAGTTCACGTCATTCATCATGCTCAGAAACTGAAGCGAAAAGAGGGATGGTCGTCCCCAAGATTGTCAGCATCCGACAGCTGAAGCCAGTCGTCACGCTTGCCAGCGTCTCGTTTGGCATTCTCCCTCTTGAGCCCAAGGTAGAACACTACTGCCGCGATGCTTGTCAGGATCAGCAATGCCAACGATGTCCCGTATCCGGTCGGGTAGTATGGTGCCTCTTCCTGGAGGAAGACATTGCTTGATACCAGTCCACCAGCATTGCCCAAGCCGATCATGGTACCCGAGGTAAACGCCCTCTTGTAATGCCCAGATGCATTGTTCATGACCCACGACACGACCATGGGCTGTACAATGTAACCAGCACTGGTAATGAAGAAGAGCGCCATGTATGCAATTCCAGGTCCAATTATAGGTGATTTCTGGACCAGAAGAATGATGAAGCCAACGCTGCCGAGGAGCACGCCGAATTGTAAGGGCCAGAATCTGTTGTTGATGGATGTCGACAGGTAGCAAGACCCAAGACAGAAGGCACTGGCAACGACATACAAAGGAATCGAGTGAATNCTACCTGTGTTAGGCTTGCATTGTGGATATCCAGGACAACTGACCTGTGCTGCTGCAGATGTATAGCCAAGCTCCTTTAGGAGAGTTGGATTGAAATTATTGGTCGAGTAGTTGAGTGCTACAACACCAAAGTACATTGCAGTTCTGTTCTTGATCATCAGCCATTGCACACCAGAAACGACAAGGAAGACCCACGCAACCCAGACTTTCCAGTCTCTTGCACATCTGGACCAGTTGACTCGATCCATCTTGGCTTCGCCCTCACTGTCATCCGTCAGTCGCCACATCAGTACTTTGTGCTCATCCGGAGTCAAAAAGCGACAGTCTGCCGGCCAGTCTGCAAGCCACCAGTACATGACGATGCTCATGACCACAGTGACACATCCTTCGATGATGAAGATCNNCTATGCAACCTGTTAGAATTCCCCTCGAACATCAGAGGACGACTTGACTCGCCATCTCCATCCGCCATATCCTCTGACTCCACTCNNCTGACTGGCATTAGTGTACACACATAATGTGCTCATGGACACTTACATGTTTGCCAGAGCGTACGCAAGCAGACCACCAAAAGCGCCTGCTATGGTACCTGACATGTACCACCAGCTGATCCTGCGAGGCAGCTCTTCACGACGGTAGTACATGGTGATGAGAAGGATGCTTCCAGGAGAGATACCGGCTTCGAAGATTCCCAGGATAAAACGGCAGACTACCAGGCCAGCGAAGGACTTCGTCACGCCCTGACAGATCGCCATGAGTCCGCAGCCGAACAGCAAGAAGCTCAACCAGACGCGTGGGGTGATGCGCTTGAGGATCATGTTGCTTGGAGTTTCGCACAGGATGAATGGAATAAAGACGATGAACAAAGCAATGTTGTAGTCATGCTTGACCATGTGAAGGTCTGTCAGCATACCTTCGATCCTAGCGTTTGCGATGTTGACTCTGNNGTGCCATCGTTAGGTAATCGTTTCCTGTCGAGATGACCGAACTTACCGATCGATGAAAGAAAGCATGAAGATGATTGTCGGAGCAGGCACAACCCACCAGTCACACTTGCATACGACTCTTCTTTCAATGTCAGGATCAATTTCCCTGATCCTCTCTATCGATTCCAGTGAATCATTCTGGGAGTTCTCCAGAGACGACTTGCGAGCTTTCTCGTCTTCGACAGAAAGAGGTACTGTCAGAGCCTCAGCCATGGCGCTCTGATGTATCAGTATGAGATTACAGCGAGCAAAGAGGAGATGCAGGAATCCCTTGAAAGGCGGCAAATAACAGAAGGCCCGACGAGTGGTGACACCGGAAGAAGGGTAACAGGGTTATGAGGTTCGTTCAAGATATATATGACCGTGGCCATGCCATGCGACACCTCAAAATCCCGTTCTTGCCCATTCTCAAGCACGCACACACCATGCCAGGCAAGAACGCCATCGTTCCGCCAGCCCATCGAGCTACCGGTCGGTTGAAGATGATCTCTCACTTCCAGANNGCCGCTGTATCCGCGTACNGAAGCGTTCAAAGTCTTAGGAGCATCNCCAAGTGCCAAGCAGGATGAGATGCAGCATCCCTGTGCAGGAAACCTCAAGAAGGACAGTTGTACGGGTTCTCGCAGTCACATCACNATCTGTGGTGCANNCGAAAAGCCGATGTTGAACTTATGGCGTGCAATTCGTACGACACTNACGGTCTCATCTCTACCGTGCTCTAGTACCGATGCTAGTCGTCTGAAAAATCTGTATACATGCTTACGGAGTAGGTAATTGCGTGTCATTTCAAAGGCACGATCCCGTGAAGTTGGTCGGGCGCTTGAATTCCAACTTCGGCTTTCGAACTGCCACCTCCATCATCGCAAGTCAACTCTGTCNACCTTACCCAACAACATTCGAACCCCTCATTTCTGACCAAGAGTAAAGCTTCTCAGGTTACAGAAGCACAATTTGAGAGGATCGGGAAACCTCGCAAACAAAATATAACCCATCGACTGCTGAACGTCGACGGCCCGGGCACCGAGTACGACTTACGTCCACCCACCTGGTCCAGTATTTGCATAGCAACACGACTCATCGCGTCGCTCTGTTGCATGTGGGAACGGATGTCTACAGAGCCTCCCGCAGAACACCACTCCTCATAACCAGGTAAAGCTCTGGAGATCTGGTATTACGTTTCGGGAGCCTGCATTCCTGGTGCGACCTGATTGCGCGATTATGTACTGCCCTCGTCCGCACAACCACCCATGTCTTGGTGTTTCCACTTCAGTCGTATCGTACCGATACTGGACGCTATCGGTGACTGATTGCAACCACGATGGCGCATTTCCTGCAATGCCCTGACAGAGGAAGAAAGTGAAAACATGGCTGCTTGTCGTGCTGCATTGGCTCCGTTATTAGCGCAGGCAGTTGCAATGTGAACAAAACTGCACGACTTCCAGGCGAACCTTGCAGGTTGCGGAAAAGTGCGCAGACGCCTCTGGGTATGACAAGGAACATTGTTCCCCCAAAAGTCACAAGAAAAGCATGCGAGCAGAGACTCTGACCACGAGAGCCCTCTCCATCTCGAAGATGAAGACTGTTGAGAGAAGCACAGTCTAACGCTAGGTAAGAGTGAGTCTCAGATTTGAGGAATCTATCATGGCATGATGGTGGCTGAATTGCAAACGTGAGCTTCGTGCGATTGTCACGCAACAAGTTATGGAACATCTGAGACATATTATCACCAAAACCATGTCGACGACGAAACCCCGCGGCCTGTATCTTCGAGTTGCTTTTGGCTACGATCTGGAGAAGTACCTAGTAAAGAGTGGGACCAAGAGTCAACCTTGGAACACGTCTTTTACTCCCAGTTCTATGACTGCGATGCAGGGTCGAGGAGTTGGTATTTCACATCTACGAAAGCCCACTGGTTCGGTTTTCCTCCGGGTCGTTCGTAAATCCCCTTTATTTATGCCAGAGGTCCCAGTAATCCTCACTTCGACAACAATAATGATGAAAGCAATGCATTGCACTTTCTCTTCCCCTCCTAGCATCACGGCGGCTAGGAGCAGAATTTACCGCATAGTGCTGTTGTTAGCAGCTGTATGATAGGAAGGCGTGGCATGCATAGGTGTTCGCTTTTTCCATGTTGCAGCTGCACAGTTCAGAAAGCCCTGATAGTCTCTCACCATGACAACAGTCAACGACGGGAAGAACGTTACAGCCATCATGTCAAGGTATCTTTCCTTTTGTCTCATAGCTGGTAGAGGCTCAGAGAAGACATTCCTGCCATTGCTTGATCTCTCTCTTCGCATTTTGTCTTGCAACCTGGAACCATGTGGAGTTGATGAACTAATAGCGCGCCACAAACAAAAACGATACTAGCATACAGATATCCTACGCAACCGCCTCATTCGTCCCCACTTGCTCACTCTTTCTTAGCTACGTTTCTCTCCCTCAACATCCTGATCTGCTGCAATCTACTCCTCCACGTACTCGGCAACTCTCCCATCCCCCTGTTACTCCAAACCCTACAGAACTCCTCGGCATTCAGCGCCAGATTTCTTACATATGCACTCAATGCAGCTCCACTTACAACCACTGTCTCCGCTGCTGAAGAAATGTCCGGAAAGTCTTGCCTCGTCAACACGCGCACTTTGAACCAACTGTCTTCATACCAGCCAGGATTGTGCAGCCTCGTGCGGGTTTGGATGAATGTTTGACGCGCCTCGGGCACTACCAGGATATAGACGTAGTTGAATGCAGACGGAAATGTGTCAAAGTCAAACTCGAGGCCCGAATTGTTGAAAATTATATTGACGTAGTCATTGCCGATATGCGATTTCTTGCGCGTGCATTGCGGATCAGTGTCGCGGTTCGTGGGCATCATGGTCGTGACGTGGTAGTTGAGAGTGGTGATGGTGTCACTGTGCCTCAACGTGCTCCGGCCGTCAAACATGCCTTCACTGGTGTCGAGTCCGGCCATATTTTCGCGGTTGTTGGCGAGGGAAACACGTTCGCCCAGTCCGGAGATGAAGAGATTGTAGTCTGGGGAGCCAGAGACGTTGGCCAGGATCTCGTGCTCGTGGGTTTGGTTCTCGCCAATGTAGATGACACCAGCTTTGAAAAAGTCAATGGGCGAAATGCGGTCAAAGATACCCAGTGCACGACGAGTGGCATCATTGGTGGGGAGAATGACAACCTCCAAATCGCTCGTGAAGTTACCGTTGATGGATGAAGCAAAACGCTCTTGGTAAATCATGTCTGGTGTTAGAGGTTCGTCGGTGGCATAGACAAAACAGCTCTCATCTGTACCTGAGCTCCTTCGTTCGGTGATCTCGACCAGTCCGTTGTCGAGGTAGCACTTTATTGTCAGGATACAAAACTCTGAAACCCATGTTTGCGTAATTGGATATGCTGATGATTCGCTTGTAGTACCGACTTCCAGAGCGAGTGGTTTCACGACATCTTTGCCTTCTGTAACTCGCCAGATATGGTCAACAGTGACGATGGCTTCATCAAGCACTTGTCCAGATTGGTCGGGGGATAGCAGTCTTTGCTCCATCCATGGGAAGTGCCGCTTCTGATCCTCTTTGCTCAGGGCAAGGAACCAGAAAGTGATGACATGGTAACTGAGCGCAAAGACGTATTGTGGTATGTCTTCGGTAGATGGACGATAATTGCTATCCACGACTGACGAGTTTCTAGTAGGTGGCCCTGTTGGTCTCGAACGGTTCTGTTCATCAAACTTCTTGCCTCTGGCGTAATCAATGTAACTGAAGCATACACCGAACACTGTCTTGATCTCGTCACCATGGAACTGGTTAACCAGCTCATTGATACGAGACAATCCTGCCAAGAACTCAAGTACGTGGATTGCTGAGTCTGATTTGGTGACGATAGTGGACATCTGCGCCACAATACGTACGAGATCTCGACTCAAGGATATCGGCAGCTCATAACAACTCAAGGTTAGCGCGTTGACGCAAGCTATAGTTGTGCGATCCCACAATGTCAGACCTTTGACAAGAGTGGTGACAGTGTCGACGTTCTCCTTTCGGGGGAAGCGCCAATGGTATCCAATACAGGTGGTGAGAATGTGGTACAGGCACAAAGCCACGTCGCCTTGTCGTATATTCGATGTTTCTGGTGGTCTGAATATCGCTTGAGACTGTATCTTGTTGCAAACCAGATTTCTCAATAACCTGATCTCGTAGATGTTCTCGGCAAACAATGACTGGTTGGAAACCTGTGGACCAACGTGAACGATAATGTAGCTGTATACCTCCCAATCACAGCTCGCAGACTCCAACATTTGGATGACTGTCTCGAGCCAGGATCGCATGTCAAGACTACAGTCAACACCATCAACAGGTTTTGACTCTGACCGGAGTACAGCGCTTACTGTCGTTGGAGGAGACTCGGGCAACCCGTGGATGTCACCATACTTCCAGACAGGTGGCATGATTGATACTCCCGACTGCAGTGAAGATCTGCGGGATTGCAAGAACGGAGAGTCAGAGTTTCTGTGAAGCACCTTTGCAAGACTCTCGCCTTCCGAGTTCGCAAGGAAGAAGATGCGGTGGTCTAGATCACTTCGAATTCGGAATAGGCCTCTGAGTAGCATGACGGTGGCTTCAGCGGGCCGTTCGGGTATTGCAATGAGTTGGAGCATCTCATCATACACTTTTCGCGATCGTTCGAGTTGATCAACACTGCTTCTCATCAGTAACGCCACTAAACCGGCGTCAGGTAGGATGGATGGCAATTCTTCGTCTTGTGGCTGGTTTCGAGAATCATCCTCGGGTCTTGCTTCCTTAGACACTTTGGGCTCAGCAAAGAATGGTACTTCAATGAGCTCATGATAACAGCCAGTACGTGCAGACTTGACAAACACCTCCAAGGTCCGATAGAAGACTGAGTCGCTTACACCGACGGTGAAATGGAGCAAAACATGCACCAAGTTGCCTCTGAATGCATAGTTTGTTTCGTTGTCGAGAGCATCCACAATCAAGTTGCGACATGTGTTGGTGGCCTCCTCTTCACCGAGCTGTTGGGCTGTGCGCCACGCGGATTTGATGACTCTCAAGGCTTTTTGGCGAAGTGTAAGATGACAAGCAGTGTTAAAGATGAAGTGAGTGGCAAGCTCCTTAATCTCACCAAGCCAATTGCCAATTGAGATACGGAAAGAAGATGGTTGATAGGCAGAAATCAGCTTCATTGACTGCTGTTCTGTCAACCATGGCGCCACATAGAGGGCAGTTCTCCGTAGTGTCCTCGACTGCTGAAGACTGATGCCATCAAGATGTTCAAGACATGAAATGATAGCACGAACGGTTTCTCTCCTGTTTTCGCGGTCATTCATGAAACGTTCGAGAGTGCCATCCTCTTTGTTCAACCCGACGGTGAGATATTCGAGCGGAGCTTTCGCGTTTCGTATAATGGCTTCCTGTATGTGTATCCAATCTGGAGCCGCGAGTAGCTTCTGTTGCATCTCGCCATCTTGAACAAGAACTTTGACCAGTTCCAAGCGTAGCCTGGCATACGCCGAGGCAGTTTCGTCGGATACAGGTCTTGCCAGTGCATCCATCAGACGCATGATGTCCAAGTCTATCGAATGTCGTGTTGTTGCATTTACAAGCGACAGCTCGAGTAAGGCAGCGGCTCCAGCAGCTTCCATGGGGCAGGTATCATCATCTTCGAACCTGCGAAGAAGACTCTCGATAGTCTCATCCTTCAAATGGGTATTCATGAAATACGAGAAGGTCTTGCTTGTGTTCTCTTCGAGGCCGTTTCGTTCTCTCAGAAAACAAAGAGTCCTCGTAGCAATCAACACTGCCTCCTTTGGGATGTGGGTATAAATGATCAAGGTGCCTAGGACATCACAGATTCTCTCAGGATCTTCAAAAGCCAGTCGATGCCGCAGATCAAACATTCCCTGGACCAACAAGATTATGTCAGAATCGCTGAAGAACCTCGCGTTGTACTTGACAAGGTTGTTGATGAGGTCAAGTGAGGTCAACACAGGCGAACCGGTTTCGCGTGCTTCTAGCCTCTTGATGTCTTTGTCGGCGAATTCAAAATCGACTTCGTGCAGAAGAGCGGGTATCAAGCCTGTCAGTAAAGGCTCAAAGCCTTCAAGTTGACGGCCATTGTCTGTGAGTATGGTGAGGAGATAGGAAGGGAAATCGGTATAGCGATTCGTGGTCCCATCTTGATACAAGGTGTAAAAGAAATGTAGGCGGTTTGCGGGCGTGCACTCTGGTTTAAAGGCGAGTTTCGCGATTATTCCCAAGCCAAGGTCTGTTTTGATAAGATCCTGCTCACGGAGAAGTTTCTCAGCAGAACGAAAGACTTTTTCGACATCGGGAACTGGAAAGTCGTCTATCGAGCTGCATATCCTTTGTTGAAGCTGGACGAGATCTTTTTCCGGATCATCGGCATCTATGTCTCGTAGCAAGTTTTTGAGGTGGTATTGCGGCTTCTCTGATTTTGACGAGGCCAGGGAAATTGGAATGGAAAGCTTTGATGAGGCGCTGTATATCTTGCTTAGCATGGGCATGTTTAGTATGGATGACGGAGCATTCGATATCAGCGACGATGAGTGTCGGGCATGAATTGGTGCCCCGCGGTTAGCCGCTTTGACGCGACATGGCCCCGGCTTTGAGTGGCACGAGTGCGAACGGTAGGACATGGGGAGGTGTTTGGCTACCTACCTCCTGTTGAACCTAGGTCTCGGAGCGGCCAGGAAATTTCGCTCGTAGGGGTCTCTCAGGCCTCTCAGAAGAGCCATGTTTGTTACCTAGGTTGTTCACGTCACGGCTCCTCCATGAGATAAGGTGACTGACGGCACCAGGGTTGGGCGAACGGCGTGCAATGTAGGGAATGCAAGAAGTGGCTCCAACGTGCAGTGTATCAATTGTCTAGATGGAAGAACTCTCATGCTGATACGAAGCTAGAAGTGTGCGATGGTTGATATCTCTGCTCCGACAGAGTGTCATAGGGATTTGTGTGAGATACGGTAGCCTCGAGGATGCGGAGAAGGTGCGGAGGAGAAGCGGACACTCGGCGCTCTGATTGGCCAGGAGCGACAACAGGCATCCTCGTAGTAATTACATGTTTGGCTCCCTGCCAGAAACAGCCAGACAAGACTGTCATGAGCAAATGGCAAACGACCACCTCTCGCCCATCGCGCCGGCGCGCGTGCGGGTGCTTGTCCTACCCGCCGGGCGCATCAAGAAGCACCGCTTCACCACCTTCTTGCAACGACTAGACCAGCACGACAGCGTACGCCTGGGAGACATCAGTCCCGATGCCAAAGCCAACAACAACCTCTTTTCCCCTCAAGCCTTTCCCAATGGCTCTCTTCTGTACAACTTCTCGACGTCAATGCCGCCGCCGTCGCATACTCAACTGGCCCCTTTCGACCTGTTTAGAGAGCACATGATGGTTCTGGGCATCGCAGATGCANAAGAGTACGAAGCCTCGCCCAAAGAGGAACTGCAGCGAGTCTCGGACAGCTTGGACGAACAGCATCCCAAGATACTGCTTTCGCAACTCCTGGTCATGGATTGTACCCAAGAGCAGCAAGACAGTTGGAATCTGGACAAGGCAATCTGCGTGCCCNCCTCGCATGCCACCAAGACGACCACCATGAATACCATCATGTGCGATATCTCGGCCAAACTCCTGTCAGAGATGGGTACATATGCCACTGCTGTACAAGCCCTCCCAAGTGTCCAGTCGCCAGGCGCCCCCGCCTCTCGTCCCCAGCTAGACCGCTCCTTGTCGCTACGTATGGATTCTCCACGTCCCGCCTCGCCCGCCGATTCTTCCGCCGTTCTTTCTCCCTCGGAAACCCCTCCTCCCAAAGGCCCACCCACAAATTTCGATGACATGGGAGCACACACAAGATCCGATAGCGGCAAGATTGCGAATAGAGACCGCATGTCGGTCCAGACTTTCGCTTCTACCAGTGCACAAGAAAGAGCAAAGAACAAAGGCAAAGCAAGAGTCGGCATCGTTGTCGGTAATCTCTACATGCTAGCTGGACGCTGGAACGATGCTTGGCGAGAACTCGTAGAAAACACAAACAAGGCTCGCTCTGCCTCCGACTATCTGTGGTACGCAAAGGGGTTGGAGAGCATAGTAGTCTGTATGCTTCTGCTCATCTGGTCTGGCTTTGACTTTCCCATCCCTGCCATCTGCAATTCTGGTCCTGACAGGTCTTCATCTCTCATCTCATCTGCTATTACCAGAGATGGTGTACCACCCATAGGTCAGCAGGACCCTGCTGCTGCAAAGCAAGCCGCCATAAGAGCTTCCAGACTTCTTCCTGACCTTATACCCATGATCATTTCTGTTTATGAAAGAACGAGTACATTGGCTGGTGAGCCAATATCTCCTGTGGCCTATTCGGAAAGCGTCTTGAGGCTTTCAAAGTTACTCGCCTTCCTACAGAATGCAGGTGGTGAGCTGGACTCTACCATCCTATCAAAGATTGCATCCACATCAAGTCGCTCCTTGTATCAACCAAAGGTTAATGCGGGCTTCTCTGGTGGCCTCTCAAAGCATACTATCGCTGATATTGCTCTTCGTGCATACCCACCGCCAAGTGCTGGCGTCCCTCTTGCCGATACAATAGCCATTCAGTCAGGCATAGTCTCGGTCCTTTCCATGCTGGGTCTCGAGCGAAAGAAAGCTGTCATCGTGAAAGAAATGATTACACTTCTCGTACCAGCCCTAGTGCAAGCCAGAAAAGTAGGTGCTGCTGAAATGGGTATACATCCTGCTGCAAGCTTGTCTGCTGCTTTTGGTGCATCTATAGAGAACAACGATGAACAAGTAGATCTGGGGAACATCCTTAGAGATCTACACTCTACTTATGGTGCTTGTGATCGAAATCATCTCGACTCGAGGAAAGAAACACCAGAAAGCGAACAGGAAAATGTTCTGGATGTTATGATCAATGCCACAATCGCGTTGGCTACACAATCAGCTGGGACAAAGTCATTCGGCAGCATCAACCTCAAGATTGATATACTTAGGGCGTGTATCGACTTTTGTGAGGCACTGCCAGACCTAGCAGGCGTTGTGCATTTTTCCGCTCTGTTGCTGCGAGTTGTCGGTCCACAAGGAACTATGACTGTGCACGAACATAATCGCCGTGTCACGATGGCTACGGAGGAACAACTCAGGTTGATATCTAACATGGCAAGAACGATCAATGCTGCAGCCAAAATCGGCCTGCCAGATGTCCGAGCTTTGTACTGGGATGACTTTCTAGTTCGCGATGTTCAATGGGTCGATGATCCAAATAATGAGAAGCTGCAAGAGCGTCACAAGTCCGATCTCTTGTTTGATTCGGACAACAAGCCTGGAAAGTCGCCATTCCTATACAACCCTTTCGTCAAGGAGACACACAAGACGCAAGATAAGATTGTTGTCGTTGGCGAATCAGTCGAGCTTGTTGTCACTCTACAAAACCCCTATGACTTTGAGATCAGGATCGAACATATGTCACTTGTTACTGATGGTCCAGCGATCGAGGTCGAGGACCATTCCATCATTTTGGGACCTGCTAGACTTCAAGATGCTGTGATCACTGCACGCGCTAAGGAAGAGGGTCAGATCCGCATTGTCGGCTGTACTATTCGAATGTTCGGCTGCAAAGATCAGATCTTTCCAATTCATCAGTCAGCTTGGAGACCAGATCTTCCTATCAAACTGAAGGAGTTTGGCCTCTCAGCTCGTGATTCTGCGTCTGCCACAACACAATCCAGGAATTCCAAGGGTCGGTCATTGAAACCTCTCCTTCCTCAACTCACGACCGTTTCAGCTGTTACCATTCAAGCCCAACCACATGTCATAGTCGACAGCCTTGACCTCTCCGAATCTGCCTTGATGGTTCTGGAAGGACAGCAGAAAACATTCTCAATCACTCTACGAAACACATCATCACACGTCACTGTTGATTTTCTTCACATCTCATTCGACGACTCTCTTACATCGTCCATCCACACAGCTTTGGCAGCCAAAGAATTGACCAAGCCAGATATGTACGGACTCGAACTTGAGTTATCTCACAACCCTACATTCACATGGGCTCGATCAAGCGGTGGCCAAGATATGACAATCCTGCCAGGAGAAAAGGCAACGTTTGAGATTACCGTGCTCGGAAAGCCAGGTCTGGCAGCTGCGAAGATCATGTTTGATTATGCGTATTTGGGAAAACCTTTCTCGGAGCTCGAAGGTCGGGCGTTCACTCGTCAGGTTGCGGTACCAATTGACATAACTGTCAACGCAAGCATTCAGCTCCACCGCGTCGACTTCAGCGAATTCCCTGCCGACTTTGCCTGGACGAACCGAGGGCTGCAGGAACAAGGCCAACGGCCGAAATCACCTAGATCGCCGTCACATCCAGTGGAGAAGGGCAGCAATCGTTTCCGAACGTTGTTGGATCGTGTGGGGTTGGAGTCAAGCAACGAAGAACACTGTCTGCTTCTTCTCGATTTGCGCAATTCATGGCCAAACCCATTGACCGTATCCGTCCAGGTGCGCTCCTCGTCTTCCGACGAAAGCTGGGACCGCGCCTATACTGTTCATGAGGTGATCCATCCAGGCCATATAGCGCGTCTTGTGCTGCTTCTTCCTCGTCTCCATATCGCCAACCCTTATGCACCCATTCCAATCTTGTCGCAGCAAAACCAAAGACAATTTGTTGTTTCTGCTGATGGACCTGTTTCTGCCGACCTTGAGCGCGCAACACGAGAGCAATTTTGGTCCAGAGAGGAAGTGCTCAAGTACCTTCGTGGCACATGGGAAGAGAAGGGCTCCGACAGAAACGGCAACATTGATCTCCGCGGTCTGAGATTGAGTTCCAAAATGATTGAAACGATACGTCTCCAAGATGTTGCCGTCACAATGTCTGTCGCATCGACTGAAAACGAAGGCGTTCAACAAACTGGCCGCAGCAGGTTTGCCGTCCAAGCAGAGAGTTTGTTGACGTTACGCACGACTGTACACAACAAGAGTAGTGCCACCATAAAAGCACTCTTACGCCTTCAACCGACACTCGCAGACCAGGGTTTTGCAGAAAGTAGTCTGGATATTTCTCGCCGATTGCTGGTTAGCGGTGTTTTACAACAATGCTTACCTACGCTCTCTCCGCACAGCTCCATCACTGTTGAGCTTGGGATATGTCCCCTTGTTCATGGCGAATTTGAGGTTAGCTCAATGGTCGAGGAAGTCGCACTGTCGGTGTCTGAAGTAAAAGAGATTGGTGGAGTTGAGACTGAAGACTTCGAAGCCGGCAAAGAAGGGCTTGCTAGGAAGGAGCGAAGGGTTTGGCGGGGTGAAGAGCCATGTAGGATTATTATCACCTAATTCTCGAGATATGTTCTTCCGTCACGGTCGCTCTTCTCGCTCTCCGATGGTGCTTTGTCATGTTCCGTCAGACAACAGATCTCGTGTAGCCTCATGCGAGTCGGTGGAATTGTGTCCGATGCTGTGTCGGAACCGCCATATCTCCGAGAATTACCAGATTGGGAAGTTATAAGTCCGACCGCGCGATGTCCATCCTAAATACGAGAGACATAAAAGGAAGCAGTGATGCCACCATACTTGCATAGAAACCACACAACTTCGTACACTTCACCAAGTCAATCTTGAATCCGAGTCATCATGTCTTTTCCTATCAAGAAAGTCGCCATCGTGGGCGTATGTATTAGTTCTCTACACTTTGGTTCACGATAGTTTCTTATTATAGTAACTAACATATCTCACAGCCCACCGGAAACATGGCCAAACACACAATCGACGAACTCCTCAAGTCAAACAGCCACTCTATCACCGCTCTCACCCGCAAAGGCCGCAATCTATCTCTCCCTTCTAGCGTCACTGTCATTGAAGTAGACTACACCTCCATCGAAGACCTGACGGCCGCCCTCCACGGCCAAGACTTTCTCATGATCACCCTTTCCGTTACCGCACCTCCCTACATCCAATCCAACCTCGTTTCCGCCGCCGCCGCTGCCGGTATCAAGTACGTTATGCCCAATGCCTACGGCTTCAACTTCAACTCCGCCGCTCTTATCCAAGATATCCCTGTTGCAGGCATGGCCCAGCAAACCTTTTCCCAAATTGAGACATTAGGAATGCAGCACTTTTCTCTGGTCTGCAATTTTTGGTACGAGTGGAGTTTGGGTGTTGGTGCATTGTATGGCATCGACATCAAAGACAAAACAGCAACGTTCTTTGATGATGGAGAGACTGTCATCAACACCAGCACTTGGAAACAGTGTGGTAAAGCTGTTGCAAAGATACTGTCTTTGCCGTTGGGGGAGCTGCAAAAGTATGCGAATAGCAGTTTTTATGTGAGCAGTTTCCGTATCTCGCAAAGGGAGATGCTGGATTCGGTGCATAGAGTCTTGGGCACGAGTGACGAAGACTGGAAGATCGACTACGAAACCACCAAGCACAGGTATGAGCAAGGAAACGAAAGTGCGGCGAATGGAAACCCGATGGGATTTGCTCAAGGTAACTTGTTTTTCCTTTTCCTTTTCCTTCCGGGCAGACGATTAACGCTGGAAACCATAGCAATGTACGCACGAGTCTTCTTCCCAGACGGCAGTGGCGACTACGAACACAACAGAGGGTTAGACAACGAGGCTCTGGGATTGCAGCAAGAGGATCTGGATGAAGCGACAAGAAAGACTATCGAAATGGTGCAGAGTGGATGGAATCCTTATGCTCCTCAGTAGACAGAACTCGAGGTTTTTGTTGTCGGTCTTGTCATTTGAAGCTGGTGGAACCTTCATCTCGTTATAATAATTTGCCTTTTGGTTATGTAGTAATGCTTCGTCCAAAGACACTTCTACCTTCAGCGATGCTTCAGCGAATCACGCACCAAAGAGAAGACACTAGATATGGCAAGTTGAAAAGGAAAGTCAAGAACCGATTGTACTGGTGGCTAGAATACTGAAACTGCCAACTCTCCGCGTCCTCCTTTTGTGAGAACATGATCTTCCGTGGAAAGACCTTCTGGTCGGCTAATGTATGTTTTAGCCACTGTATGAGAAGTAAACCTCTTTCTCCTCTGGGTTCACTGCCGCAAGATATCTTGAATGCTCCTCGGGAGCTCTGCGTCGTTATTGTAAGTCGTCAATGTCGTTAATGTTTTACCGCCGTTTCTCCTCCGCTTTTTATTGTTTTTCTCCTTTTTCTGATGCATCCCCTATCGTGGTCGTCCTTCTCTTCACTGATATGATCAGATTGCAGCTTTTGAAGTGTGTCGCTTCCTTAGATGATGTCGGCCGGATAGCCATCGAGATCGGCTTGAAGAATAGCTCTAGCCTTCGTCATTGCGGCCTCGATGGAAGGACCAATCTGCTCGCGTCTGGGGTCTGACATCTTCTTTCCCTCAAATGACTTGAAGAGAACATCGCGAAGGTCTGCGTGCATCGTTTCGATACGCGTAGTGGCCTTGTCAGCCCATGAATTGATGACCGGAACCATCTGAGCAGAGATCTCGTTGGTCATCATGTTGTAAGGTCCCTTACCGCTGAGGACCTGCTCTCTGATACACTTCATGCGCTCCTTTGTAACGTTCTTGGTCTTGGGTGGAAACTTTGTGAAAGTCGTTGTGAAGATCTTGAACATCTCCCTGACAAAAACTGGCGAGTCTTCGTCACACGGCTCGTCGGCGATAGACTTCATGGCGGTTGATCTGTTCATGTCAGTATTTGAGTAGCTCAGCGTGACGAGGATACATGGAACTCGCCTCAGGTTCGTCTTAAGCTCAATGATGCCATCTCTAATATCACGGATGCAAAACTTTCTCTCTTCTTCAAAAAGCTCGAAGACACCTTCCAGGTTGGCGCCTCCGATCTCGTCCTGGATCTCAAGACCATGACGAATCTTTTCCACAACGTTAGAGATGTTCTCGCAGATGCTACCGTCGACCTCGTTAATAACATCCCAAGTTGATTTGAGAAGATTGAAGATATCGTCTTCAACAACGAGCAGAAGGTCTTCAACCCAAGAGACAAGCTGTGGCTTCTTGGTCTTCATGCCCCTAAGAACAGGACTGTGTCTACCACCTTGACGAATGAAGACACCTTGGGTACGAGCAGCATACTTAGCGGTCCAGGCATCCATTGTTTTCTGAGCGGCGTCCGCCCATGTACTGGAGAAGCGCGTGTTCAAGAGCTTCTTGTACTGCGTGGAGGATTTGACCAACAAGACCCTATCGCCTTCAACGCCCCAACGTGCATGCTGCTCGAAGAGCGCCATGGCAGCGTCGCGAGGAGGCATCTTGGGTCCGTCAGCCCAGATAGCAACGCGGCGTATCTTGGTAATGCAGTTTGCAGAGTGACGCGCAAAAGCTCGAACGCGGTCCCTGCTGGGCGTCTCACACATATAGGCCCGCAACTCCTGGATACCAGTCTTGTCAAACGAAAGCACGGCCTTGTGAGATTGGGAGCCAGCCATGTAGTACTCATGGCACTTGTTGGCAACTGTGATGACCCGTATCTTACCAGCATTGTGCTTGTTCTGGTACTCCTTCTGCGAGAAGTGATCGGTGATAATACGATCGCGGACGGCGATCTTATGCTCGAGAATCTGGCGTTCGATAGTCTGGATATCAGCTGTGACTTGGGCTGTGATGCTCTGATCGTCATTGCCGTTCAGCTGAAAGTTTGCGTTCTCCAAAGATCTTTCCAAAGTCTCGAGATGAGTAGACTCAACCTTGTTCCACTTGCTGCTCTTGGTTTTCTCAACAACCTGCGAACGCCGTTAGTATACATATCTCAGGCGTATCTCTCGATATGCAATCCATACCTCTTTTCCGCGGAGAACCAAGCAAACATTTTCTGCGCCCTTAAGCTTGATGGTTTCCTTCAAGCTTCTCTTCAACTCGGGAGTGGTCAGACATCTTGAAAGATCAGCCACGAAGATAGCCTTTGGGCAGTTGACTGAATATGCCATTGATGTCTTGCGCAGATGGATGTTCGTGTCCGTGTATCCAGGCAAGTCAGCAAGCTCGATACCCATCGCGAGCAAGGGCGAGTGGAACTTGGTACGAATACTGCTGATAAGAGGTGCAAAGGCACCGCGCTCGGAAAATGTGGCAGTCTTTGCGCGAAGTTCTCCGACGTTACCGGCAGTAAGCTTGAGTGCGCGGGAGTCTAGGTTGATGCCTTCAGAAGAAGCGCGGTCCTTGATCTGCTGATATAGACGATCAACAGCTGACTCCGAGATTGGTTCGTTCTCGTGAGAAAGAAGGGTTTTGGTCTCCAGAAAGTCTTCGACATCATCTAAGCTTTTCAATCCGTCCTGATGGGAAAAGAGATCGTCGAATACTTGTCTGCTCGACTCGGCCGAATCGCGAATGTAGTCGTTCTCTTCTTCAGCTTCATCATCCGACATAGATCTGACATAGATGACCAGATCAGTCACACATCTCTTGATCAAGCTCTCAATAGCTCGCGCATTGAGAAACAAAACCTCAACCACGAACATGGTCTGCTGGCGATTGCCATGATTGAAGAGTTGTGGGTTCTGGGTGACACTCTCCATCGCAGCGTCAGCATTAGCAAGACCAGACATGCCGAGGACATTGTTGAGTGTGCTAGTCTTTCCCGAGCCACTGTTACCACTGAAAGCGAAGGATGTCGGCGGTATCGCGGGAATGTTCAAGTTTTTGCCGTTTTCGAACCACATGAAAGTGTCATTGATTGACTTGTCTTCATCTCTGTAAGGTGAAAGCGCAGGGAGCACGACTTCCTTGACGTTGAAGAGAAAATGTTCGATAGCCATCTTGTGATGTTGGCTGTTGACCTCAAGCTGCGGAACAATCTCATGTCTTGAGTAGTTGTACGGCCTTCCTAGAACGTACGGGCGGGCTGGGCCTCCACCATATGCGAGGGGACCGGAATCAGTAGACAGCTTTGGTCTCTTGACTTCCAGAGGTTCATCCTCGATGCTTCTCTTTAACACATCCTGTGGCTCGAATAGAGGTGATTGGCGCTCGCTATCCTCAGTTTTGACTTCGGACTTGATCTCGGAGTCTTCCTCAATGAACGGCATGGAAGGACGAGAAGAGTGCACAACCAGTCCCATCCTGGACTTTTCTCTGTCCGAGAATGGCTCAGACATGTTGCTGATCTGCGTCAGATGTGTCAGCATGGGGTTCCAAGAGACGATCTCATAGAGAACATACCAAGTGAAAAGATCTTCCAAGTGGATGACCAAAAGTGATGTCAACTGTCGTGGTTCGAGCACAGGCGAGACCCGTTGTTGAGGGGTTGTTGTGAAGATCTGTTACGAAGATCTACGGGAGAGGGACCTAGAGCAAAGATCTCTGGAATGCCGAAGAAGCAGCCGACACACCGCAGCCAGCGCAGAGGTCGGAATGGTAGAAGTCTGATGCAGTTGTATAAGGTTGAAGTGACTTGATGCAGTAGAGATGTATGAAGGAATAAGAGGGTAAAGGTGAATTATGGACAGGGGAACCAAGAAGACCGAAGGTCAAAGGTGGTGGAGATGGTGGAGGGAGAGGGAAAAGTTGAGTTGGGTGATGAGGTGGGAGCCGCTTAAGTAGGATCTCGAGGCAGCAGCGAAGGGTCTCCGATGCGAGTGAGAGTGACAATTGGAAGTGTTGTTATCGAAGAAGAGGAAGCTGAGAGAGCAAACTCAAGGCAGCCACACTCACACAAATGAATGATGCGAGAGGGAGGACAATAGTGAGTGATTTGCCGTGCCAATGGTATCTCAAGAGATAACTCCAAGAGGAAGTGAAGTTGCTGCTGTGAAAGCCTCCTTTCTCAACTTAATGTGAGGAGAGATGGTAACTTGATCAGAATTTTGTCGAAACCACAAAGCCGTGTATTGCTGTAGTACGTTGTAGAACAGCAACTTTAATGTCGATCAGACTTCTCGGCTCGAGATGAATGATGGAAGTGTAGACTAAATTTTCCAGGCGAAGAAACCAAGAAACAGCTGAGGATGCGACGATGAAGAAGCTTCATGCACCTATTCGGCTTTGAGAGACGGGATTGCGTTTGTTGCTGATGTCACACTCGACTCCTAATGTATTGTATAGATTAACCTTTACACTTCCTGCGCTGAGAGAGATCCTGTTCGAATGATGGACTGGAGTTTACTCGAAGTCACAAGAGCTCTCTGCCATGACCCCTTGCAAAAGTCGTCTCGAATCTCCTTTAGGATGTCTTGGTTGCATGGTCCGACGATTCCAGAGCTGCATCTTGAGGAAGACCTCAACATGGCGCATGCTGGAACTCATCAAGATCTCTGCAGAGTGCCAGGCGTTACCAAACGTTTATCCCATGTCTGTTGAACTTGGCCAAAACCAGATATCGGTGAATGAGGTGCGATTGGAACCTGAGTCCAAACCTCACAGGAGACGACAACCAGGCTTGTTGTGAATGTTGTTCCAGTCTTTTGATAGCTCATCTGTCAGTATGCGTGGCCGGGAGAGATGCGAATAGATGGAAGGAGACCAACATCGACAAGAAGACGAAAGAAATTCCGAATAGAGAGAAATGAGAAGCAGCCTGAATTTCGATGGCCGGTCATCGTTCTTCGTTGAGTTGGCGGAAATGTCGGTCAAGATATACTTGGTTCTTATCTGCGGGTATCCGTCTCATCAGGACTCCAACCGAAATTATGTTGGAGTTGTGAATGCCGATACTGGAAGGCAGTTAGATGTGCCCTGGATTCTCGTGTCGAGAGCTTTTCGTGACGACCATGTATCCTTGTTGGGGAGAAATGTCAGCAGCAACGTTCAAGAAGAGGAAGCGACGACGAGAAAGCGGGCTTCCGACGATTATCATCGAAAGTGCATCAATGTGTTTCACCACTACTTACAACGGAAGGAATGAAGCACCTCGAGCAAATAAAAGGCATATCTCATTCTTCATGACATTCGTAGCAGAGTAACAGCAAAAAGCAATCCCTGCTCCCATCATCGTTCTCATCAATCTTCTCCACTAAGAAGAGTAAGAGGTCGCGACACCGCATCCACTTTCATCACAAGCACCAGCCAGCATAGCGGACGGCACAAAAGAACCCGTGTAACTCGAGTTGCGCAGCGCATTGCCATCCGCATCAATAGCCTCAACTCTCACCCACTGGTAAAATTTATCCGCCTCCCAGAAAGTCTCGAAGCCCTCTTTGTCTGCTTGTCCAATGACCAGGAAGTCTTCTCCCACGTAGCCACCACCGTAGAACTGCCATGAGGAAACTGTAGTGCAGCCATTCCAAGACACATAGATACGAGTAGGCGCGGAAGAATTGACAGCATAGACATAAACGTCAGGGACAGTAGTTACAGGTGTGCTCGTCCAATCAGCAGAAAAGGCGCGGTAGTTCTGTGCAGAGTCCTCGGCGGCGAAGGACGCAGCGAGTACAGCAGTGCCATTTGCAGAGTGTTCGGAGAGATATGGGTTGTTGCCCCAGCTGTGAAAGAAGCCGCCGTTGGAGAGGGTTTGCGTGTTTCCTTGAGAGGTGCTGAGAAGGCCTTCAATAGAGGGAAACGTGGTGTTGGAGAGCATAGTTGCGACGCCAGAGTTGTGGTCGACAGCGATGACTTTGCCTGAAGACTGAGAAGTGGTAGTCGTGTAGCCGTTTGATGCATTGTCAAAGATGGAGAGAACAGTGGTCGTGTCGTTCTCTGATAGCAAACGTGCATCGTGTTGGAAGCTGAAGTTGAAGTTTGAGCACGAGAAGTCGGAATGTCCTTGGTAGCTCAACTTCCAGATGATATCGCGATCGGTGGCATTGACGTAGTATAGCGTGCTGGTATGTCTGGCAGAAACAAGATAGTTACCTGAAAATGTCGACTTGTCAACGGCGTTGATATGGAAGTAGTCGAATGCGCTTTGAGGACCAAAGCCATCACCTCCCGTGNNCTGAAGGTGAAGGTACTATTAGCATGTTTCTTGTGTTTGAGCATGGAACAAATAACAGTCCAAACACCATCTGATGGGTTCTGGTTCATGCTATATGTACCTCCGCTTTACTTACTCAGTGCTGTTTGGCGTAATCTGACTCTCGCTAGGGTCAACATGGTTGGTCGAGAACCATTCGAAAAGAACCTCTCCAGTGGTTACGTTGACCTCTTGGAACACGCCTTCCGATAAATATCACAAACCAGTCGTGATGTTGAAGTACGACAGATCGAACGGAACAATCTGATAAGCGCTAAGGATAGCTGTCTCTCCATCATTGAGTAGCTGAAACTCATGCATATCCACAGGCTCGGCATTTCCTCCCGTCTGCGCTGTAGCCACAACCTCGTAATTCTGATCTACGATGACACCCTGCCCAATTCCATATCCGTCCTGCTGATTGACTTGATTGAAGCAGAGGTGAGGAGCACCCTGATACTGGCAAGGCTTGAAGTTGTGCGCATTCGCAGATCCAGTCACACCGTAGCCATCCCAGATGAGGTTTCCAAATTTGTCGTAGATGTAGGGAGCGGGTTTGATGGACTTGTAGGGCGACATGAAGACATAGCCAGGGGAAAAGTCTGCTTGGAGTGTGACGTTCAGAGCAGGAGCTTGAGACAGAGGTCGAGTGTAGAAGAAAGAGACGGGCTGTGTTGTGTTGTCTTCAGCACTGCTCTGTGCAACAACATTGGGCACAAAGGCCAATGCCGCGTAGGTCCATGGAGTGAAGCGCATGTTAGGAACAGTGGTCCAAGGAGACAGGGCCGTAGGAATTGATTAGAAAATGTTGGCAAAGTCAGCAAACAGAAGAAAGTTGGTTGTCTCGAGACAGAACAAAAAGTCAAGGTGGAAAAGAAAGAGAGTTAGAGTTAACAGCGTAGGCAGAGGGGAGCTGTGAGACCAGACCTCTTCTTCTTCTTCTTCTTCTTCTTCTTCTTCTTCTTCTTCTTCTTCTTCTTCTTCTTCTTCTTCTTCTTCTTCTTCTTCTTCTTCTTCTTCTTCTTCTTCTTCTTCTTCTTCTTCTTCTTCTTCTTCTTCTTCTTTCCTTGCAGGACATGACCACGGCAAGAGACAAGCACTTTGTTCCTGCTTTTCTTGTCCGCCCCATGTCGAGAATGCCTTGATCTCGAAGCCGCATATTATGATACGTCGATCATGGGCCATCGGAGTTCTTCTGCGACAAGGCACTTCGTCATGGACTACGCGGCATATCCATCTCGTGGACCGCTTGATCCGGCATGCAGGTACATGACAAACATCGCTGCTTGCAAATAACGTGGCAGAGAGAGAAGCAGTCGACAACGTGTCTGTACCACATGAACAACGTCGCTGCAAACTCCAAGCTGCTATTCTGCTGCCTCCCGTGCCTAACAGCTTGGCACCCATACACTGCTGCCACGCGCAAAGCTCTTGAGATGCAATTGTTGTGCTTCTCAGGGTAGTGTCGCGTGCCGACATCCTCAATGCAAGATCTCATGCTTGCTCGCCTTGTCCCGCAGCATTCTGCAACAGGTTATTTCGAAACTCTAATCATCCACAGCCTCAATTGTATCAAAGTACTCTCGCCGACGTCAGAGGCTGGTATAGACGATCTTTGAGCGGATCAGCCTTTTCGGCTGATTGCGGGCGCCCCACTGAGAACAGCACACGGCGAAATAGAGAGCCAGGCGGAGAGCTCAACCCGGCAACTCTATATCAGAAAGAGCAACGCAAATAGCACATTCACAAATGGTAGACAGATGAGCATAAAGATGTAAAGCTGGAAACCGCCAGAAAACGTCGTCCTTTGATATTGCAGTGGATTGGGTATAGGTTGTCGTGAAGAAAAAATCCGTAAAGCTCTCCCTCTTCGTTCTCGTCTCCTCTCTCAACTCTCAGTCGGTGGCATGGCTTTTTAACAAAGACAAGCCCTCAGTAACGTACCAAATGAGAAAAACAACCAAGGGCTTGTCTTGTTGTCCAAGATGGTTGGCATCAAACAACAAAGGAAAATAAGATGGAAAAAAAGAAAATGCATGCTCGGTCTCTCTCCCTCATCACATCAAGTGCCCTTCGTGTCCGTTCATGGTGTTTTTTTTTCCCTCGTCCTCAGCAGTAAGGAAAGCTCAGCTTGTCCCCACCATCTCTAGTAAACAACCCCTAGATGATAAAAAGGTGAATACAAGAAAGCTTTTGTTGTTGGAGACTGGCCGTTGCGATCAAAGGTCATGACGGTCGTGAAAAAAAAAGTAGCAGAATGGATGTCAATGCGCAATGCTGGTCAAGAAAAAGAGATTGTCGTCAAGAGCAGACGAGCAAGCCCTTAGTTGGGGCAAGCGGCCTGGACGTGGCCGGGCTGCTTGCACTTGTAGCAGACGCGGTCGTGGCTGATCTCAGCAGAGCAGTCGCGAGAAAGGTGACCGACCTCACCGCCTGTGATGATTGGATTAGCTTATGCTTGAAGGGAGAAAACGGCCTGGGTAGACAAACAGTTGTAGCACTTCTGGCCCTGGGTGCAGTCGCGAGACATGTGGCCGAAACCGCCGCAGGAGTAGCAGGTCTGGCCGCGGGGAGCGCCGTAGCCCTGGCTCTGGTAGCCACCCTGCTGCTGGAAGCCGCCGCCCTGGGAGCAATTGCGGGCAATGTGGCCGACCTGGCCGCACTTGTAGCACTCCTGGCCACCGCCCATACCGGCACCACCGCGGGGAGCGCCGCCCTTGGGGCACTCGCGAGAGATGTGGCCAGTCTCACCGCATCCGTAGCAGGACTTCTCCTTCTGGGGGTTGGTGCACTCGCGAGAGAGATGGCCCTGGCCACCGCAGTTGTAGCAGGTGGGGTTGCCCTTGGTGGGGCAGTCGCGGGCCTGGTGGGTAACGTCGCCGCCTGTGGTGAAGCATGTCAGTCCGGGATCTTGTAGTGTCTGGTTGAAGCCTGCAACGGCATGGCGCGCATCGTGTATTGCGATTGTCGAACGGACAAATGGCAACTGCGCAAAACTACGCGCTAGAGTCGAGTGAAGAAAACGTACAGTTGTAGCAAGCGCGGCCAGTCATGGGAGGAGCGGGGGCACCAAAGTTCTGCATGTTGAAGGTTTGTGTTGTGAGAAGATCTCGGTGATTGATTGAGAAGTTGTAGTGGTTGCAAAGAGCTGGCAAGTTTTGGTTGTGGTTGAAGGATGGTGGAAAGTAGAAGAGGCGAGGCAAGAGCGAGAATCTCAACTCCGACGGCTCGCAAGTGTGGGATCAAAGCTTGGCCCGCCTTTCGCTTTTGAACCGCTCAAACGCCTCGGCCATCCAGAACGAGCAGGTGGGGGGTCACTTCAAGAGTTTGTCGAGGCCTTTGTCGAGTGTTTGTCGAGAGTCGTCGAAAATCGTCGAGAGTCATACCATCCTCTTGTAGTTTCAGCGCTGTCGGTTGTGCCGATGTGAGGCTTCAGGCCATTCTCTTCACTTTTTAGCAGGCTCCTGTCTCGCCGCAGTATTGTTCAACAACGAAGCGCAAAGAGAAAGTCCATCTGTTAGACATCGTCGTTCTCGCATCAACATCAGACACCGTCAAGCATATTCCTCATTCACAGCATCAGCAAATATTTTTCCTCGTTCTGGGTGGTATATCGTCTCATCAACATCTCTCTGCGTTCTCATAATAAGCCATTTTCCTCATCCTCATTCTTCTCCAAGGTTGCTTCTTAGTGCTTTCTTGTGTCTCTCCAAAGCAAAAGGACGGTGTGTCATCATCTTACTAAAACGCAGCGCCGCCATCAGTCTCTCCAGCAAGCGCTCTCACGTTCTCATCGGCCAACTGCGCTCTAAAACTCGCAGTCTCGCTCTCACGGCTGAGCTTGGCCCATTCTTTTAACCCTTTGCGCTTCCGTGCTTGCTTGTCTTCTATGACTTGTCGCAGCTTTTCTGCCTCGTCCTCTAGCTTGTTCAAGCGTCCTCTGTCGTAAAGTTCGGGTGCCTTGACTCCGCCGTCAACGATTCGAGGCAGGTCTGCAAGGTAGGCATTGCCAGGCTTGGGTCCTCTGTCAAACTCGCCCATGCCGCCCATGACTACGTCTGCTTTGGGTCCGGAGGGCAGTGGTGCTCCATTTGGGGCAAAGCGTGTGGTGCGTGGGTATGTCCCTGAAGTGTGCGCGCCACCTCTGAAAGGAGGTGGGGGAGCGTGTGTACTGATTGAGCCACGAGGACCTGAAGGCGGTGCCGAGGCAAAGTCTGCGTCTCTATTATGTTGTGTAGCATAGCCACCGCCACGGCCTCCACGGTATGATGGTCCTCCATAAGGTCCTCCTCTTCCACGCAGCCCATGGTAGTCTCCACGTGAGCCAAAGTCTCGGAGTTCTCGAGAGAATCCTCCTCTTGACATTATGCCTCCTCTTGGGTGTGTGGGAGGTGAGTTGGCTCTCATTCGGGGCCCAGTAGGGATAGGAACATCACCAGCAGCCTGAGCGTATGATCTGGAAGCACCAGGTCCTGTCGGAGGCGCTCTTACTTGCGGCGCTTCATCTTGTCTCGCAGGCCCTGTTGGAGGAGCACGGATAGCTGGACCAGTAGGAATATCACGCTCACGAGGAGGTGTGGGCTCGCGCTTACGAATAGGTGAGCGGACATCTACTGGAGGTACGACTGGTGATCTTGGTCTGGAGGGTATGGGCGATCTAGGTCGTGAAAGGATGGGCGAACGAGGTCTGGAAACAACAGGTGATCTCTTAGGGACAAGAGCTGGCGAGACAGGGCGAGGAGCGCGGTTGGCGAACAAATCTTCCTTGGGCAAGGGATCGATGGCGGCGAGTCTGCTGGGATGGATCGGCGGAGATGAGCGTCTCGAGCTAGTCACACTAGCAGCGCCGGAGTGTTCATTCGAAATGAGATCAGGGCGGGGTCTCGGTGGTGACGGCGAACGACGTCTCCAATCAACCTTGCGAGGGTTGATGTTTTCATTGTGTTGCATTGGCGAGCGAGACAGGAGACGATATCCGCGGGTGACACCACGAGGAGGAGTCAAGCGCATCTCTCGTCTGTCACGTCCAGGCCCAGGGCTAACGTCTCTTGAAGGAGGGTATGCATTGTATCTTGAGCGAGGCGGCGAATCTAGCCTCTCTCGCTTGGCTGGGGAGGTGATCTTCTGCCGCGANCTACCCGCAGGTGAAACATCACGACCACGCTTCAGAGGGAGAGGAGACCGATCGCGAGGCGCACGCACTGGTGAGCGGGTATTGTATGGTAGCGGATCTCTGTGGAAGCGAGAAGCAGGAGGTGGACGATAGCTTTCATCCCTCATAAAGCCGCCCCTTCTAGGTGGTGGTGAGCGAGCTCTTCCCCTGTAGGAGTCGCCTCCATCTCTTGGTCGGAAGGACGGAGGGCTTCGTGAGCGACGACGGAATGGCAAGGGTGAGCGGCTACGATTTCTTGGTGGAGCGCGGTAGGAATCGACGTATGCATTTCCTCTCGGCGGTGAGCGAGGAGCGCGGTATGTGTCTGATCGGGGAACAGGAGAACGAGGAGGACGGTAGGATTGACCGCGGCCATCACCGTATTGGTCTTCGCGAGGAAAGGGTCTGAACAAGTCAGTGAACCTGGCGCCTGGCAGCAAGGCCAGAGTGATGTTACCTTCTATCCCGATCGCGATCTCTGTCCATGTTTGCTGCCTCCAGGCGGGGCGTATTTGTCGAGATCTTACGACGAAGCTCTGATGAGGCTGCTGTGCCGTGTCTGCGCTTGCCAAAGGGACAAACAAATGAGCATGCGCAGACAAAGCCAAGCTTGCTTCCCCAGACTTGACCTTGCCCGCGTGATATAGTCTTGTGTCCGACCCTGCTAAATTGACGTCCTCCGTCCTCATCGACTAAATGCAAGGCAAGGCCAGAAGGAATAGTTCTCTCACGCGACTGCTGCTTTCTATGGTGTTGGTGTTAGCTGTTCCCAGAACACACCTGGTTCCTAAACGTGAGGCATATTCGCCCAGGCAGTGCTTTTCTCATCCAGGTGCACGTCTGTTGCTGGCAATTGAGACTGACTTATTAATGCGTGTGCTTCATATTGGTCTTGCTTTCTTAGCTGGGTAATGCGGCGCTCCATCCATAAGACTCGGTCCCGGTGCAAGGTGATGACGTGAAGGTGGCTCCAGTAACCATGTCTCATCTCCTGCTGCTCCTGCTGTCGCCGCCTCCTCTTCTGCGCTCGTTCCTCTCCTTGTCTTGTTTCAACCTTTTGTTGCTCTCCTCGGCAATCATCTGGCTCAAATCTTCCTGATCCACTCTTCCCTTCCACTGTCCATCAGCCTGTGCCTGTCTTTGAGCCTCGAACTGTCTGGCGATCTCGTCCTTGCTCAGGCGATCATCTCTTTCAAGCGCATCGACGTCTACGCTGACATCGATATCGCCGACCTTGCGTTTGCTGCCTCGGCTTTCTTGTCCAAGCACGGGAAGATTTTGCTGCGCCGCCCGCAAGTCGTATGCTCTTTCGCCTCCAAAGAAACCTTGGGCACGGATGTTCTGTTCCGGAAGGACCTGGTACGCTGATCGGGGAGCGCCATTGTCTTCGGGTTCGGGAGCTCTTGCGTTCTTGCGTAGTTCGAAATCGCCTCCAACGCTCTCGATACCGATTTCGGTAGGAACAGCAGAAGCCAATCCGCTTGGTGTTTCGAGTCCTGCACCAACGTCCTCCTCGTCCATAGCTTCGTCACCATCTTCCTCCTCCTCCTCATCCTCATCATCCTCCTCTTCTTCCTCTTCCTCTTCGCGCTCTTGAAGTTCACCCCACAGTGTCTTTTCCACCGGTGCTCCAGTTGGTGCTTCCTCGTCCTCTGCGTTGCTAACACCGAAGATGTCGCCACCGAACAAGGGTCGGTTTGTGTATTCGTCGACAGGAGGCTTACCATAACCACCAGGATGGAAACCCCATGATGCGCCTGGTGGCGGAGGAGCGTTCAAACCAGGGATCTTGAGGCCAGGGTATGAAGGAGGGGGACCAAAACGTTGCTGGTTGATGAGCCATGGCGGAGGAGCACCAGGTGGCATGTTAAGTGCTTCCCTCAGCTCGTCGCTCAACTCGCCAGGTCGTAGATGACGGAGGTTGGTCTCGTATTCCTTACCCTCATAGTAGACCTCACCATAGCGAGTAAGCGGAGGCTTTGTTTGGTGGCGGAAGAAGGCTTCGTAAAGCTTCTGGTAGTCGATGTCGAGCTTGCCGAGCTTTCCTTGTACTCTCTCACGCTGCTTTTGTTTCAGAGTTGCCTCGGCCTGCTTCTCGAGCACGGCGTCACGCATCTCAGCGATACCAGTATCTGCGATGAACTTGGGTAGGTTGAAGTGCGTCTTTTCGATACCACGCTTGGAAGAGAGATATTCGCGCTTCAAAGCCCAGTGTGATGGCACGGGGACAACATTGCGCTGCGACTTGATGCGCACAAGCAAGAGCGGGTCTGAGGCGTCGATGTCTGTCCACTCAACCAGCTCAGGCTTACGCACCAGACGCTTGAGCTCAGCAATGGTCAGTTTGCTAGCGGCCTTGCGCGCCTTCTTTGAAAGTTTCGGCTGGTTCTCATCCTCCTCATCAGGGATATCGTCATTGTCGTCGTCGTAGTAAATCTCGGGCTTTTCCTCTTCTTTTGTTTGCAATTTGTCGCGGTTGTTGAACTTGGATAGGACATTCTGGAATTCGGCATATAGAGGGTCGTCTTCGGCAATGGTAAAGTCGTCGTTGAGGGGGTCGCTGTTTTGCATAGGGTCATCGCGAGTGTTGATCTGAGCATCAGGTTGGCGGCCAGTCTCTGGCTTGGGGGTTTCTGCTTCGGACAGGTCGGTCGACTCGGCGATGGAGGGAGTGACGGAAGCCTGTACCATGTCATGGTTAGTCGAGTTCCAAGCAAGGCGGGCGAGGAGAAGGCCTACCGAACGGTCCTTTTGCGCCTTCTTCTGTTGTCTGCGGAAGGCGTTCTTGCTGAGCTTCTTTGCGCCAGCGCCGCCATTGACAGCTACGGCTGCCATCTTGGCAGATTGCTTTCTGTTGTTGGTGTGTTTCGGAAGTGAGAGGCGCGGATCTGTTGTATGGTGGTTGATTCCTGAGGTGCAACTCGAGCCACAAGCAGCGAGGTCCAATTTGTCGAGCGGCTGGTGGAGATGGATGACTTGCAAGAGTTCGGCGACGAAGCGTCAAGATGCAGCTGCGCGCTCCGGATTCTCTTCGGCTTTCACGCTTCCACCGCTCCAACAAGTCGTCAACAGGCCCGTCAATACTAATACGCAATCGACATGCCAGTCTTGTTGCTCATGCTCTCCACTGCTCTCCTCAGGGCCGTGACACACCTGCTGCAGACCCACTTCGAGTCAATGCGAACCTTGTCTTGCGTCCTCTTGCACAATCCCAGTTTGCGTGCTGCACACGCTTCTGTCTTGTACTCGTACTTGTGATTGCAGCCCTCGTTCCTGACGATGATTCTGCTGCACATTGCTAGTGGATCTTTCGGGTTGCTGGAGAAAGAAATCTGCTCCGAGTATCTACTGAGATTTGCTCATTTGCTCATCATGTCCTTTGTCTGCATCCGTCGTCCTCATGCGTGCCTTGTTCCATGTGGAACAGACTCCCCTTGCTTCGTCCTCCCCAGTCCCATCTCTTTCGTCTTACTGCATAACTCGCCATCGTCCAAGGACAGCCTGTGGTTGTGTCCTTTGGCTCATGTGACTACTGCTGGCTCCCTATCTACCATCTTGAGAGCGAATGCTTACTCTCGGGCGACGTCCTATTCTCAGAGGCAGCTCGAATGCAGTAGCAGAATATCGAGATAGACAAGGCACAGAATATTGGACGTCGAGCTTCAATTGTATCAAAGGAAAGAACTAGTTACACATCGCCCCCGAAATGCAGGCAAAGCCAAGGCTAACCCTGCTTCTTCCTTCGCTCACTTCCCCTTCGCTGATGCTTGTGGTGGTAGCAGAATCGAAAATAGAGAAAAGAACCAAAAGAAAATAGAGAAACAGAAAATTTCATGTGCCCTTCGCTTTCGCCTTCTATTGTGCGCGTTGTCCGTAATCTTGTGTCGTTATCTTCGTGGAAAAAAGGTGCGAGTCCATATGTTCAACCCCTTTTTTCTTGCGCGCCTTGCCTTGTGTGCGTTGGCGCTATGCAATCAAATGCTGGAGAACTGATCCCATGATAAAGTACAGTGTTGTTGGCTCGAGAAAGCAGAATGCGATCAGTAGTGTCCCATGTTGGAAGAGCGAGAGCCGTGAGAAGCATGACCGAATTGCTGGTAGCCCTGGCCAAAGCCATTGCCATTGGTTTGCTGCTGAGGGGCCTGGGCGAGCATGGTGTTGAGAGATCCGTGGTGGTGGTTGTGACCGTTAGGAGAGCCCATGCTGGCAGCACCGTAGTTACCGGCTTGATGACCACCAGGGCTGTTGGCGCTGGTGTAGGAGGTCATGGTATTGGATCTGCTGGTACGGAAAGGGGTGGAGTTGAGCTGACCAGGCGACATGACACCAGGAGGAGAGATGGAACCAGGCATGCCGTTGAGCTGGTTGTCGTAGTCCTGGATCTTGCTGGAAATGCGACGGCCGTAAGGAGTGTGGCGGATTGACAGAAGGATAGGACGGATGTTGTCAATGAGACGAGCCTTGGTCTCAGGGTCGGCGTAGTCCATGGCGGTCTGGACAACATAGTTGGCGTATGAGTCGCGAAGCAGCTTCTCAAGATCGACAGGGTTCATAATCTCATCGATGAGAGCGCGTCTGGTGGTCTCGTCGCCAGTGCGAATCGACTTCTCAATGACGTTGGAGCTGAACTTCTGTCTGGAGAGAGCGGCAATATTGCCGAGGAAGCTCTCGGCCAGAGGCTGAGAGAAGGCAGGTTCGCCGAGATCGAGGATGTACTGAACAACGTAGTTGCCGAAGGGGTCCTGAACAAGAGTAAAGGCGTTCATGGTGATGTGGTGGACGAGCTGACCCTTCTGGTGACCAGAGGCGTGGTCGATGCAACGCTGCAGGACGCAACAGCCATGACGATGGGTGCCAACGATGACACAGCTAGTGCCAACAGCGTCGAAAATGAACTGGGCGTCCTCGGGAGACAAGTGGTTGAGACACTTCTGGATAACGTGGTTGCCGTTGAGATCTTGAATGAGAGGGACAACTTCATATCTCAGAGCCTCGGTGATAATCTGGATCTGCTCAGGGGTTGAGATGAACTCAATCATCTTCTGCAGAGCGCGGGTACCGTGCTGGTTGAGAGCAATCTTGACCATCGAGGGGGCAGCAGCGCGAATGAGAACAGTGCGCTGGTCATCGTTGGCGTATTCAAGCAGCTTCTGGCAGAGGTAGTTACCAAAGGGATCTGCCAAAGATATTGGTTAGCAAGATGTCACGAAACGCAGAGTGAAAAGCCAAGCAGCTTACCAGTCATTAACTCAATCATGTGAGGGTTGGTCTCCTCAAAGATGAGCCTGATGTTCTCATCATCATTTTCTTCCAACTTCTTCTGCAAGTAGCGGCAGCCGTGCTGATCCTTGCAAAGACCATAGATCTCGCCGATGAGCTCCTGCAACTTGACGTTGGAGTAACGCGAGTTGTCTGAATCCATGTTAGCAATGGGTGTAATGAGAAAGAAGGATTGAAAGATTACCATCTCCGTTAGTGTTGCGGCGTGGCTGCTGCATGACGCGGGGCTGGCTGTCGTTGTAGCGCGCGGGGCTCTGCTGCTGCTGGGAGGGCTGCTGAGGGTAACCACCGCCAAATCCGTGTTGGAAGCCGGCCATGTGACCCCATTGGCCACCGCCCTGGTTGCCAAGATACATTTGGTTGAAGCCATTGCCCAGCATGTGCATGCCATAGCCACCATAGTAGGCTCCATTGCCGTAAGTCTGCATCGAAGGAGGACTTATATGACCGTTGCTGATGCCGTTCGAGTTGTTGTTGGTGATGACGCGAGCAGGTTCGAAAGAGGGAGAGGTGACAGTAGGTCCAAAGGGTGCGGCACTAGCTTGAAGAGCAGATCTCTGAGATGGAGCTCCGCTGTTAAGTTCCTCGGGCTTGGGCTGTTCCTGAATCTGACGAGCAGGAGTGTGGAAGCCGTTCTGATGACCGTTGCCGAGGATGTTGGACTGGCGAGCAGGCGAAGCAAATTCAGGACGAGGGCTCTGAACAGCACCCGAGCTCTCAGAGAAGTTGGCAGAATTCGTACTCTTCAGGGTGGGAATGTCGTTGGTCGAGTAAGAACCCTGCAACTTGGGCACACCGTTCGAGCCGACACTCTTGGGTGAGGCCAACAGGCCAGGGCGCTTAGGCGTGGCAAGACCACTGAACTTGACTTCCATGGATCTTCTGTTGGCGGCAGTGTTTTTGCGGTGTTGATCTCGGTCAGAATACCATTGAGAGGAGACATGGGAGCATCGCCGTAACCAGACTGGCGCATTGCACTGGGAGGAAGCGACTGTCTGTTGGTGCGGGTAGTGGTGGCACGATCTTGATTGTCGATACCGTTCTGCTGGGACTTGGCCATCTCCACGGCTGCAGCAGAAGCGGAAAGCTGCATGCCCTCACCCTCACGACGAACGAGGATGGGGAACTTGTCGTCGCTGGCTTGGTACTGAAGGAACTGCTTGGCATCAGGGGATGCGGCCGGATTCTGGATACGAGTAGACTTGTGATCGTCCTCATCACCAAACAGGAAACCGGTGGTGTTGACAGATCCGAGAATGGTAGACAGTTCGGCCATCTTGACAGGCATAGAGTTGCGATTGAGGCTGAAGGTGGCTGTTGTTAGAACTGGAAAGATGAGATCGTGGAAGTGTATGGAGTATGAGATCGTGGAAGTGTTTGATGACCGGCACAGACGAAGGTGAGAGACAGATGATGAACTACCTCAAGTAGTCCAAGGTCTGTGTGAAGGGTGAAGTGGAATCTGAAGAAGGACTGAGGAAGAGGAGAGCAAGTGGATGAGTGGTTATGTAGTTGCTGGAAAGGGGCGGTGAATAGGACGCAGCGTATTGTCAAGCTTCTAATAAGACAATTGACCACGCGTATTGAAGCCAATCATTGAGATCTTGCCCGGATGTCAAGCCCGAGTGAAACGACAAAACGGGATCGAAGGGCAACGGAAAATGACAAGATAATAGCAATTGGATAAGAACATTTGAACATACTTGGCTGCAGCGCGATGATTGATGTCCGCAAGTGACAATGAAGTATCCTCCTCATCTTCGTCAGAGCCACGGCGCGAGGCAGGAACCGATCTAGATGGGATAGACGCTGAGTGGACGTGCGAAGTGACTGGTCTCGAGAATGTTGTCTGAGGGGATGCAAGCTGAGAGCCCGAACGATTGGGGCGAGCCGGGAATCCAGGAGGAGAAGCCAAACTGGCAGTGGACAAACGAGCGCTGTGGGCACGGTTGACAGAGCTGTAGTACTCGGGCGGCGTGGTGGGCTCGCTCAAATGTCCTGCAGTGAACATGGTGATATCCTGCTCCAATCTTTGATGTTCGTCGACTTCACGACGAGTCTCCGGGTCAATCATGGCCATTTGAGCCTGAATACGGCGCTGCTGGGCAAGGAGCTCCTCGTACTGACGAGCTTTTCTCTCGGACTAGGATGTGTTAGCACCCGTTGTGAGAGGAATGTAGGTTTTAGAATGTGCGAGCACAACAGCGAGGCACTGTGTTTAGAAGCAAGACGAGAGAAAGCAACAGGAACAGCAAAAATGCAGAATAAAGACTTGTCTCAAACACAGAAGGAGTGCTATGTGTCTCAGAAGGACGAAAGAAAAACAACGAAAGTCCACGATCAAAGCCCAGGACGAATTGCTCGACCAAGACACGAGACTGGCCAAGGACAAGCCGCAAGTCACGACAGCAGGGTGGACCAGGACGAAGAAGCGGAGTAGACTTACGGGAGTAATCTTGTTGAACGCCTGCAGCAAAAGTGGTATGTCAGCATATGTTCTTTGACCAAGAATATCTTCGCGACCATGCTGTCGCAAGCGTTATGCATAGCAGCAGGTCAACCAACACGGCTACTACGGCACAGTATATGTTGACACAGCTCTACACCCAAGTATATATGGTTCCTTCTCTTTCAACATGGGAATTATGAGAGATAGGCTCACCGTCATGGCGGGATCGGCAGCCTGGCGTCTCTGCTGAGCGATGGGTGATAGCGTGGGCAGCGCATTCGTGGTAAAACGACGTTGTAGACTTCCGCGACCCTCGGCAGCAGTAGCAGCCAGGCTGAGGTTCCTCAAGGGCGACAGTGGCGAGGGAAACGTCGTGGTGGATGTCGGGTAGGGCGCATCTTCTCGTGGGGACAGTTGCGGACGGTACAAGAGACCGCTGTCGGGTCGGTCTGACAGACCTTTGGAGAAGGCCATGCTGATACAAATACGAAGACTCCTACGGCGCTGGTTAACGATGCGACTCGCAGGCAGACGACAGGGCAGAGCACGCACCTATTGCTGCTACTCGAACAGGCGGTGACTTGAATGTGGGGGCACGCAGTAGGCGCTTTGGATCAAGGGGTCCAGGCAGAAGAGCAGCGAGAACAGAGAGGGCGGTGCTGTCTCGAAGCGTACATCAAAGGCAAGCCTCGCGCTCAGCAGTAGAATACAAAACCCGCACTTCCAATCATACAACACGCGCAGTAAGAATGAGCGACACGGAGAGAAAGAAGAAGCTCAAAGACTCCGAAGGCTCAGGTCCACTGCACGCTGCCAGCCAACTGTGGAGAAAGCATCAAGCCTCGCCGCCGGTTGAGTTTCACGCCGCGCTCAAGGCCCAAGCGTGCCTGTGCAGCTCCAGCAGCAACATGTCCTGCGATGCCACGACCTCGGACCATGCCACATGAGGGGCTGCTCCGAGCCATCACCATCTGCTCTTTGCCTCTTCTGCCCCCTTCATGCAGGGCACCCACCCACCAGCTTGCTGACTTGCTTTTCGCCATGCTCCGCTGCCTATCAGGAACGAGGCCGTGCGTGCTCGTTTCGTTATCGTCGTCAAGTGTTTGCTGTCTGTACATGTGCTGCATCGCGAGCCGTCTAGACTCGATCTGCTTCTTGGAGCTTCCTGTGGCCACGACTTCCTCTCAAGTGATGCAGCACATTGATCCTCGAGGCCCTCTGTTCATTAATAACTCTTACTGAATTCGGCAGGTCAGAACGCAGACATCAAAGAGCTAAGCTGTCCGTCAGAACTAAAGATTGGTTTGGCTGGGTTGGGCTCTTGATCGGCAAGCGCGATATACAGGTCAATAGTCAACTGCAATCCTTCTTGACATCGCTGGACGGTGAGTACTTGTATAGCCAATAGCAGAACCGTAGGTTGCACACCGGCTAGTTTCGTTGTCCTTATACAAGTCCAAAAAGGCTTTTGAAAGCTACTTGACAAGTAAGCGGACTTGCTTCCAGGTGATTGGTGAGACCCTGTCCGGGAGTCTTTCGGATGCTTTGCCGAGAGAGCTGGCTCCCGTCTTCCGTCCTGGCAGCTTTGACCCGAGAAGAATCTAGAGAAGACAACCCTCCAAAACATTCTTCTGAAAGGCGCGTACTGCTGTGAAATAACCCTCGTATCTTCTGAAAAAGAAGAATACTGTACATTCGAGGCGCTGCGAGTGACAAAGCCATACATAGCGCCGCAGTAGCGCAGTCACCGCGTTCCTGACAGTGGCGCATACAACTTTTTGACCCCGCCACTTTTTTTCCGTGACTGGTCTATCGCATCGAAAGCTTTGCATCCGCCAAGTGAGCACGTCGTGCTTTGGCGAGAGCATACTAGGCTCCGTGATCATCTCTTTGCGGTCGGCGCATTAGGTCTTGACGTTAACGGCGAAAATGCCTCCCAAGGCTCGCGTTGCTGCGCCCAAGGTAACATCATACCAAGATCTAGCTATTCTATCGATTCAAAGCTGACGATCTGCAGGCTCAGACGAGAAAGGTATCGGCTGCGGCAAACATTACACCAGCTACTCCTGATGTAAACTCGCAACCACAGGCGCCTGTAGACGGAGATACTCAGGATGTCTCAACTATGCCACCGCCAGCGAGAAAGAGGCGGCATTCTCATTCGACTGATCCTGTAAGGATGTTTTCTATCGGTCTGATTGGAAAATACTGACCTTGTGCAGNNTCCGATACGCTCCTCGAACCTTTCTACTATGGTAAAGGCTTGACCGATCCCATCAACACTGCAAGGGTGAGTTGTTCTATGATTTCAAAGCCTCGACGTGATGAGAGCTGACGCGAGCAGGACAAATGGAATCTCCTACCAGCTTTTCTCAAAGTCAAGGGTCTGGTGAAACAACATATCGACTCCTACAACTTCTTTGTCGACACCGAGCTCAAGACAATCCTCCGTGCCAACGCTACAGTCCACAGTGATGTGGACCCTAACATGTTCATCAGATACACGGACATCCGAATTGGCAAGCCAGAACGTGTCGAGGATCGCCATAGCACTGTGCCTGGTCTCTCTGGTCCTGGTATCACCCCTAACGAATGTCGTCTTCGTGACTTGACATACTCGGCTCCTATCTACGTCAACTTCGAATCTAGATCGCAGAGTGGTCTCAAGATGGAACGTAACGTGTACATTGGCAGAATGCCTGTCATGCTTCGGAGTAACAAGTGTGTCTTGTCTGGCCGTTCAGAGAAGGAAATGGGTCTCCTCAACGAGTGCGCAGTCGATCCCGGCGGCTACTTTGTTGTCCGTGGTCAGGAAAAAGTCATTCTGGTCCAGGAACAGTTGAGCAAGAACCGTGTCATTGTGGAAATGTTCAAGGGAATCATCCAGGCCTCAGTCACCAGTCACACTGCCAACGTCAAGACCAAGACGTATGTTTTGCTCAAAAAGGGACTGATCGTTCTCAAGCACAACTCTCTTACTGAAGATATTCCTGTCGCGATTGCTCTAAGAGCTATGGGTGTTCAATCAGACCACGAGATCATGCTTCTGGTTGCTGGCGACGATGCCGTATATCAAGATGAGTTCTCCGTCAACCTTGAGGAGGCCGCGCGCTCAGGAGTGTCCACACAAGAACAAGCTCTGGAATATGTTGGAGCTCGTTTACGACCCGAGAGATTCGGTCAATACGGTGTGCCTAAGAAGACTAACAAGCAAAATGCCGTTGAGAAGTTGTCTAACACGATCATTCCCCACGTTGGTGTCACCGCTATGAACTTCCGACCAAAGGCTCTCTACATTGCATTTATGGTCCGCAGAGTGCTCATGTGTATGCACGATCCAAAGTTGATTGATGACCGAGACTACCTCGGTAACAAGCGTTTGGAATTATCAGGATCGATGATGGCCCTGCTGTTTGAAGATCTGTTCAAGGACTTCAACAAGCTCATCAAGCAAAGCTGGGATAAGGTTCTGAGGAAACCAAACAGGACTCGTGCCTTCAATCCGGCAGATTACATTACTATGCACGAATCTCGCATTACGCAAGGTCTAGAACGTGCAATCTCAACTGGTAACTGGACTCTGAAGCGTTTCCGTATGGACAGAGCTGGTGTCACCCACGTTCTGAGTCGCTTGAGTTTCATCGCTGCTCTTGGTATGATGACCAGAATTTCATCTCAGTTCGAGAAGACTAGAAAGGTATCTGGTCCTCGTGCGCTTCAACCATCTCAATTCGGCATGCTTTGCACTTCAGATACTCCTGAAGGCGAGGCTTGTGGTCTGGTCAAGAACTTGGCACTGATGACACATATCACTACCATGGACGAAGAAGATCCTGTGCGCAAGATGATTTTCGTGCTTGGTGCTGAGGACGTAACATCTGCAAGCGGTACTGAACTTTATGCTGACGGAGCCTACATCATCTTCCTCAACGGTACACCTGTGGCCTTGACTCGCGAACCCAAGCGATTTCTCATTGCTTTCCGCAGATTCCGCCGCATGGGAAGAATCTCTGAATTTGTCAGCATCTATATCAACCACCACCACAACGGTGTGCATATCGCAACCGATGAAGGTCGCATTGTCAGACCGCTCATCATTGTCGAGAAGGGCAAATCAAAGGTGACAACACGCTACCTTGAGTCCCTCCGTAAGGGCACGCTAGAGTTCGACGACTTCCTCTCTCGTGGACTGGTGGAATATCTCGACGTCAACGAAGAAAACGACTGTAACATTGCAGTCTACGAACACGACATCAACCAACACACCACACATCTCGAAATCGAGCCTTTTACCATTTTAGGTGCTGTCGCCGGTCTCATTCCCTACCCCCACCACAACCAATCTCCTCGTAACACCTATCAATGCGCTATGGGTAAACAAGCCATCGGTGCTATCGCGTACAACCAGCTCACTCGTATCGACACTCTTCTTTACCTCATGGTCTACCCGCAAAAGCCCATGGTCAAGAGCAGGACAATCGAGCTTATCAAATATGACAAGCTTCCTGCAGGTCAGAATGCCATGGTTGCTGTCATGTCATACTCTGGTTACGATATCGAGGATGCTCTGGTCCTGAACAAGGCTTCTTGCGATCGTGGTTTTGGACGTTGTCAAGTCTTCAAGAAGGTTAGCATGCCATTGAAGCAATACCAGAATGGTCAGACCGATCGTATCGGCGACCGCGACCCTTCCAACCCTCGCCACAAGAAGATCGGCAACGACGGTCTCGTCGAAGTCGGCGCCGAGATGGAAGCGGGCGAGTGCTACATGCTCAAGGAGACGCCTGTCAATCAAGGCATGAACACGCAAAACGCCGGCTGGGCACCCCAGCACATGTCATACAAACTTCCCGACCCAGCCTACGCCGACAAAGTCATGATCAGCGCAAACGAATCAAACACCCCCATCATCAAAATCCAAACACGCCAGACCCGCCGTCCTGAAATCGGAGACAAGTTCTCGTCTCGTCACGGACAGAAAGGTGTCACTGGCCTTCTCGCCGAACAGACAGATATGCCCTTCAATGACATGGGTATCTGTCCAGACATCATCATGAACCCCCACGGTTTTCCTAGTCGTATGACCGTGGGCAAAATGTTGGAACTGCTGTCCGGAAAAGCAGGCATCTTGCGCGGTGGCCACGAATACGGTACTGCATTCGGCGGCTCCAAAGTCGAAGACATGGGCGATATCTTGATTTCCCATGGCTTCAGCTACTCGGGTAAAGATCACCTTACCTCTGGTATCACTGGCGAGTCTCTACCTGCATATGTCTTTATGGGCCCCATCTACTACCAGAAACTCAAGCATATGGTGCAAGACAAGATGCACTCTCGTGCCACTGGTCCCCGCGCCATTCTCACCCGCCAACCCACCGAAGGTCGTTCCCGCCAAGGAGGTCTGCGCTTGGGAGAAATGGAACGTGATTGCTTGATTGCGTACGGAGCTTCCCAGTTGCTGCTGGAACGTCTCATGTTGAGCTCCGATGCCCATGAGGTTGATGTCTGCGAGACTTGCGGTATGATGGGATACCAGAATTGGTGTCAGAGTTGCGAGAGCTCGAGGGGTGTTGTGAGGATGACGCTGCCGTATGCGGCCAAATTGCTCATTCAGGAGTTGTTGAGTATGAACGTGAAGGCTGCGCTCAAGTTGACGGATGAGTTCCCTAGGGAGGAGTAGTGATTGAGATGGAGATATGGAGATTTGTAGATTAGATGAAGAGTGGAGGAAGGAGAAAAAGGAGAGAGCATAGCATGGGTTCTTGTTTCTTGCTCTACTTGGTATGCAACTGATGTATTATTGATTTCTTGTTGCTTTCTCAAGACCTTGTATCTATATTCATTTGCAAAAGTCTGTCGCTGTACATGACCATTTATTCGGGTGGACACATCCCAAAGAGAGCAAGGAGATGAGTATATTTACTGAGTGGTTGTTCAGTCTTCTCCGAACGAACCTGCGCATTAGAACTTCCTCGTTGTTGCATGCTGTTGTATAAGTAAGACTCCATGCGTAGCACATGGAAGGAAAGAGCATTCATGCTGCACATCTCCGCACAAATCCCCACGCCAAGACCGTATCATACATAATTTATGCAGGCTTCACCAGCCGCAAAAATTCAACATCAAAAACCGTATCTCACCAGAACAACCACGAACAAAAGAGATACTCGGTGTGGAGTAATCTGTAGATGATCAGCAAAACGAATGCCCCCTGACGGAGTCGAACCGGCGACCTCGGCATGATCTAGAGCGATACTAGTGCCGCGCTCTACCAACTGAGCTAAAGGGGCTTGATGGTATGGGTATCCAACGTATGCTATATGATCCTCAGCTACATCGTCTCAGCAGCACACCTTGCCAAATTGGCCGGCGCTTAATCTCCACCCCGCACGCTTACAGTCAGGTAAATAGGACCCCGAGTCTGCTCTCCAACCGAGCTACTCATATCTTTTCACTTTCGGTTGCATCTTACAACCTAGAAATGGCTGTGCCTGACTCCGTGAACCTGCGTAACCTCGCAGGGACATATAATCNNTTGTGAGTACTGTTTCTGACTTCCTTAAAACCACATACCAGATAAATATCATAGTGAGTATACGCTAACGTCAACCAGAACAAGAGTCTGTCAGATTCAACCGACGCTGCTCTACAGATGGTAACGAACGCTCTCGTGCATTGCTGCGCTCTCAGTCTCTCATCGTCATCTGTTGTGTAGCAAGGCATAGGCTGGCTCGTGCGTCAAGCTGTCAAATTCTCGAATGTCACACTCCACGTCAAGCAGGTACAACAAACAGCAATGGCCTGACACACGCAGTAACTAACGGAATGACAGTTTGTTGATGAGGACGGCCTCATGCACATAGACAACGAACAGATCACCACCGGAAACATTCGCAACCTTGAGGAACGTATAGTGGATTACCAGTGGCGTGAAAAGGATGACAGGATCTTTGGCAAAGTCAACGGCCGCTCGCGTTACGTCAAGTTGGATGAAGTCGAGACTGAGTACCTCAAGCAAGGGTGGGATGAGCAGTTTCTGGCCCAAGGGAACTGTGAAGTTGTCCAAGTCTTTGTGAATAGTGTAGGCAAGAAGCCAAATTGGGAAGCAGAACAGGTCTGGGGATTTGAAGTCGTGGACGGTCAGAAGCATCACACGAGACGTATCATCGTCAGAAAGGGCAAGGAAGAGCATAGAATTCGGTTGGTCTACGACTGGGTTGCAGAAAAGGACGAAGACGCGGATCTGGCTTATTAAGCTGATACACCATCTTCTCAATGTCAAGCGCGAAGCATCTCCTCTATCGTCTCTTCGACAGGCTTTGGCTTCTGGCCCTTGGTGGCCAAGAGTTGCTCCAATGTCGGGTCGTTGATCAGGCATTCTTGGTCCCCCAGAGCGTCATAGGTTGCGGCCCACCATTTAGCAGCAGGCTCCGAGAGTCCTATGTCTCGAACGTAATAGCTCTCAAGCTCTTCCCGTGAGACAATCTTTGTTGAAACTTGCTTGGACCTTACTGCAGAGACCTTTCTGAGGACTTGGTTGATGGTTCTGGCGCCTTGAGTAGCGGAAAGGTAGAAGGTTTTGGCAGCGTATTCGGATGAGGGTGCAACAATGACCAGAGCACTAGCGAGGCCGAGATCAGAGATGGCAGTCCAGCTAATGGGAGAATCGCCGGCGACAGGCACTTCGGGTCTCTTATCGTTCTTGAGATCGTAGTAGCTTGCATAGAGCGGCCAACTCTCATTGTATAGACCCTCACGTAGGACAGTGTAGTTGATGTTTTGTAGGTTTGCAAGATAGGCCTCTGTACGGATATGGGCCTGCATGACGCGAGACTTGGATGGGTTCTGGAAAGCCAGAGAGCTGTAATAGATGTGCTTGACGCCGGCAGCTTGGGCAGCATCAATGGCAGTAAAGTGATGCTTCTCGCGACCCTCGCCATGAGGAGCGTCATTGTAGTCCATGTCGATCTTTGGTGTAGAGACGAGGAAGAACTTGTCGCATCCGGAAAGGGCGTCTTGGAGAGAAGCCTTGTCGTCAAATGAGGCGTGACGGACCTGCACACGCTGCTGCTCCAGCGAGGACCAAGTATCACTGCCAGGTTTAGATGAGGTACAGCATACTATCTGATCTTTCGGAAGGAGGTTGTGAGCAAGGAGGGCTTTCAGTGTAGCGCCGCCGAGCTTGCCAGAAGCTCCGATGATGGCCAACATGGTTGCAAGTGGATTGAATTGTGGAGAGTGGTTCAGGGAATCAGCTGGGATTGAGATGGGAGTTGGATGGGTTCTTCAGGGAGTGAATAGATGCAGGCGGGTGGGGCTGGACATTTGTCATCACAGGCATTACAAGAATGACGGCACTTGGTTGACAAGCAGAGTGGAAGCTGGGTGAAGGCAGTGGTCAATGTGGCATGCATCACAATGTAGTGAGAGCAGTCTCGGCGTGTGGTGGAAAGTGCCCCGCCAACACGCCTCGGTTTGGTCGTCGGATTCGCGTGCCTCGAAGCTGCTTCCAGTCGCTTTGGTGTTTGTCACCTTCTCGTTTCTCCACTCACAACCTCAGCTTGCATTCATCGACCAGAGAGACGCGCATCTGGATCTCGAACGACTTGCGACAGCGACTGGACCAATCAGGCAGCCCCGCGAGCGGTCGCGCAACCACACATCATGGCAACCATGGAAGCAAAAGACATTGAAGAGCGCGGTAAACAGCTGGCCAAGGCAGCATCGGGCGGCGACCCTCCAGCAACCCTGCTAGCCCTTCTGGACGGTCTCAAGGCATGGACAGCGACCGAGAAGCTGCTGCGCCAGACAAAGATTGGTGTGCACGTCAACAAGCTGCGCCAGAACAGCGATGCCCAAGTAGCCCGCACCGCCGCCACCCTGGTCAACAAGTGGAAGACGGACGTCAAGAGGTCTCCTGCCACAGCTGCCTCGAGCGGCACAAACTCGCCTGCTCCTGCAAAATCCTCGCCCGCTCCCGCTGCCAACAAGCCAAAGTCTGAACCTCATGGCGATCCTGAAAAGCGCAACAGTGTGTCGGACAAGGTCGACTGTGGAGTCACTGGGAACCAGACTCGCGACGCCTGCATCAAGCTGATGTACGATGGCTTGGCCTTCATGTCGTCTGATGGTATCCACCGCCGCCCACCGACTCTCTTGATCCTGTGACTAACTCTCATGCCTCGGTAGNCTTCACAGGACATTCTGGCTGTTGCTCGTTCCGTCGAGCTTGCTGCTTACAACGCCTACCAACCCGAGGGCAGCCCCGAATACCGCCAGCGCATACGATCACTCTACCAAAATCTTAAAAACAAGGGCAATCCAAAGCTCCGTAGTCAGGTGCTGTCTGGCTTCATCAAGCCCGATCGCTTTGTGCGCATGACCCACCAGGAATTGAAGAGCGACGAACAGCGTGCCGAGGACGAGAGACTGCAAAAGGAAAACATGGACAAGGCCATGGTCGCCCAGGCAGAGAGGAGTATCAGTGCCAGCTTGACCTGCGGCAAGTGCGGTCAGAAGAAGGTCAGTTACAGCCAGGCCCAGACCAGATCTGCCGATGAACCTATGACTACATTTTGCGAATGTACGGTGTGTGGTAATAGGTGGAAGTTTTCTTGAAGTTCTCTTAAGAATAGCATGGGGTGTTCTGAGATTCCCTTGAAAGTGATCTGCGGTATGGGCAGTCGCTTTCCACAAATTTTGGTGTATCGCTCCTTCCCTCCTTGATGACTTACGAAATGAAAGCTAAACACACTTCGGTCTGTTAGAATAGAATTGTGTGCGGAAACAGATGGAAGTTTTCTTAAGAATACTGTGTGCGGCCAGGGATAATTCGTAAGGGTGGGGCAGGGTGTCTCTAGCACCTAGAAACCGGGAATCTTCAAGCTACGATATCATAACAAGTATTGTTTCTCTTCTCCTCTTCTTCTTCTTCTCATACCATCTTACATGCCTCTCTCTCCCACCGATGGCATTGCGCACACCCACGCCTGTAGTCGCTTCTCCGTATCCCCTTTTCCGTCTCGGGATCTTCTATCAGATTTCTTCTATCGCTTACCCAAGAGGGGAGCGCATTGTTGAAAGTATATGAGGTAGTGACTTGAAGGTTGATTGGTCTACATAGTATAAAGCTGTCTCTATATAGATCATAGGAACAGGGTTGCTCCCTTAGTAATGGCTGATTTTAAACACGCATGTGGAGCACGGCGTTCAACAAGTCAAGCAGCTATGGCCTAAGTTGCTCCGTTATAGTTTGTTAGCAGTGTCTGTTTAACAGCTCCTCCGAACAGGTCGATTAGTTTTGAGAAACACTCCCGGAATTGCTATTCTTATGAGCTTCAAGTGGTGATTAGCCAGTGCCGCAATGTACACGAGATCAAAACGAATTCCATCCAATTCCTGTTTATCCCTGACTTTGGAATCACAGCGCACAATGGCGTTCCGTGTCATTGAATCGATCTATGCTTCGAAGACTGGTATGCTTTCTGTCGTTCTCTAAGAGCATCTAGGTTGGAAGTGCTCAAACACACAGTGGGACTGCAATGAGCCGTCACAGACAATCAATCTGCTCTCGACTATGCATGTCGTATCTTACAAATTCCGCATGCTGGGTACAGTGCCTAGGCACAGAGTATGTCTATCAGCTTGCATGTCTTTAATCACACTAGTACTTCAAAAGGAGCCTAGCTGCCCGTCGTCCTGCACGAGCTTGAATGTCGGAGGCCAAAAATCGCCAGCCCAGAGAATCCCGTGATATCTGGCTGAGGCTAGCCTGATTGAGGACATCAGCTTCTCGTATCGCGCTTGCGAAAGCTGGCTGAGCTGAGTTACCTATTAGCTACGTACCCCTCTCAGCTACGCATTTCGCGATTTCCACGCTTAATCAACACAACCACTTCTTCTCTAACCCAACTAACGACCACGTCGTCGCAATGGATTAACACAAGATAACTTTTCAACTAGTCATTAACAATTTTAACGATAGTGTGTTTTTAAGAATCCGCGCGACTACGCGCGCGCATGGTATCTCTAAATCGATCTTTCGGTCGCGTCTCGCCAGCACAACAAATCGACGAACGGCATACTGATACCGTGAGAGATTGCCGATTTGACAAGAGGAGTTCCTTATCACATAGGTACTCGAATAGGATTTATAAGGCTTTGCCCCCTTGCACGCTCGTTGTCGTAAAATAGCCGGCTAGATTCTAGCGATGAATGGCGATACCTAGCTACTCAAAAAGAGACTTGTTATAACACTTATGCAGACCATCTACGTATGGCCTTTGTTATTAGAAGGCCTATCGATTAAGATCGTATCAATGGAACACACCTCAAAGTGATATAAGAGGTCTACACCGCGTATAGAGACATCGTCCGCTACTACAATATTTAGCCATATACCACATGGAAATCGGGTAAACATAGCATTGCTTTAGGTATATATAGTAACTTATATGTACTTAGATCGTTATAGAAGAGGCGCTTATACGTCAAATTACTAGAATTATGCAAATGGGTCTTAGTTACTACAGTTAAGTGTCTTCTCGGTGTATTTATCCGTTATATGATTATGTATCATAACCTCTTAATCTCGGTGTTTCTGCGCCTTTAAAAAATTAAGATATTAGTCTTAAATTGCAGCCTAAACTTCGCTAGATGATGCCTTACCTTTTAAAAAGCAACGCTTTGTTACCTACTATAATTTTTAGCTTAAATAGAGACAATCACACCTTGCTTGTTGTGTATAGGCTAGTAAGTAGCAGGCCTCTATCCACCAGATACGACGCTTCTGCTGCTGCGCGTTTAGTCGCTTAATAGAGCTTCGGATCGCTACAATCTAAGTGGCAGTTATCTAGATGATTATTGATGTAGATATAACGAATGCAATTGAAGCCTCTTAGCTGCTGCGCGTTGTGCAGCTGCGCGGCTAAGAGGGTGCGCAGCTAATAGGTAACTTGTCTTACATGAGAATCATAATTGCGGAAAACATGCAATATGTTTCTTTTTCAAGGAATGTGAATGCGTGAGAACACTGGATCGATGACTGTTTGCAGGTAGCGCAGCGCTGAATTAAGGACTCTAGTCAAGCATGTATATAATAATAATCATTGGTTCCTCATCTGTTTCTAGATGCCAACTCAGTCAATTGGTGCATATCGTCCAGACAATCGCAAGATCACACAAGCCTCCGATAATTGCTAAAATAGTGTCAGTTCCATCCCAATCTATCATTGTATTTCTATTAACGTGGCCTATACACATAGGACACACAAATCGATATTATGTCATCTCTCCAGTACTTCAACGAAAAAGGTGCTGGCCAAAAGTTCAGCGATGAGTGTCACTACTCCCAGGCTGTTGTGGTCGGAGATGTTGTCAAATGCTCAGGACAAGGTGGTTGGGACGAGGAAGGGAGTCTGGACGGCGACGATTGGCAAGGACAGATCGACTATGCTTTTGCCAACGTCGATCGCGTTCTCCAAGCAGCCGGACTTCGTGGCTGGGAAGACGTCTACCTCATTCGAAGCTACATGACGGACATTACCATGCACTTCGACTACTTCGTGCAGAAGCTCAAGACTCGCATCCCTGGACACCGTCCCATCTGGACTGCTCTGGGTGTTCCAAAGCTTGCATTCCCTACCATGTTGGTCGAGATCGAGGTTGAAGCATACCGAGGCAAGCAGTGAGTGGTGTTTCGGGTCTTTTGGAATGACCGACCGATGACGATGTTCTGAATCTCCAAGTCTCCAACTTCTCCAAATCTTACTCCAAAGTTACGCTTTTACATTTGTTGGCATTTGTGACCCGCCCATCAGTAATAAGACTTGTAGAGATCAAGATGAGCTACGATGCGTGCAGGTAATGGAGATCCTGGTAAGAGCTTCGGATGCACGTTCTGCGACAGAAAATTCGCCCGACTTGAACATCTCCAACGCCATATCCGAACTCGTAAGCATGCTATCAGAACTCGAAATCCACTATAGTCATCTCTGACTGTAAACTGGAAGACANCCAAGGAGAAACCGTTCGCATGCTCTTGTGGTCGCTCTTTTACACGGGTCGATCTTCTGAAACGACACAATCGACTGTCGCATGCTGGACGACCTTCGTTGCCGACTACACCTACACTCACACCTACGCAGCAGGACAATGAGAACGAGCCAGAAAACTACGAGAACTTCCGACGATCGAGACAGTCCTCTACATGCCCCGTTCACCGCGAAGCACGCTCAGAGACAGCTCAGATCGCCGGACAAAACACCTCTCCGTCCGATGTCACGGTGGAATCCGGCCACAGATACGATCCAGCTTATTTTCCAAACTCTGATATCGAACCTATCCAGTCCCAACCGTTGGCCGTAAACCATCTAAGTCTGCTAAATCCCACGTCCGTGCCGCAGTACTTTCAGCATGATTTGTATGATCCTCTGCAGGACTTTACAAACTTCATCGACAATGTAGGATTGACTCTAGACTCCAATGGTTCAAACATATTAAATCTACCTTTCGGCTCAGATTTGATGGGTTACAACACACATCTACTCAACTCTGGCAATGGAGGTATAGCTGCAGACAATATAGCCACAGCCACCACAGTCACCCCTCCACCGGTTGAGATTGCGATGCCCGATGCTCTTGCTCCATCGATAGCAGGAGCCAACCACCCAGGTTCGAGGATAGTGAGCCACTATAAGACTATTTTCTCTCACGATTNNCCAGAGATCATCAGCAACCCCTGCCCACCACAACCATTCTGGACTATAACTCCGGCTCGGAGGAAGGTCTTTGGACACACGCTAGAGCCTTTCGACGCCGTCCTCTCTGGGTTCACTCTGCCATCTGACTATACTCTCTCACGATATTACAAAAGCTTTGTGGAGCAGTTCCATAAGCACTACCCTCTTGTGCATACACCGACTCTACGCATCGAACAATCCCCTCCAGAGCTAGGGCTTATCATTGCTGCTATTGGAGCACAGTATCGTTTTGAATTCAGGAACGGAATGGCACTTTACAAGGCCTCTAAAGTGATCACATTTGAGCGATTGAGGTCACTTGAACAAGAGCATGTCTCGAACGATTCTTCTTCCCATCGAGCAGAGATGACCCAGCAATCACAACGTACTGACATGATTCGAACATTGGTCATGTTGATTGCCTTCTCGTCGTGGGATTGGGAATCCGACCTGTTACGCGATGCATTTGGATTACAAAGTATCCTTGCACGCTGTTTGCGTGAGGACAGTATGCAAGAAAAGTTCGGAGCGAGCAGCGAAGATTGGCACGACTGGATCATCATCGAGGGCGTCCGGCGTGCCAAGATGATCGCCTTCACTTACTTCAATGTACAGACAATGGCCTACAACCTTCCGCCCGTCATGCTCAACAGCGAGGTCGAGCTTGGACTGCCCTGCTCGACTGCGGAATGGGATGCGTCCGATGCTAAAGAGTGGCAAATCATCCGGGATCGTCTACAGCATCCCAAGATCGGGTTCCAAGATGCCATCAACATGCTTCTAGACAAGGACCACACTCCGGAAAATCAGCATTTGCTTTCACACTTGTCGCCTCTGGCAAATTTCATTCTATTACAGGCTCTGATACAAAGAACATGTCTCATTCGTCAACCGAGTATTACCAAGGACGCCACTCTTCGTGAGGCTGATTTGGAAGAGATGGAGTAAGTCCGTTTATGCGCATCTGTTTACCACGGTGTATTTTTTTCTCTCTTCTTGTGTCGAGGTAGATAGCACAGTGGCTGATATGATTTTCCCAGGGGTGCGCTACAGAGGTGGAAAAACGTCTGGCAACGAGCACCAGGCTCGACTCTCGACCCTCAGAATCCCGATGGGCCGCTCCCCTTTACTTCTGTTGCATTCTTCTCACTCGCCTCTGTCCGCATGCACTTGGACCTTGGTAAACATCGAAGACTTGATGCACGCGACCCGGCTCAAATTGCTGCAGCGCTGTTTAACACTCCGCCCCTGATTCGCAGCCCTCGTCTGACCTCAACGTTATTGCATGTAACACATGCGCTCAGCCTACCTGTCAACATGGGTGTCGAGTACGTTTCACGCAGCCAAATGTTCTTCTGGAGTTGTCAGCATTCTCTCTGTGGTCTAGAATGCGCGGTCTTCTTGTGCAAATGGTTACAGGCCGTGTCCACTACTTTGGAGGATGAGTCACTTACAGGTATCAATCCTGTATCCATTAATCCTGACACAAGTATGCAAGCTAATCCGCATANNGCTCATGAAACCACCATTCTGGACTGGGTGCGTATGCTCGTTAAGGAGACTCGTGAGTCAATCGACCTAGAAGAGCTGGGAGTTACGTCTCAAGTGGAGGTGTCTGCCTTGGACCCTTCTCAATTATGCACGATCGTATTGCGAATCTGGGCTCGGGTTTTTGGCGGGAATACCATGTGGGCTATCATAAGTCAGATCGGGTCTGCTCTGAAGCAACTGGCCGAAATGATTGAAGCTCAGAGTCGAGGAATAGACTAGTGGCTTATGGTTGGTGCGTATTGTTGATGTGTCGATACCTGACTTATCACAATAGTACGAGGAAAGACATTTGTAACGCTCCGTGGTCGAGAAACAAAGATGTCAGAGCATATGAAAGGTTATTATTATGTCAGCACCAACTTGTCCACGGCAGTGGAGGGAGTGGAGGGATTTGCTAGAGATAAAGTTACAGATGAATTGGAGTAAATACAGGACAGGGTGACCCCGACGTGCTGCGCGCGACTAAATATCGTCATCCAGCCGAAGCTTCTACTTCTGCTACACACCAACCACAAACCAGAAACATGACAGACAATCAGCTACTAGACCTTGCTACTCCCCCCGGCATGTATCGCAGGTGAGTGGGTTCTGATACCGATGATGCAGACGAGCAGAGAACTAACTAGGTCAAAGACTTCTGCTTGATACCGCTCGGCACACCTACCGCGTCCGTGTCCAAAGAGGTCTCGCAGGTGCAGCGACTGCTCAAGAAGAGCGGCCTTGTGTACCATATGCACTCTGCTGGAACAACAGTTGGTAAGCCGTGTTCGTCTTATCCAAAACATGTACATCCCGAGAGCTGAGAAGTGTGAAACGCAGAGGGCCCCTGGGATGACGTTATGCGTGTGATTGGTCAGGCCCACTCGTTGCTACACGAGAATGGTGTTGTCAGGATCCAAAGCGATATCAGAGTTGGATCGAGAACAGACAAGACGCAGACGGCCGAGGACAAGGTTGCTGCAGTCAGGGCTATCTTGGACAAGGATGAACAGGCCTAGATATCACGATACAACCCAATCACTACAGGATTGAGGCTTAAATGTTGGAAGAAAAATACCATAGGACTTGCTACCAAGAACTCAAACGGAAAGCTTTTAATACACACTGGCTGTGAATCGTGTGAACCGACCAACATCGCGAAACAAAATGTCGTAAAACCATGAACCAATAACACTCCGGTACTCCACGCTTCGTCATACTAAAAATACAGTTGGCTTCTGATGAATGTTCAGAGAGCGAAAAATGAAAATGATCATGCAGCGTAAGCTGGNGGTGGGTGCTCAGGCTCCTCGGATTGGTGCCAAAAGCCACCGCCTGTAGCCTTTTCTTCTTGAACGCGTCGAGTCACCTCGGCAGCCATCTTCATCATCCAGGCTTGCTCTAGGATGCCACCAGTAGAGCCCTCAGAGTTGAAGCGTAGACGTGAGGCGGACGAGGAGCGGGTCACGGGGTCCACCTTCTTGTCTTTAAATACAGGTTGGGTCTGGACGGTAGATAAGGCAGGACGTTGAGGTTTAGGTGTCGTTGTCGGAGTTTGATTTCCGGAAGTCGGCCTCGAATGCTCCTGTGAGGCGGAGAATCTGACGTTTGACGCCGGTGCCTTNTGCGCAGCCTCAAGTTCAGCTTTTGGAACTCGGCGGGGCGATTGGGGAGGTTCAGTGAGCGTGATGCTAGGGGCGGGGGCCTCTTCGCTGACATTGGTCATGACACTGTCAGCATCGGTGAGGTTCTCCTCCGGGGCAGTCTTGCGCAGATTGACAACCCTGTTCTTTCTCTTCTTGGCTGCATGCGCTCTTGATCTGCTAGTTCCCATGGAGTAGACGGTTGAAGACGTAGAGTGACTAGCCAGAGAAGGTCTACTAGAGTGTGTCGGAGCATCCGATACATCAGATGATGCCGAAGACCATGACTTGGGTGTGCCGATGGACGAGTGTATCCGAGACAAGGGGTTTGGACGGGCGAGTGGCGTCGCAACCGTGGAGGAGTCTTGAGAGTCTTTGGAGCTGGCCCAAGCACGAAAAACGGTGTCACGGATGGCAGGAGTAAAGAGGGAGAGGGTTTGTTGTGACTCGCTCAGGGCAGCAAGGCGGAGGAGATTCTTCTGGGAGAAAGAGGCGTATGTCTCGGAAGACGAGTCCAGAGAGAAGGGGGAGGGATCGAAGCCGTCATCGACAGGATCCTGTGGAGGGCTTGCTAGAGGGTCGATAGGCCGCTCTGAAGCATGCACAGGCTCCTTGGATTCGTCATCTTGAGCTTGTCGGTACTCGGGGACGAAGGCTCGCAAGGAGAGACGGTGGATGATGGCAGGGAGGTCGTCCATGAACAAGACACGCAGTTGAGCCTCGATCTCTTTTTGTAGGTAGTTGCGGACGAAAGGGATGGAGTCGAACGTGGACGAGACCTTGAGAGACTCGAGAGGATCGTTGCGGAAGACGAGAGTGATGCCCTTTTGACGCGAGAAGACCAGGATGACGAAGCCCGATAGGCGGATGTCGGAGAGGGTGATCTGGATGGGGATGGTAAGGCCCGAGGCAGCGGCCAAGGGCTGGGGAGAGGCAAAGGCGGGCTTGGTCGACAGCGAGGTGTTGAGAGGATTTGCCTGGACGCGGGTCTTGAGGGTGAGATAGGCGTCGCCGGCGTAGGACATTTTGAAGATGCCGCGGAAGCGGTCTTCGGCCAGGTCGCCAATCTCGAGGATCTCGAGCTCGGGCGGGACGGAGCCCAGANNGTTCAGCTCGTTGACGATGATGTCGTCAACGATGATGGGCGGCTTCGGAGACTTGTTCAGGGCGGCGGTGAGCATGTCGCGGGCGCGCGACGTGTCGCCGATGAGCGGAGACCAGTTGAAGTTGAAGGCCATGTTAGTGCAAGGTCGTGGTCGCGTGCCGGCGCATCGAAGGGCAGGGCAGGGATGCAAATGGCGGAAGGAGGCTGCGGGTGTGTCGTGGGCGCCGGGGGTGAGGAGAGGTGGTATATGGCAGAGCGCAGAGGGGATGGATGCAGATGGTGATGGCGGTACAGGCTTGTTTACGCTTGCAGGTCGAGTGATGATGATGAAAAGTGCAGGCAGGTCCAACGGGCGGTTTCAAGATTTGCTCCGAGAGTTGCAACCCCAGGAACTGCAACCCAGGGAACCGCTGCCGTCTTGTTGCTTGGAGCTTTCGTCATAGTTCCTTGAACCCATTCTGTTGTTTTGCTCCATTCAAGCACTTTCTATATCATCTAGTAAAAATGCACCTGTCTGTCGATCTAGCCACTGGCGACAGAAATTGTACATAGACCTGCATGACTGCTTAGTACCCTGTACTCAGTACTGTGCCCATGAGCCCACAAAGAGGAAGTTACTGTAAATTCAGCTGGCGCTCCACCGGCAGTCGCGCAATAACGCACGCATGTGAAAGGCGTGCCATAGCATCCCACGACATGGATTGTCTCATGACTTGGGCCTGCTGCTCTAAAGGTCTCGTGCTAGGTATCCGTAGAGGTTTCGGTAATTGGCGTCAGCGAAAACCGATGCCCCGTGTGTAAAAATGCGGAGAAGGACAGGAGCACTCCAGGACCACCAATTCAAGCTCTCTCTAACCACCTGATTGTGACACTCCAACCCATTTGACACCCATCACTCCACATCACACGCACTTAAACATGCTGGACGAACGCGAGCTGGCCATCAACCCTGTCGTGCAGGAGAGCATGATGCACAATGCCAGGGTAATACACCTCGCACCTCCCAACCTCCGACCGCTTCGGCTAACCCATAGCAGANCTGTCTCCAACATCCGTTCCCTGACTGCCTCCCTCTTTGGTGTTGCTGCCGGTACCCTTGGCCTCGAGTCCTTCCCCGGCTTCCTGTTCTACGCCCTGGGCTCCCTAGTCGTCTCTCTGCTCATCTTCTCCCTTCGCGCCGACGTCCAAGCCAAATCCTACTTCCACTCGCCCATCGCCGACTTGTGGATCGGTGACCTGTTTGGAGGTCTGATGAGCTTTGTCCTTACCTGGACTCTCTTCTATGGTCTCGTACGCGCATGATCTCCCCGTCATACTGCATCGCCCAATTCTCCACGACTCCTCCAAGGCCATGGGCGACAGTCTATACCTTTACTAGAGAGTCAACCCTCTACCAGACAACACGACCCAAGTGTCCGGCCTCGCTCGCCATACACTCTTGGTCATGAAGCAATGGCTGTCTTCCTGCAACACACTCGCTCAGCTAGAGCAATCCCCGAGATCGGGCTTTGCATTACGTTTAATGACGGGATCTATGTCAACGCATGCGGTCGTCGTCATCGTACAGTGCAGCAGAGACGCCTGACTGTTCAAAACCTATAAACTGAAACTGCTGGCAAGGAGAAGTTGTTGAAGACGTCGTGTTGACAGAAGACGTCGCAAGCAATAGCGCTTTAGATCCGCAGTCTAGCTGTGGGACAGAGAGGACCTGTGAGATTGAACAGGACGAGCACGTCTAGATTCGACGTTGAGGCAAATGGGGCTTAAGATTCCAGATGCTGTCATTTATATGAAGTACAACCTGTTCTTTCCACAATCACAACATTGATGACATACTGCGTTCCAAATGGATGTGACTGCGATAGTGATTGTGATTTGCAAAAGTGATTACGGTGAGGTCGATATGGCCAGATATCATGTCGCGAGAGTCCCGATGAGGCCAAAATCTGTTAGACGCGTCTCACGCGCTGCGAACGCGTCGGCGCTTTCTTAAACAAAGCCACTGCCTTCTCTACCGTCTTCCTCTCGCAAACAAACTTGCAATTCCGTCTATCCAATTCACTTGGAGATATCCATCATCTATCACTCATTCTCTCGCCTCACCCTCAAACCTCTTCCTACCCATCACACATCAACAGTAAGCAAACCTCCAGTCACGCATCATGACCACCACAAACTGACGTCCGCACAGTGCTTGAGGCACGTCTCGAACAGGCCAACCTTCTCAAGAAGGTCGTCGAAGCCATCAAGGACCTCGTCCAGGACTGCAACTTCGAATGTAACGACTCCGGTGTCGGCCTCCAGGCCATGGATAACTCTCACGTCGCCCTCGTTTCCATGCTGCTCAAGGCCGACTCGTTCTCGCCCTTCAGATGTGATCGCAACATTGCCCTCGGCATCAACCTCGTCTCTCTGCAGAAGGTTCTCCGCGCCGCCCAGGACAAGGACATCCTGACCCTCAAGGCCGAGGACTCGCCCGATGTTGTCAACCTCGTCTTCGAGAGCTCCGAGAGCGACAGAATTAGCGAGTACGACATCAAGTTGATGGACATTGACCAGGAGCACCTTGGTATTCCTGACACCGACTACGCCGCTTCCATCACTCTGCCCTCGGCCGAGCTCCAGCGCATTTGCAGAGATCTGTCTGCCCTCTCAGAGTCTGGTACGTTTCTCGAATCGTCGCAACATGGCTGCAGACAACTGACAAGGTGCACCCAGNTCAACATCGAGTGCACAAAAGAAGGCGTCAAGTTCGGCTGCACTGGCGACATCGGTTCGGGGTCCGTCACTCTCCGCCAGCACACCAACGTCGACAAGGAGGACCTCAATGTGGACATCCAGCTGTCAGAGCCCGTTTCGCTCACCTTCTCGCTCAAGTACCTTGTCAACTTCTGCAAGGCTAGCGGTCTTTCAAGCAGAGTCAAGTTGTGCCTGTCTACCGATGTGCCGCTCATGGTCGAGTACTCGCTTGCAAACAACAGCTACCTCAGATTCTACCTCGCCCCCAAGGTAAGCCAGCGGACCGACTTTCACCACAAACATAAGCTAATACATGACAGATTGGTGATGAGGAGTGAACCTGGGCTGCAAAGGCATAGAGAGCATGATTCTGGCATGAAAAGGCGTTTCTGGCGTTGTAATGATTTGCTTAAAGAGAAGGACGGCGCTTTCACAGAGCATGCACCGTGACTTGAGGATGATGAATGTTATTATACCAAGTCGAACAAGATATACCACACTAGTTGCGCTTTCCAATTCACCGAGTTGATTTTGACGACCCTGGCCGAGCACCGACCGGCGTTATCGCTTATCTCCCGAGGTCCTATCGCTCATATGTTTCTGTGTCGTGCTAGCATGGAAGATAGATAGACAAGAGACAGCTCGTTCGTCTGTCGAAACCCAAACATGGCCGAAGTCCCAGAGACGCATGTACTAGCCGTCGCCAGCCATGTAAGAGACCGAGAGAGGCACCATGTCAGAAGGCCACACACGATGACTGACGGCAAGCAAAGGNTAGCATACGGGTAAGAGGCCTCTCGACCAGGATACATGCGATAAGACATCTCATGTATCGACAGCTACGTGGGCAACACCATGGCCACCTTTGTCATGCAAGCACTTGGCTGCGAGGTGTCGGCCATCAACACGGTCCAATTCAGTGCGTTTGCGCCAGAATCTACCACACCACAGTGCACACCTCTGACACATGATCAGGCANACCATACCGGATACAAGCAATTCAAGGGACGTAAAACTCCTGCCGAAGAGATCGCCGAACTGTACGAGGGTTTGAAGCAGTCGCGCCTCAATGACTTTGATGTGCTGTTGTCTGGCTACTGTCCCAGTGCCGGTGTTGTGCAACAGGTTGGCAAGATAGCACGCGAGACCAGGTTTGCATCGACCACCAAGCCGGGTGCCTTCTTCTGGGGTACGTGAAAGAGGAAGAAGCTATCGAGAAAGAGTGAAAGCTAAGGACCACAGNTGCTCGACCCTGTCATGGGCGACGAGGGCAAGATCTACGTCAGCGAGGAAGTAGTGCCGGCATACAAGAGCCTTCTGCGAGACGCCGATCTCATCTTGCCCAACCAGTTTGAAGCAGAGTATGTCCCCCTTGCAAGCCGCCCTTGACCTACCTGGTGGATTCCTAACGTGCTCTAGANNCTTCTCTCGGGCGTCTCCATCACGGACTTCAAGTCTCTTGCTGAGGCCATCCGCGTCCTCCACCGCTCGCATCGTGTACCGCATATCATCATCACCTCAGTCCGTCTCCCTCACGACAATGCGCAAGGACAAGAACCAGAGCTTTCGATCGTGGGATCCACTGCCGATTCAGACTTCAACCCTCGCTTGTTCCGCCTCAAAGTGCCCGCATTCCCTGTCTTCTTCTCAGGCACTGGCGACATGTTTGCCGCCTTGATGGTGGCAAGGTTACGCGAAGCATGTCTTGCTGCGAATCTCTTGACCACAGCGCATTGGCAATCGCCCGACGAAGTTGTAGCAATCGAACTGCCCTTGGCAAAAGCTGCGGAAAAGGTGCTCGCAAGCATGCACTTGGTGCTCAAGAAGACTATGAATTCACGGCAGGAAGAACTGAAAAAGATGGAAGATGCTCCAGAATTCAACACTGGCATTGGCAACGAGGCCGACAAGGACAATGAGCGTGACAAGTATCTACGCTTGACCAAAGCAGCCGAGGTCAGGGTTGTCAGGAACTGGAAAGACTTGGTCTATCCCCCAGACATCGAGGCCTTCAAGGCGCATGCTGTCGAAGTCGAGCTTGATCCTGACGTGTCGATCAAGCCAGACGAGCTTGGAGTTGTCAACATGGGCACTGGCCACGAGGTTGGCCAAGGCGCGGTGCACCAAACTTGAGTATGAAGATTTGACTTGTGCTTTTTCTGCATCATGACCATCTCGCGTCACATACCCCTGATCGTTTGAAAATATCACACTTCTGCAACTCCTGCTTTCTCCCATATGCCAATCCCATCTAGTGGCCGTTGATTGGTGAGCCTCCATTGGCAGAGGGGTTGACAGGAGGGATCATGTTGGCAAAACCGCCAGTCGAGCCGAAGCCTCCAGCACCGCGTACACTTTCGGGAAGCTGCTCGACCACGACAACCTCAGGAGTGTAGATCTGGCTTGTGTTAGTGGTGTGCATTGGATAACAGACTCCACAGCTTACCCTCTCGATAATCAGCTGTGCAATTCTGTCGCCTTCATTGATGGCAAAGTCGGTCTCGCCAAGGTTGAACAGCAGGACCTTAAGCGGACCGCGGTAGTCAGCGTCAATGACACCAGCACCAACATCGATCGAGTGTTTAGCGGCAAGTCCAGAACGAGGGGCTACTCTGCCATCTGCGTGTAGCGTTAGACAGGCTGGACGGATGTGTAGCAAATGGTCGAGACATACANNGGTGTCGGCGGGTACAGCAATGGAGATGTCAGTGTCGGCAAGCACTTTTCCTCTAGCTGGCACAGTGGTGCTCTTTGATGCGTAGAGATCGTAGCCGGCAGCAAATTCACTGCCGCGAGTGGGAGCGCGTGCTGTCGCTGAGAGGAGCTTGATCTGCAGGGCTGGTGGCGGAGGTTCGAGGTTCATTGGGGGGAGATGAGTAGCGGCGGTAGACATGGCTTCTGGTGCTGGCGCTGGCGCTGTCAACAAGTTAGTGCCAGACCATCGATCACGCTTCACAGCTATCAACTTACATGCGACGACTGATTTGAAGCGCTTTGGTGAAGGCGAGGCGGGCACAGATGGAGGATCGTGTTCGATGGCTGGAGTTTCCATTGTTCGCTATAGAATTGATGGGAGAGGAATGGGAGCTGTTGCAGACACGAACGACGCGCGAGAAAGGACCAGACGTTAAAGTGGATTTCTGGGTGCAGGTCCACGCAGCACAGCACTCGACACTCTAATCCGTGTTCAACTCGCATGGAGCAAGGACTTCATAGTAAATGTTGATTCCGATATTCTCTGCTTTCCGCCCTCTGCCCGCAGCTAATGTTGGTTAATAGAGGTGTGGAGTGGTTGTCGCTCAAAGGTTTGTATGCGTCGCTATGAAAGAAGCGATAACTTACACAACCCGTCTACAGTGTATTGCATACACGTGAGCTCGTACAATCCTCATACCTCCCTGCCAGGACTGCTAGGCCCATGGACGCCTTGCCTCTGGTTTCAGTTTCTTCCAGAAGAATGTCAAGCCGGACACTAGGTCAGGCCTAATTTCTTGCAAACAGAGCGCAGAGCACGAACAAAACACTCCTTAATCATGTCCAGAGACCCTGGCGCTAGTAATTTATGCTTGACCCAAGTTCGAACACCGCTAACTTTATCTCTGACCGCTGAAAATCATCCAACATGTACCTCTTGAAATTGCAGATACGCCTTGGTGCCCGAATCACGTCCGCAAGTGCCCTAAGGTCTCGTCGCCTGAAGGGCCACCATAAAAGACCGTTGATGATGCTCGTGTGTGGCTGAATCAGGTCGATCATTCGTAAGCTGCTCTTCTCCTCTTCCTGTTCTCCGGCTTGTCTCTCCGCCAAAGTCTCCAGTTCAAATCTAACGGCCAACGAAAACTGTCATGCCGGATGCCGAGAATCGTCACCACCAAGGATATCCGGGTGTAATCATGTTCTGCATGCAACCCCCGCCATCTGATGCTAGCGCCATCTACCTGTCAGTGTGTCACCGAGTTCCGATCGCTAGGCGGTCACAGTGTCTCTGTTAGGACTCCTTCTCGTCATTGTTTTGGGCTCGCACTAGCTCATTTATTCGAATGTCTGCCCGACCGCTCGTGTTTCGTAAAGGCTGCCAGGCGGCGTGGTGGCTGAGTGGATGCCCTTGCTCTTGCGCTTACGACTACGCTGTGACGTTCGTCTTGGATCTGCAATGTTTTGACCGAGACACTAGTTCTTTCCAAGGTGCTTGACTCTCCGCATTCCCGTGTACATCAATACATATATATGCGTGACCTGCGTGACCATCTGCTGCGGTCAGCAACTTTTCCGCAGCCATCCTATCTCCACCAGCAAACATACAAAGCAAATCCCAACTCTACAATACCTCGAGATCGGACTATCTTGTCTCTCTACCATCACGCCCGATCCTTGGACACCGACAAACATGTCTTCAACATCCTCGATACACTCTACGTTTTCCGACGATGAGCTTCCGGCATACGNNAAGAAATCGCACTGCCTCCCAACGTCACGATCGAAGAGAGAGAAATTCTGGACGAAGACGACATTTCCGATGAAGACGACGAGCAACCAGAGCACAAGAGCATCACCAAGCAGCAAAGCACAAAAACATTTGCCAGTCTGAAGTCATTCCTCTNCAGGCTCGGTCATGGTCGCTCCTTCGGCCGAGTTTCAGAAATCCACCATCACATTTACTGCCTTGCCGACTCGTCCCAAGTCCGACCGCAAGCCATCTTTCAAACGTGAGACTNTAATTGCAATGAAACAACTTGAATCTGTGCTAATTCTTCNNCATTTTAGTTGCCCCTATTCAAACTTCGACTTTGCAATCGCGCAGACTGGCCATGCGCTCGACGTTACGGCTAGACAACACCCTTTGAGTGCGTCATCTCGACCTTGACAATTTTCTCTGATGATTATCACGACCGACACGAGTTTGGTTCNNTTTTGCATATGCAGGACATGGTTCCACAGGAGTATTTTTTTTTGCTTGTTTTTCGATTTGGTTGTTTTTCAGATACCCCAAGCATAGCAGGAACCAGCATTGCTTTCTTGTTTATTTGTTGCGACCTCTGTTTCGGCGATATCCAGGGTTTGGAGCAGGACGGTCGCTGCCAGGATTCTTTCAGGAGTTCATGAACTGATGCGCGTCATCTCGAGTCTGTGTATAGTGTAGTTCCATCTGTCCATGTGTAAACTAGGTCCTGATGACCATTTATGATTGACGCCAGTTCACTTCACTCCCAGCGCTGTCCAGTTGTGAGCATGTTGATTGCATAGTGGCATTATTCATGACTGCTTGCTCTGGAAGCCTTCTTCTAGTATATCAATGAGTTCGTCCAATCTGTTGGAAGAACTAACGTCAGTGGATAGACAAATTAATGTGGAATCTTTAGACACCTACCGGCTGATGACCAGATCCGTTCTGGGGTCCTTCTCAAGCTCTTCTTTGCCTTCACTCCTAAGTAACACAGTGGCGGCCCCAGCGTCGTGGCCTGCGATGATATCGTCAATCGAATCGCCAACCATAATCAAAGGAAGGGGTCGCTTCGAGATGGGTCGACCGTCGTCTGATACGTCCGCTTCACTGATAATGCCCCATTGCTTTGCGATATGCAAGATACCGGCAGGTGATGGCTTTGGAGGACGGAAGTCCCTCGTGATAATAGGCGTAAAAGCGTTAACATGATCTGGCAGGTGGTTGTTCAAGAGGTGTTCGACAGGGGTGTTGAAGTTTCTCGTGCAGATACCCAATTTGAGCTCCCGGGTATGGAGATGTGAAATCAGTTCAAAAAGTCCACCTTTATAGCAAGTGTCAGAACACTAGCGAAGGCAAGTTCTACTTCGACGAGTCGGGTTACCTTGTGGTATTTGTTTTGCCATCGCCTCGCGCTCGACATCCTCGATAATCTTGTGGGCTTCTTTCTGCTCGTCTCCTGAAAGGCTGTAAACATGGTCCAGAATGTCTTCTCCTTTGGTTATTCCCAGCTTGCTCCTCATCTCTGTGAACATATAGTTTTGTGGCTCGCAAAGAGTTCCATCGACATCGAAGACAATGCCCTTGAGCACCATGTTGCCGTCAATGGCGTCATGACCTTTGACTTTGCTCAAAGGTGCAAAGCGTCTTGTCGATGTTGAATTTGCCATCGTCATTATTCTGACGCTGTTGTGTGACAATGTCTTGATGCAGGTGACTCTCGAGCGAAGAAAGGTATTCATGGGCTGCGGTTGTTGTACAGTAGTCGGAGAAAGAAGTTCGGCCAAGCTTTGATATTGGGAGTGGAGTACAGCGTCATGCTTCAGCTCCATGCCCTGGATAGACGTTCGGCAATGATAGCCGACCACTATAAACGTCAGTTGTTTCCTCACCTTCGAAGTCTGTCAGATATGACTTTGGGAGGCTCTTGAAACATTCGGGTTTTTTCGAAATGAGGAAACTATACATGACGGTCAGCCACTCGGTAGCTTCCCTTGCACGCGACCTTCTCGTCGAACAACTTGTGTATCCCCACAGCTTGATTACCTCCAGATTACCATCACGAAGGAAGAGCCTAAGCATCAGGCCGAGCACATGTGCTAAGATAAGAATATTGGTGACAGGGGTATGTATCTTCTAGTGGGCATGATTGAGATATCCCTCGGCCAACTATGTGACAAACACAACGACACCGTCCTGGACAACAGATAGTGTCTTCCTATGTCCCGATAAGTGCTATGAGCTCGATGGGATTAGCTTTGGAATGTCACACAGCTGCAGATTACACAAGAAGTCCTGGCTGGCATACCAGACGGGCAGAAGATATTCACTATCCGCGCCGTTGCAGAGGACAAGCTCATCATTGTAGATGGCCCATCCCTTGCACTCACCAATATGACCAACATGTTCTTCTCACTCGGACCAATCATGCACGCCACAGTCGAGGTCGATGTCTCGGTCCTATCTACCACCATGTTCGACGCCGTTATGTACATACGCCGACACGCATTCCTCCTCGATTCTGTCAAGAAATCTCCATACAACAACTCCAAGATCGTTGGTTGGCACAAGCCATATTCCCAAGCACTTGTTCGGCTCTCATACTGATACGGTCGCTTCCTTGAGGTATGTGAAAACAAAAACGTTATCAGCTGGTTTGCATTCGACGAGGTCGCCAAAGTGTTCAGCTGCGAATGTGCAGTATCGTACGTGTTCGAGAGGATTCTGGCACTCCGTGCTCATTCTCCTTTCCCTAAAGTCGAAGAGCTTGCGGAGCAGACTTTTGCCTACCTTCACAGCCAGGCGTATCCTTATATTAAAGAAGTCTTCGGTTGTGGTTTACTTCTGGATGCATCTTCTCCTTGTAGGGGCACTGTCGTGACCTGTGGCAGACACCACACCACTCATGGCAGAGGTATCCTTACATGTATGTACGGTCTCTATATTAGAAGAGGGCTGAACATTGGCTCAAGGTCTTGTAGCACACTGAAGGCTAAGTTTTCCCCTTGGGACGGGAGCTGCCCCAACCTCCTCATAATCTGCGAGCTACTTTGACACTTGGGAGTTAATCTTATCCCTTTTCGTGCAAGGACGATTGGCAATCTGGATGCCAAGTTGCTGAAGACCACGTATTAGGGCTCCGAGTTCTCCTGCCACGGCCAGATAGATAGGCTTCGGCCCCATTTTGAAGTTCCAGTTGGCGGCGCTGCCACGCTCCATGAGATTGTTTGGGTTCATGCGACCACCGATGAAGAGCTTTATCCAGTCAAGAAGAGCATCAAGAGAAGCTCATTCGAAGTTGACAGAGGTAGTGGTAAGAGAGTTAAAGTCTTCGAAAATAGGTCTTGTAAACAGAGCTGTTGTCAAATTCTGGCCGATCATGCGAAGCCCGCAAGTAAAGTCAGTCTGCTCGAAGTCATCAATGGCCATATCGAAGGTGACATCATACTTGTTTGGGTTGATGTAGTGAGTGATGAAGTGTACAAAGTCCAGATTGTCTTTGTCGTCATCAGACAAGTGGGTACTTGTGAGAAGCTTTAGAAGATGTTCGATTTCTGGAAGATTGAGTTCTGGTGGGATGCCAGAAGCCCCTGGTCCGGAAGCTCGGGCTGTTGCACATTTGCATCTCCTTGGTGGGGCTCGGAGGCTGTCTGTAGTAAACTGACGAACGCTCCTCTGGAGATAAGCAAGCTTGAGGATTTACGATGCGTTGGCTCTCCACATCGACCTTGGAGAACCGGATTCCATGGATGTTAATAGCTCGGTCTGTCGATTCATTGGGACGCGAAGCGAAATCGAACGGCCTTGGGAAGACGTAGGTACCGACCGTGTTGGCCTTAGTTTCGACAACTTCGAATGTCACCTAGGCGATTCTTGTGCGCCATGTGTAAAACCACAAAATCTACGGATACAAGACCAGATTCAGCCGATCCTGATGATGGAAGTAGCCATCGATTCAACCGAACGGACCTTCCAAGTAGGAACAGCTCGTTTGACAACTGCACAACGCCTGGGTTTATGCGTCGATCCTGCCGTCGAAAGCCGCCTTCGAGCCTCGGATGGTCAGTCATCGGTATTATTTGACCAGGATTGACGTCTTCCTCTGTTCTTGCCCTGCCTTACACGGAGAAATCAAGACATCCCCATGCAACTACCCCGCCTCTGGGGCCCCACACACCTACACATTCATCCAGCAACTGCATGGGAAGGCTACACTTGTCCGAGCAGTTGAGTGCAAGTCGAAAAGAATCACGTATTCATGCGGCATGTCAGGACCCTCCGGCGGGAAATGGTGCCTGATCCATTTCCATATGCCTGGCACAGGGCTGCTGACGATATTTAAAGAGACCAGGTGCCTGTGTTCCATCACAGCATATCAGCAATACCAACCACGCGACAATTTCTCTATATGTATTCTCTGATCGCCAAGATCGGCGCCTTTGCTGTGGCTTCGCTAGCAACCCAAGCAGCGGCCTTGCCCTCAAACAACAAGCCTGATCCTTTCTCGAATGCTTCATGGCCTCTGCCTCATAACATAACTGGCGTGTCCAATCCTGGAGCTAACCAGAGTTATGGTGGTTGGGGTGGTGTTCATCTACACGACCCATCGGTGTGCTACATAGATCAGTGGTTGTCCTTCCGACATCAGACTAATCGTTACTAGATCGTGATGGGTCCTGATGGCCATTATTACTCGTTCTCAACCCATGGGTTAGTTGTCATCAGCCGAGCTTCACAGTCTAACTCTTTGGATGGCTACTGGGAACCTATTGGTTCGGTTCTCGAGGGCTCCAGTGTTATCAACAACACCGGAAGCACTGATCCTTGGGCTCCTGGTACGTAAGGAAATGGTACAGAAAGCACAAACCAAGTCCCATCCGATGGGGTTTCGGCTGCTATGTGCTCCAAGCTCAAGCATAAGAAACATGCTAATTGTACTTTTACCTTCANNGATGTACACAAGGTTGGCGATACATATTATTGCTACTACGCCGTCTCGCAATTCGGCAGCCAATTTTCTAGCATTGGACTCGCTACTTCAAAGACACTGAGACCTGGCAGTTGGACTGATCACGGCGCTGTCCTCACTTCGAACACTACTGCACCTTCGCCATTGAACATCACCAACGCAATCGATGCGAACCTTTTCATCGATCCGAAGACCAAGATCCCTTACCTCACATACGGCAGCTTCTGGAGCGATATATGGCAATTCCAGCTGGCTCAAGACTTGCTTAGCGTGGTCTGGTCTCCCTCACCTACACAGCTGAGCTTAGATCCCGTAAGCCCACAGGCGGAGGAGGGCGCGTACCTGAGTCGCCATGATAGTTGGTATTATCTCTGGTACAGTCACGGTTCATGCTGTGGCTACAATGTCTCTGCCCTACCTGCACCTGGTCAGGAGTGAGTTCTTTTCCACATTTCACACCATCCTTACCTTGTTCTGATTTGCATTAGATACTCCATCCGCGTTGGACGCTCCAGATCAGCCACCGGACCTTTTGTTGATCGCAACGGTGTAGATCTCAAGAATGGTGGCGGATACATTGTTTATGGCAGCCATGATTACGTCTACGGTCCAGGTGGTCAGGCTGTTCTGGCGAACTACCATGGACGTGATGTCTTGTACTATCACTACGTCAACACCATCCAGAATCCCTTGTATCTCGACGAGCTCAAATTGCTTGGATGGAACTACATCAACTATGTTCAAGGATGGCCTGTGTTGGTATACAACTGAGGGTGTCAGTATGGAAAAGAGATGGCTCGAGAGAGATATGTTGATCACAACTGTCAAGGCGCTCTAGTGACAGATTTTTTCGGAGATCGGACGATGCACACTTTGTTCCTTTCCACTCAGTACGTTGGCACCTTTGCTATGAATTCGAAGGTGGAGGGTTGGTTGATATGGGTAGACCAATGCTGGGAACGTCTGCAGAACCATCTATTTATCTTGTCTACTTTCTGTCTCTCAGCCTTTCCTCTTAGACCTGCGGTCTTTTGTTCGCCATATAACGTTCCTCCAAGAACTTTATGATGGCATTCTTGCCTTGTACCTCAACGTGCATACCTCCTGCTTGCCTAAAGCATATGATACGTTGGTGCGCCACTGTCACGGTCAAAGGGTCCCCATTTGCATCTGTAAGGCCATCGTTCAACTGCTCCATCGGAGGTGGGATGGTCTCGACATCGACGTTGAGCTCGGAGAGATGAGCTGTAACAGCAGCATCTGTAGTCTCGTCGCCAGACAGAAACAGCATGGGCTTTTCGTGTTCGGGCAGCTCGGACTTGAGGTGCAGCACATCGAAGCCTGTTCCATAGATGCTGTTCCATTCGGGAGCTGTAACTTGATTCTCGACTCCGAACGCGTTAATAAGTTTCTGACTTTCCTCGGGGTGTCCATTGATGGTTGGTCTCGCTTGTGACTTTTCTTTCGCAACAGCACCCTGACCCCAGATAAGTTTCGAGTCGGCTGATAGGAAGGTGCCAATAAGCCGAAAGGTAATCGAGATGCGCATGTTGCCATAGGCCGACTCGGCAGGGATGTGTTCTACAGCTGGACGCTTGTCCGGCATAATGCCATGCAGCCAAGATCCATTTGTCTCCAGACCCATAACGAACATGCTGTTGTGGGGCATAGGGATGCGTTGTGTGACACGAGAGCGGTCGTCTTCCGGTTTCATCTGCACATCGGCTGTGAGGGCTGCATGGCCAACTCTCTGTTTGTCAGAAATCAATCCTGAATCCTGCGAGGTAGTGGGACGCTTAGTGCGGAGCCTCATAGTGCGTTGAGCACCGAGCGAAACATTGACGATCTTGCTACCATGCAGGATGTCCAGTGTCTTGTCCGAGTGCTCAGAGATGTGGTCTTGCCCGCTTCGGTACAGCTGTATCAAAGCATGATTCAACTTATGTCCAACTCTTTCTTCAGCTTTCTCTCGGATCTTGGTGACGGTCGGACTCCAGCGGAGGAGAGGGAGCGATTGATCTGAGGGATGTCGGTATACAGGCATGCTACCATCCGCATCATCGATGTCGCCTTGGCAGCATACTAGTCGTGGCACCTCGCCAGCAGCATGGTACATGCGCTGCCAGTGGACTTCGGTGAACAAGTCCTGAAACGCTACCTTGGTAGCTTCGGGCTCGAGCAGGTTGTAGAGTATCTTCGAATCGCCGCTTCCAACCTTGTCGTCAGCACCAAGTAGAGTGGTGCTCTTCTGTCTCATTTGCAACTTGCGCGACACACGCCTAGGTGGTGCGGGAGCAGTGTCCATTGTAGTTCTTTTGCATGTGTCAGTGTGTCCAGGAGTGAGTTCTGCCTCGATCGGATCGTTTGAGGTTGCCTTTGAGTGTGAGTCATGCACCATTTGAGACTTTAGCGAACTCAAGTCCTTGTGGAAATGTCCTTGACCGTTCGACAATACATCTTCGGAAGCGCCTCGAGATGTTTCATACGATATCGTGTCAGCATGTTCATCCTGTATCATGCGCGACTTTCTCTGGATCCTTCCGTTCTGCGTGTCATCATGTTGTTGTCGGGCTCCAGCAAGCCTTGTGTTTGGCTGGCGTCGATGGTTTGCTGTGTCTGGAAGTTGAGAGCTTGTAGGTTTTGCATGCTCAAAGGGAGTGTGTTTTGCGCCGCCTGTTACACAAGGTTGGTCATCGCTCAATTTCAGGCTCTCGAGGTAGCGCTCAAGACCGCTGGATGAGGAGAGTTCACGTACGGTTCCAGGCTGGTCTTCCATGTCAACATCAGATTGCCCTGTCCCATTCTCGTTGCCAGACTCATCTGTATGTGTCTCGCCTCTCAGTCTGGACAGGACAGACGCCGAGGTTGTTACGGATGCTCCCATGATCTCCACCAGTTTCTGCACAGCCCGGTCGTGTCTGTCTTTGAGTCTGTAGTTGAGGCAGTCTTCGACGAGATTGATCGACAGACCGTGCTGCGCGGCATCCAGAGCCGTAGCGTAGACGGAAAGATTTGTGGTGCATCCGACGACGTAGACTTCGGTGATGAGCTTGGCGCGCAGCATGAGTAGTAGAGACGAGGATGTGAAGGCCGAGTAGTACGACTTGATGACTTTGACGTCTCTAGGCGACACCAAGTCCTTGACTTCTGGTGATAGTTCAGCGCCCCAACTTCCTGGCAGACAGCAATTGTCTTCTGGGTTATCCTGCGAGAGGAAGAGATCTTGGTCGACGGTCGAGGAGGATGCAGAGTCTGCTTCGAGTTCTGCTGCTCTGTTCATGGTTCGTTGGACAAGCTGGTTGATGCGACGGTTCGATCTTGCCGATGGACGGGAAGGGTAGTCGTTCAATTCATCGTCGCTGCTGACCATTGGTAGCACAAACCCATCATCTGCGATTACCATACAGCCAGAACCTGAGGGGTGGTTGACAATGCGCTTGCCGCGATACTCGGTTGTGATCCAGAAGATCTCTCCATATTCGCGAAAGGCAGGGACGAGCTGTTTGATCCTCTCTAGATATCCTGTAGTCGTGTTGACAGGAAGTTTGCCATTGGGGGATGTGAAATCGTTCTGCAGGCCGACGACCAACAGCGCTTGTCGAGTCGATATCTGGTTCTGGCTCCCCGAGAGGAGGGCCGACAGGAAGGACATGACCCAAGAGGGTTTATTTTCGAAGAGATGACAGGAAAGGTGAAGCTGGTCAAGACAACGTGGACATGGAAATGGATGGTGTGACGAAAGAAGGTTCGTTTGCTTGTCTGTGCTGCGGTGGGGAAGGTAGAAGTATAGAAGCAAAGTAAAAAGGACAGACAGATGGTGGTTTGAAAAAGAGTGATTCAACGACCGGTAGGGCAGATAATAACACACAGCACCTCCGAACGAGCGACCCAAAGGAACGGAACCTCTAATCAGTTCATCCTAGTCACAATATCTGTGTCGCCGCGATTTGATTTGAGCAAGGTCTGGGCACGGCGAGAGCCCGACAGAGTAGACGACAAGGCGCAAGTAGCAGGCGATGACTGCATGCACAAGCGATGAGGCTGGAAGAAAGTTGGTATTCATGGGTTTGGAATTCAAGAGGACATGGAAGAGACAGGCGCAGGGACATCTGGTCTATGTGCACGGGCCAAGAGCATGCAGCCAGGTACGAAAGACATACTCACAGGGCCCGGTTATCAAATCATGCTCTCGGCCTTGTCCGGAAGGCACAGCAAACTCGTCGTCGGTTCAAGACAGTTCATTCCACAACGTAGTGAGTCGCTTGTGGTTTCAAGCGCTCGTGAAGCAACAAATCGCTGATTCTGCAGCCCTGTCGGTGCGAGGCCGACATGTTTGACGAAGTGCCGCTGTTCCGAACAGAGTCGGTACAAATGCCGTTCTGGAGTAGTGTGTCAAATGTTCTTTGACCTTGCTCAATGCTATGATCACATACATAGCTACTTAAGAGAGCCGTCGATGTTTCATCGAGCCTCTGTCTGAAGTGACCGTCTAGACTCGTCTTTGTCAAGGACAGCTGTGCTACAGGATGAGTTGCAGTATGTCAGGGAGATTTGGAAACAAAAGGCGCTCTCTCGGACTGGCCGACACTGCAGCCACATCGAACTTGTAACCTTTACGCCAATCATTTTCTGAGGATGGAGGCTCATCAGCGCTCCCACCTTAATGCATGAAACGGCCGCGCCTGAGCTGGTCGCGTGTTGTTAGTCGTTTGTTTCAGGGCCAATAGAAGCAGGCATAAGCGCTTTCTGGAGAAGAGCGGGCTGCGGGAGAAGCATTCGAGAAACCCACCAGTCGCTCGGCAGTCGCTTGCGGTCCGAAAGAGGCCACCATGACACGGAGTCTCTCATGCCTGTCGCCAAGCACACGTCGAAGAGCCCCTCTCAAGCTCTTGTTAAGTTTCGGGTCCCACTGTGACATATCAAACAGAAACAATTGAGCGAATTCACGAGCTCTGTGATAGACGACCAAGGAAGGAGACACTTGGGCGCAAAACTAGAGCGCTGCAGGATCGATACGGGCGTGAGCCTAATCAGGCTAGAGTGGATCGATTTAGTGTCTGGCCCACTCAGCCCATGGCAGACACGTGGGATTGAGTAGTGTCAATCTATCCTTTTCGCCGAAAGGTTGATCTAATTCATGACGACCCCTGATCCGGAGGCAAGGGGCTTGGGCTGCTTGAGCCTCTGACCGACAACATGGCCTGACCTGACGTCCTCGGACTCGAACGCACTGCATGTAGGGCAACATGTCACGAACCATTCAGCCCTAAGCCCCATCTGTTTTCTCCGTTGACAGCATGCCCCTTGTGTCATCACGATCGGAGATATATGTAGGCTTCTAGTACGACATGGCCTAGCCCTTGCGTAGCCGACTCGACAGCCGCTCGAACGCCAGGCATTGTATAGCGTGAGTCAAGAGAGCATATGTCAGGACAGATGAATGCTGGATATTGAGGTGGCAAGCAATCCAATATCAATTCACTTGGCGAAGAAGTTTGTGATTTTTTGAGAGCCATCCTTGGCTTTGGGTGGTGACTTAGCTTGAGTGTTGTTGGTGATAGAGCTCCTCATAGTACGGCCGTGAACAGAGCGACTAGCGGATCTTTGGCCGTCGGCGGCCTTCTGAGCTTTCTGGGATGGTTCTTGATCATCGACAATGTCAGGCGAATGCTCACGTTTAAGTGCGATCGACTCGCTGTTTTGCACAGCGTGACCGGCCTGAGGACGCGGAGCATTGTCCTCGGTATTCTGAGGATCAAGAACGGTAGCGCGATCTTCGTCAGGTTCTTGTTTGACTTTGCTGTTGGTTGACTGAAGGTCGACTTCCTCTTTCTTTGCTGCGCCCTCTTCGTTGGCAGTACTAGGTTGCTTCTTCTGATTGCCAAAGAAGTTGGCAATGTTGTTCTTGTTCTCTTTGCTGTCAATAGGGATGATAAAGGATGGAGAGTTGTTACCGACTTTGCCGACAGCCTTGTCGACTTGATAGCACTCGAGTTCACCGTCGTAGGGCTTGAGGAGCGATTGCAATTCGGGCGACCATTCCGATCTCGCAGGATCGAGCCAGGTCTTGAGGGCGTCCGAGCCATTGTTGAAGATGACAGGCATGCGGTCATGGAGGAACTTGAGTTGATTGTTCGAGTCAGTTGTGATGATGGTGTAGGTGTAGAGCTTGTCGGACTGGCCCTCATACTGAACGCAGTCCCAAAGGCCAGCAAAGCACATGAGCTGGCCGTCCTTTCTCTTGACAAAATGCGGGACTCGATCCTTTCCATTGTTCTTCTTGAGCCATTCGTAGAAGCCCTCGCACACAACGATACACCTCTTGCGTTGCTTCATGGTGTTCCAGAGACCACCTTGAGTGGCGAGCGAATCGTCTCTGCAGTTGATGGTTCGCATCATGTTGGAATAGTCGGGTGCTCTCTTGGTCCAGAATGGTATGAGGCCCCACTTCATGGACTGGAGCTTGTAGCGAGTCTCTTTGGTGGCAGCTCCGTCGACAGTGTCAGGGTTGCCTTTGTCTTGTGGCTGGGTGCCGGCGCCCGCATCGGGGACGTCAGCGCGATAGACCAAGCCGTGATTTCCAGGAGCAAAGTTGTATGTTTGGCGAGTGTCGTGGTCGTCGTCGTCAGGCGCGTCGTCGGCGGGCATGTTCTCGTCTTGCAGTCTACGGCGCACGGCTGATGGGCGCAGCGACAGTGCGTATCGGCCACACATGTTGGAGATGTCCTGATCAGGAGGTGGATTGGATGGTACAAGTCGAGGGGCGGTGGCGGTGGAGATGCGTGATGCGCGATGGACATGGAATCGATGACGTCGGAAAGCAAAGCACTTTGTGTTTCTCCAATGGCCAGTCCGAAGCTTCTGAACTGTTAGTTACACACACCCATCGGCGCCATGTTCTCACGACCAGCAACACACGCCTTACGGAGCGGCCTGAGCCTCCGGACTGGTAGCAGACGCTGCCTCTCGTCCTTTGGCCAGCCCAAACCACGGCCTCGTATCAGCCTCCACACCAAAACATCACATGGATGGCAACAGTCTCGTGCCAAAGCCTCCTTCTCTCGCGGCGCCAAAGAACTCTGGGCTGCCCACCCCTACCTGGTCTCGTTGGCAGCTGCTGCCATTCTCGCCGGCTCTGCTGGTATCGCCTACGCCAACTACCTCTACTCGTCCTACATCATCGCCTCGTTCCACAACTACCCCGAGCCTGTCGCCCAGAAACTCCGTCGAGCCATCTACTACACAAACATCGATCTGGACCCCAAGAATGCTCTCAAGTACTACAAGCAAGGTCTCGAGCTTGCCAATGACCTCGGCATGGACCCCTTCTCCAACGAGATCATCGGCGTCAAGATCCAGGTCTCGGCCCTGATGGAAAAGATCCAGAACTACCCCAAGGCCATTCAAGTCCTCGAGATCCTTAGAAACGACTGTCTGGCTTGGGAAGAGAAGTTCGGCCAGCTCGACGACCACAAGGAAAAGCGCACACGCATCATGAAGCAGCTTGTTGCCATGTCCGTCAAGCTCGGCGACCTGTACTCGAACCAATACGTCCAGGACGCAAAGTCAGCCGAGGAGAGACTGGTTTGGGCTTTGGAGACGTCGCTACGGGAGAAGCAACGGAGACAAGAGCCTGGTGTTTTGGAGAAAGAGGGCGAGTGGATGTCCGACAACGAGATGGGCGCCTCCATGGAGGCCCTCGCCCACAACTACGAAGATCAAAACAAGCACTACTTGGCCACTCCACTCTTCCTGCAAGCTCTGAACTTCAAGTCTGACAGAGATTGCCATTCCGTGATTCTGATGAACAATCTTGCCATCTCCATAGCCCAGCAGGACCCTCCTCGAACTGATGGGACAAAGCCTTCGCCACAGGCTGTTCTAGTCGAGAATGCCAAGCAGTGGGCTCAAAAGGCCCTCGACCTTGCTGCTGATATTCAGCCGCCGACCCGCGATGAGGAGTGCGATATAGGCTGTGCTGTTGCACTACACAATCTTGGTACGTCCTCTATCTAGACATTGCTTGCCGTATACAAATTGCTGATCCTTTCTANNGGTGAGTTTGCTGAAATGAACAAGGACATCGTCGAAGCCAAGAAGCGCTACAAGGAAGCCATCAGCCTTGCCAGAGCCATTGACTTCGAGGATGGTCTTGAGAACAGCTCGGCTGCGCTTAGGCGACTATCATAGATTACTGTTCCTTTGCGCTTTCTCACTCTACTTTGATACCCTGTGCTGCGAGATCTTGGGAAAAGGACTATTATACATACACTTCAACTCGTCATGTCGAACTAAGACCTTGGGTCATACACATCTGAACAGCAAATTCTGTGTCCACTTCCTGCATTACGTCTCCCTTTGTCGTGTAAACGCTTAGAGCTTCGCATACACAGGCTTCGTTTTCTTTATGCCTGCTGTCAACGAGTCGGTCACGTCTGAAGTATTGCAATATGCTGCGTTCCAGACTGACACATATCTCAAGCCTNNAGAAGCACGCATCGTCAGCACAAGGGGAGGAGTAAGTGAAAATACATCAGACTTACCATCCTGCACCGAGTGGTCCCTCGAGTAGTTCAAGACTTCTTTCGTGCCCATGACAGCCACTGGACTTTTGCTGGTAATCAGCTTCGCTTTCTCGACTGCTGCTGCCAGAGCCTCGGCCTTGGTGTCAAAGACAGCAGACACAATTCCAACAGTAAGAGCCTCCTTTGCAGTGAATATTCTTGCTGTCAGAGCAACGTCTTTGATGAATGACATGGGAACGTTGGCTTTGGGCAGACGAGACAGAGTGCCAATGTCTGCTGCAAGTCCGATGTCGACTTCCTTGACTGCAAATCGGGTGGTAGACACGCAGATGCGAATGTCGGCGCAGAGGGTCATGTCTAGTGCCAGGCCAAACGAGACTCCATGTAGCACAGCGATCACNGGCTGTTCCAACAATTGTCAGATTCTGGTCTCGATAACCTGGACGGTATGGTGCGACTCACGCTTCTCGCATTTCTCAATCTGGCTGATGCTTGCTTGGAACTCGTCAATGTGGTGGCGAAGGCGCTGTGCTACTCTTGCAGCATCGAGTCCACTGTTCCCTGACAAGACTCCGCTCTCCGATGCCGATTGCACGTCGAGACCTGCCGAGAAGGCCTTGTCGCCTGCGCTGGTCAAGATCACGCAGCGTACGTCTTGGTCGTGGGATAGGCGTTCAAAGATGTGGCCAATACCCTTCCACATACTGATCCACCATTAGCTTCTAGGTCATACCGGCCGTAAACACAAGCAGTCGAGGGTCATTGGACAGCTTGATAAATGACTCGTGCAAGGAGGTGATGGTCAAGAAGAGATCCTTACGTACGTTTCGTTGAAGGCATTCATCTTCTCCGGCCTGTTGATCTCGACCTGTGCGACATACTCTCCGGGGAACGTGACGTTGAAATACTCGTAGTCGTATGTTGGTGCCATAATTGCAGAGTTGTCAAGATGTTGTATTTGGTTGCGATGAAGTAAACCAGAAAGAGCGAAAGAGAAAGAAAGATATGTCACCTTCTCGCGGAAACAGTCCCACACTTGGCTTAAGTACCATACACACTTCCTTCCTTTATGAGGCTCTACCAAGACTTTCGTTTCGATTAACCCTCTGCGCGTCTTGGTGTTGGTATCAATGATTGCTGCGTACGGCCGCAAAGGAGGAGCTTGATGGAGCCGAAAGATGCCGAGGTTCGTTGCGAGTTCCGTTCATGCACCTTCGTTTCTGACACCTCGAGAGCCATGGCCTCTGTGAAAACATGTGCAAACAGTCAGATCAGACATGAACAGGAGGTACTCATCAGAATTGTTCGAGGAATGGCTGCATGTGTATAGAGGTCTCGGTTGTTGTGCAAGCGTAGGTGGCTGGTTAAGCTACTGATCTATATGCAGGACCGATTGGGTCCGCGGAATCAAGTTCATGGAGAGCTACTTTGAAAACGGCATGTCTGCATTAGATATTGTGTACGCTCCAGCGATCAACGGCATCGATGTGGTCGACATCGGTGAGGTAACGACGTTGAGGTGGTTGGACTTTAACAAGCACGCCTGCAGTCGGACAACAGGACCGGTCGCACGATGTCCTACGATATCCACGTTCTTTGTCAGACTTCTCTTTCCTCTAACAACACCAAACACCTTGGTCCTCAGCTGTGTTCAACAACATAATAAACCACCCGGCTTGACACGCCACGATGGAGATGAACATCCTCTAGTGCTTAAGTGTCCATGTTTCTGCGAGCCACAGACTCGAGCACATAAGATGCTGTCACTACGACAAGACTACCAAAGTGCCACTTGCCTTGTGTACGATGGCGCCAGAAATACCTCGCGCTGCTTGCGGCACTTTGCAGCAGCCCGCGACAGACGCAAAGATATCCCTACTCTTCTGGCTGGGGAGAGTTCGAGCTCGAGCTCTGCGGCCTGACTCTTGATGCATACGACAAAACAACCGTTCGCACACAATTCGGAATCGCGGAGCCTTAAGCGTCGGTGAAACTTGGACACAAATTCTAGAGGAATGCAATAACACTCTGCTAGCAAGGATCTAAGAAGGCAAGTTGTCGTTATCACATCGTATTGGAAGACCAACATCAATATGCCTATGAGGCCTTGAACAAGCACTAAGTATCACAGGTGGATCTCTGGCTGTGAATGACGCTGCGTCATTTGAATCGCGTCATCACGGCAAGATCTTTGTGAATTTTTGCTTCGAAAACAGACGCAATCAATTTGGACAAAATAGGCATCGACACTGACCCGTCAAATATGGCAGATCTTAAGGCTGACCGAGCAGTTCGCTGTCTCAGTTTCATACTGAAACAAGGGCCGCGTGCTATCCCCGGTGACGATCCCGCGTGGGCTCGTTTACGAACTTGGACTTGGCCGCAAGTCATGAAGCCTCTGTGTAGCAAACATTGGATGTCCCGGTTACATGGCCTTGGTCAAAGGAATCAATTCTTCATCGCTCATCACCAGTCTGTTGCAAGGATCTCTCAACAATTGGTCTAGCACTTAATTGAGCAACCAATAGCTCTATGATACAACTTTAGATATGCATGTTCTGTGTGGCATCTTTCCACGCATCTTGCCGGTCTTGGGCATACCACAATGGGCGATCTTTGCCCATTGGAAACCGGGGTCGTGCAGAGGCACACACAGCCGCGTCCCGAAGTGTCCTCGTCAGCCGTCTTGATACAGGCATTGGCGGCCTCCATCTGGTAGGACTGCTCGTGTTTGGTGATCAGCAATCGTATCCAGATAATTCTTTCAGCCGAAATTCGAGACTTAAAAGGTAGGTTCTCATGCCCATTCAGACCCCATGAGCTTTAGTGCCTCTCGTTCTATCTTTCATTCAATCGTTTTACTACCGTTCAAATCACTCTCTCTTTGAAACCCATCATTATATCATCTCTTTTCCACTGCCAGAGCCTTTCCACTGTCAGAGCCTACCGAGCACTGGCAACAACCTAGAAAATCAAGATGGCCAGATACCACTTGACAGCCATCACTGGACTTTTTGCAGTCCAGGCCATCGCTGGGGGTCTCAACGTTCCTCTACCGGACAACAATGTTTTTGACTACATCGTGGTTGGTGGTGGTCCGGCAGGCCTCACAGTTGCGAACCGTCTTAGTGAAAACGCCAACGTCCAGGTCCTACTACTGGAGTCTGGGGATGCCGATAACTATCCCGAGAGCATCATGATCCCATACTATCAAGGTGCAGCTGGATCCGACAACGGAAAATGTGGTGGATTCAATTGGTAAGAAGCATGATGCACATGGACACGGCTAGACACATCACTGACGAAAGCGCAGGNNTGTGACCAGACTGTTGCACAAACCTACCTTGATGGTGGCAGCAGGACGATACCACAGGGCAAAGGCTTGGGCGGTGGTACGCTCATCAATGCTATGCTATGGAATCGTGGCGACCGAGAAGATTATGATACTTGGTCGAAACTTGGAAACGACGGATGGGACTACGATTCACTTCTTGAGTTCTTTCAGAGGGCAAGTGCGATGTTATGCTTAATGGAATCCATCTGCTAACAATCAACAGNNAGTGAGACTTTCAATCAACAGTCCTCAGATGAGGTCGCAACGACCTATGGCCAAGGGTACGATGCTTCTCAGCATGGCGAGTCTGGTCCGCAGAATGTTTCCTTTCCGGCATTTCAGTACCCGGCAAGCCAGCATTTCTTTGCTGCTTTGAACCGCATAGGAGTACCGACACAGCCTGATCCTGCGGCACCGACCGAGAAGGGAGCCATGTACCTCCCTCAAGGCATTTCTCAAGTGAATCAATCTCGTGCAGACGCACGTCGCGCCCGATGGGATCCAGTCGCTGGTCGTGAGAACTTCTATGTCTCCACTGGCCAACACGTACGCCGTATTCTGTTTGATGGCGGCTGCGGTGCTGCTGGAAATAAGGACGCCCGAGCTGTGGGAGTTGAGATCTCAGCTGGGAACAATGGCAGGCTGTGGACTGCAGTGGCCGCTCGAGAAGTGATCCTCGCTGCTGGTGCTCTCCGTACTCCTCAGCTTTTGGAGCTCTCTGGTGTTGGAGATAAGACTGTTCTCGCTAAGGCTGGTGTACAAAGCCGCATCAATCTACCCGGAGTAGGCAATAATTTGCAGGACCACATGCTTATGCATATGACACAAGGCTTCAACAACCAGAGCTACGTGTACCCGAACATCATGCAGAATTCAACCATCAACGACTGGGCAAGATCAGTGTACTACAAGAACCGCACTGGGCCTTTTACCTTTGGACCTCCAGATGGCAACGGCTTCTTTTCGCTCCCTCAAATCTCGGACCGCGCACAGGAGATTGCTCAGAACGCCTCATCATTCGCCGACGAAGACTATCTGGCTGATGGGCTGGACGAGAGTGTCATCCGTGGCTACGCTCGTCAACGTGCTCTTCTCATTCCTGCTTTGAACAACAGCAAGCGTGCTGTCATCGAGTTCCTGCAGGATAACGCAGGCAATACCCAGATATCCAACCAGCGCCCTCTCACCCGTGGTAACGTTCACATCAACGGGACGGACCCCTTCAATTATCCTACTCTCGATTTCCGTTATGGCAGCAATCCTGTTGATATGGCTGTCATGATGGACGCATTGCGTTTCAATGACGAGTTGTTCCAACAGCCAGAGCTTCAGATTCTTCAGCCAGTTCAANAAGACCCTCCGCACGCGGCTAGTGTTGCTCAACTCCAGGAGTTCCTGAATCGAGCTCTGGGTACTGAGTTTCACCCATCGTGTACGGCAGCCATGATGCCTAGAGAAGATGGTGGTGTCGTCGACTCTAATTTGCTGGTATACGGAACACAAAACATCCGTGTGGTAGACGCCAGCATTTTCCCAATCGTTCCTGCTGCTCACCTCGAGTCTGTCATCTATGCTGTTGCCGAAAAGGCTGCAGACTTGATCAAGAAGTCTGACGAGAAGGGCAATGTTCCTTATCTGCCTCTCGATCAGACGCATTGTACCACAGCATCCAAAGGCAACACTAAACGTGCAGTGCACATTGATCAGCCCGAGGCGTATAGTTCTGTCACGGCTTCATATTCTGCATCATCGTCGTCGTCATCATACTCCAGCTCCGCCTCTGATTCAAGCAATAGCGCCGGATCGTACGACAGCTCGTCAAGTGTGCCCGATCTCTCTGGACATTCAGAAGTTTCAGGTGATGGACCCGTCGGTATGGTCGGAGGATTCCCTGCCGTTGGATATCCTAATTACAATCCTTCAGGAACCAAAGGCTTCGACATTCTAGCGTCTGATCGTCCAGCTTCGATTGGTCTTCCTGTCGGAGCTGCACTAGAGTGGGCAGACTGTCTTATCAATGGCCTCGTTGTTGATCCTCTGGAAGGTCTCATACGCACTGTCGACAGTGTTGTTAATCAGGCAGGTCATGTGCTACAAAACGCAACTGGCAGTGTTCTTGGGGGTGTCGGAGAAGTCCTGAATCACACTGTCGAGGCTACAGTCAAGATATCAGGTCTTGGCTCTGACATTTTGAATAGCATGGGTGCGAAGAATGAACGACGCTTCGTCGCTTGATTGTCGCATTGCTGGGTTGCTGGACTTATTGTATAGACGAGTCTCTTAATGACATGCCTCAACTTCAATATCTCATGTGCGTGCAAACAGTGTACAAGAGATGACCAAACTTGTTTCATGTGATGACGAGAAGTGAGTTATACAACTTCCTCGTGTACAAAAGTCTGTGACCTTGCCTGCTCTCACAGCAACATGAAAGCACTTTTGGACTATAGAAAGACACAGTTTTTCCCAACATCGAAGGTACAGCCACAGAGAGCTGACGAGATTTTGTGTCTCAGTGGGTACTGTCCCGCTTCTCGACACTATTGTGAGTCTCTATGGCTATACGTGTTACATGCTTTAGTACATGGGGAGGACATAATACCGTGACTTGTGAGAGTCATTGCGATTACCAACGGTGTCGTTGATGGCAATGTCGGTGTCGATTTTCTTCGATCACGTTCTTTGGCCCGTGCACTGAGGGACCAGAATCGATGTCATATCGCCGCCGAGAAACATCAGAGAGTTAACATCGCACAACTGCTCAGACGTCTCTTCTTTGCCTCATACAATTCAATCCACCTTCATCAATCGCCTTCGTACTCTCACCACCACACACCTCTCCTCACAACCTCTAAACACATACAACACACATCTCACGTACACCATGTCTGACTGGGACCAAGTCACCAAGATTGGCAGCAAGGCCCGCGGCGGTGCCGCCGGCCCACGCGAGACCGTCATCAAGGGAAAGAGCGCTTTGAACGCCGCCCAGCGTAGCGGTGGCATCGTTGCCACTGAGAAGAAGTTCGCTACCGCCAACGTACGTCGAGCACCCTCACTCAGCTCCCAGTCGCTGGAACCAGCTAACACGCGACACAGGNCATCCAGCAAGGGTATCGAGGGCCAGCATTTGACCAAGGTCGATCGCAGCGAGGACATTGTCGCAACCAAGAAGGTGCCGGATGATGTCGCCAAGGCTCTCCAGCAGGCCCGCCAGCTCCTCAAGAACCCTAAGGGTGCCACCATGACCCAGAAGGATCTTGCCTCCAAGGCCTCAGTCGATGTCGCCTACGTCGCCGCTCTCGAGCGTCCCGGTGCCGACTGGCCAGGCATGGACTTTGTCCAGAAGATCCAGAAGGCCGCCAACGTCCGCCTCACCGGCTCCAACATTGGTGCCCCCATGTTCGGCCCCAAGAAGAAGTAAACGCATCCAGGCACAGAACGATTCTGCTTGCTTTTTCATCCTTCTTCGCCGTCCTACGCCAGGACAACTGCATCACGAGCTCAAAGCTTCGCATTTGGGGAAGAGAGCGTTTCATGGGCATGCAATAACACCATTTGCATCGCCTGGTCCATTTTTGTTGGTTCAATCACGAGCGGGCGTTCCATAATGATGAACAGGAATTCATGACGGCACAAAGAAATATGGATCAAGATTGATATACATCGGTTCAATAAGGGGTTATGGCTATGGGACATGGAAGGGTTGGTTCGGTCTGTTTCCGACTTTCCGACATCAGAAGAGCTTTTTGCCTTCCTCCTTTCATAGCTTATAATGCAAGGCCACGCAACTGCATGTTGCTACTCCAATCCTCTGTCTCTATGTCCCCTCGACGTTTCCTTGGTGGTGTATTAATCGGTGAGCCTGATGCACGAGGCTAGCGGCAAGCATGTTACCTATTGAACGAAAGAGATAAATGGTCCTTGTCGAAGCTATCTAATTCGGAACTAGAACGTCTGGATGCCGAATGTGCAGATTGTCTCGGGACAGCAGACGAACAAGAAGTCACGTTGACATGCATGGTCCGTGAAGTCAAGCATCATGGGACTGCAAATCATCAACCGAGACATGCTGCACTTTCCGCGTTTGGGGTTTGGTTGTTGGAACCGCCTTGCTCCTTCCTGCTCCGTAATCACTCGGAGTACTGCATGACGATTCAATTTGCCGAGACCCGGAACTCGGATTCCCTTCTGGCTTGCCAACCACCATCAATTTGATATCTTCAACCACCTCATGCCGAGAGGAGAGATTTGTTGTTTTAGTCCTAGATGTAATGTAGAAAGGTATGTATTATCTGGCTAATATCAAGCTACTTGAGAATAGTGAACCTCCAGGTCGACAAAGCCCAACTGTCGACTTTGGCAACCAGAGTTGTGAGGAGAACCGCTTTCCAGAAGTGGATAATGGTCATCATCCCAACCCTACTTCCTGAACCTGTCTCTTGAGGGCGACATAAGTACATGCAGAGTACTTCAGCAAAGTGCAGGTTACTTGTCGAATGATAATCAAGCAACGTCAAAGGTCTGCCCTGGTTCTGTAGGAGCCCCTAGAGTTTTCGGATATGTTCTATCCCGTTTGTCTCGATAGGAATTCGATCCGAGACTACCACTGTCACTTGCCTTTATCTTTGCTCATGCCGAGCACTTTGGCCATTTTGCAATAATTGGATCCATCGAGACATATGTCTGTCATCACAAGCCGGTTCCAGGCCGAGGGACCTGGTCGATGCCCTTCACAACCGTGTCTGGAAAATACTGTCCATCTCTGCAGCTATTCCAACGACAGACCATAGGATATGTAGAGGTGGAAGCGTGCATCGCTTTGTCGGCTTCGTTCGATGATCCTCAGGCATGCAGAGGTTTACTCTGTTCGGAATGGGCCAACCGAGGCCATGGTGCCAGCTCGGAGTCACCGAAATCTCGAAGAAAATGGTTTGATTGACACTGGATCTTCGACAACAAGGAAAAGGTTGCCTTGTCGATCCCTCGACCTGCTGTTACCACGCCCTGTTCCCTCTTTCCAGAAGCAGCCGGTAGTTTGTGATGAGCTATGAATCGTTGACTTGCCATGAACAAGCCTGAGTTCAAGTCGGGATTGTCGCTTCTCTCCATCACTCACATATAAATTGCGCTTAACCAGACCTGCACCGTCTGTTGCATCCCTCTTCACCGCCGGGATTTACATGATCTGAAGACACAATCTAGTTCTTGCGACTCCTTCCTGAGCGATGTCCTTCGAGCCTCATACTGCGGGTAGAGGTCGTCCTCGTTACAAACACTCAATCACACTGCCTGATTTGACGTCGACGGGAAGAATTAGAAAAGGAACAAAAGGGAGACTGGAACATGGATGCGTCTTCTGTGGAAAGGTGATTTCAATAATGCTTCGTTCGATCAAGCATCACTGCTTACGTGCATCAGGTATACTCTCGTAGAGAACACNTTGAGGTAGTTTCTAATTTACTATTGCCGCTCCTTGAACATGCTGATGATTCGACTAGGCGACATCAAAGCAAGCACAAAAAAGGTGCCTACCCATGTATTTCTCCTGGCTGTACATGTACTTTCCACAATCCTGTTCTGCTTGATCGACATGAGCGCCACGAGTATGTCGCCTTCTGATTAGTTCCTCTGAGTTATGCTTACTCGCATTTGCAGTNNTGGTGTTTTCCCTTCCAGCTTCCGGAGACATACCTCTTCCGCTGTCCATCCAAACCTGAGCCTGCTCATGGGTCTCATGTTTTTGATCGTCGCTCAACATCAGCTACGCCAGTCACCCCTTCTGACGATGGAATAGTGACAGACAATGAAGGTCATGTCACATACAGTCCAACACCGTCATACACACAGTTGCCCTTAGGCTCCGAGCCCATCTTTAACCTTGCGAACTTCTCACCAAGACCCCAATACCTCGAAGTACCAAATGGTTTCACTTTCAGTAATAGAAGTGGTAGAGATGTTCCACGTCGACCCATGGCAGTATCAGGAAATAGCTCTCCAGCTGTAATGCAGAGCGAACATGACGACCGAACACCAAGCTGGATATCCGACTTTGAACATTCACTTCGTGAGCACCCAGTACATGACAATCTCTACGACCATGTTTCCGGTACGGGCCCTGCATCAGTTCTGGACCCACGACCTGAGAGATCTTATGACATGGTAGAGTCGAATTTTTGCCCAGCCGATCTGGGTGATCTGGTTCCTGACCAGCATGGAGACCCATGTTACAGTTCCCTCTCCACTCAACACGACGCATCTTTCGGAGACACAGACTTGCACATCTCATGGCTGACCAGCGACATACATGAGCACTATGATCCAAGTTCATTCGCACTGCTAAGAGGCCATCCGGAGATCTTCTGTCCTATATTGGAAGGCACGAGACATTCAACGATGTACGAGGATACCTATCCGAGGCAGGGCTCTCAGGCAGATCATTCACATGTACTCCAAGATGAACCTTTGCCTCAGACGCATCAAACAGGAAACTTCGGCTCTCTGCGAAGTCAGTCACCTGCCAATCTGGGTTTGTAGCACTTGGCCAGATGGTCAGATGAAGGAGCATGATTAGCGACTCATTGACTTGACGTCGCATTTGCTGAGATGATAACCCTGGCATTAGTATGTGCGCTTTGCGATCTTATACTACCATGCATCGTGGACCAAATAGACGTCAATTTCGGCTACTCTCTTAGTTCCCCCATCATTACCGCGTACGCTTCTCCCGATCTCTAGATTGTGTTGCCGTTGTTCATCAATATATTTTGTGATCTCGTAATATAGATACCTGTTAATAATATGCGGAGAATCATTGCATCGTTGGACTGGAGTAGAATCATCAACGACAACAGACATCTCATAATCATTCGAGTAGGGCCCATAACTTCTACTTATCAACATATTTCATCAAGCATAAGCACGATGCCTGCTCATTGCTTGATGGCCGGATGGGCAAAGATCGCATAGATCCAGACCGTCGTTATCAGATCCAAGAGCCGTACCCCACCTTCCCGAAGGATGACGAGAGAGGGGCAAGGGAGCGTGGTGCATCCTTCTGATGACAACAACACACTGATATTATTATCACAGAAGAAGCTTCTGTACATCATTAGCCGGCGCCAGAAGGGAGGTCTTAGAGAGCGTTCTTATGAGACGCTCACTCCACACATGATTGATGGTTGTCTTTGTCGACTTGGACGACCCGGATGAGGTCGAGCATCAGCATCAACATGGATACAACACGCCATTCGACATGCGAGAGTTGATCAATGCACATGCTACGAGGTCATTACAACGTCCTACCGGGGAAGATATCATCGAAGATGAAGAGGAAGATGGCAGGGAACACCCGAATCTGAATGCTTTATCTGCAGTACTGGGAAACTACCCGTTCGTCCCCCTCTTCTGGCTCCAGAGCCGATAAGGGAAGTTTCAACTGATGCTTGGTGATAGTGTCATCTCGGAGATTGCGAAACATTTAGATCTCAACTCCTTGCACGATCTATCGCGTACTTGTCGCCAGTTCCGCGCCAATTTGCTCCAGCACCGCAGGCAACTGATCCCACAGACATTGCGATGTGTGTCCGATACCCCGACGTCCAAAGAGAGATCAGGGGGTGTACGGAGGGAAGAGGCGGATGAACTGTGGACCATACATGGACCTGACGGAATTCGAGTTCCTAGATTGACCAGTGGGAGAGTTGGTGCATGTGCTAGGGATATGGTTGGAGAGTGTCGACGGTGTGGGACTGTCGTTTGTCGGGTAAGTGCTGCACGAGGGTAAGAGTGTACAACGAGGCAGCTGCTAAGCCAATGTCCAGNNAACTGCACCATGAAAGCTCCATCAACCTCCGCACTCAAGTCTCGCCATCGAAGACTATGCCGCACGTGCATCAGAGCACCACTACCTCTGCACACCAGAGTCACACACCCAGACACCGACACTGGGGACTACAACGACAACTCGTATTTCTTCTCGCCCCACCCGCCCCTTTACCGCAGCCCATGCACCTGCACCTCCCAAGTCTGGATATGCACACCGTGCTCTACCACCCTCCGCACCCTCGATACCTCATACATGCGTGCCTGGACCTGGCGCTCCCGCTACAGCACCCATCTCCACGGCATCGGCACAGGTCTCGGCACTGGCATCGAAGGCGTCCAATGCGGCCGCGAATCCCTCTGCCTCTGCGCCCGCACAATATTCAAAGAGATAGAGTGTGATGCCGCAGACACGAGGACCGGTGGCTACTTTTTGCAAGAGATCGAGGGGATAGGGGGTGTGGTCAAGANNAAAAAAGTCAAGAGGAGGTTGTTGGTGGGTGCTGTCGTGCAAGAGTTTGAAGATGAGAGGGAGGGTGGCAAGTATTTGGAAAGGGAGCAGGAAGGCGTGGATAGGAGTTGGTGTTCTTGGTGTGCGAGGATCGTTTTGAGCAAGAAGGATGTTTCGAGGGCTAAGAATATGGATGCTGGTCGTGAGGTTATCTCACTAAGCAGAGCTTCCGACAGCGATTTGAGTTCGAGCTCGAGTCTTTGATGGAATCGGAAGAGGGTGCCTAGGGATTTACAGAGTCAGGCATGTTGCCTTACTGTTTGAACTTACCTATGGTGTACTTCATGAGCCACCAAGCTCCACCTGGATTTACGATGCCTTCCGACGCACATTTGACTCGAGATATCACGACAATCAGATTCGCTAAGTGTAAAATGATCTTCATTAAGCCTTGATATTTTCCAGGCAACGCAATCAGAAAAAGAGCAGATGTGCAATCCCGTAGCTGCGTTTGATCTGGTTCATGTCCTCGCGCTAGATGGTAAAAAGAAGTGGACGAAACATGATGTGCTCAGAGATGATAATGGCTGTGGATTAGAGAAGACTGCGCTGCCAGCGCGCAAGAAAAATAACATGATGGATGGGAGAATGACTTTGGCAGGAGGAGGAACGTCTGCAGGCGCTTATCGCATTTGCTGCTGGCCGTATTGAGCGTCCAGACCGTACTCCAATTCCCTCTCGAGACCTTCGGTCGTGCTCTCACCCAGGGCCTGCGGACGCGGGTCCTCGGCTTGGCGAGGGTTCCATTGATCGGGCATAGGCACTTGGCCAGCCTGTTGTTGGTAGTCGCCATAGTGCTGCTGCTGCTGCTGCTGTTGCTGCTGGAGAGGAGCGCGCACTTCACCTCTGAAGCGTCTGACCTCGTCAAAGATGATTGTTCGAAGCTCGGGGATCTCCTTGACAACCTCGAAGCGGAAATCGAACTTGGTGGGACAGGCGGGTTCATCGCTGGGGTCGTGCCAGATGGCAAGGTATGGGTGCTCGAGAGCTTCTTCGGTGGTGATGCGCTTTGCGGGGACGAAAGCGAGCATCTTCTCCAACAGGTCCAGGGCGTCGGGGTTGGCACGGGGGAAGAACTGCTGGTAGGGGATGCGAGGCATATAAGGCAGCCCGCGGACATACTCGCGAGCGCGAGGGGAGCCAATGAGCTGGAGAGTGCTCTCATCCGGAGTACCGAGGACGTGGAGAATCTGGTTGAGCTGGTCGACGTAGTCCTTGCCCTTGAGGAAGGGCTTACCTCCCAGAAGTTCGGCAAGGATACATCCAACAGACCACACGTCGACNTAGGAGGGGTGGTCAGCATGAGTGGTCAGACAATGGTTGTGCGACTGGTGCGACATACTGGCTTTTGTGTACTCTGCGAAACTGAGCATGATCTCAGGAGCTCTGTACCATCTTGTAGCGACGTACTCGGTCTGGAAGCCGGCAGCAACATTGTCGGGCTCGTTGCTGAAGCCACGGGCAAGACCAAAGTCACAGATCTTCAACTCGCAGTCGGCATTGACGAGCAGGTTGCCGGGCTTGAGGTCGCGATGCAGGACATTGGCCGAGTGAATGTACTTGAGACCGCAGAGAATCTGGTAGATGAAGGACTGGAAGTGGGCGTCGGTCAATGGCTGGCCGCTGCGAATGATGGCGGCCAGATCACACTCCATCAGTTCTTCGTACAGGTAGACCTCGTTGTAGCTGGCGGGGCCGCCGGGGATGTCCATGTCGAAGAGACATGTGATCNNTGGTTACGTGTCAGCTCGTGCTGAACAGAGGCATGTCGAGAGGGCGGGACTGACGTTGCGGTGGCCTCTGAAGTGTTGCAGTAGCTTGATCTCGCGAAGGGCGCGCTTGGCCAGGATCTGCTTGCTGAAGACGTTGGTGATCTTCTTGACGGCTACCTGCTCTTTCGGATCGTGACCTGCTTGTGCTGCNGCTACAGCCGTCTTGGTCAGTCGAGCGTCTGGTACTCTGCTGCGAAGAGACACCTACCACACGATACCGTAGGCGCCCTGGCCCAGCTCCTTGGTGACATTGTATCGCGCGTCGACAATGAACTCTTGGCCAAACACCTTGAAGCTTCTGCGTCCGGCGACTTCGGTCATGTTTGCGGCGTTAGGGATTGGTAGGGATGGTGTCGAGGATCCGTCGTGAGACGCGGCGCTCGCTGCTCTTGTTGATGCAAATAGCGCGGGGAGGACGTAATCAGGCAGGCGCGGCTTGTTCGTGCTTTCCCGCTTCTGCTTTGAGCGTGTCGTTGAAGGAGTTTTGCAGGGCCGACAAGTCTGTATGCAAGCTTGCAACAAAAAGTCCAACGCTCTCTCGTAAAGATTATAGAGCAAGAGTTATATCCTGTCTGCACCGAACTGGCAAATGGTCCCTGGAGCTTGCCCAACTACCCTCCTCATGCCCTGATTGGCTGCTACACCCCACCCCACTTGTTTTGCCGTAAGCGCCAGCCTTACGGTGCCCCTCTGCTCCTCGGTCGCTTCTCAACCGTCAGCCCTCACCGCCCCGCTTACTCGAACCCTAGCCGACAAGTCTACGTAATTGTCTGCCATTTTTATATTCTTATCTTCAGAGATCCACAGAAGATTGAGACAGAGCTTCTCGAGTACGAATGTCTTTGCCATATACTTTGCGATCTCGTATTGGAACAATCATTCTGACTACAACTCTATGACAACGTCTGCCTGTAGCCACTCTTTGTATTCTTCTATACCATATGCCATCCACCTCTATAGACCAGTGTTGGTTCTCCAGCATTAAACTCGACAATACCCTATGTGCCGTGTGAGAATCGAAAAGAAAAAATGCCCTAATATGCATTTGCACAAAAAGCAGAATGAAACAATCGCTAGGAGGAAGGGGTCGGCGCAGCCCAGCATGTATGTGCGACAAGAACAATCAAGGCCAAGCACCTCTTCTCACAGTGCCCCTGCTGAGTGGTCTCCTCGAGCCTCCAATATCAATCTTTGCCATTTCCTTGCTCAACGCCGAAGCCCCATAGCCATGTTGCTCATACACCGGACCTTGGTGCTGGACCATCTGGTTCTCATATCCATGTTGGTCCCCACCACTTGGTGCAGTGTACTTGCCGAACATGTCGCCATAATGAGGCGGTTGGCTTGCGGGCGGAGGAGTCGAGTATGCGGAGTGATGTCCTTCGTAAATACCAGGTCGTCCGTCTGAGAAATTCGAACTGTAACCTGCGTGTCCAGCATAAGGGTTGGGCACGTCAATCTCAGAGAGTGGACCAGGTGAGCCCGTCATATGGCTGTGGTGTGACGCGGACGACATCGGCCGCTTGGGTGGTGAACCTCTTGTGCGCACGTTGACAACTACATCTCGGCCCATACTCACACGAGAAGGTGTTCTGTTTGCGACTGCCCCACGGGGACCTGCCAGACCACTTGCATAGATTTGTCCATTCGAACCATAAATCTTGGTCGGCGTCTTCTTCTCGGGCTCGGGTGCCCAGCTGTGTACAGGCAAGTGATCGCTGGGGTCGATCACCCTGCCATCGAAGCCGACGATTTTGGCGTTGGGGTCTGGTAGAGGACGAGCACCTTCTTCATCGTCGCCGCCGGGCGAGTTTTGAATGTGGTAAGGTGAGTGCGGATTTGATCCCGACGCGAAGGGCGAGTTCGAAGAAGCATTGGGGTTGAGAGAATCGAAGTCATCGGGCGAGAAGAAGTTGCCATTAGAAGTAGAAGGACGTGGAACATCTTTGCGAGTAGGTGAGGGAGAAGCGCTGCCGGTGGCGAAAGTACGGACAGGATGGCGGATGGCGTCAATGTTGTTACGTGGTGGCAGCGGAGAGACATTGCGTGGAGGAAGAGGAGAGACATTACGAGAAGGAGGGCGTGCCATGATGGGACTCGGCTCGTTGCTGTATCGTCGGTACTGGCCGTAATCCTCTGTGTATGCCGAAGGCGCAGGGCTCATGGATCGACGAATCTGGTTGGCAAGAGGATGTGCTCGGGGTGGAGTCATGGCATATGCATCAGGTACGCTTTGGCGACTAGCCACACGCGAGTGACTGCGATAATGCGATGATGCTGCCACCGAAGAGGGAGCCGGAGGTGGGAATCCAGAGTACGAAGCCCTGAAGTTGGGTGATGAGCCGTAGTATGAGCCAGGGGCTGGTGGAGGTGCGTAGTCGTCTACGGACATGCTCCTTGGTGGTGGACCTCGTGACGTGGAACGAGCGTTTCTGGTGTGTGATGGGCTTCTGGTGTGAGAAGGGCTTCTGGTGTGTGAAGGAGGCACCGGAGGCATTTCTCTTCCGTAGTCATACTCGTCAATGTCCTCGACCGTAGGTTGCAAGCAGCGTGGCAAAGGCTCTTGCCATCCTTGATCGGAGTTCACAACACTGGGAGACGAGAAAGAATGAGGAAGAGTTGGAATGCTCTGAGAACGGCTATGGCCGTAGTTTTCGTAGTTCTGGTAGTCGTGAGACGCAGAAGGCTGAGCAGGCACAGAGCCACGAGGTCTTCGAGCAGGGGGAAGCTGCGGTAGTTCGGGCATGACGGGTTGATGGTAGCCAGGATGGTAGTCTAGATCAAGTTCACCATGGTCATAGTCGTGTGCTTCCGGAACGGCAGGGGCAGATTGGGCGTGATGTAGGGGCCGTGGTCTTAGGCCATGAGGGGTCCAATCTTCTGTCGGTCGTCCGGGTAGTTGTCGTGGACCTCTGGCGTGGTCTGGCACAACCGAGCCTGGTGCTGGGGGTCCGTTCAACTCGGCAGGCAGTGGACGACGTTTGATGGCAGCCTTTCGTGGTCCGTTGTCGGCAGCACTCATGCCGCTCACCCTCCTCTTGGTCTCAGACGGTGGTCGCGTATCGTAGTAGGTCAATTCCAAATTGATCTCACCCGCGTATTTGCCTTTGAAGTTGAGAGCGTGCCATCCGTCATGCTTGCCTCCTCCCGGTATACAGACATCTTGCAGACCGATGTAGGCCTCTCCGATCAGATCCGTCTTCTTGTCATCGTTGAAGATGGAGACTTTGAGATTGTGGTAGTCGGGCGAATCGTGAACGGTGAATCGAAGCTCCTGGTCCNNCTGTTGTCTTGTGTCAGAAGGGTGCCTGATTATGCCGCATTTCATTCCTGCTCACCATCTGGGTGTCTGGCCTCCACGTTTGTCCGTCTCGGTCTTTTTTGCTTCTTTGCCCAGCCTCGCGGCGCAGTATGGGTTTTGCTTGCCCATGCGCTTAACATTGGGTAGATTCTTTGCGCGATCGACAATGGCCACCAAGGTACCAATCTCGGGGCCATCGACCGTCATGTCCGAGTAGATGCCTGCTGTATGCATGCCGTTCATCAATGCTGTCGCCATGCTTCCGAGTGTGCCGGGGCAGCGTCTTGTTTGGGAGAGAAAAAGTGGCCGAAGATGGCCAAGGCCAATATCCAGGCAACAGTTAAACGAGTGGAAAGCCGGCGCCTGGGTGGACGAGGTCGAGGGGCTGTGTTTGGCAGTTTGCGATGAAAGCCGGGGTACAATTGCTTGGAAGCTGTCGTGGACTGCTGCGTGCCGTTGCGATGATCGAGATGCGACGGCGAGTGATGGTCAAGAGAGCGTGTTGCAGCAAGACTGCTTTCGTCCCTGCTGTGCTCGACCTTTCTGCAGTATTCTGTCTCCGTAGCGTGGTGTGATTATTGTGACGTAGCCGTTGCTATTGTTATGTCAGAATAACCGTTTTGCTTTGGCGTTGGCGTCTCCCAATGAACAGGACAAACGAGCGGTGTACCTGAACAAGAGAGCCTGCAGAAATCGTTAAAGGGAAGAGAGTTGAAATGACAGCTGCAGCACCTTGAGCAAGCAAGCCAAAACCCTGTTGAGCTGTTGCAGCCCGTCAACTTAAAAAAAAATCCCAAGGCGGGTTGGAGTATGAGGTGGCTGGTAACAAACACGCGTCGTATCGCCCGTATCGCCTTGGTTCTTCAACTTCCACTCATGACTCTCAATCCATTACCTGTATCCTTGTCCTTCTGTGGTTCGTTGTATTACTAGGCCTTATCTGTGATGGCACCTCGTCCTGATCGCACTCTTCTTGTGTGACGTCTATTCTGCCTGAGCATCTCTGCTCGTGCCCTTCCCGCCGTGAATCGCTACCGCCGCCCACACCACAACATGGCTCTGCCATTGCTTATGACATACTTCAGCCAGCAAAATACCGAAATGAGCTTCTCACAGCTTCAGAGTTCTCCAGTCAACGCCGACTGTCCATGCTTCACCTGACACCTGAACATCCCAAGTTGGCGACCGGATGCTCACCCTGTCCCCTGCTTGTACCCTTTTTACATTTCGGTTCGCTTGACCATCAACAAGCAGCACATTAGCAATCTCCTTTCCAGGCATTGTGCCATGTGCGAATACTGGGCCATCTCCGTTGACTTCATTGATGTCGATAACGTGCACCGGATCATCGCCTGATAAAGAACTACGGGGTCTACCTTGAGATGCAGTTTGCGCTGCCTCGATAACCCATGATTGTAGCTCCGATGCTAGACCACCAGGCAAGAACTTCTGTCCTCTTCTTCGAGGTGAGAAGGCATCAGGCAACGGCGCAACAGTCTCTGGTGGTGGAAGCGATGCCATCAAGAAGGCTGGTCTACTACTCGCGGGTATACTTCTGTCTGCCTGAGTGAGTGGTGACCGGCTCATGCCTGTGGACGGTAAGATGAAACGGGCTGGGGTCGGCTGTGGGGTCGACGTTGGATCGCCATCATCGACCCTTCGTCGTTTTGGCGATGGTGGTAAGTAGGGTGCGAGATATGCTGCTTTCTCAGGCTCTGGTACCGAATCCTGAGACTCGGGCTGTGTCAAAGGTGTGAAAGCGAGATGACTGTTATCATTGTCGAGCATTTCTTCATCATCGTCGGATACGGTGATGGTCTCTCTCGCCTTGTCACGTTCATTGCCAAAGGCGATACCGGGACCTGTGGTGGAGAACTGAGGTTTTGCAGGCGATGGTGAACGTGGAGGAAAAGATGCCCGCCTTGCAGTGGACATGGCAAATCGAGGCACTTTCGCAAACTGTGAGGGTGTCGGACCAGATGTCGGTCGAGAAGCACTAGAGTCGGTGCCATCTTGCAGCACCTGTTTCGATAATTTTGATGGTGTCGGCGTGGCATGGTTCTGAGGTCTTTTGTTCAGCAAAAACCGACGCGGTGAAGGTGTCTGATGTGTGGTCAGTTGAAGTGATGCAGGTACATTTGACTTGCTACCTACTGAAGACGGTGGAGCCATTGCGTTAGACAGAGTAGTAGGTGTTGATGAAGGGATGAATTAAGAGTCCAAGGCTGGTATCGGAAATGGTAAATGCAGTAGGAAGCGGTCGACCAGGCAGCAACAACTGGGTGGGAACGACGCGATTGACCTTACTCGTGCCTATTCCTGTGTCTTCGCTCCAGTGATTCTAGATGAGACTACCTCGAAACAACAAGCCGTTATAGCAATTATGGGGAGTATAGCCGATGAGTGATGAGGTGACTGGAGTGGCAAGTGAAGATCAGGAGGCACCCTGACCTCGGCTCGGCGTCGCAGACGAGAAGGATCATGATTGAGATGGGGGAAAGCCAGAGATCGAAGTTGTTGACTTCGACTTTGATTGTATAACACAACGAACACCTTGGATCAGAGATAACCACAAACATGACTTCTCCCGACTCAAAACCAGTCATTGTTATCATACCTGGTGCTTGGCATGTCCCAGCCCATTATGCACACCTTGCACTAAAGCTCAACTCCAGTGGCTACACTGTAGACTGCCTCGAAATGTCCTCTACCAACGATGAGAAAGACTTGCCTGAAGATACATGGAAAGAGGACATCGCGATCATCCGCAATGCTATTACTTCACACACCGACGCTGGCAGAGATGTAGCAATTGTGATGCACTCGTTTGGCGGCATGATGGGTTCGGAAGCAGCTTGCGGCTTGGGAAAGAAGGAGACCGAGACATCTGGCTCTGTCATCAAACTTATTTACATGACTTCATTCATGTTANAAGAGGGCCAACGCCGCTCAGACTTCCCGGATTGGCCAAACATTGCTCGCGTCGACGATGAACAGGTATGTCAATCTTCCATGTCCACCATTGTTGCGAGCTGAACCAATGCGTCTTGTCGCNAGAACCCCAAGGCTCTTATACCCCTAGAGCCGATGCACTTCTTCTACCACGACGTGCCAGAACAAATGAGCCAGCGTGCAATCGACAATCTAGGCGGATGCCCGCTCCCTCATGTGATGAATTCCCCTTCGAAAGTCGCTTGGCGGGAAATACCAACTGCTTATATCGTCTGCGAAGACGACAGAGCACTCACAAAAGCCGGTCAAGAGCTGATGATCAATGCTGTCAAGGCCGAGGGCGTGGACGTCAAAACGACTTATCTGAAGGCTAGTCACAGTCCGTTCTTGAGCATGCCTGCCGAAACTGCAAAAGCAATCCGTGGCTTCCTGGAGAAGGCTTGAAGCGGTCACGACTTCCATCCAAAGAAGAACCGTCCGCATGTGATGTTGGAACAAGGATGGAAGTAGCGGCTTCCTCCGCTGCGTAGATAGAGTATCTGAAACCTCATCGTCCTCATTTCCAATCCTCACCTTCAACCTGAATATCCCACCAAACACATTCAGACCATCTGACACCTCGACCTGTTGTCTTGATCATGGCATAGTTCGTGTCCCTCTCTGTACCGATGCATGTTCCACCACCACCCACTAGGTCCCATGAACACCTCCATGCTGATACTCAACCATAGCCCACAGTGCAGCATCCAATCTTCTCGATTCCTCTCATCGCTCCTGCTGTCCGGAGAATGATCACAGACTAAAGTTGCCACCTCTTTCACATCTCGTCTCGTTTCACGCCTCACCGACCATGTCTATTCAATCTTCCCACTTCCTTCGACTACCCATTGAACTTCGCCTAATGACCTACGAACACTCTTTCGACAACCCGGACGCAACATCCCTATCGCATTCACTCACATTTGTATCGGAACAAGTCAGCGAAGAAGTCATGCCCATCTTGTTGCGCCTCAACTCAGGTTACTTCTGGACAGCAATTCCTTGTGACGAAGAGTGGTATATGGCTATCCGGCCACGCAAAAGAATCTGGAGAATGCGCCTGACCAACATGAGCGAGAAGCCCCTGAATACGATGCCGGAGATGTACACTACAAGCACTTACCACCTGCTCGTGGGTCGCCGGATGATGGGGTTCAGTGATTTCTACGACAGACTCAGCAAGAATGACTCGATGGGAACGGTTGTTCCAGGATATGGCTTGTGCCTGGAGTACAAGGACCAACAGGATGGCGTGAAGCGCCTGATGAGAGAGAGATTCTCCAAAGGTCGTGAGAGCAACAGTCCAGTCTTTTGGTTCGAGAGAGGCAGAGCAGGAGCCCCAGAAATCAACAAGAGGTTGACTGAACGAGTCTGGCATCAGCAGTGGCACGGAGGTGGTCGACGAGGGCCCACAAGCGGATGGATGTGCAGGCTAATAGTGGATGAGATCAAAGACACAAGATGAAGAGAGATCACATAGCTTCAAAATTGCTCAGAGGAGACGACTCAGAAGAACGGATCTGGCTCGGAGAAGACACGCTGCATATTCGTGGTCGAAATAAGTAAGGGTTTGTAAAAGAAAAAGCAGACTTGTTCAAGACCACTGTTGACGCCTCCATGAAATCGAAATCGAAAAAGAAACACCGCCAGGATCGTGTGTTTTCAAAAGTGCACCGGAAATCTGTTAACGTCCTTTTCCCTTTTGCTCCAGCCTAACCGTGCCGACGCAATGAGATTTTGAAATGCTCACGTTGGGGTTCTGTAGAGTCGAAGAATGTGCTGGGTGGCTTTGTATGCCAAAATGCTGGGTTAGTAGTACCAAGAAGGCGTCGACATGTTTGCTTAGACGTATTGTGACAACCAGCGGATACCCTCGCCGTAGCCCTGTCTCATGACAACACTGCACATGAAGACTTCGATGGGACGGATGCCCTCGAGAGGGATCTTGCCCTTGCCAGTGGTCTGGTAGAGACCCAGCTCGTGTCGCTATCAACTCTGTTAGCTCGATGGTACTGTAGGTTAGCGGTCAAATATAACGTACGAGTTGGTCCTCGCTGACGGCGCTGGGGTCTGCACCAAGTTAGTACACATATCCTGTAATCTTAAGATGGCGGTAAAACTTACGGTCAATCTTGTTGCCGAGAATCAGGAAGGGAGTCTTGGAGAGGTCCTCCATGGAGAGGACTGTAAGATATCTTGTCAGCACGAAATCCTTGTGTTCCATATCTGTGTAACGTACGAGCATCGAGCTCAGCCTTGCTCTCAATGAAACGCTCGGGATCCTTGGCGTCGACAAGGAAGACAATGCCTAAACGATATCAGCTACTATACTTACAGATGGAGCGGAGCTGCTCTCATGTACCGGAAACCTCGGGGAAGTACTGTGAAGCGTGGGTCAGCCTCTGGTGCCGACAAGTATATTCTGATAGCAACTCACGTCCTTCCACAAACGTCTTGCCTGTTGGTGACCTGTCCTCATTTTCAGCTGTGTGTTCCCGTGTCTCTTTCATTCAATTGTTCATACCGCCCAAGTCGAAGGTGGTGAAGCGGACGTTGCCGATGCTCAGCTCCTCGGAGGCTGCGTGCCATGTCAGTCATATATGTTGTGACATGTTCGTGTGTCGAAGGCGTACTGGGATGGAGGGTGGGGTTCAAGACGGCGCTGTTGATTGTAAGCTCGACTGTGTCCGGGTCTCGTGGGCAAGGTAGGCATACACTCTGTCGTTCTGGGAGGAGTCAGCAATCAATGAGCACGCGAGGCGCAAGGATAGGGAGAAGACGTACCTTGAGCATGTGAAGAAGCTGTTCGCGTGTTCAAATTAGCTGTCCGGCCTAGGCAGGGGGTAAGGCAACGCATGTCGAACGCACCGTGGTCTTTCCGGCATTGTCAAGACCAAGGAACAGCAGTTTCTGTAATGGTCGGCATCAGTACTGTTGTCGCAGATAGTCGAGTTTTTCCATGTTGCATACGGCGTGCTTGTTCATCAGGCCAAGATTGGCGAGAACATCCCAGACTGCAATGGCTCCTAGTCAGCGCTTGTCTCCCTCTCGCAGCCGGACCCTGTCGCGATAGCCGTCACTTACACCAGTCAACGATCCACATGTTGTCGGGTTGCTTGTGATAGTGAGGTGATGTGTAGAAGAGGACGTCGCGATAGCACGGGGCTGAGGTGATTGGAAGTGCAAGTGTTGACAACTATCACCACCAACTAATGTCCACGTTGGAGGCGTCGCCGCCGTCATCTGAGAAGCTGCCACTTGTGCCAAGAGCCCCATCAACCATCAGCATCCAGCATCCAGCAACCAGCATTTAGCATCCATCAGCCTCCAACATCACCAATCACATTGAACATTCAGAGCTACTAGGAGAATTAGGGTCATATAAAGAGCCGATAGCGACTGTGGTTACTTCTATCTGCAATCCTGGCTAGGTCCAAAACGAGAGAAGACACTTCATCCTGATTACGGATCAATCTGCTTTCCTCCCCAAAACCTCATTGGAAAAGTCAAACGCCAATTCTGATGCCCGTTCATGCAAGCAAATGTGGTATCTTGGGCCTCCAAAAAACTGCTGTCTAGAAAAAGAAAAATCCCTCGACCCATAAGGAATCGAGAGAAAAGGGGTATATGTATATACAGAGAAAAGGATCATTAACTTATGTATTGATGTAACGCATCGGCCAGCCGAGGGATCTTCTGTGACTGGAGCTGCGCGACTCGGTATTTGACTTAAGGAAATAACTTGACTACGAGCTTCCAGTGGGCGAAATGTGCGCAGCTGGAAAAAGACTCGCGTCCGTAAAGATGCTCTGTTCGTCGATCATCCGGGTACCTGCAACGACCAGCAGACTCGTACAACGAATCTGGAATGTGCCAACCGTGTGGACGGCGTCGCAAGTCCGTGATCAAGACGACGTCTTTTTAGTAGGAGAGGACGTGCTGCTTCTTGCCTTTGTAGGCAGCCAGCTCAAGCCCGACTTCTCTCATTCTTTCTGCGCCCTTGCCCGGTTTTGGTTTGCGTTCGTGGTCCTTTTTGCCCTTTTGGCAGTGCTTCTGGTAAAGCTTTTCTTTGCGACGTTGGCGTTTCTTCTCCAGACCCTTGACAATGTCAATTGCACCACGTGCTGTCCTCATACCCGACAAGGGATCATCATGTTCGTCGAGCGAAGGCGTCATGGCGTTCTTGCCAATCTTGACCTGACTCTGGACTCGGGGCAATGATGCCGTGTGAGTAGGCTGAGGACGACGGGCAAGAGTGGCTCTTGGCGTGAAACTGATGGGGGCAACTCCTTCAACAGAACTGCGTAGAGACGGTGGTGGAGATGTAGGACGGCGAGGCGGAGGTGGAGGTGACCTCAGACGTCTTGGTGACTGACCAAAGAGCTTGCGAGGCGGTGGTGATTTGTGGGCAGTGCGCTTGATCGGAGCAGGCGATCGCAGACGCTTGGCTGACGGTGGAGGAGAGCGGTGGGAGCGGTGCTTGGGAGGAGGAGGGGAACGAAGTCGCTGATGGGGAGGCGAGATGGACTTCTTCTTGGACGCGGGTTTGGACTTGTGACGACCACGGTGGCCCATGTCTTCGTTCATCTCGATTTTGCCGTGCATGAAGAGAGGCTGGTCACTCTCCTCAACGTCTTCGTCGTCCTCATCGTCGTCTTCCTCGTCCATGTCCGGATCAGAAGTAGGGAAGGTAGGATCAATATCTTGCGGCTTAGCCTTGTGCTTGGCAGCCTTTCTTCTCTCGAGACTCTGTATGTATGCTTGCTCAAGAGGACGGTCTTCGTCGAGGGTGCCGCAGACGAAGTCAGTACTGTCAGGAAGATCGGGCGTCTGAGGACGGTTGATCTTGACTGCGCGGCTTCTGCGCTTGACCATGCCATAAGGTGCCGATGCAGTTTTGTTTTCACCATGCGCCGAGCCCAGAGACGAGTCCGAATTGGTTCTTCTACGAGTGGGACGCACAGTTTCCAGGTGTTCGATAGAAGTGGCCGCGGTTGAGCGGCCTCCAGGCGCCCACCATTCATTTTCGCTGTCATCTCCTTCACTGTCGGATACGGCAAAGCCGTCTTCATCGTCTGTTTGGAAACCAGCATCGGATACTTCATCGTCTGAGACGACTTGTTGGGTGTCGAGGTCTTCGAGGTCTTCGTCATCCTCGTCCTCGTCTTCTTCAATCTCTTCATCTTCATCGTCTTCGTCTTCTTCAATAGCCTCTTCCTCGACCTCTTCGCCGATCTGTCTGATGATATTTTCCTTGTACAGAGTGTCATTGACAGTTAGGCGCTGGCGGTAGCAGCCAGATTCTTCCAGCCACTGTTCGTTTTCTTCCTCCGAAGGTCCGAACTCGTGGAATCGTCTTTCCTCACCGGGCACGTCATCGTTATCCATGCTGTATTTACGTCTTCGGACGGGCAGCATTGGTGTTTTACGGAGACTCTTTGGTGAATCGTTTTTGACTGTCGAATCAGATCCGCGATGGTTTCTGGGGAAATGTTTCGGGGATGCTTGAGTTCTTGAAGCCTTTGGTCCTGGACTGACAATTCTCGTTTTGGGTCCTTGAGTTGGAGCCAGAGTAATAGCCTTAGTCTTTTCCTTGGCAGGTGATGGTTGAACAGTGGGCTTGGATGGACAAGCAAAAGTAATGCATGTCTTACGCTTCAGGGGTTCCGTAGGGGCCGGAGTTGGTGCATCCTTCTTTTCCTGCTCACTCTCGGAAGCAACATGGTTCGAAACAGGCTTCTGACCACCACAAGCAAAAGTGATGCACCTTGGACGACCTAACCCGGCCTCTACAGACTTCTCGGGCTGAGATTTGCTGTCCTCAAGGATGACCGGCTCCTTGTAGAGAGATTTTTCCAGTGCCGGGATAGATTCTCTGATCAAGGTCGGAGGTAACGGAGGGCTTGGGGTGCTTTCACGAGTTCCGGGGCTGGTCAGATCATTATCGCTGGTGAGCTCAGCTGTGGAGGCGACGCTATGGTTACTCCATGCTGACATGCCACGCACGATGGCCCTGGCACGTTGGTGTTCGTCCTCATTTAGGTGTTCGGGCTCTGGTGAGTGTAGTTGGCGGGTAAGTAGAGACTCTCTGCGGGTGAAAGCCGGGGGNAGTGATTTGATAAAAGCAGCGTCAAGGCGGGGAGAGTCAACAAGCAATTGGTCTTTTCTTTCCGGTGGTTCGTCTGCTTCGGCGAGGAGTTCCGAGTCGATGTGTCCCATGGCTGATGTGCTTCGTTGGAATGGAGCGATATGTGCCATGTTCAAGGTAGGGGCCTATTTGAAGTAGGCATGGATGATGTAAGCGGTGGTAGTCGTGTGGTGGCTCAGTCGACGGCGCAGAAGGCTGTATGAGGGTGGACTCGATTTATGTATAGAGTGTGGCGCAAACCGCAGGACAGAGACTCCTTTGGTAGGACGACGCGCTGAGTAGCCGCAGCTGTTGTTATAAATCCAGAACGAACATGATATCTGGATACAAGAATACAACGACGAGGCCGATGCGATAATAAGACAAGCGCCTGCGCGAGTGTTAGTCTTGACAGCGTTCGGCAATGCGCAGGCACAGCATAGCCATACTGCTTGCTTGGGTGGTGGCCAAGGATCCAAGGATGACGCTCACTTGCAGATCGCTCGGATTGTCGGGAGCAAGAGGTGAAGACAGCAGGAAAGAGCAGGAGAGGGTGGTTAGGTCAGCTGCAACTTCACAAACGCACCGCACGCGACCCAGGGAGGGGCGAGAGGACGAGAGGGCGAGTTGATAAAGTGCAGGAAGAGAGCAGGCGCAAATTGCTGCTTGCAGCCAGAAACTAAAAGGCCCCCAGAGGTCGCTGCCATTTGTGTGGGCTCCGAGGCCCGCCCACAGTCCGTCCACCAACCCAACCAACAACAATCGAGCGGCCGAGCCTAAAAACCGCTCGTGCTCCTTCCACCCCCTCTTCCTTTTCGATGCGATCCATGCTGCACACCGCTTTGCAGTTCTCCCAAGAGCCGCCGTTTCGTCGCTCGCTCGCTCGTCCGCCAGCTGCAGTTACATCTGGCACGTGTTGCTCTTCTAAGAATGCAGCCCACCTCTTGTTGCCATGTTGATGCTGTGAAATTGTCGGCGTTGCGACAGGCCACAAATGCCTCACGTTGACGTAGTGAATACCTTTATTCATTCCCGCCAGGAAAAGCGGGTGTCCCGCGTTGGTCTGCCACTGCTGTGATTTTTTCTCCTCAACTCCCGGCTATTCGCGATTTCGACAGTCTCTTTGTCAAACTCAAAACCCGTGACAATTCTGTCTTGCGTGGGCATGTCACTGCGTTTGTGCTCTGTCTCTCTCTCGCTTGCATTGCTCTCTGCCGATCTCAAGACAAATCCGTGACTGACACCGGCAAATGCTTCGCAGGATGCAACGACGACGAGTCGCGAGTATGAGCCCTGCGGCATTTTTGCACTGCGCCAGGCGCTTTTTGCTGCAGGTGTAGCAACGCCATGCATCCACGTAAACGTCGCTTTGGGATCCCTCGTACAGTTCGTTGCAACTTGCGACTAGACTCTTCACCGCTCTACAGGCCCTCCTTTTGCGCGTGTTACAGCAGATCATGGCTGCAGTCTCGTTCAGTAGAGGGCGACACACGATGTCAGCCACTGTTGGTACGAGTAGGTAATTCTCCGAGTTCTCTTCGCAATTCCAATATTGGCGGCTCTCCAGTAAAATGCCGCTCCCCAACCTCAACTTGAATACATGTACCCAGTACCTCGGACACAAGCTTGGATGCTGTTACTTGCAGCATGCAGACGACGCACAGTGGGGCTATACAATCTCCATGGATAAAGGGTTCAATATACCCAATCGCTGGACTCGTTCAACACGCCAACCCCGCTCTGTTCTGTCTCCTGTTTCGAGTGGGCGCCTTCCGTTTTCATCTATCTAGCCGCGACCATATTTGACGCTCGATCAAGCGTGATACTACGGAGCATCTGACACGTCTGCCACTCCGGCTCACGAATCACCTGCTGTCTACTGATACCAATCCTGTTTCAACGATCTGGACTCTGTCTAGTCCACACCATGGCTCGCATAAACATACCCGACTCGATCCGCAACGTCAACTTCCCCTCGTTTGACCAGTAATCAATGCGGAGATTTTGCAACTTATCGTCGTTGATGGTTCACTCATCGGAGATGTCAGTTCATGGACGATGGCCGGTGTCGGCAGGACATCTTCGTCCTCGCTGCACTCGAGTCACCATGTATACGTACCAAAGAGCTCGGTTATTCTCTTTTCTTGTGCTTGACATTATTCCATGTCGACAACCAACATAATTCACAAGGGCAAGTATGCACTAATTCATCACATGTGGAGGGCATTACAACACTCCTTTCGCACATGATTGATCTGATCGAGCGAGAAAATCTGTCTAGGCACGGGCTAGCTGGATACATACAGTCACCCACCTTGCTGCTCCTCAGTACTTCAATTCGAAGCCCATCATGTTTCCGTTAACGATCTCGTAGATCTTCCTGGCCCAGGCCTTGAACTCTTGGCTGAGTTCAATCTTCTGCTCTCCTTCGGCCACAATAGACAGATATATCAAGCCGTCCACAACTCCAACCATGGGGATACCATGCGTAGCGTCCATGCTCACGTGAGAGCCTTGCACGGTGGTCCAATAGCCGTAGCTCTCAAGGATTTTGGTGGCACTGCGCTTGAGCTGGCTTCTGTTGCGTTTCTGGCAGTATGTCTGAGAAAGCCACTGCCAGACGTCAACCATTCCCAAGCACGGCAGCCGACGCGCCAAGTTTTCAGCATAGACGTCTTCGAGGTCCTCCGCCACAATCTCAGCCATTGCAATCAGTTCTACATCGACAGCAAGAATATCGGTCAAGGTTCTGTCTCCCATGAATGCCATACAAGTCTCGATATGCTCAGCGAGAGTCTGCATTTCGACCGCAAATCTCGCCTCCGATGTACAGAGAAGACAATTGCAATGGAAGCCCCAGGAGCCGAAAAGAACCTTTTGACGTTCTCCTAGAAGTGGTGCTGGTATTTGATAGGAGATGGTGATCTCTTCGCCTTTGTTGATGTCTTCGGCGGCTCTGAGAATGATCATATCACCAACGAAACTTCTCACAGCATTCGCCAAGCAAGCATGATTGGCGTTGGCGATGTGTATCCACAAGCCAGTCGATTTGGGACTTGTTTTGGTCATCGTTGCCGAGGTGCCGTACGCCTGCGATTCGCGACCCACAGTATAGCTGAAGCCGTTCAGGTCGAGAATCTTGGAGACCTTGAAAGTGTCGACCACAGGATTGCCATCGATGACTGGAGCAGAGATCAGCGAGGTACTGGGTTGTCCTGCGTATAGACCAAGAAGGTGTTTGCTCTGCGACGGGTTGTCGATTGCCTTTTGAACGCTGTCAAGCCACACTGGCAAAGTCGACTTTGGTGTGTGTTCATCTGGATGTGCGGCCGAGAAAGCCTTTTCGCACAGAATCAAGTCGCCCATGCGGATGTCCTTGGCAGCGAATAGTCCACGGCCACGGTCTTGCGTCTGGCGCACTTCTGTTCTTGAAGTGAAGCCGGCGCGGTCGGCATAGCAGCCGTTATTTGAGACTTCGCCGATCATCTCTGCAAAGTCGAATGCTCCTTCCTGCTGCTCCAAGAGACGCACTTTTGTCTTTTTGAGCTCTTTGTAGCCTTCCAGGTCTAGTGGAGCAAGGATGATCACACGCTCAAAAGCCTTGAGAGCGTCAGCGTAGTGGCCAAGCTGATAGTTAGCACGACCGCGATGGAACCAGGCTTCTGCGTCTTTGACTTTAGATGTGTCATCCCTGCCGTTTGTCGTCGACATGAAAGCATCCAGAACCGTGGCATCATAGCGGTTCAGATGGAGATCGGCCAGCGAGCGATTGCGATAGAGGGCGCACATCAAGTCCCGCATAACACCGTCGTCATCCAGGTCCAGGCAAGAAACACCACGGGTAAAGCTGGAAATCCAAGTCAGCAATCTCCTTCAGGAGGTGGGTGTACGACAAGCAGCTATAAAAAGGCACGATGTGATTGAGATCCGTCTAGTAGTCCAGAGAGAGTGCATCAAAAGCTCGCTCTCTTTGGATTTGACTTTGTTTCCCAAAACAATCGTGCATTTTCATAGCTTTACGAGAGTCGGGTGTAAAGTTTGGAGCGGCTGAGTAGTACTTACCATCGGTGTGCTTCCGGGTACTCGTCCCGGTCGAAGGCTTTGTCTCCTTCCAACTTCCAATCCAGAGCCGTCATCTGAGTCTCCTCACGATCTCTCCACTGTTCGGGATATAGCTTGTGGCTTTGACCCAGGACCACCATGTCGGACGGATGATCGACCCGAAGAACGTAGCGGCCGTCGTCCTCCATGTGGTAGAATGGCTCCTTGACGGTAACCACAGTACCTTCTGGCACAACCTCGCAGGCGCGAAGGGCCTCCTTGGTATGGTAGAGTGCCATGCTATCGACGTCCCTGGTCTCGTCCTCGACTGCAGCCCTGACGCCCGACCTGCGGAACGGCTGGCAGAACACGCGCAGCAGCAAAAAGCTGCCACGATGGTGCGTCTCAAACTTGAGATCTTTCAAGAAGATCTTCTTGAGCTGAGCGAGGGGCAGGTAGCAAGGCCTGTAAAAGTCCCCGGGCACAGGACGAGTAATCTGTCTTGCGACGGGACAAGAGGGCAGAGGTCGCTACGACGCACGGGTCAATATCGAGCTGATTGCAAAGCATATCTCAGTCTTTTGCTTACATTGGTGAATTCTTGCACGAGTTGCTCGCGCGACTGGGAGATTCTGCGGAGATCTCCTGCTTGTCGGAGTCTTCGGGCTAGCATTTCCTCTTTCAAGATAGCCCTGTGGTAGGCGAGGGGTCTTCTTCCATGGTAGGGTGGCGCGTCGGGAGTATTAAAGGTAGGGTGCTTGTTCAGGTACCCGGGTCTCACAACGAAGAGTGTTTGTGTGAGAGACAAGCCGGAGGTGAAGACACTATGAGACGCGTTCACTACTGTACGGGCTTGTTCGGCGATACCACCGTTGCCTAAATTCTCTCGTCGACCCCTGCTTTGCATTCGTTCGACTGCAGGATTCTTGTTCACTCATGTCGAAAACTACTGGAAGCAAACCATGTCGACCAACTGGTACAGGCAGCGATCTGAACCCGGTATAGTTCTCGTTGTCGACCAAGCTCTATCTCCTGGAGGGACGACTATTGCAAAAAGGACTGTACAAAAGCAGAAAGCAATCAAGGAACTGTAGTCTGTCCATAGAGAGCATGCTTTCAACTAGGCTCTCTCTGGACATGATTTTGCTTCGAACGTAATCCTGACTTTTTATAGATACTCATACATTGAGATGCTCTCATGAGAGCTTGGATGTGGATGTATGAGGTTCTTCACCATGATATAGAAATAGGGACATCTCACGAAAGATCACTACAACAAAAAGGTACTATATAAATGCATAATGCAATCAAGAAACAAGAGTATGTCTAGAGAAGGCATGCTTAACACTATGCTCTCTCTGGACATGACTCTATTTGTGGAAAACACTGTGCATTTCCATAGCTATGCATCACTGAGTAGCGCTATGTGAGAGTGTAGAAATTTGCATGTTTGAATATGGAAGTTGATCATTGAGATTCTATGTTTGCCCTTTCCTAAAGCTTTCTCCTGCCAAATGTCTCACTTCGTTTTTCTGCCTGTGAGATATTCTTTGCTTCTTTGCAATTCGCAGCATGAGAGATAGATTCTTTCTTCTCCTTATACATTCATACGGGCGATTGTGGTTTTGCAAAGAAGACTTGTGACCACTACTTCAAAGGTGAGATCATTTGGAAGGGGCCGTCCATAAGATAGCACTGTAAGCAAGTCAGTATCTGCGACCGTCTGAGGTTGGAAAGCGATTTTACATACGTCTCTTTGTCAGCGTCATCATGTTCGACGTTCTCGCACTCAGCTCCATCTGATGTCAAAGCACCAGAGTTTTGATCGTCGTCGTCGTCGTCTTGATGAGCGCCCTCCTGTGTTTGCTCCTCGTCTTCTGCGTGGCCTTGGCCATTACTTATATCTTCTTTGCATCTTCTGACGGCGCGCTTGAGACACATCTCAAACTCTTTGTGATGGTACTCTGGGTCCTGAGGATCCAACGGCTTGAGCACAGCCTTGCGAGATGCAACCAAGAGAATCTCGAGTAGCTGAAGAGGTGACTGGCCCGAGTTGATGCCATAGCAGACATCGCGGTGTAGAGACAAAGCATAGTCTTTGTCTTCGGCAGTGAAGATGCAGGTATGTTCAGCATGGCGGAAGTTGAGCCTGATCAATCCCACATTGATGAGTTGAGCTAGTGGAACAGCAACGGCGAAAGGCAAGATGCCACTGTTAATCTGATCGGTGAGTTTGTAAAAGTAGCAAGGTGGGCACTGGCAAGATTGTCTGTCTGCCCACCAGCCGTCCGGAGGTGGCTTTGTGAGGTTCATCCAGCCGGTGCATGGCTTGACCTGGGCTCCTTCGACGAGTTCGGGAACGAAATTTCGTGGTGGGTGGGGTCTTTGGTCGTGGAGGTGCGAAGCTAGCTCGGCGGTGTTTCTGTGTGCGATGGCCTTGATCACGACCATGTTGGGCTTTGTACGATAGAGAACGTGACTATTGTCTGAGAGATTGTGGTGGTGTAGGTAGATGTTGAATTTGTCAGTTTTTGTCACGGTAGTGAAGACAACAAGCTACTAAAGCCTAGGTCTTTTATGGCACTTTGGACATTCTCATGATAAGGTGAAAAACCAGTATAGTGAAGGCAAAACCTGCTGCTTCTTCTTTCTGAATGTGGTACTAGATATTTAAATTAAGAATGAGGAGGTAAGAGCAAATGCTTGGTCTTGTCAACTTGTAAAAACAGGCCATACTTGTACATGTAATGTGATTGGAAGCCATGCTTACACCTTCTGGTGTGACTAGGCTGAGCCAAGATGCACTCCTTGTTCTGCTGATGCTGAGAATGCCATAATACTAAACTGCAAGAGGAAGAGGAAGCAATGTTTGCCAGGTACAAAATTCACCGTAGAGAGATACAAAGCTCTAGGTTTGACGTATATCTCCAATTCCTTCAGTGAGAACTAAAATCAATCGGATGCACTTGATGACCAGAGTTGAGGAGGAAAATAGAGTGAGAGACGGACGAGTTGTTGGAGAGGTGTCGGCAGCCGAGATGCGGGCCGGATTCGGAGAGCGGAGTTGGAAGCCGGCGATGATGATGATGCTTGGAGGGGCAGCCGCTTTCAACAAAAGTTGTTGACCTGATCTTGTCACAAACACGCAACCATCATGGCTCCTAAATTCTTGACTGGCGACCAGGCCGGCATCGACGAGTTCCTTAACAAGTTTGATGTATGTTCAGAGTCTTGTCCATTGATGAAGGTATACTGACTGGTCGCAGNNGTCTTCTTGTTCGACTGCGATGGTACGCAACCCCGATCATACATCAATGCGATACGACGGCTCGCGAACAAACACAATCATACGAACCGTCGAGACTGACGATACGAGAAGGATANNGGCGTCCTGTGGTCGGGCGATCATCTCTTCGAAGGCACCAAGGAGACTATCGAGATGCTCAGAAGCAAGGGTTGGTACCCTCCTGGGTCACAAGAACAAGAGACAGCCATGCTGAACAAGAAGCACANNGGAAAGCAACTGGTCTTCGTGACCAACAACAGCACCAAATCGCGTGCAGACTACAAGAAGAAGTTTGACAGCATGGGCATCCCTTGCAAAGTGGAAGAAGTCTTTGGCTCTGCCTACAGTGCAGCCATCTACATTGCCCGCATCCTCAAGCTTGAGGCGCCCAAGAACAAGGTCTTTGTGCTTGGTGAGTCGGGCATTGAAGCCGAGCTGGCATCGGAGAATGTGCCGTACTGCGGAGGTACAGACCCCAACCTTCGTCGCGAGATGAAGCCAGAAGATTTCACAAACATTGCCAACGGCAGTGCTCTCGACCCTGATGTCGGCGTTGTGCTGGCTGGTCTTGACTTCAACGTCAACTACCTCAAGTTGAGCATGGCATACCACTACCTCCGCAGAGGAGCCGTCTTCCTGGCAACCAACACCGACTCGACTCTGCCCAACTCACACACTCTCTTCCCTGGTGCTGGCTCAGTCGGCGCACCTCTCGTCAAGGCATGGGGCAAGGAGCCTCTGGCATTGGGCAAGCCCAGTCAGGCCATGATGGATGCAGTCGAGGGCAAGTTCAAGTTCGACCGCAGCCGTGTCTGCATGATTGGAGACCGTCTCAACACAGACATTCAGTTTGGCATTGAAGGCAAGCTTGGAGGCACACTGGCCGTCTTGACTGGTGTTAGCAAGAAGGAAGAGTTCCTGGCCGAAGACGCTCCTGTGGTTCCATCAGCATATGTCAACAAGCTTGGTGACTTGCTGGGGATAGATGGATAATAGATGATAGATTGTATAGAGGGCGAGCATTAAATTATGCAGAGTAATGCAACAAGCGCATGAGGCGCCTTCTCGATTGATTGAATTCTTGGCACAACGCGTCGCGGTACATGCGAAGCAGTCGCGTCCCATGGAGAGCGACCATCTTTTTGGCAATCACAAGTACAATCATATTACACAGACGTTCACAATGTTGGCAGCCAGACCTGTTGCACGGCTCGACAACAAGCGAAGGGCGGTGCTCGATCCTCGCAAGAGGCAATTCGCAAAGTCACAATGGCAGGAGCAGGCTTACGAGTACGCCATGAACTTTTACAATCTCCCTCCCACCGGCGACATTGCCCTCGAGCAGTTTGAGGAGTGGGGCATTGCCAGACTGAAGGGTACCTATCCTGTCTTCACCGCCAGCTTCTCATCAACTGACGCATCCCAGNTCCTTGCCGAGCTCGAATCATGCCAGTTCCGCAACCGCAGCGCCGAAGAAACATCAACATACATGAAGCCTATCCTGGACAAGTACCTCCGCCTAGATCAGAACTCTTCGAGATCCACCGAGCACGAAATCCAACGCAAGCGCGATCACTACTCACACTGGACTCTCCGCCTTGCCTTTTCCGCAACCGACGAACTTCGCAAGCGCTTCGCCAGACTCGAGACTCAACTCTTCCGCCTCAGACTCAACCAGAACGATGCACGAGAGCGCAAGGATTTCATTCAGAGCCTCGACATGAGCTGGGAGACTGTGTTAGACGACGAAAAGGCTCGCTTGCTAGACGAGCTGAAGAGTGCCACTGGTGTTTACAAGAATGAGGAAGAATCATGGTTCAAGGTCGACTGGGAGAACGTGCCCGAGCTTGTCGAACAACGAAAGGTCCTCCTCAAGATGGGCAAGGCTTTTGTCCACATGCGCGAGCAGACGAGTATGGTTGTTGGAGAGTTCAGCAGACAGCTCGAGGCTGGCCTGGAACTGGCTGCTCGCGCTCTGCCACGTATGGACGAAGACAACCGCCTATCCCCCATCCTCACCCATCTCTCCAAGTCTTTCGCCTCTCCCGACTCCCAATACAATGCCGACGCTTCCTCCATCTCCGACACGACCGTCATCACAGCCAACATGATTGACGCTCTAGCTTCGCACTTCCCTCTCTGCATGCAAAGCCTTCACCACGAACTGCGCAAGAACAGCCACTTGAAGCATTTCGCGCGTTTACAATACACTCTCTTCCTCAAAGGCATTGGTCTCGACATGAATGAGTGTATCGTCTTCTGGAGGAAGAGCTTCAAACTCATGACCGACGACAAGTTCAAGAAAGAGTACCTCTACAACATCCGTCACGCATACGGCGACGTCGGAGGTGACTCCAACAGACGCGGCAGAGGATACACTCCCTACTCATGCCAAAAGCTCATCACCGACGTCCCAAGTAGTGGACAAAGTCACGGCTGCCCATACCGCTGGTTCAGTCAAGACAACCTCATGGGTCTCCTCCAATCCACCGGAGTCACAGATCGTGAAGTTCTCAAGAGCATCAAGGAGGATAATGCAAAGCAGCGTTACCACATTGCCTGCAACCGAGTCTTTGAACACCAGCACAAGAACGAAATCAAAAAGGTCAAGGATGCTTCGCTGTGGCCGCAGAGTGAACTCGACACCATCACACATCCCAACACTTATTTCAAGCGCAGTTTCATGCTGAAAAACTTGAACAAGTTCCAGAATGGAGATATGGGCGTGGACGGACCTTCGCAGACCTCGCAGGGTTGATGTTTTTTCTATTTCTGACGATTATTCCCCTTGTTACAAGCGTGTCTTTGAATTTGGAGGAAAGGGACAGGGAAAGAGCATATCGGTGTCGGGCGTTTACGAAACTGTTGCAAGAAGACAGATTTGCTGATTTGAATGACTTTGTTTTAGCTTAGGTAGATACTCCGCTGCGGAATTGATGAACAGAGTATGCATTATGAGTGCAGTACTTGCTCGTTCCAGACCCGACTGCCTTCTCTACACACTTTTTCTGACATTAATAATATCGCCAGCCAATATACTCTTGATAAAGAGCAGAGACTTTGGCTCCAGCTTGTACGACCCACAATCGAGAGCGAGGTCGACATCAAGAGTTTTCTGTCCATGTGGTTGGCAACATTTGGCAATGAGTTTGGTATCGCGGCTACTCAATCTGATGGCAACGGAGGAATACGCAAAGTAGCTTTTGCATGGATGGGATGGCTCAGGCGTAAGATTGATGATTGAATTCCGTTGCTCGGGTTGGCATTCTACCGTTGTTTGGATGTCTTACGACTAGGATTTGGAATTATTGAAAATGGGATAGCAAGGACACGCTTCGGCAGTCAAAGTGTATAGCGACGATGTTGGTCACATCTTTTCGGATTCGAGAGAAGATAGCACTTGGATATGTATGGTACGCAACGTGGCCCTGGTGTATCTAGCGCTCCTGCTTCTTCTCTTCCCAGCCACTGTGATTCTGTGTATGTCCATGTGTATGGCTAGTCTGACTTCTCCTCTCCACCTCACTGCGTTCCTTCGATCATTACAAGCCTTGACATCCGCTAGCCAGAACGTCAATCGTCCTTCCTATCCAGGTGAACTGGCTCTCATTCGCTGCCCTGCTTGGTCCGACCACTATGCTAGACGATCTCGCAGTCTTCTAGAAGGTCTCGCTGCCTTGCCAAAATGTCTTGTTGTTTTGCTAGAACATCTTGCTGTCTTGCTAGAACATCCCTCTGTTTTGCTAAAACATCTTGCTGTTTAGCTAGAGCATCTTGCTGTTTTATTAGGGCGTCCTGCTCCAAGGCTAGAGCATCTCTCTGCCTTTCCAGAATATCTTGTTGGTCGCTCAAGAGATCTTCCAGGAAAACATCACTGCTCGAGGTGGATGGGGATTCAAAGATTGCCGCATCTCGTTCTAGCAAGCTTTGTAGAGAGTCCTTGTCGACAGTGCTCGAGTATGACCACAAATCCATATATTCGCTTGGGTACTCGTCGTCGAGCATCATCTGCCTGATTTTTCTGGCTGGGTCTTTGTGCATAGAAGACGAGGCGGCCAGTACCCAGGTCGGGTTATAAGGAGAAGAGCATGATCCCACGTTCGTCCAAGTGTGCAGGATAAGTTCGTAGAGTCCTTGAGAGTCGTACTTTACGAGCCTAATGACGTACTCTGTGAGACAGGTAGGACACTTGTGAATGTGCGATTGAAGATCTGAAGATGAAGTAGGTCGGCACTCCCTATGCAAGAGCACGCTCAGCTGCTGTTTGATGCCGTGAAAGAGTGGTGTTGCTTTAGGTGCTGTGTAGCACTGGCATGTCCTGAGCGAACAACTTGCCAGACTTGCAACGATACGTGTGCAATCTTCACCATCGTCCATGAGAGACTGCAAGTACCGATGGCTGATCATGATACGTTGACTTGTATATATGATGAGACGGTTTTTGGCAATAGCGGGACACAGATACATCTTCCTCATCCACCGAGCGCGGTATGTGTCAGAGTACCAATGCGCATGCCAGGGTATTTCGCGAGAGATCTTCTCTGTTGAGATTCCATAAGCTGGCCCCATCAACCGGTATCGCATGATGCCGTGCAAATGCTCATAGGAGAGGTTGAGATTCCAATCGCCAAAGTGCAGCCATGTTCCTGATTCTAGAGCTTTCGAGCAAGGAGACCAACATTCACAGTCGTTTCTGCTCATCCGGAAGGGTACTTCGCGTCGCGGATGTAATCTCTTACAATGCTCACAGAGTGACATATGAGGCAGATCCCTCTCCAGCAAGCTCAGAAGAGACAAAACTTCGCGACCTCTGATGTAAGGTATCGACGAACCAATGCGGGATCTTAGTCTCTCTTCGGCTTTTGAGAACCCTCGAGTCCACGACTTAGATAACACCTCGTCGTAGTATAAATCTTTGCATGTCAAACTGAGCGCTGCGATATTACATGCAGGAAGATATGTCGGGATCTTTCGTACCAGTTCCAGTGGAAGGTTGCCAAAATCGCTCCTACCGGCATATCGTCCGGCAGACATATTTGATGGTCTTGACGTGGGTTGTTGGGTGTGTGGGATACCACGGAATATCTTTGGAGGGGGTCTGGGTTGACGGAAGGTGTGTTCAAGCAAAGCTTCGTTATCAAAGCTTGCAAGCTAGAATGGATTTTTTAACACCAAGATGATATCTTGGGAGTGACTCAAAGGCCAGGGCTGACTCAAAATCCACGTGTGAAGCTTCAGTTTCGCAAACTCCTGGCCATAGAGGGAAGGACGTTCGTTGGTCACAAGCCGACCTGTTTCTGAGGTCTTTAACTTAACGACCTCAATCGCTCGCAGTAAAGAGCTCAAACCCAGATATTGCTGTTATCCTCGATACATTTATATTTTCGTATGCTTGACGTCTCCTCGTCAGTATGAAATGTTTCATCAGAAGAACATCTGATACAATGCTTCTCTGTTCTTGAAAATTTTCCTGCCATACATGATGCCTTGCGAGTCAGTCTTCCAAGCGACTGTCAAAAAACGTTCGGCTCTTCTCAGAGACGCTGGACCCAGGCCTTGATGAAACTGCGGCAGAAGCGATTTGATATGCTCTTGTGTTGCTAGATCTGTTGCCGCTGTGCCGATGACAACCAACGGCCATAAGTGATTGTTGATTGTGTGTTCGTGCTCGATGAGCTGGTCTAAAAGTTGTAGAATCTCAGTGACGAAAGCGTCAGCGTCGAAGGGTAGGATACAGCTTTGTTCTTGCGCAAGATGTGTTGTGAGGTACGAACATGCACACCAATAAGCTTGAGCAAGTAACACCAGGCGCCTCGGTGGCAAGTCAAGTTGTGTCGACAGCGATTCTTCCCGACATGCTGGAGCGGTCCATGATGAAAGACGAGCAATGATCTTCTCCACTTCTTCTTGATCTTTGTCGTCTAAGGATGGCTTATGGGCGAGCCATGAAACTCTGTAAGTCATATCCGCTAGCTCCGGGCCGCCAAATCCGATCCAAGGGCTGCTACGCCAATCGCAATCCATCTTCAGCTGATTTAGAGCCGATGTAAGTGTTCCAAGTGCCTCAGTGATATGTGTGATTGGTAGTTGTGAGTCAGGTTGGAAGAGGTGATTGTTGGCAGTATGCATGATATAAGCTTCCAGCACCAAAACGTCATGGTAGCTCATGGGGGACTGGTCCTTGACGGTCGGAATGAAGAGCTCGTGCGCTCCACGTAGATGAGCCTTTCCAAGTGTAGATTCTTCGTCCTTAGACTGGAAGCCCTATATCAAAAGTCAGCGATTGATCTTTAGTTTCTATGAAAAGCTCACCTCGAACAGATGCAATAGCAAGACTGTTTCTCTCTTCCACTTGTCGTTGGTCTGTGACCTATCTTGCAGAGCTTGACTCAGTCCGCTGACAGCACTATCATAGTGTCTGATAGCCTTCTCATGCCAGTATGGCATTGAACGTGAAAGTGCTATGATGCTGCACGCGACCCAAGCGTGTAGGAGGGTTGGATGCTCAAGGGCCAGAGGGAGACTGTGAACAACGATTGAGTCTTTGAAGTCGCTGTCAAGACAGAGAATCTGATTTTGGAAGGCTGCAGATATGTTGAGAAAGACTTGAGGTGATAAGTCNGCTACAAGGTGTCAGTACTTGTCTACTCCTTAAGAAGCTTTCTTTTGTCCCTACGGAGAGATATGTGCCACGACATCTGGTATGCGCCAGGAGCAGAAGTTTTCGAATCCAAGATCCATCGCATAGTTTGTGTCAGGAGTTGAAATCGGGTCTGTCGTCGTCTCCAGCCTGGATGAGCTCCAGGATTTATTTGTAGAACTGGCAGGTGAACTTGGCAAAGGCTGTATTTCAGGCTCCTGAATTGACTTTATCTCTCGTCGAGCTCGCTGTCGTCTCTGCCCATCTGACCATACGCACTGGTCTTGGCCGTAGCTATTTCGACATCTTTCGCATGTCGGTTTTGTTAAATCGCATTTCTTCTTCTTCCGTCGANNCCTTGAGACCGCCACATGTCAATGATATGATGGCAAAGAGCCTCGTGAGTGAGACTTACACGGTAGGCAACTTATATTCAATCCACTCGACCTTGGCCGAGATTTCGACTCCACGAGACCTTGGCTTGTGTTTGAGAAGTTGGTAAACATAGATTTTAGATGATGCGGTATGTCAAAAAGAAGACTCCAAGGAAACAACGTTATCGGCCTTGTCCGGTCAGCGTACCCGTTGAACAAGATGAGCGCGGGGCGCACAATCGGGGATGTTTGAGGCAGGAAAGACTCATCAAACAAGTAACCATTATCTAGTCATGTTGTTCTCTTGTGGAAAAAAGAATTCGAAAGCATGTGTACAACATAGGAAAGAGAAGCTTGAAGATCGATCTTGCCCCAAAGATGGGATGTCTCGTTGTGGGAAGGACCCTGATCAATTGAACTCTACCGAAGGACCACCTCGGTTACCCGAATCCAGAAGGCATACCCGTGACGAATCATCGGCGGTAGTCCTGTGCTCCAGACCGATATATAAATCTGGCATATGTCCCCTCCGATCTCGAAACACAGCATCCCTCCACTTTCTCCAAGAATGTCCACACCAAAAGTACCTGCGGCCTCCCTGGCAGCGCCTACTCCGACAGATCGATCGAGATGCGAACACCGTCTTTGAAGTTCATATACCGCCTCGAGTGCGAGATGGCAAAAGACAATCACGTCGTTGGAGCTCAGTCTGGCACAAGCAATGCAAGAGTTATCATGCCCATCGTCGGTGGCACAGTGAAGGGACCTCAGATCTCGGCAATCATAGAGCACATGAGCGGAGCAGATTGGGGTCTTGCTATTGGCGGAACAGGCGTAAGCTATAACAGCTTTGACATCTCGTCTCTTACTGAAACCATATTGCAGTTGATGCGTCTGGATGCGCGATATACTCTGAAGACCGACGATGGACACTACATTTACATCCGCTCCAAGGGCATCTTTAAGCCCGGCCCCGGTGTGAATATCGATCCTGAAACCCGTACTCGCATGACCCAAGATGAGGTGGAATGGTTTACCCGATTGCAGTTTGAGGCTTCTGGACCATACGATTGGATGAACAGTGTCTTCGGAATTGGAGTGTTGGCGATGGACGAGAGCAAGATCTTGATAGATGCTTACGAGCTGACGAACTTTATGTGAATGAGAACATGATCTCTCTGTGCGCATCAGTCTGACTTACACGTAGCTGTAGACAGACACAGTCGTCATCCGTTCAAGACGTCTCAAGAAGAGCACATGTAACGACGGCTGGCGAGAAAAGTTTCCTTGTTTCTGGAAAGAGGCAAGAAAAGCTGTAGCATACAAGAGTGGAAAAGGGAAGAGCTTGATACTTTATGACGAGTTGAGAATCTGGTCCACAAGACCAACAACTTCTGCCAATGCTTCATCTTCTTGTCTCATTCCGACAACTTGCACAGACAGCGGCGCGTCTATGTATGTCTCGGGAGAATCATCTAGAAGAAGACTGTCAGTGGTAAGCCTAGAACAGAAAGCGCGTGACCACTCACATAGTTTGTAATGTTTCTTATCTTGTTCCCCGTACAAGGCGAAGTCTCCACCATCGGCGGCATCGGACTCGCGAACTCTACCAGTGGGAACGATAGTTGCCGGATAGTCCAGGAAGTTCCAGAGCATAGTGTAATTGATCGGTCCCCATTCATCAAAGCGTGTTGCTGTCTGTGGTGCTCCAGGCAGCATGATAGCATCTAATTCGTTCTCGAACCAGAATTCGTGGTAGGCAGCCTGTAGCTTACGTCTCCCAGCAGTCAAGTCCATGTAGCCCTGCATGCTGCTCTTGGGAATAGCGGCGAGGTTGACTCTTTTCACAGACTCGACTTGAGGCTCATTTCCTTCCTTGATGAGATTTTGGACGAACTGTAGTGACACATTAGACAGACGTACTAGAGAAGCTGATATTGCTTACCTGNNGCATCCATCGAGGGCAAACATGCCGTAAGTCATACCAACAGCATCGGCAACATGAGGTAGCCTAATCTCCACTACATCAACACCTGCATCTCGTAGCTTCTGTGCTGCCTCTCTGATAGTACGGCGTACGGGAGGGAAGGGTGTATAGACTCCATCGTCGAGGACAAGACCAATACGGGGCTTACGACTGCATTGATGGCCCTGCCATCGGAGATGCAGGCATGACGAGTCGTAGCGCCACGCCTGAGCGCTCATGATTGTCTTCATAAAGAATGAGCAAGCCCTCGACGATGTTGCCATAGGACCTGCCACAACCTCAATACCAACCATCCCTGGATCTTCCGGCGACTGCTGGCCATCGAAGGGGACGATGCCGGAGCTCGGACGGGCACCGTAAATGCCATTACAGATCGAGGGGATTCGAATACTGCCTGCAATGTCGGTACCAATTCCCAGCACACTGCCTCGCATTGCGATGAGAGAGCCCTCGCCTCCTGAAGAGCCGCCTGCGGTCAACTTCAGGTTGGAAGGATTGAGTGTTCGGCCAAAGATATTGTTGTCAGAGTCTGCTGTCATCATAGTCTGTGGGACATTTGTTTTACAGTAGAGCACAGCTCCAAGATCCAATAGCAGTTTGGGCAGAGCCGAATACTCTGTGGCTGGCTTGTTTGCGAAGTATGTCATGCCGATCGTCGAGTCAAAACCCGGAACGTTGAACGAGTCTTTGAGCGAGATGGGAAGTCCATGTAGAGGTTTCCATGGTGCCGAAGGGTTGGCGGCGCGCTCTTGGTCAAGGTGGCGAGCCCTATCAATAGCTTCCTCGAAGAAGATCTCTGTGAGGCAGTTTGTCTAGAAGACAATCAGCTAAGGATCTTCATCAGGTCAAGGAAGACGTACCAGTTGTTGTGCAACTGCAGCTCGCTTGCAAAAGGCTACGGCGACTTCTTCTGCGGTGTATTCTTGCTGACGTATTTTCTCGACAATGTCGACAGCGTCATTTTCCTCGGTCATTATGATCTCTCGGTTCGTGAGAATGCCACATGTTTTTGGCACCTCGAGGACATTATTTTCAATCGCTAGCTTCTTCGAGATCTTCCATTCGTCTCTGATGAGTCGATCTCTCTGCTCACACTTGGCCCGAGAGATGTCGATATAGGTCTTGTCCCCTGCCATGTTATAATCCACAAGTATGTATGATACACTGAAAGTGATAAAAAGGAGTGTTCGGCGGAAAGCAAAGAAAGGCGAAAGCTAGCCTTTTATTGAGACTATGAGGGGACCAGACACGGCTGTAAGCATTATCTGTTGACAGCGATCTTGCTCCAGATCTACGGCAATTGATCGTTTGAACCCCGGACGTCCATGTATCTCTCGAGTGAGGGGCTGACTTACCATACGAGCAAGACCAAAAGGCGGTCCTATAACGAGGCTAAAAGGCGGCTTTGTCTGATATCAGAACCTCCGCCCTCGCGTCAATCAGCCTTCGAGGACGAAGGTTTATCAGAGAGGTTTGTGCCACGCGTGGTGGTCAAATGCGGGGGTGCCAGATACCGGCACGCTAATGAGCGGTGGTCGCTAAGGAGAAGGTTCGACCGGAGTGACTGCTAACGACGATCAGGGACTCCCCACAAAAACTGGGACCTCGACCCCCGAGCTGTCCTCCGTAGTTGGATCCACAAAGCGGTATATCTCGATTAGGCATTGAGACTGTTATCAGGCTCGGCCTCGAATTCGACAAGCCACCATGTCCATCTTTGCGATACTCCCACACCCTGACAGGATGCAGGGTCGATCAGCTGCGACGAAGGACATGCGTCCAGGAACCATCATCCTCTTTGATAAGTGCCGTTGACCTAGGGCTTGATACACTCTATCAATCGCTGGAGTCACCACCTGGGCTGTACATAAAGGCCACTGGATCGTCGTTACAAATCATCCATCTGTTTGAGCTTCTTGCTGATACCTTACTGCTCTACGCTTCCAAAGTTCCACCTCCTTTCTTGCCATGGAGTCTGTTCGACAAGATATCCCAGACTATGATGTCGTCCCTGGCACTGTCTATCTGGTGCAAGGTGCACACCAAGACGGCTTCTCCTCGAAAGACATCATCTTGATGCCCACACCATCGAGTGACCCTCGAGATCCTCTTCGTTGGTCGAAGTGGCGAAAGAGCTATCACCTCTTCCTCCTCGTGTTTGTTGCTTCGGTTGACCTGGACTAGTACAAAGTTGACTAACAATTCGTCAGATTCTATAGTGCGACTCTTGGAGCCGTCACCAACTGCGACTCTGTCGTGTATCTCAATCTGGTACAGATCTATCGCACCGACATCAACAGTCTGAACTATGCTGGAGCTGTGATGTTGTTGCTGCTCGGAGTCGGAAACGTCTTCCTAGTTCCCATGTCTAATAGTATGTGTCCACATCACTGAATAAGAGCTCCTTGCTAACTTCCAGAAAGAGNNTTCGGTCGACGATCCGTATATGTCTGGACACTCGTTTTGGTCTTGGTGTCCGAGATTTGGATGGCTGTCTCGAAAGAGTACGGCGAATATTGGGGCGTGAATATACGTAAGTCTCTCGTCAGTGCTTATGAGAGTGACGCTCATCTTCAGCAGNTGCGAGGCTTGGGATCTTCGCCATTCGAAGCACTGCCAGCCATTTCCATCGCGGACATCTACTTCGCCCATGAACGCGGCGGCAAGCTCGGAGCCTACGTCTTTGGCTTGGCTTTCGGAAGCTTTGTCGGTCCAGTTTGTGGCGGCTACATGGTCACTGGACAAAGTGTCAGGTGGATGTACTGGTGGGGCGTTTTGTTCCTGGGCGTCTTGCTCGTGCTGTTCTTCTTCACATTCGAAGAAACACACTTCATCCGGCCTCTAGACTCGCACGACGAAGCTCTGGTCAGCATTGCCGACATGCCCGAGCTTGACAAAAAGTTGACGAACCAGTCCATTTACAAAGAGCCGGACAGCCAGAGCACACACCAACACTCTGAAGCCATTGTTGGGGAAGTCTTCGATGCGGAAGGATTCAAGATCCAATACAGTCTATGGAAGACATATCCTACAACATGGACTGCAGTTTTCACAGAATGGTGGATGCCACTCAAGTGTCTCGGGCTTCCAGCGGTTGTCTGGGTAAGTCCCCCGTCGATGCTTATGAGAATGTCACTGACCTTTATCAGTNGCGGCATCAACTATGGTACTTGTGTCAGCTGGCTAGCGGTCATGGGCACAACCGTCGCTCTGATCTTTGCGCCACCCCCTTACCTGTTCTCCAACAGTGCCTTGGGCCTGGTCTGGTTCGCACCACTCATCGGTTCTTTGATCGGCGCGTACTTTTCGGGTCCGCTGAACGATCGGCTTACAGTATACCTCAGCAACCGCAACAGAGGTTGGAGAGAGCCAGAGTACCGCCTGTGGGCTTTCATATCCAGTGCGTTCATCATGCCAGGAGGGTTGATCATCTATGGCGCCACCGCTGCTCACGGGCTGCACTGGATTGCCCCAGTCTTTGGCATGGGCCTCGTCGGGTTCGGTCTCAGTGTCGGCGGCACGGTGACCATAAGTTACATCCTCGACTCGTACAAAGAGATTGACACGCAGGTTGTGACCACAATCATCCTCATCAGAAACATCATCGGTTTCGGAGTATCTTTCGGCATACAGTCATGGATCCAAGGCATGGGACTGCAGAATGCTTTCGTGGTAATCGGCTGCTTGAGCTTCGCCGTTACCATATTCGCAATCTTCTTCATCATGTTCGGAAAGAAGATGCGAAAGTGGACTACCTCCCAATACCAGCATCTGATCAAGACGAAGGCCATGTAGGAAGTTGGTGTAGGATAGTATGGATCTTTCATTGCAGCGATTGAGGATGTCGGTGGATACCGGCAGTGCCGAGTGATGTGAGAAAGTCAGTTATGTATGTCAATATGTGTTATGACCTTTTCTTCTTCTTCGAAGACGATAGGCGATCGCGCTGTGAGTGTTGCAATTGCCTGAAATTCCCGCGTTAACCTCGTCCTCACAAATATACCTTCGTTCTGTTTCTCGTCTGCAGATGCGCGGACCCAAATTATCAAGGTGATTGTACCAGACGAAAAACAGAATTCTTTGTGAAAGAAAGGTTGGAGACGAAGTTGGTCTCTCCCGAACCGAGCTGCCGGTGCACGACGGATGAAGCCCGTGGTGTGACATCTCCTGCTGTTTGCAACACCACTCACCTCAGGTCACCATGTTGCACTGATATCGACTTTACCGCGCGGCTGTCTTTTCCGAGGGTTTCCACGACAGATGTTGGATCATGCGAACGGTGGTTCGTTGATCAAAACTGTATATGTTCTGCTGCACCGTATATCTAGGTGGACATCGGCGTGGAACGGCAAAGGTGAATCCTGCGAAGGCGTGATGAGCAGACACTCAAGGCCCCGTGGCCCTGAGAACCCTTAGAGAACCCGATGTCGTATATCAAGATGGGACAAGTCGGTTGGACGTGAGCAATATGTAATCTGTGGAAGGAATATATAGGTTCGTCTTTGAGTGTACCATGCCATTTGCCTTTCAGTGTCATTATCACATTTCAAACAATCCGTCGCACTCGGCAGCACCTCTTCTGAGACATTTTCATCTTTATTGATATTTGGACACCGAAGGAACTTTCATCCATCACCCTTCCTTGACTCATACCAACTGCTCATCTCAATATGCTCTCAACATGCACACTCTTCCAAGCCACACGAGCAGCGACATCAAGACGATGCATACACTCCACACCTAGACTCTTTCAAGCGGCAGCCAGAGAAGAACAAGCCGCCCATACAGCCACTCAACGAGTGAGGTATTGGATCAAGTCTCTACCTATAGAAACATATCCGTTGTGTAAGTATTGACCGGACATTCTTGATAGAGAGATTGCTGACTGGGGATAGNTCGTGGTTATGGGCTTCTCCCTCAGCTTTGGCATTTACTCGTTCGTCCGACCGGCGTTGCAAGATCCTACATTGAGATTGAAGAGGAGCATTGCTCATGCCGTTGGAGATCATCATTGAACTTCGGTCTTTGAGCAAGATACTCTTGTACTGGAACAACTCTTTCCTGGTGTTCTCCGAAAGGCTTTCCTGTTTCCAAGTGGCTTTGTTATTTCTGCTTTGTTCTTTCCCGGGCAGCGTTGTTTGTATCTTGCAGAGGAGACTTAGGTCGCAAAGTAGCCAGTAATCCGAGAATGATTCTGTTGATTTGGCTTGACAGTAAAGACTGCTTCTTCGATACTGATACCCTTGTTTCTCCCATGACCATAATCGAGACCTGTCCTTGACCAAGTCGGTCTTCGATCTTGATGCAACCCAGAATGCTTCCCCAGTAACGCCATCGCTGAAACCGCAATTCTCTTTTCCTTTCGTATCCTGAAAAGCTCTCACATCCTCGTGGGACTGAGTGGTCTGTTGAATCCACCAACACGATTCATGTACTGTCTGTATTCGGTCTTCTTGTCCTTTCTCACACCGTACAACTTGTCGTTGCCAGGCACTTTTGTGTTCTTGGTGCTTCTGAAACCGACAAAGCCCATCAACCTCTTCATGGCCGTCTCCTCATCCTCATCAGGATCTATCCGCGCAGGAGCTTCCTCGGCCTTGACATTGGATTTGCGGTGATCGCGAGCGTTAGGTGCGCCGCGCGGTGCACGGGGAGGAGAGCGCTGGCGTGCAGAGTTGTTGTGACTAGGATGCGAAGAGCGGTTGGGAGAGCGCGAGCGAGCTTGTCGGTGGTCGCGGTCGGAGGTTCTGTGGTTTGCGTTGCCGCCGCGTCCGCCGCCTCGAGCAGAGTGAGGGCACGGTCGCGAGACTTGCTGCGATCGCGGCGTGGTCGTTGGTCGCGTGTGTCTCTTGGGTTGTGGTCGCGACGGTCTGAGTATGGGCGGCGATGGTCGCTTGCGCGAGGACTCTGGTCGCGAGGCGCCATGGTGCTTGTGATTTAACAAGAGCGAAAGCACTATAGGCGAGATCGTGTGATGGATGGAGCGACGGTTTGTGACTGCTGAGATGGTGGTAGAGTGACTGTTGCGCAAAATGCTTTGAGTTGCGAGAGTCAAGGTTGATGTCACAAGAGCTTTCGAAGTCTAGAGCACGAAGGACAGGGTCACTCTCGAACATCGAAATTTATAACAGCTCCGATCGATGGCTTGATTGAAACTATTAGATCTTGATTCATTTGAAGATCCTAGATCTCGTCTTCTTCCTCATCAAAGTCATCCTCCTCGCCCATGTCATACAGAATCCTGCCACCATCGCCGCCACCTTTCTGAGCATCAAAGTATGGCAACACAACACCCTCTCTGGCCTGCCTCTGCCTATCCGTCAGACCCAACTCAAACGTGACATCCATATCATCTGCAGCCTGTTCCTTCTCCTCAGCAGGTCTGCGATATAGCACATGATCCTCCAACAACATGACCGTCTCGCTGAATCTGTTTCTGATTCCAACAGCCTCCTGCTTCTGTAATGCAGGATGAGGTAGGAAGTACCATTCTCGCACGCCGCGTCCGGACTTACGGCGGTACTCCATCTCGAGCACCAGACCAGAAGGTGCATTACCGCCGAGACCGAGAAGTACACCTTCAGTTTCTTCGGCGAGGCCAAAGACAGGTTCGGCGACACTGCGTTCGCGAGCTGCCTTCGCGGCAAGGATGTGGTTGAGCGCATGAGTGGTTAGAATAGTAGTAGCTAAGTACTTGAGGACTGTCAGTGGTTGGGGCGTATAAGGCGAAGCAAATGATATGCTCGGTGGAATAGGGATATCAGCATGGTAGACAGCAACCAGTGATACTGTAGGTGAGAGGAAAGAAGATAGAAGTGCTGGGAGGTTTGCTGCCGTTGATGGATCCGAGGCCAATGTGTTCAAATTATCGATGATCAGTAGCTTGNNCCTGTTTGATTATCATCAGTATTCGTTCCTTGCTATCACCATACCATAAAGCTTACGCTGTTGTGTCTGAGTTGCTTTCGCAATCAATGCGCTGACTTCTTTCTGAACCTGCTGCACACCATTCTCCCACGCCTTCACAAAGACACCAACATCCTTTGGCTTCTTCAAGGACTCGAATGATACAAAAATGACTTCAGTCTTCGCTGCCNNTGCCCAAGTTATTAGTCTTGAGATCAGATGAAAAGAAAACACCCGGTGGAGGCTTACTGTGGCCCGTCGGATATATTCTCTCAGCACAGGTTTTCCAGATTGTTCCAAATTATCCACAATCAAGGTGAACGGCGACACATTTTCGCGTTGTGATAGAAGTTTGGAGATCAGGAGCAAGTTATGCGTGCGACGATGTTGCAATGTTGTTGGTGCCATATTGAAGAGTTTTTCTATGATACCAGGTTATTGCTTGAGGTCCAGTTCCGAGTCAGAGCTAGTAGGGTATTGTACGATATCTGATAACCAGCGGTTCTGAATATGTGAGAGCTCGAGTACAGGATAACTTTTCTTGATGGTCGAGCAAAAGCGCACTTAAAATCCAGGCTTGATTTCGGATTCTACTTCGATTCGTTCGCTGGGCGTTCCAAACATGGAGATATGTTCCCAACACTCACACATTCCACATCGACATCTGAAGTTGCTTCCAACTTGCAGGTTTGGCTTCCATATAGAAAGTGGTCAAGGTCTTCACCAAGCAATGGTGAGCATTAAACACTTGAGCCATCTTGTCACGATAGCCAATTCGCTATCTAGCATTGATTTGTGCATTTCCACAGGGATTCTCGGCAAGTCGGAATATTGGAAATTCGCGAGTGGTTTTCATATGATATAATTATGTAGAGTAGTCTCCTCATCCGTGATCATTAGTATCATTTCATCGTTACACAGTAGTGTCGTCTTAACGTCTAAACCCTCTTGAAATGGTCTGGATCGTACTTCTGACCCCAGTGCTCTTCACGCTCCTTCTCCTTCCAGCCGTCATATGCCCCTGACATACGCTCTCCTGCGGCTTGCTTGGCTTCTCTCTGCCACTTTGCAGTGTTGCGTCCGGCAGCAAGGTCCTGCTCCCACTCGTAGATGAAGTGCTTGATGTACTTCGCAAAGCTTGTCTTGAGCGGGTGCACGTCAGGATCGGGATTAGGGTTGGTGCCATTCAGGGGTATTGGGAGCATTCGATACAGCTCGCGTTTGACTTCCAAGTCCAGCGAGGACCAGGCCTCCTCCCTGGCTAGCAGGCTCTATAAGACAAGTCAGCTTTTGATCTATCCGTATGTAGATGATCTACGTACGACAAGGTTGGCCTTGGTAAGTCTTGAGTTGGCTTGGGTGATGAGGCGGTCTGACATGGTATCGGGCTTATGTTGTAAGAAAGTTTGGTGATTGTGAGCCGGGCTGAAGTGGTCTTGTCCTCTTCTTTGACTTGGAGAGTAGAAGTGGTTGATGGAAGGAGGAGCTCCAGGTTGAGAAACGACAGCACGGATTTTGCGATGTGATGAATCGAATTTGTTTTGATGCGGACGTGTGAGTGACGGCAAGAGAAAACGGAGTGAGTTGATGTTGAGATTGTTTTTGGTGTCGGTGACTTGTAAGAGGAAAGAGTGTTGGAGCATGCAATGTGATGAGGAAGGAACTTGAGGGTCCGTGCGTGATGAATAGAGCAGTCGTGACTGCCTTGTGATATGTTCAGAAGTAACAGATGTGTCTGGGCTAGATACCTACGATACCATGCGAGAAGATCCCTCGCGAGCAAGTGGTGTTCTCTCCCAGTATCGGCAGCAGCCACCTTGATCTACTGTTGAGAGACAGAAAATTCAGCCAAAACTGCAATTGACTTTTGAGAGACCCAGAGATGAAGACTCTCGGTGAACGTTCAAGCTGTTCAAAAGACTTTGTGCATGCCGAAGGCTATGCAATGCCGCCTGTCCAATGTAAAGATATCACTGTCATCGGATAGGCTTGATGGCTTCCAGTGTGAGGCTATTCATGCCCTACGTGGCTTGTCGTGTTACATAGTGTCCTGCTTGAGTAGTACAGCTACTACTTCGTGCCAATGCTCTGTGCCATAGATCAGTCGAAACGTCGAGTCGAATAGGTTGCAAGAGGCAACCTTGTTGGAGAGCTTATGTTTTGGTTCAGGGCAGAGGCTTACCGCCCTCGGGAGTCGGACTTTCTTGACCCCTTGCCAGCGTGGGATGTTTGAACTGGCAAGCTGCATCTTTGTCTTGCACCAACTGACAACATTTCCGACCATAACACTTGTGCCTTCTATCTTGCGAGAAATCTTGTAAGCAAGACACTGTAATTCCAGCAGATTCATTTCACAAAGTGAGTGCACCTTCCATGTCCAGCGAAAGTTGCTATGACGCCATCAGGGTGCGACTGCCTTGCGCAAAGTTGCCAGTCAACAGCTGTCAACCAGTCGCGACTATTGTGTCTCGCGATCCTGTACTCGACGAGACCAAGATACCGTTTTCACATTGTGACAAGACCTCAAGCAACGTAACAGCCAAGCTGATTCCAGCATCCAGAAGAAGAAACACCACAATGCCCATCTACTCGACGCAAATCGTCCGCCTGGACGGCTTGATGCTCGCTGCATCCATCGAGAACTCCCCAGTGAGTGCAAGACAAGTCGCAGTAACGAAGGAATACTCATGGCCTGCAGNNCACGATGACACCATCTCCAATCTGAAGAACCAACAGCGAACGCTCGTCCGCAAGATGAACAATACTTCCGAACCACGAGCTGCTATCGAGTCTGGCGAATACAAGCTTCAGTATGCAGATCGGGATCGTCCATGCCCTCCAATGTCTGACTGAAGTTTCACAGCTNACTACCGTCACGAGGAACTCATCTTCTTCGCCATCACCGAACGTTCTTTCCCCAAGGAGCTTGCCGCCATGTACCTGGACGACGTCTCAGCAGAATTCTTGAGCACCCACAGAGACACCGAATACCGTTCGCCAGCATTGCGCCCGTATGCTTTCAACGACTTCGATACCTTCATGCAACGCACGAAAAAGTCATACGAGAACCCGAGGGCTTCGAACAATCTCGACAAGGTGCAAGCTCAGCTGAAAGAGACGACTCAGATCATGTCCAAGAACCTGGAGGATCTGCTCTACCGTGGCGACAGCTTGGACAGAATGGGCCAGATGAGTTCCGACCTGAGAGAATCAAGCAAAAAGTACAAACGTGCCGCCGTGAGAATCAACTGGGAGTTGCTCTTGAAGCAGGTACGTTCTCAGCACCATGAGCCATCTCGGCCTCCGCTGACCGAATACTGTAGTNACGGCCCCTTTGCCGCTCTTGGTGCGATTATCCTGTTCTTCATTATCTGGCGATTTTGGTAAACGTCTCCGACAGCACGGTCTTGATGAGTTGATGCCTTTGACGATCCAGCGAAAAGAATGCATGTACGGCGTTGGTGATACTGGCAACCTTTTGATATACCCCTATTGCGATACCAGACCAGAAAGCCGCCTGTCGCGCGGCTGGCGAAGCTCTTCCAAGTCCCACTCCCGAGTGATCAGCTTATCTTGTCGCGTGATGGTCATGTCCGCCGGGCTAATCGAGGATACTTGGTGGTGAATTTCAGACTCGGCTGAGTGGAGCTTGTCTCTTATTGTAGGACCATCCAACAGTGTGATTTTGTGTTTTCCAGCCTTCCTAGACTCAAAAAACGAGAGCTGGTTGCATTTTCTTTCCATTTGCCCAAGAAAGAGAGCTTGAAGCATCAAGACGCGCTGCCTTTGCGGTCTCCTCTGGACCAAGCATCGATGTTGCTTAATCATTAGAACATACCAAGTCAATTGGACATAGAACGTCCTCCAGAGAGACGAATTATTGAGAGCTCTCAGTGGACAGCTCATATCTAGTCGGGACATTGTGTGTCACGATAGATCTGGCTACTGCCCAGGTCTGCTTTGGAGTGTCAGCACTTGCTTCAACATGTTTTTCGCTCACACATCTGCTGTGTGGGCCTCATGAGCTCAGATCAATGGACGATTCAGCACTTTCTGATCCGCCTTCTTCTTTCCTGAATTCGATCCTGGTATCCGTCAGCTATAGCAACAAGACAACTACGCTCTGGATCTCTGTACGCATGTTCATGTCTGACAGAAGAACGAGCCGGGTTCATGGCGAAACAATTCGCTCCAGATCTGTGCGGAGCTGTGTAACCCGTCAGCAAAGTTCTTGTTCTCACCAAGGCTCTCTGAAACGTTGTTGTATGTAGTTCCGGATCAACGACCGGTGTTGAGGTGTCGATCAGCTGGCCAGCTATCACATATACACAGGGTTTAGTCACATGCACATGGCGCAAGTCAAGTCTGCAACGAAGTCATCAATTCTCACTACGGAGATTTTTCTTACGTGTATCAGTCTTTGGATATGCGATTGATGTGTGTATGAGACATACCCGCACGCTAGACCCTCCAGGCCGCAAAAACACGCCATTGTTGGCTCTCGTCGGTGCGCCACACCCTCGATGTTTACTTCTTGCCATGGATCAGCTTTGGGCAATCATAAGCGATCCATTGGAGATCAAACCTTGCCGTCTCAAGCGTTGAGCAGCATGAGATGCTGCAGCATCTCATCTTCGAAGATGAATCTGAAGCCCGAAGGCGCAGAGACGAGCTTGTGACCATTGGCCTTCTTGATGAGGTTGCCCGTGGTGGGGTCTTTGGTGATCTTGGCCTTGGTGGCCAGCCATATGCTGGCGATAGAGCCAGGAGCGGTGCTCGTAGGAGCAGATCCCTTGTTGGAGGTGGTGGGAGCGGTAGCGGAGGTCTCTGTCTCCTTGTTGGTAGACATGGTGATTGAATCTGCTCGTGCCTGGTCAGTCGAGTTGTCTTCGGTGCTGCTCCTGCAGCTTCCTGCACCATCGACGATAATTGACACCGTGTAGCATTGCAAAGGCAGTGCGCATAGCGAGAAACTTACATGGAGATGTGGTTGTGGTTGTTGATCTAAAGAAGTCCGCTTAGTGTGCGCACTTTATGTCTACCATGCTAGGCGGCAGGACCGAGCGTCAATCACAAGGCAGATACCCTACCAGGACACTACTACTCCCCTAGCCATTCTACAGCTTGCTTGCATCTAGTGCTTCGGAACAACGGCACTACGCCAATTATCTTCACAGGGAAGCATGTGAATACTACGTGTTCGAGCCCGGGACATATTACTTGTATTGCATACTGTAACATGGCCCAACGCAACGCAGAAAAGAGTATTGCAATACAGCGGTACGAAGAGGAGTAACCAGCCAGTATTGCTACAGAGCCTGATACCCTACTCTTGCAGCACCTTCTCGCAACGTGGGATTCGACAACTCTGACAGGCATCACAACCGGGATGGACGATCTTCGCAAAGAATTTCGAGGGGCTTGTGCGACTTCCGAGATGTTCTTATTGGAAGACTGAAGGGTGCTCAATGGTCGAATATGCTCCAATCATCTTCATTCTGCATTTTTATGGCTAGCTATCCACCTGTGCATTGGATGGGAAGCAGCTTCTTCGGGCCGTAGAGTATACTCTTGTCCTTTCCGACGCTCCGCTCCTGCTGTGCTTCCTTTTCTTCGCCCACATCTAAGTTTTGCTTCTGCGTTGTTCTGTACTTCTTGCTGAAGCTCGTTACAGGCGAGAGCTGCGACGGCAGTGGCTGTGTCGGCTCGCGAAGTTCTTCTTGATTTGAGGGCGGTGGTGAGTCTGGTGATTAGATATTGAATGAGTGTGGCCTGGTTCGTTGTGTCAGCGTTGCCCGGATCATCGATGCACTGCCACAAACATACCTTGTCTTCAACCTCTCAGCCATCTGTAGGTGTCGATGACTTTCTGCGTAGCTCTTTCCAGCCAGCCCCAAACACGCATAACGATCATTCTTATGAGGCCATATTGTGGACGACGAGGCATATTAGGATGGCGAAGCAGCCACTCGTGGTGCGAGATCTTGCCACTGGCTCTCTGGACGGCTTCGAGTTTATCACGGAGTCTCAAGTTCTCTGCGATGAGTGGAGCCATCGAGAGTAGATCGTAAGGGTCCTCTCTCTGACCAGAGAAGCCATCGGACAAGGAAGAAACAGATGAGTTGCTTGAAGAAGTGTTGCCTGCGGCCGTGGGCTCTTCTTCGTGGGTCCAGGTGAAGTCTTCCCAGTCTCGGGGGTCGCCAGGCGATGTTGGCATGATGTTGAGAGTCAAAGAGATTTTGGTCTGTTTGGTGTTTGTGGTGCGATTGCGCTGGGCTTGATGTGGTGCTCGAAGGCCTGTTGCGTGCTGCTTCTGTTTGTGGTTCTCTCATTTGAGCGTTCTCATTCGCTGCTTCCATTCCTGGATACAACATCGACGAAACACGACATTTGTCACTCATCACGATCCGAGCAGTTGCTCACTCGCTACTATGGAGAGGGAGTTATCAAGATGTCGATGACTACCCGGATTCTGCGTTCTTGTGGACCTGGTTGATATTCTGCTTGCTCAATGACAAAGGCCGTGACAATTGCTTTATCTGCTCAATTGTTGCAATACAATATAGCACTCAAAACGGAAGGCTTGACTTTCTTAACTCGCGTACTCGTGGTTCTGCTTCCCGTGAATATATTCAGCTTTCTCTTCAGATCACCTCAGACCTTAGAAACTCTAGTCCAGGAAATGGGCGTGCGTGGACCGGAGTATCTTCTCGGCCTTGTGTTCTCGAACAACCGTGGTATCAGATGCTGGTCTCCTCCACGTATGACTTGCAGTTACTCAGTCTCTTCGACTGGTAGGGGCAGTTGTTTACAGTTGACTGGTGACAAGCATGTATGATAGACGACTCCACACATCTGTGTGCTTACAAGTGTCATAGTCTCATCGTTGATCTTTTTCTAGCATGTACACGTCACAATATCATAAGCTATGCAAATGAACAGTTGTCTTCAGAACCAGAATCATGGCCCGAGAAACGCATTTCAGCTGTATACCACATGGAAACGACTGCATCCGAGGCCCTACAGACTAAAAGATTTTGACTATAAGTTCTGAATCCTTGAAAGATATACATGTCGAAGGAAACAAAACATGCTTCATCTAAGAATATCGCCATTTTATGGATGTAGTTCTCGAAGCCAACTCGTCCATCAGCCAAAAAAAAATTTCGTGAGTATCCTGTTTAGCCTTCTCTTCTCTTTTTGCCTGCATCGCTCATGTTGCTGCTCTTGAGATGGGAATTGTGATCGACACATCCGACATTTGCGAATCTTTGAGAAGCATGATTTCGGACAACTCGAACATCGACATGGGATACCACAAAACCACAGAAGCCTTCTCTCATCCTAAGGAGATTTTCATACAACTCTTCTGTCTGAAACTTCATTTCACACCACCGAGAAGTTGTGTTGTCACAGTCAACTTCTTGTACCCTCACTGTCCTATTCAGACTTCTGAAACCATTACTGCCCTATATTCCACCCCTGGAATTATCCCTGAAATGTCTCCAACATAAGAAAAAAGGAGAAAAAATATGACCAGCCTCACGAAAATGCGTCAGAATATAAATGTGCGAACCCCGGCTCGACACCCGGAATGTCGGATCAAGTGTACCCGGGAGCGGTTTTGTCGATGACCTGGTGTTCTCTCGTGATGTAACCTAGAGCTCGTAGTATGCTTGCGGTGGCTACCTGTTGACCGGGTCTTGCTTCCACTGCTCGCCGTATCGGATGATGGCGCCGCTTAGGCCTAAGCGCTTCAGAATGTCCCCGACTTCCACGACCACCCAGTGGGTTGGAGTGGTCTGGATTTGGTATGGTCAGAGGAGCGCCGACGTGCTTGTTTTATAGTGGAAAAGTGAAGCTGTTAGTGATCTTTGCTTACTAATTGGAATTCACTGGCATGAGAATGAGTGAGGCGTGCACGAGTTTTTGGGTGCAAGATCTCTGAGAGATCAGAATACTGCAATATCTATTGCCATGTATTGTTGTTGAGTAAGTGATTAAGATGGAAGCAAAACTCCTTGAGCTTCAGTAATTGAACTCAAAAGTACCTTCCTAACCTGTAACATCCTGAAGCCTCTTCCGTTGTCTTTATGCATCGCACTTGCCTTGACTGTCTTCGATCTTGTTCTCCTCAAAACATAATTGCCAGTATCGAATTTTTTCTGCACCCAACTTTCTTCCAGCGCCCTTGGCTTCGCAAAGTTTGAACTTCTTGGTAACACGCTTGTCTCTTCATCGAAAATTTGGCCGAACTTGAGGCCAACGAAAAGATGATGGAGAATAGTAGTGACTCGTGAACAAGTCAAAAGTTCCTATTGTATTCGACGTTTTTGTTCAAAGACGCGATCACCAGATCTGAGAGCGTGATTGATCTATAGATTCCTCAGTGTGGATGTCCTTGTGATGCCTGAGATCGTAGCAGGTATTGAATGAGGCCAATCATGCATTGACTCGTGGTGGTAGCCAGTACTATCAATGCAAGCTCACATTTATCGACAAGACTGAAAAAATTGCGGGTACATCGAGAGTCGAATATGTCTCGATCTCGGAGCAGTCTTGATAGACTTGCCTGAGCAAAAGGAATCTTGCATGACTAGGAGGTTTCAGATCCAGAATGGCCATGCTGCTCTTTCTGAATAAAATACCACTATTTGTGCTACCATGCCAGATCTGAACATTATATGGCGACGAATGTTGCAGGCTTCTTTCCTATATCAACATCGTAGTAGTAGACCGAAGAGGGCACCCTCCAAGCTTACTTATGAACGCACAATTCCGTGGAATTGGAGATTTTCGGGCCAGAGTACGAAGCATGCAAGGGATGTGTCGGTATGCGGTGAGGCAACTATATGTGTTATTATTGCGGCACAGCATGCAAGTACGCGCCGCACAAGACAATCTGNCCGAAAAATTGGCGAGAGACATAGATGCGTATCATCTCATCTTGTCGATTTCTCAAGCTCTCAGCAAAATGCTTCCTACAAACATACCAAACCTTGAAACCTTGATAAACCAAAGGACAGTCCGTAGACCCGTCAACAGCTTCTACAGAAAGCGCGATTACACCCGTCGCGAGCTGGACACACTGAGACGACTCGAACCCGACGCAAGCAAAGCAATTGGGCGTCAATTGTCAGACACAGAACGCAATGTCTTGCTCGAGTATAAAGGGCGGCTGATTGCCACTCAATCCCGGACCAAGACTCTTGGATCTTCGACCGGTATTCTGACAGGATTGGTCATCACTTTCAACGTACCAAGAGTACGCAGTCTCTGGAACCGTGGTCTATATCTTCGCTGGACCTGGAATCTGTGCTGGCGTACTTATGCCAGTTACTACGTCGCCTGCGAACTCACCCGATACCGGCTTGCATCTCAGGCTGGGCTGCCTCCTCTACCCATCAAGATCCTCAGTGACCCTCGCATGGGTGCGTTCAAGGAATCGATTGCGCTTCGAAAAGAGGAGTTTGGTGGACACGAGCCATTCATCTTTAGAAGCTGGAGAGAGCTGAGCAACGCTGAACCAGCAATTCAATGGTTCAGAGCTGCTTCTACAAGTCCCATGAAGGGTCCGCAGGACCGGCCACCTATCGTGGATCATCCCGAGCTTCATTGGTTTAGAGCATGGCCATCAGCAAGCGACGGAGAGCGGCCGGGAGATGATGTGTTGGCGAGTAGGACGCAANAAATGATCGAACCTTTGGACGCTCCCAACCTTACACGAAACCCATTAGAACGGCTGAGATCATCCTTGTTCACTTACGATACTGCGGATCTGACTTTGAAACCTTGCATGTATGTCGAATAAAATGCGACAGTGGCTTTCGGTTCCTGTATGCAATAGAGTATTGAACTCATCAGGCACCAAGTGGTCATGTCTTGTGTCGCTATGTATATGTGATCCACAAATCGAATCTCCTGTGAGATTGAACGTGGCGCACATGTTCTCGATTGTGCCTGGAATGGTCGGGCTTCCCGGGCATCCGAGCACCCGACAGTCTCTGTGTCAAATGTTCAATCGTCCATTGACGGTCGAGGATAGAGTCTGTATCGACTTCGGTCAAACCAAATCACGCCAAAAGAGGGAGGAAGTAAGGACTGAATTGGGTTTTGTTTGCGTCACTGCATGTTCTTGTTTTGGTCCAAGCCATTAGATCAATACTGTCGCTCGAGGTGGAGAGAGGGAGTGCTCATAACAAATGCTTCACTCTCCTGTAGCTGAGTCAGAAAAGAGAAATGTGATACGGAAAGATATGACTAGAGTGCATGAGGGATTGAGTATCTCGATCGGTAACCCACAGAGAGTTTTTAATAATGTTGGTATCCGAGAGAATGTGACGATGGAAACGGCGGGCATGGAGCCTGTCATTGTAGACTACGGTACCTACATGCGGACCATTAAGTGATTAGGTGTTGGCTGACCATGTGACAGGCAGCGCGAGTTATGTATCTGCGTGATAGCTGGGTAATGGGTCTAACTCGCTACCATCACCTGGCTGCTATCAAAGTTCTTCTCGAAAGGTGTGCAAGAACGTCTTGCTTCTTCGTGAAGTGAGTTTGGTGATAGGATGTTGACTTGAGGATGGCGTCTTCGTCCGGGCCGAGGATGTGATTCTCCGTCTGACTTGTAGACCAGTGGGTGCAGTTTTCTGATGACATGAGACACTGTATCAGTAATGACAGCCGAACTCGTGCATCCTGATTGCGATGCCGGCTATCCGAGTCTTGAAGTAAATGGTCTGAGTTTGTTACGACCAGGTTCCTGAGATTCTTAGATGTATGCAATGTGGAAGTCTTAGTCGCTCTCGTCGGTTTTGACGAACGAAAGGAGATCCTCGAGCGGAAGAGACTGGAGGTGCAAAGAGATGTTTGGTTGAAGCAGTGACGGCTTAGTGATCAAGAATGAAGACGTAGACGAGAGCCAAGGAAGGCAGGAGCCATCAATGTATATTGTCAACAAGGCAGCATAACACCCCGAGCTGCAAGGACACACAAACTTTCCTGGACTAGAAGCACGTCTGATGAGAGCGAGTCAAGCTTTTTCAAGCGGTCAAGACCCGGAGCTAGCAACCAATTATTTCACAGAGTCCCGAAGATGTCCAAACAGCGGCAAACAACTCTGTCTCTTCAGATCCATCTCTTCAAACTCAGCCGTCGGCGAAGACAGCACGGTAACCGCCCCACCAGCACCGACTCGCCACACGCCCTCATCGTCCCATTGGAAGGCTGTCCGAATCACAACTGAGAAGTCTCCACCGCCCCCAACGTCAAAGTATCCAAGCACACCGCTGTAGATTCCTCTGGCTTTTCCTTCTATTTCTGTCAAGAGTTCGCACGATCGTTTTTTGGGCGCGCCAGTCATGGAACCCGGAGGAAGTGAAGCTGCTAGCACATCGATGCCGGTATGTCTCGACCCTTCAGGCAACTGTCCCTCAATGACTGATACAAGCTGGAAGACAGTCTGATACTCTTCGACGGCCATCAGCTTCTCGACCCTGACGTTTCCAGATCCCACAACACCATGCAAATCGTGCCTGATCAAATCGACAATCATCAAGTTCTCGGCTCTTTCTTTGTCAACATTCAACAATGCTTCTGCGTCTTCTCTTGTGAGGCCGTTCTTCTTCTCGACAGTGCCTTTGATGGGCCTAAATTGACACTTTCCAGTTCTCGACCATGATAAGAACCGTTCTGGGCTAGAAGATAAGATGGTGACTCCGTCGTTCTTTTTNTCATTCTCGTCCTTCAATCGTAGATAAGCACCAAAGGGTGCTGGATTGAAGGTCCGTAGCCGTTGATAGAGCTCGAAAGATCTTGGCTGACAGCTACCATTGTACGACACGATGCTCTGGTCGGTCAAGCAGAGTTCGTAAGAGTCTCCAGCGCGAATATGATCCTGGCAAGTCTCGACCCTTTGCACGTATTCCACTTCCTGTGGAGCAGCGATGGTGGGTATTATTGGCTGTAATTGGTCATCCTTCACACACTGGGTAGTATTGGACTTTCCAGTGAGCTCCTTTACGGTCTTTTCGGCCTTTTCGAACCACAAATCATCATTGTCTTCCAGACTTTGAACATAGACCTTTCGGTCAACGTGATCGACAACAATGCTGCGTGACACGAAGACAAACCAAACATCCGGGCGATCATTGTTTGTTGGTTGAGCAACATCGATTGTCTCCAACCCAGCTTCATAGGACACGAAACCAACAAGTCCTCCCCAGAAAGGCACATAAGCGCTTCCATCAAGCGCTCTGTTCGCAGACATGAAGGACTCAACTCTAGACCAGACATCTGTCATAGATCCTATGCATGACGTGTATGAACCTGAGAGGTCGCTGGTAATCACATGGTTTCCAGTAGAGTATCGAATTGATTTTGCATCACTGACACAGCCAATGATACTGAAGCGACCAGTCTCGGGTCGCACGGGCTGACCGTTCTTGCTGCCAGACTCTAGCATGATGGCTTGCTGGTCGCTGTCTTGCAGATTTTGGAGCAACAGAGCCACATCGATAGTGTTGGAGGACATGTCGATACACTTCCAGCTGACTGATCGTGATGGGGTTGAGCGCCCCATTCTTGATGAGTTCCGGGTCACAGCTGGAGTTGTGGCTGTAGTATCCCTGACTGTGGGGTTGACAGCATCAAACAGAGATGATGATGTGCTTGCCGAGTCATCCCCACTCTCACTGTTGACATCGTATAAATCCACGTCAATAGTTGGAGGAAGATTGTCCATCTTCCGAGTTTTAGCTGCACGGTCGATGGTCCAAGTCAATGCCTCGGACCACCAATTGTGAATGATTTGCGCACCAGCAGAGCTCGTGCAGATAGATTCTGGGTGGTATTGCACCCCGTAGAAGGGCTTGTCCAAGTGTTTGATACCCATCAAGATGGGACCGTTCTGATCATCTGACAAGTCCCATGCAAGGGGTACAATGTCCGGGCAGCTTGGACCGGGCTTCCACAACTCTGAGAATGCCATGTCTACGGTGTGGCCAAGTTTTGCATGGATCGAATGATACTGGGTGGCCATGAGAGTGCCGATGTCCTTAAATAGAGAATGTCCCTGGTGAGAGACCTCGGTTACTAGACCATGACGAGGTTGATGGAGTCTACCAGCTGTACCTCCGAAGGCCAGGGCCAGACTCTGGAACCCAAGACATATACCCAGTACAGGTAAGCAGACAGCTTCTGGTAGATTCCACAGCTTGCCGATGAGACCCAAATCATGTGAGTTCCTAGGATCACCAGGACCGGGACCAGCGACTACAGCATCGAAACGACCAAGGAAAGCATGGAAGCATGCATCATCGCGTGTGATGAATCTCTTATCATCTATTTTGACTACTTCGACAGTGGCATTGATGTCTTGTTGGAGTAGGTTGATGATATTGTTGCTAAAGGAGTCATAGGCGTCCAGGAAAAGTAGATGGGGGCGGTGCATTAGGAAAAGTCCTCGACAGGCGGAGTCTTCAAGAGAAAGGAATGTCGGGAAAGAGGGTGAGCCTTTCGATGCAGACTGTCAAGAACATACGAGCCAGTTAGGGGTTTGCAGTGATGATGTTGGAGAGATGGCCACAGACATGATGAATCGATGTGTTCTAGAAAGAAAAGCTGGAGAAACTAGAGCCGGATCGGGCAAGGCTTTCCCGGTGAAGGTTATTTCAGCCTTACGGCAGTTCACGTCCTCTCCGTCACTTCGCGACAGCTTGGCGACATGACGCTCTAATTGTTTTGCACAAGCTTGGGCTAGAGCTTCCTCTTCAAATCCTCTCCTACAATGGCGACCACATGGAACGGCACGCCGCTGGACGAGGTGCAGTTCCGTCGACCTGACGTGATAGGCTACTGGCAGGGCATCCATGAGAACAGCAGTATGCGCACCTTCGTTCACACATTCGATTGAGACTGACTTTCTTCACAGNTTCACGCCATCCTCCGTGAAACACCATTCTTTGACCCGACTACCAAGAATGGCCTCCTGTGGAAGCAGGCCGAAGTCCATCTTCCCATCTGGGACCTGTGCCGCAACCGACAGGCCTTCGAGACACGCTTGAAGCAGATGAACGGCGTCGAGTATCTAATCGTTGGAGAACCACAGCCAAACGCAGACCCAGCATTGGGGCCAGACACTGGCATTTGGGTCATTCGCAAGCAAGACCGCCGCAAGAGACCTCCACAGCCCGACGAAATCACAATACTGGCCACCTACTACCTGGTCGGCGAGAACATGTACCAAGCGCCCTCCGTCTACGATATCGTCGGCAACCACCTCCTCTCGGCCATGACGTCGCTCACAAAATTCACTCAAGCCGCCGCTCCTCTACCGCTCTACACTCCCGCGACAGGCTACACTTACTACCCACCCGCTACTGCAAAGACCCTCGCCGCATCACAAGCTTTGACCTCGACCAGTCGAGAAGCAAGCACGGCACCCACACCAGCTGAACTACCCTCCACAGCCAGCCTCCATCCAGCCGCACAGTCCACCACCTCGACAAATGAGTTGAAAGCGACGAAAGACACAGACCCTCGCGCGCAGAGGGCCCTCCAGGATTCTCTACAAATGATGCTCCACTACGGAGACGAATACATGGATGAGAACCCTCTGCGCGGCGAACCCGGCAACTTCACCTTCTCGGCCACAAAACACCACGTTCGCGCAAAAGCCGAGGCCGCCGAAGCTGCAAAAGTCAAAGAGGCCGAATTGGCAAAGAAGCTGGAAGAGGCAAGATTGGCTGCTCAAGCTACGCCCTTTGCTTCGGCTGCGGCGAAGAAGGACGAAGAGGAAAAAACAAAGAAAAAGGTCAGGGACAAGATCAAGAAGAGGAGAAGCAGGGGCTTGGCTACCAATCCGAGCACGCCTGCTAGTCCTGCTACTCCGGCTGCTTAGTCTGAGCGGAGAGACCATTGATGATATATTAGCGAAATATGATACCCATGATGAACCATCCCAAGAACAAGACTTGCATTTCTAGAAAAATTCGAATACGCCAAAGACCAAGACCGAGACTTTCTACCTCACCAAACGCAGGCAAAAATCTTCATCGTCTTTTCTACTGGGCAATAACGCATCAACAAATCCCACTCCCCTCAAGCTGCTTGGTAGAATACAAAACCAAAGGCTCACCACCCGCGATCTTGATATCCAAATCACCCTTCCCATCCGTCGTGAACTTGTCACAAGCCAACACATCCGTAACCTCCATCCCAGCATCGAACCCCGAACTCGTAGCCAATAACGTAAGATTCGCACTGCTTTTAGCCCCAAGATTGCTAAACACACCAATTACCTACGTATCATTGTTCCCCTTCCGCATCACAATAGTATGATCGTCTGTCCACACCGGATAAGCATTATAACCCAAATAGCCATCGTCGTTTTTGATGGCCAATGTTCGAATAGCGTTTAGTTTGCTGATGTGCTTGTACAAAATTGCATTTTTATCGTATCCAGATTTCCACAATTGCTCGCGTTGTGCCGGGGTGGATGCGCCAGAGAAATGCTGTTCTTGGCCTTGATAGACGATAGGGATGCCATCTGCCAACATTGCAAACCCGATTGCGTTTTTGGCCAAACTCATATCTGAAGTCAACGAGGGGAACCGTGGGTTATCGTGGTTTTCGAGGAAAGAGCCTAGTAGAGTTACATCTTTGCAGGTGGATTTCATGGTGTTGATGCCTTGCTCCAAGGCTTTGATGTCGCCGGAGGTGGATACAAAGGCAGAGGTCATGTTGTAGTACATTGGGTAGTTCATCAGGCCGGAGATGGAGTCTTGGTATCCGCAGACGTAGTCGGCGTTGTTGTTGAAGACTTCGCCGATGGCGTAGATGGAGGCTGCTGTTTCGAAGTTCTTCAAGGAGGTTTTGCTGACTTCGGCTGCGCTGTCGATGCGGAGGCCGTCGACTGGGGTTGGTTAGCTGTCTGTGGTCTGGAAGGGAGGAGATCGGTCGTTACTCGTGTAGTTTGCGACTAGTTGCTTGATCCATGTTGCCCACATGTCTTGTACGTTCGAGTCTTCTACGCGAAGGTCGGGCAGCGATACCGTGTTGTCGCCTTCCCAGCACTAAACTTGTGTCAGCACATAGTCAGAACAGTAATTGTTGCGTCCAATTTCTCACAAGNNCTCCATGCTGGTCTGGTTGTTGTAGTCGATCAAGCAGAAAGGATGGTAGTAAGATTCTTTGTTGAAGGGGGTGAAGATGGAATAGTCTACACAATCGCCACAGCCTGCGCATCCCATGTGGTTCGTGACAATGTCGACCATCAGATACNNTAGCAAAGGTCAGTCAAATCATCGCAAGCGTGCCGTCTTCATCCATACCATTCCTCTTTTGTGTAGTGCATCCGACAGTGATACTAGATCTGCAGCGGAACCAAAGTTGGTGTTTACTGCGTAGATGTCCTGGGCCCAATATCCATGATAGCTTGACCCATCTGCTGTCGAGGCGTTGAGGTTCTTCACTACAGGTGAAATCCAGACCTGCTCGTCGATTAGTAGTTTAGAGAGATCAAGAACTTCTTTACATACAGCTGTGAAGCCCATATCTTGTATATAGTCCAGGTGCTTGATGAGTCCTCCCCATGTGCCACCACAGTAATTGCCTAAATCACATGGTGCTGAGGTGGAGCCATCAGTGCGAGCGAATCTATCAGTCATGACCTGATAGACAGATTGAGCTCGCCATTCTGATGGCGAAAGACACTGAACAACAGAACTGACTGCGGACAAGTAAAATAGTGTTCGTGAAAACATTTTGGAGAAAGGTATAGATGTTGAATCGTGAGGCTTAGAGTGCTATCCATGAGCGGCCACCAGCAAAATACTTATTCTGTTCTCGTTGAAGGACGATGCAGTGCCGTCAGCGTCATCGTGCCTGCTCCTCAGGATGCAACACAAGGTGCGCCTCTCGAGCCTGATCGGATCTGCGAGAACACATCTCTTGCGACGACAATCCTTACCACTGATGGATTGTTTTTCTTTGACGGTCCACACCTCACCGTCAAGACCAGGGTGATCTACCACCCCGATCATGTCTCCGAAGGAGCGCATGACCGTCAGAGATTGCACTATGATGCTAGAATGCAGGGAGCTTGGCTGTGTTGTTTCGGAAAGATACCAACGTGTATGGTATCTCTAATGGTTGCGCCTCCAGGATAACCAGTAAGGTTGCGGTGTGCTTATTCTCCGAAGCAGTCTGAAACGCCAATGGGAAGTGGTAGTGTCGTTCCTGTGCCTGGAAGTGGCTCGGATGTCATACGTTCAAGTTTGTTATTAGATTATGCCACCATGATTCAAGAGTCAGACCGTTGGCAGTCTTATGCACGCCGGGTGAAGACAACAAGACGTGGTAGGCTGAAGATAGTCACATGCGAAATACACTGTCGCGTCTAAGCCCATTGAGTGCTTGAGTGCAAGGCCGAGATGTTGGATGTTTTCTTCTGCATGATGACTTCCTGGATATGTGAGGTTAGCCTTAAGCTAGAGGGCAACTTAGTAAGATGATAAAACAATGCGCCGACCTATAAGCATGCCTGGAAAAAAGACTCGGTGATGCTATACTTGGTAGACGTCTGTTTCTCAGATTCAGGGCAGCATGGCTATTGACTAGACCAGACACTGTAGAACAAGGAACATAGTGAGAGATTGTTCTCTTCGGCCGGAGTGTTCATGAGGGCTACATCTCGGGCGGTGTGTTACAAACGACGGCGTGAGCTTGAGTGTTACATTGCAGCGGCCGAAAGATGGGTGTGCTGTTTCTTGTTGCATGTACACAAATCGTGGCACTTGACCGGTGGACATCACAAAGGGGGTGCCCGAGATGCGCAAGGCGTCCGCACATGGATACGTGGGGGGTGCAATTTGCGGGGTTGGGGGTGTTGTTGACCGAGGCGGAATGCGGCAAGCTTTTGCATGTGCCTGTTGTGGTGCAGAAGATGTCCCGTGACACAAAGTGGTTGTGTGCATGGAAGAAGCCAAAGTGCAAGCCATGTGGGATGGGATGTACGACTGGGAAATTTCCGAGACCCACAGCAAGCTCAGTATTATGTGCATGTCGTGGTCGTTGAGGAATGTCACCCTGCCCTTTTTTAACAGCTCTATATCATCTCTCCACATGACGATCGACGCATCAGACATGCAGATGATTCGGGGTAAACCAGAAGCTTCGAATTCTTTGTCGATGGTCGCTTGTCGGAGGTCGCCTGGTTGGATATCTCCATGAATCTGACACGAACTGGGCGAATTGGCGGTTACGGAACCGACTCCGAACGAGAGCGACGTCATCAATCAGCGATGTCATTGCCTGTTGATCGACAGATGCCAGTCGAAGCTTCTTCGCATGCCGAGTTTTGAAGACATTGTTTCTTGGGCCATTCTGTCTTGTACAAGGCCAACACTACTGTCGCAGCAAGCATGAGACAAGCCGGCGATGCGACGAACAAGGAGGACGCGGTCGAAGCGCTTGACTCGCTCCTCCTCATGGACGAAGTGTGGTATGCAATGACTCGACATCACGCGTCTTGCCCTTTCCTTGACTGACGCTAGCAGGNNGATCAAAGCGACATAGGTTCAGCAAAGGACTGGCCGGCCACGCTGCAGTCGCTTGCGCCCTTCATTTTCACCCTCTCACACCCGGCTGCCATCTTCTGGGGCGACAAGCTTGCCATGCTTTACAATGAAGCCTGGGAAGCAACCTCACACAGCGCCTTGAAGCAAGGCAGACCGCCGAACGATGCTTTCGATAAGGACACGATAGATACGCTCCGCGAATACATGGAAGGTCACATACCTCGACCTATCGCCGCATCCGAACTGGCCGAAGACCATATGACCACTACTGGAAAGTCTCCTGTCGTGTGCAGTCCTATACACGACAACACCAAGATCGCAGGCGTCCTGGTACAAATCTTCAGCAAGACACATCTCAGCAACAATGACGCCAAAGAGAAGGCGTCAAAGGAGGAGGAGCACCAGAAAAATTCAACCAAAGATGACATGAACGGTCTTGTGAATCATGAGGAGACTGCCCTGGACCGTCAACCTTTCTTTCAAAAGTTTGCAGAGATGCTGCCAACCGGCCTTGCCATCCTTAACCACAAAGCGGACCCGCTGTTCGTCAACCACCAATTCCACAACCTGACTGCACACCGTGGCCCAAACCAGTCATTCAGAATGTGGCCCGAGACCATCCATCCAGACGACTATGAGCGAGTCATGAACGAATACCACAAGGCCTTTGATTCACAGACGGATCTGGAAACAGAGTTCAGGGCTTTTGGTGAGAACCAGTGGCGGCTGTTCTTGATGCGACCACTCGGAAAGAACAATCTCCAACAATTCGATCTGCGACAATTTGGTGGATACATATGTGCTCTGATCGATGTCTCCGATATGAAGAATGCCGAGCTAGCTCAAACCAGAGTTGCCAAAGAAGCCCGCGAAAGAAAGCAGCAGCAAGAACGCTTCATCGATATGATTTCTCATGAGATCAGAAACCCACTCTCAGCTGTCCTGCACTGCGCTGAGAACATCATGGATGCTGTAAAAGACGGCGAAGCAAAGTCTGACAATATTGCTGTCGACGAAATTGTTGATGCTGTCCACACCATTCAACTCTGTGTAGATCACCAAGTAAGTCTTGTGCTCAACAATAACTCACCACTGTCGGCTAACTCGACTTGTAGANAAACTCTCGTAGACGATGTGCTCAGCTTTTCGAAACTCGACGCCTCAATGCTCTCGCTTGCTCCGAGGTAGGCAATTATTGATGCGAGATTGAAAGCACCTGCTGACTCTCAACNNAGAGCCACGAAACCAAAAATCCAGATGGCAGACACACTCAAGATCTTCCAACCAGAACTACGCAAGCGAAAGGTCGAGTTTAGCTACAACATCAAACCTGAATATGACAACTGCAACGTAGATTGGGTCATGGCAGATCTTGTAAGAGTCAGTCAAGTGATCGTCAACCTCATGACAAACGCCATCAAGTTCACGACAAAGTCTGAGCGCAAGAAGAAGATTGACATTGAAGTCGCTGCTTCAATAGAGCGACCGGCATCATATCCACCTAATGTCGTCTTCTTCAAGACGGACGATGTCGGTCTCAAAACTGACGCAACCGGCAACCCTGAGTGGGGCGATGGAGAACCCCTCTATATCATGGTTGCAGTGAAGGACACCGGGATTGGCATAAGTCAAGAGAACCAAGCAAAACTGTTCGAACGGTTCCAACAAGCTACGCCAAAGACGGGACAGATGTATGGTGGATCTGGTCTCGGCCTCAACATTTCCCGTAAAATGTGCCAATTGCATGGTGGAGAGATTGGTGTCAGCTCGGTTGAAGGCGAAGGGTCAACCTTCGGCTTCTTCTTCAGAGTGAGACGAGGTGGTGAACCCGAAGATGCTGATAAGCTAGAGCCGAAGGAGCTATCGGAGAGACTCAAGAAATCCGGGCATGGCGAGATGGAAAAGGTCGACGAGGACAAGGTGTCCAAAGACTTGAAGAACATCTCCCAAGAAAACACTGGAAAGAACATCGAGAACCCGCCAAAAGACAGTTGGGAACACACAGTCGATACGGCAGAGCGGATGGGCGAAAATCACAACGACAGCAAATCAGCAGGCGATCAAGACGAAGTATCACATTCTAGGGCCGAAGACGATGAATCTCAACGGCAACAGAAGAGACCGGCCAATGCAGGACGAAGTTCACAACGACCTGATCCGACGTTTGAGAAGCGGAAATCGGGTCATTTCGAAGATAACAACAAGCAAGCTACTCAAAACCCTGAGCACGAAAGAAAATCTGCAAAGAAATATGAGAAATCCGGTGATTCAATCAAACAGATCTCAAATCCTCACAGCGACACAAGGCCAACGATACTTTTCGTCGAGGTACGTACCTCCACTCCATCGCTACATCGATTACTTACATGGTTGTGCAGGNATAATCTAATAAACCAGAAACTGCTGAAAAAGAAGATTGAATCTAAAGGCTTCCAAGTCACGACTGCAGATAACGGCAAGGAGGCTGTGGAAATGATCACAGCCCGCTCTTCCGAAAACAAACCTCCCTTCGACTGCGTACTCATGGACCAGGAAATGCCCGTCATGGACGGCAAAACTGCTTCTCGAGAAATCAGAAAGTTTGAAGGCGACAATAATCTGCCGGCTGTCAACATCATCGGTGTGACGGCTAACGTGAGACAAGAACAACAGAGCGAAATGACAGAGGCTGGAATGAACGATGTCATTGCTAAGCCATTCAAGATGGAGGAGTTGCTCGAGAAGGTCAGAAGAGGGAACAAGCAGGCATGATGATGAACGTTTTGCATGAAGGGAAAGGGTATGGAATGATGACAGGTACGAGCATGAAAGCATTTGGGTTGTTCTCTTCTTTTTGTTGCATAGTATGAATTTGCGCGGTCACGACGACAATTTATGATGCTGTGAGGTCTGCGTCTTATTTCCACTCCATAACTCAGAACCTGTGACAATCTGATTGCAAAATTACCACACCATTAATGCCGTGCAAGCAGTGGATGGGTTTCCCAATACTAGCACTCTCATCCAAACGTTGCGATAATCGGTAGGTGTGACAAACTTTCACTTCGCCGGCCGGCGCCCGCGGGGCCCGTCAGGAACCCTCAGCTACTGCACGTACCAATCATGTCCTGCAAAGGATCGTGCCCTGCTCAGTCTTCGACCGCTTGTCTGGAGCGCCAGAAGGTTTCGTATGAGATAATTTTGGCTCGCCGTTCCAATGCCGAAGAGAAACCTTCCACCCCGTCTGACGCGCAGGCTGACTATAACAACCTCGTTCCCTCGTTCTGAGTGGTGACTCGAATATGTTAAGCCCTGCTCTATGGCTCTTTGAGCGATATCACGATGTCTACCAACGTCACCAACACAACGATTGATACCGAGACTTGTGGATCCTGGATGCTCGAGGGCGCGATCCCTGAGGTCGATTCCGAAATTTCGGGCATTGGCGCGATACTGGCCTTCCTTCTCAGCGCCTACTTCACATTCGCGATTGTGTTGGTCTCGTATCTACTGGGCTCCATTGATGCAGGCCTGCTCAGGCCTGTTGACCTCTATGTTCACCGACTACCAACACAGCGACGCACAAGTCCCTCCTGGCACAAAGCGCTACAACAATGCGTTCTCCTCCTTAGTGACCAGCAAATCGTCACTGGCATCGCTATTTGTATCGCTGGTTTCATTGGTCTCCATGGACATATCTCGGTATATCACTTTCAGACAGTCATCTCCCTAGCTTGGATGTCAAGTTCGGTTCACCTTTCGGCTCTAACAATGCTGGGGGATTATTTCCGCAGGCGACCCGGTGTACTGGGATGGCGTATCATTGGTATGCTGTTACTATTCGTCCTCTTACTGGTGGCTTTGGTGCCCACTGCATCTAATCTTTGGGCTATCTGGTACACAGCAGAAAGTGGAAAAGACAACGGAAGAACAAGCTGGGCCATTCCGGCCAGGTGTTTCTTCTTCAAGACTTGGGGCGAAGGAGTCAACCCCGATGCACCTTTGGCATACCTGATCTTGATTTTGTCCTATCTCTGGAAGATTGGCGCGTTGTTCAAAAGCTCTAGAAACGTGTTCCATCGTCGCATCAGAGGACCTTACGAATACTTGCTGGAGCGCATCCTACATGGTGAAGCAAACAGAGCCTCGAACCGTCGCGAAAAGCGAAAGTCTTTGTCATGGAGATATCATGCGACCATGATGGTCTATATTATCCTCCTAGCATTGTTCGAGTTTAGCGCATCTTTCGCCGCATCGCTATGGCTATCTTACGTTGGTCTCGTCTATGGGACCATTCAGCTCATTATACCACGTCAGCAGAATGCTTGGTGGAACAACAAAGAAAACTCGTGGACTTTTGGCCAGATTGTACCTCTTGTCCTGCTCATACAACCACTTGGAGCCATTCTTGAGCACTACAAGCCGCGCAAACAGAAAACCAGGAGCGGTCGTGACTCACTCTCTAGTGTTTCTAGCGAAGAGGCATACGAGCTTGGTTCTGGAGCACGTTCTACTATGCTGTTCCATCGAAATTCCTCGGACGAGTTTCAACCCACCTTCTCAGAAATGTTTGCTGCACTGGACGTTCTCAGACCATCGCAACGCTCGGTTGAGGTGCTAGACCATCAGATCCCGTTTTACAACTCGATCCTTTTTGCCACGATCATTGTCTGGATTCAGATCAGTATCGTGGTCATTTCCTCCATAGTGTTCTGGGTTGACGCTGACAGCATCGGTTATGATACAAATCACAACTACTTCTTCGTCTTGGCAGGAGTTGGGTGTTCTATCGGTGTCCTGATCCTTTGGACCTTGGCTTCTATACCTTTTAGTCGGGTATTCAAATGATCGATGAAAGATGCAGCTTTGGTGCTCTACTTTGGAGAGCGCTGGCCAAGACCTGATACGCCGTTAGACATCTCTCATTTCTTGACATGACTCACAGAGTGACAAACCACAGAATCTATTTCGATGTGTATATCGAGTCGCTAGAGATTCGAGATGTGGTCGCGAAGCTGGACGTGGCAGGTACGCTCTGCCGCTGACTAAGCTCGCTGGAAGGAGCGATGAACCTCACACTTGCACGACTACAGCTTTGTCTACCTCCGATTTATCATATCAACATCATATTGTTTCAGGCTTCTCTGGTTCAATTATCTTTTTGAATCTGTGGCTCTTCTTGGAATGATTTTGCTTACGACAAGATGTTCGCCGGAGACTACTTGATAGTCGACAATTTCACAACCTTGCATACTTGACTGGAATCTGTATCGACGTCGCCAAACTTTCCGCTCTATTCTCCCTCATCTCGGATCATTCGCTGCTAGCAAAAATACAAATTCGATCCTCGAGGAGTCAAAACAAGCACAGATCGGGTCTGGGTCCAGACGTCAATCTCTTCCGAATGACCTGGTCCTACTATGTATTAATCAGTATCTGGTCGCCCGTCACGCCCGTCATGACCTTGGGCAATATCGGCATTGATATCCTTTTATTCCTATGACTGAGTACATATACATCGTCAACAGCTGTGTCTGCTCCGCATCAGCGGCCTAGCTGGTCACAAGGTGTACCATTCGAGGCACTCAGCCCGAAAGACCCACAAGATGCTGGCCAGTTGATACCCAGGAGCGACACATACAAGCACGAAATACTTGGGCTGCAGCCGCTAAGACTGGCTATACTCATCAGAACACGGAAAGGCGGTGCGTTGGTCCGATCGGCTAATCGCGCTGCATACAGTACTATACCATCTTTCACAGTAAAAAGAAGCCTCGGCTGTCTCTTGGCCCATATGTGGTAGAAAGCCAAAATCTAGACTTCGTTTCAGCCTCCTCTTCTCCAGGTGCAGCATTTATCCCGTGTCTGTGGGGTTGTCCCATAACCGACCATCCATCTCCGCACTTTAACCGCTATCAACTGCCTGCTTCGGTTTAGGTGCGATGGTACCTGAGCTTGCTGTATGATCGAAAGCATGAACCAATAAATGATGGATACCTCAATCAAGGCTGGCCGCATTCACCCTGGGCTATAGCATTTACACCGAGGAGAAGGCCACGTTTCCATGGCCTTTAACCGGGTCTACCTGCTCGAGCTTTCCCATGTCGTAGGAACTCCGTGCAAGCGACGATGTCCACGAAGCGGAGTCCTTCATGCTTGCTAAAGTCAAGCACTGCTGCATCTCATAGATGTCCGGACCGAGGAGTGTATCAAAGATGCAGCAGCCGAGCATTCTGGACTCCGCTTATGTATCTCAACTTGCGGCAAGCCGGCATTGTGTGGCATATAGTACAGATACTGTATGATGGGCTCATAGTAGTATATAAAGACTGCTCGCCGCCGTGGTCAATCATGCACAACGACAACAACACCACCTCCTTCTCACAGCAATGCCTTCCATCCTCGCTCTTACCGGTCTGTTTGCGGTCGCCGCTGCACAGCAGATTGGCAAGACTCCTGAAGTTCACCCAATGCTGCCGACCCAACTCTGCACCACCCGCCATGGATGTGTAACTCAGCAAACTTCGGTCGTGCTTGACGCCCTGACCCACGCAATCCAGGACATCAAGACTGGCGCCTCCTGTGAGAACTCGACTGGTTTTCCAGATCAGACTATCTGCCCGAGTACCCAGGCTTGTGCCCATAACTGCGCCATTCAGGGCATCAACAACTATGCCCAGCATGGCGTCACGGTCAGTGGCAATTCCATGACGCTCCACCAGTATTTGAATGTCAATGGTGCTGAGACAAGCGTCTCTCCGCGTGTGTACTTGCTCGCTCCGGGAGGTCAGAACTACGACCTCCTGAAGCTCCTCAACCAGGAGTTTACCTTCACCGTGGATGTCAGCAACCTTCCCTGTGGCATGAACGGTGCTCTCTACCTCTCTGAGATGTCCGCTACCGGTGGTCGGTCGTCCCTGAATCCCGCCGGCGCGGCCTATGGTACCGGATACTGCGATGCACAGTGCCCAAAGTCCGCTTGGATCAACGGAGTGGCCAATATAAATGACAATGGCGCCTGCTGCAATGAGATGGACATTTGGGAGGCCAATGCCGTGTCCACGCAGTTCACGCCACACGCCTGCAACACAACTGGCTTGTATGAGTGCTCTGGTGCCGCTTGCAGTAGCACTGGTGTCTGCGATCAGATTGGCTGCGGCTATAATTCGTACGCTTATGGCAACAAGACCTTCTATGGGTATGGAGACGTTGTCAACACGAAGCAGGTGAGTGGATCGTGAAAACCTGTGTGCAAAACGCCTTTCTGACTCTTTGTCCAGCCCTTCACAGTGGTCACACAGTTCCACACAGATGACAGCACCGCCAAGGGCACGCTCAGCAACATCACCCGCCTCTACATCCAGAACAATAAGGTCATCCAGAATGCCGTTGTCCAGGTCGCCGGTATGGCCGTCAACTCAGTCGAGGACTCCTTCTGCGAGGTCGTGGCTTCGTCCTTCCAGCAGCGTGGCGGTCTCGCGCAGATGGGCAAGGCCATTGGACGCGGTATGGTTCTCGCCATGTCCATCTGGAACGACCCTGGCCAATTCATGAACTGGTTGGATAGCGGCAATGCTGGTCCATGCAATGCGACCGAGGGAAACCCGGCTCTGTAAGTGTCTCTATTCGTCTGAGTGTTTTGCATTGGCTAACGCCTCGATTCATAGCNNATTGAGGCCAACGATCCAACTACAAGCGTTACCTTCAGTAACATCAAGATCGGCGACATTGGGTCGACTTACAGTACCGGGCATCATTGAAACAGGCCTGGCTTAGCTAGTCTTGCTGCTTCTGACTCCTAGGCAGTGCTATATATCATTCTTCCTAAAGTTTCGAGGTGCCCGTGAGTGCTTTGATATTTGGCCACTTGTGAGGGTATCGTCGTTTTGGCCACCTCGGTAGAAAATGTATATTCTTCACGAACCAGAAGAATTACAGGCCATTCTAAGGATGCTTTTTTCTCCTAGTCGTGCTTGTTGAACTTGACGTACTATGTTTAATTATGTTTATGCTTCTGATGTCGACGGAAAGGATGTGATCATACGGCAGTTTTAGACGATCTCGGCTGCTCTTGCCGTCTGTCGCTCGCTTCGCCCTTTCAACTGTTCAACGCCTCACGACGGGCAAGGAAACAACAGCAACCAACAGCTGAAAAACACCGTTTGCCCAACGTTGTGTTCCTGGAACAGATCTTCAAGATTGATGCCTATTCTACTTGAAACAGTGATGCAGTTCTAGAAACCCGCTATTGGAAACTCGTGGCATGACATGCGAGGTCTAGGTCTCTGCATGGCATTGGCAACCTCCCTAACGGCGCTGGAACTTCTCCTTTGTGTGTTCTCTCTCCTCAAATTTCGAAGCAGAGAGTACCGGCGTCGGTCGCTTTCGATAAACGTTGGAGGTTGCGACATGGGCGTACGTTTTTGTCGTTGTCCCTTGCGGTAGGTGAACTTGGCTGCGGCAGGTGAAAAGGTATATGTAGGTAGGCGGCGGCCTGTCAGCACCTTCAGCTCGTTTCTTCAAGCCTCTTTTCGTCGTTTGTGGTGCTTATACACTCTTTCTCGTTGCGGTCTTGTTGGCTGCCAATCACTCTCTTTTTGTGTCTCGACTCTGGAGTCGAACACCATCGATCAATAACATCAACAAAGCAAAGAACACACTTGGTAGAGGAAACAGCCATCATGTACTCGACCTTGACCATTCTTTCTGGTCTCTTGGCCTTCATCACTTTCAGCACCACCGTGACTGCCCACGGATTCGTCCAAGGCATCGTCACCAACAACCACTGGTACCCCGGCGCCCAACCCTGGTGGCGCGTCAACCCCAGCATCCCCCATGCCAAATCCGCCGGCTGGTCGTCTCTAAATCAGGATCTTGGATTCATTTCTCCTTCCGAGTACAACACTGCAGACATTGCTTGCCACAAGAGTGCCAAGTCCACAAACACACGTATCCCCGTCAAGGCTGGCGATAAAGTCAAGCTGCTTTGGAGCGAGTGGCCTTCTAGCCACAAGGGGCCGGTCATCACGTATCTCGCCAAGTGTCCTGGTGATTGCAGTATCGTCAACCCGACTACTCTTGACTGGTTCAAGATTGATCAGGCGGGGTTGATTAATGGAAATCCTGCACCTGNNGGTAAGCATTCTTTGTCTCTTCTGTGTTTTAACATCAAAAGTACTGACTCATATCACAGCACATGGGCCACCGACACCCTAATCGCCAACAACAACTCCTGGACCATCACCATTCCCTCTTCTCTAGTTCAAGGCTCTTACGTCCTGCGCCACGAGATCATCGCTTTGCACAGTGCAGACCACGACAACGGCGCCCAAAACTACCCCAACTGCATCAATTTCCAAATCTCCGGCAAAGGCACTGCCAAACCTGCTGGTGTGAAAGCTACAAAGCTATATACTGCCAAGGACAAGGGCATTGCGGTTAGTATCTATTGGCCTGTGTTGAAGAGTTATACTATCCCTGGACCGACCTTGTGGAAGGGAGCTGTGAAGAGGTGGGTAGAGAGGATTTTCGAGGCCTGAGTTTGGGGGGGGAGTCAAGACATTTAGAGAAGTACAAGTAGTAATAGATAATACACAGGTTATAACAAGCTCTGTAGTGGGCTTGGCGTTTTTTGCCCTTGCATCTGACATCTCTACATACAGTAACATTGTCATTTTATACAACTACACAATGGCTTTAACGCTTAGAGTTTTGTTCCATTGAGATATTCTTGGAGAAAGAAGCATGTCTTCTCTGTGGACATCATCTCCCTCTTCCAGAGTATCATGCATATCGACAAAGTACATTGCAACATACTGTATCACAAAGAAGAACGGAAAAGCGCGATTAACAGTAACAGTCTGATGACTACCGCTCTTTTTCACCCATCATCCATCAACCAGTGTTTGCTCTCGCGCACTCACGCAATTTCTTACACCTTCATATAGCCCTTATTGCCTGGGATGTATGTAAGTAGAGTGACATGCGCCGATCGGATCATGATACTCGGATTTCGCTTGCTCAGTACAAAGCAAACGAGCCATAAGTTTATGATCAAGCAACACAATTGCCACGAGTTGCTTGTTGGTGCAACCATCGTTCCATTGTTCATGAGAGAAGAAAGAGCAGGATATTGCAAAGACATGTTTTTTTAGAGAATGCTCGATATGCACAAGTGACGTGCGTTGGGTGTTCTAGAAAGGCTTGTGACGATGCTTTGACAAGATAAGCGAGCTGGATAAAACATTCTAGTCGTGATGCCGACCAGAGGGCTCAATGATATTCAACAGCAGATATCAACTTCTACAACATCTTCAACTCCCAATGCAAGGGGTGGTCCTAGCCAACGACTTTCTCAATTTCCCAGGCACCACCAACGCGTTTCTGTACCACCTTCCTTGCACCCACAGGCCAAGGCGTACCTTCCTTTTCTCCTCTCAAACTCAGACCAACCCAGACTTCTCTGCGCTCTCTACCATCAGCACCTCTAGGCAATTGTTCAATCTTGCCAACCGGCTTGCCGACTTCCAATAACGGCGTGCCTTCTGCAAGATTGGCCAACTGCTTGGCCGTCACCGTTGTCAGAGGGTGAAGTCTAGTCTTGGGTATCGTGTCGAAGGGAGGCGAAGGTGCTTGACGCGAGAGATGCGAGTAGATGATATAATCAGGCATTTCGGGGACTGTCAATCTCGCCAAAACAGATGAAGGATGCACATAAGAGAGTTTGGCTGCGGCGCGGGCTTCGGGATCTTGGCCTACGATATCGCCACTGCTGGAGGTGAAGAGTGTTCGGTAGGGTACTTCGATCGCACGACGAGGGTTGCGGGATAGTGCTACACCGATGATGTCGGCACGAACGGCGACTTGGTCGATGAATCCGGCTGCGACGAACTGTTTGAGGATGGCGCGTTGCTTGTCGGTAGGTGGTGAGAGGGTCTTTTGTGAAAGTGTTGGGTCGTCAGTGCCAGTACGGGAGTGACTTCTCACGATGGCTGTCAATTGCTGTTTTAGTTGACCGGCTTCCTTCATGGCCTTTTCACGCAAGAAGTAGTCGGAACAAAAGGATGCGGGAGAAGATGAAGCAGAGTATGCGGCCATTGCTGTCAACAACTTCAATGCGTCACTACGGTCGTCCCAGCGTGAGAGTGTAGCGTGAGCTTTTCCGTATGCCCTTCGCTTGACTTCTGCTGCCGAGGCGGCGATGTTGTCTGCTTCTGTCCGGATTTGGCGCTTGGCAAAGCGTTCTCTGGCCGTGTCATTCTCGTCATCTGACTCTTCCTCATCAGGAGCGTTCTCGAGGTTGTATTGAGTTTGAGGGATGAAGAGCTCGGGCACAGCAAGAGAGGCCACGAGCGCTATCGTGGGCGCGGAGAGATTGTAGCGTCTGCCCAGCAACAGCATTCTTGCGAATCTTGGTGACAAGGGGTATGCAGCCAGCTCTTTTCCAGTCTCTGTGATCTTGCCGTGTGCGTCGATAGCTCCGAGATAGGTCAGGAGTTTCTCGGCTTTGGCGAGGGCCTTACGGTCAGGTGGTGTCGGGAAGGGGAAGTTGACTACGGTTTGAATGTCCATGTTCTTGAGCGATAGAACAACACCCTCGATTGGTGATCGCAGAATCTCAGGAATAGCGTATTCTTCGAAATCGCGCTCGTAGACAGCTGACGAGTAGAGGCGGTAACAGTGACCTGGTCCTGTACGACCAGCACGACCGGCTCTCTGTGCAGCACTGGCCTTGCTGATGAAATCGATCTCAAAGGTTTGGACGCCAGTCGATGCTTCGTACTTCTTTTCCTTTGAGCGACCACAATCAAAGACGTAGCGAACTCCAGGGATGGTAAGAGATGTTTCGGCGACGTTGGTGGCAAGAACGATCAGTCTCGAACCAGCCGGCGGTTCCTCGAAAACTTTGAGCTGTTGCTTGGTGGGAAGTTGCGAGTAGAGAGGTAGCACATGGACTCTGAGCGCTTCCACGGGTTGCTCCTCTCCTTCAATCTCGAACTCCTTGTCGTCCTCTTCATCATCCAAACCTCTGATCTCAATGTCCGAGTCGTCATCGTCGTCATCGTTCCTTCTCGACACGGGTTGAGCCTCGGCGTCCATGTCATCAATCTCAAGTGGTGCGTCTGCAGCGGATACATGAACTCTGGGTTGCTTGACCTGACTTCCAGTATCGGCAGGGAATGCTTGACGCAATTTCTTTGCGAGCTGAATGATCTCTTGCTGGCCAGTAAGGAAATAGAGCATGCCACCAGGTGGCAGCTTCTTGTGACCTCTGCTGATCTTGTGGAACATGTCATCAACATAGTCGTGTGTTGTCTTTCGGGCGAAATGGTCAGTGACAGGGAATTGTCTGCCCTCTGCCTTGACAATCGGAGGTGGACCATTTCTGAAGAGGCGAGTGTTTTCGGTAAAATCGGTGATGCGGAGAGTGGCACTCATGATGACCAGCTTCAGAGGGTAATACTTCTCAGGCTCCTCCTTTGCCATCTGAGCACGAAGGTCCACGATTCTGCTCATCATACCAATCAGAATGTCGGTGTTGACGGAGCGTTCATGGGCTTCATCGATAACGATAGCAGAGTATCTGGACAGGATGAAGTCGTTGGCGATTTCTCTCAGCAGGATACCGTCAGTCATGAACTTGATGGCAGTGTTCTTCGAGACGGTGGTGTCGAAACGAATCTGATAACCGACGCGGTCTTTCAAGTCGCACAGTTCAGTGCCCACACGCTCTGACACACTGACAGCAGCGACACGACGAGGCTGAGTGACACCAATCATGCCCTTGGCCTTGCCCTCTCCGTCTGTTTGTCCGATCTTGCTGCCGTAGCCACTTTCGAACATCATCTGGGGAACTTGGGTTGTTTTACCGGAACCAGTAGCACCCCAAACGACAAGGACGTTGTTGTTGTGAACGGCTTCCATGATCTTTTGTTCTTCTTGCACAACAGGCAACTTCAATCTCGCCTCTTGGATTTCGGGGGTGCGAGGGATGACCAAACTGACGGCAGGACGGTTGTCTGACTCTGTGGTGGCGGATACGGCGAGTTCAGGAGGGAGAGTTTCTGGTGAAGGAGCGCGAGGGACGAAGTTTGTTGGTTGTTTGACCGTCGTCGAGTTTACGGTGTCGAGATTTGTCGAGGGAACAAAGCCTATGGCCTGATTTCGTTGCTCGGTGGCCCACATCTTGAAGGCAGACGAACGAGCCTTCTGCGCTTCTTTGACGGCCTCTGCATCTTCCATGTCCTCGTCCGAGTCCGACTCTTCTTCCGAGTCTTCATCTGAGTCTTCCGAGTCTTGGTCGTCATTGTCCTCCTCATCCTCTTCGGAGTCTTCCTCGCCCTCTTCGATGTCCTCTTCTGAACTCTCATCCTCATCTTCGTCGTCTTCGGCGGTCTCGTCGCCGGAGAAGCCATCCCATTCAGGCTCTTGGGCGACTACAGGGGCAGACTTGGTGACAACCTTTGTGCGTTTCCTGCTCTTGATGACAGGCTTTCCTTCTTCATCTGTCTCGAGCGGCCTCTTCAGGCCACTGCCAAACAAGCCCTGGCCAGCGGCGAANAGCCCGCCCTTGCCTGACGCTGGCGCAGGCGCTGGTGCTAAAGCTTTGGCAGGAGCGGATTTTGAACCGTTGACTTGCGGTGTCGAAGTCTGGTCGTCCTCAGACTCGCTCTCCAACTCAAGCGCCGGCCTCTTTCGTTGCTCAAACAGAATAGCATCGTTGGCTTCAAGGTTGATCCCTTGCTCTTTCTCTCTCAAAGCCCTCTCCAGTCTCTCCCTCGCAGACTCTCCACCTCTTCCAAGCTTCTTCGAACTCAGCAACAAACTCGTATCGACCTTTTGCGCGGCGAGTTTCTTGATCAGAGCCAAGTTTTCCTCCTTCTTGAGCTTGTTGTCGATGTACTTGTCCAACCTCTTCTTTTTCTTGCCAGAGATTACTGTGGTGCTGTTCTGAGCGCGAATCTCTGCTTGGAGTGCAGTGCGACGGGCTTCCTTTTCTGACGGCGTGGGAGGGACGATTTCGGCGGCGTTTGCGTCTTCGGGTTCGTCGTGCGAGTGCGAGTTCTTTGCTTTGGCTTTGGCGATCCTGCCCTTCTTGCGATCGCGGGGCACAAACTTGGGCGGCATGATTGTGATTAGGCCTGCCGGGAGATGTATGAGGAGAGAGACGAGATGGCCTCGTTCATAAAATGTCGGACTGGCGATTGCAACTTTTCCGATTTAAGCTCACGCATGCCGACGGCTCGGCCCGCGCGAGCTGCGGGGTCTAGTGTTGCTCTGTGAAGTTGTGCTGGTGTTTGCTGCTGGCAAGTCGGACAGCTTCAACAAGTTCGTCTGTTCATCTTGTCTTCCAATCACCATGCAGACTCAAACACAGTCCACCGTCACAATGCAACAACCGCCGAACCTCACCTTTTCGACCTTTCCCGCACCCAGCAAATCAAGCAGCAACACAATCGCCGACATACCCACCCAAATCACCGCCCTAAACTTTGCCGACAAGCTCGTCCTCACAATCTCGCAATCCGGTCGCTTGAACCACTGGCTCCATGTTCCTCTTGCTGGAGGCCGGCCCCTCGACAACGGCTTCCTCAACCCATCTTCCGAGACAGACGTCGATGCGAGTTTATTGCCATTCGCGCATCTGACAGCGACCACCGTGCTGGGAGGTACGAGGGGAGAGTTTGAGGTCTTGGGACAAACACTAGCGACGACGCTTGCTACGGCGCTGTTGATGAGGAATCCGGAGGAGCAGAGGATGCTGGTCGTGGGACTGGGATTGGAGAAGGCGGATCAAGGCAGAGAGGCGTTTGATGAGTTGGTTGGCGCTTGCTTGGAGTGTCTGTGAAGGATGAAAGAGTTTGGGACAGATACACCATGATGCCCGTGTCCAGCAAGTTGCCGTGGACACCGTTGATACAGCTATACGAGCGAGACACACCGCTGCAAATCGGAGAGGTCGACTGCACATGCAGAGCACATGTCACTCTCGAAGGACACTACATTCTCCAAAGCGAAAGACGCCCTTCAAGCAGTTTCAGATAGTTCGCGCCTCAGACTCGAGTTGTCAAGTCTGCGCTAGAAGGAACAGAGGAACACAAACCACGAGGAAAAGCAATACAGCAACGAGCTGGAAAGAAAATGATGGTTCATTCAGAGACAGCCTCTTGGCCGATTCTACTCGTATACCCATAAGCCCTTTATCAAGACCTCTTGTATCGTTCTGGCCAATCCAGGAAACGCCTGCAAGTCATGCAATTATGTCTGTACCCCAGCTCTTGTTCGCATCTAGGCCATCTTGGCACTTCTCTCCCTCAGTCCGTTGACAAGCACATCCACACTGGCCATGTCTTCAGCATCAAATTTGCCCTCGCCAACAACTTCTGCGGGCAAGAACTTGACTGCCTCGTCCAGAGCAGGCTGGTAATTTCTTATTTCGGAGCTGATGACACGGATGGCCTTCTTGCGCACACCAGCATCTTCGTCTGAGCAGAGCTTTGCGACCTTGGAGATTGCGCCAACAGCTAGTGCCTATAGTCAAAAAGTCAGCACCTTTGCTTTCCTCAAACGAGCAAACGCCGGCAACAAGAGACTTACGCGCTCCTGACACTTGATGTTATTCTGCACCGCCGTGCCCAAACACCAACACGCCATCTCCCTATCCTGTTTTTCCTCGCTCTCCAACATTTGCACCAGGGGCATCCACAACTTCAATGTCTCCATGTTGTTCGCGTTGTCCAGGTTCTCAACCAGTTGCTCGAAATTGTCCCAGGCGATGGCTTTGTTTTCGTGGTCGACGGAGGGGTCGTGGATGGCTTGCATGGAGGAAATCATGCGGTCGGCGTCGGAGGGCCCGCCCATTAGTTGAGCGAGCAGCTCCGGGTTCAGTTGTGTGCGTGGTTGGGTGGGTTCGGCGGTGTCTGAGACGGTCGAGTTTTCGATGGACCATTTTAGGAGGGTGTTGAGGCCTGGGTCGTTCATGTTGTGTGTGTGGTTTGGTTTGAGGGATTGCTTTGGTGTAGGATGTGCCTCTTCGTCGAGTTGTACGATTGGTGCAAAGTTACGCTTTGATGTGTGTATTCGAGTTGTGTAGTAAGAGGTTGTTGCCAATGCAAGGGTGATGTGTTTGAGTGTTTTGTGTTGCGCGGGCAGGAATTATTTTTGTGGTGACGCAGCAGTTTTGTTTCGCCAGGGCCGAGGCGCCCTCTCCACGAAGGTGGTGGTTGCTTCGAGACGCTTCGATTTCCCTTTTTTTCTTTTTCTTTTCTTCTTTACTTCTTCTTGGTCAGGGTCTCTCGAGTTTCTTGCATTGTTGAAACTGTAGATACTCACACGCCTTGAACGCTGGTTTGACACATGATGAAAGGATGAGAGGCGTATATTCCTAGTTCATGTCCATGTGCTGTAAGTCGACTTTGTCCTTACTTTGTCGCGGTGCACAAGATAAGCACTTTTCTCAAAATTCAAGGAGGACATCCGCCAATTTCATAAGTTTGGCGTACCCGGGTTGCGTCCATCAGTCAACGAATAGACAGATCTGTGCTCGATCTCGTGAGCTCGTAACTTCAAGTATTATAGTCTGCTAAATGATTACAGGAAAATGACATAAGTGAAGCAAGGTATTCATTGTTCGTTCCTGCTCATTGACGGCAACAAGGCGCGTCTCGTTGATGATCGTAGTCGCTCGTCTCTTGTCAGACATCTAAAAGAATTCGGTGATTGCTTCGATGCACTACAGCATCACCTGGATAAGTGCTTGTCTATCGGAGAGTCTGATCATGGATTGCCGAGCTTTCCGGTGGACACGATGTTGCCTTGCTCTGCATCGAGATGGTCATACACAACAGAACTCTGACTTTTGATACATCAGTGGTTCACCTACGTCTCCTGGCGCAACCTACCTCGAAGACACTCGGCCGAGTCTCATAATCCACGGAAAATAATACACAGTCAAGACATGGCAAGTCTGATTGAAGGCTGGTCAATGGTCATGCATCGGTAATCTAGCCGTGGTGTTGCTGGAAACCGTTGGCATTTTCGCGACTCCAGCCCAGCAATCATCGGTGCTGAACGTTGCCGGGACCGGCCTGAGGCTCCGCGAAGCTCTTGATCGTGGGGGGCCAGCGATTGACTTTCTTTTTCTCTGCCAGTCCGAGAAGTGGGAGTCGATGACAAGGAGGCGTCTGGTAGATGTTGGGTGTGATGATGGAAAGGATTCGAGCATTTCTTTTAAGAACAGACAGGTCTTTTGGTGAGCGTAGATGAAATACGGAGCGTCGTATCTAAAGGGGCCCCTGGGAAAGTGGCAGAACCCCACTCCGCGTTCAACAATCCTTCAAGCGCCGAGACGGTTCCAAAGGGCTGGCGAAATGATTGCTGCTGGGACGGCCGTTCGACAATCAAGGCTGGGATGTCGTGTCGACGCGTGAAGACACGAAAGACGATGAGGATTGAAGAATAGAGACTCGGGAGAGGGCGCAACGTCTAGCCGCCGTGCAGCATCGCACTTGGCATGATGTAGTTGGGTTGGGAGCTGCTGAGCTTAGTCGTGGGCGTGTTACGCGTCCTGCACGACGCAGTCAGGCAGCTGCATTCGGCAAGAGGTATATAGGACAGCAGCGAGAATGAGCAGAGTGACATGCACACATTCTTCTACGGAAACGTCTTCTTATCCAAGTGAAGCAGAGACAGCTCGTGCAGCACACGCAACGGGGCTTTGGCTGTTGATAACCGGAGGCTTAGACTTGCCAGCCCAGCGGACCAATCGGGAAAGGTTGGCTAGCATCCTGCACAGGCCAAGGAATTGGACCTCACACACCGCCCGGTTGGACGACAAGTGTTCCAACTTTCCCCCTTCATCACCTCCATTAACCCCACCGCGCGTGTCCCATCCCAAGCAGCTCAAATCCTCGCTGCAGCTTGCTCTCTACCACACCTTTTCAACTCACATCCACTAACAACACCGCCGCAATGGAAGGTGAGTCTCTCTCTGGTGCTGCCGCGTGCTGCCCGCGCACCCCTCACACCTCCCAACTTCTCCTTGTCTCCATCGCCACCCTCGCCGTCTCACCTCCACCGAGCACCCGCTGACCACTTTTCGCGTCTACAGAGGAGGTCGCAGCTCTCGTCATCGACAATGGGTAAGATTCATCACCGTCCGCGCCTTCCGCTGTCGCTGCCTGTGGGATCACACGTCATGCGCCATTGCGTCGCCATCGACACCATCTCACAGCCGCGTCCAGCTCAATGGCGCGCAACCTCGAAGCTCCAGGATCGTCACAGCTAACACATTGGCCACAGTTCGGGTATGTGCAAGGCCGGTTTCGCCGGTGACGACGCACCCAGAGCCGTTTTCCGTAAGTCCCCTCTTCAGAGCTTCCAAAACTCGTCCTTTGCACTCCATCTAACGCGCTGCANNGCCTCAATTGTCGGAAGACCTCGCCACCATGGGTACGCAGCCCTTGTTGCAAGCTGTTTTCGAACTCGAATTGACAATGACGCAGTANTCATGATTGGTATGGGCCAGAAAGATTCGTACGTCGGTGATGAGGCACAGTCCAAGCGTGGTATTCTCACCCTGAGATACCCCATTGAGCACGGTGTCGTTACCAACTGGGACGACATGGAGAAGATTTGGCACCACACCTTCTACAACGAGCTCCGTGTTGCCCCCGAGGAGCACCCCGTCCTGCTCACCGAGGCACCCATCAACCCCAAGTCCAACCGTGAGAAGATGACCCAGATCGTCTTCGAGACCTTCAACGCCCCCGCCTTCTACGTCTCCATCCAGGCCGTTCTGTCGCTGTACGCTTCCGGTCGTACCACCGGTATCGTCCTCGACTCGGGTGACGGTGTCACTCACGTCGTCCCCATCTACGAAGGTTTCGCCCTTCCCCACGCCATCTCGCGTGTCGACATGGCTGGTCGTGACTTGACCGACTACCTCATGAAGATTCTTGCCGAGCGTGGTTACACTTTCTCCACCACCGCTGAGCGCGAAATCGTTCGTGACATCAAGGAGAAGCTCTGCTACGTCGCTCTCGACTTCGAGCAGGAGATCCAGACCGCCAGCCAGAGCTCTTCCCTTGAGAAGTCCTACGAGCTTCCCGACGGTCAGGTCATCACCA